CAAACTTTAAAAACTATCAAAGATCAACGTTTTATGCCAAAAATCAGCCAAAATCTTATATTACACTAGAGTCTGAATCCAAAAAATTGTTTTTTCTTTTGAATATAAACACAAAACTCTTACCAATAACAAAACTATATCTTGAATACTGTAATGTTTCTTTCAAATACGGTTTTGTATCGTTTTGACCAACAAAATTATAATTTGTTACCTAAAATTTCGTTTTTAGTTAAGTCGCCGAACTTTCAGCTTATTTGTGAGAATAATATAATATTTGAAGCCTAGTCTAAACTAAACTATAAAAATGACTATAATGTCTAATAAAACTAAAATCAAGGTATCTACAACAACGAAATGTGACATTCCAGCCCGAAACCATCTGATTCTGGCCGGAAAGTGCCGAAACACAAAAGAAATTCAAATGAAGCCCAGATCAGGCCAGAAAATGAAGCGATGACAAACCGAAAATGCAAATTTGTTTTAGAAAAACACAAGGGCTTAAACCACTCACTTCGAAGCCGGCTCGTAGAATGGGGCCGGCATTGGCGACGTAGAGCTTGGAAGCATCGTCCATCTGCACGTACTCGGGGGCTCGTCGCACCTACAATAATATATTTTGATTTTTTAACGATTCTTGTTAGTTTTGTTGGAGTTTTGGAAAATTGTAGGTTTGAATTTATTATTTGAACAACCTAATACAAAAAAGCAGTGCTATTCTATAGCAATATAAAACGCAATTAAAATGTGGCGCTTCAACCCACAGTTTAGCCTTTCAAATGAAGGTTTTTAATATTTTTTAGAAGAAACTTTGTTATAAATACCTCTATAGAGATCTTTAAGTTTAAATTCCAAAGTTTTTATATTCAAAAAGACCAAAGTTCAGCGAAAAAAGGCCTTAAGGAAGCGTTAAGTCACGTCAAAAATAAACAATATTAAAATTTTTAGTTTGCAACGCTTTTTTTCAAATTTACTCTTTCCTTTAAAGACCTGGCTAACTGTTGACATTGTCATATTCAAACCTCCATACAGACATTATTCTCATAAGATAAGTCTACAACCTCAAAACTTGTCAATTATTACCTAAAAGCCTGACAAACCATATTCTTAAAACTTGAATATTAGGTTATCCAAATAATTATGTACCCCGTTTTAAAGCAAATTTTCAGAGTTATAGGGCACAGAATTATGTGAACAACCTAATAACGTCAATTTGGATAGGCATACCCTATTATACCTATCTGTATACCCTCCTATAGTGCATAAAATCAAAAAAATGCCACTTTAAAAGCAAGGTTCTTCTAAAAGTGTAACAAATTACAGTATGTATGCTTAAATACCACCAAATTAGATAGGTATAGCGCATAAAATTAATAAAATTTCATTTTTAAAGCTAGGGTTCACTTACCGTTTTGGAAGCATACCGTACACACCTAAAGTACAGTATGACTGTATTCTCATTAACTTCGATGGCTAGCTGAGTCCATTGATTCGTGAAAGAGGGTACCAGAAATGAAGCTAGTACTCTTGACGTTGTAGCCTCGTATTCAGAATCCGTGTAGATCAACGAGATGTTGGTTTGGGAATCGGCTGAAAAACTGATTTTAAAATAACTTTTAAATTTTAAATTGAAAAAAATAAAAATGCACTTTAAAGTTTTTAAAAATCTTTTAAACCCAAGTCTTAGAAGTTTTTAAATTTTTTAAAATTTAAGATCCAAACCCACCAGCCGGCTGCCACTTCAACCCCACATCGACCACCGTATCGAAGGCATTGACAACTGCAAATAGATACGATTCCTTCTCATCTCTCGGCTTCACTGACGCCAAAATGGCAAAGTTGCGATAAAAGCGCCGTGGCAAGTATATCCTATATGGTACCACTATCTCGGCACCTTTTTGTACTCCGACAGCTGGTAGACCATCTAGACCTTTGGTTCTGAATACATGACTGTCCGTGTGTAATATGTTCTCGAGTGGCGTTAGGAGGTTGACTTCTGATTCATCGTCTGGAATTTGAAGTTTAGGTAACAAATGTTGTCATTTTTTTAAATTTCAAACTTTTTCAATTTTTTTTGAATTCTAAAACTTATTTTATTGTAAATAAGCTATTTTAAGCCATTTAAAAACATTTTTTTACAATTTCTACTTTACATAACAAGTAAAAAAGTTTTGTCGCTTTTTACCGTTGAGAACCCTCTGAAAAGACGACAAAACTTTTTTGACTCCTCAAATTTTTTATTATTTCATTTTCCTCCAACTTTTGCATATCATATCAGCATGCCCATTACTTTTGAGGTTATGATAGGCATAGTATATTTAGTTTGACATAATTTTCCCTCCGGGTTTAAAGCAGATTTATGGAGCAAAATTATTGGAGATTAGAAGCCGGAGGCCTCGCTTTGTTCCCTGAGGGCCCAAACCAAGTTCAGAAAAGAGACATTCCTCCAGATAGTAACTTCTTTAACAACGAATGGCTACTGTAAGGCTACACGGAAGGAGTTAGAACGTGTTTTTTATTGTTTGAAAATGGCAGTTTTTCCTAGAAAAATGGTTTAAAAGGTCAAAAAAGATTGAAAATTTAATTTTTTAAAATTTTTTAGTAGTAAAAGGATTTGAAAGGTTGTAAACTGGTTAAAGAATAAGTGTTAAGATAAAAAAACCTAAATCTGTAGACTTTTTTGCCTAAAAAACTAATATATTTTAACTTATTTTAGTATTTTAGGTAATAAAAATTAAGTTTTTTCCCAAATTCCAGCTGTCGTTTCATCCTTAATATATTATAAATTTTACCGCAGAAAGACAACCAGTAATTCCACAATCTACCGCAATAACTCTTCAGTTTTACTGCAATAACTCTTCTGTTTTACCGCAATATCTCGCATTTTCACCGCAGTAATTCGTCTATTGTAGCTGTATAGGATGCCATTGTATAATGGCATAAACTGAGCGATTAATCACTCTCCCCATTAGCCCTGTTCCAGCTCTTCTCATCGCTGTTTTGTTTTTTCGAACACTTTTGAATAAATCATTCCAAAGCCTTTTAATCCCATTAAAAGTCGAAAAAACGCCTGCGGCATAAATATGAAGTTTGAGGTTTTACGAGGTTTAAGAGTAATTGGACTAGCTTTTAAAAAACTTCATTTTTGTTTTAAATTAATTTTTTGGTTTTATATGATAAAGTTTGCCTAGGAAGTTAAAGTGTTTGAATGGCCAAATATTAAGAAAAACTGCCATGATGACACAAAAAAAATAATCGTAATGACAAATTTATAAAAGAAAAATGTAAAATCAATTTAAAAATTACCTAGGCTCTAAGATTATCTGTCAAAAAAAGTTGTTATAATGACCAAAAAGATCACTACGACGGAAAAAACTTGTCATGATGACAACATAAAAACCTAAAATTGTATAAAAATTTTAAATTCATCGAAATAGAAAATTACATTGGCATAATATAAAAAATATTCTAATGTCGTTAAGTATGTACATGCTAAAACAAGACTCGACCACCGTAGCCCTTCATACCCACCACCTACTGTAGTAACTCAAAAAAAAACAAGTGTTTGCAAAATAAATGTTGTTTTACCCTACCCGACTTCACCCTACCCTACCCAACCCCTAGTATCCATTCATACCCATTCCGTACCGTAGTAAACCTCCATACCCAACCCCTACCGTAGCCCCAACTCACCGCCGGGAATCTCGAAAGCCGCCACAATCAGTGCCCCGAGGCATGGGAGGATCAGTGATGGGAGCATGGTATGCTATTCATATCATCGGCAGTAATGTTTGGCCTTTCTTCAAGCAAAAATCTTTGAAAAGCGCATCTTCCGGACGACCAAAAACAATACGAAGCCACTCTCGCCCGTGCCCTGCCCACCCCCCCCAGCAAAAAAAAACGTTTGAAGTGACGACGCGGCACTTCTGGAGATGAAAAGAAACGCACGATAGGAACATATCACTCATCTGCATATTATACTACTCGAAACAGATTAAAGTAGGTATGGATAATATTGGAGTAGGTGGGATATGTCCGATTAAAGTGCTTTTTGCGATATATTTAGTGTTAGATATGTCTAGCGTTTTGCAGAGTATATAGAGAATGTCATAAAAACTACAGTAACCTCCAAAAATGGCAAAATTTCTATAAAAAAAGTTCATTTAAAAACCAAAAAGTTACAGTAACCAACAAAATTAAAACGTTAAAAAAACTTTTCAAAGCCAAAAAAGTTACAGTAATCCTTAAAATACCCCAAAACAGTATAACCTCACAAAGTTACCATACCCCGCCCTACTGAAACCCTATAGTAGTCCTCCCCAAGTCAGAATAAGTAAGAAGAAGTAAATGTTTAACAATAGTACCTCCTTCCTCTCTCTGCACCCTCCCACCACCCCGTACTCCCTCGTCGAAGCCCTGAGAAGTCGAAACCGTCTCAGAAACCGTATTGTTGTACAATTGAAAGGCTCTATTCTATGACAAGTGAGGTCATCGGCACAAAAGGAGGGGGCTACAATGGCTGAAGTTGTGGATGCCATTTGCATGCCATTAGGCATAATTGATGGTCACGACCGGTTATCTTGTCGCACTTTGGTGTCGATGTTTTTTATTGTCACATTCGTCAGATTTGTCTCACCCTGCTCTCATTTTCATGTTACCCCCTCAAGTCCAGCTTGACAATAACCCAGGTCCTGCCTTGTTACGTTTCATCAGAAATCCACCCTTGGTAAAAATTATTACCCCTCCCATCCATTTTGACCTTAACCTTGTTAGTTTTTATCAAAAAACCACCCCCGATAAAATTTACTTAAAAATTACCCCCCTCCCTCCCGCCGAAAAAAATTATAAACTTATTACCCGCCCCCCCCACCCCGCCCCTCACTTAGCAATCACTCCTACTCAATTTTTTTTTAATTTTCATTTTAAACCCCCCACCCTAGCCTCTCCGGACGATTGTTACCCAATTATTTGGTTTAGATCCAGGAGGAATCAGTTCGAACCTCTTAATGCTCACTTAAGTGCTCAAGCAGCCGATAAAACAAATAAAAATTACCGGTCACATTTCCGAAATGACGTTGTGGTTCCGGGCACTGACCGGCGATTACCGTAACATTGTCCACGTTCAGCTTGAAGCCGGTTTTGCCGTTTCTGGCGCCTTCTAGGAGGAGCTGAAAATGGGGCATGGGTTAAAAAAGTAATAATATCTTGAAATTTATTTAGATTTGCATAAATTTGCGTAGTAAAAACTTTAAAATACTGTATACTAAATAATTGAATCCCTACTCAACCCTACTCAGCTATACCCTACCCTACCCACCGCCTTGCTCTTAAAACTTTTACCAACATTCTTTACCCTACCCTGCTTTAGTTTTTTCTACCCTACTGTATAACACGACAAGCCCATAAAGCATCAAAATCACATTCCCTATACTCCTTTACTACACCATAAAGCTCGTATTTACCTGGAATCCTTTGTCATTTCTTGCTTTTGTTTCAACAACAATCTTTTGCCATAAGCCCTGAGGCAATTCAACCAGACTTTTTTCAAATAACGGTAAAGCACGTTCCATTTCTTGACCTTCGAACAATATACTCAACTTGAACAGACCTAAAACATGGTTTATATACTTTAAAATTTCAAGTTTTTCTTGTCTTTTTCGAATTTTAGGTAATAATAGTTTATTCAAAGTTAAGATAATATTAATAAGCCACTTTAAACCAAATATTCCTCACAAAATTTTACCTTTACTGCCCGGTGTGATGTAGTAATGCAGACTAGAACATATATGGGAGCTCTTTTTCAACTGAAAAACTGGCGAAATCAACCGACCGAAGCCGTTTGCGTCGTCGTTCGAGCCTAAATTCGTGTCCAGAAGCATTGAATGGCCTGCAAAGAGAGACGAGGGACACAGTAAGCACGTTCACACTACAGTAATCTACACTTATCACTTACCGTTGTCCGTCGGCACGCGTGACCATTCGAATTCGGCGTTGGCTTCGGAGACGAAATCACATTGGCCGCCACTCTCAAAATCGCATTTCTCGACGAAACCATTCTCCGGGATTACTGTAACAAAAGTTATTTATGTTTTTTAGCTATTTCAACAATTTTTTTGAATAATTTTTTTTTAATTTTCATTTTTTTTCAAAAAAAATTTTTTAAAATCTCAAAAACCCAAAGATTTGAATCAACCTCCCCCCACCCATACCTTGAGAAGGTGTAGCCACAGCCTTGGTCTTGCTCCACTCAGTCTCTCGTCCATCAGGTAGTACTGCTTTCACTCTGACAGCGTACTTCTGGCCTGGCTCCAGATGACTTATCATTCCTTTTAGTCCTTCTGTCGTCATTTTCCGTTTCTCGTTCTCATCGTTCACGTTCCAGTACTGAATGGCGTAGACTGTCTTTTTAAAGTCTTTGGCTAGTTTGTTGACTCTTGGCTCAGTCCATTTGACTTTGATCTCGGATGGTGATATTGCTTTTAGCTTTATCTCTGGGCCTTCGATCTTTTGAGATTCTGGCACTAAAATTACTTCTTTCTTGTATGGTATAGTAATTCTATTTACCAATGTTATATTACTTCACATACAACAATACTAATTTAAAAAAGTCAACTTACCATCCTTAGAAGGTAATGTAGTAAGAGATATCAAGACACGTTCACTGTCTTCCCCTTCGGCTTCATTGTACGCTGTCAAAGCAAAGACATACGTCGTATTTGAGGCTGGAAACATTGTGCGTCATTACTATATTAAATGTCCTATTAATACTATAAAATTAAGTTGTTCAATTAATTCTGTGCGTTCTCTTAAAAAAATTTCAGAGTTTGAAAGCACAAATTTATTTTAACAACCTACTATAAGTCCTAACTTACCCAGCCCAGATACAGTATATGCCGTAATGTAAGAAGCGGCTATGACTATTTTTCGGTTCGGAGTTTCAGTACCATATGACAAAGTATATCCTCGTACTAATGGATTTGGAGCTGAAGAAGGTGCGTCCCACCATAAAGTTACAGAATCCGTCTCCGCTTTTCCTCTCACGTTCTCTGGCGGATCTGGCACGCGTGATTCGGGATCATCTAAAAAGCTAGTTAGTAAAAATTCGTTTGCAGTACTATTTAAAGTACTGGGTACAACTTGTATTACATTACTTTTTACAGTAATAGGTGCAAATTATTTTACAGTAATGTTTTTTAAGCTATATTACTGTACCTACCTATAATATAAACTTAAGATAAGTAAAATGTAGCCTGTAATAACAAAAATAACGTTTACAGGGTGCGTGAAAAGTGGTGTTACCAGGCTTTTTAATCAAATATTTACGTTAACAAAAAATATAACTAAAACAACAACTAACAATAGTAACATGTAGTACTAGTTATAACATAGTTAATCGGTTTCAAAGTGTCCCCCCTTTGCGGCTTGGCACAAGCGCAAACGCTTCAAAAAGTTTTCAGCGATGGGCCGCAGCACCTCCGGTAACAGTTTGTCCCACTCTTCGATCAATGCTTGTTTTAAAGACTCCAAATTTTGGTGTCTTCTACAACACACCCTAGCCTCCAGTATCGACCATACACTGTAATCCATAGGATTGAGATCGGGATAATATGGAGGCCATTCAGCAGATGCAATGAAGTCAGGGAAATGGGTTCGACACCACTCTTGCGTTGATTTTGCTTTATGGGCCGATGCAGACTCTTGCTGAAAGATCCATGCGGCACCTTTGAAGCTTCCGAGCCCAAGGGAGTACCACAGATTCCAAAATGTCCCTTTGATACACTTCTTTGTTGATCTTCACGCCTTCATCGACAAAAATCAAAGGAATCTTGCCTGAAGCACAGATACCGGCCCAACCCATAATGCCCCGAGGGTGTTGACGACTTGCCACGATGGCTTCAGCTTTAGGAGGCTCTGTTGAGTATTATCTGTCATTTTGGGGATTTTAGGCCTCTGTACAAGGTAAATATCTTCTCATCAGTGAAAAGAATTCATTCCTATTTTTGACCAGCGGCCCGCTGCTGAAGCAGTTTACATCTTTTGAAACGTACTGCCTTGTTTTCTTCAGTTAGCTTCTGAACTTTTTTGATTTTGTACGGCTTCATCTTAATTTTCTTTTCCACTATGCGCCTCAAAGTAGATTCTTTGATTCCCGCCTCTTGGGCCGTTTTTCGTACTGGGGTCCGTGGATTTCGCTTGAAGCGCTTCTTGATCATCTGACGATTGGCCACGGTGTTAAAAGATGCTGGACGCCCACTTCTAGGTCTGTCACAGTCATGTCTAAGCTCTTCAAAACGTTTTACGGCTCTGTGGACTGTCATTCTTGAAATATTCAACAATTTCGCGATTTTGGGGTTACTTTTTCCTTCATTATTTAATTTGATGACGGTAGCCCTCATGTTTGACATCTAAATACAGACAGACGGTAGGCAATGAAAACTTAACTTTTATAATTATACAATAAAAAACCACGGAGAATAAGACAAAATAAAAAATTTTAAATAATTTAACCGCAACATAGAGAAAACGACCGGTAAAGTTTGGTAACACCACTTTTTACGCACCCTGTATGATGTTACAGTATAATTTGCCTATCGTCACATCTTAATAGTTTAAAAAAGCCTTACCTGTCAACCCGTTTGCAGCCCAAACAAACAAGTACACTATAAGAAGGTTCATACCTCAATCCAGCCTAACATTCCACTTGGAAACGCTTAAGGCGTCGGCCGAGAGCAAAGAGAATATTTTAGGCACAGAAATTATTAAATCACACAGCACAACTCTCGGACGGACATAACCGAATTTGGGTGGGGACCTCGGCGGTGTTCCGGTTCAATCTCGACCGCCTGGAAAAAACCGCCTAATCACACGCTAAGTTATTCAAAAAAGGACCTTTGGTCAGTCGGAATATTCAAACGCCATGAAAACGGTCGTAAAACCGTTGGTCATCTTATGAAGCCTCACAAAATTCTTCATTCACGGCCTCCGGGGCTATAAAATATTCAGACTTACTTTTGCAGTAAGCAAATATAAATATAAACTAAAGAAAAAGTAAAGGTAAAATACGACATTTAAAAATATCATAATAAAACTCCACTCAATAACATTGTAACATTTAAAAAAGTGCAACGGCTTAAACTGCGATTGAAATACACAATCAGAATCATTAACCTACTATAATATTGAATAAGCAGACTCAATCTTTAAATACTGTAACAACTATAAAAGGTCAAAGAAACACGCGCGTTTGTGGATTATATGCGCGACCTCCTGTTGTTTCAATTAATTCCAATTAGTTCAAATAGGGCCAAATCCTTTCAAAAAGCGGGATTAAATCAGCCAGAAACAACAACAGCATGCCACACTTCATTTGGCTTCAAAGATTTGAATCCTCTTATTGTTCAAATGTAAAATCATTTTAAAATTTTTGCAAAAACTCAATTTCTTGATCTCATTGAAACTTCAATGTTATTGAATAAAAATCAAAGGCCAAGCAGCTACTTATACCTTTAACCACTGTAAAGCAAAAGCAAATCAGATTTCTATACCTTTAACTACTGTATTATTACTTTCACTATATCATGTTAATACCCAAACACAAAATTTCATGTTTTACAAATAAATACGCAACCAGAGCTACCAGACAAAACATATTTACTTTATTTTAAATAGCATTAATAAAATTAGATCACCGATTACTTCTTCTTGCCTTCCTCGGCTTCAGTTGCTACACGTTCTTCGTCCACTTCCTTGAGCAGGGCTTCAACCTCTTCCAAGGATAATACTCGGTGAGAACAGTGAGCTTCCTGAAACATCAAACAGTAATTTAAATTATTCAAAACTTAGGTATCAACAAAAAAAGTAAAAAAGTACTACAATATAAAAATAAATTTAAAAGCTAAACAAAGACCTTTTAAGTATCAAAAAAGAAGAATTGGCAAAAAAATTTAAAAAATCACCTTAAATATCAAATAACGTTAACAACTTACAGTGTCTTTGTTAGGAGTCATTACAGCGATTTCAATGTTCTGTGCTCCACTTTGTACCACCTGAGACAAAGCTTTCACAACAAGTTTTAATACAGATGCCTCGTCCTTGGTCGTCTCATCGTTATAATGCTCTTCCAAGTATTCCCTGACCGGCTTCTCTCCTCGACCAGTCGAATTGGCAAAGTATTCGTAGTAAGTGCCAGAAGGTTCTGTCTTGAACAATCTTGGAGTACCATCGTAGTCAAAGCCACCAATCAACATCGTAATTCCAAATGGACGTCTTCCTGGACTTTGTGTGAACCTCTAAAATCAAAGGCTATAAAATTGCAACAGTTTTATCGCTGAAAAGTCGAAAAAATATTCTCATTGTCAAAAGAAAAGAAATATAACATTATTATTATTTAAAAATAAAACGCTCTAAAAAATTCTTTACAACTACCTAAAAAACTAACATACCTGTTTCAAGTTAGCAATGTACCGAGCAATCGTTCCTACAGTTACAGGATCTTCCAAAGTCAATTTGTAAGATTGACATTCAATTCTAGCATAATCGACCAAGACACGAGCATCAGCAGTCAAACCAGCAAAGGCCAGCATAACATGCTCATCAATGCTGTGAATCTTTCTGATGGTACGATCATCTTGAAGAGTTGGAATCGACTTCTTCTCCACTCCAATTACCACACAATCTTTACCACGTACTCCTATCTAAAACAACCGCTGTACTTCAACAATTCATCCATTTTTATATTGGATAAGGCTTTAACTTCCAAATTCATTCTTCTAACATATCCGTATCTAAATAAACAATCAAAAACAAAAGTACTTACGGCAGTAGATCCCTTTTTCACAGCTTCTTGAGCATATTCTACCTGGAACAAGTGTCCATCAGGTGAGAAGATAGTGATAGCTCGATCATATCGTTCCATTCTACCGAGTTACCTGTAAATATCCCAAAAACGCGTAAAATATTTTTTCGAAAATATATTTTCCGAAATCATCATAAAACGGAATGCCAAGCGTTCAAATTCGCGCTAAAACCCGTGAATTCTCCGCTCCGTGTTAGCCTTCTCTCTATGTATTTTATTTTACGGTACCGAGAGAAATTCAACATAATATTTTTTATAATTTTCGAAAAATTTAATAAAATCTTGTTTTCTTGATTAAAACCGTTCTTTTTGGTATAATTTTGAGCTCACGTGTTAGATATTAAAATTTAGGTGTCGTGGTCGCGTTTTTATATTTTTTAGGTGTTTTTTTCTGCAGTTTTTACTTTGATTTTTTTCAGCGACCTGGATATAAAACACAGAAAAGCTAACATAAACAGATAGCACCTGAGTTTTACTTCGTTCATACTACAAAGCACTAGAAAAATGGTAAGTATTTGATTATCTTATTGGAAATTTAGTTGTTTTTTCTTATAACTTATTTTTACTTCTTTTATGTTGTTCTTACTTTTTTACAATTGTAAAATTGAACCCCTTATTAGTACAATTGAATAAGAAAATGTAGTGTGTTTTTGTATATTTTATATTTTTTAGGCCGCTGTAGCACAAAAACCCGAAAAGTCGGTGGAGAGCCAAGCCAACCACCGCATCCGCATTACTCTCACTTCCCAAAACGTCAAGGCTTTGGAGAAGGGTAAGTTATAAATTTTGTTTATATATCTTGATTTTTAGTGTGCGAGCAACTGATCTCTCGCGCCAAGAACGAGGATCTCCAGGTTAAGGGTCCAGTTCGTCTCCCAACCAAAGTTCTCCGTATCACCACCAGAAAGACCCCTTGCGGTGAAGGTTCCAAGACTTGGGATCGTTTCCAAGTAAGTTTTTAAATTCTAAAAGCTATATTTTGAAGTTTTTGGTATTTTCTGCTAATTTATATTATTTAAAATTTAGTTTATGCAAGGTAGATACTGAAAAGTTTCTTTTTACATTGCTATTTGACTGTACTGTTTGTAGTTTTATTTTGGGAGATTACTTATTTAGTTTTACCGATTATATTTAGTTTTGTGAAGTTATTGATGTTTTATGTTTAGATGCGTATCCACAAACGCCTTATCAACTTGCTCAGTCCCAGCGAGGTCCTCTCCAAGATTACCTCTATCTCAATCGAGCCTGGAGTAGATGTTGAAGTCACCATCGCCGATAACTAAGGTGTGGGGTGACTGGGACAAGCACCGGCTCTGTGACTTTTGTGTGCTTTGTTGCGGTTAATTGCCAGTAATGGCCCCTTGTTTTTTGTTAACTTGTTTGATAAACTCAAAAAAGTATTTATTTGAATTTCATTTTTAGAAATTGTTTTATTAGATCAACCGAAACATTTTTAGAATTGATTCTCTTCCTCATTAGTTATGGCTTCCGTAAGAGCGACCTGACCTTGTTCCTTCAGTTTCTTGATCTTTTCTTGTTTCCTGAACTTGGCTCTTCTGTTCTGAAACCAAACCTGAACACGAGCTTCTGTCAGATCAATCCTCATAGCAAGGTCTTCTCTTGTATAGATGTCTGGGTAATGGCTCTCAGCAAAAGCTCTTTCAAGTTCTCTTAACTGGCTTGGAGAGAACGTTGTTCGTATTCTTCGCTGTTTTCGTCGTTCGTTCGGGTTGCCTAGAGCTAGTGTGTTTCCACACAATGCCCCAACGAAAGAATGTCCAGGTAGAGATGCCATCAACGACGCCGAGCTGTTCGATGGTAACAGATTGGCTGATGTTGTGTTTGATAAAGTGAAAGGGGTTGACGGTGGATAGAATTTGTATTGTAATCCTAAAACGGCTTACAATAGAGGTTTGAAAAGTAATGTTTAATAATGAAAATCAACATAAGTGGTCTATGAGTACAATAATTCAGAATGAATGTTGTGCAACTTTCATAGCATACCTGTGTTAAGGAACATTTGGATTGAATCAGCGGTAGGTTTATAGTCATTAGCTGTTGGTTGGGTGACTGGTACTGTAGCTGAACTGGAATTGGCCTGTGTGTTTGGTAGATGAATTCTGAAACCAAAGCAAGTGATTATAACAGAACGTCTTCGTTTCTGGCTGTTAATAATAAAGAACATACTGTGAAGTAATCAAAACTTACCTTGAGCCATTAGCAATATGACCGTACGAGTTACTGTAGTTGTTATACAACGCCGAGTTGGCCAACTGCTGGGAGGTGCTGTTGGAGACCTGACTGGACTGGTTCGAGGTAGCGAATGATATAAAAGGATTGGTCAAATCGGATGAGGTCGAAAAGTAATTGCCGTAATCCATGGAATCACAAACTAGATTGTGGCAGAAATCATAAACAAAACGAAGCCCAAACCGAATTGGCACCGGAATTTGGGCCGCCTTAACTCGATGTAAATCCAATTTGGTGGCATTTAACCAAATTGGACAATACAAATATCCCGATTGATGCTCTCAAACTCATTAAACTTAGCCTAATGATATTGCGGTTGGCCTAATAATATTTTACTTGGTCTAATGATATCTTGACATTTCGGTCGGCTATTACTTCGCATAATTAATCCGACAAACTCGATTGCGCTGGAATTACCAGCTAATGAGCCTGTAATGGACGTACAACAATATTGTAGTAGGCGCAGAAATGAAATAGCTTTTGTTTTTAAATTATAATTAATATTATTACCACTACTATTCATAATATTTATTTATACAATATTTTCAAGGAAATAAAACGTCTAAATTTAGCATTACGGTACGCATTGCTTGCTCCAATTGGTCCCGTATGGAAAGTTCGTCTCACCAAAAAGATTTTTGATAATAAATCCGGGAAATGCTTGATATTACGCACTTGGGATTGCATATTCCTGTGCAATATCAAAGTAGACTATTTTGTTGTGTTGTAGTTTTATTATTTTGTCAGTATAATATCTACTTTCTTAATAAAAGGTAATAAAAGTAAGTTTACTCATGTAACTTCCTAAAATTTACATAATTAATATAAAGAAAGGTCCTCATAAACAATATCACTGTGTAAAATGGTCATTCTTGATTGATATACATGTTAAAATTATAATTTTCAAAATAAAAACTTGGCAAACTCTTGGAGAAGATGTTGTTTACATTATTTTAGATTAAATATATTTTCTCAAATTTGCATAAACCCACATCACGATTCCTGGGAACAGCCAATATGGAAATGGAACGTGTTAATTGCATTTCGCAGAGTTCGGGTACGTTGCAAGAAATAATGTTAGGTCATTTTGCTTTAGATGATACTGAATTCCGAAGTTGTTATTCAAGTCCGAAGAATGAGGGCAGTTTGCAGGAGCTGCGCCTTCTTGAAGATAGTGTTATGCAAAATGTTCACAGGTATTTTGCTTTTGTTTTGTAAAGTTTTTTTTGTTTTTTGATGTAGTTGAAGAGTTTGAACTAATAAAAGGAGCCTTTTTGAGGTTTTCTGGAAATCTAGGGAGCAAATTCAATGTAAATATTGTTGAGCAATCTTTGAAAAATTTATTTGATGGAACATTTAAATTTATCATAATTTGATCAACAGGCTCGTAAACAACATATTTTATGCAAATTTGTTACTTTCCGTAAAGTAATATAACTTTTCATCATTGACCCTTCAAATCTTATTACAGACTGAACCTACATGAAGAAGATGCTGATGACGAGCTGGGTCACGACCTGTTCTCCAACTCGACCCAACTCAGCAACTCGGACAGCTACAACTCGGACGAACTGGACCATTTCGAAAACTTCTACTCCAACCCGAAATGGACGGAGAAAATGACGCGACATTACAGACATTCGGTTAGTTTAGCGCACTTGTGACCGGTCGGTTTATTATGCAGTGTTGAGTGTAAGGTTATGTTTCAGCCGAATTCATCGAACGAAAGCGACGGAAAACGAAAAAAACGGAAAAATCAAAAAAATTGTAAGTTTGGGGGTTGGTGGGGCTTCATGGAGCTTCATGTTGAAAGTTTTGGGTTGGTGCGGCTCTATGGAGGTTCATTTTGATAGAGGGCGATTTTGTGGAGGTATAATGAAAAAATGTGGGCAGTTTTGTTGAAAAAGTAACGCAAATTTTTTAAAGTTAAAGCAATAGCAAGGTAAATTTAGGGTTTTTAATGTTAAAGATTATATTTTAGGTACAAAGGTGCATTGTAATGGCTATTATTTGTACAACGATTGAAAAAGGATTAAAATAGTGAAATTTTGGAAAGTTTTGTGAAATTTTAAATTTGGAGCCATCAATTGATAATTTCTTTTTGAAAATATTGTTTTTTTAAAAACATTTTTAAATTCAAAACAACAAAACCAGGAAGTTTCGAAAAATCAATTTCAAACTTCGATCCTGTGGCTTTTCGCCTCAAAAATAATTTGAAATTAAATTTTAATCATCGGCGCGCGTTTCGCGCTTTGAAATGGCTCCTCGAGTTTTGCGGCGACAAAATTAATTTCTCTGATCGGTCAGTGTAATGACGCGCCTGCAATTTGTAGCTGACCGGGTGGGTCCCACGGCTCCGCGTCTCGACAGCAATGGCTACGTGGACGAACATGACTACACGATCGACCAGCCCATCAGTGACCTGGAACAGCCCCACTTCCATACCATGGCTCGGCTGGACCATCTCAGCGCCCAGATCTACGACTTTCATCGACGTCACGAGCAGTCGATGAACTCGCTGAACGAGAAACTCCACCTTCGTGACCTTCTCTACTACGCCATCTCACCGCACTTTACCGGCTGTGGACTATATATTGTGGGATCGACGCTGAACGGGTTTGGGGCCAATTCGTCGGATATGGATCTGTGTTTGATGATCACACCAAGAGATGTGGGTATTTGGATTTTAATTGTTATTTGAATGGGATTTTTGATGATTATTACCTAAACTTATGTTTTTTGTTGGTTGTTTGTGTTTTAGGCTTATATGTTGCGCTGTCTGGCTTAAGTAACATGTTTTATGTTAAAGCTGACTTTTCATTTGCTATAGTGTGCTAAATTAACCATTGCTTTAGTTGAAATTGCTATTTTCTAACTTAATGTTGTTATTAACATCTTTTTTTTTGTGTTTTTTCTTATTGCTTTGCCTGTTTAGCTGGATCAGCGTGTCGATGCCATTTTGGTGTTGACCTCGGTGATGGGACACTTAAAAGACTTGCCGTGGATCAAAGAGATGGACCTGATATTTGCCAAAGTCCCAATTTTGAGGGCCACATTCAATCCTCCGTTCGACAAGATCGTGGTCGATTTGAACGCTAATAACTCGGTCGCCATTCGCAATACTCATCTTTTGTGTTATTACTCGGCTTGTAAGTGTGGTTTGAGGTGAAATTGTGGAGTTTTGTTGTTGTTGATGTTGTTCTTGATGCTTTTTTGTTATGGATTTTTGTGTTTTGGCTATGTTAAGTTATGTTTTGTTGAAATTATTATGACTTTTTGATGATTTTCAGGAAATTATCGGACTTTTTTCTGTTTATACTTGCCCTTTTATATTGGTTTAGGTTTTAAAATCTAAAAAGTGTTTAGTCATCATTACTCTTTTTGTTAACTTATGCTATTTTTAATATGTAGCTTGACATTCCATTTTTAGTTGATTGGAGAGTTCGCCCGCTGGTGTGCGCGGTCAAGGGCTGGGCCAAGAAGCGTGGAATCAACGATGCTAATCAGTCCTCGCTGACCTCATACTCATTGGTCATGATGGTGATCCACTACCTTCAATGTGGTGTCAGTCCAGCTGTGTTGCCATCATTGCAACAGCTGTATCCAGACAGATTTGGGAACAAGATTGACGTCAGATCACTGAATGTCACCGTTCCCTTGGAGCATGTCGACTGGCAACAGGGAAGGAACATGATGTCGCTGGCAGAGTTGTTGATTGGCTTCATGCACTACTACGCTAGGTGTTTCAAGTAAGGATGTAGGGATATGATGGGTTTTTATTGATGTTGTATGGTTGTCAGGAGATACAAATAAAATTTTAGTGCTGCCTTGTCAGTGTTAACCTTGTCATTTTAGTTTTGACACAATGGCTATCAGTGTCCGCCTCGGCCGATCAGTAGACCGAGCATATGTAGCCAAGAATAAGTCCCCCTTCAACACTCTGTCCCAATGGCGTTGCATCTGCATCGAGGAGCCGTTCACCTACTCCAACACTGCACATTCAGTTTTTGATGAGAGGGTCTTTTGTTGTATCAAGGACTCATTCGAAGAAGCTTACAACGCTCTCATCGCCGAACGTGATCTCAATGTACTTATTCATACTGATCCTATCAAACTGGCCGAGTAAGTGGTGATTTATGGGTTTAGTGGGTTTATTGATGTTTTTTATATTGTTTTTGGTTGTTTTTTATTGCTTATGTGACATGGTTTTTTGATTTTTTGTCTTCTTTGATAGTATTTTATATTGTTGTAGGTGTTTATGGAACAATTTGATGTTGTTTTAGCTTGGTTTTTTTATGTTGTTCAACTTGAGTATAATATGTTTTGACTTTATCTTCATGATCATGTAGTATTAATATTACAGTTACAGAGGTGTGCCAGTGGGCTTCCGCCACTTCCGCGTGCCCGTCATCCGCTACGACCGCGACAACCACGAAGCGACTGAAAAGAAGATTGTACAGACGGTGGCGTCGTTTCACATGGAAAAGACCAAATGAAGCCGGCCTCACCACGCTCTCTCCTGCACCCCCGCCCTCAGCCTATCCATATTCATCGAGATCTAAGTCCACAGATACTAACGGATGGAATAAATAGGAAATACTTATCTAATATCTATAGTAAATAGTCAACCTAGTGTAATCAACTGCTCTCACAGCTCCCGTCTTTCGCCTCGTCCTCCTCTCTACTCTTATTTTGCGTAATCTTAATTAATTTATTAATTATATTTGGACTATGTTGTTAAAAATGTAAAAAAAACATGTGAACGCGTGATGTAATGCAGTTTTTTCACTCTCAATAAAAGGTTTTTCCTGCAATCGGATGGTTTTACCCGCTGGCTGTTTAACCGGCTCATTATGGTTACTTATTCCAATGTTTGTTTCAATTATTAGTTTTATATTAAAGTTGTGTAGGGCTATATTAAGGTCCGTGTTACTGCTACATTAAGGTTAATATTCGGATTGTATTAGTGGTATATAGAAGTTGTTTTGAATTATGTTTAAAGGCTTCTTATAGCTATATTAAGGTTGATTTAAGAGTTGTATCGAAAGGGTCATGAGGCTGCTTCTTTTTGATGAAATCTTGGATGTAAATCAAGAAATGATTAATGTTGGCTAAAGTTTCAAAAAAGGGAATGAAAAGACACGATTATGTCCTATTATAAAGTGTAAAATGGCATTTTTTACTCTATTAAACAAGCTTTTGTCGCTTTACATTCGTAGTGCTATTATCGCGGCGATAATGTCTACTACGTAAATTGTTTTTGAGAGGTTAATTTGTTTGGTTTTTGAAAAGTAGCACATCGAATTAGTCCAATAATCAAAATAATGACGGCAAAATTATTGGCTTTGACGCTTAAATACAAGAATATATTGTGCGATTTTCTAAAGGTTTTAGGTAACAATATTGATTCAAACGACATAATAATCAATAACAAACAATGCTAAAACGACTCAGAAAACAATTACCGAAAGATGTCCCTTTAATAATGGGTCAGACGGCCTTTTGACTGAATGCGATTGATATTAATCAACATTCATAACATATTCCACCGAAATGTGCAGAATGGCACGAATGTTGCTTTGAAATTACCATAGAATTTCAAGAAACATTAAGAAACGTAAAGTGAATACTTAAAACGGACAATTGGATTGGAGAACGTCACCTGTATGTAAATTATGCGGGAATGTCGCTCGTTAGGTAAAGTGTTGTTACTCGGTTTGTTTTGGTTGTCGTGACAACCGGCTGTTAACCCAGCCACCACGTATACAAACATACTTAAGAAAAGACGGTAATTGTGATGAGTTCCAGTCTACTAGAGTGGTGCAATTGCTGTTGGCCGAATCGCAAAGAAAAAACCAAAGTAAGTTCGAAAGATTTTCGGCCGTTATTCGGGCAGAATTCAGGAGCCGAGCGCGCTACCGTATACCTCAAGCAGCCGGAAATCGTCGTCACCAACGGCTATCTGAACAGCGAAGCACCAGAAAAGGTGCCGGCTATAATAGTATCTTCACCGAGAAGCAACTACGATCCAGACGAGTTCTACACGGCGCGGACTAGCCGGTCGATCGAGAAAATGAAGTTCAAGAGTATGCCAACGCTGATCGAGGAGATCCGGGTCGAGATTTTACAGGAATTGAAAGAGCTCGAGGAAAAGGAGTCAAGGTGAACGTGTGATGTCGGCTATCCACTAGCTTCTGCCAAAACCAAGTGCTGTACCATACAACCTCAAGATCTTCATTATGTTTGTTATGTTAATAATGCTCGGAGCCAAGGTAGAAATATTATTGTGTCTCCAACCAGTCTATTATTTGTTGAGCCAAATTCATATCAAAGAAAGAACGTGATAATATTAATATTATAGAGTTTATATATCAATAAAAATCAGTACCCAGTAATTGAAATCGAAATATGGTATACGAAAGACTCAAATCAATAGTTTTGTCTTTTAATCAATTTGAAACAGTAACAACGTTAAACTTGACTTATACAATAAAATTAATCAAACTATCGCCCCATTTTCCTTCGTGCTGACAAAATTTTTCGGCCGGCTCCCATGCTGGATGATGAGGCTGGAGCGGCGAATGGATTTGCTGTAGGTCTGAAAACAAATAACATATCATTTACTACTATTCAATTATAATAATAAAACAACCTTAATATAATAACGCTTGTTTGTTTATATATGACAAACTACTTACGCAGCTGAGAACGGATTTGCCGCCGGAGCTGGAGTAGAGAAAAGATTTGTTGGCGGCCTAAAATAATCATTGTGAAATCCAGTTTCTTATACTATAAACGTAAGATTAATAAACTATAAACAACTTACGTTGGAGCAGCAAACAAATTCGCTGTCGTCGAAGCTGGTGCTGCAGCGGAGTTCGATCCAAATTGGAATACTGAAAAGAACTATTAATTCCCATACTTTACACAATTTCTTAGCACCTGGTAATAATATGACACGCAATTCTGTTGGCTCTAAAAAACTAAAATAACATAAAAACAAGTTGATCAACTAAAAAGATTGAAAACTCACGTGATCCGGTACCATTAGAAGAACTAGTAGAAGCTGTTGGTGCTGAACCGAATGCAAACGGTGGTGCGGCCGAAGAAGCGTTTGGCTTTGAAGAGCCATTGAAGTTGAATCCAGTGTTGCTCAACGACGACGACCCAAAATCAAACCCAGAAGTTGATGACTTCGGAGCTGACCCAAACACTGAAGTGGCAACAGCAGTTTTAGCTGGTTCAGTGGTGGTACCCGGCAAGCTGTTGGATGGTTTTGGAACAGAATCAGTAGAAAGTCCCCCAAAGGTAATAGAAGTACTGGTGCCATTTTTGGCGCCAAACACCGGGAAGGCTGGGGTCGTGGTATCTTTAGTTCCATTCAAGCCGAGTGCGGGAGCTGTTGTCGTATCTGTTTGTGATCCGAACAAGGGCGTGGGAGCAGGTGCAGATACAGCTGGCGAGTCCTTTGAAGCCGGGAAACCTAGCGAAATACCAGTTGAGCTTGATCCGTTTTTAGCTCCAAATAAGGGTGCATTTGAATCTTTTGTAATACCAAAGTTCAGCGTTGAGGGCGCAGTTGACGCTACTGAAGCTCCAAACAACGGAGTCGATGAGACAGGTGCAGCAAAAGAGACTAAAGCGGCCGTCGTGGTTGTAGCTGGAGCTGTTGTTGAAGCAGATTCAGCTGGCTTAGCAGCAGGTACTCCAAAAGAGATTCCTGTTGAAGTTGATCCATTTTTAGCACCAAACAAACCTGTAAATATAAATTTAAAAACGGTAATAGAAGAATTATAATTACGTATACTCTAAAAATGTTAAATTCTTACCTCCCAAAGAAGCATTGTCTGCACTGAATGTCATTGGTTTAAAAGCTGGAGCAGCTGGTTTAGGTGGAGCAGCAGTTGATGAAGCCCCACCAGGCTTTGCAGTCTGACAACAAGCACATTCTGATAGATCTGGGCTGTTTCTGATCATGCAGTCAGGGCATTCCCATTGATTACCCAACTTTCCTGCCGTTATTGGAGATAGGCTGACTGGTTGAGGATCCGGTATTTTTGCGACAAGTCCAACAGTCTTTGGTTCTGGTTTCTTGCCATCTTTACCATATTGACATCCCTTGCAAACCTCATCGCCGGCATCGTTTTTGTTCAAACAATTCTTGCAGGACCATTTGTCAACCTTTGGCTCTGATTCGAACACTGAAAGTAATATTTTAAAAATTTGTATCTACATTACTCTCATACTTATTTAAAAACCTTCAAAGTATAAAACTAACCTTTAGGAGCTTTAGAAAGCACTTCGCTTAAAGTAGGAGTGGGCTCTGCCTTCTTGGTTTCCACTATTTCCAAATCTTCGTTCTCAGCAGAAGTAGAGGAGGATTCAGAATCAGAGAGATTCTTCTTTCCATCTGATTTTGAGGATGATTCTGTTGGAGACGGACTTTCAGACTTTTCCCTTCTTGGTTCCCTATCTATCACTGGTTCTTCGAAAGTAAACAAGACATCTTCTTCCTCTTCTAAAATCAAAATAAAATAATTCTTTCAAATTTGTTAATTAAAAAGATCCTAAAATATTCAAAAACAACTTACTTTCTTCATCCAAATCAGTGAATCCAAACTTATTTGTAACAGGTCCATCTAAGACTTTGGTCGCTGGTACTTCTACGGGTTTAGCGGTTTTATTAGGAACCGAAATGTCGCTCTCCTGAGATATGTTGTTAGACTCGCTCGAAGTTGTGTCCTTTTTCCACATTGATGATAGCTTTGACCCGTTAGCACTAGTATCATTGAGTATCGATGCGTTCCACGAACTTCTGTTAGCCTTCAAAGTTCGATGCATACTAGCAGAAATCTGATTTATTCTCGAAGGGGTAAATGTCGACCTTCGTGGAGGCAAGCTTGTTGGATTTCTATCGGCTGAATCCGTCCACTTATTGACTTCGAATAGATGAAGATTGTTTTTTGACGAATTCTGAAATTAACACTCATTTTTTAAAATTGTTAGTTTAGCCAAAACTACTAAAACATGAAAAAATAAACCTTCCATAAAATTTAAAAATAATATGCAAAAAGATTTGAGCTTTTCAAATAATATTTGTTTTTTAAACCCTAAAACAACGACAAAAATAGAGAAAACTTACTGGACTTGAGCTGAATTTAGTGAGTTCAGCTAAAATCGCCTTTGTCCTAGATGGGGCTTTGATCTTATGCCTCAAGTCCAACACCGGTGGTTTTGAAGTGAAAGTGTCATTGAGTGTGGTGCTCAATATAGATTCGTTCAAAGTTGTGTTTTTTGTGGGTAGTCGATAAGTGAAGGAGGATACTGATGCTGGCAACTGAAAACATGAATTATAAATCTATATTTCACAAAAACAATACCTAAATACGGTCACGCTCCAAGCAGGAAATACCTAAAATATCGAAGAAACAAATGTAAAACTACTTACAGACTCATTCAGCTTGGGATCAGCTCTCGCCTTCTTTGAGATAGCTGGTTCAATAACATGCTCCTCTTCATTATCAGGCTGTGCTCGCCGTTTCCGCTAAAATTTATTTATAAATAACAAGAAGTTCACGTAAATTCAAAACAAGAATCCATAGAAAACAACTTACACTGCCAGTCACAAAACTGAACAAATTCGAAGTCCAACTCGAGGACATCTTAAAATTCTTAAATAATCCAGAATAGAAATATCCAAATTCAACTTTAACAAAACGTTATTATAGCTCCAGTAACCTGTTCGTCACCGGCAAAACGAGAAGTAAAAGCGCACTTTTTTCTTTTTTTGTGAAATTTCGAGCTTGCATTGACGAATCAGGGTTTTCGTCGCGGGACTCCGGCATCTACGCGCCGTAAAATTCAAAAGTTGCGAAGTGTCACAATTGACTTTGCCAATTAATTCTGCTTGAATTAATTTACTTTTTTTGCAAAAACTCGCAGTGAAATTAATGAGAAGCAGGTTTATGTTGTTTATGGTTGAGTAATTTGATCGAAGGTTTTAAACACTTTCAATTCGATACCTTCTTCACTGTGCGTCTTGTGGATTGATACCTTCCTTATGCGGATTTTAATGGCTGAAGATCGGGTTACAGACATTCGGAGAGGAATAAGCATACTTCAAGTGTCTCTATTTATGGTCACATTCGAAAGGTTATGCTGAAAAGCAATATCGTTTGAAGACCTTTTGGCCTAAGGGCAAGTAACGTCTTTGTACTCCAAACATTTTATTCGTTTATAAATATTTCTCTGACTTTTGCATGGGTCACTCCGAATGGACCAGCGGAAGAGGGGGAAAGGGGAATCGAAATGAGTGAGTCGGCAGGACCTCGACCAGCTGGGGCAACATTCCCTCCCGATGGCGCCAGTTGTGAAATCTTTTCCGCCGATTTGGCCTCGTAACCGAAGGCAGCGCGCGAGTTTATCTCCCGATTCAATCGCGGCCGTTTTCATTGTTTGTTTGCAGGGTTGACGAGTTGAAAGTGGCAAAAACCGAAATGAATATTCAGAAGTGATTCATACCATGAGACAAATTTTATTTATTGCCATAGTTAGTTGTGTTGGTTGGGGGACACCTGGTAAGTGATACTGATTCTTGTTCTGTTTGTGTTGATAAAGCCATTGTGAAGGTGATAAGGATGTTTTTAAACGAAAAAACATGTTTTTACTTCATTTTGAAAATTAAAAATCAAGATTTAAATATATATACTTTGATGAACAAAATGTAATGTTTCACAATGTAAATTTCCAAATTTCAAAGTAAACTTAAACTAACATAACACGGACATTAATGAAATATTGCAGAACCAATTGTTGAGTTTAAGTTTGAGGAACAGCCATTAGGTCAGGTGATAAACTCGAATCAAAGTTTATCTCTGAAATGTACATATACTGTAAATAGTCCGGTGAAAGCAGTAGTGGAATGGTATAAAGATGGGGTGCTATTATCGAGTGACTTTAAAGAGTAAGTTAAAAAGGCTTAATCAATAAAAAGTTAATCGAACTATGCTTATTTTTAATTAAAAAGGCCAAAAATTGTTTTTATATATTATTCATAGTACTTTCAACTTTTCATTTACTTTGTTACCAAATCATTTAAGGTACAGTAAATTTAATTTATTTGCATACTACAGTAGTCTCGAGTCTATAAATTACTACTTTTCACATTGACTCACGCTAAAACTTTCAGCAACAAGATATTATTCATAGAAAGGCCGAGTCCATCGGACGAGGGTTTCTATCAGTGCCAAGTCAAGTTATATGACAAAGACAAGGTCAAATGGGTATATTTGTCACGCAAAGCCAAGATTCAGTTAAGCAGGATACGACACTTTGTTCACCAACCAAAGAGCCAGAAGGTGTTTCTGAATCAGTCTGTCACTTTCAGATGTGTTGTTGTAAGTTTTTCCCTACTATCTTTGTAGATAGGACAATGTATGTGTTTCTACATGATATATAAGGCATATCATATATGGCATGCTTACTGAAAAGGTATAATTTTTGTCAGAGGTAATGTATTTTTGTTAAGGATGCAACTGGAACTGAAGATCTGTCAGTAGAGTGGCTACACAACAATCATCGTGTTATTTCTGGACACAGTAAGTTTTGTATTCTATTTGTTATATTTTATGTTATTTTTGTAAAATACGATGTAAGGGCTTTTTCAGGTCAATTTTTTTAACTATACATTATACTAAAAACAATGTAATTCTAGGTGGAGTAGTAATCCTACCATCAACAAACACTCTCGAGCTCTCTAATGTAAAGAAGAACTCATCAGGGACATATAAATGCATAGCACGTCTATACGAGCATTCTCTGACGAGTCAGACAGCTATTCTGGATGTTATTGAAGGTATCTCATATACGTTGATAGTCATTTTATATTTTTAGGTATTGTACCACAACAACCAACCTTTTCCCTGAAGCCATCTGACAAAGATGTTTACGTTGGGCAAGAATTCTTGTTAGAATGTATGGCCAATGGCTCTCCGCAACCAAAAATAACATGGTATAGGGGGTCAGAGGAGCTGAAGGTGGATAACAACAGATTACGATTTGTGGGAGCTGACAGATCAAATGTTCTGGTTACCAATGTCAAGCACACAGATGCTGGAAACTATTTGTGTGTCGTCGAAAATGGCAATGGCAAAATTGAAAATGCAGCAACTATTCAAGTGATAGCGGCTCCGAAGATCGTCAAGAGGCCTAAAAGTGGGACAAAAACTGAGACTGAAGACATTGATGTAGGTTTTTAGACCTTAATTGGGGTTTCGAAGATTTTGACTGTACTTTTATGATGCTAAGCGTACTGTTAAAGGATGCTATGGCACTTAAACTTTATTTTTTATAAAACATTTAATTTTTACTATTATGTAAAATGTTATCTTCAGTTCGAATGCACAGCCACAGGAGTTCCTCCACCAAGGATAACATGGTTTAAAGGAGGTGAGATTATCGTACCTTCAGAATACTTTATAATTGAACCTGGTCGATTGAGAATCTCAGGGTTGATAAGAGCTGACGAAAGTGTATATCAGTGTTTCGCTGAAAACGAGTATGGAAGCGACCAGTCTGCTGCCAAACTTGTTGTTACTAAAGCTGGTAAGTGACATTGTTATAGCATTATCACTTTTTTAGAGTTTCTGTCGCAATTAATCGATCAAAGAGTAAATTATACCGAAAAGGAGAACTGTAAGATCGTGTGATTAGAGTGACTTTAACACTTTTGCGGTTGAAATAATTTTTGTAATTTGAAACTAGTACATGTTGTTTGAAAGTAAGATTGAGTACATTTTTGAGACATTCTGTAATATTTGTTACTTAAAAGGCTTTTTCTCGATCTTTAATGTTTGATAGACGTTATTTGTTACCTAAAATTTACTTTTTTGATGAATAAGTTTGTCTAAGACTAATAGAATGATGTTATTGAACGCAGAAGTGTCAGTTAAAAGTCACAGGATGCTGTTTTTATGAAGTTTACCCACAGTTTTAACATAATTTACCTAATATAATCTCTTCATTGATATCTATGTTGTTCTAGCCCTAACTCAAGCTTTAATATCTGGAGAAGATGCTCGGCCTTTGTCGCCAACTAATATTCAAGTACAAGGTGTTGGTGGAAGGTCAGTTAGGTTAAGATGGTCTTCGCCGATTGGTATTTCATTGCCAGATGAAGTTGAATATGTGGTTTATTACAGAAAAGACACTGACGTTAAGTAAGTTTTTTGGGTAACAAAAAAGGATGACACTATACTTTATATGTAAAACAAAAAATACTTTTTTTAAAGTTTTTCATACGGAAAGTTATACATTGTACTTTAACTTTAAGGTTTTATATTTAACTCATATTTTTAGTGACCAAACCTACAACACAACGACGTCATCAGCGACATTGTTGTCGTTGGAGCCTGATACCGAGTACAAGATTGCTGTATCAGCTGTTGAGAATCACGTTTTGGGCAAAAAGTCAGAGGAAGTTACAGTAAGGACAAAGAAAGAACGTAAGTTATCATGTCTGACATACTGATAAAGTTATCATTCTGATTTTCGATTTGAGAGGTTACTTTTTACAACTTTTAAAAACTTAATTGAATTCAAAAAGCTAATTAATAAAGCTTTGATAGAGTTAGTTATTGATAACAGTTTTGAAAAACATTTTTGATCATTTTTAAAATTAAAGCACTAAATTATCAAAATTTAAAGGAAAAAATGAAATTTGCATAAAAGTTATTTCAGAAATTGTGGTTGGAAGTGCGAGAAACTTGAAAGCTAAAGTGTTGAGCTCAGACTCAGCTCAAATAACGTGGGATTCCCCAACAGACGCTCCTCTTAACATCAAGTACAAGTTATTCTACAAGAGAGCTGATTCTAATGGAGAATTGGAAACTCAAACTGTCGTCGTAAAACCAACTTACACTCTTCACGGCCTCGACAAGAACTCCGAATACGTAGTCAGAGTAGCGAGTGTAGGCCCTGACGATCAAGGAAAGACTTCTGATTCCCTCAAGTTCAAGACCTACTCTGATATCCCAGATGCACCACCATTGAATGTGAAGGCTGAAGCTTACTCTCCTAATGCCATTATATTGAGGTGGAGTCCGCCGGTTGAAAATAAAAGGAATGGCGACATTACTGGCTACAAGATACGATACAAGATGAAAGGATCGAAGGCGGTCAATGTGAATGTAAATGGCAATATCAATGAGTTCAAAATTGAGGGATTAGAGCCGGGAAACAGCTATCAGATCCGAGTGGCCGCTCAGACTTTGGTAAGCTTTATATTTTTTGAAGTTAAAATTTTTTGAAATTGTAATATATTAGGTTTAAAAACGTCAAGTATATCATGTTTTAGAAAAATGTAATTAATGTTAATTATTTTTTAATTTTCGACTTAAATTAATTACGGTATGTTACAGAATGGCACAGGCGTATATTCTGATTGGGTATCGGCAGTCACGCTAGAAGACGATGAAATCGAGACGATTCCAGGAGGACCAGCTGAGCTTATGTGTTATGCCACTTCGAATTCAATTCATCTCACTTGGAGTCCACCTCAAGGCAGTGGTGTTGTTGTTAAAGGATATGTTGTAAGTTATTTAACGTTATTTATTTTAAAATATTTTTAGATATTGTTTTTTGGTTAGAAAATAGTAAAATTTGGATAATATGGTTAATTTCTTAAGAAAATATTTTGTTTTTAGTTGATATATGACATTTGAGTTTGTTAAATTTGAATAATTTAGATTGGTTGGGGTCTTTACATACCAGATGTTGAGAAAATAACAGTCGATGGATCAGTTCATCAATATACGATCAACAACTTGACAGCCGGCAGAGATTATGTGATATCAGTACGAGCGACGAACAATGCTGGTACTGGATTTCCGATCTACGAAACTGCAAGGTAATTACTGCTGTTTAGTTCTTAGTAAACAGTTTCTAAGTTCTTATCTAAAAATTTGAATATTTAAAATTTAATAAAAGCTTGATAATCTTTTTGGAAAAAACTTTTGTTGCAGTACTCTCGAAAGATCAGCTTCTCCGCCACGAGACCCAGGAGAACGTCAGAAGTCGGCCATCGAACTAGCAACCCCAGTAGGTGTCCAGGCCGAAGCAGTATCGGATGGTACTATCAGAGTATCATGGACAGACACTACAAATGCGTTCAATCAAGTCTACGTGGTCAGATACTCGAGTAACGAAGATCCTACCCAATTCTACTACAAAAACTCATCTGATACTGAGACTTTGGTCGATAATCTACAGCCAAATACTCAGTACGAGTTTGCAGTAAGTAGGAAGGGGGCTTCTCAATGGAGTATGAGTACGCTGTGCAAGACAGGATCTTCTGCTCCATCGTCGGCACCAAGGGATCTTACTGTAGTACCGAATTCACCTACAGCCAGACATGACCCGAATACTGTAACTTTGAATTGGCAGCCGCCAAAGTATGCTAATGGTGAAATTGAAGGTAAGTTTTTTGAGAATATTTTCAAATTTTCTATGGTACGAGCTATTTCTGGTAAATGTAGCCTTACAATAAGGAATGTCTATGACATGGCAATATCACTTTCTAGAGTACATTGTTTTGTATTCTGACCGTCTGGACGTTCCTGACCGTGAATGGATTGTCGATACGGTGAAAGGAGAAAGATTGTCGATGAAGGTTGTTGGTCTAACTCCGAATTCAGTCTACTATTTTAAAATTCAAGCCAGGAATGTAAAAGGTTATGGTCCTTTATCTCCGGTAGTTACATACACTCCAGGACGAGTAGGTTACAACACGCCATTGGGCAACAACAATGTTGTACGTGGTGGAAGTGGTCTGGGAAGTGTTTTTGGCGACTTTGAGTAAGATTTTTATCAATTTTTTTTTATTTCAATTTGTGTTATGGTCGTATCGTGATGTATATTTTGTTGTTTTTTGAGTAATTCGTACTTTAAAAGTATTAAAGTAAAAAAAGCGATATTTTACAGATCTTAAAACAGTAAAAAAGTATAGTATATTACTTAAATTACAATAAAATTTGCTTTTTAGAAAGTACATGCCATATATTATCCTCGCCAGTGTGTGTGTTCTCTTCACGATCATGCTTATCTTGTGTATCTTTTTCTGTGCCTCGAAATGCAAAGGAGAGAAGAAGGACGAGGGTCGTGTTGGCTACGTCATGAACTCAAAAACTCCAACTCACAGGAAGTCATCAAGAGGAACACCGCAGAAGGATTGCTGGATAACACATCCATCTAATAGGGTAGAACTGTTCGAGGTACCGAATGCTTCAGTAAATGAGTTGAAGAGACTGACTAACCATTCAGAGTCACCAATCCCACATTATCAGCATCTACAAGGTTGGTTTAGCTTTAGATTGGTGGGAGTTCAGGGGTATTTGAGTAGAATACGGAACGGTTGTTGATATTTTGAATCATTTTTAATGAAAAGTGTAGTAATAGTTATTTGTTTTCAAACAACGTGCAATACTATAAAGTAAAAAGGTAACGTAAGCTTAAAAATAGTAAAAAACATGTTAGAACTGAAAATACAAAATTTGGTTTTATATCTATTTTATTGTCTTTTTCCCCTGTCCACCCCTAATTTCTTACCCTAGCGCGCTCTCGTGAGGGCTCTAATTGTTCCTTTGTTCCTCGACCAACTGATCGTGTACCCACAGTGTCTTTTGCACTGGATTCGCGACAGAATTATCGCAAATCCCTGCCTCCAACCTTGAACGTGAACTCGCGAGCATCAGCTCAATCTCAACGAGGTATTCTTCGAAATACGACTATAACTCCCGAAAACATACGATCCAAGTCGTCGTTGAGTAACGACTCGGCCATCATGACTCAGTCGTCTCATGAAGCGTCATCGGCTTGTAGCTGGGACATCAACACCTGTAACTACGTAAAGGATGCTGCGTATGTTAAGGATGCGCGACGAGTATCGGCACAGTACGCGGTGCTGAAGAACACCGACCGAATCATATCGACAAGAAACACGCCGACAGAATCTCAAGGCGATGGGGATAGTAAGTGGGAAGAGTGACCTTCTGTTCTACTGTGTTCAACGTCAAAATGAGTGAAGAAAATAGTGTCATCGTTACGTTAATAGTTGTCTATATTTCTTACTGTGGATACTGTAACTTTTATATACGTTGAACGTCTAATTGAAGCTTAGATTGGCCAATGTTAACAAATACTAATCAAAGTAATAAGTTTGGGTGGACTGAAGACTTATCAAATGTACTTAACATAACATGAGATAATACCTAAAAAAGTTTGATTTGTTAAGTAGCGCTAATTTCTTGACGTATTTTACAAAATAATTACGTTTTAGGTAATGGCACGGTACCAAGAAATTATCACCAGTCGTCTGTCAGTTTGGAAAGTCGACAAAGAACACCTCAGATATTGTACACGGGCTCTAATCGACAGGTAAATTAAGGTTTTTTAATTGGAATTGATGATGTGATATATTACATACATCAACATATGCCTTACTTCATATTATTTATACTTTACTGTATTATTAAGTGCCGACATAAAGAACCCGCCATACTTTGTAATTCTTATAAAAAATGGCGGGTTCTTTATGTCTGCACCTAATATTACCCTTGCTAGGCTGATATATTATAATTATTTTTGTTTGAATAACTTTATTTTATTAGTATCTATACGACCATTTTTAGCAAATAACTCGTATCGAGTTGGGATCAGACAAAGGATCATCATTTGGAGGTTCAAACACCGGCCTTCAAGGCGGAGAAACCCCTCCGACCGCTTCGGATGGCATGTACCAAACCGTACGGTCGAATCCTCTCCGTTCCTTCGTTAACAGTGCCAATCCGCCCCCGCCGGCTTTAAATTTGTACAGTTCCACTCCACCGGAGCCTCGAATGGCCAGTGTTCGACCGGTCGTAGTGGCTTCTTCGACCAGCATCAACCGGCCGAGTAAGTGGATTGGTTATATAATGTTGTAATATTAGGTTGTTCGAATAATTCTGTTTCTCAACTCTAAAAATTTTCTTTGAGCACAGAATTATTTGAAAAACCTAATAGATTACAATAATGTTGTGGTAGAGTTTTGTAAATTTTGTATTATAGTAGGTTCTAAAGATCTTATAGTAGATTCAAAAACATGTTATCGTAGCTTCTGACGATTTTATAGTAGCTTCTAAAAACAGCGCAGTAGCCTCTAACGATGTTATAGTAGAGTTCCACTTTCTTTGCAAAGTTTTGCTCTCTAAACTTTATTTTGTTTACATTTTTCGTGGGAACGCTGACGATGTTTGAGCTCCGAACTACTGTGTTTTTGTAAAAGATTATCGTTTCAGCAGTTTTTCATAATTATATTGATGACGTGGGACTTTACTTTGAAAGGATAATCATCTAAATCAACATGTTTTCATAAATTAATTAATGGGTTGTTGTAAATGGCACAATTTCGGTGTAATTACAATGTTAATATGAGCAGATTTTTACTGAAATAGAAAAAATAAAAAATTTTTAAAAGTTGTGATTTACATTGTTTTTGAGCTTATATTAGATAGTTCAAATAATTCTGTGCTCTTTTTTAAAGAAAATTATTGGGAATAGGGGCACAGAATTATCTGAACAACCTAATAATTCTTCAATTTGAAATATTAATTCACTTTTATTAATGACAAAAAGACTATTTTCATATTGTTTTAGTGTCCAAGTTCAGCAATTCGGTTCTACCAGTCGGACGAGCCCAAGCTCAGCCACGGGTCAACCTCTCCAATTACTCGCCAAACTACTCGCTTCACGGGTCTCGAGAAGATTGTACTAGTGCTCAAGATGAGGACCTGGTCCAGGTCAAGGCTCGCAGTAATCAGGTCTCGCCGGTAAGTTGTTTTTTATTTATGTGATGTTATCATTGATAACAAAGGGTAATATAAAAACATCAATTGAAGACGTGGATCAATCGTTCGGTCTTTGGGGTCGTGTCGATACTGGGTTTGCATAAACATAAATAGGTCTTTTGACATTTAGAGCCGAGTCGAATCTTGGAATTGAATGCCAATGTTATTTATTATTACCTAAAACATTGATGTAGGTAAAGATAAAACTGTTAAGAGTATATCATTATACATTTCAAAGAACTATTGTATACTATACTTGTTTGGGCCTAAAAGTACGATAAGAAAAGGTTATGTTGAAATTGATAGATAACAGATATGAACATAGCAAGAGAGATCATGTATAATATAGAGAGACAGTTGTAGTAATAAACATAATGCAGGAGGAAGAGAAAAGACATTTGTTGCCACAGAGAGAGAGGAAGCATACGTTAATATAAAGAAAGGCAGAAAGTCTGTTATAGACAGAAACAGACCTTATCACAGAGAGAACCCTCTAGAACAAGATAAAAATTCTATTTTTAGCCGCAATCAGTGATCCACGAAGACGTGAACGCATCTCAAATCGAAAACATCATAACGCAATTACAAAGTATGCAACACGACTTTGACAACTAAACAGCTTTTACCATCTTCTCAAGTTATACTGTAAATAGTACGATCTCAAGTCACTTGCCGTTTAAGTATTAATAAATATTATATGTTTTACTATGTTCATATTGTTTTAAAATTCTTTGAATATTGTTTACTTTTTGGGTTTTATGAGTTACTGTAAAACTTTGGTAGTAACATTACTAGTAAGGATCTACTAGTAAGAATTAATATTTAATAAAATAAACATTTTTTTTGAACTCAGAATGAGAAAAAACATAAAAATTTATGGTTTTCGTATTTTAAAACATCCAAAATTTTAAATAGTAACATAACTAGTAAGAAATTTTAAATTGTAAAATCAAAATTATAGTAATATTGCTTTTGTGTGACCTATTCTACTGGGGGGCCTATTCGTCAGGGAACCTATTCGCAAGGGGACCTATTCTCCAGGGGACCTATTCGCCCGCAACGACCTTGTCGACCCTGAGGATTTCTCCCCTCGACTATCGCGGCACATTTGATAAAAAAGAAAAGTCCCCTTTTCGGATAAAAGATAAAAAAACCTGAGAAAAATAGGAGTGTATTCAGAGATCGCGCAAAAGTTAGAGGAAAAAGGAAAGAATAAAAGGGAATCGAAATGAAGGGAGAGCGGCAGAGACGCAAAAAGTCAGAGAAAAAACGAAGAAGTAAAAGCGCTCGAAAAACAAGAGGAGTTGCCCCGCGCGAGTAGCGCAGTGGCAGATAACTGGCGTCGCTATGATATTATATGAAATTTCGAATCCGGAGAGTCGGGCTAAGTTTTTTTGCAATTTTTAATTTAATGTTGTAAGGATTTGATAATAAAGTATTTTGGAATAAATAGGATTTATTAGTATTCATGATTTAAAAACAATATTTTTAAAAGAACTCTTGGAATAAGCTGATACCATTTCCATTTTTTGTGAACTGGCCAGTTTTATCAACAAATTTACTTTGCCTTTCACCTACATTCCTCACTTGAGCCGTTTTCAATATGTGTTTAAGCCTTAACGAAATTTTTTGTTTTATAATTTGATTTGAAAGCTGGTATGTTGTTCAAAAAGTAATTAGCCACGAAAATTCATATAAAAATTTTTTTTTTGCTAGACTTGCTGACCGTGCTTAAACTGTTTTAAGTTTTAATGCTTTCTTTTACACAATTGTGCACAAGGAGTTTAAAATTTTTATTGTTTTGATTTTAAAATGGGCGTTATTTTGAAATTTTGCAAGCTTGGTAGATTTATCAGACTATGAATAACAACACATTATTCAGCTTCATATACATATTTGAATTCGTATTTCTACAACGCCTTGTGAAAGGACAAAAACTATCTTTTAGACTGTCAATGTTACCTAGCTTTAGCTGTTACTAAATTATCAATGTTGATCATCTTATTAATATTTTACGCTTTGCTTGGATCAAACATTACTTTAAATGGCAAATTAGGCTATTCTAGGCCATCTCACTACAAATATAACCTAATGAATGCCATATCTATGAAATTGACATAGATACTTAATGTTTACACTAACGATGACATATTCAGTAGTACAGATGTCATAGGAGGATGTTTTCGAACGCTTTCGTCACAACAAACTTGTACACAACTATAATACTATATTTAGAGCACCAGTCGCTTTCACAATCCCATTCTTGTTGTTTGGCCGTTCGTCCGTGGCCCCTTGTGCTTTGCTTGGGGAGGGGAGAGTGCGTCCTTCCCGCCCGCCTCGTGTCATGCCCCCAATCTGTGTGGAGGGGCGGTGGCGAAGTTTCTGTCGATATCTCACCCCTTGGCCTAAACGTCGCCCATTGTTCCGTGGTATAATCGTGTATATCTTTGGTAGTTTTATGGCTTGTACTTGTACATATGATTAATACCTTTTATGGTAACAGATGTTACTAAGAATACAGTTATATAGTAGCTTGTTATACATTTTGTGAATAATATTCTATCTTTTGACTCCATTTGCCTTTCGAAATCAGTAGATATCGCTTTTTATGACAACCTCAATGTTAGCCTCACCCACTGCAGTAAGGCTATTGTCCTCTTGAACAAGATCCCATTCAAGAGGTCAAATATTATGCTAATGGCCTACCACAATATGTCAGACATGTCCCGTGCATATTATACAAAGCCCTTTCGAAAACATTATTTTGGTGGTTTCGGAACGATTATCAGTTATTTCTTATCAGCCCCGACCCTTAACTGCCATTTTCAATTAGAATTCCCATTTTGGGGATCTTGTGATCGCTTCGAAAAGTTTTGTTTTAAAGTCCAAATCATGATTTTGGTCTTCAGTTTCGTGTTTTGGTGTTATTTTAGCGTCAATTTAGCTTCGAAAACAAGGTTGTGATAATATCGAATTGATTGGAGATGTTTAAATTCTGTATTGAATCAGTTTTTTTGAATTTTATACCTAAAGTTTTAATTTTCTCATTGAAAATCATTTTTTAGGTCTAGCTTTTCACAGATTAACCGTTTTTATTACCCAATCCATTAGAAATTCTCTTATTTTTAGAAGAAAAATGAAGATTTGGGTAATATAAACAAGTTTGAGCAATAAAAACGGATCAATTCGTTGAATTAATACCTAAATTAACATCCCAATTTACTAAAATATATTTGAAATTATTTTGAATACCTAAATATCAATAAAAACGTTAATTCCAATCCTAAGAATTATTGTTTTTGCCGCTAAAGCAAGACCTTTCTGTTTCTGCGCGTTTTTTTATCCGAACAGCAGTTTTGTTGAAAAATATTATTTTTACACACGCGATATTACACTAGCTTCCTACTCCTCTACACTTGATTTCTATTTCGAGAAACGCGGTTAAAAACATTGTTTTATGTACCTTCTTCACCATGTTATAATATTACTCTAGCGACATTATTAATTTTGTGCATTTCAGTTCAAAACTCGTCCTATCGATTACCAAAGTTTGGTCCATTGCACTGGGGGAATAGGTGCGTATGGACATTTCATCTGAACAGCCCCAACAAGTACTGTCACAATTCCGTCAGAAGACTCTTCTGAAGGCTCAATAACCCAGTTGGTGAGTTTTCTCGCTTGAATTTGTGTTATTTGTGAAGTATAGGGAATTCCGGATGTTGTAGTAGGTATTCGGAGGTTCGAAGCTTTGAATGATTGTATTGGATATTATAAGGTGCTAAGTAGCATCAAAAGTTAGTAAAGGGTCTTGTAGGGAAATGTTGAGTTATTTAAGGGCTTTATATTGTTCTTAGGAGTGAAGGCGTTTAAAGGTAACAATCACATTGGTGCTTTTTAAGTTCATGACGATGTAGACTGCATATACTGTAAGATATGACGTGATCATTGAAAAGAGGGTTCTTTTGGTCATACACAAGGTCATTATTAACAGCTCTGAAAAGGTAAACATTGAGGTTGGAGTTTGTTCCGAGTTGAGCTTTTTTGTTACCTAAAATTGTATAAACAGAGGAATTCTAAAGTAATATCAATTTGTTGGATTTCCAAACAATGTAATATATAGATTGACTCTGTATTTGTTCTAAGGACCTAATGGTACAGTAGGTATGAAAGTTTTGTTTCTGTTTATGTAAAACAAGAAGGAGATCTTACACTGTTTTTATAATTAAAAAGTACTCTTATACTTTTCGCAAGAATAGGTATAGTTATGATTTGTGTATTGTGGCCATTAACCTGTTCCCAAAGCAGTTGTGAAATAAGTGGCTTCAGATTAAGCTCTTGCTCTTTAGAGACACTACTAATGGTGGTTTACGTGTTATATACGTTTATGTGTAATAGTTAAAGAGCGAGGATTTGTTCGATGTTGTAATAGGTTAGAGGCTGTTTTGGCTTGAGGAATTGATTAGAATGGACTTTAGAAGCAGGTATAGGGAAGGACATATTGTTTTTAAGCCTAAAATACATCCTTATCAATACTTATTCGCCATGTTTTTCAGCTCCTTGCACTCCTTGTAACTGTCGTGGAGTCAGTTCCAAGGTCGCGCAGCCCGCAGGTCAATCTCGACAAGAACGCCGAACCACCTTGGGACCCGGATCCAAAAGTTGGTTGGCTGACTTGCTGAACTTTACCTGAATCGTCTCACAGCTCTCAAAATTACCGCCTATCTCTCACCCAAATCGCCCGTTCCCGCGCCTTTGACCACCGGCTTCACCGTCAGCTCGCTTCAGAAGCCTTGTGAGTGGGGCACTCAGTGCCGTTTGGGCACTTTCATCTGTCGCCTGGGAAGGCCTCCTTAACGGGTCAACTTGTTCGGTGAGTTTTTTATTATATTGTAGTTGTTTTTGCATACTTCAATGAATTTTTAATTTTTCTTTACATTTTAAAGTTATGGTTTTTACTGTAGTAATGACCTTTTTGGACAAATTACAGTAATATAAAAGGTTATTGTGGCTTACTTTTGGACTGACATGTAATCTACCTTCATACCTAACTTAATATCAACCCTTTTCAGTCATGCCTGTAGTACGAAACGCCAAAACCTTTGGCCAAACATCGGTGGAGCTGGCCCAGGAAGTGGCCCAGCTGAAGAACACCCAAGGCTCCACCGACGCCTTCTTCGTGGCCGACGTCGCGTTGGTGGACGAGTTGATGAACCGATGGATGGAGGTGTTGCCTCGCGTCCGTCCCTTCTACTCGGTCCAATGCAACGCCGACCAGGTCATGTTGGCGGCGCTGGCCCGCTATCCCACCATCGGATTCCATTGTACTACACGCGAGAACACGACCGAAGTCATGGCCGTCACCGAGAACCGCGACCGCATCTTCTACTCCAACCCCTGTTGGACGCGCGGCTCGCTGCGACACGCCGCTGACAGCGAACTCAACTTTCTCGGCTTCGACAGCGCCAGAGACTTGCGTCGGATCTACGAGCAAGCCCCACAGGCCAAGTAAGTTTTGACATATTGTTGTAGATGGCTTTTAAGATAGATTAGGTTTTTTACTATAGATTATATAAATATAACTTTAGTATTTAGTTAAAAATAGAGAGCTGTTTTCTAAAACTATCGATTTCAGCCTGCTACTGAACATCTGCGTAGCGCCGAACGAAGAAGATCTCTCCAGCACTTTTGGCTGCTGCCTCGAGGAATCTCCCGAACTTCTTCAAACCGCCTTCGACCTTGGCCTCAACGTAATCGGCATCGGCTTCACGATTGGCAACGGCAAGACCTCGCCCCGCATGTTTGATTCCTCCATCGAGATCGCCTCTCAACTCTTTGACATTGGCGAGAAGATTGGTCACGATATGAGGATTCTGAACGTTGGAGGAGGCTTCGAATCCGCTTCATGCCACTTCGAAGCCGTCGCCAACTACATCAACAACGCCCTGGTCGAGCACTTTTCCCACCGACTGAACCTGGAGGTCATGGCGACTCCAGGTCGCTTCTTCGCGGCCTCGGTCTTCTCCTTGGTGACCAACATCACCGAACGAGATGAAGTCGACGCCAGCGACATCACCAACGACGACTTCGACGCCGGCAACAAGGCCTTCGTCTACCGCACCAACGAAGGCTACTACGGTCCCTTCGGATGTATCAACCGCAACTCCACCCCGGAATGTCATCCATTGTTCGAGACTCTGGATAAGGACATGTACTGCACCTCGGTTATGGGACCTACCACCGACGAGTTCGATCGTATCATGCCTACCTGTCAACTGAGACAGCTGGCCATCGGCGATTGGCTTCTCTGGTCTAATATGGGTGCCTACAGCCTTGGAAACAACGCATCGCTGGATTCGGAATTGTGCGAACAACTCCCCATTTACTATGTTAAGGACAAGACCTATTGGTATGTTTTGATTGATATTTAAAAGATATTTCGTTACGTTTGAAGAATTTAGCAGCTTAGACTAAAAATTAGTTTAAAAAACGTTTCTTCAGGCTTAGTAATTTGAAAAAGTCTTCACTTTAGGTATCAATTTGTAATCGTTTTTAATCATTATCTTATTTTAGGTACGACAACGACTCCGGCATCGACAACTCGGCCGGCAACTCGGCCGGCAACTCGGACAACGAATCTGTCATCAGCGACGACGACGGCGAGGACCTCTCCGAGCGCGTCTGGTCCTCCTGGATGGCGGATTTCGTCGCGGGCCGTGAACGGGCCTCCAACTCATTCTAATCACAACATAACCAAGCTCTGTCTCTCTATGTGCGTATCAGTCTTTCCACGACACTAAACGCTCCGTTCTTTTCTCCAATTCCAATTTCATTATCGACGATGATATTGTAGTAACTCCAAGTATAGATAAACATAACCAATAAAGTTATTTATGCAAATGTCGGCTTCTGTTGATCTAAGTTTTTTGACTTTTCAGGGAAGCTACGCTTGCAACTTTAAAAATGTAGGTTCATTTAAAGGTATTCTACTAGTATATCAAAGAAAAATTCCTAAAAGTCAAAAAATGGCAAAGTTACAAGTTTGAAACACAATGCCAAATAGGCGGGAAATTCAAAACTCAAATTTTTAATCTTATTTTTCTTCGAGATTTCATGGAAAGCGCGATTTAAAGTTTGCTGAAGGTGTTATATTTACATGATCTGTCTATATAAAGTTTGAAGTCAATCAGAATGAGGCAGTTCGGGTACTTTCCTTGTTGGAATTGCCCGTTTGTTCCTCATGTCTCATTTTCTCTATTTCCGCAAAAAAAACTTGGGGTGAAGGAGCAAAAGCGGTCGGGAAAGAAGAGACAGGCTCTGCGTGGGTAGCGCAGTGGTAGATAACTGGCTCGCTGTTGTATTAAATGAGGTTTCGAATCCGGACACTCGGACTAAGTTTTTTTTGCATTTTTTAAATTAATGTTGTAAGGATTTGATAATAAAATCGTTTGGGATATGTTGGGATATGACTTATTTGACCGAGTCTAGTTACTATTCTATTTTGAAATGTCCTTAAATTTTAAAACTTAAAAAAAATAAAAAAAATATTTGAAACTTTCGTTTTTATAACTGCCGTGTCGCCACGAACAGATCTATCGCTTCAAATCATTTAAAATTTAAATCTTCACTCTCTATAAGAAACATTGAAATTTTATTTTACATTTTGATCTTTAAAACAAGTTTCGCTCAAGAATCAGAGGGAGGGGGGTGTTCAAAAATTTCAAACTATTTGAAAAACTTTCATTTTCTGTCCAGAGGTAATATTTGGGCATAGTAATGCAGAAATGGCAATAATTAAAGAAAGTAAAAAGTTTTAACGTGAAAATTTGGGTTACGATAGGCTTACGGTAAGATTTAGGTTTTTCTTGTAACTCTTGTACTAAATGTCAGAGTGGAATGTGGCTTTTTTAAATTGTTTGCCACTATAAAGCATTCATTTTATCTGTTGACAGTTTTTATTATGATGCCCGGAAGGCATCGACAAAAAATTAAAATTTGCGAAAAAAACCATTAAAAATTAAAAATTTTTCAAAAAAACTACATGTGAAAAGTTTTGACGACAGATAATAAAAACACAAGCTATTACGGTTCTAATGATACCAATGTTAGGTCATCCCAGTGGGGCTTGCGGTATGTACGAATTTTCAAAGTTTGACACTCTACTAAACGTTTCGTTCTTTTCTTCGATTCCGAGTTCATTGTCGACGATGATGTTGTAGTAACTCCGAGTGTATTTATGATTTTGACATGCTTAATGTCAATAATTAAAAAAAAACGAATTTATCGATTAGATTATGTTGTGGTAATAGTTAAAACAAGTACTCTATAATTATATGACTTTAAAACAAAGTTAAGCCTAAAAAATAGCTGTGCCAAACCTTTCAATACAAACCCTATTTATAACCGGACATCCGCCAAGTGTTAGGTTATGTGATAAGCGGCTTCGAATTTCAATTCCGTGAAGAAATGTCACAAGTTCAAACCACAAATTGTTTTCGGCCCTTCTCTATTGATAAAAAGGTGAAGATAACGTCAAACTTATTAGCTAAAAGACCTCAAATTGTTACCTAAAAATGTCAAGCTTTATATCACGTCTAGTCAAACATTGGCTTTAGCCAAATATTTCCGAAGTACAGGGTGTCCCAAGAGATTTGCAGGATTTTAAAAATTTATAATTCATCTTTGAGTGATGGCTTAAATACCAAACTTGGTACGGTGGAAGTATGGCCAATGTTAGTTTCTTAGTTTTTGGCTGTTTTGTGGTTGGAAATGCATTTTTGAGATGAAAATTTATGTTCTCCGCAAGTCGGCGGACGCTTTCAATCATCGGCGGAGGCCATAACTCGTTTCAAACTTTATGGATAAACTTGAAATCAAAACCTATCTTTCTAAAATTTCATGCGTTATCTTCCGATGTATATATTCCATTAAAATAAAGTTTTTATTTAAGAAATTTAAGTTACTTATTTCACCTTTTTTAGTATTATATTGTAAAAACCACTCAAAACATAAACTGCAACTGAAAAATTCCGCGAATTTTTATTGTAATAATTATCTTTGTAAAATATGTATAAACAAAAAATTAACTTTTTATGATGCTAATATAATAAATTAACCTTTTAAGTTTCTGTTTTTGCCTTAACATTTCAACACAATTTATACATCGGAGGATAGCGCATAAAATTTTAGAAAGATCGGTTTTGGTTTCAAGTTTATCCATAAAGTTTGAAACGAGTTATGGCCTCCGCCGTTGATTTAAAGCGTCCGCCGACTCTCCGCCATTGCGGAGAACATAAATTTTCATCTCAAAAATGCATTTCCAACCACAAAACAGCCAAAAACTTCAGAAATTTTTAATGAAAAGTGATTTTCAACTGAAAATATCTGTATTTCGGGGTAAAGATGGGTTTTTTCAAAAATTCATAACGACCTTCATATGCACTCTAAAATCCCAAAATTCTTCACAAAAAATATACATTGGCCATACTTCCATCGTACCAAGTTTGGTATTTCAGCCATCACTCAAAGATGAATTACAAATTTTTAAAATCCTGCAAATTTCTTGGGACACCCTGTACAAGAAAAACAATAAAATTTGCGACGAAATGTCAAGAATTCGGGCCATTTCTCCAACGGAATGTCACTTTTGGCCGCTTTAATGGGTTTGTTTTGAAATTGTTTTTGCGACATAAAACAAACAAATCGTGTCCAAACTGACAATCATAAACTTCGGAATAACAAGAGAATCTTTCAACCTCATTATCTTATAATAATATTATCCATGATACTGGCCTCGAGGCCTTAAGCCGCGACGATGAATATGACAGTTAATATGGTGTCATGGAGATTATCATGAGGAATTGGTTAACTTCGTGGCCCCGCTCGCCCACATCAGCTGTCAAACGAGAGTTCAATTGGCGCCTCAGGGGCCGGGCCTCTTCCAAGGTTTTGAGTGGCGCCGTCTTTCGGTTTTGGCCGAGAAGGAATGGCCTGAGGGGTTTCCTGATAAAAAACTCGATTCCATAAAATTTAAATGTAATTTTCAGATCCCCAGTGAATGCGGCTTCTTCCACGGAATCCATTTGCGTGCGCCCGGCCTGATCAAAGTATATTATACATGGTGTAGAAGGCGGAATTTGGTGGCGCTGCTTCGGTTTACTGCAGTAAAAGTTGTTGAACGGCTTGTTTTTGAATTGTATGTGAATTTTACGTTGAGGAGGATAGTGTTTTACTTTTTATAATCAAATCAGCTTTATTTTTCTCGAAAAAAATTATATTGTAGTAGGCGTTTTTTGGTATTAATCATGATTTCTTTCTGTATTTGTGTAGAAAGGTGCCGTTTTTAATTGAAAATAAAGGTTAAAATGGACTTTCATTAAAATCTAAACGGTATTCATTTATGCTTTTGGCACTTGAAGCACTAAATCATTGATTTTTAGGTAACAACATTGCTTATGGGATGAGTTACCATGTCGTATCTTCTCCTTCTTTTCACAGTGACTCTTGGATTCACATGTGGTACTTCAGAAGACTTTGCACGTATGTTTTTTATTACTTTGGGATAAATTTAGACTAGCGCATGACTTGTGGTTACTGTAACTTAACCGCTTATAATACGATTACTATAACTTTACGGTTTATAATATTTTTACTGTAACCATACTGATTATAATATGATTACTGTAACATAAAACAAGTTTTGGCCAGTTTTTGAGTTTCGAAGGGATTGGCGACAAAACTTTTGATTGTTTTACGGATTACGCAAGAATCGGGCTGAACATTAAGTATGAACAAGTTAATATTAAGGTCGCGGATCGAGTTTTACTCAGTTCATATAAACATACGAACATAGGCAAACATATGTTTGGATGATTTTATTTGATTTCTAGTTGAAATACAGTATTCTTTTAGTTTACTTACAGTATACTTTGCTATTGTTTTTTTATAAATTCACATTATACAGTATCTATTTTAACTACAGTAGGGACAAATATCTAAGCTTGGCTGCCTACAGTATCTATAAATACTTTATGATTACTTGTAGCACATTGTAGTTACCGATATATGTAGTACACGTAGTTACTAATATAAAACATCTGCTGATAACTCTCATAGACTAACTTACCGTACTATAACTACTGTAAAATGAGTGAAGCCACTAATTCTGAAGATACCAAGTCTCTTACTAGCACTGATACCGTAATCAGTGTGGAAGAGGTGAAAGAAGACTGTAGATTCTGTAGATCGCTTGACTGTGATCTGATCTTCTCGTCAGTCATCGTACTGATAGTGACTGGAATGCTGATATTCATATTTGGCTTCTGGCTACATGGAGTCATTAACTATACAGAGTAAGGGATTTTAGGCAAATTACAGTAGCAACTCGTAATTTTGAGCTGAAGTAACAAGAAGTTACTGTAGGCTCTGAGGAGAGAAGTGAATTCCTTAAGAAATTACAGTACTTTTTGGAACGGAGAGGACTGTCAAAACTACTGTAGTATTGTAAATAGAATGATATAGGTAGTATGTACGGTATGGATTGTCTAAAAACAAACGTGATTAGAGTGGAAAACAAAGATAATGTCAACTATAATATGAATGTGAATTAGCCTGTTTTGGCAAAACTAAAAGTTATTACGTTACAGTACACAAGCATTATTAGTTAAAGTAGGAGGTTACAGTTACAAATAGCAGTTTAAAGTATAATATTAAGGTGTTCAAATAATTCAGGCCTCTTTAATCCCTCAAATTTGTTTTGAGAGGGGACGCAGAATTATTTGAACAACCTAATAGTAGATTAAATTATAATATTATAGTATAGTACTTTGTCCTTAATAGTAAGTACTATAACTGTTTGACGAAGAACTATATTTTAGTACTGACGGAATGTGATGGGGTGTTTAACTCGGTGAACAAGACCCACTTCTCTTTGCCGATATTACCCAAACACTTAAAGGGCCTCAAAAACCATATGAAACTGCCCAATGACATACAGGTATATCGAGTGGTTGTGTGATCGTGTATGTGTGTGTAGTTTTGTGAAGTACTACTTATATTGTATTGCGTTGTACTGACGATTATATTAAGTGGTTCAAATAATTCTGTGCTCCCTAATTTCAAAAATGTGTTTTGAAAGAGGGTACAGAATTATTTGAACAACCTAATCTAGTACTAGGATTAAAAAGTTTTTACTGTGTAAACATGTGGTAAGAGTAGCTTTTTCTGTGTGAGTACAATGTTGTGTTGAAGTTCGTATATGGTGTTATAGTCGTACTTAATTGTGAGCTAACCATAATATTAAATTGCTCTCGTAATTCTGAGCTTTCCAACTTTAAAAACTTTTTTTGGAAGGGGCACAGAATTATTTGAACTAATTTATAATGGGCCATAGAATTGAATTTGTGGCAACATACCTTAATAAAGACATATATATTAGGTTGTTCAAATAATTCTGTGCTCACAGAAAATTTTTTTTGTAGCAACGGGGCTCAGAATTATTTGAACACTATACTATTTTTTTTATTTTTTTTCAATGTTATAATGAAATCAAGTACACACAGTAACATTGTCGTATTTCAGTGTCGGTACACGTTTGTCGCGGGAAAAGGCCAGCGAGTGAAGCTGGAATTCACTCAATTCCAGTTGGACGGCACGGTCGACAACTGTGATCTCGAATATATGGACATTTACAGCGAGCTGAGTGCTCCGGATCAAGATCTCCTTTCAGCCATACCTTCGCGGTATTGTGGTACTGTCAGTCCACACGTTAGAGTTAGGTAGGTTGGGTTACTGTGGCATTTATATGGGGGTTTTAATGGGTAGGGTAAGGTAGGGTAGGGTAGGGTAGGGTAGGGTAGGGTAGGGTAGGGTAGGGTAGGGTAGGGTAGGGTAGGGTAGGGTAGGGTAGGGTAGGGTAGGGTAGGGTAGGGTAGGGTAGGGTAGGGTAAAGTAAGGCAAGGTAGACTTATATAAAGCATGGATGGTCTAATATATGATATACTATGTCATTTCAGCCTTCACAACGTCATAGTACTGGTATTTCATTCTCGGGTCGGGAAGAAGCGGACCGAGACCTTCCAATTGAAGGGAAAATATAATTTTATCAACGAAACCAAGTTCATTCCTGGCAGCCGGCTGGGAGAACATGACTGTGCTTTCCTCATTGAGCCTACTAATAGGTATGGTTTATTTAAATGGTCGTATTTTACAAAAATATCTTTATTAACACTTTTTCTTGAATTTTGAGTTAAAAATGAAAATTCGAAAAAATGGTGCAGGTATCAGCTGGTAATGTCACTAAATTTACATTTTTCAGACGAAAAGGTCAAATCTTGTCTTCGACATATCCTGGTACATATCCAAGTGTAAGTTTGATATGAAACACATTTTCAGCTTGAAAAGTTATGGTTTTTTTGAGTAGTAGCTCCTTAGGAATGACATTTTACTATTTTACTTTTCAGCTTAAAATTTGCTTTAACTTGTTTTTTAAGCCTAAAACTACGTTTTGTTACCTAAAATTTAATTTTTAAGCTTACATTGTAACATTTGTAAAAGTTTGACTAAAAATCACTTTTTTGTTTGTAAAGAAAGTTTTTATCATTTTATCGCTTTGTAAACGAAGTTCTTGCCATTTTTATTTCTATAAAATTTTTTGTTGTTTTTAGTTCTGTAAAGAAAGTTTTTGCCATTTTTTATGTTGTAAAGGAAGTTCTGGCAATTTATATTTGTCATATTCACCATGCTTCTTTCAGAACTTTCATTGTTCTTACCTCCTGAAAGGCAACGCTGGGGATCGCATCCGTCTTTACTTCCGCGACTTTGACATCTACTTTGGCGGAGAACATTGTCCATACGATGTGATGACAGTATACGATGGTCACAACAACAAAGCTCCCATCATCCGAAAGGTCTGTGGCCTACAACAACGTCTGGAGATGTTCTCCTTCGGATCCGAGGTCTTTTTGGAGTTCAACTCAACCGACCCGGCCAAGAACGACCCTCGAGGCTATCTGATCGAGTACGAGTTCAGCGACAACTTTGTGGACATCAAACAGTTGTTGGCAGGTCAGAGAGGCGTGTCGTATCTTACTGGGTCTGAATGTGATGTTAGGGTACAGAGTAACAGAGAGACCGTGCATTATATTCAGAGTCCGAATGTAAGTTTGTGTTTTGATGGTTTATATTGTTATTCTGGGCAGGTAATTTTGATTTTAGGTGTGGGTGTAACGAAGTTATGTGATTTATATTTGTTCATTTCAGTACCCAAATGCCTACCCACCTAACACAACATGCACCTACATCTTGGACGGTCTTCAAGGCGATCAGAATTTGGAAAAAGTCATTTTGAATTTTGAAAATTTTGCTGTTATCAGTAACGATGACACTTCAACGTAAGTTTTTAAAAGGTTTCTTTGAAAAAAATTGACTTTATGTAATCGAAACGCAGAGTAAGATAGGCTATGGTATGTTGGAGTAAGGTAAAGTGTTTTAGAGGAGGGCGGGGTATGTTAGAGTAGGGTGAGTTATTTTAGGGCAGGGTGCAGTATCTTAGAGTGAGCTGAGGTATATTAGAATAGGGTAACGTATCTTAGAGTAGCATAAAGTATGTTACTGTTTTAAGATATATATTAGAGTAAGGTAAAGTATTTTAGAGGTAGGTGAGGTATATTAGGGTAGGGTAAAGTATGTTTGAATCGAGTGTCTAAGAGTGTTGGGAAGTACGGTTTTTTGTTAAAGATGGCACATATTACAATCTACTGCATTACAGAGCCGTATCAACCGAGAATGGCGATGAATGCTGGGCCTTTGTCGGTGTCGCTGGCCAAGAAAGTTCGATCAAATCAGTCTTGGCCAATAATGAAGAATCAGTGTACGATGCCACGTTATGTCATCGTATTGCACATGGTAGTCCGAGGTTAGGACCATACACATCCCAAGGTCCTCGAATGGTACTTGTTTTCGGGAGTTTGAACGATCTTCCGCAGACTGCGGCCTTGCCTTTGGGCTTCAAGGCGAGGGTTGAGTTTAAGACTGATTTTGGAGTACCAGGCAGTCCCATGGGCGGATCCAATGAATGTTTATTCCAGTTTAGGGAGAAGAGGGGGCATTTCAACAGTCCACGGTATCCGGCTAATGTAAGCGGTTACTATGACTTGTAATTAGCTTTATATTGTTGTAGGTAGCCGACGGCTGGTAATGCCATTTTAAATTAAAAATGATTTGAAAAGTGTATTTTAAGTTTATATTCATATGTTTTAGATATTTTTGAACATTCTTGTAATTAACAACTTTTTGATAGGATTACTGTAACATACAGTATTTCAAGTTTTGTCTTCATTTTGAGCTAAAATACAGTAATTTTGTAAAATACGTTAATTAGCTGTGAAGTGAATCTAAAATTACAGTACCCTCTGGACACGACATGTACCTATATTATTAAAGCCGAGCCAGGAGAGCAGATCCTACTGTATTTTGAGCAGTTTGCTTTGTTCGAAGAGCCATCAAAGGAGGAATGTAATGATTGGCTGGAGGTATACGACGTGGCACGGGATGGTAACGACACTGACAACTATCAGCTACAAGGTAGGTTTAGGGGTGTAAACGTGTGGTACTGTATTTTTTGTTATTTTGTATGAAAGTACTGTAGTTATTGTCATTTTTTGGTAAAATACGGAGAGAAATCAAGAGCCTTTATAAGAATACGGTAAATTATAGTATATTACAGTATCTTTTGATGATATAATCATGAATTTTCTACTTTTACTGTAGTAAGCAACATATTGTTTTACACTTTTTAAGTACTTATCCTACTGTATTACAGCGAAACACTGCTGGACGGTGATTCCAGGTCCAACAACATCGAGCTTCGGGTACCATGAGATGAAGGTGGTCTTCAATTCGAATCAGTATGGTACTGCAAATGGCTTTATGGCACTGTACGAGATAAGAAAGGGCTTCAAAGACCAAGTACCGGAGAAGGAAGGTGCTGATAAGGACCATTGTGGCGGTCTGATACTGGCTGATGCTGAACGAACTAGTGGCTGGTTCACTTCGCCTGGGTTTGGTGCCAAATATACCAAGGACCTGATTTGCGATTGGGAGATCAAGGTTCGGCCGAGTCATCAGGTAAAACACTATAATACTTGTTTTTAATGCTATACCATAGTAAAACTTGGCGGTGTGTTGCAGGTATTATTATCTATGTTAAGGTACTGCTCCAACTGACCCAAATGGACGTCGAAGGGGAGATGACAGATACGAAGGTATCTTGTAAGAACGCGGTAATCAAAGTGCATCAAGATTACTCTAACAGAACGGCTGATCTACCGATTTGTGGTACGAATCCAGCTGTTATTTCACCGATTGTATCTATTGGAAATAGCATCAGGATTAGGTACTGTATTTTCAATGGTATTGTTAATATATAGAAATACTTTTAGATGAAAAGCAAGGTCGTTGAGGGTAGGGTAAGGTAGTGAAAGCTAGGGTATGTTAAGACAGGGTAGAATAGAGTATGTTATGGTAAGGTTTTGATGCTAAGATAGGGTAAGATACCGTAGCTTGTAGTGAGGTAGTGTACCATACAAGACCTTTTTAAATATGAAGGGAGAGGTAACGTTTATTTTCAAAACTTATAAAATACGATTTTCTCAAGATTTCAAATTTTTAGTTTCTTGACGTCGCCGGACAAAGTGAATGGTCTAAATGGCTTTAACTTCACTTGGACTGAGATACGAATGATCAAACGTACGTTAGATATATCTTTGCTAAAGAGTGGCATTTTATATTGACTGTGAAGAAAGTTTTTTTTAAAGCCAGGTATACCTAGGTCTGACCTGCATAGTATACCTAGTTATAGCTGGTACGGTATACCTACATAGTTCTGACTGCTCGGGTATACCTAGGTCTAGATGATATTTATAAAAAAATTGTTAATTTGTTCAAATGATTCTGTGCCCTCTCTGAAAGCAATTTTTCGCGGCTAGAGGGTACGGAATTATTTGAACTATCCAGTAAAAGAACGTTGTTTAGAAGACAGTGAATGTGCTGACGATGGCCTTTACCTGTGCAGTTATACACGCTACTGTATTGATGCTAGGCTACGATGTAATGGAGATGACAATTGTGGCCATAATGACGACACGGATGAGGCCCATTGTAAGTTTATATGCTAAGACAACTGTATTTTACATTAATTTAATATTTTTAAATTTTTTCGCTTATTTTTACGTTACAGTAATCTTTTTAGTTTAAAAATAAAAATATGAATCATACTGTAGTTTATCCTACATACAGTAATATAACACTAGATATAATACCTTGCCTTACTATAATATAACGTTTGCCACCTACCCTACCGTGCTTTTACAATATTTTGTTACCGTATTTTGTTTTTTTTTCTGGCTACAACCCTATTCATGGTCGGTATGCTGACAGTGCCAACCGTATCAACAGTATCGTGCTATTAACCCTAACCACGCTACAGTATCTGCTGCTGTGATTGTCATACGGTAATTCTACTAATTTTGGTTTGCTTTTGAATACAGTAATCTTGGGTTGATTTTTGGTGCTATAACTTGTTTTTTGGTACTATTTTTGGGTTTTTGGTACTATTTTTAGTATTATGGCACAACTTTTGGTACTATGACATGAGTTTAGGTACCGTAATATTAAGTTTTTTACTGCTAGGCTATTTTTGATATCATATTAGGTTGTTCAATTAATTCTGCACCCTCTTTCAATGCAAGTGTGCAGAGTTAGGGAGCTCAGAATTATTTGAACAACCTAATGACATTAGTTTAGTTACTGTAAATTGCCAGTTTTGTGTACTTAAACTTGTATTACAGTACCTAATACAGTACCAAAAGGCACAAAACTAACAATTTTAAAAATAATACAGTAATCCCTATGTTTAGGTAACATTTTGGAGAAAGCGGCCGACTCCCAAACCCTTTTGTTTGCTGCCATTCTCTCTGGATTCATCTTCTTGTTCATCTTTGGCTTCTTCTGTTTGTTATTCAAAAAGAAGTTGGAGAAGAAGAGTGACCGTAACAAGGATACGGTAGACGAGAAGGACAATGAGCGTCTCAAGAAAGAATCCCAGATTCAGGCGATCATGGTACGACAACGACAGCGACATCCGTTCAGACAACAACAACCCAAAATGTCGAGGGTTGGCAGCGACAACGGGTGGGTTACTGTAACTTTGTAATAGACATTAGGGTTATTGTAAGGGTTACTGTAACTTTATACTAGGTATCAGTGGTACTGTAACTTTATAATAGACATTATAGTTACTGCAGCTTTATATAATACTAGGTACCAGTTTATACTAAGTCTTCGGGTTACTGTAACTTTATACTAGTCATTAGGGTTCGGTAACTTTAGACTCGACATTAGGGTTACTGTTACTTTAAACTAGACATTATGTTTAATTACGTTTATGTCGTTAGTGAAGATTACTGTGGATGAGGGTTACTGTAGTTGAAGGTAACTATAATTTTAAAACAAGGTCCGCGATAGAATCGAACATGGGTCAAACAGGGGCGGACCATGAAAAAAAATTAATTTTTTAAAAATCTTATTTTGCGACCACAGGTAGTCCTAAGAACTAGTAATTCAAAAATGCAAAAAAAATTTTTAATTTTGGGTTACTGTAGGTTTACTGTAGTTTTTAAAAATTTTATGCAACTTTTTAACTAATTGACAGAATCTCACCGGACTTTTTTTAAATGATAGAACACGTCAAACTATGTAATATGGCTGTCGACAAGTTTTTCCGTTTATGCCCGGAAGGCATCGAAAAATTTAAATATTTGCAAAATTTTGATAAAAATTTTAAAAAATCGAATTTTTTTCAAAAAAAATTCGTTGTGTGACCGACTTCTGGCACTAGATAATGAAACTAGGGGTTCTTGCGCTTCAAATGGTTTTACTCTCCAAGTGTAACAATGGGGCCAAAGTACTGTAACAAGCTTCCAAATACGACAAACTGTAGTCACTAAAAAATTTATGTTTTTATAACTTTACAGAACACCTCAGGATATAGCTAAAGTTTATTAAAATTACTTTTCGTTATCAATAAAGACAGTACAAAGGCCATTTTATCCTACTTTGTAAAGTTTTTTATCATACTGTACAATGGGTGGGCCACGACAATTATGAGTATAACTTTCTTGAAACTAAACCAGTAAGGCTCAAATTTTTTGTAATTTTACAATATTCTTTTTGACAACAAAATTGCAAAAAAAATTATTTCCTTTTTGATTTAAAAAAGTTACAGTAATCCTACAGTACCCGATTTTGGGCATTTAAAAATGTTCAAAAACCAAAAAGGAACGATTCTGCTTGAAAAATATTTAAAAATCGGTAACTCTTTTACCATAGGAGATACAATATTAAAACTTTCAGAAGTTGTACAACTTTTTATGCTCTATAAAACGTAAATCTTCGATTTTTTAAAAAAGTTTATGTACATATTTCGGAAATACAGGGTACTGTAGATTTACTGTAACTTTTTTAAACTAAGAAGAAAAAAATTTTTTTTCGCAAATTTGTTGTCAAAACGAATATTGTAAAATCACAAGAAATTTAAGCTTTACTGGTTTAGTTTCAAGAAAGTTATACTCATAATTGTCGTGGCCCACCCATTGTACAGTATGATAAAAAACTTTACAAAGTAGGATAAAATGGCCTTTGTACTGTCTTTATTGATAACGAAAAGTAATTTTAATAAACTTTAGCTATATCCTGAGGTGTTCTGTAAAGTTATAAAAACATAAATTTTTTAGTGACTACAGTTTGTCGTATTTGGAAGCTTGTTACAGTACTTTGGCCCCATTGTTACACTTGGAGAGTAAAACCATTTGAAGCGCAAGAACCCCTAGTTTCATTATCTAGTGCCAGAAGTCGGTCACACAACGAATTTTTTTTGAAAAAAATTCGATTTTTTAAAATTTTTATCAAATTTTTGCAAATATTTAAATTTTTCGATGCCTTCCGGGCATAAACGAAAAAACTTGTCGACAGCCATATTACATAGTTTGACGTGTTCTATCATTTAAAAAAAGTCCGGTGAGATTCTGTCAATTAGTTAAAAAGTTGCATAAAATTTTTAAAAACTACAGTACACCTACAGTAACCCAAAAACAAAATTTTTTTTTTTGCATTTTTGAATTAGTAGTTCTTAGAGCTACCTGTGGTCGCAAAATAAGATTTTTAAAAAATTAATTTTTTTTCATGGTCCGCACATGTTTGATTCTCTCGCAGACCCTGTTTTAAGTTATTTGACGAAACTGTAGTTTTGTGAGGGTTACTGTCGCTATTTTATATAAATAAAGCCAACTTTTATGTTACAGTATGCTCCCAACGCCTGCCCTCTCCAGAATCCGACGTCACGATGAAATGACGGAGCTTATGATTCCCCAGAACCCGGCCACAACTCTCAACGAACACACTTTCTATGGGTAATATTGTACATAATAAATCTTGCTCAAATCACTATTTTCAATAAATTTTTTATTTTTAGTGGATCTTTGGGGTTTTTCATGTCACCGGGCAAAGTTAGATTAGGGCAGGGTAGAAAAGGGCAAGGTAGAAAAGGACGGGGCAGAGTAGAGAAGGGCAGGGTAGTGTCAAATATCTCACAAATTGTGAGATATTAGAGTTAAAATATACTTTATTACTTTACTACTTTAATTTAAACTTTACTATTTTGATTAAAACTCTTTTAAACCGTAATTTAAACCTTAATTATTATCATTTCGGAGAAAAAGATCGCGCAGCCCGCACTGATTAGGGCGCGAACCGACGCAAAAAAGCGTTCTCTTTTCTCGTTCGATTTGGCTTTTTTCGCGGCCGAAACCTGAGGCAATGGTTTTGTCATTGTCTCTGGGTTGAAAGTTCAGTTAGGAGGACGGAGGGAGGTCGACGACTACGACTTGGACCGACGACTTGGACCGACAACATTGCCCCGACCATCCCGACCAACTTCGACCACCGACCAACCCACGACCTCCACCGAAGCCCCAACCGCCCGAGACCCGGAACCCGAGCTCCTGAACCAACCCCGACGAGCACCACTTGCTCGACGAGTTCGAAGAAGCCCTTCACCTGGACTGTGGAAACTAAGTTATTTTAATTTATATTTGTTGTATGTTTAGGGTTCGATTAGAAAGAGACTAGGACGACGAAGCCTTATTTTGTAGACATTAGAAGTAGTTTAGTGTATACTTTTAGTAGTTTAGTGTAGACCTTAGAAGTAGTATTTTGTAGCTATTCTTTTTGTATTTGTTAGACTTAGAATCAGTTAGAGTAGAGTTTATTTTGTAGTACGTTTGTTGTTGTATCATCGAGTAGAATAGTGAGAGTAGCCACTTCTGTTAGTTTTTTATTCAATTTTGTATCTGTTTATCCAATTTATATCTATTGTCAATTTATTCTATCTTTGTTTAATTGATCACTATTTATCCCAAATTGTATTGTATTTTTTTAAACTAGTAAAGGTTTATAAGTAATTGAAGTTGGAATTTTGAACTTGAATATGGAGAATAAACCCCTTTTCGAACAGTAGAAAAGAACGAGGTAGGGTAGAGCAGGGCAAGTTAGACTAGGGCAGGGTAAAGAAGGGCGGAGTAGAGAAGGACAGGGTAGAGCAGAACGAGGTAGGGTAGAGCAGAGAAGGTCAGGGTAGAGCAGAACGAGATAAGGAGCGTCGGTATGGCAGTGATAATTATTTTAAATCGTGAATAAACATGTTTATGTTTATTGCAAGATATTTTATTATCAAATCCTTACAACATTAATTTAAAAAATGCAAAAAAAAACAGTCCGATTCTCCGGGTTCGAAACTTCATATAATATCGCAGCGACGCCAGTTATCTACCACTGCGCTACCGGCTCAGGGCATCTCCCTTGTTTTCCGGACCCTTTTACTTCGTCCTTTTTCCTGACTGTTTGCGTCTCTGTCGCTCTACTATTTTTTGTTTGTTTCTCGTTTATCCGAATAAATTTCTTTTTTCATCAAAGTTGGTCCGAGGATTTTTTTGTCTAGGTGACTATGAGCCAAATTTAAAACGGGCCGGACCTCTCACATTTTCTCTCTTTTTTCGTAAAAACTCGGTGTGACGAAACATAAGAGCTTGGAAAACAAGAGACCCGCCCTGCGCGTGTAGCGCAGTGGTAAATAACTGGCTTGCGGCAGCGGAACATGTGGTTTCGAATCCGGAGACTCGGGCCAAGTTTTTTGTCTTTTTTACGTTAATTTGGTAAGGATTTGATAATAATACCTACTTTAATTGCTGAAATAAAGTTTATGTAAAATTAAAAAGGCTGTCTCCAATCAAGAGAAGCAACCGGCTATCGCCAGTTACCGTATTATTTTATTACAAAAAACACTACACTGTATTACTTTACAGTTTTAATTTCGAACGTTTTGTTAACCAGTAGTTTTATTAATATACGACGTAGTGACGCAACATACGACGATATTATTCTGTTTTATGACCAACGTAATAAACGGTTGTAAATTGTGCACTTCCGTATTTTACAATTGGCAATTAGGAGCTGGGAGCTGTCAGGTAATGTGAGAAAATTGCTTGTTCTCACTTGGTATGTTACTTTATGTGTTATGGCACTTACTGCCGCTTTTATAGTGGCATCTAACTTACTGTTGTGACATACTTACTGTGGAATCATACATTATATGTGTTTATGTATGAGGGCATTTATTGTCGTTTGGTCGGGAAAGTTACTTTATGGTAATTGGTATCAAAAGACGATTATAATATGGCACAGTAAGATAGTAACCTGGTCGGAAAATTTCTGGAATAGCAAGCAAAATGACAATATTGATGTTTTAAGGCTTGTTCTACTGAGCTTTTGACTAATATCGTGATGATTATGGCATTACAGGGCCTTTTTATAATACAGTACTTTTCCAATTAAGAATTTGGTCAAAAAGTTTATAGAATTACCGTAGTCGACAGATTTTTGTATTCCAATGCCTTCACTATCAACTTCTTGACCTATACTTAGAATAAAAAGTAATTAAAGAAACTTTACATTGTAACTCTTACTGATTACACTTCAACTCTTACTACTACACTGTAAGTTTTCATTGATTACACTGTAACTATCTGTTTATTACACTGTAACTGTGTAGTGATCGCCGTATCTCCATAAACCCTCATCTCTTGGTAGATCGTCGTATCTCGCTGGGCGTGGCCAGGGAACAGACTTTGGCCATAAATGGAGTTATGCAACAAATCCATCGCGTGCCACACATCCTCTTATAGGTATTGATCTTAGTGTTCCGATCGGAAGATATTCGTTACACTTGATATCACACTTGATTTGACAACTGGTACAAGATGGAAGGCATGGAGAGATACGACTACTACTACAATCAGACGGCTAGGTATGTAGGGTGTTAAGGGTTAATATTGAGTTCTGTAGTTAAAAGGTATATAAAGTTAAGTTTGTTTTAAGAAAGGTTCTGTAACTTTTTAAAACTGTATTTATTAATGTATGTTTCAAAATTTAAACACGATAGCTTACTGTCAGACTTACAAATCTACAGTAATCTTAAAAAATCTTTTATTTTTGACTTTAAACGTTACAGTAATTTAAAAAAAAGTCAACTTTCACATTTTTTAAAATTACAGTAAGCCCAAAAAATTGAAATGCCATTTTGAATGTAAACTATAGAAGTGTTTAATCCAAGATACGATTTGTATTGTAACATAATCCGTTTATAGCGTAAAACTTTTGTTTACTCAAGTCCATTTAAGGAAGGATACGGAAGCCGTTGTGACCTTATATAAACGTTATATAGCGTTTAATATAAACTATATATAGACACTTGAAAACATGTTTATTTTGTGTTTTATATCTCAAAAAATGGCATTGAGGAATAGTACCAAGGGTGATGTTATATCAATAACATTATTTACATTATAACCATAACCCCTATTTCAGCAGCCACTCCCCCACCTCCTCGTGCCAGTCCATCAAATCAGATCAGAAGAAGATCAAGAAGAAGAAGTCGAGTGAGAAGGAGCGAATCCGCAACCTCGAGATCAAAAAGAAGTTGGCCGAGATCGCTTCACTGATGCCACTTCAGAACACACAAAGTCTGAGCAGAATCAGGACGTTGAGGTTGGCGACAAAGTATATTAGTCATCTTCAAGGCATTCTTAACGGGGAGACGGTAGGTTACTGTATGATGAGTTGAATTTTGGTACAGCATGGTTTGTAGAGCTTACGGTATTAAATTGTGTTAAAGTTTGTAAATGTAGTATTAGCTTGATCAAATGGTTAACATTAGGTTGTTTAGAAAAGTCTTGTCGTTTTTTACATACAAAAACAACGTTAAAAAACGACAAGACTTTCTATTCTGTTACTTTTTGTTTTTCCACATACTTTTTGACCAAACAACACTTACTTTTTAAATTTTATACCCAAAAATTAATGAAGTTTCAAGATGCATTATTCAATAACGTATTTTACCTTAAAACAACTAAAATCTAAAACAATATTTAGATTGACACATACGAAGGTGGTCGTCGCCTACGAGATTACAACGACTTCCAACGTGATGTGAATGAAGAGATGCAACGTACCAACTCGTACAAAGAACGTGCTGAAATGGAGATGAGAATGGGGCTAGGAACTTCTTGTCCGCCCAAGAACCAACAATACTATTAGTCATCGTATCTTGGCATATATATCACTTAAAACCAGTATTTTTGTACATTATAGTAAAGACAAGATTAAAAGTGATATTTTGCTTTGACTTATGAATAATATTGATCCAATAATGTCACTAAATCAGCCTGATTTACATAAAAGCCGGCTTTTTTACCTCAATATAAACCCAAATACCACGGTAAACCCTTTCAATACCAAGGTAAACCCTTTCAATACCAAGGTAAACCCTTTCAATACCAAAGTTAACCCTCTCGATTACACAACATGTTTATGTACATAAAATACGCCGCTTAACACTGTATTCCGAAGCGGTCGAAGTGCCGCGTTATGACGGATAATCTCAGCGACACGATCCCACAACTGGCCGTCTGGAGCCGCATCCTTTCATTCGCATCGTCCAGGATACGAAGCGACTTCAGCTGAGTCCCACCACCCACAAATCGACTAGTCAGTTCATTTCGGAAACCACTTTTGGGCCTCCAGCAATGACATATTACCTGGAAAAGATTTTTCTTCAAAATTTGAGCAATTTTAAAGTGTTTCTTAAGCTTATGATATTTTTCAGCTCGTATTTTAGATCAAATTTAATTTGAAAAAATTGTAAAATAAATGTTCAACATGCTATTCAACTTCCATAGCATTAAAGTCAATTAAAACATTAAACAAACAGCTCAAAAGCTAATTCACAAGGCCTCTAGCTACCTTAACATCGAATTTTTGAGCAAAAATTAGCCGAAAACTTCATTCAAAAACCAATATACACCTTGATAAACATAAAAAGAACCGTCCACTTCACCTCAAACTGCTAAATCACCCGCATGTTGTAGTAAAATAATGTCCCAAAGCTAGGAAACCTCATCCACTTGACCCTTTTTTGAAGATTCCGCTTCTCACGTTAATATCAATTTACAATCCCTTCGGTAACACTTCTTCCCTTTATTGCATCACACCCAGCGACAGTCAAGTCTCACCTCGTGTTCACCAGGTGCACTGGGTATAATCACGGTGCCGTAGCCGCAAATCTGTTGTCGATTGAACTCATCCTGTCTCCATACCTCCAAATGAATCCGAGGCCAATTCTGAATAGTTCGTGTGGCCAGATGAAGATCGATCGGATGGCAAAAGTAGGCTTTTTCCAAAACCGATATGTCTGTTTGGGTCTGGCCTTCGGTTTCTCCTTCTATCAACCGCCAGCCACCTCCTGAATTATATTAATGTAGGTACAGGTAATATTGTTTAAAAATTACACTCTTAAGTAAAATTCGTGTAGAAAAGGTAAACTTGAGTAGAAAGAACCTAAATCTTATAAAAATACTAAAAATCTTCACTAGAACTATTAAAAACCAAGGCCGCAAGGAAAACTATCATGGTCAACATAATTTTATCATACCTAAATAAACAATCCATCTACAGCTCAATCTGTTGTCCACAAACCCTTCAGCTGATTCAATCTGTCCAATTATATGAAGTTCGGCCATTTTCTTAATGGCAAATGGACAACATAGTGACCAGCTTATGTTTCTGTTACTATGGTAATATAAAAACAAAAACACAAGTCACTGTATTTCACCATTACTTTTATTATTTCGAGATAAATTTCGAATTATATTTATAACCTAATTTACTGTCAATTTACAGTGATAATTGATAAAGACTAAAAAAATATTTTACATTACACAAACCATTTGGTCCCACCACGAAAAACTGCCCGCAAAATTCAAACAAATATTGTCATCGAAAAATAAATTTTTCGGAAAATAAAAAATATTTCTTTAGTGAAATATTTGGACTGTTTTACTGTGGAAAGATGTTCGTCCCGGCTCACGATGATGAATATACTTCTGAATTCAAAGATCAATGTATAAATGAACCTCAAGGAGACGCCATGGAGCTCGTGAGCCCACCTTTGGGTATTCATGTAAGTTTATTATTCTTATTTTTTTATTCTGTGTTCAGCCAAAAGAGTTTGTGAACATGCACTTTGGCCCAAGATCGATGGCCAAGAATCTTCAGTTCAGAAAAGGTACTACAACATTGGCTTTCATCTATGAGCCGGCTACTCCCAACGATAAGGGCGGTATCGTTGTCGCTGTGGACTCCAGAGCTTCTGCTGGGCAATATATTTGCAAGTTTTGTTCTTTTTAAGCTTTTGAACTTTAGAAGAGTTGGTATTAAAGGTTTATTAGTGGAAACGTCTGAAACAATAAATCTTTAACTAAAACAATATAAATTTCAGCGTCAAAGAGTGTGATGAAGATTCTGGACATTGGTGATCGTATGGTGGCTACGATGGCTGGTGGAGCTGCCGACTGTCAGTTCTGGACTCGAATGGTATCTAAATATTGCACGTAAGTTGAGATTTATATTTTTATTGGTGTTTAGGTTGTTCGAATTGAGAGAAAAGAGTGATATCACCGTTGCGGCTACAAGTAAATACTTCGCTAATGTCATGTACGGATACAGAAACCATGGTCTTTCTGTGGTAAGTGTTTTAATAACGATATTTACATTGACGTCTGAGGTCTTTTGACTTACATTGTTTTAGGTATACATAGTTTTTTTGTTTTATTTGAATAGGTTAGTTAAGTTTTTTTTCGTTTAGCTTTAAGAATGCTTTTTATTAAAAGATTTATAGAATGATTGAATTTTATGTTCTTTTAGGTGCATCTTATTAACTTCATTTATAAAACCTTATTTTAGGGTTCAATGGTTGCTGGTTACGACAAGAGAGGCCCAGCCATCTTCTACGTCGACAACGATGGCCAGCGTCTTCCTCAACGTGTCTGTTCGATTGGATCTGGTTCTCTGAATGCCTACGGAGTCTTGGATACCCATTACAAGCCCAAGATGACTGACGATGAAGCTCTGAAGTTGGGTCGTCGTGCCATTATGCACGCTACTTTCCGTGATTCTGGCTCAGGAGGTGTATGTAACGTGGCTCACATCACTCCACTCGGAAGAACACGATATCCACCAATCGACGTCAGTGAACTCTACTATGAATTCGCCGAAGAACTCAAGAGACCGGTCGGTTATCTTCCTGAAGATGACAACTAAATATTTAATTGTATGGATAAAGTAATTTTAAATATAACTCGTGTGATCTTATCCTTATGGTTAATATTTGTTGATTTAATTTAATACCTAAAACAAGCAGAACTTTGAGGTTTTAGCACTATTATCATACCTAAAGTGATTATATTACTCTCAGTTAATCATTAGTTAATTTTATTCGTAAAATATTCAAAATTAAAGCCTTTTGTTAATATTATACTTGATTATGCACATTAGGGGGTGCCCTGATTGTTGGTCCTGAGATCATTCAAAGTATTTAAAGCAATTGGATTAGGAATATCAGGTATAGGAGGTGGAGCGATATTGCTGTTGACTACATTAGATACACTACTGTTTAAGACGGGTGAAGGCGCTTGGTTAGATAGATTGGAGGATGATATTACTCTACATTCCATGGCCAGATCGTACGATGGAGGGGGTTCGAAGGTCTTGAAGAGGTCGGAGATGTTCGATGGTTCCATGTAGGTTGGTGGGGGAGGGATGTCGTACTCACGGTGATGATGTTGTTGTTGTACTCTAGGTCGAGTATCTACTACAGGATTCGTGGGTTGTGGAGTGGGTCTTCTGGAGACTGATTGGCGTCGATTCCTTCTTCGTCTTTCTGTATCTAAAGTTAAAATACGGACAAGCAATGTTAACATACCGTGATGAGGTTTGGAGAAGAAGTCGGCTCTACAGAATACACAACATCCAATGATGATGACTAGGCATATCATCGGGATGCCTAGGACGGCTAGCCAGGAGGATGAGTAGAACTGAAAGGTGACATTAAGTTAAAGCATTTTTAAAAAGGATTTTTACAAATTAAGTATGGAAAAGTATCTGCTTACACCATTGAAGTAGTAATCTACTACAAAACAGTATAGTAATATCGTTGTGGTAATATTAACTTACTTCACAAAATTGACCCGAATACCAATCGTCGATGCACTTACACGTCCCGTTACCCATATCACGACCGCCGTTCTGACAGCTGATTATTTCACAGTGATCGCCCGTTATGTACTGAGTGTTCGGACATCTGAAAAGTGTGGTATATGTTAGTGAGCAACAATTTTTATAAAGAAGAACTCTATTTTTGAACTAAACAACATGTTATTGACCAACTGTATCTATAACAATATGTAAAATCTAACATTTACCAAGCCCTTAGTAACTTAAGTCAAAAACTGTATAAAAGTTCTATGAATGCAGTTCCAATCCCTTTTTGAAGTTTCTATCTAATTTCTGACCAGACCATTAAAAACACAGTAAACTTACATGCACAAACTCATCTCTGGGTCCTGGTTCGAGTCCAGTGTGCCGTTGTTTAAGCACTGTCTGATCTCGCATCGTTCCCCACTGAAATATTGTCGGCACTCGCAGGACCCGTCGTTCCGTTTGTTGCCGTTGTTGAGGCAATTCCGGCCGAATCCCATCATATTTGTGAGTTTGCTCAAGATTTTCTGCGCCACTTTGCCCAGATCTGAAATTTAAATATTCAAACTCCAATTTTAAATTGAATTTAAAAATGATTACCTAAGGCATAAACCTGTATATTTAAAACATCCCCAATAGCACAAACCCCAAATTTTAAATTTTCCTAGAATACAGATTCGAAATCTTAATATACAATATTAATGAACCGTTGCGACAGCCGGCTGGCGTTCGCGCGCCAAAAAAAGCCTTGCGGCAGGTGTTCCAACAACAACAAACAGATCTTACTTTCAGGCAGCTCTTCGGGCTGCTGACCCGGCCTGAGGGGATCCGGCAGGGGCGGGGGTGCCTGAGGTATCGACCCTGAGACGTCCTGAGCCATCTGAAACTTTTTTAGTGAACTTTGTAGTGGTTTTATTGAGAGTTTGAGTTAGTGACGCGAATTTTTTGTATATTTACGTAGTCTATATTAAAATACTTACAAATCAATTCATACAGCAAAAACATACTGGTCAAAAAGTTCATAGAAATCGCATTAAATTAGAAAAAATGTATTTTTTTTCTTAAAAACGGTGCCATTTCACACAAATCTCGCACTAAATTAACCATTTTTGCAACATTAAAAAGCTAAACAACATCAACTTAATATAAAATGACCATCGGTTTCCCTTTTTATCCCTTTATATGCCTCCAAAAAATGACCAAAAAAGCACAGTAATCAGTCGTAATTATCTTTAAAAAACTGCATATTCGACTACTTTTACAAACCGAGTCGTAAACAGTAGTACACATGTTTATATACTGTTTTACGCATCCGAAAAGTGAAGATAAACCTTAGAAAACTTGTGTAATACTTTCTTCTCAATCTACATTATCATAGGTGCTTCTGTTAATAAGTAAAATAATATCATCTTCTATGAATAATGTTTCATAATAGCTTCCTTCTATTATACCGTGATACCACAATATATACCACTATATGTATTAATATACCTCTCCTAGATATATTACGATTACTTTTTCTACAAAACTAATGAAAATCGGTCAAAAAGTATGTAGAATATAACTCAAGTTAAAAGTTACAACTCTTTAAATCAACATTTCGTAAGATGACTTTCTACAAACTTTTCGACCACTTTCCCATCCTGAATCTCATAAAACAATATAATATATAACAAAAATACAACAACTCGCGCAAATACAATAATATTATACTTTATGCGCGACATTATACATGAGCAAGATCGATATCTCGGGCGACGAAAGTAACGCCACGGAACACAAATTAACTCAAAGAAGTTCGAATAATTTATTTGCAGTAACTAATAGCGCCTATTGACGTGATGGTAATCCCCCAGCAGCGGCATCTCCTCCTGAGACCGGCTCAGGTTGGCGTGGTCAATCGGCTGACTGAATCCTGAAGTTAGCTCGTTATACTGGGGTTTAGTCTCGAGCGACCGGCTCTTCGAGATTACGAGATTCAGCGAGGTTAGTGTGGCACGGTTGTTGTTCAAGCTGAAAAGTTAGTTCAGAACGGTAAGCGGTTAAGGTTGTCATTTCAAAAAGGTTTATTAAATTTCAAAAAAAATCATTAAAATTAAAAAAAAACTGTTAAAAGCATTGGAAATTGCATTATTTTGCAAATATATTATGTTAGGTTGTGCAAATAATTCTGTGCCCCTAACTCCGAAAATTTGCTTTGAAAGGGGGAACGGAATTATGTGAACAACCTAATATGTACTAAAAATGCCATTTATAGTAAACTGTTCAAATAATGCTGTGCCCCCAACTCTAAAAATTTTGTTTGAAGAGGAGCACGGAATTATTTGAACAACCTAAAATATGCTTTTAAAGAGAACCTAGTATAACTTGCTTCAAATGATCAAAGTAAAAGCCCGACAATATTTGGTATCAAAAACTTTACTATCCACTACATTAACATTGTTAGTACATTACCCACAAAGTGTTAAACATAACTGCCATTTTTTCATCAAAACAAGACTAAAATGCTAGAACTAATCCAAAATTTAGTACTGCACCATGTACACTACTATTTTCTAACATAATACACTCAAAACACCGAGTTATTACCTAAAAAGCAACCAAAATCTTTATATTAACCATAGCTATTAGGTTGTTTATATAATTCTGCGCCCCTAACGCCAAAAATTTGATTTGAAAGCAGGCACAGAATTATTTAAAAACCCTAATAGCGGATTTCAGTCCTTTTAAATCACTCAAAATCCATTTAATAGTCATAGCCATGGCTATATTGTCCTAACTTCAATTCTATTATATTACGTTTAGTATTAGTGGATTAAACTCGTTTCGTTAAAAAGAGAAAGCGAATGTAAATTAGTGTTTGACTTACAGCCTGACAAATTCTTTTAGTAGATCTCGCAGTTCTGACAACTGCTCGGGCCCGAATTCCTGAAATTCACATGAATAATATATATTGTTTATCAAATTGATTAACAAATTAAGGCAAGAGGCATTAATAGGAGGGAGAAGATGAATACAAATTGTTAAGAGATAAATCAATATCACAAACAGGTCCAGGTAAAACAGATAAATGGCCTTGTTGACCAGGTAGTATAATATAAACGGAGCTCTTTAGTATTTTGAAATAGCCATGATGTTGTCCTAGAAATCAAAAATAGTACAACTCGACTTTAGAGCAGTACTTTATTTTCCATTTTAGACTAAATTGATACTAATTTACAAAATTTAAGACCAAATGGTACCGTTTTGCACCAAATTTCCCACAGGGTGTCCCGAGAAATTTCGTCGCTAGAAATAATTCATAAATTTGCAACTATGCATCCTAAAAATGCCAAATTTGGCACCGTGGTAGAACAGACGTGTACATTTTTTTATGGAAAATTTTGAGTTTTAAAAGTGCAAATTACGGTCATTGTGAATTTTTAAAAATCAGCATTTTACACCGAAATTACACATATTTTGGTTGTAAATGAACAGTTTTCGTCAACTCTTGACATTTTTTTGTTTTTTTTGAAAAACCGCGTTTTCTGTGTGTGCGAAGACTCGGCGGACGTAGCCGAGTATCGGCGAAGGCAATAACTTGGTTCAAATTCGTCGTACCGGCATGAAACAAAAACTATACTATTTTGAGTACGGTGCTCTATATTGCGATATGAAATATTTGGATATGTAAAAGTAAACTCTTGAATACCCCACTCAAAACAGTACCATTTAGCAATATACAACTCACCTGGTCCGTCCTAAACCTGCACCATTCATGTAGGTACCCAATTCTGGCTATCAACTCATCAGAAAGGTCTGGAAACAGTTCCTTCTTAACCTTGCTCAAGAATGAAAAGGTGCTCTCTCCTGGCCCTCGTAGTACGGTAGGATTGATCAGCTCTAACTGACGATCTATGTCCCTGAACACTTCATCAAACGCTATCATTCGACATACATGCGGTGCGTTGGCATCTGAAAACATTAATATCATTTGTCACTTTTGAAAAGGATGTCAACTATTATTTTAAAATCCCCAAAAACTCAAAAACAATGTCCCAAGACCCTACTACAATATCATTGGTCTCACGTACGTTCCGCTATCATCAAACAGTCGGTCAATGGGGGAAAGTGCGACACTTTAAAGGCCCATACTTCGTCGATCTTTTTGTTTATAATCTCTCGAGCTTTCTGAAATCGCAGCAGATTTAAAGTGAGCATGAATAATATCGCTGTTTGTATAAGACGACGATTGTTTTTAGATTTATAACAACATTAAACCGTCTTTGAACCAACTCCCCTTGAAGATATGAATTAAACGCGCGTCTACCTTAAAATCGGAGCTAATTTTATTCCCGAAAATAGAGTTACCTTCAAGTTATCCTCAAAAAATTAGCCAAAAACCTTGAAATCCTAAAAAAAAACAATATAACTATATATCTTACCTTCCTCAGCTCACTGGCCACCGTGCTGTTAATCTCTTTATGTGTACTGTTATTCCTCAGCCTCCTGATCTGTCGGTAGAAGAAGATTCCAAACAAAATCGCCATCTAAACCAAGAAAACCTCCTCAAATTACAATAACAACATACCATCAGGATTACTGTCAGCGCAAATATTATTGTATAGCCGCCCAAACTGAGCGTAATTGATCCTGGCATGGTTATTTTGGTCCTCACGAGCGATCGATCTCCATTTGCCTCGAGAATTAAAAAATTTATTTCTTTTTCGATAAAACGGAACGCCACAAATGCCAATTGCGCGCGCTTTCCATTGCTTTGAAGTTGGTTTTGCTGTTTTTTGAGTTTTACGACTTTTTCGGGTAAATTAAAGTTTAGGTAACGAATTAATTAAACAAATCTGAGTTTCTGGAACCGGTAATTAAAGGTTTTGTTCAAATAATTTTGTTTTTTCATCAAAAACAGTGTCTTCGGTCTATACCTACATGAAAAAGAAAGTTTACAAGGTTTAGACCAATAGTTTACCGAGCAATCAACGTAATTACAGTTTAAGAAAACAATGAGTAATAGTGTGTTAGCCTTTTCTTGAGAAACTTTGTTGTTTTCATGTGACTTTGTGTTTTGTTTCGAGTTTGTTGTGTTTTAGGTAACAATATCTCACGTTTGAAAGGTAACATTGTTTTTGTTTCTATTTTAGAGGTTAAATTGTTGCATTTAAATCGTTTTTCGAAAAGATACGAATCAGCAACATTTGCGTAAACAAACTCTCGATTAATATGCACCATCAACAAGATATTAAGCGGAGATTAATTCACCTTGAAGAATCAGAATCAAGGGCGCTCTTTTGCAACGTGAACGAAAAACATTAAGAGAAGTTTAATGGAACCGTCCCGAGTTTGAGCGAGAAACCTTCCTTCTTTCAGCCCGGAGGCGATGTCGTTGCGCAAGACGCTCTGCTGTTTCGTGCCGGCCAAAAAGAAGTCCTACTCGGGGCACCTCTACCACAAGGTGGACCAGAACATGTTGGCGCGTTCGGACGAGAAGAAGTGGCAGGAGTCCAAATGGAGGGACGATGAGAGGAACGGTGAGCGTAGCGATGAGAAAAGGCACCGTGAAGGCTACAGCGACGAGAAAAGGCATCGTGAAGGCTACAACGATGAACAACGCCACCGTGAGCAAGCCAAACACTACCGTGGACCTCACGATGACGATAAGCGACATTTTGAACGGAACGATGACTATCGTCGCAGCTCCAGAAGCGCGAAATGGCACGATGAGGGTAATTTCCACTCTCAACGAAGCGATGGTGACAGATTTGAACGAAACAATGACAAACGTTCGTCTCGACGATCCAATTCTCGTCCTTTTGTGGAACGTGAGCCTCAGATAATATCGACGTCTTCTGAAGCGCTACTGGAGATTGACGATGTTGGATACGCCAAGATTCTGAAGCCACCCAAGACTCCGAAAGTTGGTTTGAGAAGTCATGGTATTGACAGTGACAGTACTTGGAAGAAAGAGCATGGCATAGAAGGCACTTTGAAGAAGGATTCTAGAGATAATGGCACGATGAGTAGAGGTTATGGAACAAAGGAAGATGGAAAGTTTAGAATGAATGAAAGTACCAAAGATGACAGTACATTAAAGCGAGAGACTTTAGAAAGAAGCGCTCAGAAGCCTGTGGACTCTACAGTAATCTCTACACAACCGAGGGAATACAGAACAAAATTACCAGAAGCACCAGAATTGCCTCAACCAAGACTAAAACCTGTAAGTTTTTGACAATTTCCAATTTACTTTTTTGGTCCAAAAGTTTGTAGGGCTTATTTTTGTGTTTTATCGGCAGTATTTAACCAGAAAGCTGATAGTAAAGGTACTAAGTAGTTGTAAAGACCTTAAAATGAACTTTATGTTTAGACAAAGCTATGGAATAGACAGTTAATTAAGTTGTATATATAGTACAGTGTTAGTGATGAGTGACCTTTCGACTTACTTTTTTTTAAATAGTAGCGACGATTCTCGGAATTACGTCAAAATAACCGCCAATTACTCTTCTCTTACTATTATTACACTTAAGATAATACGCTGCAAAAAAGGAAAGTGTTCAGTCATGACACATTTTTTGCAAAAAACTTGGTTACGTTGACTTTTTTACCGAAAAAAGTAATGTCATCATGACGGTTTTTATGGAAAGTTGATCAGGATGACTCATTTTTTAAAGCGATTCTTATCTTTTTAAAAAAAATTGTCACGATGACTCATTATTTTTTAAAAAATTGTTGGCAAAGACATTATTTTATACAAAAAATCTGTCATGATGACACATTTTTAAGCAACAAAACACATCATGAAAAAAGGCTTTTAAAAATTACAAAATTATCGCGATGACGCTTTATTTTACTCATAAAACACGTCATGATGACCCATTATTTTTTCCGAAAACCTCGTCACGATGACAGATTAAGCGGTCATCGGACCGGTTCGAGAAGGTTTAGCCCGACCTGTAGCAAACTTAAATTGTAAAAAGTAGCCAGCCGGCTGTCACAAACCAACGACCTTGAATTGCTCTTAACATATGTAGGGTATGGGCAGGGTTATTAACCGCTACCTCGTCGTATGTTTGAGGAGCGAATTAGCGATGGGAAGGGAAGACAACAACAATATCAGATGATATTGTGATCGAGTTTCCTTATGTTTCGGTCGTGTGTAATGTCTAGTGTGGAGTGGGTTCAGAATTCACTGATTTGTTTTTCTGGGGGGGGGGGGGGAGTTGGGGGAACGTTTTAGTTTTGTCACTGTTATTTTAGGTAGCATTTTGGTTGGATTCTGAGGTGTTTTGATGGTTTTAAAGGGGTTTTTGATTGGTTTCGCAGTGTTTTGAAGCGGAAGAAACTTTGTTTACAATGTTGTTCATTGATTTTCGAACTTTTTTTTCCGTTGGTCAAAAAGTGCGTAGAATTGATTTTTGTATTTAAAAGGTAACTATTGCACAGTGCAGTCCATAATGTTAGCCATTGATTAATATTAATTATTCTACCCACTTTTTGACCGAATTTTTATAAAAAACTTGTTCTTAAATTTCAAAAACAAAGTTCTGAATAAAAAATTGTTTTCGAATGTAAAACGTAACAATTCAATGTGGCAGGACCCTTGAAAAGCGTGAAAGTTTGAATATCCCGCGGTTTTTGGCATTTTTCTTTGAAACGAATGGGCTTAAAGCTGAAGAACAAACTGAGGCAAGGCTGTTTACATAGTTGTAGCTCTCTCACAAGTCGCTATTAAGCCTAAAAACGCATAAAAAATGGTCTCAGAGCAATATTTCTCAACAATTTCATTAAACTTTGTGAAATGGCTATGTTAACATAGGTAAAAGGGGCTGTAATAGTATGAAAACAGATGGTATTGTAGTGAAATCGTGTTAATGTTGGAAGGAAAGGTTATATTATTCATAAAAATTGCCGATTCATGCTAAATGTAACAGTTTTAAGCCTAAAAAGTAGCGAAATTCAACAGTTATAAGCCTAAAACAAGCCAAGTTTAATCGTTTTTAGCCTAGAAACACGCTAAAATTAAAAGTTTTAAGCCTAAAAACAAGCGAACTTCAAGCCTAATCAGCTAAGAGCCCCGAGGCCCTGACCTGTGACATAGTTTTGTTTATATAGCGATTGTAGTAGGTAACAATGGCCAGTTTAATTGGCCGCGCGACCGTTTCGAATTTGCTATTCAAAGGCCGGAAGAGAGCGTTGGAATTGCATGGAAGGCTTTGTTCGAAGCACAGCCAGAGATTGGGCTTCTGTTCTTGGCTAACCTGTTCATTCCACGTTTGTCCTCAACTTGTTTTGGCTACTGAGTTGCGATTCTCAAGAGTTTCTTTGAAGATTTAGCTACAGGATTCAGATTCCTTAAATATTGTGGTTACAGGGCTAGAATTTCTTGAAGACTTTGGCTACTGAGCTGATATTCTTACAGAGCCTGGCTTCTGAATTTTGGCTGGCTCTTTGGCTACTGAAGTGCTTCTGTTTAAGCCATTAAATCTTCTTTTATATTGGCTACAGAAGCTAAAATTTTTGTCACGGCAAATTCAAAACCTGTCGCTACAAATTAAGCCTAAATTTTGACAATTCAAAGCTTTAACTTTAAGGCCTAATTCTATATTCAAAACCTACTAGAATATAATAAGCTTTAACTTTATTAAGAAAGTTCTTGGGCGACATAAGCCTAAGCTTTATTAACTAATCCTTTGGCCCCCATAAGCCTAAGCTTTATTAACTAATTCTTTGGCTGACATTATAAGCCTACATCTTTGTTAATCAAGCCTTTGTACTACCTTATAAGACAAAGTGTTGGTGAAGATGAGTCAAATGGTATGATAGAGAGTGTTGTGAAGCAAAGAATACTTTAGGTCATAAAAGGCTTTAATAGCCATAGTTCGAAAGATTAAATATTGTTTTCTGTCGCTTTATAGCTGTTCTTGGAGGTTGTGGGGCTATGTTTTGAAAAAATTTTTTTTTTTTAAATTTAAATTTAAAAAATTTTTTTTATTTTTTTTATTTGTGAGTTATGGGCTAGGGAGATGGTTCGTTTTTTAAGGTATTTCTTAACTTTAGTCCTAGGCTTGTATTAATTTAGGCTAGGTTTAAATTGTTGGCTTGTTTTATAATTTGAAAAGGTATCTAATTCTGGTAGAATAAGGTAGGCTAAGGCCAGATTTTTTTGATTTTCATACGATTCTCAAGTTATATAAAGGTAGTTATGTCTAGACATGGGAAACGGGTTGGGTCTGAGCAAAATTTAGGTAGGATCGGGCTTGAAAAATAGGCCTAGCCCGTTCCCCATGTCTAGTTATGTTATCTTACTATGGTATCTGCGGCTTACCGTGTTAAAAGGGGTGGTGGTTGAAGGGCAGGGTAAGGCAGGGACGATAGCGTAAGGTAGAGGTAGGGTATTTTAGGGTAGAGTAGGGTATCGTAGGGTAGGGTAGGGTATTTTAGGGTAGGGTATCGTAAGGTAGGGTAGGGTAAATTACTTTTTCCCTTAAACCTTGTTGCTTAAAACCTTACTTTAAGCAAGCGACAACTTAATTTTAAAACTTTTACTCAGTAAAAGGCTTATAAACAGTAGTCGAGTAAGGGTTGATGGTTGGTGGTATAACACTACGAGGAAGGGGTTAAGGCTGTGTAATACGGCGACGACTGATTAAAGTAGCAAGTAATCGAGGTAACAACAAGTTGACTTGTATTATATAGGTATAGAGAGAGGTGTGATAAGAGGGGCGACAAGGGCGATAAAAGGAGGAAGCGTTGATTAATGGGAGGGGGAGGGGGCAGAGAGGTAGGATAAGGGGAATTCTTTTTCCGGCGACAAGAGATTATGTGCTTTAAGGTGTTAGGGGTGTACCCTTAGGTCATTATTATAGGGGTTACAGTACTATTTTGAGAACTCTGAGGTTTTCATCTTTTGGTACTGTATTAGGTTCTGTATTACATGTTTTAGTACGCAAGACTATCAAGTTACAGTACCTAAAATAAGTTTATTATGTTGTTCAAGTAATTCTGAGCTACTTAACTGCGGATATTTGCAATGAGAGGGGGCGAAGATTTTTTGAACAATGTAAGAACAAGGTATTACTACATAATACTATACGACAATCAATGACACTTTGAGTATAACCCTCATGTCAATTAAAATTTCGATTAAAATACGGCAAATTAAAGTCATTTCCGTTTTTTGTCGCTGAATGCGGTTAATCGATTAAGCGTTTCGTCAATGTAACCGAGGGTTTTGTCGCCGAATCTTTCGAATTTCATACTATTCACAAGTTATCGTACGTGGTTATGTCATCTTACCATGGTAGATAGGGCTTACAGTGTAAAAGGGGAGGGGTATTAGATGTTTAATTAATTGTGTGCCCTTTTTCAAAGCAAATTTTTAGGGTCGGGGGCACGTAATTATTTAAACAACCTAATTTTTTAAGGGTAGGATAGGGAAAGGTAGGGGGTAGGGTAGAGAGCAGGGTAGGACAGGGTAGTGTAGATAGGCAGGATAAAGTTGGGTAGTGGTAGCGTAGGCTCTGATTAAGGGTATGGTAAGGTAGGATAAGCTTTAAAGATAAAAAAAAAAGACTTTCTTTCCTCTCCCCCCCCCCTTTTTTTTTGAAAATTTCACTCCTCCTTATTAAAAAAGGGTAGTATAAGTATTGTCATTGTGGTGTATATGAACATGTTTACTATGCGAAGCCATTTTTTAACTAATGCCATTCTTTTTAGAACAGCGACGAGGACGAAATGGCAATGATCGCGAGAGTCAAGCCTTATCAGGCTTCCAAAGACGAGAATCCACACTCTCACTATCAGTTCGAGGATGTCACTGACGACCCAAAGGTAGGAGGGTTACTGTAGAATATTTTGTCTTATATTGCCGTAAAAGATTACTGTATCGTGCAGTAATTTAGTTTGAAAAATGTAAAATGAGCTGAAGCCTAAATGTAAAGTGGAATAAGTTGTCGCTGAACTTATTTTTAGTGGCTTTGAAGGACATTTTATATGCTACTTGGTATGCTGATGCAAAAAGAATGCCGGTTTGAAAAGTTTTTAGCTCGCGCCATTGTTTTTGCATCATTTTTGATATTTTTGGGCCGAAACGGGAAGGGAAACAATGATATTAGGTTGTTCACTTAATTCTGCGCCCTTTACCAAAGCTAATTTGTAGGGTACGGGGGCGCAGAATTATGTGAACAACGTAGTAAAAGGACTGAAATTGGCGATTTATGGCTTTTCTTTGAACTTTTTGACCGCCCTATTTTAAAATTTAAATTTTTGAAAAAAAATTTTTTTAAATTTTTTAAATTTCCATAATTGCTTTCTACTTCCTTTTACCTGAAACACCTCCTCAAAGGCTCAAAAGCACCTCTAATATAGTTTGTCGCCGCTTCCGCTTCGGCATCATTACCTTATAATTGTTTCAGTACCAGGAGAAGAAGCTGCCCGACCTCGAGGGCGCGCTGGTCGAATATTGTCGCATCGACCATAACAAACAGAAGCCACAGCCTCAGGTGCTTCAGTCTCACACCGTCGTGAGTGCGCGTAGCCAAGTCGACGTGAGTTTTGGCATTTATCGGGTTTTGGTATTGGTTTTTGGGTAAAAAGTAGGAAGCTTGTGGGAAATTAAGGGTTTTCGACGATAAAATACGGTTATTCTGGGGGATTACTGTAATCTTATTGTAGAATATGATGACCTAGTTAATTTAAAATTTGTATTTTTGAAATTTAAGAAACTTTGTTTCCACTGATTTTTGTCTTGTTTTCTCCCCACTTCTTCCTTTATTTCCCCTGCACCGTGCAATCAAACCTCTTTTCCTTCTTGCACCGTGCAAAACAAAGCCGATTTCTGCACAGTGCAACAAACTCTCGCTAACCTTTTGCACCGTGCATCCTCAATAAGGTCTTTTGCACCGTGCAGTTCGAATAAGATTGTTTGCACCGTGCAACCAAATTTCCTTATTCTTTACGCACTGTGCAGTCTAAAACAGTCCTGCGACATTTTAATGCGACAAACTGTTTTTTCCAAAAACTTGAACGAGTATTTGTCGCACTTTTATTCAAAATGTTTTCTGCGATAAATTTGCACTGTGCAATAAAAGTTTTCTGCTCACTGTGCGACTTTAATGGGTTCAGCGATGTTTCTGCAACATTCTTTGTTATCGCATCTCAATGTTCTTGAAAGTTGTCGCAGAGGTTGGTCGACAAACGCAGCAAATGTTGCGACAATCTTTTGCACATTGCGACATTCATTGATGTTGCTTTTCAATGTTTTTTTGAAACAATTTTTTGCGAAAATTTGTCGCAAGGCTTGGGAAGAACGACGAATTGACTTTGTCGCGATTTCTTTAGCGACAAAGCTTGGGCAGTTTTCGTTTGAATTGATGTCGCGACACAATGCTCGATGCGACACTTTTTGAGATTGCACTGTGTCGCTGGTCTTGTCGTTTGCACTGTGCAGTCTTTTCTGTCGCCGATTGTCGCTGCTTTTTTTATGGAAACAAAAGCTGAAATTCGTCGCGTTTTTGCACTGTGCAGTCTTACTCAATGTTGATCTGAATGTTTTGGCGACAATTGGCTGTTTTTTCTGGTTCCTTTGCACAGTGCAGTCTTTGCAAGAAGAGGTTTTCTGGTTTTTTGCACAGTGCAATGAGGCTTTCATTTTTTGCGATAAAAGGTTCGCGACTGCACCGTGCAATGGAATTCAATTGAGTTTGCACTGTGCAAAGAAATTCTGTATTGATTGCACTGTGCAGAGCTTTGCGTTTGCACTGTGCATCAGAAATTAATTTGTTATTGCACCGTGCAGAGTCTAATTATTTGATTTTTTTTTGCATGGTGCAGTATGCTTTTTTTGCACGGTGCACTCTATTTTCTCTGTTTTTAAGCGTTTAAAACCTAAAACAGTTTAAAAAAAAGCAAAAAATATAGCAAACACTGCGACAAGAGGGTTGTTTTGTACAAAATCGACCATTCGCTCCACTTTCCGGTCATCGTATTGTTTTGGCGGTTGATGGATCGCGTGTCGCGGCCAAGGGAGGGGGGGGGCGGGTCCTATTGGCCATTAATGGGCTTGGCCAAAACAATTGTTTTGTCGTAATGCGATTACCTTGCGGCCTCAACCTTGTTTTGCTTTATTTTTGTTTTTCGTACCTAATCTTGTTTGCGGGTTACGGTAGGTCAGGGGGAGGGGGGGGAGGGTTTCTAGGTTTTAGTATGTCTGGGAGCGACAAACAGGGCAATGATGAGGTTTATATTAAGTTATGGTGACAGAAGTTTTTGAAGGGGATACTGTAGGTTTTCTTTAGTGGTGGGAGGGGAGGGGGTTACTGTAGGTTTTATAATACTACAAAGATTACAGTACTGTGAGTTTTAGTAGGATGATAAGCCTGAGGTACTGTAGCTTTGTAATTTTATTTTGACTTCAACCTATGGGGTTTACTGTAATATTCGCTTAAAAATATAGCGTTTTTTGGGTTACTGTAGTTACTTTTGGTACTGTAACTTGAATGTTTAATTTTGCACCAGTAAGTTAGTTTAAAAATTAGATTACTGTATTTTTGATAAAGAATACTGTAACTTGCTATAGTGGTAAACGTTGTATAGATTTGTACGGTTACTGTAACGTTTCTTACTGTAGCATTTATATGAACTGTAGAATTTAAGTGGGCTATCGTACTGTTTGTTGTTGTTTATTGCGGTTCAGCCTGCTTCTTGTCGCTTTTTGGTCATTTTTCCGTTTTGATGCCCTCGGGTCTTCCCCCCCCTCCCCCCTCTTTCTTCCCCCCCCTCTTGGAAACGTTTGGAAACCAAAGAAAGGCCAAGTTGTCGCGAAACTTGGAGAATGCCCTCAGGCAATAATCTGGGCGTTTGTTAAAAGGAGCCTTCTTCCAGATTCGGCCGTTCTTCGACCATCGTTCTGTGCCATCTTCTTTTCTCTTCTCTTCCCTCTCTCCCTCCCCCCTATCCCGTGAGACTCATTCCATAAATTCTCGGACGATTTGCATATGCAATCTGCACTCTTACAATAGTTTTGTTTTGGCCGCTTTAATGGGCGACGAATGGCTTCTGAAGCCCGAATCTGAGGCTACAGGGCCAGCAGAAGGTTCAGAAGACTTTTCGATGTTTATTACGTCTATTTGTCACTATTGTCGCAGCTTTTTTGTTGATTTTAAGGAAGGTTTAGGGACTGCACTGTGCAGTTTATTTATTTTGCACGGTGCAAGGTAACTTACAAACTAAAATACGGCCTTAAATCACTCTTAAACTTAAAATTTTTAGTTTTTTTTTTATTTTTATAATTTAGCACTTCTATTTGTCATCATTTGTCACCACTTCTTTTTGATTTTGTCGCTGATTTATCGAAGAAGAAGTTGACTGCACTGTTCAATTTATGTGTTTTGCACGGTGCATGCTATTTAAAAGCTAAAATACTGGCTTAAATTGATTTTAAAATCAAAATTTTTTACTTTTTTACGTTTCTATAGTTTAGTACTTCTATTTGTCATTATTTGTGAACGCTGTTTTTACTTTTGTCGCTCATTTTGTGAACGAAAATCCGACTGCACCGTGCAGATCATTTATTTTGCACGATGCAATCTTTACAAAAGCCAAAAAAAGTTTAAAAACGGGTTCAAAAAATTAAAAAGCATGTTCTTGCCTTCCAGAACCAACTTACGGCCTCAAGAAAAGAATCCGAAATTGAGCTTGGAATTCTTGTTCGAAGCCGGCTTTAAACGAAGCCGCGGCTTCGGAAAAGAGAATCCCAATATGGTGGAAGTGATTTGCATGATACGATGACGTCGTGACATCTATTGTCTACGTCATTCGTCCTGCAAAACACTGTGCCCAAGGGTTCAAGTTTATATTATAGTAGGTCGGAGATGGAAAACAACAAACATTTTGACGTTTAGTGGACTTGTTGAGTACTTTAGAGGATTCTGGAGGGGTACTGGGTTTACATATGGTCTTGTGGGTTTAAAGGCGAGGTTTTAGGTTTAGATTGAGATTAGTTTTGGGGTTTTGCCTGATTTTGGCATTCTGTTGCAAAGCGATATTATTTTATTAACCAAAAGGTCAATATGACAAAAACTTTATTTTTAGACTATTTTTAGCATTATTGTTGATTGACTTGCTTAATTTCAATAAAAAGTTTATTTGAAACACAATGCCAAAAGTTGCGGGAAATTTTAAAATTTAAATTTTCAAATCGAATCTTTGCCATTTTTGTTTGAAATATGTTCTAAAATGATCTTTAAAGTATGTAATATTAGTTTCACTTACTATTAATTTAATTATGAGCTTTAGTCTGTAGGTAACTAGCCGACAATAACACTTTATATCATCATTTACCCCTCATAGACAGCATATTATACTGAAAATTGTGTTATAGGTTTGTTTGTAAACTCAAAACATATGTATACAACAATGTTTCGTTCATAATTGTTCTATAATTGTGTTAGTCACAGTGGCTGATGCATATATTAACATTATTTCTCTCTTGAAACATTGTTTACTAGCCATATTTACTGCCATTTCATGCTGAATATCATCGTTTATGAGAATGTCTGAAGCATTGTCTATATTAACATGTTTATTGAGTTAGGGGGTGGTATTGTGGTAGGTAAATGAAGGTAAATAGTAGGGTTAATTGAGATTAACAGGATCATCAGGGTAATAACATTGTTTTAGGTATAGTGATATTGATATAGGTATAGCTGAGAGTGATGTTATTATAGGTGTAGAATACGAATTAGATAGAGTTGTTTGTATAGTTTACTGAGTAACTTGTTGGTAAACTTGAAATTCATCTGGTCTTATTTAAATTAGTTTGAAACGGCTTCCCTTCGAGACAGCCGTTTTTTTTTGTTTCTTTGTTTTTTGATAGTTTTGCCATCTTTTATTCGGAATGTTGCCCAAATGTCATTACTCTCAGTTTTTAAAACTTGTTTTTTTATTTTAAAGGTTTTTACAACCTTTCATTCGTATAACTTGTCACCTTTTCGTATAAAATGGCTCTATTTTAAAAAATTTTATTTGCGACACGAAACTCTATTTAATAGTACATCCATAGTTCATATCATATTTATCATAAGCGACACTATTTTCTGAACTGACACTTTAAAATAGACAAACTTTGATCTTTTGTCAACAGAACGGCGACATATTTCCAAAAGGCTCGGGTTTCAACAGACAATCTGTCGCCAAATAATGAAAAGTTTGGAACTTGAGGCCAATTCCCCTGCGGGCACAAAGTGAAGAGAGTGCGCAGTTGAGCGTTATGACCAGCCGGCTGGTTCTTTTCTAGATTTGGGGCCTTATCGAACCTGTTTTGTCGCGGTAATTGGGATCCCCCTACTGTAGACAACGTGCTCCATCGTGCCCTCCGGGCGTCAAATTGGCTTTGAATGTGCTCAAACGTGCTTTTCTTTCCGAGCACGCCCGCCTCTGACACTCCTATTTTGAGGGGGGGGGGGGGGCTACTTTTAACGACAAATTAAACTGTTATAAAGTCGCCTTTTTTAGGCTTAAACTCTTAGTTTCGGCCAAAGAATGACGCTAGACGGCTCCTTTTAGTAAAGTGACGGTAGAAGTTGATAGTCAGAGTAAATTTAAACATTGCCAAGCTTTCGGGTCCCACCACGAAGCAAAAAGATGGGACAAACGGCCGGAAAGCTGATTATGAATGTATATGGACCGGGGTCACGCTGAGATGAATGTTGCCACTGTTTATGGGCCGTCTTTGTCGCGAAACAAGGATTAGTTTCTTTGACTAATGCCTTTCCGCGACAATCACTCATACTGGTTTAGTTCGCGAAACTTCTTTCTTTCACATTGGCTTACATTGTTTTAGTGTGTAGTAGTTAACATTTGACTTTTATTTTTAGAATAACATACTGACATATATTCAGACTACATAATGTGTATAGTTAAACTACGTAATATAACACAACTTACACGTAGATAAGACTCTATTACAATATTTTTTAAAATGTAGAATGCGTCAAATTGCTGTACTTTATCTGTTTTAAAATTACCTTGATTTTACTTTGACAGTAACATAAAATTCAAATGTTGATTTCAGAGCTTTGGCGGATCACCAAAGGCTCGGCCGCAAGCTGCGATCTGGGCGGCCGACCGAAAGCTGATGGCGCATATCATCGATGTCGACGTGGGCCAGCCCTGCTCCAACTCGGCCAAATGTCAGTGCTACGGGTTTCGGCCGCATCCCTGGAGGTAGCTTTAGTTTTACATTTAATTTTTCTTTCATTTTTATAGCTTATTAATACCTAAATTTGTTTTATCTTATGTAAAATAACATATCTCTTGTGTTTCTTGGTCTTATCATACTTTGCTTGTTACTAGGCTAATATTTAACACTTTTTTAAAAAATACGGAACATAATATCTATTTGAATATAACTTTTGGTCTTTGCTTGATTAGCATAACAATCTGTTTTATTATCGAAAGGCACATCTGGTAGTCTATAATACCTTTCATCTCATATTCTTATGTTCACCATGGCCAAAGTGACGATTTTGTTTTAGTATTCGATTTCTATTATATCCTAACTTTTCTCAATATAATTTTACATTTTCTGATAAGAATATAATAACGAGTGTATTTACTAACACAAATGTAGTCTATTGTTTTATCTTTTACGACTTTGACCGGTCGATGCCAGATGTGGGACAATGCCTGTTTACTGCTTCTATTGAGTTGTTAACTATGCAGGGTTGAGAATTATTTATTTACTTTACTATATAGTCTTAAAGGACAACTTTTTTGAAACTACTATTATAGTTTGCGTGGTATAAGAGGTAATATAATAGGTATATTGATGGATTTCGTAATAATCGTCATTTTTAAAAGCATCTACTTTATAGTTCTATACATCAAACAGTATGTATATCATAGGTGTTATGGCTTTTCACAAAAACGTGAAGAATGGAATATCTACAGGACTTGACTGTTGGCAGTTGAGACATTTCACAACATATCTGGGCGAACTGATGGTGTAGTCTATTAGGCAATCCATGCAGCTAAACACTTTCAAACATCATAGACATAGTACAGGACGATCGGCTTCTTCTTCCAGGCAACTGCGACAGGCATCATTCTCGAGTTCCACACCTTCTATGATATTCAAAACGAAGTGTTTATACCTGAAATATGAGGCGACTTGCTTAAGGCAATGTAAAGCATTATTTATTTGTTTTTATTACATACAAAAGTCGTTTAACTTTTTAAATTTTAAAAGTTACCTGGTTATTTCACCACAGAGCCTCTTTAAGGTAGCTGCATCTTTCAAATTTGGTAGCTTCATATTGAAGTGTAAGCAATTGTACTTTTTGAACAATGCTTCCATGGGCTTTTTGGTTCAAAATTGCAGGTTCCTCATCTTTGTTTTCAAAAATACCGTCAAACATAGCAAAAAATTCAGCGGTAGGTGCCATATTAGAACGATTGGAATATGAGCATACCTCAATAGAGCGTCTAAATTATTGCGCAATTTTTAAGAAAGGTTATGGCAGCAAGCTCTTGGGTATTTTTCTATTTATTAATGCCAATACACAAAAAGCAAATATTACAGTAGGTGTTGCCATGTGAGGTACGAACGGATTAATTTTACGTCTATATTTTCTTTAATGACAACCACTGTTATTTAAGTTGGGCGTAGAACATGCAGTCTATAGCGCCGCATTTCTGGCACTTGAGGCATTTTATAAGGTAGGTTTTTTCTAGGCAAATCTGGCAGGTATCGTTCTCTATCTCAACGTTGCATGTGTTTATTGATAATTTAACCATCATTCTTAAATATACGACAACATTACTTTTACAAACTACGGTAGTGAATTATTATTAAAATACGTTTTTTCTAAGAATCGAGCAAATTGAATGCCTGACTCGACAGGAAAAAAAGTCGATGTTTCAGAAATGCCTAAAAATTGAATATATGTTTTGTTAAATAGCTAGAAATTCAAAAATACAAAAAAAATTTTTTCGAAGTTACAGTATCATGGAGTACTGTAGCTTGACCTCATTTTTTGTAACTCAAGAACGAAACGTCATACAGACATGCGGTTTTCACCATAATGTTTGTCGTTGTCAAAAACGTATTTTTTATTATTACATCAAGTTTCTATCATTGCGGGAAAGTGTTGACAAATTTGCATATTTACGCGTGGTTACAGTAATCTTTTAGTTTCTCAAAAACGGTCCACAGTGCCATTATTTTTTATCTCACATTCTTAAGGTACGTTTTCTTGCGGTTCTAACGCTACCATCCGCTTGTTCCAACACCGCTGCGAATGTGTTCAAAATTTGAGTTAAAGGTACCCCCTTAGGGTAAATATGCCTTTTTTTATATAATAACTCATTTTTTTTAATGTATATGTTTGTTTTTTGTTTTAAATTCATTTACAAAACTTTTATTAGTATGCTTGGTACTTTTGGCGACACAAGTTTGCATAAAAAATGAAGTTGCATATTTCAGAAAATACAGTAACCCTACTATTTCTTTTAAAATTTCCACTGTGCCATTATTTTTTATTTTGCTTGTTTAAAGCAAATTTTTTGCTTGTTTAAAGCAAATTTTTTGCGGTCCTAACGCGCCTATACATTTGATCCAAAACCGTGGACAACTATGTTAAAATTCGTGTTTAACCTAACCTGTTAGGGCAATTTTGCCTGTTTAGAATGTTTTCAACGTTTTTTGTTGAAAGATCATCTTGGATGTTGATGACAATACATAGTTGCATTATAAAATACATCTAAAAATTTAAAAATACAAAATACAGTAATCCTTTACGAATTATGAGCCAATTTATGAAAACGAATTTGAAGAAATTGTTGACGACATTATAAACAACGATGACACAAAAGATTTGATTGCTTTTTGCTTTCATAAATAACAACATGTAATAGTATTTTATAATGCAACTATGTATTGTCACCAACATCCAAGATGATCTTTCAACAAAAAACGTTGAAAACATTCTAAACAGGCAAGATTGCCCTAACAGGTTAGGTTAAACACGAATTTTAACATAGTTGTCCACGGTTTTGGATCAAATGTATAGGCGCGTTAGGACCGCAAAAAATTTGCTTTAAACAAGCAAAATAAAAAATAATGGCACAGTGGAAATTTTAAAAGAAATAGTAGGGTTACTGTATTTTCTGAAATATGCAACTTTATTTTTTATGCAAATTTGTGTCGCCAAAAGTACCAAGCATACTAATAAAAGTTTTGTAAATGAATTTAAAACAAAAAACAAACATATACATTAAAAAAAATGAGTTATTATATAAAAAAAGGCATATTTACCCTAAGGGGGTACCTTTAACTCAAATTTTGAACACATTCGCAGCGGTGTTGGAACAAGCGGATGGTAGCGTTAGAACCGCAAGAAAACGTACCTTAAGAATGTGAGATAAAAAATAATGGCACTGTGGACCGTTTTTGAGAAACTAAAAGATTACTGTAACCACGCGTAAATATGCAAATTTGTCAACACTTTCCCGCAATGATAGAAACTTGATGTAATAATAAAAAATACGTTTTTGACGACGACAAACATTATGGTGAAAACCGCATGTCTGTATGACGTTTCGTTCTTGAGTTATGAAAAATAAGGTCAAGCTACAGTACTCCATGATACTGTAACTTCGAAATTTTTTTTTTGTATTTTTAAATTTCTAGCTATTTAACGAAACATATATTTAATTTTTAGGCATTTCTGAGACATTGACTTTTTTTCCTGTCGAGTCGGGTTCTCGGCCCTTACAAAAAATGTGTTTTAAATAGCTGAACAGTCTTCAAAACATTAGTAAACTAAAATGACATTTAATTATTAATATTTACTTATTAGTATTTATATTGTAAATTGATTTACAGTATGATCTTATAATAATGCTTAATTTTTAAAATCATTATTCTTGTCTGATAAAAGTAATGATCACCGTAGCCAAAATATAATGTCAGGCTAAGTTGCGTAATGTGAATGATGGTCGAGAGTTGTGGGTCGAGAGTGAATCTCTCCCCGCGGACATTGATATAACATAGTAAGAGGGGGTGCATCGCATTTCTTGTGACCCTCCGGGCCCCCACGAATCCCGAGAAGACAATGGGAATGTTTCCGGTTGAGTAGAGTGACTTCTGGGAGTGAATCCGCTTTATTGCCTTATTCGAATGTCATGTATCTGATGTGTTGAGGGGTCCTGTCCCATAATCCCTGATATCCCCAACATTGTACTTCTGGGGTCATTCTTGTGTGAAAAACGGAAACAACGTTTTGGCCGCCGTTCTTGGTTTATATTTCGCACTAATTTGGGAGATTTTGGATTGCTTTAGGGATTTTAGGAAATTTTTGAAAAGTTTTGTTTTTTTAAATTAATAAAGGATTTTAAAATTTAAAATATATTAGGGTATTTGCATACGGCTAGCTGGTTGTGTTTATTTTGGTGTTTTTTTGTTGTAATTTTAAAAATTTTGTTTTTATCTTACTGTAGTCAAGTTTTATAATTAAAATTTTATTTTTGGTTTTTATAACCTTTTTTTCAAAATCATTTTTTGGGTTTAGTAAACATTTTTTTTAAATTTATTAATGAGAACATGTAATTTATTGTTTCCTTTTTATCCCGCTTTGTTTCAATTTGTTTATCTAGCCACCTGCTCTCTTGTTTGTCATCATTTTTGACACCTTTTGTCTATGTTCTTATTTTGATGACGTTTGGTCTTATTTTTCGATCTGAGGGGTGATATTGATGTTTGTCATCAGGTTTTTGGAATAGTCTATTTTTAACTGGACTATAATATAAGGCTCTTCATACTATTTTCAATAATTCAATAATATATACACGAATATAGATGTATATACATACGACGACGTTTTCATTCACATACAGCGACATAAAGTGTCGATGTTTACTTGATGATCGGCGATTGTTGTTTTCGGCCGCCACATATCATGGTATAATATATTATTAGATTATGGCGAATCTGGGCATAAAACTTGATGAGCCCTGAGGCGCTAAACAGTTTCTTTCGTTTGAAAAGAGCGGCTTTGTGTGGAATGGCCTCAGCGCCACGCCCATTTCTGCTTGGCGCCTTAGGGTTAAAGAGGAGTTTATCTGACTGGCTGTCGGTTGGGGCAAGGAATATAGCTTATTTTTCGCCAACTTTCGACCGTCCCGACAGTCCCTCCGGACGTTTTGGACCTTCATCGCGAGCCGGCCCTCACCCGATCTTCAGGACCAGCTTCGCGGCAGCCGGCTGGCGGGTCTCGTTTTTTTCTTCGGTTGCGGTGAAACAACACGGAATCGACCAGTGGCATCAGGGGGTTGTGTGCGACAAAAGGGAATAAAAGATTCAATAAAGGCTACGGAAGACGCCCCAGAGGGCAAAAGATCAGAACCGTAGCCTTGCTGACCTTCGGAATCTGGCGCCGGGCAAGTTCCTCCGCCGACTCTTTCGAGCCCCCAAGGATGGTGGGGCTCCACCGAAGCAGCCCCACGAGAAGAAGCACGATGAGAAGAAGCACGATGAGCAGGAGGAGGGTGTCAGTTCGTGTGTCCATTCCCCCGCCTCCACATCGTCCGAGGTCGTGACATCGCTCACGAACGGCGACCTCAAGCGCCACCAACAACACCGCCACAGTCATCGCGAGTCCGTCCACATTGAGCAGTCCAGTCCACCGTCAGCACGACGCCCGACGTCCGCGACCTCCGGCAAGAAACCTATGGTGCAGTCGGATGTTGCTATGTAGGTTGTTTGTCATGGCAACTGTTTTTGTTTACTTGTTTTGGGGCTGGCTAATGGTCAAGGCTATTTGGAATTTGCATATTAGAGTTTGTCTATATTACAAAGATAATATGTTATTAGGTCTAGCTTGCAGTAAAGACTTGGAGTTAAAAATCAATTCTCGTATTTAATTTATACTACTTTAGGTATATTTCACATATTTTTTTTACTTTTGCTTTACATTACTCTGGCATATAGTTTTACTTTGTTAAGAGTAACTGTCTTTACTTTGTAGTATTTGATTGACAACATGACATGCCCGTTGTTTTTAAGCGTTAAATTCCTCTTGATGCACATATCAGAGGTTTTTTTGCGTTTTGATATCGACTTTAGGCTTAATTTTGGGTCCAATGTCTATCAGGCTAAAATTTTAAGTGTTTAGGCTTATTTTTAAACTTAATTTTTCTTAATCTCTAGGCTTACATGTCAAGAAAGGTTTAAAATATGTTTTTAAAGTAAATTATACCTTTTTTCTTTACCACAGCTTTTAAACTTTGACTTTAATTTTTATTTCAAAGCTCATATCTAATGTTAACTTTTACGACCTCAACCTTCAGCTTGACGTCAGTTTCATGACTTTAGGCTTAAACTTTGACTTTTGTTCTGAAATCCGAACACAAAACATTATGTTTTACGAGTATTTGGTTGTTGTTGCCATCTTGTTTGAATTCTGTTTTAATGAGTTATAGGTCTTGAATAGATTTATATCAGTACGTATTCAATAGCTTTATATTATAATGAATATAGCGATATATATGGCTTTTTTCTTTATGATATATATGGCCCTAGCACGTGCATTTGCAATAATAGCACGTTTATGAATAATATGGAAAATGTTGTTATGTTGACATGTTTTGGCCATAACTCGGTTATCTTGACATAGTAGGAGATTATATGGGTTGATATATGTTAGTTTTTATATTGGCAAAGTGTCTTTATTGAAGGGAAGTAGCAAGCTTTAAAAACAATGGCATGAGGAAAGGGTGGGGTAAAATGATAGTTAATGGGCGGGGTAAAATGTTGCGTAAGGGTTGTTTTTTGAAAAGTTTTTTTTTTATTTGAAGTTATAAAAAATATTGTTTGAATATCAAAAATTTTTTAAATTTAAAAATAACTTTTGCAACATTCTATCAAATCCCTAATTTCACGCCCTGAGGCCATAAATAAATATTTTTTGCATGAAATTCGATCTTTCTTGGCCACAAACAAGACATATGCCTTGTTGAACATGGCTGAAGTCAGTGGAGCGAAAGTCTTTTATACATCGCGATAAGGGATCCTCAAGGGCGCGACAAACCGGAAAGAAGATCCGCCTTTCAAGTTTCAATTATAATATCACCTTCATTCATATCATCGTATCTTGTTGATATTCTGGCATTCCAAGGACATTTGTCATAACATTAGGTTCTACTGTAAGCTCTGGTTGCTACATGACTATAGTATATTGGAATACTCAGTAATTTCTATATTGTATTAGTTTTGAGCATATAGGTTTCTTCATTTACTGGTCGTATTTCACTCTATATCTACGACAATATAAGTCATCTGACTCTAAATTGACATAATATCTTGTTTCCTTGTTATTATAACAAGCTGACAACATATTTTGTGAGACAAGGGACTAGTCTAATCAACAAGTTTATTATACTTGTCAATCGACCACTTCCTGACATCTTCAGGACATTATACTTGACATCTAAACTCTTTGGTATAAAAGAGCTCATTCTAGTCGTAGATATTTTATTTTTGGCTTAATAGTAGCTAATACTATATATAATTCTATACTAGCTAAAATTCTAGTCTATTCTAAAGTTTAGTCCAGCTAGAGGATATTAAAAATAGTCTAAAGGCAGGCATAGTCCAGATATTACTCTGTAAGGCTAACCCTGAACTAAAGTCACGGTCAAGCACCTGAATAGGCCTCTGAAACCGTCGCTTTCACCGAATCCGACTCTTCCCAACTCCGAATCTTCTTCCTTTCACTGAAACCCTCCACCGTCGCCGTCTGAATGGGCCTTCAGAAGCGCTCATTCCGATCACTATTCCGTCGAAACAAGCGGTATATCTTAATCAGTCTTGTTTTGATGGCTTTGTTGTTATCACCTCTTTAATCACTCTTTGTTACTTGCAGAAAGGTGTGTGTTCATTGCAAATGCGACAGGAACGAGCACGATGTCGACTCCAATAAAGTGCTGACTGTGTACGAGCGTTTGGGAATCAAGCCGAAGGAAGGCGTAGCGGTGAGTAATTGGGGGAGAGGGTGGGGTGGAATGGGTAAAAAGATTATTTTTAAAATTTTATAACTTATTTAAAATTTTAAAAACTTATGTAAACGGCTTTAAAACGTAAAATACAGAGATTTAGCACAAAAAATTTGATGTTACACTACTTTTTTTGGTCATAACTCTTTTATAAGCCTAAATACAACATTGAAATTGTATAAAAATTAAACACAAAACCTGTAAAATTAGTTGAAAACTATTTATCGTACTTTTATACTGTATGTTTTGACAAAACTGGTTGAATTACTTCTCCTCGAGCAAGTTCTGTCTACTATAATATAAAGTTTATGGCCGATTAGCCTTGCCATCCTTTTATTGGACTCGAAAAGACTACGAAAATACGTAGCAACGTCAGAACTTAATTCGAACTTATTTTAGTCAATTTGAGTTTTGAAAAAAATTAAATTTACAAATTTTTTAAAACTTAAACTCATTTTTTAAATGCTACGTAACACAACATACTTACAGTTAATATATTACAAATAAATTGCAGCTAGACTGGTTAAAACGTAGTTTGGTCTAAAATTTTGTGTAAACTAAAATACGACATTTTTTATTTTTGGTTTTTTAAATGCCGGATTCTATGTATTTTTTGACCAAACAAGTATTTCCTTGTAAAATACGAAATTTTTCAACCGGCTAAACGACATACAATATATAAAAAAGCTGCCTTCAGATGCCGCAGAAAAACAACGAAATCGGAACGGCCGGCCATGGCTACACCTGGGTCCCGCCTGGATTGCCTAGGGTTAAGGTCGAGGAATACATGAATAAACTGCCAAACCATGTGGTGCCACGGGTCAACTCGGCCGGTGAAAAGTACCGCGAGAAGCAATTAATGGTCCAACTACCTCGACAAGACCTCTCCGTCTCCTACTGTAAACACCTGCGGACCGCGGTAGAGCGTCGTATCTACGATGAGTTCGTGAACTCGAGGAATGAGGTCGCTCTGGACATTGGATATGTTAATGCCACTCTTACTGCCACAACTGTAAGACTTTACAAGGTTTCTCAAAGGTTTTTTTGGAAATAGTTTTGTGCAGGCTGCGGTTTGGAACATTGTCATGGGCGCAGCTTGCCAGTTTTAAAAACAAAAAAATGAAGTTATGAAAAATACAAAGAATGCAACTATTTCTACCTATTTTATTACCAAAGCCAACTTTTTAAAATTTCCAGGAATGCCGCAAATGCAAAGGGATTCTGGAGAAGGGCACGATGGCTGTGATCTCGCCCAAATTGGGCGACGACGCCGGCTGGCATCCAGCTTGTTTCTCGTGTGAAACTTGTGAACAGGTAAGAATTGTCACAATATTTACAGTCCAGGGCTATTTACTGATGTTTACAGTTGAAAAACCTAATAAAATTAAATTTTTTTATTTTAAAATTTGCACATGCATTTTCAATGCCATTCTTAACTTGTTTATATGTCATAGTCAAGTTAAAGAAACAAGTACACCCCCTCGGGGAATGTCTGATTATCCGTTTTTGGCATTTAAAAAACTTTAAACTGCTCAAGTTTTGGGTTTAAACACATTAATAGTTAATGTGGGGGTGGATCTTTAAATAGTTTGCGGTTTACGATAGGAGTTTAGGCTAAAATCGATAATACTTTAGGCTAAAATGGCAATATTTTGATTAAAAGTGACTAAATCTTGTCAAAAGTCATTTTTGAAACAATTTTCAAAGCAAAAATAAGCAAAAAATGTTGATATTTAAGTAAAAAAGGCAAAGTTTTTTTAAAGGTTTTTTTTTCGATACTTGATCCGTATTTTACAATAAAAAATCTGTTTTTTGAGACATTTCTTTATGACAATCGACTTGTTTTTGCAAGGAAAGTGGAAGTATATTTTCATAAACTTTGAAAGGATTAGATTGTCATCTATTTTTTAAAGCTTTCTTATGGCTAAAATTGACTTTTATTGCCATTGTAAGCTCTTTGTGTTATACATAAGCTTGTTCTAAATCTTATGTTAGAGTTTGTTGGCAAAAATGTCTTCGTTTGTCATTATACCATCATATATTTCCTTGAAAAGTGATTTTAAGTCTTATATTTGAAACTTTTGTATACACCTTGGGACTCATTTACTACTCTGAAACGGTATCAATTTGATTAGAAGCTGTTATATTATACTAGTCAACAAAAGCTGTAAAATCAATATATAAAGTAATATGACATTATACTTGATCAACAACAATATTTTCTTCTAGTAACAATATCTATTATCATTTTCAATATTTTCAGTTACTGGTCGACTTGACATACTGCGCCCGTGAGGACAAGATCTACTGCGAGCGGCACTACGCCGAGCTGCACAAACCAAGATGTTCAGCATGTGATGAGGTAAGTGCAGGATCCGATTACTCGTCGGTATTTGGCCGGATACGACCGGCGGGACATAAAGTAAACTTTACTTTACACACATGTTGCTAAAAGTAACCTGCATGCGGTGTACACTTTGGTAGAAATTGGCTTTGGGCTAGGTGTGGGTGATAGAGGGGTGGTTTTTATAAGTATTAGATAAGGTAAATTTACATTTTCTTGCAATGTCGTGATAAGGATCATTGTGTTGTCACCGTGGTGCAAGGGGCAAAAGACTGATAGAGTTATAAATTGTAAATAACACAACACAGGGCAGGGTATGAGAGCCTGACTGTAAGTCATAAGGTTATAGTCATAAAAGTATTGCAATGTTAGCAGAGTTTAGGAACTACAGCCAGATGTCGGTAAGAACAGCCACCTTCTGTGACAAACTTTAGAAACGTGCTTTTTGCTCTCTCATGATCAACATGGCTCATCCTAAAGTGTCATACCTCTTTTGCAAGTGATATCTTTAGGGGTTTTTATGTTTGCAAATAATTTTATAGAGTTTTGTTTTTGCAATATATCTCAATATGTCTCTTTATATGGGTAACCAGCACTTACATACCTTTCTATACGCCTTTTATAAGCTTCCTTGATCAAGGATAGTACTTATATGGTTCTATAGCCCTTGTTAGCTTGTCTTGGTACTGAAAATAGATAGTGATCTAATCAATTCAATACTAGTACTGATAAGACCTTATAGTTTTACTTTGGCTTCTGAGTACTCCTATGTTCTATATAAATAGCCTATCCTATGCCATCTCTAGTGGTTATCTTATTCTATCTATACAGCCTATCTCAACCTACCTATTCATCTCCAAACTTCAATATCCCCTCCCCTCCAGCCCTATCTTGCCCCTCTCTGCTTCTCTGGCCGTAGGTGTGCCGTTTCGGCCGCTGTTCCCCCACTTTTGTTTCCGGCGCTTCATCAACGAGAAGGACAGGCGCTTGCAGTCAGAACATGTTCCCTAATCATGCAGATATATATGTGCGCCATTCGATTCTTATTTCGCGTTTGTTTCGACCCGCGGGACGGTGGCGCCCGAATGGATATGACCCCAGGGGATATCGCCCTGCCCCGCCGCCCAAAACTTTCTTTGTTTTGGGCCGAGTGGCTGAAGGAAGTGGTTTCGGGTTGATCCGCGATCATGAATTTAGAAAAGGAGGTGGTAGTGACGTTTTTTTTGCAAGGGTGTTGGGTGAGAACTTTTTTTTTCATAAGGGGTGGTTTAAAAAATCTGGTTCAAAATAGTTTTGCCAGAGGTGTCTTTGCGATTTATATGGCTTTTGGCAACAATTTTATAATTTTCGAGGGTTTGAAAGGGATTTTGGTAATTTGCAATCTTCTGAGAAAATTAGAAGTTCAAAGAATTTGATGACATCGTAAGGTCTCTAGGATACATATTTATTTATTTGTTTATTGCATCTATTAATACATTTAAACAAAAAATAATATAGACGATAATATATATAGTTCAATGTATTAATTATTGCTGACCCCTAGGGGGCTGACTTCTCAAATTTCTGCAAGTTCTACTATAAAAGAAATGATATTTAACTGAACTTTTGGAGAAGGGAACAATAATTTTACTACCACCTCTTGTCCTGGACTGGACAGATTTGGGCACTAAAGACAATACAATTAATTTTCTAGACATAATTTTATTACAAAACACTTTATCAATATTTAAGAGACGTTCTGACAATGGGATTATGGATAATATTTTAAGTCGTTCGGAGTAAGAGGGAACGGGGTTAAGATTTAAGCAACGACGGACAATGATACGAGTAAAGGTTTTTTGAAGTTGTTCTAACTTTTCCGAGTGTTTAGCCAGATGTGGAAAGTAAAGAGGAGAACAGTAATCAATGATAGGTAAAACATAAATTTTGTATATTTTTATAAGAATTTTTAAGTTGTTAGTTTTAACGACTTTTAACAGAAAGAAAATCCTTTTTTGACATTTAGAGTATACTTTTTGAATGTGATCATGGCATGTTAATTTAGCATTAACCATTAGTCCGAGATCCCGGACTACAGTGCTAGTAGGAATTGGTGAGCCGTTAATAAAATAGGGGTGTTTGGGGTTAGAAGGATTAATATGTAAGACAACACATTTGTGAATAGGTAATTGTAGCCCATTATTAGTACAGTATAACACAAACTTGTCAATAAAGTCTTGAATTTCATTGTGGTCACTCGATCTACCATAAATTTTAACGTCATCTGCGAACATTTGAATTGAGATGTTGTTCGTAGGACAGTAATATGGAAGATCAGACATAAAAAGCAAGAAAAGAAGAGGACCAAGGGTCGACCCTTGAGGCACTCCAGTGGACATTGAACGAGGACTAGATAAAGTAGAGTTAATCTTGACAGAAAAATAACGTTCCGAAAGGTAACTTTCAATCCATTTGAGAAACATACCATTAATGCGTTGATTAGAAAGCTTAGTTAAAAGAAGTTGTTGGTTAACAGTGTCAAATGCTTGTTTCAAGTCAAAGTATACAACATCAGATGAAATTTTATTGTCGAAATTATTAGTAAGTGTGGATAATGTCTCATAAAGATTAGTAAAAGTATTTTTACGGCGTACAAAACCATGCTGATAGGCAGGAATAAGTTGGTTATCGATTGAAAACTGAAGAAGGCATTTGAAAACAAGACGTTCAACAAGTTTTGAGACAGAGGAAAGTAAAGAGATTGGTCTGTAATTTAACGTAATGTTAGCTTGGCCTTTTTTGAACAAAGGAAGGATTGTAGCATGCTTCCATACTGATGGGACTACACCATGGCGAAAAGAAAAGTTTATAATTTTTGACAAGGGACCACAAAGGGAAAAAGCACACTTTTTGAGTACTAAGTTTGGAATAGAGTCCGGTGAAGAATTAACTTTAGCCGGCAAGGAAGACAATAAGTCGTAAACCTGAGAAGGAGATAGAGTGGGAAGGAAGATTGTATTAACCGTAATATGGCTGAGAGTGATAGAGATAGATTTAGATGAAATAGTAAATCGATCAGCAAAAGCTTCAGCCTTATCTTTGTCAGTAATGGCAAAACTGTTATTAGATGTAATAAGAGGAGGATAGTAGAGAACTGGCTTAGAAACAGATTTAATGACATTGAAGAACGATCTAGGGTTTTTGCTAAGAGCTTTAGTATCTTTAAAACGGTTGTAGGATAGAAGATAATTATTGAGTACTTTGTTAGTAATTTTAAGTTTTAGACTGTGAGACTCAGAGATAGAGATTTTATTCCATAGAAATTGGCGATATTTGATAAGGTTACGAATATGTGGTGGAAAATTGTAATGATGACAAGAATTGATGGTAGGAATGTGTGTATTCATTGCATCCGTGATAGAGTTGTTAAATAGATTAAGATAGTTGTCAACAGAGGTTTGTGGGTCAAATAGGTTATTTGTGCAATCAAATTCAAAACATAAAGCATTACTAAGCGAGACGTTGGTAGCTAGCCAATCTGCTTTGCAATAATCATACTTACTAGCTTTAGAAGATTTAGGAAGAGATAGATTAGTTGTAAATTGTATAGTATTATGATCACAGCCTGGAAAAGGCGGCAAAACACGTAGATCGTAAACATTAGAACTATTGTTTGTAAAGACCAGATCCAAAATGTTATTACCTCTAGTGGGTGAATTAATTAGTTGAGTAAAAAGATCTGGGGAAGAAGTCGAGAAAACATTTATCAATACGAGAGTTACTGGATGGGGGATTAGAATCCCATAAAATAGAAGAGAAATTGAAGTCACCTAGTAAAATAGTGTTTGCTGAACCAGTAGAGAAGTCAAAAATTATATTGCAAAGTTCTAATGTTTCGTCGTAGCTTAAAGATGGAGGTCTATAAACTACTATAAAACGAGTAGATGAGGTGCCAGATGGTGAAACAATATCGGCAACGAGGACGTTAAAAGATTTAGACACAGATTTAACGAAAGATAAAGGGATAGTGTTATTGTAAATAATAGCCACACCACCACCTTTTCGTTTCAAACGGTCGCATCTGAGAATACTGTAGTTAGTGTTACGAACGATAAAAGAGTCAGGAATAGAACTGTTGAGCCATGTCTCAGTAATAAACATAAAATGAAATTTATTAGTCTTAAGATATGAGTGTAAAAATGGTTTAGAAACTAGACTACGAGAATTAAAGTATAATGAGTATATAGGAAAAAGTTTGGGTTTGGGACTATAGTAGGAGAGAAAAGAGTTTGAATTTTTTGTAGTATTTCGATTATTAAAAGTATTAGAAATAATAGGAATAAAGGAGCAATGGGCAGAACATAGGAGAAGATTCAAAAATAGTTGTTTTGCTTAGAAGGTTAACAATGGCTATTAGGTTGTTCACTTAATTCTGCGCTTTCTCCCAAAACAAATTTGTGGAATAAGGGGGTGCAGAATTATGTGAACAACCTAATAGTTCATAGAAGGGTGAGGTAGAAAACTTAGGTTTGAGGTTGTTCAAATAGTTATAAGCAGTAATACTTTAGTATAAGAAGTTATGTTCTAGTATAAACAGTCACCTTGGTAGTTTTTTTGGGAACGGCCTAGTTTAATATCATGTGGTTTCGATACTTGATTGTTTGAAGAAAAATGTTTTAAATTGAACGCTTTTTGCATGTCTTGAAAGTCTGGTTTTAGTTCAGCGAGCTTTTTTAAATCAGCCTAATGGTATTAATTTTGAATTTTTAAATATAGCCTTAAGGTATAAATAATTTTTTTAATTATAATAGTTAAATTTTAAAGCTAAATTTCATAAATATTAAATGTTTCACATAATTCTGTGCTCATAAGCCTACAAATTTGCTTTGAGGAGGGGCGCAGGATTTTGTGAACAACCTGTTATATCTTTTGCTAAAATTAGAAATGGTTTTTTTTGAAATATTTACCTTAAGGCATGGCATAGTTTGTGATTAGAACTTTAAAACAAAAAAGTGAATTGTATAGAGATTGAGTTCGAGTTCAAACAGCTGATAGCACCCACTCGGACATGATTTTAGCCATTGTTCTTCTCTCTAATTGTTCGTTAGGTTTCACACTAACAATGCTAATAGACAGTCTGGAATTGATTAGACTGGTACTGGGTTTAGTACTATGTATAGGTCTTGGCGAGAGTAGGGACGTATTACTAAATATTGGCAAGAAGAGTAGTTGTTCTAGGGGATGGAGAGGGGGGGGGGAGGGGAGAGGTGATGACATTAATTTTGAGTAGAAGATGTGGGAGGGGTGGTTTATAGGCTGAAACTTAAGTCTAGCTAACACTTTTTAAAGGGGCGAAAGTTAGTGGGTGTAACTTTGTTTATTTCGTCGTAAAGTACAAATTTTATGCGAATTTTGATGAAAATTCATAGAAGAACTTAACGTATTTTACCTAAAAAAATACAACAACATATGTATGTACTTTAACCTATTACAATGTACCCTAATCTCTTATTTTCAGTTAATTTTCGCTGGTGAATACACAAAGGCCATGAACAAAGACTGGCATTCCGACCACTTTTGCTGTTGGCAATGCGACGTCACATTGACTGGTCAGAGGTACATCCTGAGGGACGAGCATCCATATTGTATCAAGTGCTACGAGGAAGTGTTCGCCAATACCTGTGATGAGTGTAGTAAAGCCATCGGCATTGATTCCAAGGTAAGACTATAGCTGGCAGTACCAACTATTTTTATATAACCCTACATTTTGTGGATTTCATAGTCTTTTTGTGACAAAAAAGTGTGATAACAATGTTTTGTGACATCGCTGTAACACTTTGGATGTCACACGTCAAACGTTGAGTCCTCGTGCTCGAATGCACAGCTGGATGACACTAACGGAACATTTGTTCAAAGGACTTATAGTAAACAAGATTTATTGCCCTTGTTTATTATCAGTTTATGACGATTTATGGCTTGATTCACTTACAAATTATATGTTGGGGAGATTGCCTATTAGTCCTTTCTTTGGCTTAATGTTAGGCTGGGCTTGCCTCAAATTTGACTTAAAATTGGGCTTGGCCAGCCGGTTAGGTCTTTTTAAATCATTTATGAATCAAATATGAGGCGATGGTTATACAAAAGCGGTTTTTTTTTGATTATCTAAACCATGGTAAAGTAGGTATAACTCTATCTATCTTTCAGGATCTTTCATACAAAGACAAACACTGGCACGAAGAATGTTTCCTCTGCTCAATGTGCCGCTTCTCACTGGTCGATCAGCCGTTCGGCAGCAAAAACGAAAAGATCTTCTGCTCCAACTGCTACGATCAGGCCTTCGCGACACGCTGCGACGGATGTAACGAGATCTTCCGTGCCGGAATGAAGAAGATGGAGTACAAGGGAAAACAATGGCACGACAAGTGCTTCTGCTGTGCCATGTGCAAGACGCCCATCGGAACGCGCAGCTTCATCCCCAAGAACGACGAAGTGTTCTGTTCCAACTGCTACGAGGAGAAGTTTGCGACACGGTGCTGCAAGTGCAAGAAGGTCATCAACTCGGGTGGTGTGACATACAAGAACGAGCCCTGGCATCGCGAGTGCTTCTGTTGCACGAACTGTGATGCGTCGTTGGCTGGACAGAGATTCACGTCTAAGGACGACAAACCGTATTGTGCCAACTGTTATGGTGAACTGTTTGCGAAGAGATGTAGTGCTTGTGTAAAGCCTATTACAGGTAAGGTTGAGTGATGGTTTAGGTTAGAGATTTAGACATTTTAAACTTTTATTAAGCTTAAAAACGTTACCTAAAATTCTATAAATTGAAAAAAAATCTTTGCAAATGCTTTTGCGGGTGGAGAAAACTGTTTTCAATTCATTTTAATTTTTGCAGCCCTTTATTTAGGTATAGAAACAGTACTATTTGTTTTATAGTATGGACAAATGGCATTGTTTTTGTACAGCCATACTAATGTTCTTTACACTACGTAAAAGAATGGTTTATGTACGAATAGTATGATACTAGTAGCGTCCATTTCTCGGAATGATACTACTAGTGTCTATTTTTAAACCCCAAAATGTGTTTATTTCCTGTGGCAAAACGTTTTTGATTAGCGCTATAATTCACGCGAGAAAAGCCCGGAGGCCATAAAACTAAATCAGTTGGAAGCGTTTTATGTGGAATTAAGCCGACTTTTTAAAAAATTTTTCAAAACATTTTTCGGGAACTGAAATTTAAAAAGAAGACCAAATTTTTTCCAAAAGCGACTTTTTCAAATCGGCCGAATTCTTTTTTAAATCGGCCGAAAAGTCTTCTTAAAAAACCGGCTAAACATTCAAAGAACAGCCTAAAATAAGAAATGGCAACACTGACCGAAACACTTTGCAGGGATCGGAGGAGCCAAATTCATTTCGTTCGAGGACCGGCATTGGCACAACGACTGCTTCATCTGCGCCCAGTGCACGGCCTCGCTCGTGGGCAAGGGCTTCATCACGGATGGGGCCGACATCCTCTGCCCCGAGTGCGCCAAGGCACGGCTCATGGCCGCGAATGCGTAGAGCGATAGCATAATCAGTCTTGTAATGTTGGGATCGGCCACTACTTTATAGTCTGCACAACTACACCTAAAACGCTCCAGATTTGTCTACAAAACCATACCTAAAATTTTATGAGATTACACTACTTTATGTTTATCTTACCACATAGAATAGAATTATCGTATGTTTACCGTATTACCCATAGAATTATATTATTCATATACTAGCCAATTACTCGTCTTCCAGAGATTACTGTATCTAACATTACAATCAGTGGGTACTGTAGCCAAATCTGAGACAAATATAACTTTAGTTGGCCGATCTAATCTTGTCGTCTCCGCTTGCTTCTCAACTTGTTACCATTACTACTGTGTCATATTTTATACTTTACTTTTAAGCCGATTCTATATGGTACGCCTTAAACGGGTACTCTACCTCCTTAAGGCTGTACTATATAGTATTCGGTGAGAAAGTACTACTATATTGTATTCCGTAAGTACTGTATTCACGTTTTATTCCGTCCTTGTTTAGAATCGCCTCCTCTGTGTCATAATTACTTTCAAGAACATTTTCTTTTCGAAACGATCTCAATACATCTTATCATCAAGTGTTAAGATTAAATTTTATTTTTATAACAATGTAATAAACTCAACAATAACAATTTGGCCAAAGTAATAACAACTTGGATAGGTGTTTGCAAAAATACGATTTAAATTCGAAAATTTCAAAAAGTTTGATCCTACCCATATAACAAATGTCATAGTGTTGTGAAATTCCCGAAACTCATAGGACGGTCGTCCCAATTCATGGGACAACCGATAATATCAATGAAACTATAGTATAATTGCAAACACATCACGGTATTGGGTCATATGCAAAACTGATGCCTTTCTCTTATCAAATTTAAAAAGAAAATAGACATAAACTTGACATACAGACCATTAACAATAGTAAAACTTATCATTTACTTTTCTTGAACCTCTTCTTTGGAGGTTGTGACGACTTTTTACCGTTTTTCTTGTCATTTTCCTTTTCTTTCCCTTCTTTCTCATTCTGACCTTGCTGATCTTGTTGTTGTGGAGATTCGTCTTCCGACGAGTAGTCTCCAGTAACGGCCCTCTGTTTCCTGATCAACCTCTGCTTCTCTTCCTCAAACTTCTCATTGATCTTCTGTTCACGTTTCTCTTTGGCTTCCAACTTCCTAACCACAGCATGTTGAATGTTCTTCTCTTCACGCAGCTTCTTCTTTCTGTAAAGATAATTATTAAGCTAAAAAAAACAAAAATCCTCGCTTTACATACAAAACAAGTAAAAAGGTCAAGTTATAACAACATTGAGCCCCATAACTAATTAATTTGCTTGTTATTCACATTAAAAACCCGGAAGTCCATAACAAAAAGTCATAATACGTATGTTTATATGAACAAAACCTACTTAATAAGTGGAAGCTTCTTCTTGAGCTTCCTGACTTCAGCCGTGCTCTTTTTGACAAACTTGTGATACAGAACTTCTCCTTCATCGATGCCTTCTTCCACCTTCACCAACTCCCAAGTCATTCTAGGCCCGATTTCAATCAATCTGAGTTTAGTTTTGTCTCCTTGGCCACAGCCTCGAGTTTTCAAATCTTGAGGAAGTTCCAGTTCTTGTTGTTCACCTTCAAATTCACTTTCACTCAACTGTCCTGGGCTAAAAGTGTCAAATTATAATAAGAAAGACAGGAATCATATAAAATGCAATCTTAGTACCCCCAAATGACATAAATATGTTAAAAACAATTAAAATTAAAGCCAAAACACGTAAAAATTATAAACTGTGTTTCGTCTGTTGCTGATTGCCTCTCAAAAGTAAAATACTTAAAAATAAACTTACTTCATCAAGAACTCACTGATATCCTTATACTTGGACAAATCTGGTATTTTGCTTTGAACCAGCTTTTTGGTCGATTTGCTCACTCCAGCTGGTACTGCTTTGATAGAACTGAAACACACAATTAATACAAGCTTAAATAAATTAGCATAAACTTAAATAACTTTTTTTCAGTATTAAAGGAGGTATGGCCAACTTACTAATGCCTGAAGTCGATCGTGTCTGTTTCTGCATTGTAATTGACTAATAGTGCTCGTCGAATGTTTTTTAGTTGTACCTAAAAATGGTTTTTCAAATTTCGGAAAAAAACAAGTCAAAAAACATAAAATTGCTCCTACACAACCATGTTGCTAAATAACTATGAATAATGTCCTACCGTATCCACATTAATAGAAGGAAACATATTCTGAATAACAGTCTGAACCAATTGCAAGTGTTTCTTCGCTGGATCATTGAAACCGTTCAAAATAACTAACGGTGAGTAATCAAACAACTTTTGGAAATGAACTGGTCGTTTAGAAGCTGACAGAATGCCGTGTGCCAATGTGTAATTATCAACTAAACAGAATAAACATAATTAACAAAGTCTTACCTTTAAAATGTATCGTTGGACCCCGAGGAACTCGAATGATACGAAGATTTACAGACAAATCACTCCTTGTCAATACTACAAGATGTGATACGTGTAGAGGACCCGCATGAGTTAGGAAATCTTTAAAGTTGTTTCGTTTTTTTACCTAAAATAATATATAAAGTGTATTTCACAACAAGAAGGATACACGACATAAAAATATGTTTCAAATGCTAAATAATGTATAAACAAAAAGTATAAAATAGATTTTTAAGGTAAACTAATCAACATTAACTTACCTGCAAGTCTTTGGCTGTGTATGGCAACATAACTTGTCGTAAATCGTGTTCCAACCTCTTGGCAAACATCCCAACCTTTCCTGTGTGTATAACGAATGACCTAGGTATCTTCTTTTCCTCAGCTTCAGCCACATTTCCAGAAACCTTGGCTCTTAACGTAGCTGCATCCTTCTTATCGGCTTTCTTCTGTTCTCGTTTCTCTTCAACCTTCGCCTAAAAATGAAAAAATAAAAATTGCTCAGAAAAATGCAAGTAACAACCTATTATAACTTACATATTTGACATCTTTCGTTTTCGGGAGTTTTGGAAGTCCGAGAAGTCCACGACGCGCAGCTTTTGCGGATTTTCCCTAAAATAACATCAATTATAATGTGAATAAACCAAAAAAACTACTTATGAAAAGTAAATGAGCTGACAATTATCACTATTTAACTTACTCTTCCTCTTTTCCTTGCCATTATTACACAAATCAACGATAAATTTACCAAAAATTTACCAAATTTTGCAAAATAAAATAAATTTATTTTGGCTTTTCGCTTCATTTGTTTTCGTGGTGGGACGGAAGCTAATATCCATAATTTTATTCTCTACTTTGTGCGTTTCCGAACCAACATCTTATACGTAGGAAAATTTACATACTTGGGGGTGTAGGATGTATGGCTACGACCAACAACGTCAGGGGACACAGAAGGTCAACTACAACAACTATGCCAGTCCGGCGGCAGCAGCTGGCCAAGCTAGCGCTTTGTAAGTTAAATGAATAACTATATTGCTGTCACGAATGTTTTATATTTTGTAAATTGTATCATGTAAATGAGATTTTTTAGTTAATCTTTATGTTTTTGGATTATATTGTTGTGTATAAGCTTTGTTGCAGAATGACCTACAACAACTACATTCAATCTCTGGGACAGAATTCTGCCGCTGCTGGTTACGGAGGAATGGAGACTTATGGTACCACGAACCCAGCTGCTGCAGCCGCTGGATACGGCCAAGCGATGGACACGTATGGGAATGCAGGTAACTACACCAGAACATATGCTACTGCCTCATCCAACAATATTCCATTGGGAGGCGGCAATGGATACTCTACTTACACGACTCAACCAGCGGTTAGAACAGGAAGAACTAACTCAACTTTTGGAGTTATGAATGCTGGAGTCAATAAGAGAGTTGTCGGCCGCGCAGCTTGGACCAAGAAGCCCAAGGTTCCCAAGCCACCGGTCGATTTGAGACAATACTTTTGCGAGACTTGTAATGTGTCTTGTGGAGGACCACAAGCCTATCAAGACCATTTGGCCGGCAAAAGTCATAAGAGAAAGGAAGAAGCGTTGAAGAAGGGCGACGTTGGTCTTCCGAAGAACAAAAAGTCCTATAAATGTGAAGTTTGTAACGTAACTTGCTCCTCCAAAGAGGCTTTCGATACTCATATTGCCGGCGCTAAGCATAATAAGGCGGTGAACACGTTGAAGAAGATGGGAAAGCCGATTCCGGAGTCCGTTATTAATGTGATCATGCCTCACGGAGAACCCACTCAGCATCTGCCAGTTAACAAGAAGGTTGTCGGCGTTACTTCAACAGCGTTTGTAGGAGGCAAAGACTTGACAACCACTAAGAATGGTGAAGAGGAAGAAGATACTCTTGATGAGAGTGAGGAGGTTCAGGTTCCGCCAGTTGGAGAAGAGTTCTTGGATGAAGTTAAGGGAGGAAAGGTGACTTCTTACTTCTGTAAGCTTTGTGAATGCACTTGTGGAGATCCATCTGCTCGTAATTTGCATGTTAGAGGAAGAAGACATCGATTGCAATACAAAGTAAGTTCATTTTTGTTTATTTTCTCATTTTTAGGTAATAGTTGAGCGTCTGAATCTGATATTGGTGCTTTTAAGAGATTCTTTTCTTTGTTAGCACTGTTATAAAATGGGTTTTGAAGGTGTTATGAATTTAAAATACGTTTTTCAGATGAAAGTTGATGCTTCCATCCAGGTAGACCTTAAGGGCGGTTCCAAGATCAGAGGTGTCAAGAACATTCACGCAGCTTTAAGAAACAACAGGCAAGTCTTTGTTTGAAATTGGATATTGTAGTAGGTTCCTTTTAGGGAAGCCTTTCAAAAAGATCGAACCAGGATGCCAAAAGAATCTTTTTACCTATTCCGCGTCTTTTTCGTGTTAATTCATATTCCAGAAAACATCCTTTGTATAGTCTAATCAATCGCTGTCTTTAGAATCAACAAAGTCGCTACATGTAACTTGTACGGTGGACAAGCACCATCAGCCCTTCCGGACACGACAATGTACGATGCTTATGATGAACAGCACGTTCGCGCACGTTTGGAGCAGATCAAGCCTGATCACGATAAAATCAAGAACTGCGAGCGACTGATCGAAGTTGTGGAGAAGACGCTAAAGAAGATCTCGGACAAGCTGAAGGAAGAGAACGGAGAGACTGGAGACGATCGGCTTCTGAGAGGTGTTATTAGAGTAGGATATTTGGGAGAGCATCTTTTATTGAAGACGGACAAGATCATCCACACCGTTCTGTTGTGCCGCGATATTCCGAGCATTTCTTTGCTTCAGAAACTGGTCGACATCTTTGTGGAGAATGTTGATGTAAGTTAAACTGTTAATTAAATTTCTCATATTGTAGTATTATTTTTTTATTTTAAAAATGTGATTTATATTGTGATTTTTTTACTTTTATATTGCTATATCTACATTTTCAGGATGAATCAGAAAAGGACAAAGTCAAGGTGGAGTTGAGTGTGTCCGAAAGTGCATTTACTGTCAGCTTGGAAGATGTGGATTTGAAATGTGTTGTCACTTTGACTTCTGTAAACCTTCGAAAGCCAAAAACAGGTAAATATTCTTTCATAAAACAATATTTTTAATTTTATGGCAATGTTTATTCAAGACTGAAGTTTTCATTATAATAGACCTAATTTTGTTCCTTTTTCCTTACATTTTAATGTTCTGTAGAGAAAAAAGAAGGTGAAGAAGCGAAAGAAGAACCAGCGGTTGAGCTACCTAAAGACCCCCTCCCAAAAGCGCCCTGCCTTAAAGCTCTGGCTGATCTCAGACATACCAAGTTCTTCCAACAAAAGTGCATCGAAGTGCAGAGTCTGGTAGAGGTAGTGCTGCTGTTGAGAGATGTTGGTAACCGAATCGACACTTGGAGTGTCTTCTCATTGTATGTACTCGAACTTTTGGTCTACAAGACAATCGTATCTCATCCGATGCCGTTGAGAGTCAGCGACGCTTTCAGACGGTTCTTCGAAGTAATGTCTACTGGACAGTACCTGTCAAGTAAGTTTAGTTTTTTATGAATTTAATTTACGACTAAAAATATATTAATTAACGACTTCTATATTATATTTTTGATGACATATTATTTGTAAAGTTTAGTCCGAAGCACGTTGGAAGATCCCTGCGAAAAAGAAGCTCAGAACCCCCTAGCCGACCTGACCAAACAACAGAGGGAGAACATCATCTGCAGTGCCCAACATGGCCTTCGTCTTATCGCCTACGATCAGATTCACACTATTTTAGGAATGGAACGGGTGGAGCCGCAGTCTAGGAAGCGATCGGCCGAAGACGAGGATAAAGAGTCCGGAGTCGGTGCGTAACGGTGGTTTAGTTTGTAATTATTTTAACTTATGTATCATTCTGATTAGCCAACTTAAGAGCAAAACAACAGAATAGTTAGTGCCATCATTTGTGAGGGTATTGCGATGTTTTGTATCCCATTTAACCGTTTACCTATTTAGAGTCGAAGAAGGAAAAGGTCGACGCCGGCATGGAAGAAGCCCAAAATTAAACTAAAACAATATACCCTATATTCTCTTGTTTCGCTCTAAGTTATTCACCTTTGTCGGTAAAAAATATAATAAATTGTTTATTTTGATAGTGCAACAAGTAACAATAAGGTATAACAAGTATAAAATAACAAGACGAGAGACTACTCGAATTTTTTTCCCGTTAATTTCTCGTATAACAACTTGGCTCCAAGGAAGGATCCTTTGGCCTTCAACGTCTGTTGGGTTACCGCTTTCTTGATGGCCTTTTGTGCTGTTTCACTGGCCAAACACATATGATACAAGTCGAAACAGCCACTGTTTAGGGCCGTGAAAGACCTCAATTGTTCGGCTGGCAAGGCTGAGATCGAATCGCTCAATTTGCAGGCTGGTTGTCGCAAATCAGCCTTTAACAACTTGGTAAGCACAAATCTGGCAGCACCTTCTTGGATAATGTGTTTCTGTTCGGTTTCAGCAATGTTATTTGGAATGAACTCCTCACCAGCAATCTCGGCGATGGCGTCAAAACAGGGCTTCAGATATTGGTCCTCGATTTCCCGTGGCATCACTTCGCTTTCGTCTGAAAATTCCTATTTATAGTTCGTGACAAAAAAGTGTCAATTAATCACTAAAATTTAGTTAACCAACGTAAACTTGTGAATTTTAAATAATAAGTTATGCTTACGTGTTGGTTCAAGAGCATCTAATACCAAGACAGCTGATGTTTTATTGTAGAGGCATTCCTTCATGTTGGCGGCCAAGAATGTGTACAAAGATTCCTTGATTCCATTGAAAAGTTCTTTGTACCTATCTGCAGGACTCTTCTTGGTATGTTCGTTACCATCGCCCTTCTTCAGAATCGCCATCATTCCTTTTCCAAGAACTCTTCCATCTCTTGGATGTACCAGATAATGTAATACTTGTACTCCATTTGGTTCATAAATAACGTCAGAGACGTTGTCTGCGATCTCTTTGATGATCATCTTGTTTACCATTACTGTATCGTCCACTGAATCGAAGATGGCATACAATACTCTTCTGGAGAACTTGTCAGTAGCTGCCTTAACAGCCAGATCTTTGAACGACTTTACTATCGCTTTCCTCGTCTTGACATCACTTTCCCATACACACTCCATAGCAATGAAGGCTCCCTCTCGTGTGTGACAGATCTCTGGTAGAAATTCTTTGATTGTCTGGATCATCTCGAGCTTCTGTTGTTTTGTACAATGTCGAAGATAGTCCCAGAGAAGTTTGTGCACTAATGACAGTTTTAGTTGTCCTCTGGAAAAGTCAAATTATTTAAGTATTTTTGTACATTAATACCAAAAAAAGCAAAAATAATGGCGTAAATAAGATTTTGAATACTCAAACCTACTTTTCAATGATATCATTCAACAACTCTTCCAAATGCTTCACAACACCTTCAATCTTTGCTGGAGCTTCTTTGGCGATCTCTTCAATGGTCGAGTAATTGTTCTCGTCCTAAATAAAGATAAATAATTTTTGGTTTATCCTAAACAATGCGTGAATACTAAAGTCAAATTACCTTGAAAATAACAAATTCATTTCCATAAAACTCTCTGACAATACTGTTTCTTTGTTCAGCTGTAGCCAATTCATTATAAACGGTCTCCAAGATGTTTGCTGACCATTTGTTTCTCAGAAGATTTACACAATGACCATTGAAGGCGTGTAAGATGTCAATCTTTTGCTGTCGGTTTCTGAAAATATAAAAGTAATGTATATTTCTAGCTATCAACTACATAGCAATTAGAATAGTTTTTAACTGTAACAAAAACTACATTTTTCAGTTAATAATTAGTTTGCTTACCCGTATTTAAGCATCTTAACCAAGAAGAACCTGGCATACGGAGACTTGGCCATTCGTACAATCTCAGGTGTCAACTCCGCAAACAGTTTATCTCTAACTTCTTCATTCCCAGTAGCTAACAAGCATTGAATAACTCTGGATGTGTCATGAGCGTATATGATACTCGTCGTCTTTCCTTTGATCAAATCGTACAACTTATGTGTCAGTTCCTCTTTCTCCTGCTTTGGTGTTTTAGAACTAAACATAAAAATTTATATTAATTTAAAACAGCTTACCTCCTTAACTTTTCCCAGATCTTCTTAGCATCCACAGCAATTTCAAAGTTTGGTTTGCTTTTGGCCCTCAAGGTCCTGATGTATTCACGCCTTTCCTTCTTTGACAACGTCAAAAGATGCTCCTTCACTGACTTCTTTACAATTATGGACATTTATGAACCGATAAAATCAAACTTTTAAATAGTTAATAGATCTAAAAAGATTCATTTGTTCAATAAATATTACCCAATTTTAACCCACACCCCAAAGATTAAAGTCTTATATCATCTATGGCTATCAACCAATCAACAAGTTCGAGTCATATAACAACGAGTTCATTTACCAAAAACAAAACAAATTTCAGATAAACATAGATGAAGGTTGAGGAGTCTTAGTCCAATTTTTTGAATCCGATGTTGGCGGCGTACTCGCGGAAGCAACGACGGCACAAGTTCAAACTGTATTTGCGGATCAGACCGTGGTGGTTGTTACACACACGGCATTGTCGAGAGCCGGCACTGTAGTTTCTTGGATGGCTGAACCAGATGTTTTCGTGTCCCATAATTGCTTGGAAACCTAAAATTCAAAAAAATAAGTAAAAATAACTCATACCTTCAAGAAGCTGGCATAAAACACGGTCAATATAAGAAACACGAGCAAAGTATATAAAACTGGATATAATTTAAAACAACACTATAAAATAAAGCTACAAATAATTCAAAAAGCTAAATCTAAAAAACGTAATGAAAAGGAAGTTGGAAAAAAAGCTTATAATAAGTAAAAAAATTTTGATAATTTTAAAAAATAAATTGTAAAACTATCAATTGAATAAGCGAAAAAAATCGTATTTTATCAAAAATTTTGCGAAAAAACGAATTTTTCTTCTTATTTCTTCCACCGTACACGTTCACGCATTCGTCGTGAGACCTTTTCAAGGCCGATATGTTATACGATGAAAAATATTTGTTTTTGTAACAAGTTCTTGTTTTGATAGTGATAATCAACAGAAAACAATATGTATAGTCGATTCTTTACCCATGGTAGAATATTGTTTCGACAACTCTCAGCCAAACGATCTTACATTGCTCCAGCTGTCGGAACAACAGTTGCTGGTGTTTTCTGGGGATCAGCTCCAAAGAAGGATGAAAAACAAGTAGTTCTAGATGTTATTAAAGATGCTGATATCTTCTACAATCAATACATGATTGATAATGCATATGGTTTGTTAAGAAAGTAGGTATTTGTGAATTTGTTCGTTTGTTAGTTATATTTTGTGCACTAAAGCATATTGTTGTAGGTTCCGCAAGTCTGATGATCCGGAAATGTTGTGGAGATTGGCTAGAGTAATATGTGAACAAGGAAAAGGTTGTGCTAATAAAGAAGAAAAGTTGAGGTTGTTCAAGGAAGCGTTGGAGTACGCATCAAAGGCTTTATCGAATTCAGAAGCCGGTGGTTGTTTTGGAGCTAACAAATGGTATGTTAACTTGATCTAAATTGAGTATTTTATAGGTATGCTATCATCCTTAACTACGTCAGTGAATTGGAAGGGACAAAAGCGCAGATCAAAGCCAGTTTGGATGTGAAAAGACATCTGGAGAGAGCTGTGGAACTGAATCCTATGGATGCTACCAGTTGGATGATTTTAGGTAACATTTTTTTATTTTTTTTATTTTTTACTATTTTTAAGCCTTCTTTTATATCATAATCGTTTTTTAGGAATGTGGCATTACTCGTTTGCCAACCTAGGATACGCTAGCCGTTTGGCTGCAAAAGCCATTTACGGCTCTCCACCATCCTCAACATACGAAGAAGCCTTACGAAACTTTGAAAGGTGATTAAATTCGATCAACTTTATCATTGTTTGCCTGGAGGTATATCAATTGTTTTATTTCAGAGCTGAGCTGATCCAACCTCAATTTTCATCTTCCAACAACTTTTACCTTGGTCAATGTTATGAACAACTAGGAAGAAAAGAGGAAGCTGTACGTGAATATCAAAAGGCATTTAACGCTCCTTGTGTCAGCGTCGATGATAATGAATATCACCAAAAGGTAATAGTGTTATTATACTAGGATGTTTAATAATCCTGGTTGCTATTGCAGTTGTTACCTATTTCATGTATATGTTAATTCATGATTTTAGGCATTCGAAAAGCTGAAAAAGCTGGGCTTCAATCCTGCAACTCTCACAAATTGAAATGGGTACATCTTTAGGTGATGACTGATAAATAATGTATTTAAATAAACTATAATTATATCATATTTGGGTGTTTTTACCTTGTTTTTTCGATTTGGAATATTTTACGTTATTTGTGGCTTATATTTTTTGTCGGAAAGGATGTTTTATAATATGGACCTTAAAATTAAAAGAGAGTACTTTGCGTTCGAGAAGTTTTGGGTAGATTTTTACGTTTTGTTAATAACGTGGTACAAGCAACCCAATATCCTACTGATTCGATGCAAAGCTGTTAATTTAACTAAAGAACCTGAACTTTGTGTAAAAATACTCTTTTCTCTTGGCGAGATGACCTTTATCTTTGCATCGGTCGTATATCGAATGGTCACAAGGTTTGTATTCGTCCACATTTCCTCCGTTTGTTTGTTTTTTTAATACTCTTGCTTTGTACAAAGAATCGATACCTATTTGTCGGAATACCAGCTGATGTTAACCTTAATTTCTAAAATATGTTTGTTCTTATTTTTCGTAAAATTCCACTTTTCCGAGCTCTTTTCAGATTTTCCGCTGAAAATTTACGGAATATTGGACGTTTTTCACGGGGTTGGGGAGTTTTCGAGAAACAACATTATTTTTGAGCTTTTTTGAGAGTTATTGAACAAATGTTATAATATTTTGAACAATCCATTGTAATATCTCCTAAACTCTTTATTATACTTTGCGTTATAATTAATGTTATCGCTCCAAACTCAATTTGAATGTTAAAATTAAAAAATCTTTAGAAAATGGACGACGATTCGCTGGCTGACGAGATGGAAGACGCGTTGAACTACCCGAGGAACTTTCGCATTGCCAATATGCTACCTGAATCTGCATATCCGCTGCAACGGATGTCTTCCTACTCGGATCACGAGTCGCCAAGCATAAATCAATCGGAATATGCTGAAGACGAAAGCGTTGCGCTCCTTCGACTCCGCAAGCTGTATCCAGCAGTCAACCCGGACGTGAGTCTCGAGACCTTTTTGTTTATATTGATTTAGATGTACCCGTTGCCGAGGTTCTGGAATCCCACCGACAAGTACAAGTTGTTGTTATTGTCTGGAGACTACTTGAAAGTAAAGTACGCAGGGAAAAACAGCACGTTGAAAGATGCGGCTGCTGTCAGAGCGAATGCACCTATACCTAGATTGTGCGGGATATTCTACTTTGAAATACGTGTAACCAATATGTCAAACTCGGCGTAAGTATTCTTTATTATCTTGTATTTTGGTTTTAGATGTTCTGCTTTTTATAATAAAGCTCTAAAATTTGTATTGCTATTATCTGAGGCTATCAACTATAAAGATAATTGCAAGATTTATGTTTAGATGCTTCGGAATCGGAATTGGAGACCGTTCCACGAGTTTGAACAAGATTCCGGGCTTTGAATCAGGGTCTTATGGGTATCATGCTGATCGGGGTCGTCTAGTCAACGGACTCAACAAAATCGACACGAGTGAACCTTACAAAGTCGACGACGTTGTAGGATGTGGCATTAACTTTATAAACAGGACGATATTCTTCACGAGAAATGGACATAAACTGCCTGACGAGTTTTGTGATGTCTGTACTACAAAGCCATACTTTCCAATTGTTGGTATGCAATGCCCTGGAGAGGTTGTGGACACCAACTTTGGCCAAAAACCTTTCTTGTTCAACATTGAGAATGAAGTTCAGGTAGGTTTGATAGGGAATATTAGGGGTTTTTCTTACAAGCCTTTCTGTTTTTTGATGATCTAATAGTTTAATCTAATTCATTGGCTCACATATTTAAAGCTATTTTCACAGAAATGTAAAGAAGAAACCCTGTCAGTGATTGAGAATATGCATCTACCTCATGAGAAATCGCGTTGGACGTCCAGAGCCATCTCGGACTGGCTGGCTATTCGAGGTTTCACAACAACATTGACTGCGTTTAACAAAGTGAACGGGTTACCTCAGCCAACAGACACCGCTTTCATGAAGGAACGGAAAAGGATATTGGACTTGGTGATGAAAGGAAGGGTATCTGAAGCCATAGTGTCGGCCGAACGGGTAGCGCCAAACATATTCGAGAACAACGTGGAATTGGGGATGCTGTTGAAGATCCAGGAGGTTATCGAGGCTTTGACGGCTAGAGTAAGTTTGGTCGAGATCTTTCATTTGTCAGTTGATAATATAACTTGAGAGCAGGGACGTCGCTACGGTTTTTCTCTGGGGGGGGGGAGGTCGAAAAAATTTTTTTTTGGTCCACAGGTGGACCGATTTTTCAAAAATTTTTTGCTACCTGTGGACCGATTTTTCAAAATTTTTTTTTTGTTTTTCCGCGTAGTACCTACCTGTGGATTTTTTTTCGGATCGGCTCTGGGGGGGAGTCACCCCGAATTACCCCCCCCAAACGACGTCCCTGCTTGAGAGTTTATGCTTTTGCACTAGTACAACATATAGATTAAAGGCTGGAAAATTAACCTAATATAACATACTGGTATATATACTTTTTATTTATTTTAGTTCAACGATCGCAACGAGATGACTAACATGGCAGAAGACAAGCCAACTACCTCAAATCACACTCCGAGAAACAAAAGATCCGCCCCAGATGGAGAAAGCAGTCAGACTCAACCTAAAAGAAGACTCAGCGCAGGTAACTCTTACCTTTACATCTCTTTATTATCGATTTAGCTCGAACAGAAAGGATGGAACGATACCACGAGAACAACAACGATAACGAGGACGAGGAAATGAGCGATGGACAAAGTACTAACGGTCTCAGTAACTCGAATGGTGCTTCTTTCAATAGTACTAACGGGAATGCGGCTAGTACGAATATAATAGCTGAAATGGACACTCAGTCTTCTTCATCATCTGAACTGAATGTAGATGAGATGAGGGATGATACTGAGGAGGTGAAGAGAGACGTCAGCCATAATGGAGAGATGAATAACATCCTTGAGTTGGGCCGAGAAGTTCAGAGAAAGGCACAGACACTAGAACTACCGAAAGGATTGACTGATTTTATGAATGTAGGTGCAACTTGTATTGTTGTTGGGAGATGAGCTATTGATTTAGTTGCTTATGGAACTTTTGTAAAAGCTTTTGTACGTTCTCGGCATAATGATATCGAAAGTGATAGTTATTGAGAGTTTGAAGTATTATAAGTATTACTATTTCCATTTTTGAACGTGTTGTAGTAAGGATAGTTAAGATTATTGTTTCAGGAAGTATTCGGCGTAGTCTGCTACGTAAATGCACCCGTCTCACCAAGGGCATATCTATTTAATAAGAAGTACCGATATCATTTGGCCAAATACTTAAACAGGGCCATGCTACGTGAGTTTTTATAATTTTTATAGCAACTTTGTTACTCTTGCAAGAGACTAGAGCTCTTTTTTACCAAATTTATAACCGGCGCTTTGAATTTTACATTCTAATATAACAATTATCTTATATTGAAAAATATATCTTAATATAACTGTTGCAGGTCACTACAAACATCCAGTAGCCGAGCAAGCAGGTGAAGACTGTATTTGCCCGATTGAGAGACTTTTCAAAAGCTTCAGTTATATCCATAACGTTGCAGTCAAAAAGTCTGTCGCTTCGACCATCTTCATCAATGAAGCCGAGGAGATTGACGGGAAGAGTTCATGTCCAGTTTCGGATCTATAACAGTGTACATATATTTTGTCGTACAATGCTTTCAACGACTCACGTCGCTAATGTGAATAAACATGTTTTAAGTATGAGGTTGTCTACAGGTGATAGTCTTTTGAGCGTTTCCTCGCTAATATACACAAGAAAAGTAGCGGTTGGGTAGTAAAATTAAAAGATTTATGTCAAATGTGTAAGAAGGCTAATATAAGAGCTGCATAGAAAGGTCTGTTGTCTATATTGACAAGAGTAACATAGGGGTACAGTAGTTAAAAAGTGTAATCTATCACTCGTCTTTTACGCAATGATTTTTGTTACAGTAGCCGAAATGTCAGCCCGAAACCCTGATCAGTACAAGAACAAGAGGATTCTGGCGCCAATGGTGAAAGGAGGTCGTACTCCATTCCGAACGTTGGCACTACAATACGGTGCTGGCTTGGTTTACACTGAAGAGATCGTGGACCAAAAGTTTTTGCAATGCACAAGGACTAGAAATGGTAAGATTTACATAGCTATGCAAGCATACCAGCTGCATGTATAGGTAAAGTGTTATGGATTGGTGTGTAGGTATAATGTACTTTTTTTAAATAGATGTACAGTAACTAAATATTATTAATACGAAAGATATAACTGCTTTTATAGATGTACTGCACACAATCGACTACTTCTTGGAAGACGAATTGGTGTTGAGAATCGCCAAAGAAGAGAAAGACAGGTGTATTCTTCAAATTGTAAGTTATAATTCGCTTCATGATAACTTGTCTGTTTAGGGGTCCAACTCTGAACACGGGTGCATATTAGTCAGCAAGAAAATGTAAGTAACCCTTTATAAAGATGAGAAATATGAAGGTTAAGGCAACTTATAATATAATAGTAACTTTTCATCCTTTGAAACTTAAAAACAGTACTTAAACTACGAATTTAAAAGTAACCTTTTGTGTTTGCAGCGGTGATGATGTCGCGGGAATCGACTTGAACATGGGATGTCCCAAGCCCTTCTCCATATCGGGAGGAATGGGAGCAGCGTTGTTAAAGAAACCAGACCTAGTCCAGAAGATGGTGTCATCCTTGGTATCCGTGTCTAAAGTCCCTGTCACGTGCAAAATACGAGTACTTGATACTGTAAGTGATAAGTACTACCATAAGGATGACTAAATGGCTCATTGTGCTTTTTTACTGGGAGTTATAAGTAATTTACATTAGTGTTATTTATTAATTTTGCGACACCAAAATAAATATAATTGAATAACAAGTATAAGAGCTTTTACTGCTGTTATAATATCTCTTTATACAGGATATTATTTTGATTAGGTATAAAAAGTCCATTTTTAGTTAGAAGAAACAATAGCCTTTGCCAAAATGCTGGAATCTTGTGGGATATCAGCGTTAGGAGTTCATGGACGGCGGCGAGATGAAAGACAACCACATAGGAACAGGAAAGAAGAAATCGAAGCAGTGGCCAAGGCTTTAAGCATTCCTGTCATTGCAAAGTAAGACTTATGTCGGTTTTAAACATATTAAACTAAATTGATGATAATATAACATAATTCATAAGGTTGTCGTTTTTTAAATGTGATGTTTTCAGTGGCGAATCAGGAAACGTGAATGTGTTCGAAGACATCGACCGTATCCGAGATGAATGTGGTGCCAGTAGCATAATGTTGGCTAGAAAAGCACTGAATAAACCTTCGATATTCAGAAAGGAAGGCACATTGTCGATGGATCAGGAAATCAAAGATTATTTGTCACAGGTATTGTCTTCTTCGCAACATTTTATATTGTAGTAGCGGTTTATTTTAACTTAGGAACTAGAAGACGCAAATTTAATAATAAAATATGTATGTAATCTAATACGCACTTATATTACAGGCCTGCATCTACGACGAACCCTACACGACAGTCAAATACGCTGTACAACGTATTCTCGGTTCACAACAAGAGTTCGACCCTCGGGGCAAGAAGACATTAGATTGCTTGACAGTTAGAGAGATCTGCTCAGTATGGGACTGTACTGAAGTGTTCCAAAGCTGCAAAGAACAACGTCAGCGAATGGCACTCAAGAGACACCACACGGAGAAGGAGAACGAGCTGGAGAAGGAAGGGATTCAAGTTGGAGATTGGACGTTCCCACCGTGAGTTAGAGTTTCCTAATGTTAACACTGGTGCACCAGCTGGTGCTATACAAGACATGTATTGATGTTCAGAATAAAATTATACGAAACATCCTTAGAAGTTAAGATTGATATTACAGGAAGCGTCTGAAGGCCAATCACGGGACTCTTTCGCCAAAGTGCATCCTTCTTCGTTACTGTGCAGAAAAGAAGATCGCCAAACCAGTGTTTAAGACCGTAAGAACATATCAAAGGTTTTATATCGTACGTTTAGGAACGACGTGAAAGAGATGGTAGATTCGAGTGCATAATAACAGTTTCGGACAAGAAGTTTGCATCCAGAATCTCTCAACCCAATACAAAGATGGCAGAGCAAGTTGCTTGTCTAGGAGCTCTACATGGACTGAATATCAGGGACAGACTACCGGGTAACTGGGAAGAGTAATAGCGAGCTCACACTCGAGACTACAAGAGAATTGGAAAAAGTAACGTTACTACTGGAATATAACTAGTGGTTACATTGTTAAGTTTATTGTTGTTACATTTATATTTATAAATAAGTGCAAAAACTTAATTTAGAACTCGTCATCGTCGTCTGGCATTTCACTAGCCAACTCCAGCTCGAGCAACTCCCGCTCCCGTTGTTGTTCGGTCTTCTCGTTCTCGGGTTTCTTGTTGTCTGGGTAGCGAAGCGCTTTGACGGCCAAGTTGTGGAGCTCGAGGCAGTTTTTGATTCGGGTGTCATATGCATATTGGGGTTCAGTTGTACGGTACAGGTTTTCCGAAACACCAGATTGTAGGTATCGGCTGTCGGTCCGCGAGTCACAGGTAATGATAGCATCTACAGTGTGATCCTTGATAGCTTTAGCGACAATATATTCGGCTTCAATCTCGGTGGGGAGCTGAAAGAAAATTAGGTCAATACTGTAGATATTGATATTAGAATACTGTTGGATAATATAGTTGTTTTGATAAAAATACAAAAAATGATTATGACACTTACCTGAAGCTTCTTAGCGATATCAGAAATAGGGATTCGAGAGTAGGCCAATGAGATCTGTCTGATGGCTGTTCGGATAACATTTTGGCGGAGACGAACAATCAATGTTAAGGTTTCGTCAGTTTCAAACACTCCAGAGTACTTCTCCAAAACTTTGTTGAACAAAGCAATATCTCCAAGGCGAACAGCTACAAAATATTGAAAATTAGGCGTGAAACATTTACATAAAAAATTCATTTTTGAGATTAAAGTATGATTTTTCCAAAAAAAAATAATTCAAAAACCTACCGTGAGTTAGCTGAAGATACGGTTGTAACGTGACTCTGTGAATCGGTACACGGAAGATGGCTCTTTCTGGTATCTCACCTCTCAACAACGAGATGACCACAACCCACTTGTGAACGTTCTGTTTAAATCCGACGGCCGAATCTTGTGGAGATTTTCGAAGACTGAGTTGGAATAGATCAGCTGCTTCAACATATTGAAGTTGCAAGGCACGGATACGACCCCAGTAGTACAAGTATCTGGCCAAGTCATTGTTGTTGGCAGACTCTGGGAACTTGACTTTCGTGATGAGCTTAGAGGCTGACAACAAGTTCTTGGTCACCAAGTAGATTCTCAGCAGACAGACGATCAAGGTGGCTTGGGAATCGTACTGATGTCTCAGGGTGGCAAAACGGAGACGACTGTTCAAGTATCTAAAATATATTTGTTTACAGATTCTCTTCGTAAAGTTACACACACTGTTAGACAAACTATATTAATATAAAGCTAACTTACGGTGGAAGATCGCCCATCTTTCCTGTTCTTTCCGAAATCAAGGTCAGATAGAAGAACCCTTTGGCCAAAAATGGATCCAATGATCTCTTATCATGCCCATCTGCACATTCGATTAAGCTGTTAGCACATTGCAATGCCAATTCGTGCTTCTTCTCGTCGGTCAAGAACAACAACACCAACAAGTGAATATACAACTCCAATTCAGGTGTTGGCGTCGACTTTCTGGACAGAAGTTTCTTGGCCGAAGACGGCGTCTTCTTGTCTTTCGAATCAACTTCCATTGAAGTGTCACTAAAAGCAGAACATGGAAAAAGTCTATATTAACTTACGCTGCCTTTGGAAGCCATCCCAACAAGTTCTTCTTGACCTGGTTGTTACCCAAATATGAAGAACAGAGCTTGGTCAAGAGTTCAGGATTCAACTGTCTTCTAGTGCGGTTCAGAAATTGAAGAACACGTCCAACAATGTGAACTTCACCACGTTCAAGTTGGTTGCACCATTCTTTCATATCTAAAAATAATGTATAAATTACAAAAAAAATAAACTCACTTACATAAAACAATAAACTTAAATTTTGGGCTTAATTATACAAACAAAGAACTTCAATAGTTAGATTCCAAACTTACTTTCAAAAGTGATGACATCCAGATCCTCCTTCTTCTTGGCATCTTTGGTCTCTTTTGGCACTTCCTCCTTCTTGGCGTCAGGCTGATCAACTTCCATAGCTTCTGCCATCTTTGTATTCTATTGTTTGACGGCAACCGTTTCGACAATCCAATCACAACAAATAAATTTTACGTAAATTTTTTGCTCACAATTTCGGAAAGCCAGAAAATATCATCAGAAGACGTTTTCGTGGCGGGACTCAAAGTTTAGCGAATATAAAAATTCAAAAATAATATGTTTTGCAAAATTTTTTGCGCGCAAGAGGGCATCCTTGCGGGAGAATTTTGAATATGTTATCTTATACTTTTTTCGTCGTATAAAGTATGTTTTACATTATTTATTACCGTTTATTTTACTCAGATATTTTATTATTTTAGGTTTAAATTAATTTTTAATAAAGTAGCCCAATAATTTATCAATTTTTGGCTAGAAATGAATAAAATGCTTCTTGTGATATCGTTTCACTCATTATACGATAAAACAGTATAGTTTGTCTCATGTATTATCGGTAATAAACGCCATGCGGTGGAGAATGAACCTTTTTATCACGTTGTCTGCACTTTGAGGGCATCTGTTCTAGAAGTATATAAAGTTCAGATACCTCTTTTTAAGTAGACGACTGTTCATCCGCATTATAACATATGGATATAGATGGACTTTAAATGAAGAGTTTTGTTAGAATTGTAGTTTAAAACAAGATTAAGATATTTTTGAACATTTTAAGATACTTGAGTTCAACTGTAGTTTTAGACATTAAAATGAATTGAATCTTTCAAAAAACTGGCCACATTACTCAACCACTTATCCAACCGTTTAAATCGCCGACATCCTTAACAACTTGCAAGTATTTAAATTGGGAGAAGCTGTCGCCGCGGTATTTGACCTACTTCTTCCCTTTGTTCGTGGTATCGCGCGTTATATAAACTGGGGTCTGGTTGTCACCGAGTTATCAGTCCCGAGCTTGTCGTATACGTGAAAGGGGTAATTAGCGTGGAATTAATTATTTTCCTTCGCCCGATAATCGCGACTTTTCAAAGTGCATTCGCGACTTTGGGAGCCGGCGGGGACGAAAAGCTCGTGGGGTGGTACGTGACGTCACGTGCCTTGCACCGAATGTTTCGTTGGGGCGCGTACGAGGCGGTGCGACGAGAGAGCGGGGCAATCGCGTAGAGGGGGGTGCTGTGGTCCCCTTCTCCCGACCAGCCCGCGCCTTTTCTCTCTTCGTTCAGCTTGGGTTTGCGGGGTGTCGCTCTTCGTTTTTCTCTTTTTTCCTTCACTCGAATCGACTGTTTCGTCTCTTCGGTCGACATCCTTATCCGCTTTTGTCTTCCACGCGATTAGTTGCTGATCAGCTACTTGATTTCAGTGTTCACGGCACCTTCGGCGGCTTTCATTCTTTATCATTTTGAGACGGGTACTCGATTTCAATTCCATGGATCAGATTGAAGATCCGGTTAGTCAAGCTTATCTTATGCGCAGGAATAATTCCGGTGAGTTTTGGCATGGTTAATATAGGTTTTCACATCAAATTTGGGTAATTTCTGATGCTTTGTATAATATTACAAAAATTACTTTGATGCGTTTTTATTTGTGTAGTCGTAAAACCAGTTTTTTATTCTATTCATGTCTGGCTCGGCGACAATAAAGTATTAGTTCAGGATTTCTTTATTATATTTTAACGTTTCTGCTAATTATTACTTTAACTTTTTGGTTTGAAGGGTTATTTTTCAATTATAATGTCAAGAATTTAATAATTTTAAATAAATTTTATTTAAAGGATAAAAATGTTTTTTAAATTTTAATTTCATTGAATATTGTTCTAGTTTCAGGGGTAGATAACCTCGCATTTTCCAACTTTGATCTCCGGTGCAGCATCTCATGTCCGTCAACTTCACGATATCTCAATAACACCGAAACCGGCTCCAACGAGTGCTTCACCGTTTGGGATCCAGTGTTTCTTCGTCAAGAATGGACTGTAAGTGCAACATTACCTTGATTATTCTGTCTTTAGATTAACAACATTAAAGCCGCCTTGGAACTGACCACTCCGGGGATATGCATGAGAAGTCGCGCTTTCAAAGACGAATCCATGCCCGACATCAGCTGGCAGTTGTGTTTGTATCCAGGAGGAAAGCGGGAGGAGAACAAGAACAATGTCTCCCTCTTCCTCAAGATGTCTACTAGTCATGCGACGAAGGAATTCACTGTACGAGCAGAGTATTGCTTCTACTTCATGGATGACACCAACAAGTCCAAGTTCAGCAATGTAAATACCGGTGACTTCAAGGTCAAACCAACCAAAGGATCTCATTCTTGGGGCTTGAGGAATATCCCCAGGCAGAAGGTGTTGAACAGTGTCAGAGCTGACGATTCCCTTCATATTGTCTGTGAAATCCAAACTGTTCCTGACTTTAATCGAGTACCTTCAATCGTTTACAAAAAAGAATCGGTCATCAATCAGAATCAGGTAAGAAATGTTTAACTTATATTAACATTGTTTGTATTATTTTGCAAAGAATAGGTAATAACTATTACTTTTATCTTTGATTTCAGTTGATGCGTGACTTTATCGGTCGCTTCCACGACATGTACGAGACAGGCGATGGGACGGACTTTGTCATCGAATGTGGAGACAAAACGTTTAACGTGCACAAATTCGTGTTAATGACCCATTCCGATGTCCTCAGGGCCATGTTCAAGCATTCGCTGGAAGAAACCAAGAACGGTCGAATGAAAATGTCGGATTGTTGTCCAGATGCCGTCGCTCAGATGCTCTACTACATGTATTCCGGATCTCTACCTCAAGAGTTTGAGTATGAACACGCATCGCCGTTGATGCAAATCGCCGACAAATATGCGTTGGAGCCGCTGAAGTTGTTGTGCCAAGAGAAACTCATTCAAAGGTGGGGTTTTGAGTGTTTTAGTAATAAGAAGTGTTGGTCATGTTGTCAATTTATGAGTCATGAATATTAATAATATGTATTGTAAGCTTTTTGTATATTATTTTACCTTTTTTCAGGTTTAATAAAAGGTTCTTTATGAGTAGTTTACTGTTGTCTTTTGAAAAGTACTATACACTGTGATTATAAGTTAATAGAAGGACCCACTAGTGCCAAACAACTTAATTTTACTAGTCTTTAGGCTTATTCTTATTAGTTTTTTGAATTTTCAGACTAAACGCAGCTAATGTGATTCAAATGCTGGTAATGGCGGACTATCAAAACGCCACCGTTTTGTTGGATGCTTGCATTCCCGTGGTAAGTTAGAGATATTTTATTGTTTCGCGCAGTAAATCTGATTACGGAAATCGTATTTTGGGTTTTATTGGCTCGTAAATGGGGATTTTTGTAATTGGTCGATATATAGTTTAATATAGTAACGTTTTATATTAATATACTTAAAAAAAATTTTTTTTGGGTATTAATGTTGGTGGAAGTAATAATTATTATTTATTTTTTGCGGTTTTTAAGCTAAAAAGCCACGAGACTTGAAAATGCAAAAAATTCACTACCTACAATCATGTAACACAATTTTTAAATTTGAAAATCAACTTTTTAAAAAAATTTTAATTAAGAACTTTGTTAAACAATTAGACCCCTCTAACTGACAATTTATACCTACATTACTTACCAATCGCATTCCAGATCAAAGCAAACAGCCGTCGCATAATCTCTAGTGCAGAGTGGGAACACCTGAAGGCCACGAACCAGAAGCTAGTCAACTCGGTGTTAGAGAAGATCGTAGTCCAGGACGACTCCCCACCCCAGAAGCGTCTCCGCCTCACACATTCCCAACAGATGCCACGTTAGGTCTTTCTCACCAACTACCCATTGTTCTTTCGTACCACCATCTGATGGTTCGTATCTCAACCTTATTATTTGTACATCCCGAAATGAGATGACATTTCTAAAGTTTACATAGAGTCGTATATTGTCACATTCTGCTCGAGGACTGGTGCACAAGTAATTAGTCTACAAGTAAATAGTCCACTCGTAGGGGTACTACTCTCGTTTTATTGCAATTAAAGAAGTGTACATGATTTTGATTATTTATACAAAATATTTTTTTACCGATCTAATAAATTTTTACGAGCGTTACGAAGTGATGGTAGGTATTGTGGTTTATATTTAGGTATGGTCTCTGCATTATCGATTTTGAGCATAATCAAAAAATATGGTTTTGTTACCGAATATGGTACTTTCGTATCAGAAAAAAACATTATTTTATGTTCACTGATCGGAATCTAAAGTTATGTCAGTTTTTTGGCGGATCGTACACTCGAATCGAAGGCTTCGAACGCTTCCAGAAGTTGCATCTGAAGTTTGGTTTGGGCCGAGATCTCGAGTCTTAGCGAGCGACGTAAAAGCAACGAAACCTCGCACAACTGGTTACCGTAATCGCCCATCTTTCTGGCTACATCTTCAAACTTGTTGACTTTGGTACAAGGGTCTTGAGGGCTCAGGTTTGCTGCTAGCTCTTTCAGCCAACTTGCTACCTGAAAGTTCCTACTTGAATTAGAAATGTGTAGATATTGTAAGAAGGTTTTGCGTGCTATACAGACCTTGATGGGGCCAGGCCTAAGCATATATAAAAGGGGTCGGACTGAGCCGAAAAATTGAGCCCGCCCCCTTTTATTCGTAGCGTACCCAAGTATAGGAAAAATATAAATTTGAAAAATTAAAACAGACGACAGTGCAATCGCTTTCGCAAGTTGCCAATTGGATAATTTGGTGTAATTTCAGCTTCCTGAGCTCACTCAGTGATATACACCTTTGTCGTCTTTCGGCCATTGAAGTAAGGTGTTGGTTTAGCACGCTGCCAAGGCTTGTACCAGTTTCTTCCAACAATTCGTCGCTCAGTTCTTTTGCTTCTCTGAATCTGTCTTCTGTAAATTGTGGCATTATCCTATTTACACTCCACAGAGTTGTCGTTAGAGATAGGTAGGAAAAGGTTGCCGTTAGGAATATTTATGAAAGAAGTCCAGGGAAATCATTAAAACAAAGGAACGGTCAAGTTTTGGAACCGCGGTAAGGGTTCGAAACGTGCCAGGCCTATGCCGTTCGTTTCTCTTTTAAAATTTGTATTTAGTTAATTTAAGACCATCTATTTAAGATAACCACTAATTTGCATACTTTTCAAAAATGCTTTACCTAATAGCCCGACCAGTTCGTCCAAATCGGCCACGGCCTTCTTCAGTCTTTCTACCGTAATGGTAAACTGGTCGGTACATAGTGTCTTCAACAAATTCTCAGCTTCTCGGTCGAACTAAAGCATTCTCTTTTATATTTGGCAATGATAATTCACTTTTTTTTGGCAATATGAGCAATATAAAAGCAATTTAGTATGTTCTTCTTGGCAATATAACAGTACTTTACTATGTTCTTCTTAAACATATTACTGTAATTTACTTTTATTCTTGCTAATATTACTGTAATTTTATTGTGTCATATAAAGCACGTTTCCCTCATTCTTTCTTTACGAACTGAGTCATCAAGAAAGAATGAGGAATAACAATATACTAAACTCTCATTTAGTATATTGTTGTTCATACCTTCTCTCTTATATCTGATTGTGATCGTAAAAAACAATTTTGTCAAACTCGATGACTAAGCCTACCTGAATAAACATGTCTTGGACTTGAGTACACATCTTGAGTCGTGCCATTACTCTTCGTACCTTGGCATCTACACGATCCAGTTCTTCTTGGAAGGCTTTCAGTGTTACGTGCTCTGATTTGAACACTTCTAGTCGGACCTCCTAAAGTTTATATTATACTTGAATATATAACGGTTCACATGAATTTGTAATACAATTTTTTTAAAAATATTTTAATATTACCGTACTTTAATAAAAATACTATCGTAAACGGTGATACATGTAGTAGCTTTGAGATAGTATTAAAAGTAGTGTTCCATGTATTTTACTGATGCTATTATAAAAATAAAACTGTACTACTATACTCATCTTCATAAAGTCACAGTAACTCACCGTGAGTCGCCCATGAATATCAGTACATCTTTTCATCAACTTTCCAGATTCCTCAAAAGACTGTGGCAACATCTCCGTCAATGAATCCACGAACTCCATTACAGATTCTTGAAGCCAAATCTTGATCTCATCAATCTCACTACTACTCAACAGTTGTTCCGACTCGTTGTTGTGAAAGCCGGCTGGCATTGATGCTACAGACATTTTTGGAGATTTGCATAGTTCATCGTTATCTGGAATCAAAATTTCTTCTGCCTTTTGCGACAAAATTTGGTCGACTTCTTCTGGTATTGGTTTCTCTTCTTCTGGAGTCTGTTTATCAGAAGAAGTGAGTTCTTCCTTGGAACTAGGTTTAAATTCTTCTTTGACATAAGGTTGGGAAGTGTGACTATCTTCGATAACTTTACTGTGCCTGTTCGACTTTGATATGAGTAATGGCAGAGGTTTGTACTTTAATTTTCCCCCTATTTCAATCAAAATTGCTGTTCCTGAAATGAAAATTTCATTAAATTTTGACATAACCTCTATGGTTGTATTTTTGGTTACTATATATATGATATAAGACCAAAAACAGAAGCTTCAATGACTTTTTCATCCCCATAAGGCTACCATTACAATGTTTACAAAAATATGATTTTTGGTACACCGCATTTCTAAACTGTAATATGTAGTAGGCTCGGAACATTTGTTATGTCATTTATTATCATAACGCGTCAAAACATACCCTGTGTTAGGAACCGGTTCAGACATTTGCCACATTGTAATCCATCACGACCAAAATAAACAGGATTCGAGTAGAAGTGTTGGGCAAATTCCTAAAAGTCAGAGTATTCTTGGTACTACAGTAATATTACTGCAAACTGTAAATTTACAAAATACATATATATATATATAAATAATATTTAGTATGACAAAATTGAAAAGAAGAAGTCGTATTTTACCTGTTTCACGTCCGTCCAAGTTTGTAACGATTCGTTGTTCTCAAATAAGTACGCTCGTTTCACATGTTTCCAAAGTTTTGTTCTCGAGCAAATTGTGGTCTTCAAAAATAAACCGTAGCCTTTTTATTAAAACCAAAAAGTAGACAATGTATGCAACCTTGGCAACAAAGTTGATACATTTCCAAAACAGTAATGTAAATTCATTTACCTTAAAGTCATAAGATTCTAATGCCATATCTAATGTTATCTTTTGCTGCTCTAAAAAGTAATCTGATTCCAACACAATGGCATGTTTAATCTTAAATGCCAATGCATTTTGACAAGCCCTAAGAACGACTTTGACAATTTTTAACGTTAGCTTCTGACATTCAATCACAACTACGATGTTGTTACAGTCATCAGAACATTGTTCAGTAAGAGTTCGTAATCCATAGGCCAACAACGAACAAAGAAAGTTCGAAATTGGCAAAGCTTCTAAATTATTATGTAAAATACCGATATCATTACCTAACCTTTCGTAGATCCCGCGTCCAAATGACGATTGACTTCAGAAGCATCTAGTTTTAGCCAGATTAAGGATTCTAAAAGGCGGCATCAGTAACAGCTTTTAAAAAACATCTACTCATAAGAGATAACGCTAAAAAATGCTTCAGACAAAAAATGCTAGAAACAATACCGTTCTCAATCAAGCTCTCACAGTTCTTCGAATACCGGTTCCGTTTCAACCTTATCATTTCGAACAACACAGAAGAATCTATACGAAACCCAAGACTTCGTTCATGAGATTTGATAAAGACGACTTTTATGACACACTTACGCCGAATTCATTCCCGCAGTTACAAGGTCACATCGATAAATAATTTTGTAACTTTTATTCAAACAAGAAAAACAACAACGAAAAATATGAATTAGTCGAAAAGACCGAAGCCCATGTCCTCATCTTCTGATTCTTCTTTCTTTTCCTCTTTCTTGGCGGCTGAAACGAAAAAAAATAAGACTTTGATTATAAAAAGGTAACAAAAGTATTCTATATGATCAAAAGCAGTTAAAACTACAAGTTCACTCAAAATTACCCAAAGAAAAGCAACTTTAGCTACTAATTGTATCCTAATTATCAATATATTCTGATAGAATTAAACCTAACAACTTTTAAAAAATAAACTAACTGCATACTAAAAAAATATAAACCCTTACACCCATCCTAAAGATAAAACAAACTGTAAAGTTACCTGGCTTGTCAGCGGCTGGGGCAGCTCCTCCGGCGGGGGCGGCGGCAGCTGGGGCAGCACCTCCTGATGGGACTGTGGCCAATTTTGATTGTCCGGCGGCAATAACTTCTTCGATGTTCTTTCCGTTCAATAGTTTCACAACGGTTTCGGCCTGTTGTTGTTCAACTTCAACTCCAACGGATCCTAAAACAACAAAAAGTTGCGCAAAATTATGAAAATCACTTTTCCCAACTAAAAATGTCGCAAGAACTTCAAAAATTAATCAAAATAATATAAAACCCGTCCCATTACAACTCGAACTCCTAGTAAACTAAAACTGATTCCATATTTTAACCTTTTGCAAGCCTAAAAATGTAAAAAATACATGAAAAACTTACCGAGGATGTCGGAGAGGTCTTTGACTGAAGGATCGGACTTGCCTCCCAAGTTAGCCAAAAGGTAAGCAGCGACGTACTTCATGGTTATCAAGAAGACTATAAAAACTAAAATTAATAAAATAACAGTAAAAACCTAATCACGTATCACGGAGCTTTCGCAAGTATAAAAATTTGTGTAAAAAGTAAAAAAAGATTGAAATTATTTCCTTTTCGTTGAGTACTTACCGTATGAGCTTGGCGCAATTTTTCGTGGCGGGACTCAGAGAAAAGCAAATGTGTTGAAAATCTTGTAAAAAATAAAAAGTTAATAAAATAATGTTTATATTAAAAGTTAAGACTCATAAAACAGGTAGAATTAAAAAAGTTTAATGCATTTTTATTATATTTATGAGAATTATATTAAAATTCGCCAAATTCATACGTGAAAAAGAAGATATCTCCATGAATCAAGAAATGTGTGTGCTTCTTAATTGCGATAAGTTTTATAGTTTAACCGAGCGGCAAAACATATGTTTAACCTAAAGTTTTGTAAAAGAATATCGTTTCTTTATTGTGTGTGACAAACTTCAAGTTTAAACTGGAATTTTGGTCTAAAATAATGTCATTTCTTCACTCTACCGTAATCCCCTTTACAACCGATGAAACGGACGCACCCGCCGCGCATCGGGGATTGAAGGGACAAACTGGTCGGGAGAGAGCAAACTTTGGTGCGATGAAACGGCCGAGAGAGAGTGTGCGGCAGACGGCTGGGGTCAGCCGGTGGTGTGTAACATGGGGGTGAGAGAGGCGAGGTGGAAAGTGCGGACGTCTCTCTGGTGCCTCTCACGCGCCCCGCTCTCCTTCCCTTCACCAGCCATCCCCCATCGCCCCTCTCGAGACGCGTCGACGCGGGTAGCGCTTTGACCGCCGGCCGCTTTCTACTATCACTCTATCTTACATTACCGCGAGGCCTTCTTCCTCTCGTACTGATTATTCTCGAGCATCTCACGCCCGCTAGCGGCTTCGATCGACCCCCTTTTTTGTTTGCATGAACGGCGTCCAGGAGTTGTTAGTCCAGTCCGTGTCCAGTCAAATCAATGAACGGCACCTTGCTGTGGTGAAGTAGACCAGAACACAGGTAAGCGAGGCTCAAGGTTGATGTTAATATTACCGCGATATCAATAAGTTTGGTTATCTTCAATCAGTGGGTTCCAGATCGAATGCAGGTGGCTGCGACTTCAGCTAGCTCGGCCAGTCAGTCCCCTCAAACCTTGTACACCTATGCATCGTTCGGTCGTGGAGATGTTTTGGCCCGTGACCCCAAGCTGAATGGACCAGTCGAAGGCCAAGAAGATGATCTCGATTCCAACCAGCTGGCTCCATCTTCTTCACTGACACAATCTCCAAACATCGAGCATTCTCCCTTCAGGTCAGACATCGAGAGTAACGTCAACTTGGACAGTTTCGACCAGTTGTCGGGTTCGTCTGGTACTGCTGGTGCTACGCCGAGGGATGACCAAGAGCCAACATCTTCTCATGCGTTGGAACTGTCGGTTAATGGTGCTCAAGTGCGACGACTGAAAAGGCTAGCTGTTTTGAATGGGAGTTTATTGAGGAAATGTGGTAAGGTTTATCTTTGTTAATTTGGATTTAGGAATAGTGCGATAACTCTGTAGAGTTATAATCAACTTTCTATTTACTTAGACGGCTTTATTGTCTACAATTTTATTTTGAAAAGATGGTTAATATTTGTTTTGTAGGAGTTTTGTCAGTGCAAGTTTCGTCGAGGAACAAGATCGAAAAACTTACGGTTGGTCGATCAAACTTCTCTCGATGTAATATCATAGCATTTCCACCAGCTCCACGACCTCGCAAGTTCCCAGTTGAATCTGTATCTGATCTCCAGAAACGTACACTTGGTACTCCTGGTCCTTCAGGGGAATCGAGACGAATGGATGTTAAATGTAAGTGGATTTACCGTTTTAGTGTTTTATTAACATTTTATGTTAACTTTTTGTTATCATTGGCTTTTAAGTTTAAAAAAATGATTTTTATAATTAAAAGTTTTGAATTAAACTTTGTTACCTATATTAACCAATACAGTAAGATTATACAATCAAATTTCATTTTTAGATATAATCAAACCGAACGAAGTGCCTGTTAATACCGAGAATCCGATGTTAATGAGTATGCTGAACAAGAATGGACCGGTGCCAGAACAAGCTCGTTATGTACCAGTTCAGCCTCCGCCGATGGTACCGGCTTATGGTCCCGGGTCGGCTTCGTATAAGATGTCGAATGGAGAAGTTCACGAACCCTTTCCTCACGTGGATCCGGCCAAGTTTAATGGTCATTCTGATCTACAGGTGAGAATATAAAGCTATATCTTTAGCCAGAAGATCTCTAGGATAAGATAACGCCACAGTAAATTCATTTTTGAAATTTCAATTTTTGGTGGTAAGATTGACTATAATTTAATTTTTTTGAATGCAACATGGTTAATATCCTGATTTTCAGGGCGAATCCGCGCCATCGCCGAAGAAGCCGAGGAAGTCTCGAGCCAAGAAGCCGAAAGAAGAACAAAAACCTCCAGAACCCACGATCAGAGCCATCCAACCTCAACATCAGATGCCTCAACAAGTGCCTCCAGATTATTATATTGCTCATCAACAGGGAATGCAACAACATCAGCAACGTGTTCCGCCTATGCATCTAGCGCCTCAGGTAGGTTACTGTAAAATATCAGAGAAAAGCAGTTTTTAATGGGACTTTTGAAGGGCTTTTGTTAACTAAAGCTAAACTAAAAGTAGTCTTATTGATCGCGAGACTTTGGTTATGGTTGGGGTAATATTATACTGAAAACATTGCCATTATTTTTTAATTCTTCTTGAAATTTTTGACCGAAATTTAAAATCTTACTTTCTGTTTTACCTAATATTATAATAAATGATCATTTTTGATCAAACAATGTCTATAAAATATAATTTTAGTACCGCCCGGCGTACCCTGGCTACCCTCAACAACATCAAGGTATGCCTCCCGGTGGACCACAACGCGTTTTCGTACCAAACCAACAGTATCCTCAACAAATGTGGACTCAGGTAGGTTAATCGCATTCTAAAAATTTTTGGAGGGGTATTATTTAGGGTTTATAGCTAGTATTTTGGTCGAAAAGTTTGTAGAATTGGCATTTTTTATAAATATTTGAAATTTTTTCTTGATTTTTTGGGTTTTTATTGATTATTAAATTAATCAGGAAGAGCTTAGATGGTTAATATTTCCTAAGAAGCATAACAAGTTAGACACGGATTGACTGATTAAAAATTTGCATAATGAACCACCTAAAAAAATATAAACTAATTTAAATCTATTTCCAGGTCCCAGCTGACGAAAAACAAATGATACAACAGCAGCAACAACAGCAACAGATGCGGATGCAACAGATGCAAGGCTACCCCGGCTATCACTACAATCAGCCGATGAACGTGGACGAGCAGAATCGACCGATTCTGAACGGTCGAGTGCAACAACAAGTGATCAGCCCTCAGGAAATGGAGTTCCGTCGCCAGCAACAAATGCGAATGCAGATGCAACAACAGCAGAACATGCAGCGAATGCCCATGCCTCCACAGTATCCCCAGACGCCCGGTCCTTCCAAGGATTCTGGAATGAAGCAGGAGTACGAACTGGCTGACAACGTCGACGACCTCATGCCTACTTTCAAAAGTGATGAGGGTATGTTAAAGATAGTTTTTATTTATTTTTGAATCTTTTTTTTGGTTTTAAGGTAGTTATCAGGGTTTAAAAAATTAAGCTTTTCCCGCCTATAACGACTTGTAAAACCTTCCTTTTCAGCCGAAGATTTTGACCTAGAATCAATCGTCCCCAGCAAACTGGAACAGCCCGAGACAAAGCCGAAACCGACCAAAAAGAAGGCAACCCAGTCCTCCAAGGCCAAGAAACAGTCGGAGAAGAAGGAGCTGGACGAGTTGGAGAAGGCGATGAAGCGGAATCCAGACGATCCGCTGAGCTCGCCGCTGATCCCAGACGAGCAGGGCCGCATGATCGGGAGCGCCATCGACTGTGTGATGGAGCGAGTGATGCGAGAACAACAACAAGGTCAAGCTACGGCCTGTGTGCAGGGTCAACAACCCACCACCAGTGTCCAACTACAAGGTCAGCAGCCAAGCACCAGCTCTCATTCACAACAACCCTGCAACTCCACGTCTATAACGACAACAAAACCGGAACGGACGTGGCCTGACGGTCCGGACCTACCTCACGATGTACCTCAGCCGGCCTCTTCGGACATCCGAAGGGACCACTCATCTTCTTCGTCTTCCACTTCGAATCCCCGTGACGACTTCTCGGCCCCCTCCTCGGTGCCGGACTATCAGCATCAGGAAGGCGGCTACAGGTACGGCATGTACGGTGACATTGTACAAAATGGAAATCAGGTGAGTCAGTCTTTTATTCGTTGCTTTTTATTTTAGGTATAGGTCCGAAAGTATATAGAACTGTATTTTTTTTACTTCAAAAGGGCTTTTGTTGATATTTGGCATAATGATGCTATATCTCATTAATTTATGGCAAAACTATAGTAAAGCGATCGCTACAGTTTTCAAAATCAAATTATTAATAGCGTCAGAAACTTATAAACACCCTTATTACTATTAAAAACACCAAAAAATTGTTTCAACCGTTATAAATCACATTTTAAAACCATCTTCATACCTAAAACATTATTGTTTTAGATTCAGTACCCCGTGCAGCAGTCGCAGAAAGCATTTCCAGCCCCGGACCATCCGTACCATGGAGAATTCGACAAGAACTGGGACTTTCTCGAGCCCAACAACGGATCGCAACGGAGCGGCGAGAAGGAATTACATGATATTCGCGTAGAGCAATAAATCTTTTAAATATTTATAATAACACAACTGTCGAGTTGGACTCTAAATATACATATATATACTGTAGTGTGACAATCAGTGTCGCGTAGACTCGGTTAGGATCGTGTTGCCATCCAGGAGGTCGCTTACCAGCTCTTCTAGGTGAGGGATGGGCGTCTGAATGTTGTGTAGATCGTGCCGTTTCACGTCGCCACGTCGAGGAGGGAGAGTGGCGGCGTTGGATTCGTAACTCTTGTTCAACTCCATATAGGGTTCGATGAAGCGAAGTACTCTTGACAGTTGGGAGCGGGTATATCCTAAAAATATGGCAATAACCCGTTGTAAAAGTTCGTACATTATAATAGAAGAAAAATAAAAAAAACCGAATAGATCACAAAGTTATCACCCCCCCACTGTAATAAATCCTACCAATAATCTCCTCCACATTCTCGGTCGGTTCGTACGAATGTAGAATAACTGCGGCCGCCAGTTCACCGTACGTGAAGTTCATATACTTTGTGTTTGACATTATGAGATCAAGCCCTCGAACCAGTAAAACAAATTCATCTCGAGCCAACACTGGCACTGTAAAGGTTTCTCCCATGGCACTATCATCATGAATCTGTTCTTCCGCTTCCGACAATTCATTAGAAGTGGAAGCTGCTACTGAATTGTCACGGTCAACCTTATCTGAAGTTAAAATTTTAGTTTTGTCCTTACATAGCTATAAAACATAACATAAGGTCCAAGCCCGATTCTGTATTTAGACATATTAATAATCTTCTGGGTCTGCTTCGAAGAACGATAACGTTCTTATAAAATTAAATTAAAACATCAAGCTTACCTTGTTTGTACATCATCTGAAGGTAAAACGCAAGCCATTGTACTGGCGACATATATACACAATTCCAGTCCAACACCTCCAGTATTGCTGTCTCCATATCCCTTATTTGTTTAGATGAACAAGCTCCATTCGTATAATCTGATAACACTTCCAACTTTGGTGGATATATCTCCTATAATACCAAATATAATAATTAATCATATCATAAACTTCAAGACAAAGTAGTACCAACGGTCAAAGATAAGTTATCTGACATATCATGCTCTATAGACTACTGCGTAAAACTGATATTTTGAAATGTAGACCCAAGAAAAAATATTACAATCCTAGTCACACAAATCAAATCTTACTGTAACGAATAACAATAGCATTTTGTACCTAAAATGCAAAAATAACAAAAAACTTACTTCAACTTTACAAGCTATGAACAAACATGTTACTCCCAACAACTGCAGATTGTCCGGTTTTACTTTGTATTCGCGTTCTGGCATTGCTCCTGTTATTGACAGGTACTTGTCAATGTATGTTATAGTTAGATAAAATGTTTCACGATGCAAGTTCAACTCTGAGCATACCTAAAACAATACATTTTGAAACCAAAACACCAAAATATTTTATTTTATTAACAAAAATAACATAAAATTCATTTTCGTTTTTAAATTTTGATTTTAAGGTAACAAAATTTAATTTAATTTTGTTACCTAAAAATGAATGTTTGTTTTGAAAGTTAATAAAAGAACATTTATATACCTAAAATAACAAAGATATCTTACATTCATAATCCAGTCAAATAGTACCAGTCTCATCTGAGGCTTAAATCCCGGATGCTGACGAAACACGATGGGAGACGTTTTGGCCTCAATATCTTGTTGTACCAAAACGTCCCAGAACGTCACGGGTGCCCCGAACTCTTGTGAGGTATTCAGAATGTTTGGCATGCTCCTGGAAGCGACGGGTCGCTTCCTTTTCGTCTTCTTTGGTACTTGACGTTCTGGAGACACATTTTCATCTGATTCGAACACTTCCAATGTGCTCATTCTCTTCGACGGTCTTGTAGTAGCTAAAACAATATAAATTATAAAAAATGAAAATATGGTAATAAAATAGTACCTAAAATAGCAAAACATCGCTTAAAATAAATCACAGATTAAATAAACATGTCAAGAAGATCTCTAAAATACCAAAAATTTATTATATACTAAAATATTACCTAAAATACAAGAAAAAGCTTAAAAATACTCCGAAAGACCTTTCAAAAAAAAGTTTTAGGTATCTAAAGAAGGAAAATCATTCCCAAAAGCTTATAAAAATCTGCAAAAACAACTAAAACCCCTCTTATTACCTATTTTACCCTTTTCAAAAACTAAAAACTGATAACTTACCTTTGACAGTATACTTTACCGAGACCGTAACACTTGTCTCCACTCTCTGATTATCTAAAAACTCAAGTTTAATATTTAAAAGATTTTAATTTAAAAATTTGAAATTGAAACCCACCTTTAACCGCCTTGTAGGCAGACATTCTGATTGTACGAATAGCCGGAAGGGAAGGTCCACAACGGTTTTCGTTCATAAAAACGCCCGCGCCCTCGCTTTTTCAAGCAACGGAATGCCAAAAAGGCGGCTAGAATTAATATACCTTCATTATGCATACGAAAGCACGTTTGACGCGACAAGAGAAGGTCAGTTATGACGACTGATATTGTTATAATACCAATACGATCAGTTTTGTTGGATATGACGGACAATATTCGTAAAAAACAAGCGAATAAGATATGGTTAACATTAAAAATATTTTAAAATTTGTAGAAAAATGAATAATTGATAATCAACCACAATTTTTATTTTTGTCAATTGACACCTCGCTTTTGATAAAAATTTGAAAAAATAATTTTAAAACGTTTCTTTTCGCCCCCATTACGGCGGCCTGCAAAAACACGGCCGCAGCCTGCACTGTCTGTAAATTGCACCAAAAAAAGAAAAATGGTCCGCAAATGCTTTTTTCATTCTTTTTTATCTTCGCTCTCGACCTTATAGTTATCAGTATACATAAATTTAAATCTTCAGCTATCCGAACCGGTTAATTATATTCGTTTTCAGTAGGACAACATTCGAATTGCTACAAAATGGTGCACTAAAGTCGATATTTATACTTTTTCGAGTGGATATTTATATAAGAAATGTCGACTCAAGAGCCGGAATCAAATTCAGAAGATCAGCCGCCATTATCCACGAGTTCTAGTGTGAACACATTGACCAATGTGAATGTAAGTCAACACAACACACCCAGCCCGGCTTTAACGACCAGTGTAACATCGGCCGAGGAGGACAAGGGCAGTGATTCAGATGGAGATGCGGCTGAAGAGGTGCGTGAATTTGGGATATTGTTGTTTTAAAGGTTTAGATGTTGTTTTAGATGGTATTTTGAGGTTTTAAAATAGTTATCAATCTTGTTTTAGGTTTTAAAATCTAATTTTTGAGTTTTAAAATGAAAAATGAGTTTACAGTTGTAAGACCTTTAAGTTATGGATTGAAAATTTTTTTTTAATTTTTATGGATTAGGTATTGAATGCTTTAGCTTTTCTATAAATATCTGTTCAGTAATAACCGTATTTTGCAATTCCAGATATTGGAAGAGAGTCCGGACAAAAGGTGGTCGAAACGAAGAGAAAAAGTGAAACAACGAGATGTACCAGGCATCGATGCAGCGTTCTTGGCCATGGATAACGAAACGGGTAACGAGGTGGTCTGGAATGAGGTCCAGTTCTCGGAACGGAAGAATTTCAGAGAACAAGAAGTGAGTTGTACCTTGTTGTAGATTATTCTGCTTTTAGGAAAAGCTGAGGTCAGTGTTTGATAATCTGACACAATTGGTACACATCAATCTGGTCAAGTTTCACAAGTATTGGACGGATTCAAAGTCGGAGAAGCCTAGGGTAGGTTGATATTGTTGTATCTTCTTCAAGAATGTTATGTTAAAGCACTATATTTTATGGAATTTTTAAGTTTAAAGTTTTACATGCTTTATTTCTTTTGTCATCTTATACAACATTATAAAAGACATTCATTTCAAAGTCTTGAATATAATTTATAGAGCTAACTGTATCATAACATCACTTTTAGATGATATTCATAACAGAATATATGTCGTCGGGCTCGATGTCACGGTTTCTTCAACGTGCACGGTCTTCGGGCACATTGTTGAACATCAAAGCTTGGAAGAAGTGGACTACGCAGATATTGTCAGCGCTCAATTATTTACATTCGTGTGAACCTCCAATAGTTCATGCCAATCTGACATGTAACACTGTCTTTATCCAACAGAATGGGTTGATTAAGATTGGGTGTGGTAAGTTGGTTTTAAAACTTAAATTAAAATTAAAAAGTTGTTTTAATTTGTAAAATACGTTTTTTAAATATGTTTTTTGGTTATTTTTAAGTTTTGGGTTTTCTAAAATACGATTATTGTTGTTTTAGTGGCTCCAAACGCGATTCATCATCATGTAAAGACATTCCGGGAGAATCTGAAGAATATGCATTATGTTGCTCCGGAATTCGATCGTAAGTTAGTTTATATTCTTTGTTTTTTACCGCTTTAGGTTGTTAATTTCTTCTCATTGTTCATTTCATGTTTCAGAATTGTCCGAAGCCACGACTGAGACTGATATCTATTCGTTTGGTATATGCGCGTTGGAGGTATGTGTTAATTGTAGTTTTTTGTTGAAGTTTAGGATACTAATCTTCAAAACATAAATATTATGTCCAAAGGGTATCATAAGGAACCGTTTTGTTATTACTATAAATTTTTGAACTTATTAGTACTATACTATTGAGGATATGGTGTTTGTGATACCTTTTTTTTTGATTTTTTATTACTCTTATTTTTTAGATGGCTACGACTGGTGGTTTATGCTGTAATGGTGGATCTACGGAAAGTACGAGTCAAGTAACCCCAGCTATGATTAGAAAAGCGATCGACAGTTTAGAAGATGGGAAGCAACGTGTAAGTACTCAATGTTATTTACTTTTGTATTTTGTAAGAGTATTTTTTGTAATCGTTATCTTTACTTTCTTTATAATATAGTTACGTACACAGTAACTTTAATTTAGTAGTAAAATGGTTATGATTGTCTTATCTTACAGGACTTTATCGAGAGTTGTCTGAACCCGAATCCAAAGAAACGACCGACGGCGCGAGAACTTTTGTTCCACCAAGCTCTGTTCGAAGTTCATTCACTCAAGTTACTGGCAGCTCACGCAATTGTAAATTCCAAACTGATTGATCATCTAACGGAAGAAGACCTCAGGGTACAGGATTCCACCAAGATTGTTGCAACTTCCAAACATAAAAATGTCGCATATTGTGAACTTTCAACTTTTCAAGTAAGTTACAGTAGGCAATTGGGTTTATTGGCTCTTTTTAATTTTTTATAGCGATAAATAGTAACGTGTTTTTGTTTTTATTAGGTTTTGTTACTATGTATTGTATTGCTTGTTTTTTGTATTGCATTATTTTAAATGATCCACTTTTAAAATGACATTGTTTCAGATAGACTTGGACAAGTTTCTAGAAGACGTTCGAAATGGCATCTATCCCTTAATCGCTTTTGCTCCTTTGGCACATCTTCCAACCAAAATGAAGCTGAATGCCGAGTCTGCCATTACGGGATTCACTCACGATGCGCCACGTCGAAGCGAACAGAAGTCGGTGACATATTCAAATAAGGATCCAGAGAATCAACGAAACACAACACAGAAGACGGAAGTGAAAGATAACAAGGAAAACAACCAGCAGAACAACGTGAAACATACCACAACATCGAATGGAAACACTTCAGTCAACGTACCGGGTAAAGACGAAGGCTACGACACTGTGCAGAGTGGAATCACGCCTTCAGGCAATCAGTCGGGTGGCGACAACAAAGAGCAAGGCAAATACGCCGAGAGTCGACAGATCGTCGAGATTTCAGCCAATATCGATGGGAATATGCTCAAAGCCACCCTCAAGCTGGACGACATGATGATACGAGAGCTGAGGACGCCTGTGGGAAACGAGGACAATGCCGAGATGTTGGCTAATGATCTGGTTCATCTGGGCTTCATATGCACGGTAAGGGGTTTATATTGTAGTTGGTTATTTAGATTTTGCATATATGACGTATTATGATAGAGATTTAAATTTTTCTAATCTACTATATTTATGCTTTGAGACATTTTTCATTTAGTTTAACTTACTAGTCATTATCAATATCATTTAAGGCCGACTGTGAAAAAGTGTGCCAAGTCCTCCAGTCCACCCTAGACGAATATCGGCGCCAGAAAGAGGACGATAGTGGTAAAAGCTCACGGAAGTCGTCGCGACAACACGACCCGAACACGGTTGTCGCCGCAGTCCAGCCTCCGGCCGCTGATCCCACCAAAACGTTAACTAGGCCTTCTTAACGTTTCAGTATTAGTATTGTTTTCTAACTCTATTTTGTTAATGCTAATAGAATGTTGTTCATCTTTTACCTTTGTTTGTGCTTCTAACCCCCATCTTAAGGGTCCGCGATTACGGTAATTTTAGTCTTTCCTTTCTGTAGCGAACATTGTCATACGAAGAAGTGTTTGAGTGACGACTGAGGTATGTGGTTACTATATTTGGTTTATGCGTAGTAAGTATTGGTATATTTTTTAGAAATATTTTGAAGTCTAAGCTTAAGTATTATTTTGTATTGGCACATAGTCAATATTGAACGATATTTCATAGCTTTTGATATTAAAGATAGTATTTTGGTAATATTAATGTAGAAATTTGGGTTAACGTGGTTTATATTAGTATAAAACCTTTGTTACAGCAACATTTAACTAATGAGCGCTAGCTTAACGTAATCTAAAATGACTTGTTTAATATGATTTTTACATAATTTACCCTATACTTATACAATTTTCAAGACAAATTACAACTTTGTGCACATTTTGATAGCTACTTTGCTCATACCACGAACAATAGTAAATACCAAGTAAATCAGTAGCATACTATAGCTATAGGTAATCACAAAACACGTTCCGCTACAGTTATATGCATCCTAGCGTGCTTCGAAGTAATTCTCTCAACATATTATAGTCATAAGCCCTTTCCCTTTCAGTCTCCACTGGTCGATTTTCCATGAAATTCGACCGTTCCGGCTTCTACACATGTTTAACTCTCAACTCTTACAATTCAACGCAACTTCTGACACCACGATCGCACTCTAGATTCCCTTTTTAAATTTAAATTTTACATATTATGTTAAGAAGATCTGTTAATTCTTTCGCTTTGGGGAAAACGATAGCCTTATATCAATATGGTTTAATAAAAAGTGTCGTTTGTAAGCGAAAGAATTAACGGATCTTCCTAATACTTGGTCAACTAAATCTTCTGGCCCTCGGGCCGAAACAACGGGTTTATTCAAAGTTGTTTCCGAAAACAATGCTGAATGACGTCTAACAATCATGTTTTAATCGACTGGTTCACAACTACGTCTTTGTTATCATTGTACTATGGTACTGTTTAGTTCCACTAACAAATCCTTGAGTTTAAAATATTCATAATTATTGAGGAAATAAATTTCAGTATACAAGTGTAAAATCTTTTTTGTGGTTTATAAGTATCTTATCTGCCGCTCAAAATCAGCTCGAAATTTTTATATGAATTCTTTGTACCACCAACAGTACCCATAAAAAAGTTTAGCTTGCGCTTTCGGGTTTTAAATATTTGTGTTTCCCGCCAATTTGGCATTGTGTTGCAAGCATTTTTTCTACTTTCTAGACAAGTTACGCTTACAAATTTAAAAACGTAGGTTTATTTAAAGATTTTATACTGATATAGCAAAAAAAATTGATTAAAAGTGAAAATATGACAAAGTTAAAAGCTTGAAACACAATGCCAATTTGCCGCGGAATTCAAAACCTAATTTTTTGATCTTGGTTCCTTATAACTTTGCTGAATAGCTTAAATTTACATAATATTTTTATATTAAAAGTTTGAAGCCAACAGAATGAGGCAGAGGAGCCACTTTCCTTGTTATGGTTTTGAAATGGCTTGATTTTGGTTATCCTAAGGCTTACTTATTTAGCAGTCAATTTTAAAGACTTAAACTTATGTTTTGCGGTTCTCAATGTAAAAGTTACCTTCCTAAAACTATAGGTATTACTTGTCGAAGCAGACAATTCGATCATCTCAAACCGGATGGTAATCCTTCCTCTGGAAGCCTTGGCCATGTAATCGCGCAACTGTTTGGCCATGATGCGAAAAGGCGGAGAGCGGTACGAGATGAGACAAAGCAGTGATTAGGTCACGGTCTGCGTGAGTCTTGACCTGTTGTGACCCCGAGAAGTGGCCGCGCGACGTCTCGAGGTATTGCACTTAAGGGAGAATGTCCTTTCGAGTTGTTCTCTTTTTCGTCTCCTGCTTCCTCGACGTGCGCGCTCAGCACGGTACCGTTGGTCGGCCGTGCGAAGTGTCCACCGACTGTAATACCGGTAATTACTGTGCCGGTAATAAGCGGTGTGCCTGTTTGACCACATATGTTGAGATCGACTCGTATTGCTGGAGGAGTAAGGTGTTTTTGGTTAAAAAATTTTTTTTTTAGTTTAAATGTTAAAAAAAAATTTTTACTGTATTCCATATTACAGAAAGAATCTGGAGAATAAAAACAAGTAAAATTTTTCAAAATTTAAAAAAATGTAAAACCTCGATATTATACTATGTGTAACATAAGCAACCTTACATTTTTTACAGAAATCAACCCGGGTGAATCAGGATGCACGCAGAATCGACAGTGTGAAGCTGTATGGCCTGGGGCATATTGTAGATCAGGAGAATGTAGATGTGCCAACAATCAGCCACCTTTCCGTACTCGAGATGGCTTAGTCTGTCTGAATTACGGATTCTGCCCGCTTAACGGTAACAATCCTAAATTCAGAATCGAAAATCAGGTAGGTTTTTGAATTCTTTTACAGTATCTTTTTAAATTTAAAATTTTAAAATATTTTTGAAAATTTTTTAATTGAAAAAGTAGTTAAAAACTATATACTTTAAGCCTATTATAATAATAGCAAGCTTGTTTTGGCACTACTAGTAATATATTGTCTTTATGAAAATTACAGTACCAACCGGTAATTGTAGGTCCAACAATGTTACGGTGGAGCCGACGCCACCTGTGAAGCCATTGGAGCCCTGGCATACGATTGTATTTGTGATAACGATGATTGTACAGTAAACAATCCCATCAGTTTTTGCTGTCCATCTCGAGGTACTGTAACATTTTTTACTTTATTTTCGTGTTTTAGCATTTGTCAAGCCTAGTAAAGCGTTATCAAAACAATAAAAAAATCTTTTAGCATTTGCTTGTATCCAACCACCAAACGAAGGCTACACTCCACCTGGCGGTGGTACCACCTTGAACCATTGGTACCACGACCCGATTACTGGCGAATGTAGAGAGTTAAAGTATCAGGGTTACGGTGGAAATGCGAACAACTTCCAGACCAAAGATCATTGTGAAAGTTACTGTAAACAAAGTAGGTGGTTATTGTAGTTATTACAGAGTATCATAATTTTTACTGTAGGCATTAGAAGGTACCATAAAATTTAGTCTATTTATTATAGAGTACCAACACTGTATAGAAATTACTTTTACATACTATAATAAAAGAATAGTAATGTATTTTCCGTATTTTACAATGAATTATGTTGTTTTAACAATGTTACTTCAGCCTGTAACAGAGGTCTGCCTCTGTACCGTGACAGAACTACTGGCGTCAAACAAGAGCCGGTTTACTGTCAAGGTAACGACAATGGATGTAACAACCCTAACTATATGTGCACAACTATGGGAACGTTACAACAATGTTGTCCTACTTCTCGTAAGTTAATATTATAGTCATTTACTGTACTGTGAAAAAGTTTTACTCTACGGTAAAAAGGTTTTACTGTGTTTTACTTTATCATTAAGTCTGGAAAGAGTTTTGTCGTTAATATTAGGTTTTTCAAATAATACAGTGCCAATTTCAAAGGAAATTTGCCATTTTTACAAACTTTTTAAAAAATACCTTATTTTAGTGCATATCTGCAGTAGAAATGGTGCTATACCAACAGAAGTATACAATACAGCTGGTGGATTACCTTCAGAATACTTTGATGTTGGTATTCCTGATGGTACGGGCAACACCTATCCTAGGTTCTACTACGATTCGAGAGAAGGACGATGCATCCAGTTCTCGTATCTCGGCCAGGGCGGCAACTTCAACAACTTTTTGTCGCAAGATCACTGCGAAAAGTTCTGCTCCAGAAGTAAGTGGCTTGTAGGTAGTATAGTAATTATTACTTCTTGTCTTTGTTTTACTATGTAGAACGAACACATTGATTGTGCAGTATAACATATATATAACATATGTTGTTGTAGTTCTGTGCCTGGCTGGCGAACCTTTGAAAGACTCGAGCGGTGAACGTAATATGGAGTGTTCTCCAACTGGCAGTGGTGCCAATTCTTGTCCAACCACCCATTCGTGTGAGTCTACATCTGGTAGTACCACTTTTGGTGGAGTATGTTGTCCACGCCCTCAGTATGTGTGCAAGTTGTCCAGAGAACAGGTAAAGCTATCGTACTAACCGATGTTATCATATTATAGAAACATTGTTAAAACACCTCTTGTTATAGTAGTATAGGTGGTATGGAGTAATAGTTCGTATCAATTACAGAACTTATCAAATATTTTTTAGGGTAACTGTGGTACCTACAGTAACCGCTGGTGGTTCAATGCCAAAACCGGTAACTGTGAAGAGTTCATCTATTCTGGATGTCAAGGAAATGCCAACAACTTTGAGACCTACAAAGAGTGCCAGGATTACTGTAGAGATGCTAAAAGTAAGTCATAAAAATAACAATAACATACCTTGTACTGTAAGTACATATTACTGTATGGTGCTTTAGGTGAACCACAATGTATTCAAGGCACAGCTCTGACAGATTCGAGTGGTAACTTTGTCATTTGTGGAGGATCAAGCTCAATGACTTCCACATGCCCAGCCAACTACTACTGTTACTACGATGGTACCACTTATGGTTGTTGTCCTACTCAAGGTAAAATACGGCAAGTCTTACTGGCCAAATATAACGAATTAATAACATAAAATTAACAAAAGTGATAGCACTTGACCAGTAGTACCATCTTATAGTACCACCTTGATTAAGATATCAACTATAAGTTACATATCAGAAACAAATATTGTGCATTACCTACTACCATTTCAGCGTACACCTGCTCCCTCGGCTCCAAAAGTGGTGCTGTTTGTGGTCCCGCCGTGACCAGATGGTACTACGACTCCACAACCAGAACCTGTCAGACCTTCTCCTTCAACGGTTGCGACGGTAACTCCAACAACTTTGCAACGCAACAAGACTGCAAAGATTACTGTAGAGTGGAGAGTTGTCCGGATGGTGGAGAAGTGTGGAAAGAGCCAAATGGAGCACCCCGAGGCTGTACCACTAACAGACAGTGTCCTAGTACTCATTACTGTACTCCTGTTACCACTTGGACTGGTACCTTATACCAGACGAAGCCTTTATGTTGTCCATCCAAGAACTTTGTCTGTTCACAGCCAAAGGACGTGGGAGTACGGTGCTCGAGTACGACCATTACTAGACACTACTTCAATGCTGATACGAAGACATGCCAGACCTTTGAGTATAACGGTTGTGAAGGTATGTTGCTGTAGTTTTAATGTGGAGAGCGGCTTTAATTTGTTCTTATAAGCTTCGAGTACTTAAATGAACAGTGTACTACAGTAGTAATACCAAAGTAGAAACAGTATATATGTTAATATACGCCTTGTAGGTAATTAACCATACCATTTTAGGAAACCGCAACAACTTCGCGACCCAAAAAGCCTGTCAAAACTACTGTCTGTCCGAGGCCTGTCCACCAGGTACTGTAGTAGCCAAGGAGACAGACGGTCAACGTCTGGTACAATGCTCCAATCCAGGGGGTTCAGGCCGAGTATCAGGCGGATGTCCAGAAGGCTACACTTGCTACAGTAGTCCCCTACTAGATCAAAACGTTTGCTGTGGAGCCAGTACGGAGCTGCAAGCACTGTGTCCTGCCAGTTCGACTCCATTCATATCAGCATTGTCGCTACAGCCAATGCAATGTACTCCCAACGTCGACGGCGCTTGTCCTGGCAACTTTTTCTGCTGGTTCTCTACTACAACAACAGCTGTCAACGCGTTCTACTGTTGTCGATCCCCTGATAGTGTTGACACTGCATGTAAGTTTACATAAGAAGTTGCGTTACTTTTTTCTTGACTAGTGATCCAGTATATTAGCATAGATACGAGTCAACCAAATTGAATAAATTCCTACTGTAGTCTTATAAGTACTGTAATCAAAAAAGCGAATTTACAGTATGAAAGCCTTTCAAAAGATAAGCAATTGAATATACCTTATTATAGTCTGTCCACCACAACTGGTGCCAGTACCAGGAGATGGTGGAGCACAGTACCGATACTGTAGTCCGTCAGCACCCATCAACGACGCCGTACAAGGCTGTGGTACTAACAGACATTGCCAGTACTCGACCAGCCTGGAGCGATACATTTGTTGTGGCCTGGAAAGCGATGTTAGACTACCCAGTAAGTACCATTCAATGTTATCTTAATACTAGTACTATATTACACTAGAACTATAGTACTAATCCTATTTCAAAATATCTCTGACACCATAACTAACATGCCATTTTCAGACGTATGTCCCCCGCAACCAGCCAACCTGGTACCGGTGGAGCTGGCCGGCAACTACCGTACCTGTAACCCGTACGCCAGGAGTGGCACACCCCAATCGTGCCCCGACAACTCGGCCTGTTTGTACACCGGAGCCGACAACGGCTTCATTTGCTGCAGAGTACAACTATCTTCGGGCGGGTTCTGAAGCTGTTACACTATTGTATATTATAGTTTACTGTTACAGAGTAAAATATTATTTGCCATTACGAAAGCGGTCGATTAAACTTGACATATATTAAGGTTTTTGGTCGATTCTTCTGTTTTTCGAACAAAAAATGTTATAATATTATAATAACAAACTATGAAATCGTTCAAATAATTCTGTACCCCTTTAACCTCAAAAATCTGCTTTAAGTGAAGCACATAATTAATTGAACCTGCTAGTTCGTTGAAAAGTTGAAATAACCTTGAAATCCCTCAAAATATGGGTCCAAATCGAGAAATTATGCAAATTTCCTTTACAAAACCACCCAAAACTCGGCTTCATTATTGTGATTTCAAACCTCGCAATTTGGTGAATTTTGTTATCGTTTCTAACTTCTCTAAGTTTGTGTTGGTTTTCCAGTCGTTGGGGAATATCAATCTTTACCATTACTTAACGTAAGTTGTTATAGTTTTATTTGTAACCTTTTAGGTTCTGGTTCTTTTAGTCTTATTTTGAATATTTTTGTTTTACCTTCTTAGATGCAAAGTAAAACACCTTGTTTAAGAAATTTTTTAAAGTTTTTTTAGCATTTCAAACCGCGAGTATTTTAATTTAGTGTTCCAAATATTAATACTATGCATTCAGACTCTTTCATACAAGTTTATTTACGTATTGTTACCTAAAAATAAAATATCCTTTAAAAATTTCGCCAAAATAAACTTTTCAAAACTTAAAATACGTTAAAACATAATGTTTCAGCCAGATAACAACGGAAGAATCCTGTGGGCAGGATTTGGGGATATAAAACAATAACCCTGACGTCGCGAATTTTGAAAAATTGGCAACGTTATAAAGAAAGCTGTGCGCGCAATGTCGCCGCGGAAGAATAAGAGTAAAGAAGAAAGTCGTAAGTCCAAAAATAATTAAAATTGTAATAAAATGCAAAGTAAACAAAAAGCATAAAAATAGAATTCATTGACAATTAAATTTCATTTTTCCAAACTAAATTTCGAAAACGGAATGCAACTATTGATTGATCTCTAATTTTTCAGTCTTATCTTGAACCTTTGCTCGTTTACCGATTTAAAAGCTCAATTTAAATTAAATTTATTTAGAAATTTGTATCCTTAATTGACTTTAACTTACTATAATATTGTTTTAGCTCCCACCGCGCAACTGCCACCGCCAGCCGAAGTCGAACATGAAGCAACGACTCCGACAAGAGATCAACAAGCTAAAACTCCACCGCGAGATCCACCACCTGAACCAGAACCACCGCATCATGAAGAAGAACAGAAGCCGGTTCAAACAAACAATGATGATTTTCCGGTAAGAAAATAAATTAAAGTTGTGTATCATGTATAACATAATTTTTGCTCGAGATTATCAAAAAACTTAAAATACAATATAATCCAAGGTTTATATTGTATTTTAACGAGGAGAATGTAGTTTTAGGTGATTTTTTAAGATGAGAGCTTTATTTTTATGGTTAGTTAACAGTAGCTATGTTTTTCAAGATGTTTCATTTGATTTGAATCTTATTTTAGAACGAAGAAACGGCCAGAGAAGAAGCACCACCTAAAACAACAAAGTCAGAATTGATGGAAAAACGAGAAAAGTTCTTGACAGATTTGGCATTCCGATTACGAAGAGCTGGAGACGTTCCGAACGTAGCCAGGCTACAAGGAATCGAGATGAAGAAGGTCGCATTGTATTGCAGGGAAAAGGTACAGTAATTTGGAAAGTATATGCCATATATTATGTATATGGCATGTTCTAGCAGAAGATTCTGTTACGCATCTTATGGTAATGATATGTCTATTTACAGTGTATGAAAGAGCCGGGAATGCTGGATCTGGAGCCGCCGATGGTAATTGTGGGTGATATTCATGGCCAGTTCTCTGATTTGACCGGCATGTTTGATCAGAATGGGGATCCGCCTAATGTCAACTTTCTGTTTCTTGGTGATTACGTAGATCGAGGTCCTTATCAATGTGAAACGATTGCACTTTTGATGGCCTATAAGGTCCTATACCCACAGAATATCTTTTTACTACGCGGTAATCACGAAACTCGTGTCATTAATAGGTAGGTCTTTGGTTTGTAGTACTGTGCTGTTAATAAAACATTTTTAGTTAAAAATACCTTTTGTGTTTATCAAAAAAGGTTCATTCTTCTAAAGTAACGCTTCTTCAGAACGTACGGCTTCCTCGATGAACTAAAAACTCGTTTCGGCGACACAGAACCAAACTTGTGGGAACTGTACCAGTCGGCCTTCTCGTGTCTGTCGCTGTGTGCTAGAGTAGGGAAGAGGATATTCTGTATGCATGGTGGTATACCGAAGGATATGGGTAATTGGAAGCAGTTGGAGGTCATCAGGAAGCCATTGGAAGTGCCTGATCACGGTATCATCTGCGATCTGTTGTGGGCTGATCCTGATCCAGATGTAAATTGGGTCGGGGGATGGGTAAGGGGAGAGGGGAACTGGTCTTAGAGGTTGAGTCGGGCCTAAAATTGGTTGGTCTCGAAGATTGAGCGAAAGGGTGGACTATTGAAATACTTTTTTGAGTACTAATTATGAAAATTGTGATAAGAAATTATCATAAATCATTATAATATCTAAAGGTATCAAATTCAAGTTTTGTTTGAAATATGACAAAATTTAACAATTATACCACTTTACAGACAACCGGTTTCCAGCCCTCACCTCGAGGCGTGTCCTTCATGTTTGGCGAAGCCGTCTGTAAGGAGTTTTGCAAGAATATGAGCCTGGATCTGATCGTACGTGCTCATCAGGTAGCTCAAGATGGCTACGAGTTCTTTGCCAATCGACATTTGGTCACGATATTCTCGGCTCCATTTTACTGCGAAGAGTTTGACAATACGGCGTCGGTGTTGGTGGTCGATGAGAACATGACCTGTCGATTCCGACTGAGACAGCCGGTTGGAATCGAAAGGAAAGTGCTGGAAATGACGTTAAAGGTAAGGAGGTTTAGCTTGATTATTGTTGCTATTTAGGTAAGTTTAGGGAAGAATACTTTGGGAAATGTCATTCTTTAGGGGACCCGATGTAAAATTTAAAAAAATTGAAATCGGCCCATTATAATTCACATTTAACAGTATTAATCATGATATACTTGTAGGACGACACGAAAGACGAGCCCCTGCCGTGCGACATGGACCCACCGGACAAGTCGCGACTACCAGTACCACCCAAACTCAACTATGTGTTGGGCGACGACGAAGAAGAGGAAGGACAACACATTCCCGACGAATGCAAGATTTCCGTTCGGGACCTGAGCAAAAAGTCAACTCGCGAGAAATAACATAGGACGGACTGATTGACGTCCACAATAAACTCTATTACTGCATTTTACTTTGGTTTTATTATTTTTTGACATTTGGATCAATCTTGGTGATTCCAACGACGGAAATCAATCAAATTTATTTACCTGTAGTTGGTGAGACGTTATTGCAATAACAGTTTAGGTAAAGAAATTACTTTTGACGATTATTCATCATAACTAATATTAGTCATTATTTGCCCATCAAATTCTTTCAAAATCGCCCCCCCCTCCCGAAATGGCGTTAAATTTCATTATTTACCCAGCCTTCCAGCGAGACCTATCGATCCGAGATGCGATGAATATAGTGAAGCATAATGTTTATTGTAACAAACTTGTTCCTCTTACTACAGTTTGTTTCTGCTCTACATGGTAACTCTGAATTCGCAGGAGATGTCGCGTACGGTCTGCTACAGACGGTCTACGCTTTGAATCCCAACAGAGTCAGCAAACTGAAGCCTTACTTTGATTTGGGACGAGCGAATGGTTGGTTTTTCATTGTAAAATTATTCATCTTGGTGTTTCGGTTCTACAATTGAAGTAATTTTATGCCTTTTTGAAAATGTTTGCTAAACTAGGTATCATTACATTATTTTAGGTAACAAAATTGAAGGAAAACCAATTCACAGCACTGTAAAAACTACTACAACTACCAAGATACTACCAATGACAATAAAACCAACAGAAACAACTAATTTATCCAGCTTAACATCAACTCCCAAATTAAATTCGACAACAAAAACGTCTAAAATTACTGTACTTCCTACTACAACAAAAGCGCCTAAAATCCATCATAATAAGCATTATCAAAATAGCACCAAAACACGACGACCTCATGAGCACAGAAAAACCAAAGATCACCAAAAACATACGGTAATCAATAATACTGTACCTAAATCTACAGTAACCAACCATACAATACCTGCTGTAACCAAACACAATCTTACACTGCCAAAACTGAACTCAGTCGCAGCAAAAGTCAAAAACAAGATTCGAGTAGAGGAAATGACGACGTTAACCACGAAGAAGATCGACATCAGGACAAAGATACCTACAACAACATCGCCTTCAGAAGACCTAGACGAACATGTTACGATTAGTGAAGCGACGACAAGACGAACCACTAAAGACATGTTGAACTGTGAAGGTGAATGGTCCGACTGGTCGAATATGGGCAAATGCAGCGAGGAGTGCGGATCGTGCGGTGTGATTCAGAGGTTCAGAACCTGTTTGAGCTACAAAAATGGCACTGGATGTCCGTGCAGGTAATGTTTTAGGTAACGTATCTAGTTCAAATAGATAGATGCCCTCCCTCGAAGCAACTTCTTGAACTTTGCAAACACAAAATTACTTGAACAACCTACTATAATATCAAAGTTGAAATATATAAATCCATGAGCTTTCAAAGCAAAATCTTGTCACTATACATAACTTACGTGAACCTTTTATAGCGGACAATATAAAACAATACGAGCATGCAATGTGAAGCCATGCAAATTCCCCAAACCTTCATGTTGTCCACCTTATGATCTGATGTATAAACATGAGCAATTCTGGTGTGGCCCACAAGACGAAGACATTATCGAGGACGCTTTGAAAGATTCTGCGTGAATATCAGCGGTCATTGGTATACACCCTTTTAAATTGAAAATACAGATTTTTGTTTTTGCGGATATTTTTTCCGAGCTGCGTCCGCAACTTTCTCTTATAATTATTAACTTGTGAAAGATAATTCAGATGTCTTTATTACCTTTTTTGGTTATTTTATTATCCAAACACTACTTTTTGTTTATTTTATTCAAAAGTTATTACTTATTATGTACAATATTATCTATCGTTTGACGAACTTAGCCTCTCTCTGCTTCTCTGCCTCCTCTCTTCTGATTCGTTCTTCTCTCATCGCCTGAAGTCGCTTCTTCTTGGCTTCAGCAGAATCTTCGTCAGATGAAGATGAGTAACGTCTTTTCCTCTTTTTCTTCTTCTTTTTCTCTTTCTTTTCCACTTTGTGCTCTTTCGTCTTCTTTTTTGGTTGTTCTTCTTCTGGTTTTATTCTTTCTATCGACTCCCACCAATGTTTGGTGCCTGTTATTTCGTTCGTATCTTCCGCAAACTTTTTCATTATACCTAAAATTATTGTTCTATATGAATTTAGGTCTTTATAAATTTGTGACTTGATTTATACGTAGTAGGTGTATGTAAATTCACTTTATTATTAAAGTGTAAAGCACTGTAACGTTAAAACGGTATGACCTTACCCATTTTGCTTTCCCAAGCATGTTGTTCAGCCTTCTTCTCGGCCTGATATTCCTTGTTTACGCTGGCCATGTTACTTCGTTCTTGTTGCTCTAGCTCTTCGAAGAAATTCAAATGTTTTGAAGCTTGTCCTTGGCCAATATTTGATGAAGAAGCCAGTCCATCTTGTCCAGAAGCTGAAGAGGAAGTCAGTCGCGAAGTTGATGCTGTAGCTTCTCCTTTTAGCGCCGCTCTGTCTGAAAACGTTGAAGAAAGTCCTTCTGAATACTCTGTAGCACCTTCGGACTTGACGCTTTTGAACTGATCTTGTTTGGCTTTGAGTAGTTCGACTCGTCTTTCTTGTTCAGCCAGTTTAACTCTTTCCAATCGAGATTCTTCGGCCGCGGCAGCCGCTGCTTCGTCTCGGCGGACTCTGGCCATATTCTCCTTGGTCCGAACGTGCCATTTCTTCTTCGGTAATATATTCATTCTGGCTGTAATTACACTTTTTAGTACCAACTTACAGCAAATTTCACCTTTTTTCACCAAAATGTAAGTTCTTTCCCCAAATAACCCATTAACAAGTATATTCTACAAGATTCCATTAACTTATGTCATCGTATTCCAACTGTACCATTAACAAAATAATTTACTCTCTTAAATTATGCTACAAAATGAATCACAGTTGCTTGAATAAATAATAATATCACTGAGTAAGAGGATAGATAAGTAATGTATTAGTGGGATATGTTAAGCTTTGAGAGAAGGCATGTAGGAGCTACAAATCGAGTGAGAGATGGGCACTTTCTGCAGTTTGGTGTTCGTGTCCAGGAACACTGTTTCACGGTGTTTGTTGGGTCGGGGAATGTTGGTCTGTCGTATCCGATACATACGTGATGCGTTGATGACTGTCTCGCGAACGAGCTCGGGAAGTTGTTTGACGTGAACTTGAGCACCGTCGAACAGCGGCCCGAACTGGATCTCGGGATGTTGTACCTCCACGCGGACCTTGATCAGGTTCACGGAGACGGGCTGTAGCACGATGAGGACGTCGCAAAAGCGTGTGGCGATGATGTCTCGGCGGTAGGGTCGGTTGTGTTCGTTCCATATGACATGGACTTCGTCGTTGCCGAGATGCTTCAGCTTTTGGGTGGCGGCTCCAGCCAGCCGAGTGGAAACGTGGAAGATGACTTCGCAGGCCGAATTGGCATAGTATGGGGCAATGTGGCCGGCTGGGAGGCCTCCAGCATAGCCCACATGGTTAGGACCGATCTCAACTGGCCATCCAAGGCGAGAGACGAACTCGTCGAAGATGGGGGTGGCTCGGTTGTTGGATAATATCGTTTGTTTGTCCTAAATGGAAAGTCTTAGAAGGTATTTCTTACATAATATGCCAAAAAACTATATACAACAAGGAAAGTTTTTTAAAAATATTCCGGTCGAAAACTCTAGATCATTCTACTACGAATTCCATAACCTACTTCCTGTCCCATTCCAACGTAGATAAGTGCCACTTTGTGTACTTCACGTGACAACGTCTGGTCGAGATGTCGCAACTCTCTGGTGAAGTTCTGTTCAGACACTGGGACACGAACATCTTCGATGAAATGCATATCCGACATGAAGCCTCTCCACTCTCGGGCGTGGGATTCTAATGCTTTCGACTCACGTTGGTCGATTTCTACCATGTTACTTCGCTACAAAAGGCGTTTTTAGAAGATATACGGTTACTTTTATTATATTTTAGATATATAAATCATTATATGATGTTATAGCGAGCAGAAACCATTTTCGGCTACCTTTTCCATTAACGTTTTAGATAACAAACAATCAAATCCTTTTATCCTTACCGACTTCCTCGGTTTCCTCTTGTTGGTCTTCAGATGTTCCATCACTTTGGCTACTTCAACACCGTCAAGTACGACTCCACATGAATCCGTGGATCCCAATGAGAATTCGGATTCATTTGGAGCGAACTTTTTACTGTGTTCATCGACGTATGTTTCTGGCACTGACGGTTTTATGTCATTGCTTTGTGACAGAGTAACTAGCCAATCATGAGTTGGAGTGTGGGCTGAAGGTAGGCCAGTCAGTCGTTTCAGGCCATAGCAATGTTTTCCGACCACGGTTCGGCTCCAGATTCGAGAATCTCGGGAATGCTTTTCGAAACTAAAATATGGTCAAATGAAGTTTGAAAATTTAAATTTTTAAGTTTGAAAAATGAAGTTTTTCCCGTAAATCAACTTTTTAAAGGAACCGTTCATTGAATTTTTTTGGCGCTAGGACAAATGCGGTTTTTGGACATTTGCGGATCTGCGGTTTTTAGACACTTGCGGATTTTGGACATTTGCGGATTTTTTAAAGGGGTTTTTTTATTTTTTATTTAATATAGTTGTAGTATGGTACTAAATGGTACTAAAGTTTAAATTTGCACTGTCTTAATATTTTTTAATGTTAAATAGTACTAAATTTTTAACCGGTACTGTTTTTATATTTTTGGTACTAAATAGTACTAAAAGCCCAAAAAGGTACTGTTATGTTAAAACCGTACCAATTCAAACTTTAGTACAATTTAGTACCATAATACAACTAAATTAACTAAAAAATAAAAAAAAACCTTTAAAAAATCCGCAAATGTCCAAAATCCGCAAGTGTCCAAAAACCGAAGATCCGCAAGTGTCTAAAAACCGCAGATCCGCAAATGTCCAAAAACCGCATTTGTCCTAGCGCCATTTTTTTGAATGAAATTTTTTCGCGGGTTTTCCAATGCTTTCGATTAATTTTTTGAGAATTTTTATTTCCAAAAATATTTTCATTTGATTTATTTCTTGCCAACGCGGTTGTATATTTTGAACCATATTGAGGTTCTCAGTTTATATTTCACTACTTTTATTTTAATATTCTACATATTCTTTGTTCTAAACTCTAAAAACATGTTTTTTTGCTATAATGAAACCATTTTTAAACTTTTAGTTCAGTAAAACTTTTAAAGAATAGTTTAGGTCTTACTTTACTATTGGTTTAAAAATGTCAGGTTTCGTTAGAGAGTAAAAAGCAGCTAATTCGACGTTAGAAGTAAGTATTTCTGTGTCTTTTCGTTTTCAGGACTTTAGATCACATATAATGGTATTATCCTTGGGGTAAGCGAACGCCTAAATCCACATCCACCAACCTCTCCAACCACATGGTCTTATTAATCTTACAATTTGCGTATCTTTAGTAAAGTAATATTATTTGTTAATGTAAGAATGTATATTTACCCCCAAATTGGATTGTTTCACCTTCTTGTTATTAGTAAACCCTCCACAAGGCTAGGTATTGGTGGTTTCGAGATGAAAAGGCCTGGTATCTTGGGTGTTTTGATGTGTTAACGGTTCGAATAAGTAAGATATTGTAGTATTTTTTCTGTAGAGTAATTTAAGACCAAACAGTAGATGGCTAAGATATTTTTAAGCTGTGAAAACACTAAAATCTAGTATAGTATCGCCTACAAAGATTCAGAAGAAAAAAAGGCTTGTGTCTTGAGTGTTTTGATATTTTAAAAGTCTGAATAGGTAAGAAAACCTCAATATGGTTCAAAATATACAACCGCGTTGGCAAGAAATAAATCAAATGAAAATATTTTTTGGAAATAAAAATTCTCAAAAAATTAATCGAAAACATTGGAAAACCCGCGAAAAAATTTCATTCAAAAAAATTCAATGAACGGTTCCTTTAATAACAAAATTCAAAATAGTTATTGAAATTGACCCCTTTTTACAAATTAAAAATAAATCGTAGTAGCCCCTTTCCATACCTGATCATAGCTTTTGGTTTCTGTACAATAACATCTAATTTGACATCTTTGGGTGCATTTTCATATAGCGAATTCCACTGAGAAACCGTGAATCCGGGCAAAGGAAACTGTAGCCCTCTCTGAATCACGAATCCCTCGAAGAAGTCGTCAGAAGAGGTGGCCATGTTCGCGAACAATGTCTTCATGGTGTTGTCGATCCTCTCGGTGGATAACATCGTTACCATCTGCCACTTTATTTCGTTTGCGATTCGGTCCTCCTTTAGCTGCTGACTCTTGATGATGGCCGACTCGAGAGTCTCGGCCAGTCGTTGTTTGCACTTTAATTTGGTCGAATAGAAGTTGGCACAGAACTGGGACAACACCTTCAGATGGTTGCCTTGTCGTTGGCAGATTAGGTACAGAACGGCGAACAAGTTGTCAAAGTTGTTTCGTTCCAATGCGATTATCGAAAATGCGTTTATGATCTTGGCCATGGAGTCCACATCGATTTTGACGGCACTGTTCCTCAGGATGGAGAATATTACCTAAAATACATTTTAGAAAGTACTTTTGAATTAAAAATGGTAAAATAATATAAAGCAAGAAGGTTTTAGTCAAGTAGTGAATAGAAAAAAATTAAGATTTCCTTTTTAAAATTGATTTCCATGAACTTTTTGACCATTATTTCTATTTAAAAATTTTTTTTTTCAATTTCGCTAACTTAATATTACAATATCAGCTATCACAACATTACAACAAAAGCCGTTTCAATCAAGATAAGCCTAATTTCACAAAAAAACCAAAAACAACTTACTTGTTCAGCTTCTGGATTATTCAACGCCAAAACGGCGGCCACTTCCACAGCTTGGGCCGTAAATTCGGAGGACTGTGCCAGCTTCTTCAACGTGCTCACAGTGTCCGAAGCCATGACGTTCGAGTCTTCCACGTTCATCTCCGTGTACTGTTGCAGTACCACTTGGACCAGTTGGGGGTTGTGAAGGGATTCGCGGAAGCGGGCCAGGATCTGGGCCCGTAGCACGTCGGGCGGGTTGGATTCGACGAGGACGCGGGCTAACGCGGCGATGGCGTCGGCTACACTCGTGTCCAGGAGTTGGGCGCCGAGCCACTGGACCAGGGCGTGCGCCGAGTCCCCCTCCAACAGTGTTCGAATCGACCGGTCGATTGTTTGCACAGCCGTCGGGCCGAAGCTTTTGTCGCCAGCCAACACCAGCGACACGAACCGCAGCCAGCAGCGATACCACGATGGAGCGTGGTGGCCTTCGCCTCTCTACAAATCAGGCTTTGCATAACAATGCATATTGACATACCCGCAGCAGTTTAGTGTATTCGGCCGGAGCCGCCAGGGAAGAGGCCTCGTCTCTCAAACTGATCGGGTCGCCTGAGGGCTGATGGCTGTGGCGAGATTGATGGAGGACCTACAAGGTAAACATGGATAAGCAGGGACGTCGCTACGGTTTTTCTCTGGGGGAGGCCCAAAAAAATTTTTTTTGGTCCACAGGTAGCTAGCTACCTGTGGACCAATTTTTCGAAATTTTTTTTTTCGTTTTTTCACGTACAGGAACCACCCCCCCCAAACGACGTCCCTGTGGATAAGGTAAGTGTTTTATGTGATATGACTAAATATTATTTTATGAATTAGGTTATAAAATAAAATAAATTCGTTTTGTTACCTAAAAAGTCAAGATTTTCGTGAATGATGTAAATTGATACTTTAAAAACATTACCTTAGATACCATAGGATGTAGCTGGCTAGGATTCAACTCTATATCCAGATTGTTCAAAGCCAAAGCGTAGGTCATAAAGTCAACGAAGATCGACCACTAAAAAGGTAAGTTCATATCATATTTGGTATCTAAATTCATATTGAAAATATTTTAAACCTTATAACATTACCGTACCTCTTCTACAGCTGCTTCACTACAATTCCTTTTGAAAATCAAGGCCAAAGCATCCCACGTCTGGACTACCAGCTTCATATTCCTGTAGACATATACATCCACAAATGACCCTAACAGTGATCGTACGAACAACTGAACTGTAGGTTTGTCAAACATCATCATTTCGTTACAACACGAGTAGGTGGTCGAGCAGAATCCCATCAGAAGATTCTGCCAGAATCCGTTCGAAAACTGAACGTTGACCTGCCCCAGGTCTCTGATATTATCCATGATGGTTTGAGTTAGAGTTAATACTGTGGGGAATCTGTCGCCACACGCTGAGAGGTACGGTGATCGGAAAAAGAAGAACAATATATCGACCAGTAAGATTTGGATTTGATCTTCTTTTGGCTGGGGACCTGGCCAATCTGATTGGAGGAAGGGTGGGGTTTCGGTCTTGAGAAGCCAGGCCTTGATTAGAGTTAATACCTTCTGGATTACACTGGAACAAGCCAAAGGGAGGAACATGGCTTTGGAGAGCATGGTGAACAACATATTTACAGGGAACTGGGCAGAGTAGAGGCACTGAAAGGTAAGACAATATTAAAAATTTTATTTTATTTTTAAAATTAAATTTTGTAAATCATTTTTCATCAAAAATGACATATTTTCTGCAAATTATATGAAAAAATTGTAAACAAGTGTGTTACAGTTTCCTCTGTACTAATTTTTGGCTTAAAATATATTTTAAAGCATCAATTTCCTTCAAAAACTATCTCAAAAACAGTATATTAACCTACCCGTCTGAACAGCAGAAGCCCTGACGGTGAATCCTCCTGCATTCCAGCCAAGGCTATGTTAACCACCCATCGTATGAGCCAGTATCGTGCTATAACGAGTGGATCAGCAGTGTCTAAGAGCTCGTTCTTGTCATCTTCAACTTGATCGCAACCTTCGAACACGTTAACAGCTTGACAGTTCACGAACACTTCTTCGATGTAGAGCTCGCAAATCTTTTCGAACAGAAAGTTAGCACAAGTAAGTTGACATTCTGGGTTCTGCCACTTTAGTTTGACCATTTCGCGATAGGAATACTCGAGGAATTTGTCTAGATATACCTAAAATATTTAAAGTAGTTTATGAGGTATATGGTTACTTTAACATCAATTTTAAAGTACTACAATATGAACGTTAAAATGCTATAACAAAAGTTGTTTTTAAAAATATGTATCTTCACGTAGCCGTAATACCTACCTGAAGATTCTGAGCCCGATCCCTGACACTCATCTGCTCCAGCGATGTTGTGTTAGGTATGATGGGTGTTATCTTGGGCGGTGCTGGATTGAATCCCACCGTCGTGCTGTGATTCCTGCCTTCACAATACCTCGTCAACGTCTTTATTGTAGCTACCTTTGACCGTAGAGGAAAGAAAGGAAGTAGGTTTTGAAATACCTCATCCAAAACGGCATTCGAGTTACCGTATACATGTAGTGATTGATACCACATCAAGAACAGTCGTATACTGATCTTCCTGACCGCGAACATGTTACCAGGATGTAGTCCTCGTCGCAGTATCGTCTCAATTCCATTCTTCTGCCACCCTTTACCCACTAGATCAGGAATGTTTGATAGTAATTGCTCTAGAGCCCAGAGGGCGGATTCGGCTTCGAACACGCCATGAGTGTCTATGACAAGGTCGAAGTTCGAGAGAACCGAGTCGATTAAATGGAAAATTTCAAAATTGTATTCTGTGCAGAATTGCAGTTTCTCCTGAAAAAGGTATAGTATTTAATGAAAAAAGGTATACAAAATTAAAAAGAATGTTTCTAGGTAATAAAGCAGTTGTAAGCTAAAAAGCACCAAAAATAAAGTATAATCGAGTAAAGTTACTGATCTATCATTTAAAACAAGGTAAGCGATAGAATCGAACATGGGTCAAACAGGGGCGAACCTTGAAAAAAAATTATTTTTTTAAAAATCTTATTTTGCAACCACAAGTAGTCCTAAGGACTAGAAATTCAAAAATGCAAAAAAAAATTTTGGTTTTGGGTTACTGTAGGTGTACTGTAGTTTTTAAAAATTTTATGTAACTTTTTAACTAATTGACAGAATTTCACCGGACTTTTTATAAATGATAGAACACGTCAAACTAAGTAATAATGCTGTTGACAGTTTTTTTGTCTATGCCCGGAAGGTGTCGAAAAATTTAAATATTTGAAAAAATTTAATAAAAATTTTAAATAATTGAAGTTTTCTCAAAAAAAAGTCGTTGTGTGACCGACTTCTGGCACCAGATAAAGAGACTAGAGACTCTTGCGGTTCAAATAGTTCTACTGTCCAAGTGTAACAATGGGGCCAAAGTACTGTAACAAGCTTCCAAGTACGACATACTGTAGTCACTAAAAAATTTAGGTTGTTGTAACTTTACAGGAAACCTTCGAATATGGGTGAAGTTTATTAAAATTACTTTTTTTATCTATAAAAATATTACTAAGAATATTTTAGCCTACTTTGTAAAGTTTTTTTGGTCATACTGTACAGTGACTGGGACACGACGATTTTGTGTATAACTTTCTTTAAACTAAACGAGTAAAGCTTAAATTTTTAGTGATTTTACAATATTTTATTTGTCAACATAATTGCAAAAAAAACATTTTTTTCTTGTTGATTTAAAAAAGTTACAGTAATCCTACCGTACCCTATATTTCCGAATTATGTAAATAAATGTTTTTTAAAAAATTGAAGATGTACGTCTTATAAAGCATAAAAAGTTGTACAACTTCTGGAAGTTTTATCTTTCAATTGTTTTTGGTTCATGAGTTATGGGCATTTAATTCAAATTTTAAAAAATCGGTAACTCTTTTACCATATGAGATACAATCTTAAAACTTTCAAAAGTTGTACAACTTTTTATGCTTTATAAGACGTACATCTTCAATTTTTTAAAAAACTTTTATTTACATAATTCGGAAATATAGGGTACGGTAGGATTACTGTAACTTTTTTAAATCAACAAGAAAAAAATGTTTTTTTTGCAATTATGTTGACAAATAAAATATTGTAAAATCACTAAAAATTTAAGCTTTACTCATTTAGTTTAAAGAAAGTTATACACAAAATCGTCGTGTCCCAGTCACTGCACAGTATGACCAAAAAAACTTTACAAAGTAGGCTAAAATATTCTTAGTAATACTTTTATAGATAAAAAAAGTAATTTTAATAAACGTCACCCATATTCGAAGGTTTCCTGTAAAGTTACAACAACAAATTTTTTAATGACTACAGTATGTCGTACTTGGAAGCTTGTTACAGTACTTTGGCCCCATTGTTACACTTGGACAGTAGAACTATTTGAACCGCAAGAGTCTCTAGTCTCTTTATCTGGTGCCAGAAGTCGGTCACACAACGACTTTTTTTTGAGAAAATTTCAATTATTTAAAATTTTTATTAAATTTTTTCAAATATTTAAATTTTTCGGCACCTTCCGGGCATAAACAAAAAAAACTGTCAACAGCATTATTACTTAGTTTGACGTGTTCTATCATTTAAAAAAAAGTCCGGTGAAATTCTGTCAATTAGTTAAAAAGTTACATAAAATTTTTAAAAAACTACAGTACACCTACAGTAACCCAAAACCAAAATTTTTTTTTGCATTTTTGAATTACTAGTCCTTAGGACTACTTGTGGTTGCAAAATAAGATTTTTATAAAAAAATAATTTTTTTTCATGGTCAGCCCATGTTTGATTCTTTCGCGGACCCTGTTTTAAAGAACAATTTAAAGTAAAGACTATTGATAAAAGGCTCACATCGTCGCTTAAAGTGTCGTACACTATCCGAAAATGCTTTGTCCGGCTACTTGTGTCCCTGGTGAGATCGGAAAACCTTTGTAATGATGACTGAATATCGGAAGACTTGGTCTTCCGTGCGAACATCTTCTACGACATACCTAAAACATCATTATTAATTATCATTATTAACATAGTTCGTATCAAAAATCGTACAAAAGTACGTTTTCAAAGCAATAAGCTATGGTGTTATTAATAAAATGGCAATTGTTACCTAAAAACTGTAAAACAACACTTTTAGTTTAACGTTTTAGCCGGTAACCCTTAAAAACTTTAACAAGGGAATGTTACAAACTGCCCATTCGATATTTAAAAGTGAATGGTACCATGTGAAAGAGCGTAAAAAGTTGACTAAAAATCTATTTTCAAAAACTGCTAATTTTGCCTTTCAAGCTCGCTAGCGAGATTTTAAAATTATTAGTGAAAGGGCCTTATAAGTTGTTATTCTTTCTTTTGGATTATTGAATTTTTAAAAACCTTAGTTTTTATTTTTTTTATATTTTATTAGATGTAAGAAGTCATTACCAACAAAAAAAATTTTTTTTTGAATATTTAAGTTAATTAACTTTTAAATAAAAAAGAATACCAATCATTTACACAAAAAGAGAATCGAACCAGAAGTCCATTGATTGCGCAATCACGGCGCCTTTGACCACTCGGCCATTCGAACACATTTACTTTTCCTTTTTGAAAGAAGCCAAAAGAAAGCGGGTTTAAAAATCCGTTTTGATAGTAATTTTTAAAAGCTCGCTAGCGGGCTTGTAAAGCAAAATTAGCAGTTTTTGAAAATAGATTTCTAGTCAACTTTTTACGCTCTTTCACATGGTACCATTCATTTTTAAAAATCGAATGGGCAGTTTGTAACATTCCCTTGTAAGATATATCAATGTATTTCAACATTTAACCTCAATTACCACAGTAGAATTAAAAACTTTATTGATATGTACATTGTAACAATAACAAGTGCCTAATAAATATCTGATAACAACGTTTGCTAATAAAACACTACCAAAAATTGTAGGAAAATGTAAATCTAGTAGTAATTGACATCTTTGAAAGCCATTGCAGTAACGCCCATCGTATGACCTTGATAGGTCCCCACCTCTTTGCCATCCTCAACATTCCACATCCTCATGAAGCCGTCCGAAGACGCGGTAAACATGTATTTACTGTCATTTGTAAAGGCACACTCCCACACCCACTTCTCCTGAGGCATTCTGAACTCTCGTCGCAGCTCGAATTCAGTGGCATTCCAGATCTTGGCCGTGTAGTCAGCAGCTGTTGTAGCTACACTAAGGCCATCTGGAGTGAAATGACACTTTAATGTAAAGGTATCGTGAGCCGCTGTCTTCCAGGAAGGTTGGATATTACTCATGATAGTGTATAGATCTGAAGTGGCCGCTCCTACACCGTACGGAGCGTTGTAGACATCTTCCATTGGCGAAGTGGGAGGAGGTGGTCCTAATGGAGCCATTTCCATCAGACCGTGGCATTCTGGTTGGTAGTTTGCTGAATATGGATCTAAAACAAGAAATTTGAAGAATCAAACCTCATGTTTTACATAAAATAACAAAAAATACTGTTTTCGAACAATTATATGGTTCAAACAATAACGTTTATTGTTTACAAAACCAATAAGACACATAAAAACAATAGAACCGCATCTAAAATTCAAAAAAAAAATAAAAATTTTACCCATAACGGCGCTCGGTTTCTGTGTCTGTGCTAACGTTCCGGTGTGAATGTTCCACATGAAGAGATGGCCACGATTAGTCACGGCAGCACATTGTCGTCCAGTTTGATCCAGCTCCACATGCACAACATATTCGCTCAAATCGACTTCGGTCACCAGAGAATCGTCTCGGTCCGACCTCAAGTCCCACAAATACAAAGCTCCAGTTGAATCAGCGACGATAAGCTCGATCTGATTCGGATGTAATGCTACACAATGTACTGCTGTGTTAACCTTAAACGTTTTTGTTGCTTCAATTTTAATTTGAGCTGGTTTTGTTACCCTTTTTTTAAGATTTTGTAAAAATTTCCATTATTTGTTACCTAAATTTCGAAAAAATGTCAAATCCTTACCTGGAATATCCTCTGACAAGTCAATTGATTAGCTCTCATGTCCCAAATCTTCGCCATGCCATCCTCGCCACCCGTGAACATCCACATACCTTCAGCCTGATATCCCAAGGTCGTTACATTCTTCTCGTGAACATGAAAGGTATGCATATTCTGGGTGGTGGGACTGTTCGTGTCATAGATCCTCACCTTCTCCCAGCCAGCTGCCGCTAATTGCGTCGAATCTGGCGAGATGGCAAGGCAATTTACCTGAGACTCCTTGTGATTCAGCACGTCGATCGGCCTTCTGGTGTGCACGTCCCAGAAACGGATCGTGGCATCCATGGATGCGGAGACAAGCATAGGCACGGAATTCATAATTTAAATATTACTATAGAATTTTTAATACATTCACTCCATGCTACACACGTTGAATCACTCAGAATTCCGATTTTCTTTCGATTCAAGATCGTTTCCTTCGATTTTTTGTTAAAACTACGAATTTAGTGTCGCGCGCAGTTAGCGCCCAATATTCTCCTTCAGGTTTATATATTTCGTTTCTTTCTTTGGTTTTCGAATAAAATTCGAGCTAATTTAGGTCTACTTGCACTAAATTGATATCATCAGATTGTAATAGCATAATTATGGGAGATCTAGGACCTGTAAGTTGTTTTTTGTATTATTATTTTGTGTTTAGAGTTCAAAGAAACGTCGTGTTGAAGATATTTCAACAGCCACCGCTTCGGCTAATGAAATTCTGGCTGTGATTGACGCTGAAACTTCTGGAACGGGGGATATTTTGGATAATGCTGCTGCCAGAAGGCTTTTCAACCAGGTAAAGATATTTTCATTGTTTTTGAATGTTATAGTATGTAGGTAGAGTTGGGTTCACGAAAAAATTCATTGTTAAATTAAAAATAGTAACAAATAATGTAAATATAACCAATTTTCAGGTGGATAAGAAGTACGACAAGAATCGAGAATTTAGAATCAAGTATTCTGATGAGCCGGAGAAGTTTTTGAACACTGAAATAGAACTTAACGATGCTATTCAGGTAACATTTTTACTTCATATTATCTTTGTTTAGTATTTCAACAATATATCTGAGAAATGGGTTTATAAGAAACAATTTTAGAGTTCTTATCTGAAAATCTTTATTTAAAAGTATTTTTGTAGGAGTTACATGCAGTCACAGCTCAACCAGAACTGTTCCCAGGCTTGGTCAAACACAAGTTGGTTGAACTTTTAACACAATTACTTGCTCATGAGAATGCTGATATTGTCGCTGTTACTTGTTCTTTGCTACAGGTAAGGTTTCACGTTTTTAGAAGCTTTAATTCGATTGATTTTTTAATATTTTAGAGAAATAATATTAAACTTTAAATAAAAAAAGAAAAAAATAAAAGATTTTCATAAAATAGTTGAAGAAAATTGTTTTGAAAAAATTTAAAATAAAAATTTTTAAATTTAGGAGCTGACAGACACAAATCCCATGTATGAGAATGAAGAAGGATCAGAGGCTTTGGTGAATGCTTTATTAGAAGGCCACATATTCCAGCACATGGCTCAAGCTTTGAATCGTTTTAACGAGGAAGATCGAGACGAAGCTGATGCTGTTAATAACTTGTTAACTACTGTAGAAAATGTAAGGGGTTTTACTTTGTTTTATATTATTTTAGATTTTAAGCGTTTATTTTTTCAAAACCAATTTGTAAAGGAAAATAGTCTTAATTTATATAAACAATCCAAAACTATGTTTAAAATGAAGTTTGTGGTTTAGATTCTGGAAGAGAACATTCCAGCTTACGAAGTAGTGGTCACCGACGATCTTTTTGATTGGTTGTTGACGAGAGCTACCAAAAGATCTAAGTTCGACTCGAACAAGTTGTTTGCCAGTCAATTGTTATCAGAAAGTCTTCAGAACAGTGAGTTAGCCAGAGAAAAACTGGTCGGGAAAGTAAATGGACTAGATCTGTTGCTGAGAGCGTTGGCTACCTACAAGAAGCACGATCCAGAATCTAAAGAAGAGACGGAACACATGGAGAATTTGTTTGATGGGCTGTGTGCTTGTTTGATGCATGTTCCGAACAGAAAAGTTTTTTTGGATGGAGAAGGTCCACAGCTAATGTATCTGATGTTGAGGTAGGGTAGTTTTTAAAATTTTTGGATTTGTCATAGGTTATACAGTGGTCAGGGCCGGGCGCGAGGGGGGGGGGACGGGAGGGGGGTACCCCCCCAGAAAAAAAATTTTTTGAAAGAAGTTGAACGTGGTCCCCCCCCTGTGGATTTTCGGAAAAAAAAATTTGCAAAAAATCGGCACCTGTGCCGATTTTTTGGACCCCTGCCCCCAGACCAAAAGTCCCCGCCCGGCCCTGACAGTGGTTAGTATTATAGTGGTGTGTTGTGACTAACGGAAGGCTTGGGGTATTGTAGGCTATTGTAAATAACGTTTATGGTTGTAGAGAGAAGAAACAGTCAAGACATGGAGCCTTGAAGACCATGTCTCACGCTACAGCTATCCCAGATGGCAAAGACAACTGCGAAAAGTTTATTGAGATCTACGGTAGGTTTAAACAGTTTTGGATATAGTTCGATAGATAACAGTGTACGATATATAATATTATATGGCTGTACGAAAAACTAAAAAACAACTGATTTTAAAGACGTCATGGATATGGTTTTAGGTCTTCGAGTACTGTTCCCAATGTTCATGAGAACTCCACAGAAGACCAAAAAGAAGGACACGGCTCCAGATGAACATGAAGAACATGTCATTTCGGTAATATTTACTTTTATTTTATCTTACTATCTATCTGTCTATTATAACTAACTTAACATTCAAAGCAAGCTTTGATGATTTTATCGTAGTTTATATTAACTTTTTAATAAAAATTAGGTATAAGTTACTTTTAAAATGACGTCTTTTGATATATATGTATTAATTTAGAATTGACTTTTAGATATTGGACGCTCTGTTATACCAATGTGAAGATGAAAGTACGAATCGTGTGTTGCACAAGTTCACAGAACATGAATTTGAAAAGGTGGATCGACTGGTCGAGTTGTTTTTGAGATATAAGTAAGCCATCTTTTTATTTTTAACTGTCCTTGTCGTATTTTATGTTTATTCTTGTGGTTTTTTGGAGAAAAATAAGCGTAGTGTCTCATTTTGATGGGCATAGCTCCACACATCACTTCCTTTATAGCACTGATTCCTCTTCTCCGCCCCCTCCCCCCTCCCCTTCCCTTCGCATCTAGATTTTCCTCCTAACTATATACCACATGATCAATATGCAAATTTCAGAGAAAAGGTGGAGCGATACGACCAGATTCTGAAGCGCGGCATGGGCGCCGAACTGGACGAGGAACAACTCCAAATCGAACTTCTGAATAACGGCCTCTACACGTGGCAGAGGATCGGCATCGTGCTGGCGGAAGTGTGCACGAAGGCATCGGCCGATTGCATGGTCAGGGCTAATAAATTATTCAAAATGAGACTAAAGAACACGGTGGAGGCCGTCTTGAACCCAGTAAGTTTGGGGGCTTAACTACTCTCTTCTTCTTTCGGCATTAGCCAACTTGAATGTTGCTAATCGAACTCGGGTTTCAGCTTCGGAAACTGGAGTCTTTTGAAGTCAAGCTGCAGCAATGATTAAAAAAGCATGACATAGGGCATTTTGGATCTGAATTTTAATTGAAAACGATTTAAAATTTAAAAAACTTTGTTAAAAATTACAAAAATTGAGATTGGGTTAAAACAGCCAAAAGTTGATGTTTATGACTGCTTTAGGCCTAAAAAAGACAGGAACTTGTTTTTTTAAAGATTTTTTGTATGATTATGCTATTTTTCAGTATTTAACTCAATGGCTAGCCGATTTCGAAGAATCTCCAGATCAAAAAAAGCGCATTGAGCACCTTATCTCATCAATTCAGTTCCAACAAGTTAATCTAGCTCCATAATTAATTTAAATAAATCTTCCATTCCTTAAAGAAAAACTAATTAATACTTGCTTAAACTACATAGCGTCGCAATGTTATTCAAGGCTTTTGTAATTGTTTAAACACAATATTTTGCTAAATAACCTCTCGAAGCAGCGTTTTTTACTACGAAAATCTTGAAAAACCTTCAGCCTCCAACAAACGGCCCAAGCCCATATTGCCATCACATTCGGCCACCATTCCGCCACCACAAGAACGTCCAAAACAGAAACTACCTAATTTGCGAATACCAGAATCTGCCACTTCTGACACGACCAATTAGTGGTGGAATCGGTAATCTAAAGGCGGGGGGAGAATAAGCCCCGGAGGCCTTCGGTTTGCTCTCGGGAGTGGCTCTCTCTCGTCGAAGCCTCTCGCCCCTCGCCCGGCCCCAAACTCAAGACTTGGCCGCACTCGGCCTGACAAGCGGCGCACCCTTTTTCTTTGGAGATTTCGATTCTTTTTTATCCGACATCAGGTTTCTTATCTTTGGTTTCTGCCCTCATAACTCGTAATTTATGACTTCCCAGCTGATTAGGCCTAGGCTTCGGTTTCCGGCCCGTTTCTAAGCCTAAAACATTCTTTTTTGAGCCAAAAAGCCTTAATTTCGTGCAGGCTTGAGTCGGGATTGAGGGAAAACAAATACGGCCGCGTTCTAATCCCCAGCTACTGTTTGCTTCGGTTTTAGGTTATGGCGGCTCGCAAATTCCAGAGACGCGGCAGTGGCGACTCCAACTTCAGTCACCATGATCACGACTTTGACATGGAGCAACGGAATCGCGAAACCATCAAGAGCAACGCCGAGCGACAGGCCGCGCAGGAGTTGGAGAACGCCAAAGTAAGGGATGCATACAGTAACATTGCTTGATTTTAAAAATTAGGCTGTTCAAATAATTCTGTGCCCTCTATCAAAGAAAATTTTTAGATTAACGGGCTCAGAATTACTTGAACAACCTGATACAATATACAAAGTAATTCTCTGTATTATTAAATTTGCTTTAAAAAACTATTTTTAAATTAAAAATTAGTAAAAGTCACGAAGCGACCAGTCGCAACTGCAGGCGAACACAAAAAAGGTGATTCTACGAACTTCTTGATCAGGGTATTTTAATATTAATGTTGACATGGTTTTGTCATAATATTGTGACAACTTTTGTTGTTCTTTCCATAACATTTTCTTGAGTTAGACTAGATTGTGGACTGTTTTTGGCTATTTTCTTGTTTAAAACCTAAGATAATATGCGCAAACTTGGTTGTAGTGGCATTAGTATTGTGCCTTGTGATAAGGATAAGGTAATACTAATGATGATATTAATTGAGATGTGATTTGATTTAAAAATTATTAATTTTGGCGCCAATTATAAAACTTTTAAGTAATACTTAAAATTTGAAATTGAATTTTTAAAACCTTTTCAATTTATTTTGTAATTTTAGATCGTCTTAGGCCATAAATTGACGTTTTTTGTTCATTTTAGTACAGTCCGGTGCTATTCGCAGTGTGTACGAACGTGGAGTTCGATGGCTCGATCGATGACGATTCGCCTGTTCATGGCTGTGCCGTATCGTTCAAGCCCAAAGATTACCTTCACATTAAACAGGTCAGTCTAGTTAACCTATTGTTTTCTTTATTTAGATGGTTAAGGCATTTAATGGCTATGGTTAAGCATAAATGACAAGGTATACCTTCAATGCAAGGCCAAAAAGACCTTATTCTTACGGGGTGGAGAGAGTTTTAGAATTATACTTTAGTTTTTATACAAAACTAACTTTCAGAAGTACAACAATGACTGGTGGGTGGGTCGACCGGTCAAGGAGAACCACGAACTTGGGTTTATTCCGTCGCCAGTCAAGCTCGAGAGCATACGACAACAGAACTCTAAAGGCAAATTGTGAGTTCAAAACAAATGTTACTCTCATTTACACGAAATATTAAGCTGTTAAAATAATTATGTGCCCCCTCTTAGATGCAAATTTTCAAACTTGAAAAGTATGATTACAGTAAGCAATCGACGAGTGCTACGAACCTGGGTGCTTTGGATAACATGATAAACAAAGGTGCGGGCGGGTCGCGGGGGTCGACGCCGCCAACGCCCGGCAACGAGCTGGACGAGGATGATGGGCATAAGAAGATACAGAGCATGGTAACTACCCCGCCCGTCCAGAAGGAAAAGAAGAAACTCATGTTCAAAAAAGTAAGCTATCACAATATCATCTTAAGACATGATAAAAGGGGTGGTAATGATATTTACAATAGCATTGATATGTATAGTTGCATGCATAAAAGCGCCGTATTTTACAATACCTTCACCATAAACTGTAAAAACAATGGTATATTACATTACCTTATCCCTTTACAGCAAGAAAACCTGCCTCCGTACGACGTAGTACCAACAATGCGACCAGTAGTCCTAGTGGGACCATCGCTGAAAGGGTACGAAGTGACGGATATGATGCAGAAGGCGGTGTTCGATTACCTGAAACACCGCTTCGATGGTCGTATCATCATAACACGAGTAACTGCAGACATTTCACTTGCCAAACGTTCCCTTCTGAACAATCCCTCAAAGCGTGCCATAATGGAACGTGCCAATTCACGGTCCTCTAATTCGTTGGGTAGGTTGGGGGAGGAGCGGTACACTAGGGTAGGGAGGGTATGGTAAGGTAGAGTGGGGTAGGGTAGAGTAAGGTAGGGTACGGTAAGATAAGACAGGGTAGGATACGGTAAGTTAGAGTAGGCTACAGTAGGGTACATTAGGATACGGTAAAGTAGGATAGGGTAAATTTGGGTAGGGTATAATAGGGTAGAGTAAAATAGGATGCGTTGCCCTACTGTAACTAGTACTTTCAAAATTTCAAAAAAATTCGGGCCTAGTCCTCTATACCTACAACAGCCGAAACCCTGCTAATATGCAAATTTTCAGCTGAAATTCAAGCCGAAATAGAGCGGATATTCGAATTGGCGCGCAACATGCAACTAGTCGTCCTTGACTGCGACACCATCAACCACCCCTCCCAACTGGCCAAGACCTCCCTCGCCCCCATCCATGTATATATCAAGATCAGCTCGCCGAAGGTGCTCCAGCGCCTGATCAAGAGTCGAGGGAAGAGTCAGAGTCGGTCGATGAGTGTACAGATGGTCGCGGCCGAAAAGCTGGCCCAGTGCCCGCCGGAGATGTTCGACGTGATACTGGACGAGAATCAGCTGGAGGACGCGTGCGAGCACCTCGCCGACTACCTCGAGAGCTACTGGCGATCCACCCATCCGCCGGTCAGAAGTCCGCCCAGAATCAAGAGAGGGCCCATGGCTAACAGAGGTCCCTCCACGCTTTACACCCCTGCTCAGATGATGATGGGTGTGCCGGTGAGTGTTATATTGAAAATGTCATTTTAAAAGGTTTTGGATGGCTACACGGTGCAAACCCTAATTTTTTGATTATTTCATGGTACACTCGGTCCTATACCTATAAGCAGCACTAGTACTGTTTCAAAAAGCTAATTTCCAAAAGAATTTTTTAACTATAGAAGTTGAAAATTTGATTTTTTTAATTCGGAATGTGAAAAGTTGAAAAAAATTTTTTAATTTTAACTTCAGGACTCACGATACCCAGGCCCGAATCTGTCAGCCACGCCAAACGCTTATGCTCCTCAAATGCCACCGCCTCAGGGCAGTCAAGTTCGCTTACCTACAATTGCAGTTGATCAGGTAGCTCATTAACACAATATCCTTATCCTACAGTACTTTTTAAACCTTACCCGACCTTATGATAACTTTCAAAACCTAAATTTCATATCAATCTAGCCACCAATCCTTAATTTCAGCCCAACTCCTCAATGAACGGCCAACGTGACATGCCCTACCCGGTCGCACCGCCCTCGACGCAGCGTACCCTGCCCCCACAGCCAAATGAAGTCAACGAGTACGACGCGTACGACGAGGAGGACATGCACGCGCCTCGGGCATTCTCCCCCAATCAGGGTGGTGCTTATCGATATTAGGGATTCCTTGATCTTCACTAGCCTCAACCTCAGTCGATCGGTGTCGGTTTGTTACAGTAGCCGGGGGTTACGGTATTAAGATTCTTTTGAGTACTAATACCATTAGTTACCTTACCAATAAGTACTGTTTAAGATGCTGTAATACTTAAAATTCAGCTATCTTGGTAATACAGTACTAACATTAGTTTTTTTAGGCTACAGTACCTTTAGTTACTGTAGCTTGGGATTACGGTGCAAAATTTAACAATAATGAAATACGGTAACTACAGTACTATTAGTACCACATTATTTATGCTAAAACACACTAAAGATACCAAAAAATAACATACCAACCCCACAGTACTCATTACTACTACAAAAGTACAGTACCATAATATAAGCCAATACCGTACCCCGCCTACTGTAACACCACGCCTACAGGGAGAACGTGGTTGTTGTTGTAGGGTATACGGGACAACCGCGTTCACAACACTTATGGAATGTAAATACTAACCGTCTTTCTACTTACATTGACCTTGTAGACCTGGATTCTGAAGTCGATTGTTAACGTGCCACACATTTGTTATTGTTGTAGTAGACTCCCATCCTTCCCCCCGATTCTCACTTCATTAGATCCTTTATTAAGTGCCAGCCTCAATAAATATGTGTATTTAACACGGTTTCTCGGAAAACAGTCGATTAAATACCTAAAATAACATATTTTACATTGGAAAGTGATGGGAATAGGTAATATAAATTAATAAAAAGGAATATATTAACAAAAATAAAAATTTTGAGATAAAATTTATCTTTTCAAACAAGAAAAACTGCCGAAATTAGCGATTTTATTTCAAAACTAACGTTTTTGACATTTCATCAACTTGATATTGGAAGATTGACACTTCGTTGACTTTTAATCGAAAAAATATATTTGCAAATAAAATTAATTGAAAGTCAATTCCGACTACATAATCATATTAATATTTATTTTACATTATTCTATACATGTTATTTACACTCGTATACCACGATATACGACGTTACTTTGGCGAAGACCGGCATTATATTAAAAATAAGATGCGTTATAGGAACGTGAAACATGGAATAAGACACTATATTCGTTGAAAAAGGTTTGGAAAACAATTTAAATTATAAAAAATAACTTCAAGATATTTGTTCGGCATTAAAATCTACTATAACGTAGTAGAACCTACTATAATATCGATTAATCATTATAAAACAAAACTAATCTACTATAACATAGTAAAACTGGCAACAAGATACCACGCTGAGATCATGAATCCCTTAGGCAAAGGTCTCCCGGTGGGCCAAGTTCAGAGAAGCCTGGCTTAGCTGGACTGCTTCGGCCGAGTTCAGTCGCTGGTTGTTGAACAGATTCTGACGGAGAGACGAGGCTACAGAAGGCTGTTCAGCTACGACAGAGCCAGTTTCTAAGAATTGGCGGTGAATTCTTTTGATCTGGCTGAGCGTTGGGGGTTCGACGCCGAATTCGGAACGGTAACTGAAATGGAAGGGACTATAAGATATTGTAGTAGGTATAGCAGGGTTTTATGGTGTCTATATTCCATTGTAACTTGAAAAACTACACTTTTTGAATATAAACTACTTTTCTAAATATCTGAACCTAAGATTTATTAAAACATGCTAAGTGTTACGTTCAACCTATCAGTTGTCTACAACAACATAAAGCAAGCTTACCGTCTAGCGACCATGGCCAAACTGTTGGTTTCCTCGAACCAACATACCATCTTGGCCTTCTCTAAAACACTTAGCACACGATGTCCAGACATTCTTTATCGACCGAAACGCTAAAAAGGCAGTATATATAGATGTTATACAGAAAAGGGGTGGTAATGTCGTTGACAAAAACATCATTTTCCTTTCGCGACAAGAGTTAATAATCAAAAAGAATATAATCGCTAGTGAATTGGTGTCACGTGGGTAAATGACAAAGTGATAGTGAGTAGTTGTACTATGGTACAAGCGTGACTCCTGGTACATGTACTTGATAACACTTAAAGGGAAGTGTCTCACCTCATTCCGGAGATATGAATCGAGACTATGCTCGTTGGAAAGCCTATTTGAATACAAATTCAACAAAAAAAAAATTAGCTGCCGAATGAGCCCCTGAGGCAAGTTATGACGGTTTAAAAATTTGCAGTGCTTTTTTCGTTTTGCGTTTGTGAACGATTGGGATCGAGAAAGAAAGGGAACTGATGATTCGGTGGTTCAGTGGTTGGGTGTTGGGTTTAGGGGTGAAAGGATAAGGGTTCGATCCCTGCCAACACGTTTTGCTTTAAATCGAAAAAATCACTGCAAATTTTTAAACCGTCATAACTTGCCTCAGGGGCTTATTCGGCAGCTAAATTTTTTTTGTTGAATTCGTATTCAAATAGGCTTTCCAACGAGCCTAGTCTTGATTCATATCTCCGGAATGAGGTGAGACACTTCCCTTGTTAGCACAAATTGTAATAGATAACATTCTTTTGATTTATATTGTAGTTGATAACTGACTTTTGGAGTAAATTGCACTAGATAAGAATTTTTTGCACTTAAATTCTCCTAAAACAATATAATTTAGATCTAAAATCAGAAGTTGTCTTCACAGTACGATCTTAAATTTGTAATTTTAAGGATGTGAAGCTCTTAACTCTCTACTTTGTATCATTTTTAAGCCTCTAAAAGTTGTAAAATGCCATTTTTATACTGATAAAATTAGTTTGATAAGTATCCCACCATCTCTTAAACGAATAGTCAACACGTTAACTGCTTACCATTAAAAGGTCGCCTAATGGCTACTGAGTAAACTCTTAAAATGTTAACCTTACTCTAGTCAAACCTCTGTCTACAACTCACAAATAATCAAAGTTACTCTTTATCCTCCTTATAGTAGTTGTTTACTCCACCCAGAAATTGCGTCATGATCACGTTATCACAGTCGAAACAGTTTTTTCGAATATTCCCACCGTGATGTTATCTATCATAACATCAGATGATAAGAAGTTGCTTTGATAACAAAATTCTTTTCCCATTTCGCACGATTTTCTCGGTTCTTGCACGTAAAACAACAATTAAAGGGAACAAAGGTCCGCGGAGAGGGGGGAGACATTTTTAAAGGTTGGCAGGCGATTTTTAGTAATTCGAAATTTTAAAATGAAAGTTTTTAAGCAAATAGTGCCAATATTAAAAATAATAGTTTGTTCAAATAATTCTGTGCTCCCCAACTTCGCGAATTTGTTTTGAAAAAAAGAAAAAAATTTAAAAAGGTATACCTAAACCACATATGATGCCACTTTACATTCCTAACCAGCATAAACCTACAAAACATCTACTGTAGTTTCAGAAAATTCATCGCTAGGTAAATGGACTAAAGGTCGCTTGTTGCACCCTAACGGTCTCTTTTTGTAAACAATATCAGAAAAACTGTTTTGCTCAAAAGAATTGCAAAAGGTTTCTAGAAAGTGATCAGAAGCCTATTTGTTACACTTCTGAAGTCATAAAACCGTTATTACAACATTCGCAGTTTGGTGAGTGCAAGGCAAACACAATATAACACATCAATGGGCTACTGTGACGTTATAGGGCTATATCTTGAGAGTTTAGCTAAATACTTTGGTATACAGTGTAGTTTTGGACTACTAAGATAAAAATAGATTGTAAATCTAAACCATTTTGAATATCAAGCTAAACTGAGGTCAGTAAGTCAAATTTTAAATATAAACTGAAATTGTTACCTAAAATACCTAATTTTAGCTCAAAAACAAGGTCTTAAGCCTAAATTCAATTAAATAACAGCTCGAAACATTGAATTCGAAAACAAGCATGGCATGCCAAAACATGTTCGTATGTTGTTGACATGCTGTGACTTTTGTTCTCTGCTTTAAATAGCCGGCAGTGGGGCGGGGCTACTTTCGGGCGAGCAAAAAGACTAGCCACGTGCATTCGAGGAACAAGAAAACGTGCAAGACTCAGCGAAAACTGAAAAACCTGAGGTCGAGAGGGTACCTCGAACAACAGAAGGTAACGTCAGCTTATTATTTTAGCATGGTATGGGTAAAACAACATGGTATTTGTTAAGAAAAATTGAACGTAATGTAGTATGTACAATAATATACAGTCAGTCAAAGAAAATCAAGATTTATGCCATTTTTTATACTAAAAAGTTACTGTACTGAATAGCATGGTACAGTATAGTACCTTAAAGATCTACAAACTTCCAAAAGTTGGCCTTTTACAATATCTAAATCATCATTTTTACTATGTAAATCATGTTATACTATCAATATCATAGGCCATACTAAACTACTATAACCTTAACCTACCTTTTACATCAATATCAACAAATTATAGTATTTCACTCTACCATAATCATATTTTTAATCAACAAAGTTCAAAAACTAAGAATTAAATTGTTCAACTCTGCGAGAGATAACACTGATAAGAGAGACGTTAGAGAAAGAAGGTCAGCGACATCGCCGCAATCACTTTGTTTCCATTGAACACTCACTTTCCAGAATTTTGTCTTTTAAAGACTTAAAAGCTTTAGGCAATGTCTTTTCTCTCCTGAGGGCATTCAGTGACGTTTCAAGACAGCTTAAGTGCTTTTTAAGTCCAAAAATGTTTTTTAAATTTTGAAAAAGTGGAAATAACAATAGAGTATCTAAAGTAGTATAAGGATGTGACGTTTTGTGACAATAACATCAGGTTCTTTTTATAATTTTATTAAAAACTTTCGTATAGGCTACTGTAACATCGTACTATTTATAATATAAGAGAGCTAGCTACTAAATCATCATACTGTATAAAGCCTAGCTTTAGCACAGAACTGGCTAGGGTTAGGGCTCTGGGCTAGAGCTCTGGACTAGGGCTCTGGGGTAGGGCTCTGGGCTAAGACTTTAGGATAGGGCTTTGGGCTAGAACTCTGGGCTAGGGCTCTGGGCTAGGGCTAGGGCTCAGGGCTAGGGCTCAAGGCTAGGGCACAAGGCTAGGGCTAGAGGACTCTGGGCTAAAGCTCTGGGCTAAGACTTTAGGATAGGGCTTTGGGCTCTGGGCTAGGACTGTGGGCTAGGCTCCGGGATAAGGCTAACGCTAAAATATATTTCCTGTTTCTATAAACTCAAATATGTAGTCATAAGTCAAAGTTTAGCTCTTTTATCACAAATTAAACTATCTGACTACAGTATTTGTTGCTTTGTAAAGATATTTTGATTGTTTGTATCAGTTATGTTAAACTTGGTTAACATTCTTGAACACTCACCAAACTGTTTTAGATAACAAATTGTCTTTAGAAAACACTATTTTGTTCATTCAGCTTGAGCATACTTTAATCTAAATCTCGATGAACTGATTACAGAACAGCTCAATCACACATGTTATTCTTTGCACACGATCGATTATATATATTATCAAATATATTAGTTTGTAGCGTGTTCAAAGAACTGTGTTTTCAAGAAATGCTACTTTTTAGATTTCTTAGCTTAAGATGGTGCTTTACAGAAAATATTCAACAAAAATTGAAATCTATCAAAATATATATTGTCCTTCATCATAAACTTTTAAATATGATAATTACATAGTAAAGTTTACAGTAATTATTATACATTGTAATATCTAAAAGTCAGAATGATTTCTGAGTTTTAAAATTTTTTGTAAAAATGTCACTATATATATAACGTGCTGACCACACCGTGAACATTAGAAAATCCTTATCAGTGTTTGCTAAACTTTTGTAAAGCCGCCTGGAAACGTGTTTTGTTTTCATCTGATAAAGGGTTCTGAGAGAGCAAAAGTTAAGCATTTTAAAGACTGGACGGCAGGCGAAAAGGTCAAAGATTCAAAAATATAAAAATTGTTGAGAAGGTGGTAGTACTGTAGAATACTGTACTTAATATTCGGTTTTTCAAATAATTCTGTGCCCGTTAGCAAAGTAAATTTTCGAGGTTAGGAACACAGAATCTTGTAAACTTATGATGACAAAAATTTTCAATACTTTACTAAAACAGCTTATAAAAAAGACACAAATGTTACAATAAGCTGCTTTTAATAACTGTGAAAAAAATTTAAAGCCAAAAGTTTTTGCTACAGAAAGGTCTTATTGTAGTTTTTTTCAAACTACAATAAGACCTTTCTACCAACATGCTGCAACTAATGGTGACATAAGCATTACCGTACCTAAACTAAAAACAAATGCCTTAATATTACTGTATCAGGCCTAATAATGTCATGCCTTAGTCTTACTGTGTCTGAACTATCATAGAATCGAATGTTTTAGTATTACCGTACCTGAACTAGAAATGCAATTTTGTAATGTTATTTTTGAAAAAACATCCGATGCGATAAAAGCTGTTCACGGTGTGATTGACCGTTCCATTGGCGCTTTTGTCAGTGAAATTCATGTGAACAGACACAAAACTGTAGAGTGTATGATAGTGTAAGACCAAAGTTAGTCCTGACGTAAGTTGTTTTAAATTCCATTCATTTCAAAGTGATACATTTCAAAAAATCTTAAGGTTCAAAAAATTCGAAATTTGAATAAGATTAATGTGAGTATACTTTTAGGTCCGAATTAGTAAAAACGATTACAATTAGCGCCAATATTTATTAGACCTTTAGTTTTAGTAAATACTTGTAATTGTCGATCCACTCTTGAATCTCGACCTGGTACTCGTCCAAAAAAGCACCGTAATACAGTGGGTCAAAGTCGTATTTGCATCCGGACGGCTCCATACAACAACATACAATCTTGGAGGAACGGAGACGGTCAGTGTCGCTAATGTCATCGGGCCAAATCATTTTGTAGCCATCGTCCAGAGTGGGCTTGTTATTGTCGACGAATGCACACACATTCTTGTACGGATACACACTGTAGGCGGTGACGTTCGTGAGGCGACAAAGAGAAGCAGCATGAAAAGGTTGGACCGGGTTGGCTCGGGTGTAGTCCAATGCTGCTGTTACACATCCACCAGTTTTGCCGCTCTAAAAATGGAGCCAAAATCATGATTTATAAGTTATATTAAACTTGGTATTAACCATAACTCAACAAATATATTACTACGTTATGCAGGACTTAATGATATCATTACACATATAGTTATCATGTTATTTACGTTTCTTTTTGCTATCACACTAGTGTTGCTAGTTAATCTATATCAATATATTTAATAATAAACAAGTTTCCCTCCACAAAACGGTACATAAGACAATCTTTACCATACCTTCTTGGCCGTATTCAAAAACTCTGTGTAGCATCCCACCTCGGCTCCACACAAGTCCATCATACCACCAGTCGTGTCATCTCCTTGACTGTATACAGCGCACTTGCCAGGACTGTCAACCTCTTTACTAACTGCGTCCGCCGTCGATGCAATAGCTAAAATTGTAATTCTTTACAACAACAATCCCAATTGACATGTTTATATCTATACCCAAGGCCGAACAACAGAAAAAACAAAAAAAAATGTTGTCCACAAGTCTTTTAAGCAAAAGCAATCCCTGTTCAAAACTAAAATAACCAGCTCAACACTGCCTACTACAATATATAGCTTTCATATACAAAACCAATATCCCTACAGTAAGCCTCTCGATCTACATTATTATAAGTACAGTAATCAATTTAAAACACTCACACAACCCAGTAACAGACTCATTAAAAGCCTTAAACAACCAAGTTACGTAGCTGTCCCTCGGCATTAACTTCTCAATGAACGGTAGACAACAGACGTAATTTGTCTCAGGGTTGGAAGTACACATTTCAGGATTTTCAGCTCCAACTGAAGGACATTTCATCATCTTCATGTCATATGCATGAGCCTAAACAACAATATCAGTTAGAATCGTAATTTTAATTTAAAGACAAAAACTATTACCTAAAGTTTTAGCTAAAGCAATATCTACCAAACAATATCTGTCAAAGATATGACTAAATTTAAAAAACAACAAAAACTATCTAAAAATTTTAAAAAACATGTTACTCACTCTCCTGACAATGTAGCCATAGTCGTCGCTGTCCTCCGTCTCCGGGGCAACGTACTTGAACATACAGTAGCCTGTTTCAGCTGCAATTACAGTACTCAATTCATAAACAATAAATTCGTATAAAAACACACACATTTTTAATATGTACAACAACTTTCAAAGTCCAATTTCCAAAACAATAAACCTTATCATGAATAATTTACCTATTACCAACTAAAAATCTCAACTTAAACCTATTTTTAAGTCCTAAAACTCCAAAACCCTAAACTAAACGTACTATTCTCCAACAGCTCAATATGTGCCTTGAGATATGCAAAATCATAGTCAATGGTGCCGTGCCGCGCGTAAAAGTTCTCTCGAGAGTGTGATGTGAACTCATATTCTGCACAAAGGGGTTTGTAGCCTTTCAACGCTTCCATAATTTCTTTGCCGTGTTCATCAAAGTATTCGTCACACATCGGCCATTTGCCTAAAACAAGATAAGAATGTATAATATGGAAGTAACATGAGAATCATGCATGAGTATTTAACGACCTATCCAACAGTACACAATTCATCGTATAACGTTGCTCCGCGGCCTGCAACTTTTGGTTTTTCGAGCTGCGAACACACCTATTGACAAGTTTTGTTTGCAAAAGGAAAAGATACCACAGTTGAGAAGTGGTTCCTTTTCTAGGTAAGAAATATCATAATTTTTCCTTATTTTCATTCTAATTCTCAAAAAATTGCAAAAACCCACATGTAAACTGGATAAACAACAAGCTGTTCCTCACGCCCGTCTCCTGTTCCGTGTAAACCGCTTCTTCCGGCGTACAACTATCAATAACTCGATCCAATATAAAGCCATTCAGGAGATACAAATTAAATTCGCCTTCCCCAGGCAAACCAATGTCTTTCTTAGTGAGCTCGTCCTTCAAGATGATGTACACCTCGTGGAAGTTGTTGTCCTGATACAGGTTGACCGACTCTTCCTTCCGAGGATCGTACAAGCTCTGGCAGCGATCCGTGTAGAAGGAATCGTTGAGGAAGGTGAACTTTTTGCACATTTGCTCGGCCTAAACCATTTTAGGTAATAGAGTTGAAAAATCAAAATAATTAACAACCTCATCCTCATCTTCTGATCACCAAAACCTACATCTTTGAGAAGAATTCGACCAAAGAACTGGTTGATAAACTTGAAATGTTCGTTCGTATGTCTGAAACAGTTCATCGTGGTATTGCAGACACAGAACGTTGTGATCCCATCCTTCTGGTAGTCACTCGGAACTGCCCCGGGACATATGGTTTGATTGATGTAGCAGGCTACACCGTCGTCAGCCATGGCCTGTTTCAGACGAAACTTTTCCTCGTCCGTCAGGTTTCGACCGCCCATCCTCGAGACCAGTGTCGCCGTCTTTACATCGCTAAAATTTGGAGACAAGATAAAAATTAGACAACAGGATCCTTAAATAGCTTCAGTTTTAAAACTACAACATAGCAAAATTAAAGCCATTTTTGTACTCAAACCACAAGTTTAATTAACAACCATCTATAACAATGTACCTCAACAAAACTTATTTCAAACCCAAACACCAACAACCCAATCCAAGCCCCCTACCCATGCATTTCGATGCCAACTTGGTGCATCAGTTCGCAATGTGTACCAATCGCTGTTTGCCCCATCTCGTCGTATGTTGTTTCAAGTATCCTTGGAGCATTGTACGCTGATGTATATTCTCCTACTGGGCAGGTCAAATAGTTGCGTTGAGTGTCGGCTGGCAGCTCCACCTTATCACAATTACCATCATAACAACAACACACGGTGCTGTACATGTAGATGCCAAACAATGTGTAGCACACGCTCTTCTGATTGTTGGCTTCTGGAGCATGGATACAAGTAGTAAAGTCCTTCATAGAAGGAAGTTGGTCGTCTGACAAGTTTAAACCTGACACCGCAAAGCTGAAACAACATTATTTTAGGTATGATACACAGTTGTCCTTCTAGTATCTAAAAGATAACATTTTTACATTACACAAAATCCTTTATAATCAAAATATTAACTATTAGATATAAAAAAAAATCGAGTCCACAGCAAACAACCTATGTTTACCTCCGATTGGTCAAAAGAAACCGAAGGTAGTAATCATTCGGCAAAAATTGGATCCGATTCCACGACAAAGGCCCTGCGTATATCTCGCCATCTCTGCCACGAACGTTCATAAGATACATACAGGTGTAAGAGTTGTATGCCCTGTTCTGAAACAATCTTATTATCACGAATGACGTATAAGGTATAATGCATCTCATAAGATCATCGCTGCTTATCCCATCTCGTCGCATGTTGCCTGCTATCGCTCGCATAATAACCATGCATGCATAAGAAAGCTAATAGACTGTTCTAATAATTCAGTGCCTCTAATCCCAAAAATTTGCTTTGAGATGGGCACAGACTTATTTGAACAACCTAATAACATAAAAAAAGCTAACATAATTCTTACAGTGTAATAGCCATACGAATCCAGACAGCCTTCAGTCTTGCCGAACGAGAATATAGAGTAAGGTCCGGCTGTTTTAGAATAATTCATAAGATTTGCTGGTGTTTTTTTATCATCCAGTTTAGCCCTTAAGAAGAATTTAAATTTTAAAATAGTATATATTGAGGAATGCAAGACATAATTAAAGACAGTAAGACAAAGTTAAAATAAACATACTTTCCCTCAGTACGCAAGATTATGTCCTGAAAGCGACCGAGTTCTGGAATGTAAGTATAAGTGAACTGGAGTGGCTCTTTGAGAGTTGTAAACGCTCCTGGATACATGCCATTACTCTCAAAATCAGTGTAATGTTCCTTAACCAAGATTCCAACATCAGGCCCCCAAGCATCTAGTAGGTCTTCACTAGGGACATATGAAACTAAAATAACATTACATCAACATCATACTCAGGTAAATTTAAGCTAATTTACATTGAAAAAACACAAAAAAAAAATTTTTGTAGTGAATATAAACTTACACTGATTCTTAGAATTACCACGAAGGTAATCAACGTCACTTGAGAGAAACAGAAGCTGACATTCAACTAAAACAGAGACATTACGTCAAAGCTTGTATACAAACGCTTAGAGTTATAAGCATAAATTAAATTTCATACCTAAATTTAAAAAAACGAAAAAAACCCATACTCGTATCACACCAAGCCAGTTTATCGACTGCCGCTCGTTCTTTCGCTTGTAACTCTACAATCGTAATCGCGATCGCTACAATCCGCCATTCAAACATGGTCACCGTCTTCTCAGAATATTGCAAAGTAAAATGAGGTCCATATCCAAAGTTTGTCTTATTTCATTTCCGAATTTGCATAAAAAGACAATTTTACATGGTTCTATATGCCATTTTGATGAAAATCAGCTGAAAATGTTAAAATTTTACTTTATAAAACAAATTTACAATTTACTTGAAAAAAGATTTTACAAAACAAATTATTCTGCGCCAAGTTTACCTTCCGAGTAAAGTCTCTCTCTCGTCAGACCTATTCCTGGGGGACGGGTTTTGTTTGGATTTCTCCTGGATTGAACATGATCTTGATATCAATAATTTGATAGAATTCCTAGAAAAAGCGGATAAAGTATACATTTTTAGGTAAGAAAATTAGATGAACTTGCACGTACTCGGGTGCATTTATTCAAATCAGTTCCAGGACCAAACCAAAATGTAAAACCGAGTTTATTCTTGTCATTTGTATCGTACGATGTGGTTGTTGCTGCTTTTTGTAGTTTCCGTTAAAGAATTACAAGTCGCGGCTTCAGAACCACAAAAGCTAGCATGGTGTGATACATGTGAGATCGGTTTTTCTATTTTGTTGCCTAAAAGTTTTGAAATTTAAAGTTTTTGGTGTTTTTTAATGATTTTCACTGATTTTTTTAAATCTGCAATTTAATCTGAATTTTTACCTACTTGGATCTATTTTCAGTTCAATGCACGTTTTTGTTTGTACCAAGAGACATCGATATTCCAATTGGGAAGACCGATACTCACTGTAAGTTGCTTATAATTGTTGCATTACTTTACGCTGTAGAATATTATAACTAACCTTTTTTTAAAAAACTATACATTATAATTGTTATGTATTGTATCATCTTTGTCATACCAATTTGTTTAGTTTCTTATGTTCCAAGCCAAGACATGATCAAGGCATGGGGGAGCCAGAACAGTTGTATGAAACGCATTATCAGAAGCTGGAAGTCAACAAAATGGATCCCAAAGTCTTCTACGAAACCGAGAAAAGTCCTAGATTCAGCTATACGTTTGTTCCTGAACTCGGTCGATTTCAGGACATTGTTCTGATATGGTCAGTTAGTTTTTATTTACTGTAACATGGACTGAGCGTGTGATTTTGGTCATTGGACTAAGGAAACTATTAATTTTTAGGTACTTTTGAATGTTTCGCCAATTTCTTCCTTGAGTTAACTTTAGAATGCATTAAACAGCGTAATTTACACTGGTTAGGTCAAGTCATTATGTAGAAAAATTTTAAATTTTAGGCCGGAAGATAAGTCAACTCCCATTGATTTGCTGGATAAAATGGACGAAGGACCTTATTCGATTTTCGCATTTGAAGCAGCAAAAGGCTGTGTCGACAAGTACGGTTACTTCGCAGTGAGTTTTACGATTACTATGGGACATAATTTTAAAGATTTTGAAAACTTGAAATTTTGGAATGTATTTAGTAATAAGCTACTTGATACTCTACTTTTTTAAAAATAGCCAACTTAATAAGATCTAACAAAACTTACTTTAAGCATGTTTAGAACAGAATATACCAGTCGGTGACATGTATGTCGTTGCAAAATCTGCGACTAAATAAAACCAAAGAACCTCACCGATATTATGCTGGGCCTATTACCTTCAACAGAGTCAGGTTTGATGAGGATGACTATATGCTACTGTATCTGCTGACTAATCGATCGTAAGTTGTTGTAATAGATAATGAATTATATAACAGTAATATGGGTTAACATACTATTTTTTCTATTGAAATTGAACGATAATTTATTGTACTATATTAAAAAAATGTTTAGGTGGGCTTCTAGGCGACATGATACTCGATGAGATCTTATTTTTGAACATGTATTACCTAAAATTCTATAAAGTCGTATTTTAGAACGAATATGCGTACATCCGATTCATCCCTCATGAACAGTATGTCGATGAAGAACTTTGTGACTTGTAAACATGCCGAGACCAAGGATACTGACCTAGATCCCCAATGTCACTCAGCCTACAACATTTTTGATTTCTCCAGAATCTGTTGTTGCTTCCACGGTAACTGCACGACGGTAGACAGAGAGTATTTTGAGAATAAAGATCTGAAGTGTCCGATTGGAGAATATAATGCTACTGGTTTCTTGCCACCGATCATGCAATACGATTACGATGAGTATGGATATGCTTCTAGGAAGAAGTTCTGTCAGGTGGAAATGTTAGTCTTGACAGGGTAGGTTACGAGTTAATAGTTAATTTTGATTTTCAAGTTTTGATGTATTTTGGATGTTAATGTCCCTTATTACTTATCCATCTGCTCTACATTCCTCTTAAAGACTAGTCTATGATAATATTATCTGATGTTTTACCTATTGTATTTTGACTGTATATGTGATGACATTTCCAGAAACAACAACACAGAACTGTACGTCAAGCTAAATGGCTCTCAGCATATTATAATGGGTCCAGCCAATATTGCTCTGGACGATGGTGAGATGGTATGTGGCCTTCAAGCAACTCAATGTGCCGGAGACCTGAACACCGTCACATATAACAAAGATTTTGCTATGAAGTGTTATTGTCCTGAGGAATTGTTATGTGCCAATTACCCTCGTAGTGTATATGAAACCTGGAACCTGTTCGCTGGTCGATTGCAGGACAAAGAGGTATGTTATAGTAGATTTCAGAGGTTTATGATTGAGGTAATGGAGCTAGAAGAGCGTGGAGTTGGAATAAATTAATTTTACTTTAAGTAGCTATGTTACAGTAAAAGTTAGAGTGAATTTTACATTACGATTTCTAGTATAACATACAGTAACGCCAATGTTTAGCACATGTCATGGTGTCAACGAGTACCGTTCTTTGGCAACGAACTTCACCCTCACGTGTGTCATGTCTTCTATGATGTCCAGAAGAAGAGACCGGTCGTTTTGGTAGACAACTACAACTTCTTTCTGATCGGAGAGATGTACTTCATAACAGACGATATTCCTTTTCCTTCTGACCCGAAGGCTGACATTACTTTAGTGACATTCCTCTCGGGTATAGTCACCAGAAAGGTCATCGACGATTGTCAAACATCAGAAGATGTTGTTTATGAGGAGGAGGATGTGAACCAACATCGCTTGTTCTACTTCTTTACCTGTAAGAACTGTTTTTGTTTCTTGAAGTGTAAGACTAGCCTATGATAATATTATCTGGTGTTATTGGTGATGTTAAATGTCCTTATTAATGTTATCTCATGTTCTGAGTAATGTTTTTTGCTGTTATGACTAATATTATCCGATGTTCTTGGTAATGTTATATAATGTTGTACATGTTGTAGGTGAGGCCAAGAACTGTGACTTGTATATCGAAGACAATATCGACAAATACACAGAGACATTGAAAGAGTATGAACCTCAGTGCATGACTATCATAGCAGAACACAACTTTATGAAACGAGTTGGAGACTACAAAGAGGATCGGGCAGCCATAATTGAAAATACAGTAATGAAGAATGCAAGTAAGGAAGGATACTGTAGTATAAAAATTTTGAAGTGATTTAAATCTACAGAAAGATTTAAAAAAAGCTTATATTTTATAACAAGACAATGATTGTAAATGTTATTGTTAAGGTTTTTTGATGAGAAAAGGTAGAACAGAGCAGGAGTTGCATAAGTTATGGTTAATATAGGTTGATGAGAAAAGATGACACAATTTAAAAATAAATTTTGAATTTAGCTCAAACGGGCTTCTGCTTCTTCCAATACATATCTGAAGAAAGCCAACACACTGAAGACGTTGGCTATGTTATACGTCCGGTAAGTCTACTTTATCAGATTTTGTAAACTGTTGGTAATCTTTAAATTACTAACTTGATTATATTATAGTATAGAGAAGAAATTCTAAATTAAGATTAAAAACGTAAAATACTGAATTGGTAATATTTGTCAATGCTAAAATATATAGAATGCTGAATTAAATTACAAAATGATTAAGACCAGTATAATATTGTCATTTTCTAGGCACTGCCGTCTGACATAAAGAACCACCCCTGCCCAACCTACAATGTCGACCCATGGTGCCGTTACAACGAAGAAACTTTGTCATTCTGTTGTCTATCGTTCAATCAAAAGATTTACTCCGGATCGAAAGGTAAGTTTTAAAAATGCAGATATGAAAGACTTAAATACGAGTTGTAGAACATATCCAAATTGGTAAAAACTTTAAAAAATCTTTTCTTTTTGTGCCGCCACCTCAAATTTGAAGTCTAATTTTTTAGTATTTCTACCAGTTTGAATATATTCCAAAACTTGTATTTAACAGACTTTTATATTGTCGATAGTCATAATGAAGCGTTTACTTTTAGTGGAGGAATACAAATGGTATATCTTCATTGCCATTCAAGCACAGTTGAGCCCTAACGGTAAGTATTTTAAAAACAGTATTATAGGTATAGGCCGAACCAGAAACGCCGCTACAGATTTTTTCTTTATGCAGATTAATTTTATGTTACAGTTCATAAAATAATTTAGTATAATATTATGTATCATTTTAGTCGTGGCTACTGGTGAGGATGCTATTAACGATACTGTTAGTGAGCCTGGTAAATGTGCCGTTCACAGCGTGAACGACGGCCTTCTGGGAGTGTCAGAAGACCAATGTGGTGAACAGAGAGGATGTTACGATGAGTTTGTGTACGTGGCACGATCTGTAAGTTCTTATGGATTATTATAACTTGAATTTAAGACTGTAGGCGAATGGTGTTGGGGAGAGTGGATGTGAGCAGGTTACCCCTCCTCAAACTCAAATAATCATTTTACCGATCCTGGATGTAGGTATAAATGGGCTTAAGCTTTACTCTAACATTATACTTATGCTATAATACATGACATTTCAGCTTCGTCGTGTCAGTGGATGTACGACAGATGCAGTCACGGCTGTAATAAAGAATGGCACCAGACCTATCCATGGTGGAGTAATCTGTAGCATAAAACAACATGTCCATGACCACAACTATCCTTACAGAGACGAATGTATTGTTGCAGATACTGGACTGCCATACGCAGATGGACTCAAGATCACCTGGCCAAATGAGACGATGGGCGACAGACTTCAGAGCACCAAAGTCATATGTTGTTGCCATGAAAAGGCGTGCGATGACCTCACCACTAAACTCGTCTTTTACTACGCTGACTTTGTCGATGGCCATGAAGATGATCTGAAAGAAAAAATGGAACATTTAGACCATTAGCGAGTTGGAACGTTAGTGTCATATGATGTGAATTGTATTATAAACACATTTTAGGATTAAAAATGTATTTTTAGTCTTGGCTTAAGTTATGTTTGTTAGTTTTCTGGTTTTGACACTTCAAATATTAATCTAATCATACCTATGTATACCTTAAAGTTTTAATAATAAACATTACCTTTACTGTACCTAAAAAGGTTTTTTTTATAAATATTGTATATAAGTTGTACATGTTCTTATCGTCCAGCACAAAATAAAATGAAGAAAGAAGCTCAAGTAGAGCAAAAACAGTTTTAAACAATTAAAAAACCAGAAATGCGGTCGAAAATTGAAAATAAAATTCAAAATGTCACGAACACCTCGAAATACTTAGAAATTTTCATAATTTAAAGTTTTTCCCAAACTTTCTCACTTTTGAATACCTTTTATGCCAAATGCGGTGGCTTCCATTGCTAATTACAATTGTAGAGTTACGGTCTTTTTCTTGCAACGACCTCCTGGCTTGGTGCGATACGAGTAAGTCGTAGTGTTTGAATTTTGACTTGGGCTTATTTCTAAGTTTTTTATGTGTTTCTGATACCTTTCGACCTTTAAATACGACTTTAAAACCAAAAGAGATTCCTTAAGCTGGACCAAATAACTTAAAAACCAAGATTTTCTAAAACTAACTTACCTGTTTTAAATTCAGTTGAATGTACGCTCCTTTATATTCCTAAAGATCACGCTGGAACGCCGGGAAAGAAAGCAAACAAATGTGAGTTAAACCTATGACACTATTGGCACAAAATAAAAGTCTAATAAAAAACTAAAACTTGAAACCAAAATGGTCATCAAATTATATGCCTTATATCACGCTACATAACTTGAGAAACACAAACCATGCCAGTTTTTCAGTTTTATACATTCCAAGCGATGACATTCTGAAACGTCTTGGCAATGGCTCAGTAGAAACGTTCCAAAAAGCACATTACTCTGATTATGAGAGTAACTTCATGAAAACTGGTCCTGATGTCGACCATGTACAATCTTACACTTACATCCCCGAACTCGGCCGTTTCCAAGATATTATTCTTGTACCACCTTCGGCTAATGTGTAAGTATAACATTCATGATAATATGGGTGAAATAACATTACTGAAAGTAGCTTAACAAAGCTGCAGTTTTTTTCAAGACATTTATGGTATAAATGTTATAGAAATTGTTGTTCTATAGACTTTCAAAAAGATAACACTGTCAGAAAGTATATTATTGTAGGTAATATCTTACATAAAAATAAAGTTTCGAAGTTTACCTAAACATAATCACGATTTCAGAGATAATACGCCAATTATAAACGTTTTGGATTACATGAAAAACTATACCTTGTACACGATATACTCGAACGTTAGTGCAAGTGACAATTTTTGTCGTGATCAATACGGATTTAGTGCGGTAAGGGAACCAAAACATGAAACAGATTTTTTATAGGTTCTCAAATGAAGAAATTATTAAAATACTTTCTGAAAAAAACTTGTCGACCCAAATTTAGTCGACCAAATAGTCCTTTTAATACATTTTTTATTCTGTCAATAGTGGCATCTCGTCTCAATTTAGAAACTAGCGAATTGTCAAAAAGTAGAATAATTTTGTAAAATTTGCTGATAAATTTTACTGATTTCGGGCAGTAAGACCTTTATATATAACGATAATATAAAAATTGAACCGTAAATTATACTTTCAGAATGCCATCAATAATTCAGAAACATGTATGTCAATTCACAAAGTTATCGGCGGCACGGCGGAACGTTACTCAGGTCCATTGACATTCAACCGGATAAAGTTTGAAGAAGATGATTACTTGTTGAGGTTTTTGCTCTCTAATATGATGTGAGTCTAATAATTTTTTTCTTTTTTATTGTTTTAGATTTGCTTAATAATAATTTAAAATTTACCTAAAGTAATATGCCTATAACTCTTGTATGAGTTCATTGTTTTCTTGTTTACTTTAAAAATGTCAGTGGGTTTTGTCGAAGGATCCAAAAAAACGTTTTTCAAATTGTTTAAACCTTGTTTTTAGAGTTAGCTCTGGAAATATGTCGTCTAAGACCTTCAAAGATACGATGGAGACCTTCAATACATGTAGGCACAAAACGGATGCTAAAGACGAGGATAACAAGTGCTACAGCGTTTTGAGCATGTTCGGATATGCCAGTATTTGTTGTTGTTATACGCAGAAATGTAAAAGTATTAATATGTTTGGAACTAGACAGTATCGTCAAATTGGTTATGGATCACAATATGATTCCAACGGTACTGGTCTGCACGTCAATGAGTATCCTTTTGATGTTTTTGCTAATGCATCGATTGGAGAATATTGTGCAATAGAGATGAGGGTCTCTATAAACAATGAGTAAGTCTTTTGGCGTTTCATGATTTTATAATAGGTGGTATGATCTTATCTTTTACCTAACATACACTTAAAACGTTTTAAAGGGGTATCGTGTGACCTATTGTATCTTATTTTGAAGGTTTGAGTACATTAATGATGAAGTTGTAATCTTTTAAGGACCGTGAACAAGAAAGCAACTCTCGACCTTACGCTAGAAGCTGGAAACGCGACAGGATCGTGGTTGGATTACCTCGTTGTTCATCATGTCACATGTTATCCAGTCGAAATAGTGTGTCCTAATACGAACATACCCGACAGGTTTACCCTGTTTTATGGGCGGAACGGATTATGGGCGGAATGAATTATGGGCGGAATGAATTATGGGCGGAAGGGCGGAATGGATTATGGGCGGTTATAATATAAAACACCTGACCCTACCCTTGACCTTTTTAGCCCTACCTGACCCTACGCTTGACCTTTTTAGCCCAACTTGACCCTACCCTTGATCATTTCGGCCCTACCTGACCCCACCCCTGACCTTTTTTGGTCCTACCTGACCCCACCCCTGACTATTTAGGTCCTACATGACCCCACCCCTGACTATTTAGGTCCTTCCTGACCCTACCCCTGACCTTTTTGGCCTTACCTGACCCTACCCCTGACCTTTTTGGCCTTACCTGACCCTACCCCTGACCTTTTTGTCTTTACCCGACCCTACCTCTATCCCTTTTGGCCCTACTTGGCCCTACCCCTGACCTTTTTGGCTTTACCCGACCTTACCCCTGATCTTTTTGGCCCTACCCGACCCTACCCCTGACCTTTTTGGCTTTACCCGACCCTACCCCTGACCCTTTTGGTCCTACCTAACCTTACCCCTGACCCTTTTAGCCCCACCCGACCCTACCACTGAACGTTTTGGCCCTACCTGACCTTACCCCTAACGCTTTTAGTCCTACCCAAGTCCACTCCGGACCCTTTTAGCCTTACCCAACCTTACCTCTAGCCATTTTACTTTATCCTACTATACCATATTCATCCTACATGGTATACTATATCCTGCCATACCATACCCATCCTACCTAACACATCGTACCGTACCGTAACATACCACACCCTATTTTGCCGACTATACTATATCATACCCATTTTACTGAACATACCCTATCATAGCATACCATGCCTTACCCATCTTATCTAACATATTATGCCGTATTATAACATACCACGCCCTGTGGTACCTACTATACTATATAATACCCGTCTTACCGAACATACCATAACATACTATAACACACCCTGTACTATCTACTATATCAGACCTTCCATACCATATTATACTATACCATTACATACCATACCCTACCATAGCATAACAAGCCATGCCAAGCCCTATACTATCTACCATACCAAACCCTGCAATACCCTTCCATATCATAACATACCATATCCTGCCAGACCATACTATACCTGATTAATTTATCTTGCGTTACTTAGTTACTTTACTCTACCCACGGATAGTACACGGTAGTGCTGTACAAAGTTGGATAAAGTACGGTATGGTACGGTTTGGTATGGTAGATAGGATAGGGTATGGCATGGAATGGTATACTATGGTAGGGTATCGTATATAATGGTATGGTATAGCATAATATGGTATGGAAGGTCTGATATAGTATAGTCGGTAACATAGAGTGTGGTATGTTACGGTACGGTACGATATGTTAGATAGGATGGGTATGGTATGTCAGGATATGGTATACCATGTAGGATGAATATGTTATAGTAGGGTAAAGTAAAATGGGTAGAGGTAAGGTTGGGTAAGGCTAAAAGGGTCAGGAGTGGACTTGGGTAGGACTAAAAGCGTTAGGGGTAAGGTCAGGTAGGGCCAAAATGATCAAGGGTAGAGTCAGGTAGGGCCGAAATGATCAAGGGTAGGATCAGGTAGGGCCAAAATGGTCAGGGGTGGGGTCAAGTAAGACGAAAAAAGGTCAGGGGTGAAGTCAGGTAAGGTGAGGTAGGGCAAAAAAAGGTCAGGGGTGGGGTAAGCTAGGGCCGAACTGATCAAGGGTAGGATTAGGTAGGGCCAAAATGGTCAGGGGTGGGGTCAAGTAGGACCAAAAAAGGTCAGGGGTGAAGTCAGGTAAGGTCAGGTAAGACAAAAAAAGGTCAGGGGTGGGGTCAGGTGTTTTATATTATAACCGCCCATAATCCATTCCGCCCATAATAAACCGCCCATAACCCGTTCCGCCCATAATTCATTCCGCCCATAATCCGGTGCTCCGGTTTTTTTTTATTTTATAAATTTTAAAAAGATCATTTTGTTTAAAAATAGGTACAAGAGTTAGACTAACTCAGCTGTAACGTTAAATAAAGTTAAAAATGTTTATATTATACATAGAGTAACTTACGGATGATTTAAAAATTTGCTGAAGATGTAATATTACAGCGATGGCTAAAACTGCGACGACAGTTGAAGAGATTGTTCAAGAACCCTCTACTTGCACTATGTACGATGACTTCGAAGAGGGTACGGACATGTGCGAGTTGTATTCTGGCTGTTTCATGGAGTATTACATAACCAGAGCTCAAGTAGGTTTTTTTCGAATTCTAGATATTATATTTTATTTAGTTTTGGAATTAGTTTAGTCAAAGTTCGATTGAAAAGGCTAGATTTTATATTATACAGGCTTTTAGATAAAAATAATTTTAAAAACTGACAAGTTATTTGTGGACAATAAGTTGCTATTAGTAAAAGGGTTATTATAGATGATTTTTGAAGTCACAAACTTACAAATGTTATTTTACTTTAAATTTTACACAGCCTACTATAATATTTACTTCAGAACTACCAAAACGGCGGCTGTGTTCAAGGCGCTCTCGATGAGTCCACAGAAAAATTCTATAGCAATGTCAATTCTGGCATTGTGTGTGGCATAAGCAGCAGCTATAGAAGTCGAAGGTATATCTATTATGGTCAATATGTTATAGTGAACAATGGTGTAGATGGAGTGGATGGAGGTGTTCCGGTGAAAGTTATTCAAGATGCAAAACCAACTGATCGCTTAAGGTGGACCAAGGTTGTGAACTGTTGTGAAAAGTCACAAGACTGTGCACTGCCATCTCAGATCTTCTACTTTCACGACTTTACCGACGAGAGGAAAGAGTTCTTTGACAATCAGCTACAACGTTTCGGTTTGATGAAATAAATATTATGTTTGTTTATGTGGTGCGAAGGTTTATTGAATGTCTTCTTGATTTACGTGGAATATTTAGTTTTTAAATTGCAATTGATATATAATATGTTTATTGATTGATGTACTGTGTATATCATGTGAAAAAATCCATGAATTTTGTCGCAGTTGTTATGAGAATCTGCAGTATTTGATTCTCTGAGACAAATGAATTTCGTGAAATTAATTTTTAAAATGAAAAATTTGAAAATAAAATTGGTGTGAAATTTTTTTTAAATTTGTAATTTTACGTGTTGATAAAGGTCTTCCAATTTTCTTAATTTCCCATGGTTGAGGTTTGTCATACCTGGAAAGTTTCATTAATTTTATATTTGACTACGAAATGTGGTCGCTACTTTTGATTACTGTGCTTTCGAATGTAGAGTTACTCACGGCCCGAAAGAATTACTTGGCGTGGTGTGATACGAGTAAGGGACAATATCATTTGAGGCTATTTTGTTGTCTCCCGACTTTAAATGTTTTTTTTAGATTTGTTGGTTAAAATATGTAATTTTTATGTTTTATGGTGGGTAATTTACGTTAATTGGTATTTTTTATGGTTTACATGAAATAGTATTTGCAAATTAATGCTTTGAATCTAATAACTTGTCTTTTTAGTTGAATGTTTGTTACTTTTTAAGCCTCCAAGCAGTGTTATTCCAGGAAAACCGTCTAAAAAGTGTAAGTCCTTATTCTAAAGAAGCTAATTCAATACAGCTAGCTGAATCACAGTCTGATGGCTTATAAATTAAGTTATCCAACACTATGAACCTTCAAGTAAAAATATTTTAGTTATCTACGTCCCGAGTAAGGAATTGATTGTACGATGGGGAAATGGCTCAGTAGACAAGTTACTGGAGGAGCGGTACAAGCAGGCAGCTTCGAATCATATGTACAATGAGTCGTTTTCTACCTTCTTTAACGAATTTACCTTTTCCTATACCTACATCGCCGAGTTGGGTCGATTTCAAGATATTATTATACCTGCGGCATCTGTTAATCGGTGGGTGTATATTTCTCAAATTTGATGTAAATTGTGTCAGTTGACGTAGTTTATATGTCAATATTTGTCCAAATACTATGTTTTTTATCTAAATTTTGTTTTAAATGCACCATTTGCTAATACTTTGGTTTTTATGGTAATATTGGTGTCAACCATGCTAATTGTAAGTATAATATGTTAACTTATAACAATAATGTTTAGACCTGTCGCTCAGAGCATAAACTTTTTGACCGACGAGCATGTCTACACCATCTATTCGTTTGAATGGATCAGTAATAGAGTTATGAGATGTATGGACAAGTATGGCTATCCTACGGTAACATATCTTCTGAAATGGTTTTTTTATTCATTACTAGGGCAGTGTGGTATATGTATGGCAAGAGTTGTTTCAGAAGCCAATACACTTGTCGATGTCATGTATGACACTACATAACATGGAAATGAGTGACAACGTCGTGGAGGAGTACTATTCAGGACCAGTAACGTGGAATCGTATACGATTTAACGAAACGACCTACTTACTACGATATCTTCTAACCAACTCAGAGTAAGTTATTGGTTTAGAGGCTCATATTTCTTTTCTTTCTTTTGAGTATGTTTATGCTTAATAATTTACCAACAAGAATATTACAGTATCTCTGCCGCTTCTGTATCAGACGGTCTTTTGAAGCCAAGTATGAAGGACTATGTCACATGTCGTCATCTAGATACGGTAGAGTCATCACTGGAAAGTAAATGTTATTCTGTTTACGGAGTGTTCAGCTACTCGAGAGTATGCTGTTGTTATCATAAAGATTGTCACAACATGCAACCTGACAAAGAGGATTTGAGGACCTATACGATATGTCCATACGGAGAGTATAATAGCGAAGATATCACGCCTACAGTAAAAGGCTACGGATTGGAAGGGTTTGCTCGTAACATAGTGGGACTGGTGTGTAAGGTAACATATGAGGTCAACGTCATGTCGGGGTAAGAAAAGTGCTATAGTTGGTCATATTGTAACTTATTACAATTAGTTTTCTTTGAGATACTGTAATTTTTCTTGTATTTATAAGGTTGTTTAGTAATGTTAATAACCATTTTAGTAAAAACTTGGCGACTTTGAAAACTGCAGTAAGCGCCTCAAACACATCATCGTACTTTGACATAGATCGTATCTTCAACTTAAAAAAGCTGTGTCACCGAACCCGCATACGATGTCCTGGGGCATTAGACGTTGATATAGAATCAAAAGGGATGACAGTAGTATGTTACTGTATATAGTCAGGGGAATGTGCTCAACATACGGCTACGGAGTTTCCAAAGATCAACAACTTTTACGGTAATATTATGAATAAGGTAGGTAGGAGGTGAGGTTGGGTTTTATGTTGATAGCTTGGTAAGTTACAGATCGAAAGGATTAATGTATGTCAGGCAAGGGATTGTCATACTATTCTTTAGGTAGGTATAGGTATCTTTCCTCAAACAAATGTGTTCACTTCATACTGCTTTCCAAGCACACCTTATACTGTATTTTAGGTCGAACCCTTGTGTAAGCGGTTATCATTCATAAACAACGAATTTAAAGTCTATTTCTGTATGTCTTTTGTGGACATTGTGAAGAATCGGACGGTCGTACTGGAGCAATACAACAATATATACCTGAACGAACGTATCTTCAGGTTTATCATCCAGGATGGAAAAGATATGGATCCACAATTGGCTGGAAAGAAATTTGACATCAACATCTACAATGGCTACGTGATGGACAGTATAAGGTCAGAATGTAACGCGACCGAGATCGTGTACGATGATGAGGAGATTGGCGTCAACAAGATACGAACTTGGATCGGATTTAGGTGTAAGGTCGAGAGATTTCTTATTCAAGTGTTTTAATATTGTATAAAAAGACTGATTTTTTATATTGTTTTAGGTAGAAAACTGAATTTTTATATTAATTTAGGTAAGAAAATTAAATTTTGATATTATTTTAGGTAACAAAACTGAATGTCGATATTATTTTAGGTAACAAAACTGAATGTCGATATTATTTTAGGTGAGTGGAAGAATTGTGATGCGCTATTCGATGGATTATCAGCTGTCAGAGCATCTGTAATCATACTTTACAAACCGTACTGTTTCTTTCTAAATAACGAGGAAGGATACATGAAGCGAGTTGGCGGTATAGGATTAGATACCGAAGTCTTAAAAGGTCATATGATATTGGGTGAAAACGGTATGTTTGAAGATGGTAATATGGGTAAGATACAATAGAATAATATTGTCAAAAATGGCCAGAAAATGAAGATTTTTGTTGACAATAGAGTGCTGACTGCATTTAGCCTGAGGAGGGAAGAAACTTTGTTTACACTTAGGGAGAATGAAATTATACGTTATATTCTTATGTTTCAGTTGAAACTGGGTTCTGTGTGATGCGTTACATGTCTCCGGACTCCTACTTGCAAGATCCTGTATATGGCTACGAACTGCGAAAGGTATGGCTGGGGTATGGAGGGTCTAAATGTTATTTTTGGGCTTGGTTTTGTGGCAAATTCAGAGAAATATTGGCTCTTCCTGTTGTCTAAGGATGTCGTATGATTGGGGCTTGGAAGTAATTGAAGTTACTTTTCTTTTTTAATAATGTTGATCTTTTTAGGCCACGAATCAGGACTATGACTTAAACATAATATGCCCGAATTTTGGTTTAAAAAGCCATGAAACATGCATTGTCAATGACGAGTTTTACACTCTCTGTTGTCTACCATACTTTATGGTTCATAATAAGACAGAATACAAGGAACAAGTTATTCAGAGCTTTATGAAGTCCGTCTCCAAATGGGGTAACTCTATTTACTTATTACTAAAATGAAAAATGTGTCGTTTAATGATTTTTGAGGGTATAAATATGCTTGGTGTGGTAGAATCTAGATGAAGGGGAAGGTGTGTTCATCGGTAATGAAGGGAAAGGGTTGCTCACGGAAGCACTTTTCAAAAGGAATGACAAAAAATCATTTTAAAATTCAATTTTAGCGGTTTCCACTAGTGCATCTGGCATCGCAAACATCGTCAAGGAACCTGGACTCTGTGAAGTGGATGTCAATCGTGAACAAAGCTCAGATGTCTGTCCTCTGAAACCCGGATGTTTCATAGAGTACTTATTTAGTACTCAAAAGGTACGCTAGTATACGTTATACTGACAGATAAAGCTGCTTTCGGATTTTTTTTATTTTTGTGAGGATCAATATCAGTATCTTTCTCATTTTTTTAGAATTTTTATAAAGCATCTTGCCCCTTGCCTTACCCTGTATACTACTAAACCAATATATATATCTTCTAGAACATGAAGAACTCTGGCTGTACCCAAACAGGTGTCACAGCAACCCAGAAAATGGAAGGAATACACAAGGATCACATTCACTTGTCCACTATCTGTGATCTTCACTTCAAAAACGATAATTATGTCTACCGAGACCAATGTATCGTCGTAAATAATGGCATAGAGACGTTGGATAAAGGTCCAGTCATTTGGGGCCCGGATACTGTAGTTCAGGGATGGCTACGCAGCACGAAGATGTTATGTTGTTGTAGTGACTTTGCTTCATGTTCAGATACCCTGTTCACTGGAGTAATCTATTACAAGTACTATCTGGACGAGAATCAAGAGGATTGGGACTTGAATACTGGTGGAGTGGTGTTGTAACGTCGTTATTTATATGATGTACAAACTTTTTGAAATAAAGAAGAAACGTATCATAGTAAATTAGAAACTCATGTTGCCTATCACCCCGAAATTCCTCGCCTCGATAGTTCTTTGTCCCAAATAAGGGTGGAAAACAGGTCGGCCTTGAGCTAAATAAACTAGATCGGGCCCGAAAAAAGCCTGGCCGGTCTGAGTTAAAAATGAAAACCGGCCGGGCCTCAAAAGTGGGCCCGACCCGTCCCGTTTCTCACCCCTAGCCCCGAACGTTCTCCCCCCGAAAGCTCCTTGTATACAAGCTTGTACGAAAAGTTCTCGTCGCAAAATTTCCTGCCCCAAAAGTTCCTGGCTCCTTTTAAAATTGTACAACATGTTTTTCGTGTCAGAGGTCGTTTTTCAGGTACAAAATTGTTGTCCAAACTAATATTAAAAAAGTATAGTTTCTCTTTTTATTTTTTGCTGAAATATTTATAATATTTATTCACTGTTTCTTAAAATTTGTGAAATATCGTTAGAAAAATCAATAAAATAAAGAAAAAAAATTGTAGAAATACTCATATTTCCTTTTTAAAAATATTAATTTTAAAAAAGTACCAACATTTGTAATAGACTATATGCTGTCCAAAGTGTATTCATGCCACTTTTATTCTGAGGCACGAATGATCCGATGTTCATCTTCATTCATTACTTTTTACCCGAGCGATGCGGTTGTGGTGGTTGGTGGTCGTGGTTACAAATGTAGAGTTACTCACGACGGCCGAGGACGTCAGCTATGTATGGTGTGATACGAGTGAGTTTAAAGTTGTCTACTATAACATGTTTGTGTGGGTGTATGTGTTGATTTTAAAGTAAGATCGTTATATTGTTTTTTGATTTTTTACTCTAAGTTACTTAAAAGTAGTTTCATAACAGTTTTAAGTCTATTATTTACTATAGTGTTTAGTTGAATGTACGTTATTGTTCTTGCCATCAAGTGATGTGGAGAAAGGGGCCGAGGTCAATAAATGTAAGTCATTTGGGTTTTACAGGTCGATACCTAATCAGTTACATCAAGTTTCATTTTTTTCTTTTCATTTTCTTCCTGTAGCTTTATTAGTTTACATTTCTCCTATATCTTCTTTAATATTATGTAATTTATAGTTTTTAACTCTGTAACTTGATAAATCTTCTTTAATATTACTGTAGTTTATACCTTTTAATTCACTGTAACTTAACTTGAATTTTCTTTAACATTGATTAAATTTCAGTTGTGTACGTACCAAACCAAGAGTTATATGAAGAATGGGGCGATAATAAAACGGAGATTTTTATTGTGGAGTACGGTAACATGTCCAGCAACTATATGTATCCGGGGTCATTTGCATCTACTCTTTTCGAAAACTACACTTTCACGTACACATATATACCGTCGTTGGGTCGTTTCAACGACATTATAAAGCCCATGTATCCTAATATGTAAGTCAATCTTATTTATTTGGTTTTTGGTCAAAAAGTCTGTAGAAAAAGTTAAAATGTATAGTTGTTAGTGGTTATTATGTTATACTACATTATATGAAAGTCTAATTTCAGTTCATCAGTGACAGCCGCTGTTGAATGGTTGATGCAGCACAGACTCAGCACGATATATTCATATGGAAAAGACATGAAGGAAGGCAGGTGCATGGATAAGTATGGTTATCGAGCGGTGAGTTTGTCTTTTTTTAAAGTTTAAGTAAAAATATATTGGGATTGGCAGTTTTGAAGGCGAGTTTGTACCTGGAGGGGTAATGAAGTCTTTTGTTCAACAGGCAGGGCAAATTTCTTAATTTCAAGAGGGAGTTTCATGTTTTTTTCCATTTTCAGAACTATCTACCCGCTTCATTCACGTGTATGAGTTTGCTCAACTTGCGGTCGGATGCTTCTTTATATAATAAACAGTACTATACAGGACCAGTTACGTGGAACAGGATACGTTTTGACCAAGACGACTATATGTTACGGCTCATGTTAACCAACAATGAGTAAGTTGGCGTACTGAAGGTTTAGTACGTTTGGCTTATGTTATAAAATATAGCGTTGTGTTACGTTTGCGACCAAAACATATATTGTAGTAGGCACATATGTGACAAAAGTTTGAGCATTGTCGTGTTTTATATCTACTACAATATTTTTTATATTATTGTACTTGTTATACGGTTTCAGAATGTCAGCAATCTTGATATCTGATGACATGCCATTATCTATGGCGGATTATCTAACTTGTAAACATACGAATCTCGCTGACACGGATGTCAATGCTTGTCACGCCGTTTTCGGTCTATTTTCATACAGTAGAATATGTTGCTGTTACACTAAATATTGTGATAACTTGTACCCATCAGCTGACAAATTAAAGGAGTACCAAGTTTGTCCGTATGGTCAGCTTGATATTGATGAACATTCTCCGATCGTGCGAACATACGAACACGATCATTTTGGAGAGCAAAGTATCGCCAAGATGTGCTACGTATCATACGATGTTACCGTGAGGAAGTAGGTGTAATACTGTAGTACTGGTTGGTATAGTAGGAAATGTAGCTTAAGTTTTTTGTGGTACTATAATCTAATTTGCCGTAGTTATCTCGTTGTCTCATGGTACATTTGAGACCTAAAAATATTTTTCTTTATATAGTGACACAAATGGTACTGTAACAAAGATGACAATCCGCTTACGAGGTACCAATGACACTTCTGAAAGTTGGCATGAAGAATCTATGGGAAAGATTCAAACGTGCAGGCATAACATAACACAATGTCCGAACATTGAGGACGATGGCTTCAGAACGGAAGGGATGTCTGCTCAATGTTATTGTGAAGACCCAGCTGCTTGTTTCAAATCTATGGGGAAGACGTATAATATACTCAACGCGTTTTACGGCGCAACTGATGTGGTAACTCTTTTTTTTTAAATTTATGTGGATTGATGTTGTTAGACATCTACTATAAAATGTATTTCATCATTCTGTAACTTCCAGAAAGACTACACATGCCTACGGATAACTGCTTCTGCAGATTCTGTGATAGCACCAGATATATGTGCCACTTATATTGACACGCAATTGAAAAAGTTTGTCCGGTTGGTGTTGTATAACAATATGGTATCCTATGATTATGTTGGAACTTTTAAAAACATCCATCTTGACAAATATGATGAAAGGTTGGTGGGTAAGACGGTCAACCTTTACTATTTGATTGGCTACGTGCAGGAGTCGGTACTAGAGTGTGAAGATACAGTATACCCGAGGGAATCGATACAGAATCGAGAGTTGAGGGCTTGGTACTTTTTTATGTGTAAGTATAGTTTGAGGTAACTTGTCCTAGAGCACTTTATTTTGAAATTACTTGCCGTACATTAGTTTTGTTTGAAAGGATCTTCCCTACATCTACATCATATGAAGGTCATTTTTTAGGTAACTTTACAAAATGTGACCAGATATTTGAGGAGAAAGGAGTGGAGATTCTGGAGAAAGAAGAAAAGTACAAGCCTCACTGCCTAGAGTACAAAGACACAGTCTACAATCTCACCCATGCCGACCTGATTGAAGATTTTGAGGCCTTCTTTAGTGAAATGAAGTTAGAGAACAATGGTAAAGTCGTTTTAAATTTAAATTTTACACGGAAATTACTCTACGTGCCCCACTCAGAACCAGCTAAAAATTTTTATATGAATTGTTTGTGCTGACAATTGGGAAATAATAAATTGTACGATTTAGTGAATACCTCATTCTGTGTCATACGGTACATTTCCCCCGTCTTTCAAAAAGATGCTGAAAGTTATTCCTTCAAGACTGGAATCGTAAGTGGTACAATTTATGTTGAGGGAGGCTAATTTAAATAATTTTAAGTGAAACAATTAAAATAATTTAAAATTTCGATTTTTTCAATGCCACAATTATACACAAGTTCCAATGTATCATTATTATAATCATTTGCTTGAACCTTGTTTTAGGTGACATCAGAAGATTACAAGAAGGAGATTGATTGCCCGTCTTCAAACAACAAGTCCGACGACATATGTATAGCCAATAAGCATCTCTTGACTTTTTGTTGCAGACCTTACTTCAGTGCAATGTACAACGGTGATGCTGCGAACTACACAGGCATGATTCAGAAGGACTTCCAGACCAAGATGACAGATTTTTGTAAGTTTTTTCAAATTGTTTTGGAATTTATGGCGTTTTATTGGCGCTAGGACAAATGCGGTTTTTAGACACTTGCGGATCTTCGGTTTTTGGACACTTGCGGATTTTGGACATTTGCGGATTTTTTAAAGGGGATTTTTTTTCTTTTTTAGTTAATTTATTTGTAGTATGGTACTAAATGATACTAAAGTTTAAATTGGTACTGTTTTAATATGTTTTAGTGCTAAATAGTACTAAATTTTAAATTGGTACTGTTTTATATTTTTTGGTATTGAATGGTACTAAAAGCCCAAAAAGGTACTACTGTTATGTTAAAACCGCACCAATTTAAACTTTCGTACAATTTAGTACCATACTACAAATAAATTAACTAAAAAATAAAAAAAAACCTTTAAAAAATCCGCAAATGTCCAAAAATCCGCAAGTGTCCAAAAACCGAAGATCCGCAAGTGTCTAAAAACCGCAGATCCGCAAATGTCCAAAAACCGCATTTGTCCTAGCGCCGTTTTATTCATGCATGAGTGGTACTTTTTAGTACAAGTGCTGAAGATTTTAAAAGTTTCAAAACCTGAATTTTAAAAGTAAAATTTAAATTTGACATTTCAGTGGTTCCTACTAACGCAACGGATATAGAGAGTAGGGTAGCGGATCCTGGGTCATGTATACTGGACTTAAATGGAATGACGACGACTGATGTGTGTGTGGAGAAGCCTGGTTGCTTCTCGGAGTTTCTTTTCAGCACAACCAAGGTAAGTTTTTCTACCTTCATTATAGTTGACATTGCTACAATATCAGTTTTATTTTACTTGAGTTAGGTCGGGTGGGGCGTTCTTTTAAATTTTAAAGTAAATGGCATTTACATACCTAAAACAGACCATTTTAGAATCACATCTCAACCGGATGCATCCAATCAGCCGTAGCGACCACGAAAGAATCAAAAGACGTCTACATTCATTACATTCACGCCGGCTCCATCTGCGACATCAAGCACCATTACACCAAGTTTGTCACAATATACAATGGCACGTGTGCAGTAGTAAACAATGGCATGCCATCTCTCGATGACGTCGCTAACTATTGGCAAGAAGACATTGCTGATAGTGAACGGCTACGCACTCGAAAGCTGTTATGTTGTTGTAGAGAAGATACCAAGTGTGGCAACGACCTGGTACGTTACCTCGAGTACTATGGCGATTTCTTGGACGAAAATCAAGATGAATTTGAACTAGATATCAAAAAGTTCTATAACGTAGATGACATTGATGATCTCCTCGAATTTGCACCAGAAGATGATGATGAAGAGTTTACATATGACTTTGATAGACAAGAATAAATAAATAGGAGTTGTTATTGGATATTATTTGGACACGTCTAACAATGTTTTTATCTTTGAATATTAAAACGTTAAAAAAACATATCAAGTCTAGAAGCAGAAGATAACAAGATAAAACAATGAAAAACAAGCAAAGTTTCAGCTTTGACAAACTTCGTTTGGAATTCCTGGGAATTTACCAAATCTGGCATTGTGTTTCAAGCAATTATATTTTGTTTTGTAAATTTTATTGTATAAAATATGTTTGTTTGAAGGCTTTTTATCATTGTAAGGGTCATTATATAAAAGGACTTTGAAAGCTGGTAAGGTTGAAGACTTCAAATATCAAAATTTTTTTGTTTTATTACCCTTTTTTGCCGCACCAATTTAGCGCGAACTTCAAAAATTAATACTTTGAGGTTGGTTTTTTAATGGCTGAAATTCTGATCTGAAACTTCACACTTTATTATTATTTTTCTAACAAAAATTGTTCTTCACAAGGCGAATTTTTCGAAAAATCTGGAAAATGCAGAGTTTCCTTCGCTCGCGACTTCGATCGATGGCCATCATCAGGATGGAACGAACGTACAGCGATAATTCTGGCCTATATAGAATAGGCATTTTCGCAACTGTTTACAATGAGGCTCTGCGAGCTTTTACATAAAAGGCTTATATTATTTGATAACAAATTTTTTTTAAAAAATATTTTGCAAAAACATAAAGTTGAGTTTCGGACGTTTTGAACTGCCTATGAAGATGAAAACGTGATTTTAAAAAAAAATTATTTTACTTGTACTTTTTTTTTTAAAAAATGCAGAAATTTTGCACTTTGAAACTGGGTAATTCAACTTTTTGATTTGGATCAGTATTTGTTACTTTTTACCCGAGAATGCGGTTGTGGTTGTTGGTGGCTGCGATTACAAATGTAGAGTTACTCAAGGCGGCCGATAACATAGAATATGCTTGGTGTGATACGAGTGAGTGGAATAGTAAAGTAAAAGTCATTATTTCAATGTATTTTACTTTAATTTTATAACCAGTTTTAGAAATTGTTAACTAAAATTATTATTTTTACAATTTTCGTGATATTGTATTGCATTTCAAGTGGCATATTTCTCAAGTTATTTAATTTGATTTGATTGTGTATGTAAATGTCTTACGTTTGATCTACATCATGATGTATATATTACATGCTGATGGTATTGCATCTTTTATTTTATAGTTGAATGCCTGCTACTGTTTGCGCCCGCGACGAGATTTTATGCTGGTCTGGAGGAGAATAAGTGTAAGTATAACATTTTATTAAAGTTATCTTTATTTATTACTTTTAAACTCATGGTATATGTTTCTATTGTACCTTACAGTGATTTTATCATACTTTCAGTCATCTACATCCCCAGTGAAGCGCTATACAATGCTTGGGGCAATAGTTCGATCGAAACCTTTGCTGATAACACTTACAGTAAGCTGGCTAGCAATCGCATGTATAAAAAGTCATTTGCACCGTTGGTCAAGAACTTTACTTTGACCTACACCTACATTCCTTCCTTGGGTCGTTTTCAAGATGTCATAAAGCCTAGGGACGAGAAGTTGTAAGTTTTGTGGTTTATTTGTCTTGTTGTGAGTTATGTTACACTTCTAGTGATCGCTTGATGTTATGTTTATATAGTAAGAAGAATGTTTAGGTTAGTAGTCATAGGGGTCATGTATATGTTCTTATTTCTATTTTTACTTATAGAAATGTTAATATAAGTTTATTTATATCTGTATATAGTATATTTCGTTATATAGTAGTCTTTCTTATCTTGTTATAGATTATCTTGCATTTCTTGACATTTCGCTAATATAATCTTACTGTAACTCGACTGTAAAGTTAATTTCAGCTCGGTTAAACAAATTATGGATGTTTTGATGGCAAGAAGAATCAGTACGATATACGAATATGATATCAACAAAAAGAGCACGTGCAGGGACAAGTACGGGTACTATTCGGTATGTCACAACTCTTTTTGGTTTTTTTAATCTTTTGTAAATTTTTTTTTATTTTGTTTTATAATAGTATTCTACTTGCTTTTTGACTGTTTTTTACTTGTTTTTAACTTTAAAAATGGTCTTTTTAGAATACAGTCGATGGCTCGGAAACATGCATGAGTTTAATGAGCTTTCCCCCAACAAACTTTACATTCCAGTACTATGCAGGACCAGTCACATGGAATAGGATACGATTTGATGACAAAGACTACCTACTTCGACTACTGTTGACAAACAATGAGTAAGATATGATTATATTGTTGATCTGATCTCATATTGATGTTTCTGGGTTTATATCAGTCTGGCGGGCCATTTCTGGTGATACTGAATTTCGCATTTGATTTATTATACATGCCAAAGCAATCAAAACATCTTCAGATTCTCAGCAGCACACGTTCCAGACAACACTAACCCATCGATGGAGAAATACATGTCATGTCAACATACGAACGGCGCAGTAAAACCCCCTGACAATGTATGTTACGCTGTGTTTGGTTTGTTTTCGTACAGTCGGATATGTTGTTGCTACAACAAGAAGTGCGACATTCTACAACCACTGACAAAAACTCTGCAAAAGTATCAAGTATGTCCGTATGGTCACTTTGACATACACGAACAGCGTCCCATCATAAGAAAGTACGAGTACGAAGAGTTTGGAGCTAAGAGCATAGCAAAGTTGTGCTACCTGGTCTACAATATCACCGTGATTGAAGGGTAAGGGTGGTAGTGTAACTGTCGTTTGTTTACAAATAGTATAAGATGTTTTATAATGGTATATTATTAATGTGCCTTATTGCTCATGAAAGAGCTAGGTTTATAGAAAATTGAAAAAAAACATTTTTGGTTGACGTAACACTAGCTCTGACATTGATAACATACTTAATATAAGTGAAAACTATAGGAAAAAGAATGAAGGGCACGTTGCTTTGAAAGCTAGTCTTGGTGGTACAAACGACACGGGTGAAGCATGGTACTACGGTGCAGTAAGTGATCATATCTGTCGCCGAAACATTACGAGATGTTTGGATATAAACACTGAAGATGTGGCGACAAAGCGAATGCTGTTGACATGCTACTGCCAGGATCCGGCTCAATGTTACAATCTTACTCTGAGTTCCTTCAATGACTTTAATCAGTTTTATGGCCGTGCTTTGAATAAGGTAAGGGGGTGAAAACAAGTTTTGAAAGCGTGAATATCTTATCTGTCTATCATAAGCATTTTTTGAAAAAAGATGTTTTACTACTCTGTAACCTACGTTATGTTATGTTTCATCTCCACCTAACACTCTTTATTGACTAGGCTTTCAGAAAGAGCAATTTTGCAAACGATTGTCCTTTAATTTTGCAAGAGATATTAAACTCAAAGAGTGCCATACCTACGTTGACCTGGCATATGAGAAGCCTGTCTTACTGGTGTTTCTAAACAACATGGTAACCTACAATCTTGTCTTTGAGTTTCGCTTAAACAGTCTTGAGAAATACGATCCCAGGTTGGAGGGTAAAGCGGTTACGGTACGTTTGATGAACGGCTACATAATGGATACGGTACTAAAAGACTGCAACAACACTGTCTACCCTCCCAAATCGATAGCCGACCGAGAAGTGAGGTTGTGGTATCAGTTCAGGTGTAAGTTTGGGTTTACTGTTGATAATGTGGACGCTATAATGCAACTCTTGTATAAAGAATGCCTTAGGGATTTAAAAAAGTTGTTCCTTATACGACAGTTTCTTATACAAGAGGTCTACTGTATAGAAATACAAGGTAACTATATAAATAATGTTCTTGACTGCTTACAGGTAGTTTTGCACGTTGTGACGAAATATTTGATAATAAAGGAGTGGCTATTCTGAAGGACTATCCAGATCTTTACCCTCAATGTTTGGCTTTATCAAAATATATATACAAGTTGAAGCACGGTGACGTTGACCGTGACTTTGAAGACTTTTTCGGTCAACTTATTTGGGGAGTTGATGGTAAGTGTACTTAATAGTACTACATGTAAGTACTTATTAGTATAGGTAAATGTACTGAGTTTATGCTTGTTAGTATCTTTCAAAGTACTATAAGTTTATACTAGCTAGTACTAAAAGCTTATACTTCTTAGTACCTTTAGTAGTACTATAATTTCTACCCTTGTTAGCAATATTTACACCAAGGTTCGATAACATGGTAACGATGTTTTACTTTCAGTTTCGAAGTCCTACTGTGTCATACAGTACACGTCGCCTCTACGCAAAGACGGTAGCGAAGATTTTGCATTTATAACAGGAACGGTAAGTGCTGACGCAGTTTTTTGAGTAATGGCTGTAATTACTCAGACATTGATGTTTAAGATATGCTGTAGTATTTGACATGTTGTTTCAGGTGACTGCCGATGACTACAAGAATTTCATCAGATGTCCCAATTACAATCGTAAGGACTCAGTGATTTGTGTCCGAAACAAAATGAAGATCTTTACATATTGTTGTAGACCTTACTTCACTTATGAATCGGATGAGGAAAAGTACAGAAGAGCTCTACGGAATTTTATCCAAGAGGACTGGAAACTTTACTGTGAGTTGTTGTTGACTTTCAATTGGGGTAACCGTGTCCTTTTAAGTAATGTAACCATGCCTTTGTTGATATCCAAGTCATTTGAGTCTTTTCAAATGTATTTGGCAATATTTTGGGCGATATTGTTATCTAAAATTAAATGAAGTGGCTCAATATAAGGTATAAATATGAAAAGTTATGTTTGATATCATTAACGAAGCTTTGAAATGTTTTACTATGCCCATACATGACCACAATTGTCAATTTCAGTTCTCCCACATTCACAAATAAAGGTTGAGAAGAGTGTGAACGAGCCGGGAGATTGTCTTATGAACAGAAACGGATTAACCACGAATGAACTCTGTGAATTCGAGCCCGGATGCTACGGAGAGTTCATGTTCAGTTTGTTTAAAGTAAGAAATGACAAAAGCGTTGTTAATATACTTTTTGAGGGCTAAACAGAAAATTGAATATCCCGCTGTTATCTACACTCTAGGTATATTCTAGATAGTCATAATTTTTTGTTTTTACTGTAAAACAACGTTTACATTACCACCCAACATTGATTGCTTACATCATCTATAATCAATGCCATTTCAGAATCTAAAGTCAGCCGGCTGCGCGCAATCGGGCGTAGCCACCACGATGGCATCGAAGGACATCTACCGTCATCATATACACGCTGGCTCATTATGCGACATCAAGCAGAATTACAGAACCAGAAGGGCGATATACGAAGGAGAATGTGTGGTAGTCAACAATGGAGTGCAGTCGGTAGATGACGTGCCCGCCTTCTGGATGGAAGACACAGCAAATCAGCAACGTCTTCGAGCCAGGAAGCTACTATGTTGTTGTGAAGATGCGGTGGACTGTCACCACGATCTGATATCGTATGTCGCTTACTACGATTACTACCTCGATGAGAACCAGGAGAAACTCGACGAGATTCTCAAGACTTACAATCTTGATGATATTGATCCATGGAAGTACCGTCCATAGTATTGTGACGTGCATGTATAATACATTTATAGCTTGAGGACAATTGAAGATCTAAATAAATTTTTATATAATCATGAAGTGAAATTAAATTTTATGGAACTAAACCATACTTTTGAATCTCGAAACTCTTGGCACGAACTATTATAGTTGGCTTTACCATTTTTCTTTATTTTTTTCTCTTCTTTCTTTCTCATCTCCTCCATCTGGGCCTTTACCCTCGATTATGCCTACTATTGAAAGGACTGTTAGTTTAGAATCACATATACATTGGCTTATACTAGTTTGACAAATATGAAAATATTTAACTACGTTATTAGAGCCTCTACTCTACTCTACGTTATAATATCAATGTTGTTCAAAAAGGCAACTTAAAAAAAGGCGATTTAAACCTCCAATCACGAAATACAACAAAATAAATCCAAATTGGCAAAACAACATTCTCGACCACATTTACTCAGCCCAAACATAGCGACAACCGCTCGCTAATGGTCTAAATGTTTCATTTTTTGTTCCAGATCTTCTTCATGGCCATCGACAAAATCAGCGTAGTAGAAGACGAGTTTGGAGGTGATGTCATCGCACGACTCATCGTAGCAACAACACATGACTTTGGTGCTCTGAAGTCTGTCGCCCATCGTCTCATTTGGCCAGGTGATCTTGAGTCCATCTGCGTATGGCAGTCCCGTATCTGCTACAACACATTCGTCTCTGTAGGGATAGTTGTGGTTGTGAACATGTTGTTTTATGCTACAGATTACTCCACCGTGAATGGGGTTCGTGCCATTCTCTATTACAGCCTTTACTGCATCCGTCGTGCATCCACTGACACGATGCAGCTGAAATGCCATTTATCATTCATAACATAAGTACAATAATGTAGAATAATCCACACTAACTTACAGATTGTGCCACGTACACAAACTCATCGTAGCATCCTCTCTGTTCACCACATTGGTCCTCTGACACTCCAAGAAGGCCATCGTTCACGCTATGAACCGCACATTGTCCCGGTTCAGCAACAGTATCGTTAATAACGTCCTCACCAGTAGCTATGACTGAAACGATACATAATACAATCAGGGCCGGGCGCTGGAGGAGGGGGGGGGGGACCCAGAACCCCAATGGCGATGAAGGTATACCATTTGTATTCATAAACATCTAAAAATTAAAATTCTTTATGAGTACCCACCCCAAATAAATGTATAAATAATTTCGCCAAAAAAGCTGGTGCGTGTCAACTGTTTCTTTCCCCTTGATGGTCAAGTGTTTCCCTGTTACATATATCGCGCGATTGTAAAAGCGGTAGTATCATTAAAGAAAGCGACAATAGCTCGAAGGGATCGTATAGAGCTGATAAACATTGTGATAGATTAAAAAAATGCCAAAAGATAAATTTACGACCCGGTTTTGGGCGTCCAATCAAAATGTTGGTTTTAACTATGTTCATTTTTATTACAGTTTACTGTGTCATCAACCGTGTTTTTTTATCAATTAGCCTATGGAATTTGTGTATCAATACACATACTACAACATTTTTGAAAGAAAAAGTAAGTTTGAATAACTGGTTTTTCAGATATAGCCTTGGGTTTACAAAAAAGGACTTTTTTAAATTTAGATGCAGTCATCAAAATTTTCAAAACAATTGTTGGTACTAGTACCAACAACATGAAAAACAGTTACCTACAAGTTGTGAAACATATAAAAATTACCGAAAATACGTTAAAACCATCCATCAAAGTTGGGAAAAGCATTTTTTCACACCCCCAGCTTTATAAGCCCTGTAGCATAAAGACATTTTTCAGACTTTCACAAATTTGCATATACTCCACAACCCTGTAGTTACAGACCTTCATAACCATCCAGAATCTATTTCATATCTACATTATTTCTAAAAGACTTACCTTCAATGGATGGGTAAATGTGTTCATTGTATGGTAGACAACAGAATGACAAAGTTTGTTCGTTGTAACGACACCACGGGTCAATGGAGTACGATGGGCAGGGGTGGTCCTTTATGTCAGACGGCAATGCCTTAAAATCAATGCCAATATTATACTCGACTTAGTAACCTTTTAACTGAATTTAGGTCTTTATATATTATGACATTGAAAAAACTTCGCAAATTCCGTATTTCACGTTTCGTATCTTAAATTAGTCTTTTCTATATTGTAATATAATCAAGTAAGCAATTTTAAGATGATCAATATTTTACACTCGATAAAATAGACTTACCGGACGTAGGACATACCCAACATCCCCGGTATGCTGGCTTTCCTCAGATATGTATTGGAAGAAGCAGAAGCCGGTTTGAGCTAAATTCAAAATTTATTTTTAAATTTTAACGTCTTTTCTCATCAAACAAAATTAACCATAACTTATGTAATTCCTGCTCTGTTCTATCTGTTCTCATCAAAAAACATTAACAATAAGCTTTGCAAGGCTTTCTTATAAAATAATAGGTGCCGACATAAAGAACCCATTTTCTACATGAATTAAAAGAAAAGTATGGCGGGTTCTTTATGTCGGCACCTAATATAAAACTTTTATACAAATCTTTTTATAAAAATAAATTTTTTAAATGATTTTAAAATCCGTTTTTATTCTACAGTACACATACTTGCATGCCTCATTACTGTATGAGTCATTATGGCTGCCCGATCCTCTTTGTAGTCTCCTACTCGTTTTATAAAGTTGTGTTCTTCGTCGATAGTCATACATTGAGGTGCGTACCTACTCAAGGATTCGGTGGCGTTCTGGATGTTGTCTTCGATGTACGAGTCACAGCCCTTGGCATTACCTGTAATATTTAAGGCATCAAATAGAAAAATCAGCGATTAAAACTAAATCATCATAAAATGTTTTTTGTTCAAATAGTTCCGTGCCTCCTCTCAAAGAAAATTTTTGGAATTAGGGGGCACTGAATTATTTAAACAACCTAATATAAAGTTTTTAACCTACATGTAAACACGAAGAACAAACGATGTTGATTCACTTCTTCCTCCTCATAAACAACATCTTCTGGATTGTCACAGTCGTCGACAATATTTCTGGTGACAATACCAGACAGTAATGTCACTAAACTAATGTCAGCCTTTGGGTCAGAAGGGAAAAGGACGTATTCGTTGTAATCTTGTAAAGAGTACATCTCTCCGATCAGAAAGAAGTTGTAGTTGTCTACCAAAACGACCGGTCGCCCCTTCTGGACGTCATAGAAGACGTGGCACTTGTTAGAATGGAGTTGGTTGCGGTAGAATGGGATTCGTTGACACCATGAGGTATACTGAAGAAACAAAGTTCCTTTATCTTACAGTAAGTTAAACCATGTCTGAGAAATGACTTAACATTAAATGTCTAAATTAGACTACTCTAACTCTACACTACGTTCAATAACTCAACCACGTCCCTATGTTAATCACTAGAAAGTTACTGTAACATACGTCCTGTTCCTGCAGTTGACCAACAAACTGATTCCAGCTTTCGTATACACTATGAGGGTAACTGGCACATAACAATTCTTCAGGACAGTGACATTTCATGGTGAAGTCACTGTTATATGTGTTCGTTATCAAGTCCCCAGCACATAGTTTCTGTTGGATAGCACACACAATCTCACCATCGTCCAGAAAAAGGTTAGCTGGGCCTGTTACAATGTCATGAGAGCCATTTAGTCTGATGTTAAGTTCTGCGTTGTTGTTTCTGGAAATGTCAGCACATGAATCGCAGTTTGAAAAAAATATATATAGCCCTCCCCTCCTCCCTACCTCATCTACCAAAAAAATCACACGCCCGGTACTGGCCAGTACCCGTGAGTTTCATCACGAAAACTTTTGGCGCCAAACTATATTTTCAAACCTTGAAAAACAATAGTTATTAGTAATATACAACTAACTTATTACCACTTCAAAATATAACCATTGCCAATCCAAAACCTACCCATATGTAAGTGACATTTCAACCTGACATAAACTCTTTCTGGCAGCCCAGCCATACTCATCAAAGTCGTATTTCATTATCAATGGCACGAAATCAGTGGTGTTATATTCTCCGATCGGACACTTCAAATCACTGTTCTCGTCATGTTCTCTGTCCACTGTGGCGCAGTTACCGTGGAAGCAACAACAAATTCTGGAGTAATCAAAAATGTTGAAGACTGAGTGACATTGTGCATCCAGGTCAGTACCCTTGGTCTCGGCATGTTTACATGTCACAAAGTTCTCCATCGACATACTACTCCATACTACTCATGAGTGCTGAATTAGACGTGCGCATATTTGTCCTAAAATAAGAATTACAGAATTCTAATTCATATGTTCTAAATACGATATAACAGAACATTATGTCACCTAAAGACTCGCCTAAATCATTTTTATAAAACAGTAAACTATGGTTCAATGTCGATGTAAAAAAACAGTATTTTAACCATATTACAGCCATTATCATTCATAATACACTGTTGCAACTTACGAACGATTAGTCAGCAGATACAGTAGCATGTAGTCATCCTCATCAAACCTAACTCTGTTGAAGCTGATAGGTCCAGCATAATATCGATGAGGTTCTTGAGTTTTGTTTATTCGAATATTTTGCAATGACATACATGTCACAGAGTCGTATATCCTGTTCTGAAACATTTTTACATAAAAATTAAAAGTAATTGTTACTAATAAGATATCTTAACGTATGTTACGATTTTGGAAACAATAATGTTTAAAAAGATCAACTTACCGCAAAGTAACCGTACTTGTCGACACAGCCTTTTTGAGCTTCAAATGCGAAGATCGAGTGTGGTCCTTCGTCCATCTTATCCAGTAACTCGATCGGTCCTGACTTGTCGTGTGGACTAAATTTTAAAATTTTGTTAAGAATTGAGTTGAAGGAAGAAAAAATGATAATCATTTCAGACGTAACTCAAGGACTTCGAAGGTAAATGAAAACACATATAACTAAGAATATCTTGTTGCCCATCTAGAAGTTGATCTCTCCTTATTAGACCAGACCTTTTCACAGAAAACAAGCCCATGATTCGTCTAATCGAGCCAAACAAACAATAAACTCCAGACTAATAACAAAACTTAAAATAAACATACTTGATCATCATAATGTCCTGAAATCGACCGAGTTCAGGAACGAACGTGTAGCTGAATCTGGGGCTTTTGTCGGTTTCGTAGAAGACTTTGGGATCCATTTTGTTGACTTCCAGCTTCTGATAATGCGTTTCAAACAACTCTGCTGGCTCTCCCCATGCTTTGATCAGCTCTTGGCTTGGGACATACGAAACTAAAAAAGTTAGTGTAAAGAAGTACAATACCTAAAACATAAGGTATAACAATATGTTTTTTATAAAAGAGTTAGTTAAAAGATTCTACAGGTTAAATTGAAGTAACATATATAAAACACTTACAGTGAGTATCGGTCTTCCCGATTGGTATGTCGACGTCTCTTGGTACAAACAAGAACATACATTGAACTGAAAATAGATAAAACGTTACCCAGATAGATAAAACATAACATTACTCTAGCAACTCGACCAAAAATTTTAAAAAAATCACGAAAAAGTTCTTTGCTAAATTTTGGACCCAAAACAAAGAAAAACCGATCTCACATGTATCACACCATGCCAACTTTTGTGGTTCTGAAGCTGCTACTTGTAATTCCTTAATGGAAACTACAAAGAGCAGCAGCAACCACATCGTACGATACAAATGACAGGAATAAAGTTCGTTTGACATTTTATTTTGGTTTCGGAAACTTTTTGAAATCTTGCACTCACGTACGTTTACAGAATTGTTTACTTACTTTCGTTACCTAAAAACGTTACCCATATTAGATAAATCCAAAAACTAGTTTTAATATTGTTTTTAGTTCTTTGATTCATTTTACAAAAATAACTTTACATTAAACTTCACCCAAATTAACCTAAACTTTATTTTCTACGTATCTACGTGACAATCCCCATGTTACCCATGTATACGTGACATTTTGTTACCTATACCTACGTGACATTCTCCATAATGTCCCATCTACGTGACTTTCGAGAGGTATTCGAACAAAACATACCTAGAATCAAATAATAATGAGCCGCGCAATTGTTTTTCTTCGATGACCGCCCCCAAGTGATAAGAAATAATTGTCTGACCAGCAGTTCGTTTCGTCTTCATTTCGTTCCGATTCACCGTTATGACCGCCAGAAAACTGAACTTTGGCGCTGGGCCAGCCAAATTGCCCGAATCTGTAGGTTTTTGAGCTCTAGCTGGAGGTTTTTAATTTTTGGCTAGTTTTTAGAGCAAAAAAATTTAAATTTTTTTGATCTTTCAACGATCTTTAGGTAGATTTGAATTTTTTAACACATTTTTTCAAAAGTTTAATTGAATTTTTGATATTTGAATTTATTTTTTACTTTATGTTCTGTTTAGGAGCGGGCAAATTGAAAAAAAATCAATTTTAGGTAAAATTTTTTTTTAATTTTCCAAATTAGGTGTTATTTCTTTATTTCAAAGCTTTAACACATTAAAAATGATATTTGTAACTTTTAAAGTATTTTTCGTATCAAAAAGAATATTTTAGGTAACATGTATATATAATATTTACATTTATGTAACAATTTGATCTTTTATTCATAGTTTAGGTATTAGAACATGCTCAAAAGGAACTTTTCGACTTCAATGGACTTGGTTTGAGTGTATTGGGTAAGAAGATACTTTTTTTAGGTATAAACGTTATGTTTAATATAGTTTTAAGTGTTAACATTGGGTAACGTATATTGTTTTAAATGCCAATTTCTTACAGAAATAAGCCACAGAAGTCCTGAATTCAAAAAGATCATTGGAGATGCCGGAACGCTTCTTCGTGAGTTACTGTAAGTTATTCTCTTTGGTTTTTATTATGGTTAAGCATATTTAAAGCTTTTTGACTTATAAGTTTGGGTAACATACGATCCTGACCTTGTGCCAGTTTTGTGCTAACATAATATTTTCTGCACCTTGTAGCTCGATTCCTGACAACTACGAAGTCTTGTTCATGCACGGTGGTGGAAGTGGTCAATTTGCAGCGATACCCCTTAATCTTCGATCATTATCTACAACGACACCCCCATCTGCTGATTACCTGATAACTGGAGCGTGGAGTCAGAAGGCAGCCAAAGAAGCCGAAAAGTACATTCATGTAAACAAAGTTTCTTCGTGCAGCTCTCACGATACGATTCCGCCCGCTTCTGAATGGAAGACTAGTACTGAAGCCGCTTATTTGTGGTACTGTGCTAATGAAACGATTCATGGAGTTGAGTTTAAAGATACTCCAGAAGTGCCTGAAGGCGTGAATTTGGTGGCTGACATCAGTTCCAACATTCTCAGTAGTCCTATCGATGTGGCCAAGGTAAGAGTTGTTAAGGTGTTGAATTTTATTTTAAAAGTAGGGTCAGATGTTATAGGTCGTTAAAAGTATTATATATGCTCTGTATATTTTGGATCAACACTTGAATTTAAATTTAATTTAACTAATACTACCCTATTTAGCACGCTGCAATCATAGCCGGAACTCAGAAGAATCTCGGAATCGGAGGTCTGACGATCGTCATAATTCGTCGTGATCTGATCGGCCGACACGACCCTCAAACTCCAGGAATTTTGAACTACGCTGATATCCACAAGAATGAATCTCTGTACAATACTCCTTGTGTTTTCGCGTAAGTGTCAGTACTTATTGCCCTAATATTTCAATACATTTATGACATCCAGTTGTCGTCAACGTATTTTATACTATAGTAGATCTTCAAGGCTGAATTTATTGTGCTAAAGCAATACATATTGTAACAAAATATCTAACATATCTACTAATTGGACCATAATTGAATATTCACAGTGTATACATAACAAAACTAGTTCTGGAATGGATCAAGAACAATGGCGGTCTGGAAGAGATGTCAAACGACGCTGAATACAAATCCAGCTTGATCTACGACATTATCGACCATTCGAATGGCTTCTACACTTCACCAGTTCAAAAAAGCGTCAGAAGCAGAATGAACATTCCTTTCAGAATCAAGGGGAACGATGAGAAGTTGGAAGAAAAGTTTTTGGCCGAAGCCAAGGCCAAAGGAATGATCGCTTTGAAGGGGCATCGGTAAGATAATATAAAGTTTTCGCATTGATCGAGTTTTATATTATAAACTTTCTTGCGTATGTTGTAGTAGGTAACTCTTAACCAATATTGTTGTAGTACACGATATAAAATGTAGCTTAAAAATACTGTAATTTCAGATCGGTTGGAGGTATCAGAGCATCGCTTTACAACGCAATTACAAAAAAGGAGGCAGAAACTTTGGCTAGCTTTATGAAGGAATTCCAGTCAAAAAATTAATCTAACAATGTCGTCTTGTATTTTCTAACAAGTTTATATTTTCATAAATTACAATAAATTACTGTGCCATAAATTAGGGTTTATACGCCAGAATTTAAACGGAAAATACCTATTTTGGGTTGAAATAGTGTTGTTTTAGTTAAATTTAGGGGCTTTTTTAAGTAAATTTAAGCGTATTTTTTATGCAAAAACAACATTGTTTTTGCCTATTTTTCGAGGATTTGATTGCGCAGGAAAAATGATTAAAATTCTAGTTTTCCCACTCTGCGACGGAATGCCAAGAATGATTGCGTGACGGGAGAGAAAAAGAAACCCATAACATTTTCTTCGGAAATATATTTTTTTATCGATCTCACACGAAGATGGATGAACCAGCACAATGTTCTGTCGACATTCCGTAAGTTACAATTGTAGAATTTTATTTTTTTAGTGTCCGGCCAAGAAAACGAACAAATTCTACATGTTCAACCGCATCCGTAGCCACGACTTCGACTGTTGGAAGGCGGAGAAGAGCAGAATTGCAAGCAGAGTTGGATACCAAGACCTTTAAGATGTCGGACTTGATTATCTGGAGACCTCAGGCCGAGAACGAGTTGAGGAAGAAGTGGGACGAGCAGAAACAGAAGCTGTTGGAGAATATGAGCAATTCGTCAAACATAAATCAAGAAGCACGACCACCGCCACCTAAAAAGCCTGTAGTTGCACCAAGAGTGAAACTGAACGAGAAAGGAGAGATTGTTATCGACGAAGAGAGTTTAGTTGTTACAGAAACTGCCGAGAACAACGTTTGGGACCATGTTGACGATGTGAGTTGAATTTTTATGTTATAATAGTACACATGTTTGGTAAACTATGATCTTTTCAAATTTTGTGGTTTTAAAGTAGGAATATTTGACTTTTCAGTTATTAATTAGGAGATATTAGCTTACAAGTCTTTTATAAGTTTTTCTTTGATTATATTAATGATATTGTTGTAGGACGCGATGCCAAAAAAGTTGAACTCACTCAGTTTCCGTAAAAAAGCGAACAGATCTACAAATTGGAGTATCCTTGAAACAGACCTTTTCTATCGTAAGTTGAATTAGTATACATAAAAGCCTCTTGCTTTTTTTAATCTGTTTTATTCATGACTTCTATTTTCAGAAGTATTGAGTGCCACAGGTCCGGACTTTGGTTTGATGCACGAATTCATACCTCACAGGACACGCGCTGAGTTGAAACGGAAATACACAAAAGAAGAACGAGAAAATGAATGGAGAATCGATCATACCGTCAAGAACCCATCGTTGTTGAGCAAAGACCTCTACAACAAGGTCAAAGTCATGATGGACAAGATGGAACAAGAGAAACAGTCTAAAGACAATACCAGAATCAAACGAAGAAAGAAGGCTGTATCAGCTAACGAGAAGGAGGTGGAGAGCCAGTAGTTGCTAATGTATAATATTTTTAAATTTTTATTGTTTTTGTTGAATAAATGTTGTCACTGATCCCCCGCAGGCCTTTCATTCTCTGACAGGTGGCGGGTTACGGTAATATTGCCATTTACTGTGTAAAAAGATTTTCGTTTTGTGGTTAGAGGTTGAAATTCCGCGTGGTATGGGGCATGCTTATACAAGAACAGAAATTTTTACTTTTCTGTCGTTGTATTAGATAGAATTTTAGTTTTTAATTTAATGATTGAAATAAGTAATGGATTTTAAATTTTGAGATTTCGGCGTGGTTTAGTCTTAATATTTTGAATATTTTTTTCTACGCTTAATTCTCCGTATTTTCGTGTTTTACATTATTATATAATATTTTTTACGCTTTTGCTAAAGTTATACCTAACCTTTTTTCCACAGACATTTTTTTCGTATTTTTGTGCCGTTTCTTGTTTTGTTTTTGTCGCGGAAAGCTTTTCATTCGTGATTTGCATCTTTCTGAAATCGGTCGAACTTTGTTGAGCTTACTAATCACTTTAGACTTGACTAGCAACTATGGGAGTCCCAGCCTTCTTCAGATGGTTATCACGTAAATACCCGACTATCGTCGTCAATGCTGTTGAACAAGGAACGTCAATTGATGGTACTAAGATCCCAGTCGATGCTACGCAGCCAAATCCGAATTATCAGGTATGAATTTTAAAAATTTAATTCTTCATTTTAAAGTTTATGTTAGTATTGGATATTTTTATAAATAACGTTGCTGTAACCTATTGTTTATTTTTTAAATCAAAAATCCTCATTTTAGGAGTTTGACAATTTGTACCTGGACATGAACGGTATTATCCACCCTTGTACACATCCAGAAGATCGTCCTGCTCCGAAGAATGAAGAGGAGATGTTTGTGTTGATCTTTGAGTACATTGATCGTTTGTTTGCCATCGTAAGGCCACGCAAAGTGTTGTACATGGCCATTGATGGTGTGGCTCCAAGAGCGAAGATGAACCAGCAACGATCACGTCGATTCAGAGCGTCGAAGGAAGCGGCAGAGAAGGAGGAGGAGATCTCCAACATCAGGAACAAGCTCAAGGAGGAAGGAATCCCCTTACCTCCAGAAAAGCCGAAGGAAGAGAAGTTTGACTCTAACTGTATTACTCCTGGAACCCCATTCATGGCCAGACTGGCTGTAGCTCTTCGTTACTACGTCCATCTGAGAGTGACCAACGACCCTGCCTGGATGAACTTGAAGGTTATCCTCTCAGATGCCAACGTCCCAGGAGAAGGCGAGCACAAGATCATGGATTACATCCGACGTCAACGTGCCTCTCCAGGTCACGACTCCAACACCGTCCATTGTCTGTGCGGAGCTGATGCCGATCTTATCATGTTGGGTCTGGCGACTCATGAAGTCAACTTCAACATCCTTAGGGAGGAGTTCGTGCCAAATCAGCCACGTCCATGTGAACTATGTCATGGTTATGGTCACGAACTGAAGAATTGTCAAGGAATGTTGTCACTTCCGAACAAGGACGACGAACCTGTCGTTAAGCATACCAACTTTATATTTATACGACTGCCGGTGTTGAGAGAATACCTGGCCAGGGATCTGGAGATACCCGGACTACCGTTTGAGTACGATCTGGAGCGAGCTATTGATGATTGGGTACGTTTTAAAAGTTTTTAAATTTTTTGTTATTTTATGATTATTTTAAAGGTTTTGATAGTAATTTAGGTATTATCTTAAGGATTAAATGATGATTTAATTAAAAAAAGTAGGTATCAATGTCAAACTTTAGGTATTCATGTGTTTCTTCGTGGGAAACGATTTCCTTCCTCATCTGCCATCACTCGAGATCCGTGAAGGCGCTATTGATCGTCTGATCAGATTGTACAAAGACATGGTAGTACAACAGAAGGGGTGGTTGACAGAGAACGGTGAGGTGTTCACAGACAGAGTCGAGATCATGATGAAGCAGTTGGGCAAGGCGGAGGACGACATCTTCAGAAACCGTCAAGAAAACGAACTTCGATTCAAAGCCAATCAGAAGCGGAGACGGCTACAGGAGAAGAGTCGGCAGAAGCCGGCTTTTCTGCCGCAATCTCGCTCCATCATTGCACCAGTTGCACCAACCGAGAAGATGGAGTACGTCAGTGGAGCTGACGCTAAAGCTCAGATGGCGGACCAGAGAAGGGCCGCTATGAAGCACGAAGAAGCCGAACGAGGCTTGGCCGCTTTGCTGAGACCGGTAAAGAGAAAGGACGACGACCCGGACCTGCCAGAGCCTCCGGCTAAAGTAAGTACACTCGCGGCACTCGACCCTGTGGTTGTGGTGATGGTTGATGGGACGTGGATTAACACTTTTTCAGTTTCTCAGTTTGCACGTTTTCAGTTTACACTTTCAGCTTTTCACACTTTGTGTTTGTCGTGTTTTTCGTTTGTGTGTTGCACTTTAACCTTGATATAACTCTACTATTTGCTGTACTTTTTATGTTTTTAAATCTATACCTTTCTTTGCTCTGCTAAATCAAATTAAATCATATTTTTATCAATATTAACATTGACAAAAACTTGAAAACTCTATGTGCTTCTTTTCGTCCCAAAACGTTTGGCACAGTCTCGTCGACCAGTTACATGCCTACAGGGCGAGGCCGTCGACCACCGCTCAACTAATTTATCCTCTTAATTTTAGTCATTTAAGGCTACTGCTGAAGACACCGTGAAGGACGGTGAGTGGAGGGAAATCAAACGGAAGGCTCAGGATTCGGATGACGAGCAGGAGCCCGAGGACAACATCAGGTTGTGGGAGGAGGGCTGGAAGGACAGGTATTACAGACAGAAGTTCGGAGTCAGCGAGACCGACGTCACCTTCAGAAGAACGGTCGCCTGGGCTTACACCGAGGGCTTGTGCTGGGTGTTGAAGTACTATTATCAGGTGGGTATGGGGAGAGTAGATTGTAGTATGTCTAGATATAAAAAAAGCGTTTTATAACATGCTTGTGTTGGAGTAGGTTAAGTATGATTTTAGGCAATAAAAATCACTTTTTAATGCTTTACCTTCAATTTCAGGGCTGCGCAAGCTGGAACTGGTACTTCCCGTACCATTATGCTCCGTTCGCTTCGGACTTTGACAATATCTCCGAGTTCAAACCCGACTTCAACAAGCCCACCACCCCCTTCAACCCCCTGGAACAGCTGATGGGAGTATTCCCGGCCGCTTCCGGAGCTCACATCCCAGAATGCTGGAGGAAGCTGATGACCAACAAGGACTCTCCCATCGTCGACTTTTACCCTCGCGATTTCCAGATCGATCTGAACGGAAAGAAGTTTGCTTGGCAAGGAGTGGCATTGTTGCCTTTTGTGGATGAAAAGTTGTTGTTGGAGACACTTAAAGATGTAAGTTGAATTTGAAATTGTTTTTAACCTTATTACCTAAATTGATGTTAATATCAGTATCCAAAATGTGATTTCATAGCCTACTTTGACCTCTATCTAACTTTAGTTCTACCACGAGTTGTCGGAAGAGGAAAAGGCCCGGAACTTGAGGGGTGCCGACCGGTTGTTCATAGGTGCCAGACATCAGATCTACGGATTCTTGAAAACGATATTCGAAGAAGGCAAAGAAGGTGTACAAGAGGACAAATGGGTGGCCATAGACAACACATTAACTGAAGGCATGTCAGGTGAAGTCAAGTACGATCCAACAGCAGTGGCACCAGGAGCAGTCTATGAAACTCAGTTTAACTGCGACGATTACGTTGACATCAAGGTAAGTTCTTAATTTAGAATTTTTAAATTTTTAGCACTTTTTAAAGGTTTTTTGAAATGTCAGAAATTTCAAAGATTACGGTGATGACAAAATATATAGCTATAAACATAAGCAACGTTGCAGGTGAACAACTGTTTGATGGTAGCGTACAGAGACCCACAGTTCCCACCCGGCTTCATCTTCCCGGCTACACGTTTGGCTGGTGCCGAGACTCCGGAAGCCACCCTGAAACCAGGAGACTGGAATCCACGACGACAAGGAGAATATCGACCGAACACTGGATTCACCAGAAATCGACCACAAGCCCAACTCGGCGACGCTGGCCACCGTATGGCGCGCAACGAGATGCGCGACAACAGGGTCAGTAGCAGTAGCGAATAAACACTGATCTTTCTTGTCTTCTGATGTCTGTCTTCTGGATTCTATTTCTTTTAGATCTTCTTCAGAATCTTGTCTTATGCCTTACTTCGAGATTTTGATTTTTATTGGTTTTTTTCTGTCTATTCTGATTCCTTTGTCAAACTTTATTCTTTCGTGTCGCGGTCTGTCCATCATTTTTCTCCACCCACATTCGTCTTCTGAATTGAAAACCACGGTATTGATTTTTGATGATTTCAGCAGAACCGCCCTTACCAACGACAAGAAGACAACTACAACAAAGGTCCTCGTCACAACAACAACAACAACCGTTACGACAACCGAAATCCTCGACAACAGTACGGTCAGCCACCAAACGCGTGGGCCCAAGGCCCTCCACCCCCAGCCCCCTACCATCATCGTGGCCCGCCCCCACCACAGCCGCTGAGTTTCAGCCAGCAGGCCATCTACGGCGCGGCCAACTACTTCCCACCCGCCCCTCAGCCACCACAATTCAACCAGCCTCAGGGCTACGTGGCCTCCTTCAACCAGCCACCCCCTCAACGGCCACACAAGAGAGGCGGCCCACCCCCAGGCAATCCAGCCAACATTTACGGACAGTCTAGTCATCAGCCCTACGGAGGCTACAACGGCTTCTTTGGCTAGCTCCTGAGCAATTGTTTGTTGTATTGTTGTAACCCTAAATAAGTTAATAAGTAAACCATGATAATCTGTTTTTTTTGAACTTTGTTATACGATTACTTTATTTTTTTTATTACGGATGGTATAATAGTTACATCGTAATTGAATTATTTATGGTTTAGCATCTTAATATTGTAATAGGACTGTTTTTGAAAATCTTTGATGGAATGTTAAGGTAGAAATATACTTTGGCAAGCCATAAGTTGAGTTGAAGAACAATATTTTTAAAATTAAGTTATTCATCATCATATGTAATGATTTCTGGGAAATATACAGTGACGGGTATTCGCGTATCTCTTAACGAAGGCGCAGTAATCGTCACCAACAGTGTTCCTATGAGTATTACTACCGAGAATATAAACAAGAAGATTCGGTCGGTTAACATGGCCACCAATCTCCAGTCCGAGCGCATCTGAACATACCGTAATATCAGTCTTTAATTATGGAAATTTAAGACATATTAAGTGTTTAGTATTACTTTTATATGTAATGTGGTAGTAGGTAGGAGTAAAATACGAATAGGCATTATATAATTTGGGATATAGGCAGGCTTGGACACAGGGCAGGGCATAGGGCATAGTTTGAAATTTTTTTACAGGGCAGAGCAGGGCATGCCCTATGCCCTGCATTACCCTGCAAATGCCCTGTTTGTGCCATGGTAAGTTTTGGCGGACGCCTCCGCCGAGCGGTCGATAATCGGCGGACGCTATAACTTGGTTAGTTTAGCAGCTAGAAACATGTAGTTCAATTCAGAAGTTATTATATGTCATTGGCTACAAGTAAAAGCATAATTTTAAGATTTTAAAAGTAATATTGTTATCGACCGGTTGATAATTTTTAGTATATTTTAATTGCAAATTTTATATATATTCTTATCGCTCTGTCGTTCTAGATTGTATAGAAATTGCATTAGATACAATTCTAAGCAAAAAACTTTGTTTTTTGCAAAAATTAAACATTTGTAAATTATCGACCGGTCGATAACAATATTGTTTTCAAAAACATAAATTTCTGGCTTAATGTGTAGGTTATGACAGATAACAACTTCTACACTTAACTACATTTTTCTAGCTGCTAAACTAACCAAGTTATGACGTCCGCCGATTATCAACCACTCGGCGGAGGCGTCCGCCAAAATATACCCAAATGCCCTGTAAATACCCTGTAAATGCCCTGATGCCCTGCAGGGCAAGGGCAGGGCAGGACATAAAAGCCCAATGCCCTGTACAGGGCAGGGCATTGCAGGGCACAGGGCAGGGCTTGGAAATTTGCCAATGCCCTGCCCTGTGTCCAAGCCTGGATATAGGCAATGTATTAAAGGTAAGCGCGGCCCGCTACTCACTTCTATTGACATAGCTTTGGTGAATTTAAAGTAACATTGTCATAACCTGACTTACGTCTTCGTTGGCGGTCTCTCGCTGAATATCCTTCTGAATATACTTTATGTTCTTGCTGATTCTTCGTATACGATGTTGTAGTTCTCGACGTACTGGATCATTTTTCGGATTAAACTTTTTTCTAAAATTATTATATCTACCTTCAAAAATTTTCAAAATAAGCTAATAGATACACAAACATTCTTTTTAGACCTCCCCCATAAAGAAAAGCCATAGGCACCTCCAACCAATATTAACTTACCCATTATAAGATATGACCGTGGGATAAGAAATGGTAGCACATTCCACCTTCCTCTTCTGAACACTCTTTAAATGGTCATCCAATTGCCTGAGGGCATCTTTGATTGGCATTCTCTTCCTCTTCTTATCAAAACATTCACTCGGTTTCTTGTATATTAACATAGACGATCCCAACACTTGGATTACGATGAATCTGATGAACGATGGCATTGGTTTTATCCCTTGATGATGAATGTTCAATATTAATATTGTGATTACGACTGATAACGTCACCATAATCATGGTGAATATTAGGTACTTGGCCACTAATGGTACTGCTGTACTTGTCGGTGGTATGATATCTGTCTGAAAGTAAGGATAGACGTTACATGGTTAAATTACTTTTTGAGCTCTGATATAAGTAAAAAAATAATTGAAAACTAAATATTGATGACAACTTCATAACATACCAACAACAGAAAGAAGACGGTAAGAGATACCAAGACGGAGATACATAAGGTGATCTTGTTGTGGGACTCGCTTGGCAAGTAAAATACAAAAGAAGCCAACATAGCTATCCCAATGCATGGTATCATCAAGTTTACTGTGTAAAACAACTTCTTCCGACGAATGGCGAGATCGTATGTTATGTCAATTGCACTGTAAACTCAAAATGTAACGTAAGCCAAGAAATAACATATATAATAATGACACTAGTAGTACAGTACTAAAAACTAGTAGTACAATACTATATTACTCTAAAGCGCTCAATTTTATAGAAATTATCTTCAACTTACGGAAAATCGCAGCAAGGATAATATCGTTCATGTCGGCTGCCGACAACTGATAACAAATCGAATTCAACTGACTCCTGATACTCGGTTATGTCTACTCCAACTTCCACTCGAATCTCCGTAGTACCATCCGACAGAATCCTCTTCACCGAGTCTTCGGCAGCTGGCTGTCCCAAGTCTAGCTCATCACTACTGTAAGTCCACGATCCAAACTTTAAAGTGCAAAGTTGCTCATCGTAAGGAAACCATTGAGTATCTATCAGACATAAGGAGTTGTATATGGCTGGCGGGGTCCAGTAGATACTGCCATTGTAGTAAAGGTCAGCCTGAAAGTATATTGTAGTAGGTAAAGTGTACCTTCTGATAATAAGACGTAACATCTATGTTAATATACCGTATATCAAAGTAAGCCTACTGTATACTACCTTGGTAATCTTCCTCGGCGTAGGCCGTCCATCAGCATTGTTGTAAAGAATAATATCTGGCAGCCACAACCTCTCTCCAGGCACATGTAACATACTCACGTTACCGTACTCTTCTGGTCGCCATTTCAGTCGGTAATCCGTCCAAACGTGCTTAAGAATCCCTGACGTGCTGAGGATTTGGTCTTTTTCATGCACGTCCAGAATCTGCAATAGTTTGAACTGAAACTCGATTTGAACACTGTCATTGCATGTTAGGGAAGGTCGGACGAGCTTCTGGTACGTTCGGAACAGATCTTCGAACAGACGATTCGACTCGCTCAGTTGACGTTCTAAAATTATTTTTATAGTAACTACAACTGCTATATTACACGAGGCACTAATATATATAACCTTTCACTAATATTTAAAAATTAACAGCCATTTTACTAATGTTATTACAGTTATATCAAGCTTTAGTTCATATTACACTACTATAACACATCTTTCAAACCAATTTTATAAAATTACTGAAAAAATTACCTGATGTACATGCTGAGAAGAGAACAAATATGACAAAACGTGTGAAAAAGTTCATTTACTGGAAGATACCAACAATTTACGAAGATATTATGCTATAAACAAGCCGAAAATTATATTATCCATGGTTTTATCGCCCAAAACGCTAGTTCTTTAATAGCTGCTACTGAAAGAAAGCTATCAGTTATATTTTTGGGCTTTAAATAATGATAAAATTAATTATTTTACAAAAATTTGTTTCAAGATGCCTAAATGCGTCAGAATGATGAATGTTTTAGACTTCTTCACAGAGAAATCGAAAAAATATGAAGTTGTGGTCGTTTTTCTAAAGTTTTGGCGTTGGAGCAAGTCAAATAAAGGTTTTTTACCGTTAGACTAATTACTTTTAACTGGCAAGGTTAAAATATATAAAATAAGCCTAAAATTGTTTAATAAGTCTAGAAACACTAAGTATAATATCAAGTTAACCATTTATTATTATAATTTATAGATTTATTCGAATATTTAGGTTATGTACAAGCTATTTGCACCGAAAGTGATGAAAGATCGACGAAGGAATACCATGAGAGTTTAGCAATGTAATAATGTCATGTTATGGCCAGATCCCTGAGTAAGTCTGGTATCCTGAGTGAGGCACAAATGAGGACGAGGAGTGTTGGAGCTAAAGTAAGTTAATATTAGTGGTATGTTTAGATATTTATTTGTTTATTGGACTAAATTGATATAGGTTTGTGTTTTAATTTTTTGGAAGTGTTTCCAGCTATATACATCTAGACGTATGTGATTAAAAAATATTGTGAATGGTATGTTGTTACTGTAAACTTAAATATCGTTTTACTGTGAAGTTATTGTAATAAAAACAGTGGCAGTACAATAATTTTTACAAAAAGTAATATGTATTAGCTATGTTATCATACCTGTCAAAGTGTGAGCTGATGCAGTTTGGCGTAATTCTAAAACAACAATATTACTACGGTAAATATCTTTATGTTAGAGTACTATTTTGGTCAAAAAGTTGCTAGGAAAGGCAACACGATCTTTAATTGCCCCAAAAATAATAGATAGCACGAACTTTTTGACCAAAAACTACCCTAACACAAGATTTGTTATCTAAAATTCGAAAAAAGCGTGAAATGTGCAAAGCGTGCCTGTGTTAGTGTCTTCGGTACCAGTAGGACCATCTTCGTCGTCTGTCGAAGAAGTTTGAGTGCTTTCCGTGTCATGGTTAATATCTCCCGAGCCTATAACAATATAACACAGCAATGTAAGTGTTAAAACTGCCAAAGTATTGTGATAAAAGTGCAAAGGCTGTGTCAAACTTTGAAAATTATGCCATTTTTAATAGCAGTCAGTGTGAAAGAACGATACCTTCTGTTCCAATCTGACTCGAACTGTAGACTTGACGCGACTCGACCAGTCGAATCGTCGCGAACTGTTTACCGTAGTCATTGGCCGCGACACAACGATACTGTCCGAAGTGGCGGGGCTCGGTGTACTGTATTTCGAGGACGTGCACACTCTTGTACTTCTCTACCACCGACTGTTCCATTCTGATACTGCCAGAATCGTACAGTTCTACATCGTTAAAGTACCAGGTTACCAGGGTACGGGGCCAGGCTTCCACGTTACATACTATACGAGCTAGGGATTGTAATGGTACTTCTACTAATGTGCTTTGGGGGATTACTGAGGGCTCGACTGTAAAGGAAAGGAGATATAGAGGTGATAATATAATAGGTGGATATTATAGTAACATGGTTTTAATCAATGTAGAAACTCTAATCAAGAGCTAAACAGCCTCTATATATAATAGCTTTATCCTTCCCTACCCTACACTACTCTACCCTACTCTATCCTAACCTACCCTGCCCTACCCTACATTACAATACCCTACTACTATCTTTCCCTACTGTATTCTACAGTAACATTTTAAAGTAAGATATGATTAACCTACAAGTAACGTGAAGTTTAACTGTCCATGTTTCATCTGGTGGTATGTCATTTGTAGCCACACAGACATATTCACTCATGTGTTTTCGACTGATCCTAGTCAAGGTAAGCTCGGATCCATTGTATACTGAGGCTAAAATGACATTTTTTAGTGTTTTTTACTGTAAGATGTGTGTTTTTAAATGATTTTTGGTATTTTCTTGCTCTTTGTACTGTGTAAGGTTTTTTTCTTTTTTGAAAACAATTTTTGAATTTTTCTGGTTTTGCCATTTGTTCTGATGTCATGTATAACATAATACCAAACTCTTATCAATTTGCGTATTTTACCTCCATAACCCGTGGCCCCATTGAATCGTATGATCTGCCTATCCTGTCGTCGCCACGTTATCTTGGGGGCCGGATTGCCATTGGCTTCGCAGTTCAGCGTGACATTATGACCCTCCCTGACCTCGACTGCCGACGGCGTGGAACTCCGCGAGACAATCGGCGGCACTGAAATAAATAAAATAATTGGCGCCAGATTTGATCTAATATGCAACACGAGAACAAAAGAATACCACCTTGCCAGAGCATTTAAGGAAGGGAGCAATTACCTGCATCGGGAATTAACCACAACATAAACAACCTAAGAAAAGAGGGGAGGAAGCCTACTATAACATAAAAAAAAGAGTGTAAATGGAGAGATTTTGTTAGAAAATAATAAAAAAGCATAGAACATAGAGTTTAATATCTGTTTTAGATATTTTAACTAATATGCTAATAGGATTTTAAATTTTAAAACCAATTTTTTGGAAAAAAATCAAACTTTTTAAAATTTTTGGCTTAAAATAGCTATAACATTTTTATAAATCAAGCTTTACACATAAGAATTTTAAGATAACTACAACGTTTTTTGCTTCACAAAAGTCGTATTTTTGATTTTTTTTTAAATGTTAAGGTTAAATTTTTAAAAAATTAGGGGTACAATAAAATTACTGTAACTTTTCAAAATACAATGTTTTTAAAAATGCAAAAATGAGAGTTTACGGCTTAAAGAATAATCTAAACTCTCACAAATTTTCTTGTTTTTACCTAAACTAGAAAAAAAAGTTACGACAAAAATTAACCCCATCTGTGACTCTTGTCAGATTATGATGACTAAAACCATTTGTTCAAAATTACCTTAAAAACGAAAGGAAAAATTAATAGATTTATATTACAGTGAAGTATTTTACATTTATAATGGCATTTTTTATATTTTACAGCTTTATAAAATGAATTATGACACGAAAAAGAGCTTGGAACTCATACCTATGTATATTATCATTGATGACCCTTTCGGCCAATAAAACTCATAAATAAAAAAAAACAAAAAAAAAATAAAAATGGTTAGTTTTATGGAAAAAAATAACTCACCCCTCAACGCCAGATACCCTATCCTTGCCATGACTGGGTTTGTATTGAGTTGGCAAGAGTATCCCCCAGCATCTGTTTCGTCTACATTCTTGACTGTCAGAATCCACTCGTTCTCTGTTACTTTTTTCTTCAACTCGTACTTCTCGATCTGACGAAAGACCTGAAGGAAATTGAATAAAGAATGGCAAAAAACAACTTCGAATTGGGTACAGTAACATCACATACAATAAGAGGAGTGTTTACTATAACAAGTCATGTTCTTTGGTCAATATTGTTATGATAACATGAAAATATGTTATAATATACTACTATAACATATAGGTATTGACCTACCTGCTCATCGTACGATATTAACCTTGGTGCGTCTTCCATCCGGAAAAACGCTACCATATAGGATCCTGGGTCTACGATACGACATCTGAATTCTACATTTTGCCCTTTTATAGCTGTTATATTCGTCATGACATCTGGAGCGTATGTTGGGGTGGGGGTACGAACACATACTAAAAATAGGTAATAAAGTACTTCAAATTATCATAAAAATATTATCTTTGTACTAACCTAGCATTCCTATATATTTTGCCTTCTTAAGGGTATATTAACTGCTTGGTCATAAAAAGACGTAACAATTTAATAGAAAAGTTGCACAAAGTGACATTTTTTGGTGTTTTTAGATGACAAACTTAACAAAAATGTAACTTTTCCTCCTATAGTAGGTGTATAGTATTAATAATAAAACATACTAATCATAAGAATCCTAATTTACACCAAAAATCCCTCAAATCCACCGATCCACCCCCAATTTACCGCTGAAAAGTTGACATAGCACAGCCGACATGACCGACATGACCGTTGATGACATTAACTGGGCTATTGCTCACACTTGAAGCACATTTAAGTGTCAAAGAGAGAGAGGCGTGAAGCCGGCTGTCAAAGTGCCGGAATTTGACGATAAAGAGAACCCCCCCCTCTAGGCTTCGGTCTCAAGAGAACGCCAATCGCGGCCACAAAACAGATTTATGCTAATTTCCGATGGATATCAGGCCTTAAGAGACTTTAATTCAGTTCGTTTACAGGCTGTAAGAGCTAATTACTGGGGGTGGTTATATTAAGAATGTCATATATATTGTTGTAGACATTAATATTTTTATCTAGCTATTGTTAACTAAGACGGTCATAAAGTAAATAGTAAAATCAAAAATTAGTCTCCAGTAAACCCGTATTTAATAATCTAACCCATATTCTACAAACTTTTTGACCGCAAACCCTTAAAAATTACTAAATCATCATCCCAACACATGAACAACATCTCTAAATTACCGCGCTGTAATATGTCATTACCGCGTTCGCAATGTAATTAATGTGTTCAAGATGAACGACCTATCTCTCAATATTATTTATTACCCAAAAACAAAAAGAAATTCCAACATACCTGTTAAAGAAACACAGAGTAAACATACTATAGGAAGTTTTCGTATCTTACATGGCAACATGAGGTCCTGAAATGTAATGTAATAAACTATGAAAATAAGACATTTGAACCTCGGTTAGAAGATTTTCAAGCAAAAATGAAAAAAAAAGTACTAAATGCAAATCGTTATTTCAGAATATATACAACCAAATGGCACAAGTTTTAAAAATATGGCAGTACAAATATCTGGTTGTCAAAAAATAAATGAGCTAAAAATTACTTTCTGAAAATTACAAATGAAAATCCCAATGATACAATATGATGACTGAGTACAATTTTAAAAAATCAAAGTTGCGCGCTTTAAAAGGCTCATCCATATTTGAACAACCTATTATATTCGATATATAATATATAAAGCGATATATAATATATAAGACACGATAGTTTTGTTGTAATACAATTCTTTACGGTATAAATAAAATGATAAGAGCAATTAAAAAAGGTTGGAAAAAAATGAAGATTTAGTTTTTTTAAATGAAATATTTAAAATTTTATCTAACGATTGTATTATTGCATGTTTCCAAGGTATATGGTACAAGGATACAAGGGACGAGCTAAATACATCCAATGGAAAGTATCAGACAAAAAATGCAATTCCTTGTCTGGTATTTTTTTCAACGATCTTTTTTTTCTCTAACTGCCGTCGGCAACGAGAGGAAAAAAAGATAGCGGGAAAATGAGAGACGAAAATATCAGACAAGAAATCGCATTTTTTGTCTGATACTTTCCATCCGATGTATTTAGCTCGTCCCTTGTATCCTTGTACCATATACCTTGGAAACATGCAATAATACAATCGTTAGATAAAATTTTAAATATTTCATTTAAAAAAACTAAATCTTCATTTTTTTCCAACCTTTTTTAATTGCTCTTATCGTTTTAAAATCGAAAAAATGTGCCTAACGCTAATTAAAACGTATTTTTAAAAAACAATTCTTCTCAGCCAAAAAAAGGTTAAAACACAACGCCAAAACCCCGCAAAATTCAAAAATTTGGAATTTTAAAATTTAAAGACCGTTGTCTTGGTAAAATCAACAATTAAAAAATAAAAAAGTAAAATCTCTAACTTTTTTAAAATTAAAATTTTCCCTTTTTTAAAAACTTAATATTCTCTTACCTGTCCCTAAAATTGTCATGAATTCAAAAATAAAACAAACAAATCAAGCCCCGCCCCCTCCAAACTAAAATATAATAACAATCAAACAACTTAAGTGACGGAACCCATTCATCTTAACTAGTGACCCCAGTTTAAAACATATTAAGGGAGGGGGGGGGGGGACCAGCTGGCGACAAATTGACCTCGCTCAAGTGCCGCCCCTTAATAATAATGTCTTTTTGGACATAATCGTCCAGGTTCTCAGGGTAAATGTCAGCGAATATGTTTTCGGTGGGAATTTCGAACAAAAAACGTCTTTCGGCCCTTTTTCGTAAACATTGGCCAAGACAATAATCGGCTAATTGTTGGGATACGACCGGTCGTGAGGTGGGTCGTATTTTTGGTTTATATGAAGTTATGACATAGATATATGCAACATATACACAGATATATTCATATATATATATATACAATTTCATGTAGTTTCATACATATCTAAAGATAATATTTCAAAAAAACCTAAAATAACATCACATTAACAATTCATAAAAATTTTGTCGTTTTTAAACTCACACCTCCCTGCAAAATGACGACAAAACTTCTCCTCATCTTGATATAATATAAAAATTTTAAAATGTTAACCATAAGCAAAAGGTATGTCACATTGATTGTCTGTTTCCCCTCCTCGAGAAGGAAATAGTCGAGGCGGAGGGACGACAATGGTCGGAAACATCCCTTCGAATAAATAAACCAAACCCTGAACTCACGTAGGGAACGGCCCTTTCAGCGGGCCCATTGGAGCAGGTAATCTCGAGCCAACAAACACATCCGATTACATTATGCGATGTGCTTGTGGCAAAGATGTCGTGCCCAAGTTGTTTCTTATTGTCCCACAATTTCCGGCCGAAGCCCCCGAGGCGACGAACAAAAATGAATATGCAAAACTCACTTGACTTATCAACAACTTGTTATAGAGTTATGTTATGGCAAGAAATAAACAGAAAAATTTTTAAAAAAAGTTGTATTAAATATTTAACTAAACCTTAAATTTTAAAGATAAAACGCATTAGTCTAATCACAAAACTTCCAAAAATCATCAAAGATTCGACTGAAAACATCATTTTAAGCCCAAAAACAACCAAAATAGCTCACAACTTCATCATCCCAACCCCAGAGATAACCCGAAACCCACCCGACAATACTCTGTAAAGCCATAAAGACCAAATAAAGAGTTTGGGCCGCTTACAGCAAGGCCAAATCTCGAGGTCGATCTAATCCCTGAGAGAGTGCGCGAGGTATCTGAAGTCATAAAAAGTTTGGCACATTAAAGAAAAAACAAATGGAGCCGCTTAAGGGATTCATTCGCAGCCAGCTCCGATTTCCTTTCTCTGCCAAAAGTACTTCAACATACGGCATAGTAAAGAGTTTATGGCCTACCGTAAAAGCTTCGAATATACTTACATATAAAGTCGTGATATTTATTTACAATGCTGTACGTTGTGATTGATATTGAATTGGCTTGGTTTATAAAGTATAATTTACAGACAAAAGTACAGTAATGCATAAAAATGACATGCTTTTGAAAAATTATATTGGAAACGGACATATACATTAACATTAACAAAAACTTGAATTGACAGATTATTGACATCTAAAATATTGCATACTTGTAGTGTATGTAATAAATAATATTTGCATAGAATTTTATTCGCATACTACCATTATAAGTAAAGAACTATAAATTCAAAGTTACCGATTTACCTTAACAAATAATTTAAAAGATATAAAATAGTTAAACTTTATATAATATAACTAATTTTTTAAAATTTTAAGGCAAGGCGAAATTATTACAGTAGTTTCATTTCTATTTTATACTTTTTTTATACTTTTTGCAATTTTAATCGCTTTTTAACATTTCGTTCGAATAGTCAATAGTGACACTTCGTTTTAAAATAAACCCGCTAAAAATTCTAAAAATAATTTTTGTTTCTACATTTTTGTAAATTATTATAGTTTTTGTTGATCTTTTCACCAATGTTTGGAACTAAAAGCTTATTCGGTAACACAACAACATCTACACCTTTCTCCACAACTCAACAAGTTACTCAATCTGCACAGAATGCTCAATCTGTCGCTCAAATCTGCGCTGTAAGTTTAAAACTTTGTTATTTGTTTATTTTTTAGGACACCAACGTGTTGTTGAAGTCGTTGTGTGGTCCAGAACTATTTAACGATGAAAAGGACAGAGTTGTGGCTAGACTAAATCAAGTTCAAGTTGGATTAGGTATTGGCAGTGGATATTATGCCAACGACAAGCCGGCTGTCGATTACAATGCCAAGAACATCTTCCACAGGTTCAAAGGAGTTGTTTATAACAAGATCTCAGAAGCTTCCGACGATGATGGAATCTGTGGATTGATTCTGAATGTTCCTTATAATCAAATTGCAGATGCTGCTCAGCAAAGTAATGTAAGTGTTATATTTGGTATAATAAGTTTAGGAGATAAAGATGAGTATCTATTATATAATAAGTTCAAAAAACTGGGATATAATTTAACCTTTTGTAAAACTATTGATTTTATTATATTATTTTAGTTAGCCAGCAAAGTAGACGATATCATTGGTCAGAAGCAAGCAGTTAACACAATTGTTGAGAGAGTTAAACCAGTAGATAACGCTCAAACAGAAGTTCTTATTCACGTATTTGAAAAAGGAATGGGGAAGGTCAGAGCGACACATTTGTTCAAGTTCTTGTCTCAGCCAGACAAGATGAAAGCTCTTGAAACACAGTTAAAGTGCACCAAAATAGTACCACTGGTCTCGCTGAGTTCAGATTCAAAAGAAAAGTACTTGAACAACGCTCCAGATGGCTTCAGTCCTCAGTTGTGGCTTCAAGGAGTACGATCTAATCCTCATCCGAACAACTTCTTACCTGCACCAGTTTATGGCTTTGATCAGTTGCTGGAGAGACACAAGATGCAGAAGGTATCAGACACTGCACTACAAACAAGTTTGGGACATGCTGACGAGAAGAGGGAGAATCTGGAGAAGGCCATCAATTGGGATGTGAGTAAAGTGAAGGCTTTGGCCAACGCTCACAAGGAGTTGTCTCATCGGTTGCTGAGGATAGCGTGTGCCATTTTGAAGGACAGCAGACAAGGATATGGGCTGGCACAGCGAGAGGACAAGTTGTCGGCTTCAGCTGAGCAATGTAATGCCATGTTATTCTCTCCTAATGCTTTGAAGGTAAGGTTTGTGTTGTTATTTAACACTTAAAGTTAACTGTTATGAAACGATGGGTTATTGAGAATGAGCGATATTGAAATTGCGAATCTTTTTTACTTTTTTTCAAGTTGCAGTAGTTTGTATTAAGTTTTCTTCTTCTAGGACAGAATAAATGCCATCTTCACCTTGTTAGAATCAGATCAAGACAAACTGAAGGAATACTTTGGTATGATTGATCTTCGCCTGACTGAGGACGAAGCTTCAGAAGCCAAGTTCTGTTTGTCGTCAGTTCAGAACAAGCTTGAGAAAATGAGGTCACTTCAAACAAAGGATGCCAAAGATCTCCAAGTAATCGAGAGTAAAGAGTAACTTAATTGGACGGTTGTCTGTTGTAATGGATATAAATAAATTAATTTACATGTCGGTCTATGTTATTACTGTAACAAATGTTGATTTACATATAATTATTTGTAATTGCTTATTCTGAAAATATTTTTGTGGTTTTCTAGTTTAAAAGTTATATTATAGTAGGTAGAAAAAAAGTATTTAATGAGATACAATTGCAGAATGTCAAGACAAAATCCGATTGGAATTGATAAGCTGGCGGCTTTAAGGATATCGTATCTTGAGCAAAGTGCAGCGTTATTGGCTAAAATAGGTATGAACTTTTTTGATGGAATATGTATATTATTATTAATTTGTATAGTAAAAATTTTCGAAAACAACTTTTTTTATACAAGACGCCTTGAGGGCATAAGGCTATCATTTTTGCGATGTTTATTTAATTACTGTAATATAAAGTACATAAAACTCTATTCTACAACAAATAATCAACCATCTTTTAGGTGATACTCCAAGCGATTTCTACAGTAAACTCTCCTCACATATGATGACAGAACTAAAGGAGTATAAATATGTAGAGCAAATAAAAACAGACCAAACAATATCTAGAAGTCGTTGTAAACAGTGTCGCCACTACTTTGTATCTAAAGATAATGGCACAATGTCAGTTAAAGTGACAAAACAAAAGAAACGAATAGTCAGGACTTGTTTGAATTGTAATCACCAGGTTTCGTATCTTCATAATCCATCGTATAAGAGTAGGAACGAGAAGAAATAAGACTAATGTTCATTCGATATTACGTTGTTAAGATAATCCTGTATCTTCTAACCCTGAAAATTTGCTTGTAGAGAGGGCACAAAATTATTTGAACAACCTAATATAAGGGCGAAACTGACGAGACTACTTAATAGCTCAGTAGCTTAGATGAAGTTGCGTTTGTTACCAAGTTGTTGTTTATATTGTTATAAATATTGTTTTAGGTTAAAATAAAGTCAAATGGTTCAGTTTTGTAGTTTGAATGTTCTGTTATTTGGCGGATGTTCTATTGTTTCTAAACCTTTGAAAACTCGTCATTAAAAAAGGTTTTTAAATTTTGAGTTAAAGTAAATAAACTCATGTCATAGTATGAACCTGCTGTATATAAAGGATAGTATACTAGTCCAACATTAATAGTTTGGTAAAAACTATTTAAAAAGAATATTAATATAGGTATAGTTGTGGGAAGTTGTCTGATCTGACTGATATTTGAGTGTTCTGCGCTCCTTTTTCTTTAAAACGCTTTCTTTTTTTCATTTTTTGAATTTCACCCCTTAGGGATTCTCTTTAAAACGGCACTAATTAAAGAATACAAGCTTGGTCACTTTTAATATACTTGGCTGTTAATATCGTTATTTAATCTGGTTGAAGGTGGTATTGTAAGATGTTTTATATCATAAAGTATATTGTTTACTTATCTGGTAACAAAATGTTATCAGCCTGCCACTTTTTGACAGTTTATCATTTGCGAGTTGTTATCTCGAACTTTAAAAATTTGAAAAAATTACATTTGGAAAAAAATTGCTTTATATTTTTTTCATTTTGATTACTGTAGATTACTGTACACATAGCGGTCGTGTTTTATCAGTGAAAGTGCGTTTTATTTTTAAAATTTAAAGTTGTTTTAGATGTTGGCAAAGTTAAGTAGATGTCTGCGAATACAATGTACAAACAATACTGTATTGTAAGTATTTTTAATTGTTTTAGTGATCATAAAGTGGTCACATAATCTTATTACTTCAAAAGTTCCCTTTTAGTTTTCCTACTTACCTTTTGGCTAAACTAGTAGCATCTTATCATTATAAAACGTTAATGACATTTTTAAAACATTTTTATAACTATATAACGTCGTAATTTTATACTTTACTTCACTTTACCTTACTTTAAAAAGAATTTTTTATATTACCTCGAGAACTTCAGTTATCGCACATCTTTCGTATCTTCTCGTCTTGTCTCCACGGTAAAATGGCCAATTCTGAAGTCAGAAGTCGACCCTCAGAGCAGTAACTTCCAACAGAATGAGCAGGAGATGAATGTTGTAGTAGGAGACCTCCGAAAGACTGTAGATTCCGTAGTAAATGGCACTAGTGAACATACGAAACAGCGACATTTGGCCAGAGGAAAACTATTGGTCAGAGATCGTATCGAGAAGTTGATTGATCCAGGCACACCGTTCTTGGAGTTCTCACAATTGGCTGCTCTCAACATGTATGGAAAAGACATTGTAAGTTATTAAGAGCTTCTTTGATTGAATCAGAGGATAAGAGGTGGAAACAAAGTTTATGCATATTTTATTTTTCAAATTTTGCGTTTTCTTTTTTTTTTGTTTTTTCTTGCTTTTTACTGTAATTTTAACTGAATTTAAAGAATTAGGTAACAAACACTTCTTCAACGTACACAAATTCAGGTACCATCTGCCGGCATTGTAACTGGAATCGGCACCGTAGCCAACCGGCAATGTCTGATCGTAGCCAACGATGCATGCACAAAAGGAGGCACCTACTACCCGATGACAATCAAGAAACATCTGAGAGCACAAGAAATAGCACGGCAGAACAAGCTACCGTGCATCTACTTGGTGGATTCTGGAGGCGCCAATCTCCCACGCCAAGCCGACGTCTTCCCTGATAAGGAACACTTTGGTCGTATCTTCTTCAACCAGGCCAACATGAGTGCTGAAGGTATACCACAGATAGCCGTGGTCATGGGATCTTGTACTGCTGGTGGTGCTTATGTGCCTGCAATGGCTGATCAGGCTATTATTGTGAAAAAGAATGGCACTGTGTTCTTGGGAGGACCTCCCTTAGTTAAGGCGGCTACTGGAGAGGAAGTAAGGACGCTTTTTTCGTTATTATAGTACCGTTCTTGGTGCTTTTACTATTACTTATTAAAAATCTTGTTATAGATAAGTGCCGAAGACCTCGGTGGAGCAGATCTTCATTGCGGAGAATCCGGAGTAACCGATTACTACGCTCACAATGATGAACATGCTCTATACCAAGCACGGTCGATTGTAGCCGGCCTCAATCAACCAGCACCGTCCTTCCCATCAACATCAGAAGTCGAGGAGCCTCTGTATCCATCAGAAGAACTGTACGGTATTGTGGGAACGAATCTGAAGAAGACGTTCGACGTGAGAGAAGTAATTGCTCGCATCGTGGACGGCTCCAGATTCGACGAATTCAAACAACGCTACGGAGAGACACTGGTCACTGGATGGGCCAGACTGTATGGCCAACAAGTGGGTATCATTGGCAATAATGGAGTACTGTTTGCTGAGTCTGCTATGAAAGGTGGGTGTACTGTAATATACGGTGTTATGTACTAAAAACTTAATGTGGTACTAAAAAGTTTTTAAGCATGTTTGGTTAAACTTTAAGGTCGTATTTTACAAAATATTCGATTTCAGGCGCTCATTTCATTGAACTGTGTTGCCAACGTAAGATACCATTGTTTTTCCTCCAAAACATTACTGGATTCATGGTGGGAAGAGACGCCGAAGCCGGTGGAATCGCAAAACATGGAGCCAAGCTGGTCACTGCTGTAGCTTGTGCTCGAGTACCGAAACTTACTATGATTATTGGTGGGTTTTACTATGTATCATGGCATATAGCGGTTGAACGAATTACTATTTGATCAAGGATCATATTTTGAGGTTACAGAATCAGTAACTATTTTAACAGTGGAACGGAGGCAGGATATTTTGTACGACATTCTTTTTTCATCATAACAACCATTCTTTTCAGGCGGATCCTACGGTGCCGGTAACTACGGTATGTGTGGCCGAGCCTACTCTCCTCGCTTCATGTACATGTGGCCAAACGCTCGTATCTCGGTGATGGGCGGAGAACAAGCTGCAAATGTCTTGGCCACAGTCCAGAAAGATCAAAGAGCTCGAGAAGGAAAACCTTGGACTGAAGAAGAAGAGGCTGCACTAAAACGACCGGTCGAAGAGCGCTTCGAAAAGGAAGGTCATCCATACTTTGCATCAGCACGACTTTGGGACGACGGTGTTATTGATCCGAAAGACACGAGGAAAGTACTCGGATTGTCACTACAAGCCTCTTTGAACGCCCCAATAGAAGACACCAAGTTCGGAGTCTTCAGAATGTGATATTGTTTGTATCTGTACGATGTGATACTGTTTATCCCAGTAAATATGATTATGTACGTGTATGAGTATTGATTCAATTTGGAGATTTGACTCTGAATAAGGCTTAAAAATAAAAAAAAATCGTATTACAGTTTAAAGAAATCAATCTCTATATACTTAATGTAAAAAGCAAGATATTCAGATTTAAACGTTGTACTTTGTCCTTTTACGTAAATCGTAAATGAAAAACCAAGCGCAGGCCAACTTTTCGCGCACCTAGATTTGTCTACGCTTACAGTTGAGTTCTATCTTAACATATAATTGATCCTCTTTTGTCCTTCGTCTCGCATTGAGTACGCCTTGCCCCTGTTCTACTTACAAGCAAGAGGCCAAGCGCCCGCCAATTCTTCGTGTACCTAGAATTGTCTACGCTTACAGTTAGGTTTGGTATTAACATTGACTTGATCCTCATTCTTCACTTCATACTCCTCTACAGACCCCTTGCTTTAAAAAATGGAATCCATCGTCGAGTTCATCGCTATGTTCGATGGTATTTTCGATCCAGTTGAACAAAGTATTGCCTTCAACAAGGAGTACCACGCCAAACAGGTGCTAATAGTGCAAGAACAGTCAAAAAAGTGCGAAAGTATCCATAATATAATGGCCTATTATGGATACAAAGAACTGGTTCTGGTAGGAAGTATATTGCACCAAAACCTGCAATTCTTAACCGAGTAAGTTAAAATTAATAAAAGTGACAGTTGTATTTGTTTTATTTTTAAATATAAACCAAATACAATCTATTTTATAATTAACGTCTGTATGTAGTATTATAAACACATTATAACTTTCTTTTTCAGTATTATGCGCGGGATGATAATCAACATCGTCGCGCGAAGAATAGCACCAGGCGAATGCTACATCTGCCTGGAAGACGAAGCAGAAGACCCCATGGTATGCCTCTTCTGTCTGAAGGTAATAGGCTGCCAAGGGTGCTACAACGAGTACCTTAAACAGACGTTTAATTACCTTGTGAAGTGCCCCAACTGCCAGCAGCACAGTCCTATAGAACACCCGTTCTTCGCCTATTTATATAAAAACAATATTAATAGTTACTTGCTTGTAAATAAATATCAATAAAGTTTATAAAATTTGTTTGCAATCTCTTAACAACTAAATCTTGTACACACCATATATTATAAAAGTAGTTTGTCAAATTGGTTTTCATAATTGTGTCAACAAAAAATTAAATTAATTTCACGTCGAACAGTAAAGCCCTTCCAAAAAGAAATAAACTCTTATTTTACTTCTAAAGTCGGCAATAGCTATGAGTACTGGGACAAACTCAAACTACTTTTTTCCAATAATTTTTGTGGCATTCCGACCACCAGCTTAAAGAATTGATTCGCTCTCGAATTTCGTTCGAGATTCGTTTGACGCGAACTTTTTTCCGGCTTTTCGCGCTTGACTAATGCGTTTCAAAGGGTTCTTCAAGTTCTCATAGAGTTTTAAGTGATCTCCGGCCTCAGAGTCATGAGGTGCCTCACGGTCTTCTTCATTTTCACAGGAATCTCTGCCATTTTGGCACAATCTTCTAATTTGTATCAGGTATTGGGCTTGTCCAGGTCCGCATCAGCTCGAGAGATCAAGCAAGCTTACAAAAAGTTGGCTCTCGAGTTTCATCCGGATAAGAATGATGCTCCAGATGCTAACGAGAAGTTTATGCAGATCAACGCTGCTTATGAAGTAAGTATTATCTAAAATAATGGTTAAATTAGTTATAATTGGTAACTTAACTCAGTTTTTAATGGTTTACTTTTAAAATTATTGAATTTAATGTTTTAGATATTGAATGATGCTCAAAAGAAAGAACAATACGACAAATATGGCACGGTGAGTGACCACGGTCAAATGCGGCACGGTGGAGACAATTTCTTCAATGGGCGGCAGTTTGACGAATGGGTACGTTAATATTCTCTATATTATGCTTTAAATTTAGTTCTTTGGAGGGTTTGGCGATGGATCTCGACGACAGAAACAGTCGGTGTTCGAGAAACACAGACTTACTCATCACATGTACGTGCATTCTGTTTTGGAGCAGTCTTACTACAAGCCCTACATTATTTTCGCATATTCTACATATTGTATGTCATGTTTTACACTGCAATCTTACTGGACTGACGCCGTCAATGATCTCGAGCCGTTGGGTATGTTTTTGTTTTTTAGGTAACAAATTAAGTTTGTTTAGCTTTTAGATAATAATTTGATAGTTAAGCTTCAAATTGTAAAAAGTAAAAAAGATGAAAGACTTTATCAAAAAATTATTTTAGGTTATGGTATTGGCACAGTAAACTATATTTTCGATGGTAATCTATTTGAGAAACTTCGAATTGGTCGTCTACCATCGTTACTGGTACTGGTTGAAGGAAAAGTTGTACATTACAGAGGTAGTTATGCCGACTTGAATGCTCGTACTATTAGAATGTTTGCTAGAGATGCTATTCCGAACACTTTCATGATGAGAGTCAACAATTACAATGGATTGAAACGGTTCTTAGAGCAGTGGCAGAACACTAATAAGGTAGCTTTTAACATTTTTTTATATTTTAGGTAACAATTATATTTTTGAGTAATGAGTAGTTGGATTTTTATTACTTATTTTAACTTAAATTTATGCTGTATATCTATACCATAGTATATTGTTATAGCCATCCGTACTGTTCATGGGAGCAAATAAAGAACCTAGGCTACGATACTTGTTATTGGCTATGAGGTACTCTCATTTTGCTAGATTTGGCTATGTTAACATAATGGACACCTCTAACGACGTCAGGGAAATGAAAATTGCTTTAGACATCAGATGCAGTAATTGTGAAAACGTCTTGATTTTCAAGGAAAACCCAGAGGTAAGCTGGTTTATGTTGGCATATATTTATAGCATATTGAATATCAAATAAGATTTTGAGTGAATTCATCTGAAAACTAGTAAAAATATTGTAATATCTTGTCGAAAATGCCATTTTAAAGTTACTAAAGGGATGTTGTTGTAGACTGGAGAAGTGGCAAAACTTCAAGGTTCAGCCAGTCAGTTCACAACAGAACAATTGAACGAATTCATTGAGAAGAACAAGTTCTTGACTTTCCCTAAAGTAGGTTTTGTTTTCTTTTACGTTTTTAGGTATCAAATGTATCATAATGTTCAAAAAAAATAAAATATTTTTAATTTATATCAAAATTAAAAAAATATGTTGCTTTAGTTGTCCTCGATGTCTTATCTTGACCATTTGTGTCCGGTTTCCTCAAGATCTCAACGTCACTTCTGCTTTATCTTCCCCATTGAGAACTTTGAACCAAAGTTTATCAATTCTGTTCGAGCTTACATTAAGGACAACGGCGTGTTTTTGGATAAACATCGTGCAAAACTGGTACAAATTTCTACGAAAGCACAATCAGAATTCATGAAGAACTTTGACAAACAAGGACATTCTAGCTCTGAAGTAAGTGTTGGTTAATATTGCTGTAGATATTTATATATTTTAATGATTTTTATTAATATTATTGAATTTCATTCGAATTTAATAGTATTTCTTAATGTCATGGTAGATTAGTATGTTTTAACACTCCATCGTAAAAAATGTTGTTAATGATAATATATTTCAGCGAAAATCTTTCTTGGTAATGTGGCGACACGAATACGTGAAGGCTAAGTTTGTGTGGATGCCAATTGACGTCGACCAAAGTCTGGCACAGCTGAGAACGGTGGTAGAAAACGTGTTCAGAGGGGACATTCGAATCACAGAAGTGGCTACAGTAACTAAGATGCTTGACGAATTCGAGCCTTCGCTGTTCACAAAGTTCTCCAGAAGAATTGTACGTATGGCTTTGACGCTGTGGTTCCATCTGACTAAAGAAGATGTTCTACCAGTTGTCAGTGTTGTGGGTACGATGGTATTCATCTTGTTGATCGGCTACGTCTTGAACTACATGGTGGGAGAGAACAAGGTCAGGGCATTCGACCAACAACCGGAGAAACCTCCACCATATTCAACTGAAGGAGAATGGCATCCAGAAGACCCGAAGGCCAATCTGAAGAGGCCAGAACCGTTGTCTAAGAAGAGCCGCGCCTGGACTGAAATGGAGCCTCTGATCCACGAATTGAGAGCCGAAACCTACTTTGGCCTGATTAGGCTTCTGAAGCCTGGCTGTCGCTCTATCATTGTGTTGGTTGATAACGAGTCTAAGGATGTCATGCTCAGACAGTACGCTAGGCATATCTATCCTTTGAGGAAGTAAGTCATGCTGTAAATTGACTCGATAAAAATTACTGTAAATTTAAAAAAATTGGAAGGTTATAATAATATTATTAGTGCAATGTTATTAAAACCTGCTTTCAGAAACAAAACCTTTTCATTTGGATATTTGAACGTGGACAAGAATCTCCATTGGTTCCGACAACTTTTGGAGCACATTTGCCCGGCTTCAGAAGACGGAACGAACGACGAAATGGCAAAGAGATTAAAGGTCAGTAATCATGCTTTATATTGCATTAAGTCTTTCTTTTTGCACTTTTTCAGTGCATATAGTTTAACACTTGATAACTAGCAGGATCGGACGTTAGTCCGGGCTGAAAGTATGTTTTTTACATGATAATAACTACAGTAATGATCAACAATATTAGAGTTAGATTTATGTTTTTAGTTGTCATTCAAAGATCATTAAAATAAAACAATTTTTTAGGGCATTAACCCAAAACAAACATTAGGAACAGTGTTGGTGCTGTGTGGCTACAAACTGTGGTTTACTATGTATCATCCTTTACATCCATGTAACAAACCGAGGAACTCTGATGATTCTGACTCTGATGAACCAGAAACTTCTACAAGGGTAAGTATTTTTAAAAGTTAAATAAACTAACATGGATTTTTACTGGCTAACTGAGACATGATATTGTTGTTGTTAATTTCAATCTATTTTTTAATTTAAAAATGATTTATCTTACCGAAAACGTAAATTTTTGCTGAAAACTTGGAAATAACGATATTGTTGTAGACTAAGAAGATCAGCCAAGAGAACGTCCTAGACGGCCTGCCCAACTTCTTGGACCGTCTCCTAGAAGGCACGATACGACGCTACTACGTCCCGGAATGGCCTGAGACGCTAAAGTAACACCCGATGACAACTCTAGTCTTTCTTAATATAACTCCGATTGTGTACAAACTTTGCTATAGGATTTGCAATTTATATAAAAGTAAATACGCCATAATAACACCAAAGTCACATGGTAAAAGCCATTTAATACATGAAAACGCAGCTTGTTGTAATGTGTATATGTTGTATAATAAATGTTTGATAACTTTTGTGTTCTGTCGACATTGGTGATTCGATATTCGTCATTATTTCTTTATGTTATGGAATTAAATTAGGCTGATTTTACAGTTAGTTTGTTACTTTTTTCTATTTTTTATGTAGTAAGATGATATGTTATCGATGTCATTTACCGTTTATATTTTATGTTAAGTATGTACTTCTAAACATGTTTACTGTAGATGAACAATATCGGAATTGTAAAGAAAGTTCTCAGCTCGGGAAGAGGTCCTTTACCTGAATACGTCAAAGATACGAAGGTGTGGATAGACTACGAGGTATTGGTACCCAAAGTGGACACTACAAAAGAAGGTTTTCCAGAAGATCAATCACAATACAAGTCAGTAGACAACACCAAAAAACAATGGCCAGACGGCTACGGAGAGCCTCTCGAGCTAGTCATTGGTAGGAAGTTCCAATTGCCAGTTCTAGAGACCTGTGTTAAGAGTATGCATGTCAATGAGGTGGGTTTGATCAATATTTTAACTCGTAATATCTAAAAAACTCTTACGTTTTTATATATTGGTCTACAGCCTCTATGAACCTCTATGCAAATTTTACGGTAATAAAAAAAATTTAAGATCTGCCAATTTGACATCGAGATGAAACAAGTGGCATCCTTCCCTTTGGTCGCCAAAAAGTTGAGAGACATTAGTCGAGCTCGAGTCGACCCAAAATACGTTCATCATGAACAACATCATTGTGCTGGAATGGGGGTTCCCAAGTAAGTGGAGATAAAATCAGTAGAAGAAAACAAAGTGAATAGTACTTCGTAGTAAATATAATATGCGTATACTTTAATGTTTTTCAGGACAGGCTACAAAGAATTGGATGATCTCATCGAAAACCCTAGAGACTTGAGGTTCAGGATCCATTTGTTGCGACTGGAGCAGCCAGACGAGTACCACGCTGACAATTGGCAGCTGAATCCAGAGCAAAGACAGGAGAAGGTTAAGGAGCTGAAGGAACGTGCTAACGGGTTAGTTCGAGAGGTAATGCTTACTTTTATATTATACTACTACTTTATTGTGTCATACATTTTAAACATCTAGAAATATTGATAAAGACAGTGGTACTGGATTACCCAAAAAAGAAAGGCATGATACACTAATAGTACTACTTTCAGGGAAAGCATTCCGTAGCCATAGATGAGTACAAAGAAGCCTTGACTCTCCTTGATCAACTTATGTTAATGGAGAAGCCAGGCGAGCCAGAATGGAAGGAATTAGAAGCCCAGACAGTACCATTGTACAGTAACCTCGCCTTGTGTTACCTGGCGCTTCAAAGCTATCGTGAAGCCGGGAACGCGGCTACAGAAGCGTTGAAGCGAGATCCTACGAATGAGAAGGCTCTGTTTAGAAGAGCCAAAGCTCGAGTTCAGCTCTATGAGTTTGATGAAGTAGGTATAGTCGAGTAGGCAGAAATGATATGCTTTAACTGGTTTTTACGGCATTTTGGATGAGCCACGGCTGATGTATCAAAAATTTATAGCTGATGTTAAAATTTTTACAAAACTTAAAAAAATTGATTTTTGATTGGGGAGGGGTTAGACAAGACTTGGGCAATAGTTAACATTTTTACTTTAGGCTGAAGAAGATTTGTCACTTTTCCTCGAACATTATCCAAACAATGAAAAGCTAGTCCTGGACGAGCGCAAGAAACTGTCTAGCCTGAAATCGGACAAAACTGCTAACGAAAACAACTTGTTCAAGAAAATGGTCGCTAAATGATACTCTATCTACATGTCTACTTACCTTCAGTTTTTCAGTATTTAATTTATTGTGAATTTTAAAATTTTGTAACTTTTCTTTCACAGGGGTTTGTTGTTTACCAGATATTAGCCTCTTAAATATAATATTTCTCTTACATTCTCAATGCAATAGGGGGTCTTTACACTTTTTATCATGTTATGGTACTTATTACATCAATTTAATTAATATTTTAAATAAAATACGTTAAGATTGATCATTTTTGATATTATATTTTGTATAATATACTTAGTTGTTCAGAGATTGCGAACAAATTTTATAAAACTTTATTGATATTTATTTACAAGTAAGTAACTATTAATATGGTTTTTATATAAATAGGCAAAGAACGGATGCTCTATAGGACTGTGCCGCTGGCAGTTGGGGCACTTCACAAGGTAATTAAACGTCTGTTTAATGTACTCGTTGTAGCACCCCTGGCAGCCTATTACCTTCAGACAGAAGAGGCATACCATGGGGTCTTCTGCTTCGTCTTCCAGGCAGATGTAGCATTCGCCTGGTGCTATTCTTCGCGCGACGATGCTGACTATCATCCCGCGCATAATACTGAAAAAGAAAGTTATAATGTGTTTATAATAGTACATACAGATGTTAACGATAAAATAAAACGTAATTTGTTTAAAGCTTCTTAACTGTTTACAAAATAAACGTACAGTATGCGAAAATGATTATAACATAAATATGACAGTACTTTTAAAAATCTAAAACTTACTCGGTCAAAAATTGCACGTTTTGGTGCAATATTTCTTCTAGCACAGCCACTTCTTCGTATCCATAGGCTATCATATTATAAATGTTCTCGCACTTTTTACTCTGTGCCTGAACAACTACCACTTGATGGGCGTGGTACTGTTTGTTGAACGCCACACTTTGTTCAACAGGATCAAACAGGCCATCGAACATAGCGATGAAGTCGACAATAGAGCTCATTTTTAGAAAGCGAGGTGTTCGTCGAGTAGATGAAGTGAAGAATGAGAATCAAGTCAATTTTAATATCAAACTCAGCTGTAAGCGTAGACAATTCTAGGTACGCGAAGAATTGGCGGGCGCTTGACCTTTCCCTCACAATTTAAGTAAAGGTAAAATTTTGAGATGCAGCAAGTTATACTCAAAGCGGGACGAAGGATGAACGAGGATCAATTATATGTTAAGATAGAGCTCAACTGTAAGCGTAGACAAATATAGGTACGCGAAAAGTTGGCGCGCGTTTGGTCTTTTGTACAATTTTGGTAAAAGTGCAAAGTACAAGTTTTAAATTTGAACATCTTGCTTTTTACATTAAACATAACTCTTTTTTAAACTAAAACACGATTTTTTTTTATTTTTAAGCTTTATTCAGAGTCAAATCTTCAAATTGAATCAATACTCATAAATAATCATATTTACTGGCACAAACAGTATCACATCGTACAGATACAAACAATATCACGTTTTGAAGACCCCGAACTTGGTGTCTTCTACTGGGGTATTCAATGAAGCTTGTAGTGACAGTCCGAGTACTTTCCTCGTGTCTTTCGGATCAATAACACCGTCGTCCCAAAGTCGTGCTGATGCAAAGTCTGAATGACTTTTCTTTTCGGAACGCTCTTCGACCGGTAGTTTTCATGCTGCTTCCAATACTGCGACCAAGAGTACTGTATACATCATCAATTTAAAAAAACTTACAAGGAAAGTACCTCATCTGCCCCGCTCAGAATCAGCTTAAAATTTTTTATATGAATTCTTTGTACCACCAATAGTACCCATACAAAATTTTAGCTCGCGCTTTTGAGTTTTAAATTTAAATTGTATTCTTTCCCGCCAATTTGGCAAATTTGGCATTGTGTAGCACTTTTTTCGGTTTTTCAGACAAGATACGCTTGCAAATTTAAAAATGTAGGTCCATTTAAAGATATTCTACTAGTATATCAAAGAAAAATAATTAAAAGTCAAAAAATGACAAAGTTACAAGCTTGAAACACAATGCCAAGTTGGCGGGAAATTCAAAATGTCATTTTTAATCTCGATTTTCTCGAGATTTCCTGGAAAGCGCGATTTAGGACTTTGCTGAAGATCTTACATTTACATGATCTTTCCATATATAAAAAGTTTGAAGTCAATCAGAGCGGGGCAGGTCGGGCACTTTCCTTGTTAGCTGACTAACATTTATAGTGTGACAGTTTATTATAGAAAGTATATGTGTACCTGTAGATTGTGAAAATATATCTGATAAAAATAAATTAAGGTTCCAATTCCTTCACGTTTCCGTCTTTTTCACCCAGAAACGCCTTCTTGACGACGTTGATGAAGAGTCCTGTCTCCACCAATCCTGGAATCTGATGTAGAGCTTGGTCGACTCGTAACCAGTCTCCTTTGCCGAGTTCTGCTGGGAAGTACCAGTCCAAAATGTAGTTGTTGTTGTCTGTTATTACTGCTCCACATTTCATTTTAGCCATCCTTAGCTCGCATTTCCCTCCTGAAATTGTTTTAGGTAACAATTTCATCAAAATATAAACGATACTAAACTCTTTCCAGTACACTAATGCTGTTTTTAAACCAATTAGTATTAGAAATGATTCAAAATAATTATGTCTTTTAACAAAAAAGAATATTATCTTACCAAACTTGCGCTCGACTTGCTTCTGGACTGGTACATAGGCAAAGGGTACCACTTCTAATGGAATGTACTTGAACTTCTCTCCCAACACCTTGGATTCTTTTGAGATGTCGGCAATCATGTAAAAGTCTCTGGCACAGTTTTGTACAATTTTCTCTTGAGTCAAACATCCTCCGCCACCTTTGATACAATTGAATTTATCGTCCATTTCATCTGCTCCATCTATGGCAATGTCAAGATCCCAATGGGTTTCCAACGATATTACTGGTATCTTCGCATCTTGTAGGAGTTTTCTGGTCTGAAAATAACAAAAGTTAATTTAGAAGGCTTGTCTCAAAAAGTTAAAGAAACTAAAATCCAATTAACAAAGATCAATAATCAGCAAGTTTAAGAATCTTATAAAAATCCCCGAATAGATGTATAAAACAACTCAAATTAACTATAAGAACCTGAATACTCACCTGGAAAGAAGTAGGAACACAAACCACATCAGAAAGCTGTCCATGATCCCTTTGTTCTTTGATGTAGTCGATCAGGTACTTGATGGTAGTCCCACTACCTACTCCGATCTTCTGCCCATTCTTAAGGACTTGCTTCGCACAACTGATGGCAGCGTGCTTTTTGGCCAAGTCGGCTGACATTTCTTCTTTACGGTCCAAATGAAGCGCTCGCCGGTCACGTTGCAGAGGGCCAACCGGCTGGTTAAGAGGTCGGAATGTTGTTGTAAAAGGAATTCTTACCCGTCCCCACCCCATTCAGTCGTGCCGCCTCTTTTGGGGACTTCCTTGCGACCAGCAAACAAAACACGTTGTTATCTTTTGTTGTGGTGAACTTCACCCTTCAAAGGTTATCTATCAGTCTGCAACACGTTATTTATGGTCCAATTACATCGACATTACCACGACCAAAAGCAATATAGATGTATTGATAAAACTTTTTCTGGTTTCGCAATGTGTTTGTTGTTTTAGTTTTTCGTAAACAACGCTTGCTTTTTCTCTTATGAAAGCAAAATGAATTTTCCAAAAATTGAAATGGCTCAAAATAGATACCACCGCTTATTCCACGGTTTACAACATATCCGATGCCTACTATGACACAAACAGTACTATAATATTCTATACAAAACAACCTAAGTATCAAACTCAAATTTATGTTCACTAATATCGACTCCTGCATGAAACATGAGCAAACTAGATTTACTTCCATCTGTTGTTCTCGTAGTCGAAATATTTGGGAGCGCCGAGGAATTGTCCCTTTTGGAGTACCAACGCCTTTTCGATTTCGGCTTCCTTGAACTCGTTCTGGAAGGTTGGTGGAAGTTTTGGGTACACTGAAAAAAGCAACGTAAAATTTAGGTATTAAAACTAAAACAATTTTAGAAAATAGTCTTGATAATTTTTATATATTATTATTTCAAAAAACTAACTAATTACTTAAATGTAACATGCCTATAGATCAACAATCGTGCTAATTATCTAACTCTAGCAGTAGCTAATAAAATTAAATTTATAAAAAAATAAGTAACAAACATACCGAAGTGGTTCAGGAAGGTGGCGTACAAAGTGGCACATCCAAAGATAAACAAGGCGATGGACAATCCAGGCTTCCAGTAACCGCTTGGAGCACGGAACTCAGACAAAGTTTGACGGTAACTGTATCTGTAGAGAAGCTTCTTTTCCTCAAGACTCAGGTTCTTCCAGTCACCTTGTTCCTTGGTTCTGATTGGAGCAATAACACCATCCTCCTTGCGGAATCTGATTCCTTGGTACCAGTAGTCCAGACGGTCAAAGTAAATCTAAAAACATATTTCTAAACATAAAATCGTAAAACAATTTTGATACCTAGTAAAAGCAGGGCGTAAAATAACACATCAAACTTTTAAATACAAAAATTGGCGTTGCAAACCTCATTTTCAGGACAAATCTATGTATCAAACAAATTTCTGTAACAGATTTAAGAAATATTAACAAAGATAATAAGCATTCTACTTCATATCAAAACCTAAACTAACAAAAAAAACTATTTAAAAGCTTACGGGTTCACCAGACACACCGTGGCCAACTTGTTCACGTCCGGCAGCCTTTTCTGGACCCCACCAGTATTCGAGATGGTGCCCGCTTGGCCGGACAGAGCTGGTCTGAAGGGCTCTGTTGATGACCTTCACCTGACTCAGTCTTGGCAACAGAAGACTTTTGGGGAGAGACATCTCTGAAAAGACAATCTATTACCAAAAATATTATTAAAAGAAAAAAAAATGAAACCGCGTGTAAAACTGTAAAAAATCAATAAATATACATTGTGAATATACTAAAATTACTGCTACACGTCACTTTTGATGAATTTTTACTCAAAATACAGGATAAAACCAAAAATGTATCAAAACCACATGAAAGCTGAACAATTCTATAATTTTTCTTCGCAAAATGCACGAATTATCTTTCTCCGTCGTCTGGCTTGAAATAGCAGGCTTTTCGTGACGGGACCCAATGTTTAAGTTTGTGATAAAACAAAATTTTGTAAAATTTAAATTAGTGGTTCTTTCGATAGGCTTTATCAACTTTATAAATTAAAAATTCTCTTTTCAAACGTTTTTTTACGAAGAAGGCCTTAGGTTAATAACATATTTACTACACCAATGAGTCATTTGTTCTTTATTGTGAAAGAAGGAGGTTTTTGAGATCTATTTGTTACAATATAATGAGATTCCGAGGTTTTTGGCAGGGATTTGTTACTTGAGCCAGTCGAGAGGTACCCATTGAGGCTCGTTCTTCAAGCTCTCCAAAGCGTCCAGGAGACGGCGGAAGGTGATGTCGTGGTTGCGGTTGACTAAAACAAGGTCAAAGTACTTGGAGTGCTCAGAGTTCATGAGGTTCTGGTGATGATCACAGGTGTTTCGTATCTGTTGTTCTGTTTTTGTGCACTTTTCCTTTCGAAGTTTGCACATTTCCAAGAATTCGTCGTATTCTGGAGGGGCGATCACAACTACGTAGGGCATGAATTCGCCGTTGTAGATAGATCTCAGGGCTTGAGGGTCGCAGTCTAGGACACACACTCTTCCTGATCTAAAAAATGATTCATTTTATTGTGAAATGGCACTTTTAAATGACTTTTTAAGGTAAAATTAGCTATACTTTAAAACTTTTGTACTAGCTTCTGTCGTTCTTCACGATGTATTGGTAAAATCTTACAATTGTTAATTGAATTTGTCTTCAAAAAGCTCATTTTAAGGTAAAGTATCACCCAATCTCACCTGACGATTTCTCTGACGGATTCTTCTGAAGTTCCGTAGATGTGTTCGTCGTACTCTCCCCATTCGACCACGCTCTTCTCTCTTATCATTTCTCTCATTCTCTCTTTGGTCACAAAATGGTACTCTCGACCTTCTTGTTCCGCAGGTCTCGGCGCTCTTGAAGTGTCTGTAATTATAGTAAGCGCTTAAGTGGGTCTCTTCAGTGGTCAATTAATGAATAATCAGTTTGAGTTTAACTCAAGTTGTTTTAAACTAGAAGGTCTTAAATTTATTTCTTCAAACATTAAACTGCCATGTGTTAGTGGCTTCAACAGCAATATCATTTATATTATAGTAGTTTTAACGCCGTATAACCTTATATATAACTTATTGATAACCACTTACAAGGCACGACAGTGGCAAAACGGTGCGGCAGCTGAGCCAGCAGCATAGCCTTCAAGGTTCTTCGTCCAACTCCAGGTGCTCCAAGCAAGACCAATGTTCGTCGGCCGTACGGGCATAACATAGCCACGTTCTCCATCTTCAGTCCATGCTTGATAAAGCCGGCTGTCGATAGATCATTTACTTTTCTAGCCTGAATCCACTGTGAGTCGTTACTGAGTACTTGGACGATGTCTCCTTTGTTAAGTTGGAGTTGGTATGGGTGGGTTGGTACTTGGCCATTCTGTTGAGGTTGTTTCGTGGCTTCAGTCACTTTGGCAAATTTCTAAAGTTAAATGTTGTTATATAAGAGTAAGAAGATATTGTTACAGCACGAACAACAAGAGTATGAGTACGAATATTTAGAGCTACGGTATTTTGAACTTTTAAGGCTCGACATGTCTAAATATTAAGTATAAAGGTAAGTATCCCACCATCGGAGCAGCATAGATGGTGGAGAGCACCAGTTTTAGCTTGACCGAGCCATTTTGGCCATAGAGTGTGGCCTTTCTCTCCAGTAATTGACCATTAACTTCCACGATCGTGTCTCCCGGGTGAATCAACTCGCATAATTCTGGCTTCTTAACCTTTGTCACGACGAATTCTCCACAAATTGGCTCTACCTCAACCTGGGCCAGCTCCTCGCTGTCGATGGCTATGATGCGGGCTTGGTAGGCCGGGCCGAGAAGCCGGTCTTTGCCATCCAAAACGGCTTCTTTGCTGGACGCCAGCTCGTTGATCACAGGCGGCAATCGCACGGTACGGTGGCTGTTCTCGATCTTGGTAATCCGCTCGGTGATTACCGTGCGCTTTGTGATGCCGGTTACAGGATCAGTGTGGACTGCTTCCGAACGGATGTTCTGCAAAAATTTATAATGTAATGGCTACTATAATATTACACTATTTTTACTAAAAAGTATGTATTAGCTACTATAATATAATTTTTTAACAATAAATAGCTTTGCTTATTACAAAAAGCAATTAACATCTACAACAATATCATATATACACGGTTTCCGAACGTATCGGCTATAAATAATAAAAAAGAAGGCAAGGGAAAGGTCCGAAGAAGGCAGCCGGTTATTTTGAATCCCGTGCCCTCAAGGGAAGCCGGAAACGATAAACGTCGAGGATTTCTAAACATGCCATTTGGAACGTGGTGTATCGTGCCCGGCTGACCTAGGCTAACCCTTCCAACTTCCCTTTTATTATATTAGATTATTTGAGCTGAGGGGGTTATAGCCGGCTATTTGGGCGGTTCAGGGCAGGAAATTGGCTGGATTTCATTTTATTACTGCTTTAGGACTCTTGATCTTATTATACTTTACTGACAGGCTTTTTTCTACAGTAATTTGTCGCAAATTGTAGGACTAGTTTCAATTTCATACCAAAAGATCTACTTTTCAACAGATTTTAAACTTTCTTTAATTAAACCATTCAAAACAAGGCCTCCCCAACCTAAAACAATATTCAACTTGAAGCGAATTTAAGCTGGCTTACTTCCGGTCGATTTTCGGGCTTGGCCTCGAGCTGTTCGATTCTCTGCCTCAGTGATTCCAGGCATTCTGATAAGGAGTCGGCGTTCGTGCGCAGCTTCTGAAGCTCGGATTCTCCGCCTCCAGACGACATGCTTGAGTTGTTGCAAGCTGAACCCAAAAATTTAAGAGCGAATCGACGGCACTTTGGCCATGCAGATGGGCCGAGGGTTTCTTTCTTTATTCCTCCCTCAGGCGCCCAACACGCACTCTCGAGGCGGCGGAGGAAGTGCCTTTTTTGGTTAGGGGGGACAGCCGAAGGCCTCGCCGCGAGGAATCAATACAACACACGACGACCTTCCGAGAGCCAATGGGTTATGAGTTGATCTACTCCCTCCATTGTCCCTCTCCAGAGACAAACAAATTGAAAGGGCTTTGTGGTAGATTTTATTGTTCGGGTTTATAGGCTGCTATATTTCGGACATAAGTTATAACAATATGCTAATACCAGGTGTTCTGAACGTAGTTTAGATTATAAGCTATAGCTTTTAATATATTATTTGATACTTTACATTATAATTGAAGTAAAACCCCTTTAGTGATGCAAATTAGTTTTATTCAGTATTATATCGGCAAAATATTCGTATTAGAACTATAAAATTCACCTGGTTTTACAAAGATTACCCCAATTTTCATTATCCTTGGTACCATAACTTCTTACTGTAATGTCTCTTAACTGATGTCATAAGCAGTAAGATTGCGCACGGATTCGGCTGATTGTGTGCGACGTCTGACAAACGATGACATTCTGAAGCAACCGATCAGACGACGCTGAATATCCATCCGACTCGGTAGTGTCCGTAGCTGGGAGCTTTTCTGAAATGTAATAAGTTACATATATAAGACAAAAGGACAGTTAAACTGTTCAAAGCACTTTTCATAATTAAATTTAAGCCTTCCGAGATAATATACAAAGCTTAATACACGTAAACCTTGCTTATTTACCTCCTCCAACTGTCGTTTGTGTTCGTTGAGCTGACACGAGATGTCGACCATCAATTGATGTGCATTTTTAATGCTATCGTATTGTCCCCACCTTTCTTGTGGCGATTCGAAGAAATAGTCCATCATCTTCTACAAAAAAATCGTTTAAAACATCAAAATAATAGCATAATTAAAAGTAAAGTTATATTATAGTAGCTCATAATCAAATTAAAAAATTGTATTATGGTAGACACGACTACAACATACAATTATATCATAGTAGACACGATTAATATTAACATACCCGAAGTAGCAGCGGGTACTTTAATATTCGCTGAAACGGCTTCAGAAGATAGCTTTCCAATGGCAATACCACCCCAATACTCTCCTGCATCTGGTAGATTTTGTAGCTAAATTCTTCGTTTCGTTTTAGAAGGCCCAATCTCTCGACCACCCTGAAATGTAAAGTAATATAATGTAGGGTTAATTCACAAATTTTCACCTTCTATTGTTAACTAATAGTTAAAAACTAAGGAAATCCATATAAAACTCAAAACTCACATCGGATACAGCTCACAATACGTAAAATAGACTTTGAATCCAACTTTATTCCTCGTGAACACCTCCCCGATCTGAAAAAAAGCTCAAAACTAAAGATAACATAACATAAATGTAAAATTAAACACACATAATATAAAATAATCGTCATAAAATCAAAAAATTAAACTTACAAGTCCACAATTCTTGCGAGCAGCGACAAACTCCTTGAGCAAATTCTTGTTAAACTGTCTAACTTGACTTAACACCTTCAACAAGGCGCAAATGTCACTATATTGACGTCTGTCTGACAAGAAGAACTTATTAAATCCCTAGAAGCATGTTAACAATGTTCAATGAAAGTCTTACCAAAACTATTGCATATAATTCAGTACTGAAGCTCTTCTCGGTTTCAATCAACTCTTCGACGACCTTTGAAAGGTGAGCCATCTGATGTCAAAATAACTGTGACTAAAAAATATTATATTGTAAATTATATTCTGATTTAATACGAAATTTGGCATAAAAATGCTTATTTTATTAATAATTAGTTTATTTTTTATAATTTTTTAATTTAACTTTCTTTCGTATAAAAACCCTCAACAGCCTGCAAACAGTTTGCGCCCGAATTATACACGACTTTGCAAAAGAAATGGAAAATAAAATCTTGGGGCTAGCAAGCGGCAGAAAAATGAAGCTGGGGGTTGTTTTGGTAAGTAGAGCATATCGAAATAATCAAAATAACGTTTGTTTTCAGTTTTTTGTTGTTACCTATATTGTTAACGGGGAAGTAGTTGTTCTAAACGACGCTAACATTAGAAATACGATTGGTAAGTTCGGATTTTAGATTCATGTTTGGTGTTTAGATAATAACAAGATAGTGTTCGTCAATTTCTACGCGGAATGGTGCAGATTCTCACAGATTTTAAAGCCGATCTTTGTTAAAGCCAGCGAAAACTTTAAAGTAAGTTTGATACCTAAAATGGTTTAAGATTGATAACAACTTTTAGGATAACACAAACCAGATTGTCTTTGCGTCTGTAGATTGTGACAAACAACGTAAGTTACTGATTATATTATCTAGTTTATGAATGATGTTTAATGTCTTATATTATGCTATGTTACATTCTTTAGCGACGATTGCACAACAATATAAAGTCAACAAATATCCGACTCTAAAGTTATTCAGACATGGGCAATTGGTCAAAAAGGAATATAGGTACATTTACCTTATTAATTTGAGTATTTTATGTTTAGAGGACAACGATCTGTTGATGCTTTTACCGAATTTATCAAGAAACAAGTAGAATCTACTGTCAAACATATCAATGAGAATGACAACTTGGACAATGTGTTAGACGTAAGTGAGGACATTATTAAATATAGGTTTTAAACTACTTTATTGTGTGTTTTTTTATATAATATCTTTTACTTTTAAATACTAAAACAATATATTTTCAGAGCAAAGTCCGAAACGTTGTTGGTTACTTCAATGTGCCTCAAGGAGATGAGTACGATAACTTTCAGAAGATTGCTTCAGCCCTTCGTGATGAATGTCACTTCTACGTGGGGTTAGGTGAATGGACGAGGAAGAAGAACATTGCTGGCAATCATATAGTGTTCAGAGATGCCAATGGGGAAAAGGAGTTCAACGGGCCGATTGCTGGATATCAACATCTCTTGGAATGGGCAAACTCAAACTGTGTGCCTTTGATTAGAGAAATCACGTTCGAGAATGCTGAAGAGTTGACGGAAGAAGGGCTACCGTTCTTGATATTGTTCAGAAAAGTGGGCGATAAGAAAACTGAAGAAGACTTTACTTCCGTGGTGCTTAAGGAGCTTGGGGATCAGAAGGGTATGTTAATATATTCTTTTTTGAAATCTTAACATTTTCCATATATTTTGCTTCAATATTGTATAGAAATGTCATAAGCATGTGCTATACTTATGTTTTTTGAGTGACACTTACTTTTAGGTGCTGTAAACGTCTTGATGGCCGACGGAAAGAAATTCGCACATCCGTTGTTCCATTTGGGCAAGAAAGAACACGATCTACCGGTCATAGCTATCGACTCTTTCAGGCACATTTTCCCATTTCCTAAATACGACGATATCTTGTAAGTACTGTTGTTTTATTATACTTGAAAATTTAGATATCCTGATCATAAAAACCTATGATTCGATAAATATTAACGTATAGCAGTTTTATTAACTAAAAATATGCTAACTTTGTCGTTTCAGCGTGCCAGGCAAACTACGTCAATTCGTGGATGACCTTAACTCTGGAAAGCTACACCGTGAATTCCATCACGGGCCAGACGTCAAGGTAAACATAGCCTACTGTAACATAATATTTTTAGTCGACGGGGCCGCCCGAGAGTGCATTCGGCAAGCTAAAACCATCCAACAACCGGTACTCACTGCTCAAAGACGAACTCTAGCCAGGGAAAGCAATGTTAATATACGGTCTATGTCAATGTCTAGTCGGTCTAGTTCTGCCATTCGATGCCACTAAGTTATTCTAGAACACTACTGTAGTATTATTTATATTGCAATATAACGTTTGATAAACAAGCTTTATTTGATGTAATCATGATTTACTGCAGTAATTTACTTTGGTTAAGACCATGATATCTTACTTTACACTTCTACTTAAACGTTTGGATTATTCGCCATGTTTAGGAGGTATGCCGGTCAGGTCACTCTCGTTAATTCGTACGTTTAACGGGTTCAGGACGTCGTCGTATCGGCCGGTCAGATACGCGACGACAGTGTCGGCCACAAAGAACAGGTCCAATGTTGATTACCAGCAGACAGCGACGCCCAAGGATGTGACACGACAACTCGACACTCTACCTTCTGACATATTGACATTCCTGATGGAATGTCAGGCGTCGTCGGGTCATGATGCCAGCTCGGTCTTCACCGTGAAAGGTCTTCAGGACATGGCCAAGTATTACTTCGAAAAATCTGGCAAATTGATTCGGCCGAAGATCGCGTTACTGATGAGCAATGTTTGTAATCATCAAGCTAAAGGCGCTCAGTGAGTATAATATTACTATTTTAACAATATTTATGTTTCAGTCGTTATTGTTTTAGTACTGCTTTTGTAGTTTAGTTCGGTGTTTTATGAATCTTTTCTGATAGCAAGGTTACAATTGAACTGTTTCAGGCCTGACATCGATCTCGAAAATGTAATTAGGAACCAGTATCGCATCGCAATGGTGGCTGAAATGATTCACACGGCTTCATTGATCCACGATGATGTTATTGACGAAGCCGGAACTAGGAGAGGAAAACCGACAGCAAATGTGAAATGGGGAAACAAAAGAGTAGGTTGTTTCGAATAGCTACTGGGTTAAAAAATTGAACTTATACATAGACTTGTGATAGAAGGGTAAGGATATAGTTTGATATAGTCATGAATAACGTTTTAGGCAGTACTCGGTGGTGACAGAATCCTAGCACGGGCTACAAAATTACTGTGCATGACCAACGACCCTACTGTAATTACAACCATGGCTTCAATTGTCGACAACTTGGTCGATGGAGAGTTCATGCAGTTAGAAGTCAACCCAACGGCCGACGCCGTAACCAGGTTTCAGCATTACATGCAGAAGACCTACTATAAGACGGCCAGTTTGTTCGCAAATTCTTGTTTATCTGTATCTATTCTTGCAGGTGGGTGTTGTTTTAGTAAGAAATTTTATAAGATTATAATAGAAATATAATTTTTAAATTCTGGATGGTTTTAAGATAATATTCTCTTTGTAGGTCGGAACTTTATGTCAATATACGTTAGTATTCACATATTTTTGTAATACATCTTTCAGGATGTCCCATAGAACAACGTCAGAAGGCCTACGATTTCGGCCGTCACTTCGGATTGTCATTCCAACTCGTAGATGACATGTTAGACTACGTAGCCAGCTCGGCAGAACTGGGAAAGCCGTCTGTCGCGGACCTAAAGCAAGGTCTAGCTACAGGACCAGTTCTGTTCGCAGCCCAAGAGTTTCCGGAACTCAATGAAATGATTAATAGACGGTTTGCCGAGAACGACGACGTCGAGAGGGCACACCGTATCGTGCTGGATTCTTCAGCTCTTCAACAGACCAGAGACTTGATTAGGCATCACACACAAACTGCCATAAGCCTGGTAAGTCGTTTTTAGAATTTTTAGCTTGAGTTTTTTTATGGGCTTGTAAGTTATGTTAGATAAAAAATTTTTTGCGCAATATTTTTTTTAAAAAGTTTCATTTCTTATCAACTTGGTTCTAAAAATCGACCAGTTTAAAAATTTACAATACTACTGCCCATGTTATCGTATGTTATGTTACAGGTGAAGGAGCTGGGCAACAGTGCCGCCAGCGATTCCCTCGTCAAGCTTGCAAATTCACAAATGTTTCGGGAGCGATAGGACTTCCAACCTTTAGGACATTGTTTTTTGTTGATTCGTTTTACGTTTGAAAATTAAACCAAGGATTTTTATCATAGTAACATTAACTAACAACAAGTAACAGTAAAATGAGTAACAACAACTAATAACAAATCTAAACAACAGATGAATAACAAAACAACAACCTAAATCAAACTTAAAGCATTCCGAAAGTTGGTCTTTAGCTATCATGACGTAAACCCTTTTGATACCTACTCGATAACAACATCTTGCACCTGATCATCTTCTTCAGAAGCATTTAGACACTTTTTAGCCAGCTCAACGAATCCGGCTGCATCTTCAGTCATATCCCAACTGACAAAGTCATCGTACAGTTGTTCCATCCTCTGGACTAGCTGGTTGTACTCCTTCTCTTCTTCTTGATTATGACCTTCAACCTCTGTCAATGTTTTACCTCGCTTCAGTTTATCGTATACCTGAAAATGTCATTCTTTTAGTAATATTTGACGCAGAAAGTATTTTTTTTTAAATTACAGATACTAATACCTACGATAACGTTGTATTATCCTTATAAAGTGATGCCAAAGTAAAGTTAATTAGAAAAGCTTACCTGATCCGCTCTCTTGACCACGTTTGGAGGTATTCCCATTTTGGCAGCCGTGAAACTGGCATACGAATGTGTTGACAGACCATTGACGAAACGAAATGTAAATGTCAGGATATTGTCATCGTCTTTCAGAACTTCCATTTTCTAAAGATTTGTGAAGCATTCTATAACAACTTACATGTTCGGCCAAAAGTGGACTTTCGATCAGATAATTAGGTAACGAACAGAAGTGAGTGGCCAAGAAGATATGAGGACAGTCTCGAGGCTTCTCCAACCAATAGTTCAGACAGCCGGCTAAGAGTCCAATACCAACTTCCTAAAAAGTTCAAAATTTGCATACAAATTTGTTTTTCGGATCTATATGTCTGCTCAATATTCATAAATATTTTGGTATACTTAAAGCTTACAGTCATAGTTCCTTTGCCAAACTCGTCGATGAGTACCAGACTGTTGGCATCGGTTTTCCTGATGGCATGTGACATTTGTTTCAAATCGCTGGCGAACGAGGATAGGCCATCCAACACAGAGTCCACAGTGTACATTCGAGAGATGATTTGGGACACAGGTCCGATCTCGGCCTTCTTGGCTGGGACATACGATCCCACGTGTGCTAGGTACACAATTACACCAACCTTAAACTGTATTCGTAATACATGTTGATATTCATTTTGTATATGGAATGTAAAAATAACGAAATTGTCAGATCGCTAACAAAAAATGATTTAAATTTAAATGAAAATTTTAATTTATTTTAAATTTAAAATTAATAGTTGAATAAAAAATTACCATTTTTAAGTAGACACTTTTGCCTGAGGCATTTGGACCAGCAATTAGTTTGACTTTACTGTAGCCTTCCACCACATCTGGGCTGGCTGATCTGAAATACAGTGAACCTAATGCTTATATAGCCCCAAAATTTGCTTCTAGGGGCACAGAATTATTTTAAAAACCTAATATATTAATACATGTCTCAAATTCTTAACGATTAAAGCGTCTTACTTAATGTCATTGGGAACAAAATCGTTTTGGCCAGAATCGACCAGTGGTTGTCGTGCTCCTTCAATCTTAATCAGACATTTGTCGCTGAAATGAGGCCGAATCCACTCGTATTTGTTCGCAGCAATACCTAGTGATATCAGAGAATCCAAAGTTGCCGCAACTTCCATCGCTTCGACTATTACCTTCTTCCTCTGGGCAATCAGCTCTTGAAGGCTAAAATAACATTAATTTTTATATGATAGATAACAGTCAAGGACCATAAACCAACAGTAAAATAAAGACATTACTATACCTATTGCTATACCCAGGGCCGGGCGGGGACTTTTGGTCTGGGGGCGAGAGTCCAAAAAATCGGCACAGGTAGCAGCTACCTGTGCCGATTTTTTGCAAAATTTTTTTTCCGAAGATCCACAGGGGGGGGGGACCACGTTCAACTTTTTTCAAAAATTTTTTTCTGGGGGGGGGGGGGGGTACCCCCCCCTCCCTCGCGCCCGGCCCTGACTATACCCAATTCATATATTAAGAGACATTACCTACCTATTAGCAATGACTGTTTCCCGGTCGATAATTCTGGAGCGTATGTCACCGTAAACTCGATCCAACTCCAGCATTCCTGGTGTTTTGAATCCGACTGAATTCTCTGTAGAATATACCTTTTCAAAGTCTTCGTGTTCAATATGTACAGCCACATGTATTGGAATCATCAACATGTATCCGATGATAGGTAGGTAACATACGGAACAGCTCGGAATGCCATAATTGTTGATTTCTGCCTCCGCCACCTTTGTCAGGTGCTCTCCCAGCGTTGAGTATGTGCTTTTTACTAAAAATGGATATAAATATATTTAAATCTTAAAGTAATGTATGAAAAATATATAAAAATATGAATCTTATCATATAAGAGAAGGTTTACATAAGTATACTTTGTCAGCTTTAAAAAAATTAGTTTGAATTAAAGCTTAAAAACTCAAAACTCAGTCTAATTACAATGATCAAGTTCAGGTGATACATCTTCGTTCACCACGAATCTGCTCTCATCTATGGATTCTGTTTGATTGAATGTCTTCTTCAAAAGTTCTCCGATTCTGGCCAGTTCTCCGCCCAAACACTTCTCTCCTGGACCCAAAACTGTCAGATTTACATCACAATTCCTCAAGGAATCTCCAATTTCAATCAATGCGTTTATCGTCTGAACATTACGTATGGTTAGCCACAAGAACATTAGGTATTGTTAATTGCAAAATAAGTTTTAATGCCTTATATACAAAGGAAAATAATATTTTTTAAATTAGCTTACTTTAGATAACGATATCCAATCAACAACTGCCAGTCTTCCGTTTGATAGCTTTACCAATATTGTCTAAAAGCATTATCTTTTAGCTAAAGCTTTATTAGTAACTACATGTTTGTTAAAACCCATTATAAGAAGCTCTAAAAACAGAATCTGTTGACTATATGTAACAATATGCTCCTTATAATAATAGTTCAAACATCCTGAATTTCCTGCTATTAAAGAATAAACTTTAATAATGTGTAATTATGTTTAACACATGTTTAAGTAATAAAAATCTACTGTGTAGTTAACATACCATTAAACTATGCACATTGCGAAGTCTAGCCCTTAAGAAATTGACCAGTTGATAGTTGGTGTCTTGAGCAAAGAACATTACTCCTTCTTGGCGAATCTTCAATATCTCTTTGTTCCGCAATGGTCGGGAGAACCAAAACCTAAACTATGCAATGTATACTAAGGTAATTCAAATAGTAAAAGATCTAAATTATGTTAGAGATAATACTGTAGACCACTATAAATGGCGTACCGTAACTTCCGCTTCCCTGGAGAAGATTTTGTGAAATCACAAAGTTCAAACAAAGTTTTTGCCTTCTTGGATGCGTTCTTGTGATGATTCACTTTCCTGATTACTGTGTCACTTTCGAAAATGGCCAAGGCTTTCTTGGTCACTGGATCAACGTAGATAATATCCCCTCTCAAAGTAAAATGTCATCAGTTCAGAATTTTTAAGAAAAAGAATAAACATATCATATACATACTATAGCCATAAGACACGCCATAGCCATAAACTTACAATATAATAGCCTTGAAAGCATCGACCGGTACCAAAGTTGTTGGATTATCAAACTCAATGCCCAATCTGATCTGATTAATGTGTCGCAACAAGGCTCCCAGAGCTCCAATCTTTAACGTTACCAAAACATTATATTTAAGTTTGTTATATTAGAAACGCATATTTAAACCCACCATATTGGTATCTTTGGCTTCAAATAACATCTTGGTCCTTACTGTAGCATCTCTGCCATCAAAGTCCAACACTTTTGACAACCATTGCATTCCATTCTCTTGTCCTAAAACAATATTTACGCTATTGTAAAAAAGCCGTAGATAAAAATATAGAACTAACTCATACCTAAATCTTCAAATAAAACAAATTTTTCGAAATCTAAATTTAGTTAACAAAATAAAACAAACCAAAGTAAATTTTAGAGATAAACTGCAAAGAACAAGTCCATTGTTGATTCGTTTCCTGTGCAGGTTCATCTCTGCTTTCATCAACAATTCTTGATGTGTTATCGTTACCTTCTGATTGTTCATCTACTGAAGTGTAAGGTCGGACAAGGTCAGGTCGGTTAGATGCCTCGATATCAGTGGATTCTAGTTGTCCTACCTTCACAAAAGTGTCATCAACATAACAGTTTACTAAAATGATTAAAGGTTGAATATAAGTATCGCATCAACAGCAAAAAGTTAAAATAAAATAATTTGCATTTAAATTAACTTACACATAATTTGAAGAGCCTTTCTGAAGTCCTTTTTACAACCAGCATTAGCAATAACATGTGTAGGCTTTATTCTTTCGACCACTAAAACCAAAATTGTTACCTAATTTATAAAAATCACAAATTTTAACAATATGTAGTTTAAATTAACAAAACAAAAAAAACTTAAAGTTACATACAATACCTCAAAGTGTTATACTCATCGTCGTCTGGAGTATCATTGAGGTATTGGATGGTTTTCTCAGCTTCATCATAACAGGCAGCTCCCAACTTGTTTCGATCGTAAAATACTGTCAAAACTGTTGATGTCAATGTAGATCTTTGTTGTTGAGGCTGTTCATCTCGGTTTTCTTCCTCAATCTGCTGCTCTTCACTCATTTCAACAAGATTTTGTTCGCAAAATTTGTTGCCCAAAATCTTTCTTAACCATCCGTATAAAATAATATACGCAGACTGCAAGAAGCATGGGCGCAAAGTGCGAGATAAAATATTAGGTTTTTGTTGATCAAAATTCAGGTGATTGGCAAAAGAAGATAAAGTTATATTAAAGTATGTTTATTTGACTTTTTTTATTTTGATAAGAGTTGTAATTTATGTTTAGGTTTTAATTTCAAGTATTTTTCCGGGCTTTGAAATTGCGATTTAAGTACATCAGGATAATAAAGTATCTTTAAAATAAGTTTTAATGTTTAAACTTTCAGATGGAAGTTATAAGAGTGTTCACGGGTTATCACAGTGAAAATGTTATCAACAACCGAGCGTGGTCTTGTTCCTGGAGACATGATGGCAAGCTATTGTTGACCACAGGCGAAGATAAAACAACAAAAGTCTGGAGATACGATCCTGGTAATTGAATTTCGGTTTACATCTTTATCGTTTAGACAAGCAGACTCTGCAAATAGTAACACATCTGAGTGGAGATCATTTGCGAACAGTCAGGACGGCACAGTTCTCACCTTGTGGTAGATATATTGTGACAGCCAGCTTTGATTCTACTATGAGAATATACGAGCAAGATGGTGAGAGTCACTTTGAGGAAAAACACAGATTGGATGGACATGAGCATGAGATTAAATGTGCTTCTTTCTCTTCTTCTGGTCAATACCTGGCATCAGCTAGTCGAGATAAGAATGTTTTTGTGTGGCAAGGTAAGTTACGCAGAATTTTATATTGAAATTGGTGTTTAGTTGATGAGGACGAAGACTTTGATGTGGATTCAGTTCTGCAGAATCATACAGGAGATGTCAAATTTGTTGTTTGGCATCCAACAGAAAACGTGGGTTTTGAATCTTTCATCACGAGTAATTTATCCTGTGTTTGTGGTACTAAAAGAGTACTTTAATTTACTTTTTTTTATAAAATGGCATTCTATTCTGTATTTTATAATGTGTACATTATTTGTTAGTTCTTGGTATCTGGAGGCTACGACATGAATGTAAATATTTATCGATACGATGGAAGCGATTGGGTGGTACATCAAACTCTGGAACATGTTCATGAAGAAACTGTTTGGATGGTGGCATTTAATTACGATGGAACATATTTTGCGACAGTTGGAGGAGATGGTTTGATAAAGGTAGTATATTTACAACATCTTTTTAAAGTTGAAATCTGTATTTTATAAATAGGAAAATGTTTAAACTGACTTTTTAGGTGTACAAGATGACACGAGGAGCAACGGATAGCGAACATAAGTTTGCGCATCTTGTTACAGTAACCCCACTAGATGCAAAATGGCCTATATTTACAGTTGCTTGGAGTCCTGTGCAAAATATATTCGTTTGTGGTGGAGGAGATAGGCAGTTGTGGTAAGTGGAATTAATTGGTATTACTAAATTTACTTTTGTGTTTACAGAAGTTTTATGTTTAATCATAACATAATTTTTAGTTATTACAATGTTGTTTTATTCAAAATACATGAAAATCTTTTAGGTTATGCTCTCTAGAAGATGATGAAACGGTTATTGTAAATACACCGTATTCTCACTCCAGCGACATTAATTGTGTAGCCTTTAATCCTCAGAATCCGGGTATTATTTCACTTTGCTCAGATGATGGTGAAATTGTTTTGTTACAGCTAAATCAATAAATTTCTATCAATATTGTTCTATTTTTATGTGTTCAAATGGTTTGTACCATTGATACCTATGTTTATATTACCCACATATTTTACTATTTAAATTTTTGTTGAATTTGTTTTTCTAAAGATCTTAAGCTTTATTTTAAAAAGCCATTATTAAAACTTGTTTTAGATGGATTGCGACGTGGCCGGGTACCACGTTGAATCCTTCAACTTCTTTTGCCAGGAAGGGTTGGCATTAGCGGCTGATGATGTCTCTACAGAGAAATTCAGATTGAAAAATGATCAGGCGGTCGAAATAAGATACAAAGGAGCTATAATCAAAAGTCCCAGCGTTCAAAGTGCTATGGTAATTATTTTACATTATTTATATTACCTTGATTTGCTTTTTAAATTTACATTAATTTAGTAGGCACTGAAGCAAACTTGTAAAATGTTTTAACATGTAATTTTAGGGAAACAGCGTGGAAGACATAACAAACACACAGTACATTCTACCTTCTGAGTGTCGTCAACGAGGCCTTACCTATCGAGGACCGCTGTTTGTGGACCTTGAAGTCAAAGTGAATGGCACAACTCTGGGAGTCTTCTCAACTCTTCTTGGCCACATTCCAATCATGTTGAGGAGTGAGCTATGTCATTTGAATAAGATGTCCGAAGAAGAGTTGATCAAGGCAGGAGAAGAAGGCATCGAGAAGGGTGGATACTTTGTGAACAAAGGCTCAGAGAAGGTGATTCGATTACTGGTCGGTAACAAGAGAAACTTCCCTCTGGCTATTGTCAGAAACAGTTTTAAGGAAAAGGGAAAGCTGTTTACTGAGTTTGGCATCATGATGAGATGCTTCAAAGACGGACATTCTGCTGCTATTATGAGTTTACATTACCTCGACAGTGCTTCAATGGTGCTTACTATTCAGGTAGATTAAATTATTTTGAAGTTTGTAGATGATTACTATATTTTTTTAATTTGGCATGCTTAAATTTAATGTTGTTTTTAAAAATGAGTTTTTAAGTTAATGATAATATTATAGTACCGTCGTGAACTGTTCTACATACCATTCATGTACATTCTTCGTGCATTGACTGATTTGAGTGATATGCAAATTTACGAGAATATGACAAAGCTGAGGCCAAATGACACTTACTGGTCGAGTTGTGTCAAGAACATGTTAGTCAGCGCGGCCGAAGAAGGAGTGACCAACAGAGAAACAGCTTTGACATTATTGGGATCAAGGTTCAGAGTTACTTTAGGTAACAAACTGGCTCCATGGGAAACTGATGAGGTAGGTTCTTTAACTTTTAGTTTTTATAGTAATGTAAAAGCTGATAGTATGTCTTATTTTTTTGTTTTACATTGTTTTTGATAATAACAATTGATATCTGCTTTTCAGGATGCTGGACGTTTCATAATGAAATATTGTGTAGCTATTCACCTGGACAACGATGGAGACAAGTTTCATTGTTTATCGTTGATGGGCCAGAAGCTTATCAGTTTGGCGTTAGGACAGATTTTGCCAGATTCTCCTGATAATCCACAGTTTCAAGAAGCTACAGTGACCGGTCACATTTTTTTGTTGATGATTAGAGAGCGATTGGAAGGTGTTCTGGGGGTTTTGAGGAAGAAAATCGAGATTGCTCAAGCACGAAGAGGAGACAAGTTTACTTTTGATGGGTAAGTTAGAAAAAATGGTTTTTAATACTATTTTGGTCAAAAAATTCGTAGAAAGTTAAAGAGTTAGTGGCGAAGAAATAATACTTATAATTTTCGGTTTTATGTTTTTTTTTCTTTAATTTATAACTTTTCAGAAAGTTTTTCCAATCACAGTTATCAAGCATCGGAGGTCAACAAATAACGAATGCTTTTGAGTACTTCTTGGCCACAGGCAACCTGATCACTAGAAATGGCTTAGGATTGATGCAAAACCAAGGATTCGCTGTCATAGCTGAAAGAATCAATCAGCTACGGTTTGTCTCTCACTTCAGAGCAATTCATCGTGGTGCCTTCTTTATGGAAACCAGAACTACAGATGTCAGAAAGCTGCGACCAGAAGCCTGGGGCTTTATTTGTCCAGTACACACTCCTGATGGTGCTCCTTGTGGATTACTTAATCATGTGACGGCTTCGGTCAATATCATCACAAAACCAATTGATACCAGTCCTTTAAACGAGTTACTGTATCAGATGGGAGTTATTACTCATGAAGAGATGAGATTGAATGTTGCCAAGGCTCAGGACAACCCAGAAGAGCTAAAGTTGTTCTATCCAGTGTTGATGGACGGAAAAGTTGTTGGTTATGTGTCGAGAGCTGAAGCACCAAGATTGGAAAGAAGGTTGAGAGCTTTGAAAGTGAATCCGAAAGAGAAAAGGGTACCATCTTTGGTGGAAATAGTACTAGTGAGAGCATCGACGGATGAAAAGAATATTCTCACTCAATTCCCTGGATTCTACATATTCGCAGATATGGGCAGAATGGTTCGACCGGTCAAGAACTTGATTTGCAAAAAGACTGAGTTTGTGGGTATGTTATTCTTTGTAATATTGTGTTATTTGGTCATTTTATTGTCAATATGGACGTTAGTTTCATGTTTTTTATGCAGTTATGTATTTTTAATTAAAATATATTGTTTTAGGTATATTTGAGCAAGTTTATCTCTCCATTATTATTGATCCAGAAGAAATTGAACCCGGAGTGACGATGCATCAAGAGCTTCATCCCAGCGCTTTGTTCAGCTTTGCTGGCAATCTGATTCCGTTCCCAGATCACAATCAGTCGCCACGTAACATTTATCAGTGCCAGATGGGTAAACAAACCATGGGAATTGCAGTACACGCCTGGAAGAAGAGGGCTGATAATAAGATGTACAATATTATTGTAAGTCATGCTAAGATATTGACATTTTTGGTCAGTAAGGATGCTTAAAGTAGTATTTAATAAGTTGGGAAAAGGAAAGTTGAGGAAATTTATAGCATGGATATGTTTAAAGATTAGTATTACTTAATATAAAGGAAATGTAACATTAGAAATGACATAACAAAGTAAAAACTATTAACAATATTGGTGCTGTAGTTGACCATTAAGTGGCTTTTCAGACACCACAACACCCCTTGTTGAAATTGGAAGCCTACGAAAAGTACGAAATGACGAACTATCCTTTGGGCACGAACGCTTGTGTTGCTGTTATCTCTTATACTGGATACGACATGGAAGATGCTATGGTAATCAACAAGAGCTCGTTTGAAAGAGGTTTTGCTCATGGAATGGTCATCAAAGTTGAACGGTAAGATTACAAAAACATTCCTAGTTTTTTTAGAGGTTTATGTTTAGTTTATGAAAAATAGATTTTTTTATTGGCTGAAAATCTATATCTTGAATTATTTAATATTCGTATTTTAGGCTGAACTTGTGCGAAACGGGAATGTTTGGCAAAAAGGAATCCAATGCTTTCTTTGCTAAAGATCCCAAAGACACGGAACTCACATCGATCGCAGCTGATGGACTACCTATACCTGGTCGTTTATACAGACAAGGCGACGTTTACTACAGTAAAAAGGACAGACATGACGACAAATACACTACTGGAGCTTTCAAGTACGCAGAAGCCGCGTACTGTGGAATTGTCAGGGCGATTTCTGAAGAAGCTGACGGTGTGGTGGTAAGCAATTTTAAAATTTTGTTTTTGATTTTTTTAATGACAAAAACAAACGGAAGGATTGTATTCTTCACTGCTAGTAAAATAATATCGTAAGTTTTGCCTTTCTTCAGCACATTCTAATACAATGGCGTATCCCTCGTAACCCAATCATCGGTGACAAATTCGCTTCACGGCACGGTCAAAAAGGTATCAACTCTTTCCTGTGGCCAGTGGAGTCTCTGCCCTTCTCTGACTCGGGCATGGTTCCTGACATCATCTTCAACCCCCACGGTTTCCCATCTCGGATGACAATCGGGATGATGATCGAGAGTATGGCAGGCAAGGCGGCGGCCATGAACGGAAGCTACTACGACGCATCACCGTTCGTGTTCAACGAAGAGAACACGGCCATCAATCATTTTGGCGAGTTGTTACAACAAGCCGGCTACAACTACTACGGCAACGAGACAATGTACTCTGGCGTTGACGGTCGGGAAATGAAGGTACGAAATTCAGCGATCATAAATCGCAATTTAATACTGTAATTTTAAAGTTTTTATGGATTTTCGAATTTTTTGTACTAAAAAATGATCTTTTTTGCTTAAAAGGTGGAGGGATAGTAATTTATGTTTAAAGACATCTCTTTAAAAATAAGGTTTTTATTAAAAAATTTCAGGTTCAAATCTTCTTTGGCATCGTATATTACCAGAGACTTCGACACATGATTGCTGACAAGTTCCAAGTACGAGCCACAGGTGTTGTAGATCCAGTAACTCTTCAACCAGTCAAAGGACGTAAGAAAGGTGGTGGTATTCGATTTGGAGAGATGGAACGTGATACCATGATTGCTCACGGTGCAGCTTACTGTCTACAAGATCGGCTTCTGTACTCATCCGATCTGGACTTTTGTAAAGTCTGTGCCAAATGTAGTTCGATCATCTCGGTCAGCAAACTCAAATCGACTAACGTAAGTTAACTTACAAGTGATATGCTCTTATTAAGCGATTGATATAGGATTTTTTCAAAATCATTTTTTATATTATCAATGTATATTAATGTTAACAAGGTTGTTGTGGATTAAGTTTTTTAAAACTTTAATAGTTTAAATGGCCTTGTTTTAGCTCCGAAGAGGAATGCAGCAAACAGGCCAGATCCCGGTATGTCTAAGTTGTCGCGAAAGTTCAGAAGTGTACGAGATCCAAGTGCCAAGAGTATTCAGATACCTGGCTGCCGAACTGAGTTCGGTCGGCATTCAACTCCAGTGCGATGTAGGGGATCCGACCAGTCGATAAAGTGGTCATTAAATCTTTTAAATTTGTTGATTTTTTCATTATTGTTGATTTTCATTGATTGTTACTTGTTATTGTTACCATAAATTTTGATTTTTGAAACTTATGCGCGCTTAAGATCAATTTATCATGGTTTTGGTTACGTTTGTTACCTAAAGTTTAATATTGTTCCTTTTGCAAAGCTTGATCAAGGTTTTTTGATCAGAATGCCAAAAACATAAAGATGATAATGACCCCAAAACCGTGATGACAATGCGTTTAAGTGGATTTATTGTTAAGATTAATATATAAAAGGTAAAGCTACTTCTTGTACTTCTGAATCCCGGATTCGCTCATGATGCAGATGTGGTTGAGGTCGCGGAACTTCTGATTGTAATCCAATCCGAAGCCCACGATGAATTTGTCTGGGATGCTGAAGGCTACAAAGTCTTCTTGAACTTGCACTTTCCTTGGCAATCTCTTGGATAGCAACAGTCCAGTCCACACAGTATTGGCCCCCAAATCCTTTATCGTAGTTACTAAACGCGACATGGTCAGGCCACTGTCCACAATATCATCTACGATCTGAAAGATGACATTTAGTATCTCAATGACTAAACTAATATGTGTCAATCGTCAAGGCTAGTTAGAGCTTTACACTTTATAAAAATAGCTAGTCCGGGCTCTAGATACTTACCAGAACGTTCTGACCCTTGAGCTCTTCCATACTTGACAATCCGATGATCTGTAGCTTTCCTGTAGACTCCGTATCTTCGTAACTCTTGGCTCTGATGAAGTCGACTGTCAGAGGATTCGTACATTCATGTCTAGCTACTGATAACTCATCAACCAACGTCGTGAAGAAGCGGTACGATCCTTTTAAGACACATAGTAATGTTACTGGCTGTAACGGCAAAAATTAGATTTTTATATCAACATATAGGGTAGAATAGTATTAATAGCTTAAAGTGAAAACATCCTAATTATCCACCCCGATTCGTTGATTACTTTACCTTATCTCCAATTTTCTCGTGAATTTCGCGTGCCAGTTGTCGGATTCTGTCCTGGATCAGTCCTTTCGGAATGATAACTGATTTAAGATCATCTTTGTAGCAATTAGGTACAAGGAACAAACTGGTATTGTACTAAAAACGACAGATTGAGATCGCAAAAAAGTCTAGGTAATCAATTATTTCTGTGAAAAAGGAAGTTTCCAATTTTTACAACTTTAAACTAAACTTTGCAGAAAACGTTTAGAAAGCTCTAATTAGTCAGCCATCTTAATTCAATTGTAAGTTAGTCACCACACTGTCACAACATTGGTTAACTTTTAAATTTTAATCAGTGTTGATTTTGATTAAGTTACAGTTTTAAGCAGCTGTTTATGACCGCAAAATCTGCGCTTCAATATCTGTTTAAACACAAATATATCAAAGGTAACAACAATTACCATAAACCAAAAAAAACTTACCTCAACGTCATCGGGTATATCAACACAGTGCGTGGTAGACATATCTAAAGCTATCGGTCGCTATAACGAAGAAAGTAAATGAAAAGGTGATGAGTACCCGAACGCACTTTAAAAGGCCTGGCCCCGCCCATTGCCTCCACCAAACGATAACTTCACGTGCATTACACAGTAAATCACGTATGACAATATACTTTAATCATATAACAAGGTGGTTCAACGCTTACTTTAATGATAAAACTTTGTAACAATCAACAACAATATAAACAATGAGTAACAGTTAAAAGTCCCAGCCATCGTACTCCTTGACGATGCTCTGGTTGGCCTTCCTTCCTCGACGAACTGCACATTCCTTTCCTTTGGCTTTAAACTTTTCCCTTTTAACTCGCTGCTTCTCCTGAAACACGACATTAGGTTAAAGATCGGCTTTCACTTTTTTATACATATATTCATATCAAGATCAAACCAGAAATATTAATGTTAAAAATTACTTTAACTTTATCTTGAAATACATTCCTTATCAGAAAGTGAAAACTTACCGTTAAAAGTCGACTTCTGATGTCTTCTGGAGCTATCGTTGATCCGTTTTCGTAAATCTTCCTGGCCGAAGTTACTTTACCTCTTTTTAATTCATGAATATCAGTTCCAAACTCTGATACATTATCATCTTTCTCCTCATCATCGGCATTGTCTCCTGAAGCAGATGATGCCGGTTTTTCATCGTTTGTACTTATGTGCTTTTCTGAAACAAATATCATTCTTATTATAATTCCCCAAATTAACAAAATATATAAACGAATTTTGCTTACCATAATGTTCTTGCATTTCCTTATCCGTAACTTCAAAATCTTCCTCAATTTTCAACTTTTCGATATGAGTTTGTGCATTTTCCAGCCAATTGGTGAATCGAGAAGCAGCAGCTAATTCGTTGCGCTAAAAATTAGTTAAATAATAATTTAAAACTAAACAAAAATTTAAAAATACCCATTTCATTAAGTAACACCACATATAAAGTTTAAAACACCCACCTTTTCCCGAGCGTCTTCATTTTCCTCCTCCAACTCTTCTTCATCTACATCACTGTCTTCTTCCTCTTCAATTACATCGTTCAGTTCATCTTTAGTCATGTTGCACCTCTCTTCGTACGCTTTGTTGATATCAGCGGCCATCTTCTTTGTGAATCCAGTAGCTGCTAATTCAACATCCAGATCGTATTTCCTTTCCAATTCGTCAAAAGTCGGAAAATCTTCGGATTCAAATGCAAACTTCTTTCTGAAGAACTCTCTGATACATTCCACATCCCTGTCAAAATAGTACTTGGCATTAGGATGGTCGGTACTGGTCATTTGAGGAAAGTCAATGATATACAACTTCATACTGTCCGTGATCATAATGTTGAATTCATTGAAATCACCGTGAATCAAACCATATTCAGCCAACTTCACTATCAATCCCATTAACTCATCGTACAAATCAGCCGGTTTCTCAACCTCCATAAGTTTGTAAAGTGGCACTCCATCAATCAGCCCCATTACCACGGTATGTCTACATACATCTACAGGTTTAGGTACTGGAAAGCCGGCATTGAACAAGGCTTTCAAGAAAGTGTACTCTTTCAAAGCCGAGATTCGAGACAGATACAACCAAGAACAATGTTGCCGTTTGCCATGGTAATCTCGTTTTTCCTTCAGTTTTCTGAAAGATGTTCTGCCAAGTCTACTGAACTTGAGAACAATATCCTTGAGTTCCATATCTCCTCCAACGTATACATCAGATTCTTTGCCCACACCAATCTGGTTTCCAACAGCTCCAACAACATCACGTGACCTTAGAGTATGAAGGGCCAAGTAATCGTATCCCAAGGTTGTCAAGCGATATCCATCAACTAAAAACATCTCTTTACTAACATAAAATTAAAAGTACGCACTTTAACTACGTCTAATTATTGATTTTGGTTGCCTAAACATTCAACAAAACAAGAAAAAACATACATTTGCGACCTTTTTCGTGGTATACCAACTTCATTTTGTTCAAATCTCGCAAAAGATGTGCACATCCTCCGCGATATATGCTGGCAATCATAGAAATAAGTTGCAATGGAACTGCTTCGTGATTCTTCATGCCCATTTCAATGGCCAGAAGCACTCGAAAGTGTTCTTTCTCCATGTGCCTCATTGGTTCCACGTTAAACCGTCCCATTTTGTAAATAGATCAAACAAACTTCAAAAAAGCTTAAAGTAAACGACTTTATAAGTTTTAACAACAAAATCTACAATAACATAAAGTATTCGATTAAAATATATATTTTATTTCACCTATTTATTTCCGACCTGCGCCCAAGCAATGGCAAACTGCAACAAAAAGCGTCAGTCGCCCCCAATTTTTTGTGCTTCCGAGAAAATTATTTTCTTGCTCCTCTTTCATCAGGATCAGATACGGTTTTGTAAAACTAACATGAGTACTGAGCGTAGACGTCAGACTTCAACTCGTTACAGTCCTTATCCACCTGGAGGCTATTCCAGAACTCCAAACCGTCGTCAGAACGAAACTGAAGAGATAATCGAACACGAACCGAAACAGCAGCTGGACGAATCCGTGGTTATCGATGATTATGAACAGAACAGAGGTAAAATATTGTTTTGCTGTGTATTTAAGTTTATTTTTTGTTTGGTTCTAATGATATAACTTTAGTTTCCGAAGCCATTGTGGAAGAAGAAGCCATTTCATTCAGAGACATTGGACAACATGCCAGGGATCAAGGCTTCACCTCCAACGCCGAGATCATTGTATGGCTTTAAATCTTTTTGGAAATTAATTGTTATAAAAGAATAATTAAAAATAATTTCATATTTATAGAACGCCACTCCGATCATCACCATGGACGTCCCAGCTATTGATGTCATGGAATTGTTCAACTCGACACAAAGCGGGGAAGACTTGAAGAACAGTTTGGCAGGAATCGGCTTGATGGTAAGTGTTTTATTTGACAATATTTTTAATTTTAGGCTAACATAACTTAAAAAGTACTGATGATACCAATATTATTCAAAAGTTTGGTGCTCATAAACCTTAAAATTTATACCCTAACCTATAAATTTTTTAGGTCAACAGACTGATCTTCGAAAACAGATACCTAGTTCGAGAATTGCATTGTCTTAAAAGCAATGGCAATATGAACCCAGCTCACAGATTTGATTCTCTGGTGTTCAAGAAGGTGAATGTTGTTAACGAATGGATATATCCTGGAACTCCCGAGATTCCCCTGCGCAACATTAATGATCTGATTGACAATTTCGATCAAAATTCGACAAGAAAGAATGACACAGCTGTGAATACCTTGCGACGATTTGTCAAGTATTTGCTTGAGAATGTAAGGGATTCTGTTTTCATTAATTCTATCGTATAACATTGTCTTATGTTACCATAGGAAGATTGACTGTTAAAAGATTGGGCTAAAGTTATTTTGTAAGAAATTTACAGATAATCCCAAAAAAGCATCACAACAAGTTCACGATCAGAGAACGAGGAGGATACGACCATTTGACAGAACTTCCGATCGATCTTACTACATTAGTGAGGGATGTGTGTTTGGAAACTGTCAACTTGTTTGATCCAAGAACAGATGATGACAAAGAAAGACGAGAAGAGCTTGGAGAACTTGTCTATAAGTACATGAAGTTTGCTCTGTAAGTTCTTCCAACTTTTGGACTTATTGTTTTGTATGTATTACTACAGACACCATGGTGCACCACAAAAACCGCATTCTTACCAAATTCAACTAAATATTAAGCTTTAGGACTAGAATAGTACAAATATCGATAACTTTGTAAATAAAGTAAGCAAAATGTTACAGACAAGAACTTAGAAGAACCCCAAGAAAGTCGAAAGTGCCAGTGGCTCGCCTAACGGAAGAAGAAATCGTCGAGGTGGACGAACAAGTGGCCGTGTAATAATTATATTTGTAATGTTAACACCATTCTCAACAGTTTGATACGACTATTTTATGAACAATAAACAATCAACAACAAACAAGGTATTTTACAAATCGTAACAAACATCATTTTGTGCTTTTAAAGTAGCATATTATTGCTGGAATAATGCATTACCTTAAAGCTAAAGACAATAGCCTATTTTTACCAATAATTTTCGGTAAAACATCGTAAACCTTCTCAATAGCTAATAAACAAAAATATAAAATTACTTTTGTTTCAAGCCGTGATCAATCAGTATCCGTTCGCAATGTTCTCGAATACATCCTTCTCGAACTATAGAGTAATACCCTTTCTCGGACAAGTCAATGATAGTACTTCCGACTCTGCCTTTAGAACAGGACTCTTTATCATGAAGAACAAGGTCAATGCTCTCCCAGAGCTCTTCGAACTCCTGAAATCAAGGGAACATTAAATAGGAAGTTCAACCATCTAAATTTAAATAAAATATATTAAAAAGAGCGCGCACCTCAGGTTGTGTAGAACTGGCATTCCCACTTGTATTAGCTGAAGTTTGAGCAATCGGTTCATCAAACTCAGTACATACTTCTCTTATAAACGCATTGTCCGGTACTCGTACTCCCAAAAGATCGTTTTCGTATATAAAATGTGATGGGAACGATGGAAGTCGCTGCAAAAGCAATGTCACTCGGCCTGGGAGAAGCTTGTACAACAATTCTTTGTCAACTGTCGGGTAGGTGTAGTCGAATATCAACTCTGGATTAGCAAAGAACAAACCAATAGGCTTTTTTGGGTCTCTCTTCTTAACATCTAATAGCTGTTGTGAATGGGAATATAATGTTATCAGGCCGTAAACTGTGTCTGTAGGTAATGCCACAACTCCGCCACGAGATAATACTTCTACTGTGCTTTGGAGTACCTTGCATCCTGTAAAAGACTGATTTATTGGTTTATATTGTAAAAAGTGCTATTATACATTATTTGTTTTAGCTATAAAAACAGTTTAAATTATTCTTTTCACTGAAAAAATATAATTACCCTGAATAACCTACTTTCCTTACAAATATCTGCAAATATCGTTTGTTTTTTAGACATCTTCTGCACAATATCGCCCATCTGCAACACGCTTCTAGCTTGTTTGCTCATTTCCGTCCAAAATTGTCAAATTTTACAAAATATTTTAGAAAATAAAGTCGCAACACGCGGCCGATAAATATGCAGCTTGCGAAACACAGCGCTTGTGAGCTTTCCACCCGCAGCTTTTTCCACCCGCTCGGGAAAAAAATATGAAATAAATGTCGCTTTTTGTTATTGAATCAATGCCAAAACGATTTTTATCGTATTAATGGCACTAACTAGGATGGTATTGGTCCTTGCTTTGCTCTGATTGTCTTCAAACTTTTTTTAGAAAGATCTTATAAATATAATCGTTTGCAAAATTTTAAATCGCGCTTTCAAAGAAACTGAGGAAATGGACTTTGAAAAGTAATTTTAAAACTTAAAAGCGCAATTAAAATTTTTTACATACGTATGCATACCCTATTGATGGTTCAAAGAATTCATTTGAAAATCTTTGAGCCGATTTTAAGCAGAGCAGGTTGAGTAATTTCCTTGTAGATGTACTCTCTAAAAAATTAGGTAAAAAATAGCATATAAAACTGTTTAAACACAATTAAATCAAAACTATAGATGGTGAGATATTTATTATATAAAAGAAACTGAAATTAATTAGGATTTGGAAATCCCAAACGACCCGTTATTTCACTGCACCACCAAGATCAAAGCGAATTGTGCGCTTTTTTGGCAGTCATAAACTGAGTACCATCCCTTTAGAAATTTGGATTTAGTCCATGTACTGTTTGTTGGCTTTTCCGGACGTACTTGTACAAGCTGGAGGAATATTTAACGGCCGCTTGATGGGATAATTCACTAATAAAATGGTTGAGTATAAAACCAACATTTGTTTGCAGCAGTCGTTTATCAAATGTTAAAACACTTCCAACTTTAGCGTAGGAATAAATACCATAATTTATTTTCTGTTGTCTAATTTCTACAAAAATTACTTCACCAAAAGCGCATAATGAAGCCAAAGAACAAGCAATTCGTTTTGTACAAAAGTTTTGGGAATTTTGGGAAAGGCTTTTTGAGCTATTCCGTTGCATACTAAAAAATGCTTATGTAAACTAACGTTAGAAGTGAGTGTTAAAAATAGGCATAGACGTTAATTATATATTTGTAATACAAGTTGTACATGTCTGAAGAAAACTTTTTTATTTGACTTTGCCTGTGTCAACAGATTCAACATCTATGTCACTTTTACAGGGTGTCCCAAGAAAAACGAAAAAAAAACTAAAACGTTATATTTTGGTAGAGAAAAATGCTAAAAATGCCAAACTTGGCATTGTCAAAGATTGGCACATGCGGTTTTTTGTCCCAAAATTTCAGATTTTTCAAGTGCATACTAAGGGCTTTAAGATTTTTTAAAAAATAGTCATTTTCCCCCGAATTACACATGTTTTCAGTTGGAAATGCTTTTTTTTGGGTAAAATTTTCTAAGTTTTTGACAACTTTTTGGTTGAAAATGACATTTTTGACAAAGTTTTTGATTTTCAATCGTCGGCGGAGTATCGGCGGAGAATCGGCGGACGCTTAAAATTATCGGCGCAGGGCATAACTCGCTTGAAAAATAACGTAAAGACATGAAACAAAAATTATTAGTTTTAGAATTATCAAGACTATCTTGACTGATGCTGAGCTAATCTAAAAAATAGCTTTAACATATGCAAAAAAAGTTTAAAAAAAACATAAGGTTCAAAAATTTTTATAATTTTCCAGGACAAATGTTCTTTTACGTTTAAACAGCAAAAATATCACGTTTTTGATTTTTTTGTTGTTAAACGAAGTAAAAGGAGAAATACGTTAAAATTTTCAAGTTATTTGTGCAATTTACAAAATAAACTTAAAAATCCGTTTTCCATGTTAACTTACGTTGTCTTTTATAAGTTCCTGTCTTTTAACGACTTGAACTTTAAGCTCAGCATCAGTCAAGATAGCCTTGATAATTCTAAAACTAATAATTTTTGTTTCATGTCTTTACGTTATGTTTCAAGCGAATTATGCCCTGCGCCGATAAATTTAAGCGTCCACCTATTCTCCGCCGATACTCCGCCGACGATTGAAAATCAAAAGCTTTGTCAAAAATGTCATTTTCAACCAAAAAGTTGTCAAAAACAGAAAATTTTACCAAAAAAAGCATTTCCAACTGAAAACATGTGTAATTCGGGGGAAAATGACTATTTTTTAAAAAAATCATAAAGCCCTTAGTATGCGCTTGAAAAAATCTGAAATTTTGGGACAAAAAACCGCATGTGCCAATCTTTGACAGTGCCAAGTTTGACATTTTTAGAGTTTTTCTCAACCAAAATATAACGTTTTAGTTTTTTTCGTTTTTCTTGGGACACCCTGTATAACCATTTTGAACGGCTTGGTCTTCAATAACAATGTTACGATCTTCAATCTGCACGGCTTGGCTATCACTAATAAAATTGTCATCTTCAAACTGAACAGCTTGGTCTTCACTAATAAAATTGTAATCTTGAACCTGAGCGAATTGGTCGTTACTCATAAAGTTGTCATCTTGAATCTGAGCGGATTGATTTTGTCTTATTTTCGGCGACATAAGCTGCAGAAAAGGCCTTCTCCGAGATTTAATAACAAGAAGCAACAGCAATGTTGCGCTTCTTCATCCAAAATTGCTGTTGCTCCTTGTTATTACATCTGTGATGTCATTAAAGACTTCATCTGTTGACATCCGGCGAATATGACTTAAGCCAAAAATTGGAGCTGTAGAACTAGTTGAAATCGGTGTAGGTTGGGAGTTCACAACAGGCTGCTGAATTGTAGGAATAGTTACATTCGGTGTAGGTTGGGAATTGGCAGCTGTTTTTTGGTTAAATTTTTAGGGGCGCTAGAAGACAAAGTTGGCTTAGAAATCAAAGCTGGTCTTCCCGTTCTTTGACTAACATTTTTTGGACCGGTAGAAGATGATGTTGGCTGAGACAGTATTGTTGGTTGTACATTAGAATATAACAGAATAAAGAATTTTTATAAAATCGATGTTATAGCTCGCTCTTCAAATAACCTCAAATATTCCCAAATACAGTGTCTTAAAGCCCCCTTAAAGTCCCTCAACCTTCTCCGACCATCTTAACTCAAATAATGAAAAGGATACGCAAATTAAGACGAAACTTTCTCACAATGTCCGGTTGCCCATAAAACAATACGCCTTTTTTAAGAATGCGACTATCGTCGCAAAAATAGATTGAAGAAAACGTTCTTTTTCATATATTAGTCTTTACTTTACAAAGAAAGCGCCAAATCTTATAAAAAACGTTTGATATAAAACGTTTCAAGTTTTTAACTCCAATCACTCCATCTATTATAACTTAGGTCAATCTGCTTTATTGTATAGTTAATGTGAGAAACATGTATTACGTATGTATAGGTTAGAAAATGAGAGATCATGATGTTTACTTGATGCGGTACAGTAGTCTTCTTTGCATTCTGTATTGGAGTTCGCCCCTCTTCACCAAGTACTCGATGACCCGTTTGATGACCGACTCGGAGTAGCTTTGTCTCACAAACTCCTGTACGATCATGTGTTCTGATACGTGAGTTCCGACCAAGAAGTGCTTCTTCAGCTGCTTCTCGACTCTGGCGAAGGTTTCACCGTCAGCTTTGTTCGTGAATCCCTCAGCTCCAGCCAAGTGACCGGCAGCGGCAGCAGCGATGGTGGAGACATTGAAGAGTCTCAAAGCTTCGTCAACGTGTCTGACATCAGCAAATGGCAATAGCTCCATCTTGGCCAAGGATTCACTCAATCTGACGATGGCTTCGAGCTGTCTGACGGTGATGGGGATGACATTGCTTTTGGCTTGGACATCTTCTGGAGGGTTTCTGATCTGAACGTAATGTTTGTTCAGTTTCTGGGCTGCTTCTTCCGAAAGGCGTGGAGCACAAGTGGCACGAGCATAGTAAATGTAGCGTTTCAAGAAGTCGAGCGATAGTTCATCTGGGTTTTCACGAGTTTCGTGTTCAGCGTTCATGTGGACGGCAACAACGTGCTTGGCCAGGGTCTAAAATATAGGTATGAACTTTAGGCAACTTCAAAATTATAAAGGGTAACGCAAAATTTTGCATTCGCTTTAAAAATTAACTAGCTTAAATAGGAATATCATTACGATAACCCACCGCATCCCTCAAACTGTCGTGAACATCCTTGACGACAAAGATAGTGTCGAAACGAGACAAAATGGTTGGCATAAAGTCAATATTCTCATCGCCCTTACTGTCATCCCATCGTCCAAAGACCGAATTGGCAGCGGCTAACACCGAGCATCTTGAGTTCAAGGTGGTAGTGATACCAGCCTTGGCAATGGAGATGGTCTGTTGTTCCATTGCTTCATGAATGGCTACACGATCGTCTTCTCTCATCTTGTCGAATTCATCGATACATACGACACCACCATCGGCCAAGACCATAGCACCACCTTCCAAAATGAAACTTCTCTGAAATACAAACATAATCAGTACAGTTTACTTGCATAAACTATGAAATCGAAGATTATGCCTTGCGCATAGACTACATATCAACAGTTAACCTACCGAATGTTGGTCCCTCATGACAGAAGCGGTCAAACCAGCAGCACTACTTCCCTTTCCTGACGTATAAACTGCAATTGGCGCTACTTTCTCCACAAACTTCAACAGCTGAGACTTGGCGGTACCTGGATCTCCCAACAGAAGAACATTGATATCTCCTCTTCTTGTCAATCCATCTGGCAATCTCTTCCTAGATCCTCCAAACAACATACAGGCAATTGACGCCTTAATATCATCAGATCCGAAGATTGAAGGAGCAATACTCTTAGAGATCTTCTTGTAGACGTCTCCTTGCTTTGCAAACTCTCTGAAATTGTATTATTATAGAGCTTGATACATGGTTAATATAATATTAATACATAAAATAGTATAATAAATGTTTCAGAATCAAGTTATCCATAACAATACAAAACTTACTGGAACTCTCGTTCTTCTTCTGGACTAAAGATGGGATTGTCACTTCTTCCTGGCCCATTGTTCTGAACTTTAACACCAAGAACTCGCAGGTATGGAGTTCTAATCAATGACATAGACTTGTCTACTCCTTTTTGGCCCTAAAATCATCAAACAATAAAATAAAATCAGTTAAACACTACTCAATATACAGTCAAAAAACTGATCTTTTAAGCTAAGAACTTACCTGTTTGTTAAACAACTTCTTGATAGAGAAGATTCCAGTCACTTCCACACGATTTCCAGGTGTCACGTTATCAGTCAGATACCTATCCACATAGAGTTGCATGTGTCTTGGCATTTCTCCTTGAGGTACATCTTCTGGGTTCTCTTGCAGCTTCAATGTCTGATAGTCAACACAAACACTCTTATCAGGCATAATGTGGTAAGGATCCATGGGACATCGTTGAGCTTGAGTTCCTTGAGATCCGCGACAAGTTCGAGGAAGTTGGAACCCTTCCAAACCTCGCTCGACCTTAATATCAGTGATAACATGGTGGCAAGTACGACATTCCAAAGTAACCTTGACAGCACGAGACCGGACTTGTGAAGCGGCAATCACGATTCCAGACACTTTGACCAAATGGGAAACATCACTTGATTTGATACGACGAATACTTGTCGGTGCTCCATCCATATTAACAATGACTTGGATATCTTCAACATTGTCTTGTCCTTCGGGTCGAGGATGAGTCAAGGCATCAACAACATCCCTAGCTGCTGCTTCAAGCTAAAAAAGCAAAATTAAGTCATACAATACCGTTTAAAAACATTTTCTTTCCAAATTTACATAAAATTATATCTAAAACAAAACTTATACAAGTAGAAGTATACTTTAGTTCATAACTTTAAAAAAAGCCACAACATTTAACTTACTGAAACTTGATACTTGCTAGGTTGCTTCTGATACTTCATCGCTAGCTCCTCGTTGAAAGTCTTTAGATCATCAAAGGAAATATCGATCATGTACTTGTGAAGAGTATAATTCTGCTTCAGACGATCTCTAAACACCAGAACTCAGCGAAAGATAGATATACATACCTGTAATGCATTCCAAAACTCTCAATGAAGAATTCCCGAAAGAAGCATCGGAATTGTTCGACCGTTTCCTTGTATTCGGCGACGAGTTGTTGTCCTTCATCCTCAATATTCTCGTCTTTGTCCAAGTTTACAGTCTAAACAGTGAAATTAATGTGTTACACTACGTTTACATCTAGTTTACAAACTAGATATAAGTAATCCAATTCAACATAAATTTAAATCAAAGTGCACAAAACAACAAGACGTGAAATTTGATACAACAGTAATATCAGTTTTTATGTCAAAGTTAATTTGAACTAAAAATGCAACATACTCTGTAAGAAACTTCGGTACCATGCATGGCCATCATTTTCGAGCCAATCCCTAAATTGTATGGAAAATTTCTGAACGTTAAAGTTTTGGTTTTTCTTCGAAAATATTGTTCGCAGCTAGTTTTCGCGCCCAAATTGAACCGAAAAATTGCGCCAAAAACACTTCGTTCCAGAACATACATTCCTTTAGTCTAATTTTTAATTTACTTGTATTTCTAATTACACGGAGAAGTAGTATCTCACTAAATCTAACAAAAACTTTATTAAAGCATGAAGATGGTACAACAAGTTTTTTATTGGTTAAAATACTTAATATACTGTACAATTGCTATTAGAGACATCAAACCAAAAATAAAAAAAAATTTTTAGTTAGTCTAAAAGACTTGACTATAAAACTAAACTTGTTCATAGAATCAGGCATCTTAACAAACTTCAAAGTATATTTACAATTCGAACGAGACATTGATTGTCATTCTGACTTTTGCTTTTTTGTGTGTCGGTTGCTGCCGCGACAAATCATGGGCCAAACTCTGAGACCGTTCCATTCGGCCGAGCTTCAAAGAGTTAAGGCCTGCGGCGTTTTCGACTACACTCCACAGCCTCAGGAGGAAATGCTCCAACTGGATACTGACGTCGACCAAAAAGGAAACACTACTGTGGCTCACGTCTTTCGGAGAACGAGGTAGGGATACTGTAGTATTAAATTGTGTTATGAAATAGTCTACTGTAGATTTTTCGTAGTTTAAGTGTGTTGTGTCGTTGGAGTGTGGTTTAATAAAGAGTTACTGTAAAAGTCCAATTTGAAGGTAAACGGATCAATATGAATGTCTGATACGTATATCTTGCTATAGTATGATTTTCCAGAGAGGTGTACGGTCAAACACCTAAAGACATGAAGAATAAAAAAGTAGATTGGAGTGAGTACATTACTCCTTTGAAGAACCGACCTTCTCCCTATGACTTCCCAGCGTTTGAGCATGAAGAACGTCCGAAAGGTAAGATTTGAACGAAAAAATGGTATTATACTACTATTATACTTAAAAAAGAAACTTTTAGTTTATACTGACAAATTATAAGCTTCTCAAAATTTATAAAACTGTATGTTGATAATGACGCCAAATTACAGGAAAAGACAAGACTTCGCACGAAAAGAGCAAGGAAAGAAGTAAAGAGGGCAAGAAGGACAAGACCAAGTCCGTCTCCAACAAGGAGGGTACCAAAGAACACACCAAGGAGGAAGCCAAGCCAAAGTCCAAGGAGGTTCACGACAAGTCGGGCAACAAGTCTGCGGCTTCTGGAGGAAAGAAGGGCGGTGGCAAGAAGAAGCCTCGTGTCTCTCACAACAAAGACCTGGATCACTGTAGTTTAGAAGATTAAAAACTGTTTTACTGACTGTTACTTTTGAATTATAGTCGTAATACTGGGGCTATTGTGCACATTTTTTATACACACAACTGTGGCCTTTTTATATTTTTCATGGGAAAACTTCCAATACCTTCAAAAGTAGGACCAGTTTCTTGTAAAATCAAATTCCCAACTATACTTTTTGATATTTCCACAACCTTTTAGATCACAATCAACCCATAAAAAAAAATTAAATTATACGGTTTATTTCATTACAAACATACATGAGAGGTGTTCGGTATGGAATAAAACAATTTCGAACATCAATCGTAACAGTCAAGGTTTACTGAAAGATTTCGCCGCGAGGTGAAGTCGCAGCTTCGGCCCGCGAACCGCCCGGATTCTCTTCGGTCTTAGGTGCCGGAGCAGCTTGAACTTGAGGTTGTTGCGCGTTGGCTTGTGCGATAGTTTGGGATTGGTAATATTGTAGTTGATAAGCAAGCGGACTGATTTTGAAGCCGTATAATCTAAAATTTGAATGTCAAATTATGTGAACGATATAAGATTTTTCAATGAGAATAGCACAATTGGGATTGTAGACCCCAAAACAAAGCATTTTTTAAACTTTTAACTAGCGATAGTCTAGGTAAACAATGAAAATAACCTTACCGTGGTACGTATGTTTTGTTAGTTCTTTTTGGTCGGAGATCAGGGTGCACAAAGAATAACATGTGGGGAAAGCCGGTACCAAAATAAGCTCCATCAATATGGTGATATTTAGATGAACGAGGAACAAATACATCACAGCATCGTGGGCAGTAAACTCTGACCATAGATTCGTTTACGACATCAGATAAACCTAAAAGTTGAAAATAAAGTTATTTGAACTAGACAAATTTTCGAATAAAATTTTAGCTACAATAATATAAAAAATAAAAATCCTTAAACTTGTTTTACTTATTATTGTTACGTTCAATGCAAAGATGAATATAACAATAAAATTTAAAGAATTATACAAAAACTTTAAATTATCAATGAAAAAAAGCTTACCAATAGGCAAAACAGGTTGATTTTCACAGTATACACGAGGGCAAGTTCCAAACTCCTCGCTCTTCCACTTCTCCACCATCAACTGAATACCTCTGTTGGTGAGGATGAATCTGGAATGGATCAATCCGTACAATAATTCGGCCGCCTGTTCCACGAGATCAGAGTGACCTTCTTCGTATTCGTCGTCTAAACAAATAAATTAAAAAGACTTTAAACTTGCCTGGCTCCAAGTCCAAGATCATGTCCAAAGCCTGTCTGAAGTGGGGGACTTGTTCCGACAGTCCAGTCAAGTTGAATCTGTCCTGGATATATTCTTCATCGACTTCGCAGAAGAAGTCGTTGCCGCGAAGGCCACAGAACCAAGTTATCCACGAAACCTCCTCTGAACTAGTCATTGTAGTTCTAAAAAAAGTGTCTTGAATAAAATAACTTCGAGACTATAAAATGTATTATATTACATTAAGTACGTGAACTTTGGACGTCAAAATTAATTTAAAAGATAATAAAGATACACATAAATAATTACGAATAAGCAACGACCCTTTCTTTCTTCGCTATTATGTCGTATTTTACTCCCGCTATATACCTGATCAAAAATTGTAAAAAAGTTCGCTTGAAAAACAAAAAGAAACGAAGTGTCTCGGGTAGAGCGAAGTGCCACAAAAGTTATCGGAGCGCGCTTCTTTGGTTATTTTCGGAACGTTACCTTTAAAAAAGCTTTATGATTATGTATATTAACGTCTCTATTATCTAAACTTACTTTAGTTAACTTTAAACGTGCTTTATGAAAAGGTAAGTTTATTTTGCAATGACTTATTTCTGATTATTTAAATATGTTGTTGATCGTCAAAGTTAATAATTTCCTATAACTGCTCTTCGGTAACACTAAATTATTATTATGACAATGATAACACCAACTCTATTCTGACTCGTTTATTTGTTAAAATACCAGACATAATATTATAACTAAAATTAGCATAAACATGGGATATAAAAATATATACTTCTCTACGAAAATGAAGATTCTGATAAATACGAAGGGTTATTAATATTAGACGGTGCGAATCCGACCAGGTACGTAGTTCTTGTCAATCTCATTGTACTGGAGGAAGATGTGGAGGGACTTTTCGTTTTGAGCCAAAGGGTGACCGGCGACTCTGAAAGCGAGGGATTATTAATATTAAACATATCAGTGTTTGGTAGTTTTTTCATCAAACACTAATTACCTATTGTTAATTATAAAATAACATTGAAACAAAAATAACAAACTGATCAAATATAAAATTCAAAATAACGTCTTTTGCGCTGTTTTTTGACCTTATTATAGTAAGATATCAGTTTTAAAACGTACTTATTTAAAAACTGTTCCAATCCTTTCCGCCTGTCCTCGATAAAGCCTTCTTCGAATATACCATCGTCAGATCTGAAGGGAAGTTGTCGTTTCAAGGCTTTTCCTGGGAGTGGAGGCACGATGATCTGCAAATAATAAAATTATTATGCATGATTATGATAATAAATGACTTTCACTTAAAAAGCCCTTTAATACAGTAAAAATATGTCTGTTAACAATAGATTATGTTGTAATTGATTAAACAAAGGTTTTAATGACAAAATTAAACTATTTTCTATAGTCAAAATTTGAAAAAACTGTTTTTTAAACAAAATTTGATGAAAAACAATCAAAATCTTATACGAAACTCGCAAAAAATTCGACTATTACTCAACATTGCAACAATAATTGACGAAACTTGCATAACATAACCTTAAAGAACGTTCTTACCTTGCTATCTCTCTCCAACTCGTTCCTCAACCACTCAAACTCTGAATATCTTCGTCGCACAGTTGATTCTTTATGTTTGAACACCGGAAGGTTCGTCTAAACAAGAATAACATAACTACAACTGAACCTACTCTCAAGCGGACTTCGTAATCCGTATATCGGTTCTTTCCGACGCCATGTGTGATCGGATTCACGACCTCGATCTCCAAGAAGTTGGCCGGTGGCGCGTAGGCTTCGTCCAGAGTTTGACGTTTGGAAACGAGGCGCTGAGTTGCCGCAGTGCTCATATTGTTTATCTGGAATCGAATAAACCGTCGGAAACGAGAAAAAGTGATATAAAACGCGACAAGTGCACAAACGAAATTCAAAGTCAATGTTTTGATCTGAAAACATCGGTCTAAACTTCCATTTCTATCGATCTGAGTTGTCGTTTGCGCGTCTTGAGCGGCTAAAACCCTAGAATAATCAAGAGCAAGACTTGACCCCAAATAGGAAGTGCCAAGTGTTCCCACTTATTCTAGTTATCACATCATTCGTCTGGCACGTGGTAATAACAGCACGAAAGGACATTCATTTTACGGAATACACTATTGTTTATTTTTTTTCATTAATCACATGAACTATATTATATTACCTAATGGATTGACACAAAGATAACATCATATTACAATTGAACTGGTATAACAATAGCTGCCGGTCGGTTCCGAGCTTCGTTCAGATTATGTCTCCATTCGATTGACGTCAAATACGGTGACTCAGAGGTCACTTTGAAGGCCTCACAGTGCTTAAGAGCCTGTTGACCATCCCATCCGCCCATTACCAATATTATTGTAGTGCCAGCTTGCTCGAATATTACTGTGCTGTGGTTTTCTCTGGCTATCTGTAGCTTTGTCTCCAGCATCTCGGTTTTTCTGGTTTTGACTTTATATATTGATATGGTTGAGATGACTGATATGCCATCAAATCCTCCGATATTAACTATGAAATCGTTGTGATATGTGCTCGTATGACCTTCCACAGAATATGGTAGCCTGCTCTCGTACTGTAACTTGTCTTCTTTGTATGTAAACACAGTGTCCAATGTTCTTTTCCCGTCCCATCCTCCAATAATGTACACAATGTTGTCATTGGTTGTCACAGCTGTCGCATTTTTCAGATCGGTCGAAAGGTTTGTGCCTTTTTCCACGTTGTCTTTGAACAATTTGTACGTGGAGTTTAAGCACCCGGTGAGGTTGAAACCTCCGAAAACAAGGCCATTGTTATTCTGCAAACAGTTTGTTATCTGCACGTTAGTATAACATAGTATTTGTGATTATAATGACGTCAATTCTAGTTTAATATAAACTGTTTGTCTACCTTATCTACGCAAAAAGCAGAGCAGCTGAATCCATCTTCAAAGACATTAGGCTTTATTGTGTTGACGTTGTTCTTGTCGATAATCTCCATCGAATTCAGATGTTCTCCTTTGTTTTTACACCCTCCAGCTACAATTATCTTTGAGTCACGATAGAATACAGCTGGAGATCGTCGCTTTTCATGGAGCGAGAACTTCTGAGGTTCGAAAGCTTGGCCATTTCGGCTTATTTCAATTGATTTGAGGCACCCGTCTTCGGCCGAAGCCGTTGCTCCACCCAAAACTACTATCATGAATCCATTTCTTATCAGTTTTGACATAAAACTAGAAAGGTCACACATTAATATAAGAAACTTAATTCAAAGAAATTTATAATGTAATTAAAGTATCTAATTATCAAAATGATTAAAATTGTACACAATTGACAGAACAACGATCAAAAAAACCATATGATACAGTAATTATCAGTTTAATATCTTTCAAATTGAAATATAACTATTTCGATACTACAATCAGTTAATAATTCACATGTTTTCGTGAGGTCGTCGTTTGAGTTTGACTATCACCGTGCTTAACTCAATTGCTTTTTGACAAAGTTGGTGACATCGACAAGTTCCTGAAGATTTATTACTGAATTACACATATTATGACAATACTAGCTCTTGTTCTTGTCTTTATGAGTACCTATTATTAATACTGCGCCACTAACTATTGTAATGTAACTTATTATATCACTCACCTCTTCGGTGCTGGAATGATCACAGTTGTAAGTCTTAAACACAACATTCGGATTGAAAGTCTTGACCTTTTGTTCGGTCATTTGGCCAAAAGTCAGTGGAACTAAAGGATCGTTGCGGCCATGGCCCAAGAATACTGGGGTTTGCTTGTTGACGCTTACTTTCTAAAACAATCGTAATTTAGATATTAAGTTTCATATATAATCTAAAAAACTGTACCTATAAGGAAATAATATGTAATTTTACTTTACTATTATACGATACCTACCCCTTCGACCGTATCCCTTTGAAGCAAGAAACCGCTAAGCGAGATAACACCAGCCAGCTTGGAAGAGAACGTTAATCCGGCGTGAATGGCCAGAGCTCCGCCCATTGAAAATCCGCCAATGAAGATCTTCTCCGATGGAATTCCCTGAGAAATCTCTTTCTGGATCAATGCATGAGCATAGTCGGTTGCTGTCGCAATTCCTGGTGCATCTTCTTCTGAGTTGGGACTCAGTCCTTTCAGATCGTACCAAGCTGGCATTTGCATACCAAAGTTGAGAGTGACCGGCCGGGAGGCACTGTAAAAAAATTATTTAGATCTGACATACAACGTGGGCAAGCCAAAGTAGATTTGACATTAGACACTAAAAAACTGAAACTTAAAGAAGCCTGTACAATATAATAAACTTACTATATAAGCATGTACAATAAAACTAAAAAGTAGGTAATGAGCAAAACTTACGCATTTGGGCAGACTACTTTAATTCCAGCCTTGTTCAAATGACCCGATAGGATTTGGCTCCATCCAACGCCTTGATCTCCCAATCCGTGGAAGAAGATCAACTAAAAATTAAAATTTACTACGTTGTTACTAACGTATAAAATAAAACAACATGCCAAACAATTAAAGTTATAGCAAACATTAAAAAATCGATCACAGGTATCATTAGCAACCATGCTTACAATTTTTTTTCTGTTCTCTAAACAACTTACAGTACTCTTGTGTTCTCCAATAGCCTTAGTCTCATAAGGAGAAGTGCCAGCTACAGTTGATGAAGTCATTGTCGACGGACCGCCAAAGCACGACCGAAGTGTTGTACGAAGTGACGAGAACAGGGTGTTAGAGATCTACAATAGTATGTCCTTACGTTCAAAAACTTTTAAAGCAAAAATGAAAAACTACTAACCAAAGCTTCATCACCAGAACCTCTAAAGGATTAGTCGGTACCTACTTATCAGGTTAGTATACTAATATTTAAACTAAAATAAAACGCTTACAAAAAGAGAACAAATCGCTACAACTGTGCATAATACAATCAACAATTTCATATAACTCATACGCCTAAATGCAGTCAAAAAACAGTAAAATAACTCAATATAATCAGGTTTATATTACCCTAACTTCAAATACAAAGCTCATAAAATTATTTATTATGTCTCAAAACAATGTTTTACATCCGTGTTAAATACCTACTGTGACATTTCTATATTATTAAACTCGATACAACACTTTAAAATGTGATATTACTAACAGTATTAATAATAACATAGAACTCAGTATTAAAATAACATAGAAGTCAGTAATAAACTATCGATTACCACGAAGCTCGAAGGTTCAAAAGCGACTTTGAATAATTTAACACAGCTATAATAAATATATGTAATATCAATAGTTATATTAGTCGATCTTGACGGCACCATAAATACGACGGAGGAAGAAGTAGGCCGCGTAGAAGCCGACGGTACCAGTTAACAAGGCAAATGTGATCGATATCAAGGAACTGTACACAAAGTATAGTAACGTTGGGACAAAGCCTTCGATTGAGAGCTGGAAATATGTAAAGTTAATAGTTAAACCATTTTAACAACATAAAAACATATTTTACAAGCATTTAACTACAATAATATGATAAAATAACTTCCAAAACCTACCTTAGTATAGTAGTAATATACAGAGTAAGCAAACACGTAGAGAGCAGATCCAGTGCTGACACTGAACGACTTCCACCACCAATGGTAATTCTCGGCACACAATTGGAAGTAGGTAACCACGATGGCAATCTGAGTGCACGATACGAACAGAATCCCCACGACAAGCCACAAGAATCCAAACAGATAGTAGAATTGGTTCTCCCAAATGGCGGAAAATATAAAGTAGAGCTCAATGAATACAGCTCCAAATGGCAATACTCCAGCAATCAAAGCACAAGGTAAAGTCTTCAGATACCACGGTTGATCAGGTACTTGGCGTGGAATCTGATTGGTGCGAACTGGATGAGCATACGGTTGTTTACGGTAGCCAAAGTGGAATCCGATAAAGACGAGAGGAAGATCGATACCTAGCCACAAGAAGAGGAGGGCAATCATCGTCGTGAATGGAATCTGAAAAGATCGCCATTTAAAATCATGTTTAACTTAATATTGTTACAAAAAGGTTGAAAAACTAAACTTACAGCTCCAGAAGAATGTTTTCCGATCAAAAAGAAGTTGATCACAAATCCAGTACCCAAAATGACAGCTGGGAACAATGTCGCCGTCTAAAAATGCAAACAGTTAGAATATCGTTTTAACATGACATTCATACGATCACAAAATATTACTTTCTCTACTATTAAAGTGTGTTGTTATACAAAACTTACTCTGAACGCGCAGCTTCTTGGCTTGTCTCCTTTGAAAGTCTTGTACAATCTTCCTGAATGATAACCAGCCACCAATCCCATAAAACAGTACAAGAAGATAGCTACAGAAGTCAACGATCCTCTGCTGCTTGGTGATAACATACCCAGCATGGCAAACGCTGAAAATAAAACCATAATTACAAAAAAAAACAACATTTTTAAATTAAGGTAATTCATGCATCTAAAAAATTCATTTTGCTACCAAAGCTCATTGCTTATACTGTCCAAAAAAAAACAAGCTGAAATCCAAAAACAACTTACTAACTGTAACAACAACCATGCCGATGACTTGAATACCAGTTCCGACAAAGTTGACCAACAACATGTTGTACCTTGGCGGCCTAAACACATCAGCGTGCACCAACTTCCAGCCGGTTTCCTCCAAGGCATCCTCAAGGTCGTCAGCTCTGTTATACTTGGAAATATCCTTTCTAACAGTTCTAATTATGATTACACTTAAAAATCCAGCCAAACATGCTACAACAACCAAAGAATTCAAGATAGAGAACCAGTGGATCTGAACATCAGTACTCTTAAGCAAAGTGTCCCATCTACTAGCCCATGGTACTGAAGATTCCTCCCATTTTACGCTGTAACTCCACACTACTGTGTTTTCGGAATCCTTCTTGAGTTCTTGGTACTCTGCACCGGTGTTTAATGCACATTTCTAAACAAAAACGCTTTAAAATAGACAATATAACAGTAAAATCTTAAGAAATAAAAAGCAAACTGCACTAAATTTAAAAAAAACCAAAATAAGCCCACTTACTCTGTCACCTTTGACTTCATAAGACGATTCATGAACAGATCGTGGCTTCACTTCAAAGCCGACAACTCTGTGAACTCCTGGAGTCGGTTCGTGATACCTCAAGACCAGTTGTAAATGATTGTATACGTATGTTTTGCTTCCATCAGTCCATCCGATTCTGTAGCCATTGTCGTAGAAATATTCTCCAGGCTTCTCTGGAATCTCGTACCTTGTAGCACATGGCAAATTGTCTACTAACCTAAAAATTGTAGTTGATTATGTTAAGCACACAATAAAAACGATAAAAGTTCCTTTGATCGAATTTAAACAAGTTTAATTACGCAAAAACATAAAAGAATAACAAACAATAACAAATTTAAAAGCACTTTTAATTAAAAATTGTCAAAGTTTAACTTACAGATGAACATGGTAATCTTCATGAATCCTCCTTATCAACAAGTTTGTCTCCTCCACCGTCAAAGTCTTTTTCTCGCTTTTATCTGCGCACAATGTCTGACATTCGGTGTTTGTTTTCATGTAAACATCAAATGGTGTGTTGACAATACGATCTCCTCTCATAACCTCGCCCAGGTTCTCAGACTTGTAGTAGACTTGACCTTCAGGTTTGCAGAATGGCAACGAATAGTACTCATACGGCACCACACTCTTGATACTCGTCAATTTGATACCCTAAACATCAAAAATACTTTCAAAACATCAAAAAACACCTACCTTAACTTCAATCGCATCCCCGATCTTAAACTCGTTAGGTGCTACACCAGGAACATAGAATGCATCACTTATTGGCGTCGTTGCCAATAGTAATATCAACGTGAAGCAGCTCTTATGCCTCATCTCGTCTGATAAGCCCAGATGTAATGCACGTCAGACACAAAAATTGAGCCACAGGAAAAGTTCGTTGGAAAGTGAAGAAAGACTTGACCCGTTCTATTAAATGTGTCAAAGCTCGCCCGGTTGCTGTTTACTATGTAATTAGGTCGTACTTGAGTGTATTAATAGATGTTGATGTAGTAGATGGAAAAATGGCTAATTTTTAATGTTTTTATTACAAAATATAAAACTTAACTAACAAGACAATTAATTTTCATTAAAAAAAGATCGTTTTGGCATAGCCAAATTGGCGGTAAATATTCCTTTCAAATCACAAAAAAATGTTTTTTTTTTCTAATTTTTTTAAGTTAACTGGTCTGAATTGGACATAAAATTTTGTAAATATAACTGGGACGAATAAATAAAAAAGAATAGACTTCCAAAATGTCACCAGAAGAACGAATAGTCGAGTTGGAACAGGAGAATATTATACTGAAGGAGGATCTGAACCGACTGAACAGAAAAGTAGGTAATTTTTAGACATGATAGTTAAGTTTAGGACGAAACTGGTGGAGGAGACATTGAATTCGATTGTTGTGCTGGAAGTGACGTTGATGTTGGAGAGACTTGTGTTCGACTTTTGAAGTTTCTGAGGGATGTACAAGAAAGAAATGTCAAAAGCAAGGAAACCATATTGAACTTTATGAGAGAGAAAGGGTACTCAGTTCCAGAAGAGTTTACAGAAGCTCCTGCAGCTGAGGATGGCGATGAGAACTTACATAAGGGAGAGAATAATAACCAAAACGTACGTTTTCTTGTTTCTATAGTTATTTTTCTTTTACCTGTGGGCAATTTTTTATTTTACCTTTAAAATTTTTGATGTAATGCAAAGTGTAATTCATGGAAACGTTAATATTTTTGAGGATTTTTTTTATATTTACAAAAGCACTGGTTAAATAGCTTTTTTTAGCTATTTTTAAACTGAAATTAAATTAAATTTTAACTTTTGAAATTCCAGGGCTTCAAAACCGACTCCAGAATCTATAACCACCTAGTGGACGTGCACGACGCTCTTCTCATGGTCAAAAACCAGTTGAATATATCGAAAAGTGATTAAATTTGTACATATGAGTGCGTTGTAATATTTATTTATTTTCGCTTGGTCTCTTTCCTTTTATTGAAATCAAATCTTGCTTTTACGATAATATTGTTTGGAGTGATGGGTGACAGGACCGAGTTGGTAGCTTCGTTAAAGGAAACTTTTGCTAAAACTTTTTCGAAACCGGCTGAATATGTGATAAGATGTCCTGGTCGGGTTAATTTGATAGGTAAGAGAGTTTTTGTAGTTTTGGTCAAAAAGTAAATAGAAAACTTACGTTTGAGCTTGAATAAGGATGTCCATCGTTGATAAGCTTGTGAATACATAAATTTAAAGGTTTTGTAGTAGCTATTAGAGAACGAAAATTTAAACTTATAAGGTAAAGACTGTTCATATTACATTAAAGGTGAACATATTGATTATAACGGCTATGGCGTTCTTCCCATGGCCATTGAGCAGAGTATTTTTGTTGTTGTGGCCAAAAACAATGATAATATCATCAGATTCCGAAATTCGATGGAGAAGTTTGTGTAAGTTTTTATTTTTTGTAGTGATATCTATTGTTTACCTGGTTGTGTGAGTAAAATAACCTGTTATTGCTGTAAACCGTTTTAAACTTTATCATATTAGTCCATACGATTGGACGGTAGACCTAACCTGGCCAGGCACTAAGTTTCCCAAATGGTACGAATACTTTTTGTCTGGATGGAAGGGCGCAGTAAACTGGTTACAGAGTAACAATAAAGAACATTCCATCTCTGGATTGGATGTGTATATTCATGGTGACATTCCACCAGCTGCCGGATTGAGTAGCTCTTCAGCCATGGTTTGTGCTTCTGTTTTGACAACATGGACAAGTTATACGGACAAAATATTTGAAGGATACACTAAAGTGAGGCTAATTTGATACGGATGATAAGAAATGACTTTGCACATTATTATAGGTTTTAGTTTTATGATATAATTTTTAAAAACGATGAAATTGTACTAAAGAGGTAACAAAGTAGTTTATAGAGAGATGTAGTAGAAGTTGCTACACGTTCCGAACGACTGGTCGGCTTAGAAGGTGGGGGTATGGATCAGGCTTCTGTAGTTCTTTCAGAAGAAGGAACGGCCCTTCACATTGACTTTGATCCATTGGAGATTCGGAAAGTGGAGCTGCCTTCTGAAGCCTTGTTTTGTGTTTTACATTCTGGAGTGGATTCCAACAAAGCAGCTACATCGAACTACAATGAAAGAGTTGTGGAGTGTCGTGTGGCTGCACAGGTCAGATTGCTGATATGTTCTTATGTTAATTTTAATAGCAATATGATATCTAACTTTGCTAAGACTTTGAAATTAGGTGTACTATATTTTCAGCTGATGACATTGTCATCGAAGCAGCCGATTGATGACTATAAAACAATCAGAAGATTGAGGGATTATCAACAGCATAGTAATCTGAATTTGGAGGATTGTAGTAAAAAATCTGAAGCTCAGCTCCATCCAGGAATATATCCGAAGGCGGAACTACTGAAACTTCTGAAGACTGACGATGACGATTTTAAAAAGAATTCTTTGAATCCAGCTACAGTTGACAGTAATTAAATAGACGAAAATAAGTATCTTTCAGTTGATAATAGGTTATAATTCACTTTTCAGAGCAAGAGTTTGAGCCCTTAAAGCGTGCCCTCCACGTATTCTCAGAAGCTCAACGTGTCGATGACTTTGAGAAGGCTTGTATTGAAAAGAACCTAAAGGAAATGGGAGATCTTATGAACCAAAGCCAATTCAGTTGCAAAGATCTATACGAATGTAGTTGTCCCGAGATGGATGCTTTGACAGACAAGTGTAGACAAAGTGGTTGTGTAGGAGCTCGATTGACTGGAGCTGGCTGGGGAGGTTGTGCCGTGGCATTGATAGACAAGAATGACAAGGAAAAGGTCGAAAAGAACATAAACGTGCTGTTCTGGACAAAGCCTAGTGCAGGGATCGAAGCTACCAAAGTCTAAAGCTGTTTGATGTGAAAATTATTAAGTAATGTAATCAGTATTTAGTCAGTTTTTATATTCTTAACTGTAACTTAAAAATTTCATAAAATAAACCTTTTCTTCAATAGAAAACTAAACTTTTATTGTCAAAAGCATAAATAATACGTACAACCTTTCGAACTTTATTAAAATACAATTTGTCAGGGCTACTGCTAGTAATGTATATAACACTATGAGTAAATTAAAATTTATGCATTCAAAAAAAAATAGATTAGTATCGGCCTTGAGACATTTCATTTGCGGCATGGGTGGCGGCAGCTCGGGCGGCTTGCGACGCTGCTGCTTGGACATTCCGATCGGCCATAACTCCGTCGCTGAACTCCTTTCTGGCCTTGTCCAACGTAAAGCCGGCTCCACGGTAAAAGCGGTGCACCTTCACCAAACTGAAGGCCATTCCAGCAAAGGCGGCAGTGAAAGCTATGGCTGAGGCGACCATAACCAAACCGACAAAGAAGTGTTGGCCAAAGACTCCAATGGCATTCGACCAACCACAAGCATACGATGACAACCCCAGCATCTGGACGAAGCAGAAGAGGGAATGGAAAAAGAGGACGAAGAAGAAGATCATGAAGTTGAAGGAACTGTCGTCTCTACAAAGAAATTGACAGTAAGTCATCAGTTAAACATGCTTTTCAATCATAAACTACCTAAAATCAGAAAAGAATAATAAAAAGAGTTACCTAAACGCCTTGTAAACGGGTCTGAACCAGAACAAGAAGGCGCATGGAGTAAATAGAATCAGCTGTATCACTGACAACATAAAGACTCCGATAGCGCCGTTCGCCAGAAGCATGTATAACAACGACGCTACGGCATTGATCGTCAAGGCGGCTACATATGTCAGGTAAGTGTAGTAGACCATCTTGACGGTCTCTTGGAACTGTACAGGAACTTCCACATCGATATCCTAAAAACAAACACTTTAATACTGGAAATTACTGTTTTTAAGAAATTACTCTGACATTTTTTAGATAAGGTAAAAAACGTTTGTTATTTGACGAAAACAAGATATAACACCAAACAATTAAAATGCAAAGATATAATGTTAGACTTACTTGATAGAAACAAGGCTCTACAGGAACAAAAGAGGGGAGAGGAGGCCAGTTATGAGGCCGATTGCCACTGTTCTGGCCGTGTTGTGACTGTCTTTGTTCGAATTCTTGTTGACGCCGCTGTAACTCGGCCTCGCGTTTCCGTAGATCTTCTTGTTGTCGGAACAACTCGTCACTATTGACGTCTACATTGATCTAAACATCAAGAAATTATAAAAAACAATCAGAACAATATCGTAGTATTGTATTTTTGTACAATAATAATGTGACAAGTGCTGAAACAAAGACTAACTATTGATTAATCGATACCACTACAAACTCTTTGTAACTTACAGCCGTGGCATCTGGAACAGCTCCAAAATTGTTCTTGGGCTGTGACTGACCGGTTTGGGAGAATGGATTGAACTCTTCTGTAGCGTTCTGTGTACTTTTAGCCGCGTTCTGTACACTTTGATCCTAAAACAATATAAACTTTAAAAGACTAAAAAACTTACTTGAAACGGATCTGCAAAAGGGTTGTCGTTAAGTCCCGACATTGTTAATCAACCTGAAAACAGCAGCGAATTAATAAAACAAACGTTATTCATTGGAATCTGATTCAATCAGATATTAATCATTCCCGTTTCGAATCGATTTCAAAACTGCATGACCACGAATTGACAATGTTATTCAAAAGGCTTGTAAAGAACAGTCAAAAATATCAAAATTAACCTATATATTGTATTGTTGTACCAAAATGCATTGCTTTCGACAAAAATAACAGATTTCTTATGTAGCATAGGACGCAGGTTGTGCGCGGACTGCGCGAGACAAGTTATACGAATGACAGGAAATTGTTTTGAATTCGCGAAGCTTATGAAAATTATTGTAGAATTTGAGGTGAAGCTTTGAAAACTGAAAGGAAAGACATAATGAAAGACAAATTTATTGTCATATCTTGACGATGGACATTTTATTCGTTTTAGAATATTTGTTTGTTAGCTTAAATGTTGTTTTAGGTAACACAGTAACGCTTTTACGTTCTTGTTACCTATTTCTAGCTCAATCTTTAGGTTTATTGTGATTTTCAAATTATGATTTGAGAAATGTTGTCTCATCGTGTCAGTTATTTGTTTGATGGTAATATTTATTGCTTTAGGGGAATTATTTGAATATTTTGGCTTGTTTATATATTACTTTGTCTTTCTTTCAATTTACTGTAACAAATAACACATGAAACATATGATTTCTTCGGTTTCTGTTTGCTAACAATCGTGGGATTCGTAGGTTTGCAGCAGAAGCGGTTTTAAGGTTAATGCCACGATTATGTGCCATATTATATTATAGTAGGTCTGAAGAAGGAATTTTTGTACAAAACGCAAATTGTGTTCTTGGAGATGCACTCTGTCGATTCTAACGACATTATCATGTTCCTGCCAAGAGTTTTTATGCGTTAATGCATGTCACAAACAATCCGCGGCGGAAGAACGGACAAGTTAATATGAGTGGAAGTTAAATATTAGATTAACTCTGGCCGGAGGCATGCTCCGTCGATCACGCTACACTTCCGCCGCCGTCGTCGTCGTTGTCGAATTCTGGAACACAAAAACTTAGTCGTGTCGAAGATGCGCCACAAGAACTCGATGTTCTCGCTACCAGGTAAGTCACTCCGAGTTACAATGTCTACTCAAGTGTTATGAGCGACCGGCTCTTAATGTAATATGTTTTCGTGGGGCGCTTAGTGTGTGTGTGGTGTTGTACTTGATGAGCAATGATCGTAGACTCGAGGAGCTCAGGGTCAAGAAGTTGAGTCGGAGTGAACGCTTCTACTGTTTAGATGACGCCAGCGTGCGGCCAAAGTTTGTGCCGGCGGCCGAGCCGCTGTTGCTGGTGGATTCGGGAGAGCCGTCGTCGCGGCGATCGTCCACGGCCAGGATTCCGAATTTGGCCGAGAATCCGGAGACTCGAGCAGTCGAAGTGGCGGAGGTGAAGGATGTGGGCCTTCTGAAGTCGGTGATGAGCTACCCGCCGGGGGTGTTCTTCATGCTGGGTAACGAATTCTGCGAGAGATTCTCGTTTTACGGGATGAGAGCGATTCTGATGCTGTATCTGATCCACGAGTATCAACTGGCTGACAGGTATTTTTTAAATTTTGATAAAAAAGTAATGTTTAAGATTAGGCATAGATTAGGTATGACTAGTTAATATTTGTGTTATTATTATAGTCAAAGGATATTGTACTGGTATTATTAGTTGATTAACCTTATCTTTGAAGTAATTATTGAGTTTTTATAGTACGGCTTCGTTGCTGTACCACTTGTTTATATCGCTGTCGTATTTTGCACCTCTATTTGGGTCGATTGTTGCGGATAATTACTTTGGGCGATTTAAGGTCATTCTTTGGGTGAGTTATTATTATAACTTTGCAAATCAACAACATTTTTTTAAATCTTAACAAATATTTTTAACAAATAATATTAAATATATTATATAAATAAGATAATATAGTATAGATAATATACTATTTATTTTTATGTGTTACCTACTGAAGAATGTGATTTAGGTGTCAGTAATATACGTGATTGGACATCTCTTGCTATCAGCTGGTGCTCTGCCTTACTTCGATGACCTGACTAGGGCTTTGTTAGACATATTTGGCCTGGCCTTGATCGCTTTGGGTACTGGAGGTATTAAGCCTTGTGTTTCTGCGTTTGCGGCTGACCAGGTGACTTTTTTTAGATCTTATCGCATTTTTGCGATAGGTACTATAATTTTGGTTTTAGCCAGATATTATAGCCGATTTTATTTGTATTATAACCTATTTATGTTGTTTATTTTAGGTATATAGAGGATAGAACGTTATTCTTTGTTAAAAAAATGTTTTTATTGGTTTATAATATCTGTTTTGAAATGTTTTTCTTTCATAACATATAGATAACAGTTCATATTTTTAGTTTGAAGAAGGCCAAGTCCAAGAAAGAACCCAGTTCTTCTCCTTCTTCTACTTCTCCATCAACGCCGGCTCTCTCGTCGCCATCATCGTGACTCCGCTTCTCCGTGCTCGAATCCAATGCTTCGGGTCCGAGTACTGTTTCCCTTTGGCGTTTGGTGTTCCAGGTGTTTTGATGGCGATTGCTTTCTTCACCTTCATCGCCGGCTACAAGTACTACAAGATAAAGCCGGCGGAGAAGGGTAATATCTTGTGGAAGGTGGTGAGCTGTATCTGGACAGCGTTGAGGAAGAAGTTCAGAGCTGTGCTACGGAGAGAGAGGATTGATAAGCATTGGCTGCAGTACGCTGTGCCCGAGCACGACGAGAATCTGATCAATGGAGTCAAGAGTCTAGTCGCTGTATCAGTTCTGTTTGTGCCAGTCGTCTTCTTCTGGGCGTTGTTTGATCAACTGGTAGGCTTGGTTAAATTGAAAATTAACATAAATAATTATTAGGTTGTTGAAATAATTCTGTGCCCTTACTGAAAGCAAGTTTTTAGGGTTAGAGGGCACAGAATTATGTGAACATATCTAAAGCATTGTATTTTATTTATATTAGTATAATAAAGAATCGAAGCCATTTTAGGGAAGCACATGGGTGATTCAGGCGCGTCGTATGGATGGCAGAGTCGGGCCTTTTACTATATTACCAGATCAGATGAACACTTTCAACCCTCTGATGATATTGTTCATGGTGCCAGTGTTCGAAGCGTTTATCTACCCCTGTTTGCACAAGGTTGTGGTAATCACACCGCTACGTAAAATGGCAATGGGCGGTGTTTTGGCGGCGTTGTCATTTGTAATCGCTGGGCTTTTACAGGTAATAATTGACGTGTTTTTAAATTTTGATGGATTTGTGTGTATATATAGCTTTTATCAGTACAAATCTGTGGTCAATGTATAGCTATTTTTTAAGTATAATATGACTTTTTTATAAACTTTACTTCAATTTGTGATTTTCTGGCCCATTTACTATCAAAACCGCAAATTTTTGGTAACAACTTGGTCTTTTCTATGCAATAAGTTGTAATTTCAGATCAAAGTGAACTCGTCCATGGAACCAGTGCCACTAACGCATCAGTCATTCGTCTATAGATTGGGGGATTCTGTGGATACGATAGTCAGCCACAACGGTTTGATTCTGGAGCCTGGAAAGAACATTTGGCCTCACGGTAAATACGGATTCCAAGTTGGGAATCAGAGCTTCGGCCTTGATTTATACGGTGGAAAGGCGTATGTGGCTGGTATCTCAAATGTCAAAAATAAGTGAGTAAAATCCTGAGTTATGTTAGTTAAAGTAAGATGTTTGCTACTACTTTTTCGTTGGTGGAACGTCGTTCTTGTTAAGATTATTTTTGTAATCAGTCGACGAAAGTAAAATTCAAAAAACATGATCATAGGCATGCAAAAATATAAGTATAAAGATGACAATCCTTTCAGAGTATCAGTGAATGTGTTTGAGTACAAATGCGAGAAGGTCGAGAACGGCCGAACTCGGATCTACATCCTGACAACAGATGATTCGCCGTTAATCGGACAGAGTTTATACATTCTGGACAGTTCATTAGCCGTCAACCAACATACTACGATAAAGCCAGGTCAGTCAGTTGATATTGTGCCCAACATCTACAGTTACCCTCAGTATACGATCGTCTACGGTAATTGTAACGAGGATCATCAGTGTGAACACGAAATGTAAGGTTATATGAATAAAGAACAGGGTTCTGGTGCAGGATATTAATCATATTACTCACCGAACGTAGTACTATAGTACTACTCGATTGTTTATCTTTTTATAGTAGGGTTTCGTATAATATTGTACTTGTTATACAAGGTATATTGTGTTCTCAAAACATTAATTGCAGTAAAATCAACGCAACAGTGGGATCGGCACACGTTGTAGACCTAGACCAAGAAGGTCTTCGCACAATGATTGTACGACCCAACTCGGTCAGTGTTCTATGGCAACTGCCACAATATCTTGTGATGACCTGGGGCGAGATACTGTTCAGTGTGACAGGACTAGAGTTCTCTTACTCGCAGGCCAGCCCAAGTATGAAAAGCGTGCTGCAGGCGATCTGGCTGATGACCACCTTCTTCGGCAACGTCATCGACATGTCCATATCTGGCAGTCATCTGATTCGAGAGCCTGAGATCGAGTTCTTCGTGTATGCATTCTTGATGCTTGTTGTGATAGGCATCTTCGTGCTGATTGCCATGAACTACACGTACGTTGAGGATGATGTTGAACTGAATGATGGTCCTTCGAATAAGAAGAAACACGATGACAATGACGCTTTCTAACCCTAATATTATTGTAAGAGTTTAAAGTATATATAGTTAGTGTTAAATACTTTTTAAAAACTAATTCGCCTATGTTGACGTTAGGTCATGTAACTAAAACAATATTTGGAAAAGCTGAACTTATTGATATCACTTGTAGTATATGGAGACCATAACTAACTTAAAATGAGCGAATATACTCAACATCAACCCAAACAATACCCGAAATTATGCAAATTTGAGTTTTATACCAAATCCTTGCAAATATTAAACATAAACGATAATATATAAATAGAGATCTCTGGTTCAAGAGTAGAGTTCCAATTGTGGGGGCGGGAGGCGAAATAAAAAACACGGTGACAAGAACAAGATATAAAGGCTTTCTTTCTGGTGTTAGACAATAAATAATGTTTTCAACGGTTCTTCAGGCATATTTTCATTGTTAAAGGTAAAAAACTAAAAAAATGTGAAAAATATTACAGTATGCACTTAAACAACGCCCATTATGGACACATATATATGAACATCTATACGTCTACAACGGGTGGCATCGTGGTGTCGTGTAGCTGGCTACAGCACGCTTAAGATTATCGCGTATCCAATTCCAAGTCGTGTTTGTCCATTTGGAATGAACTGTTGCTACAGTCGACTGCACGATCCGACGACGACCCCCCAACCTCGCTGCGACTATCAATAAATAAAGGATATAGAACAAATATAATATTACAGTAACCGTGATGAAATATAAGATGAGACAACAACAACAACTATTCAAAGTTTGATTAAAAACGTTCAATGGTACGTGGGTGAGATGTTTTTAGTACCATTCAATAATTTCGGGGCTTGGGAGCTAGCGGCTGGTCCAAATCCGTAGCCCGTCAGGCTGATGGGGCCGGTACCATTCAGAATGGAGTACAGTTCGGACGAGGAAGGGGAGTTGCAGCGACTGGACTGGTTGTTCGACGACTTGGACACGATCGACGGAGTTGAGGGCGCTGTGAAGGTCGGGTCTTGGAACAAGGAGCTGAAAGAGAAAGGTAAAACAGGCTTTCTTTACATTATCCACGGACTGGTATTCTCAATATCAAATCGAAAACTACAAAACTCAATATACTGTTACCTACTCAGACTTAGAAGCAACTTACTATCCTCCACCACCCGCTCGGAACAGTCTCTCGAGCTCGTTTCCGTCGTTGGCCACGGTATTGCCATTTGATGACTTGGCCGTGGAGACGGTGAAGCTAGGAGAAGATGACACGGGGGAGGCAGCGGGAGACGACGAAGAGTTGGTGGATCCATCGTCACATCCTTTCTTGGCTAATGAGGCCAGAAGTGACGATGGCAGCTGAGCATTCATGAAGTCGGCCTTCAGTGATGGAGCGAAGCCATTCTGAATGCGCTCCATTTCCATCGCACGCAATTGATCTAAAAGAACCATTATTAGTACCTGTCCACCTACTAGAATATAGTAAAACCTCTCCGTTACATAGAAAAACAAAGATCTGAGTATATTATCCAAACTATTGTTGATTGTATTAGCAATTGGAATAACTTACTAGTCAAGGTTTCAATTTTGGTCTTGGAATCGTTTAGAGCGATGAAGAGGTCGACCTTCAGTCTGTTTTCGGACATCAAAGTCTTCTCCAATCTCGCAATATTCTGTTTCATTTCGTGCTCACGCTTCTGATGTTTCTGTAATCAAATATTCATATTTACAACAGTAATTTTCAATTTTACATAAATCAGTAAAAAACACTTCAATATGACAATATTACACCACCATTCATGAACACTTTAATCATATTAACCAAACCCACCTTCAACTCGGACTTGTCCCCATCATTGCTCAACTTGGTGCACTCGATCAGCTTGAGCTTGTGCTCTAACTTCGAGATGACACTTTGCTTGTTCTTGACATCAGACAGCGCTTCCTTCAACTCCTTGTCCTTGGCCAGCAACTGTAACTTCAGATCGTTGATCTCTTTCTGATTATCGATGGCAGCCGCCTTCTCTGCGTTGAACGTAGCCTTGTCCTTCTTCAACTTCTGTTGCTGATTCTGAACCTGGAGACGGTAGAAATCGGCCTGCCGATTGTTTGACTCCGCCTTCTGTTCAGCGTCCAACAACTTGCTCTTCAGGGATTGTAGCTCCTTCTTGTGGTTCTTTTCTTGATTCTGAGACAATGTCAACTCTGCCTTCAGGGCTGATTCGTTAGTTCTGAGCTGTTGCAGATCGTAGCGTACAGTATCCAACGTCTTTTCCATTCTAAAATTGAATTTAAAAATCCTCAATTAAAAAATAAAGATTTGTCAAGCTTTGAAATCGTCAATAATAACTTACATCTCCTTTTCTTTGTACAACTGCTCAGTCTTCTGATTGCTTTCCTTCAACTCGCACTTCAGCTTGCTCAACTCTTTAGTGTACTGTTCTGTCATGTCTGAATCCCTTCGTCCTTCAGTTGACGTTCCATTGCAATTAGCAGTGGAAACGTAGGGATAAGGCATATACCCATTAGAAGAACCGTTCTCCACGACTACGGATGGCTTAGGCTTGGGAGGGGTGGCGGAGGGAGAAGAATGATTGTCATTCGGAGTCCTCCCCCTTCTCCTGGACTTGTTCCTCTTGGATTCCTGCTGAAACTCCTTGTCACTGTCGTCCAGGTCCTCCACCTTCTCGGCCTCTATCTCTGCCACAATTCCGTTGCCAATCCCGTTGATCGTAACTTCTTCTTTCTTCGTTTTAGACCCTGACTCCACTGCAGTCACCAACTCGAATACCGGTAAAACAACGTAGGTGAATATGAACGAGACCAGTCCCGTGCAGCACCGATACAAAAAACTGGGAAGAGCTAAAAGAGCGATGAACGGCCGAGAATGGTCGCCGTCGTCGCTGACTTCGTCGCTCATCACGCTGACCGAGTCGCTATTCACATCCCTCGAGATCTTCTTCTTGTTACTACTGCCATTCTGTTTAAACTTGCCGTTGGCCGACGAGACACGTGTCCCTTTCTTGGCCGCAATCCCGTGATTATTGTGGTGATTGGCGGTGCCGTTAGTAGGGAGATTAGCAGAATGTGAGTTTAGGTAACAGAAGGTGGTGGGTTGATTCGTCACTACGGAAGCGGTACTCTGATTGTTCGAAGTTCCGTTCACCACACTTTCTTCTTCATCTAACTCGTATTCTGAAAAAGATATGCGTTTTAATACTAACTTCAAAAAGTTTAAAAAAAACCTTTAAGTCAATTTTTTAACCTAACACAACACACAAACTAAAATAAATAACAATTTATAACAAAATTGTTAACAATATAATTTAAAAATCAAAAATAACATAATTTAACGTTATTTCTATAGCGGAATGCCACCCCAATCCCTTCGACTATATGATGCACTTCCTAAAACAAAAATTGGGCCACCCAAATCCCCGGAGGCCTTATTCCTCCAGCAAGATAAACAGTTTTAAACCTTAGGCTTTCCGAAAACAATGGACTTGTCACAAATTTTGATCTCTCACTGGCGTTCCTCACAAAAGACGAAAGACCCACCTGCTTGATCATGTTCGAGAGCTAGCTGCTGTTTCACTGAAGACAAATGATATCGACTCTGCAACGAAGCCGGCACCGCGTCCGCCAACAGCGGGTCGAAGAAGCCGTTTTGTCGCTGAACATCTCGACGACGTCGACGGAGTCGCCAGCTACTGAAAATTTTAAAAATTAGTAAGTTAAAACGGATTTTATACCTAAAAATCACTTTAAACCCTGTAAAAACGGCCTAAAACTATAAATTTTAATAAATCAAACTATATTAATCACAAAAAACTTACGAAAATAAAGACTTAACGCGAAACCCCATCGTCACAATGGGGTACCCTAAACAATGCGCGGCGAACGGCCTGTAGACTTCGAGTCGTTCGGCCGACGATGACCCTATCTGAATACTCTCGGCTCCATTTGAGAACATCCCCGCTGTCACCCAAGAGCCTCGTGTTAAGTATAACGTCGTCTGATCCAGCCTCGACCTTATTAAATACTCAAACCCAACAAACGCACTCCATAAGAGCAGCGACGATGCACACAGTCCTCTGTCAGCTGGAAATAACATTATTTTAGAGAAATATTTATATAAAATGACTTTATTGCCCTCAAAAGGTAGTGATAACATAATTTTACATAAAAGTTTCTTTATTGTAGTTTAATTTCTAAAACAGATACCACTTTAGATTCATTTTGCTATAAAAATCTCCTACATCAATATTTTAAATCCTCCATTTAAAATTTTGTTGAATAATATCCTTAAAACGCTCCCCTCCCATATTGCTAAATACCAAAACCTACTCGACTGATAAACAAACTGTATCCAAACATATGTGCTGGCTAAGAACAACAACACTTGAACGGGTATGAATAGGTAACAAATTAAATCGGAAGTCGCCGTAATGCACACGAAGAACACCGAGAATGCCTAAAACAATAAAACTCGTAACATTTACACTCACCGAGTAATGGAACGACGAAGCAAAGGTTTGGACTCGATTGGCATCGTATAAATGGCGGACCATTAGCCATAATGGCCAAAGCAATTCAAACCTGAAGCCAATTACAATGTCCAGAACAATGCAGCTGAGCCAGATGAAGAAGAGCTTCAGGTATATTAAAGTGCTCCCGCTGAAAAAGCAAACATTAGATAATAATTTACAAAAGAATATTGAAATTTTAAAAATATTGTAGTAGATGAAAAAACTCTTAAAAATATAATTCAAAACTCCTCTTAACAAAACGATAATATTTAAAAAGGTAGAGTAGCATGTTGTGCATATTTTACGCTATTCAGAATCAGGTTTTCGTCCGAACTTGGCCTGATATTATCCATCTACGTACTTACTGGTCAATAAATTTGATCATTTTGAAAAGTTGATAAAAATGCAAAAGAGGAGTTTAAAATCGCATCGGAAAGGCTTCAAACCTTGGGATCGTGCAGTTTCCAACTCGCAACAAAATTATGTCCGAATTTTATATTTCGCGCAACCAAAAACGTTTCCGTGGTGGGACCAAACTGGTCATGGTAATGTAATCAATTCGCACTTTTTGTTAATTACTGTGTAATTAGGGTTTTAAAAAGACTTTGTAATAAGCATAAAAGTGTGTTTACAGTTTTCTTAATTACTTTGCTTTCGTGAGCCATACTTCAATATTTGCGATATTATCATAGATAAGTGACATTTTTTATTGTCGACCGATAAAGAATGCCGGTTAAAAATGATTTTAAAAATAATCAAAAACTCACCTCAAACTAACCGAATCGCCGAGCCGAGGCCTGTTTTTGACGGTCCGCCGAAACTTGGGGACGTCCAGCGCTCTCATCCGTTTCATAATCGAAATAAATTAGAATAATATGACAAAAGTGTTTCCATAAAAGAGCAGAGATGTGCTGATACCCCGCCCAATAAATTAACGTCCTGAAATGGTGCAGTGAGCATGATTCTCGACCGGGAAACCCGAATTCTCGTTTCGAAATAATCAAATTCGAATGTTTAAATTTTATAAAAATTTGAAATGTAGGATGAGTGTGAGCAAGTTTGTTAGTGATTTACGCGTACTATGATTAAATAACTTTTATATTATTGCCATTTTTGTTAAAAATTTAAAATATTTCAGTTAAAACCAAAAACTCCTTCGTTAGACAGTAGTGTTATGTTGTAATAGCCAAAAGAACTGTGTTAATTAATGTAAATAGGTCCAACAGCCAAATCTTTTAAAAAAATTTGTGTTCAAGCATTTAAAATTTACGTTTTTTGTATAAAACAGTACGTAAGGGTGTGGTAAAATACATTTAAAAACTCGTTTTTCCATTAAAATTTTAAAAATTTTCAAAAACCTAAAAATTTTTTAAAATATGTTGTTTCTAACAATTTTTACTTCATATTCAAGCAAAAGTTATATTATTATTCTGAAAATTAACAATCACTGATAAAATTAAGAGCAACACCCCAAAAAGTTATATTATCCATGGCCCCAGGTGAACGAAACGCGGCGATTATTGTTTCGGAAAGTAAAAAGGAAATAAACAGTTTTGTTTGATGGAGGAGCGAGAGATTGGAACACATCATAAAACCATGTGTTTGAATTATAATCGCAGTGAGTGATAGAGAATGTCTTGATCTCGTTGTATTCGAAGAGTTACTGCTGGTGAAGGGGTATTTTAGGACAGTTCAGACAGGTACTGGGATGTTTTAAACTATTATGGTTGTAAGGCAGTAAGATTGTTAATTGTATTAAGTAGAATTGTAATTTTAAGTGACATTAGAGTAGATATGGCTTAAATTAGGTAAAGGTACCTAGATGTAGGCCTACAGATATTTTTTGATGAAAAGATGGTTTCAAAAGTATTATAATACTTGAGTTAGTCGATTTGTTGTCATATTTAATGTTTTTCTATTCTTACTTATTGTTAAACCTTTCAACAAAATTATGCCGTGCAGTAGGTCTACTTATCGTTACACAGTCACAACTATAAGATAAAAGTTTAATACCATAAAATAATTGAAAAATAGGTGTTTTTTGTATGATTTAACAACCATCCTCAGCCAAAACTCATTTTACAACGTCCGTATTTGAGTATTTACATCACAAGTCATCAAGACTTACTATAATATGTGAAAAAGTGTAAGTTGACTCAGTAAAATAAGTGGTATAAAAGTAGAGACAAGTGTGAAATGCTTGACAGAGCTTAATCACAGTAATTAACACGGGCAGACAGTAAACAATAACAATATGGATGCTTTCTGTCCTAATAACACACCCCCCCATATGTCATTATTGTATGACAAAGTAATATTACAGTACGGCAAGGTAATTTGTAGTAGCACGGTAAAGTGTAAATTTCAAAATATTTTTTTAAAACAAAAAAGCAACCTTAAAACCTTTTAAAATTGTAAAATAGTTTTAAAATTTGAATATTATTCAAATTTACAATCTCATCCATGGTAAAGACTCTAAACCGTACTGTAGATACGATGGTAGAAGGTTGTAAAGGCTAAAATAATAAAAGAGATATCTGCTGATATCCTCTAACTTGGTTTCGGCCGGGTGTGCCGCTCTTTTGCCTCTCTTATGGTCGCTATAGCACGACCAACGGCAGAAGGAGAGAGCACGCGAAGAGAGAGAGAGGGTGCAGACAGACAGCGAGAGAAGAGAATGCAGAGAAGGAAACAATTTTATTTACATTAAAGTCATAATCAACTCTAATTCGTCTACTGTAATGTAATAGTTGTATTTGTGAATTTCAATTTTCAAATTTCGAAATAATTTTTTTAATTTAAAATTTTAAAAATTTTAAGCCTTTTTACTTTTTTTATCAAAACAAGCCCAAACTAGACAATAAAAAACATTGTCCTATCAATTACAAAGAGTAAATGAGTTTTTTCAGTCATTTTAGATACCTCGGATTAGCAATGGCAATTACTTTTCGAGGAAACGCAAAGAGAATATTGTTGTAGAGACATGTTGTTCACGGAAGAATTACTAATTAAAATAATATTTTTAGTATAAAGTATGTCTAACAACATCAAAATCGCATGTGAACAGCTACAACTTACAAAACCAATAACATTTGGCATTGAATTTTAGGTTTTGGAAATTTAAATTTTAAAAACTCTCAAACGGCCTGCACGGTGCAATAATTTTAAGAATTTAAATAAAACATAATATTATCAGTAAATTTAATATTCAACTGAAAAATTATTTGGCTACAAAATTTTCAAATTTTAAATTTGAAAAAATCAAAAAAGTAAATTATATCCTGTCAGCCGGCTGTCACAAAAATTGACTGCACAGTGCAAAAATTAAGTTTAACAAAATATATGTACAAACAAAGAAAAAAACTATAATTATAAAATACAAAAAAACTTTTTTAAAAACGTTTTCCTTTATTTTAAAAATTTAGAATAAATTCGCTCATTCCAAAAAATGTGAAAATTCAAAAAAACTACCACTGCCAATATTAATATCATCATCAAACTCCAAGAAAAAGTAAAACTGGGAAGGCGTTAATGTTGTGGATGATTGTGTGACATTTGTTTTGACAAAATAAAGTCAAAAGCCCTCAAAACGGCGCCGCCACAAATCAATAGCCTGAGGGGGGGGGGAGCGGGCAAATTTCGCGCAGCCATTTAAAGCGAGAGAGAACGGCCCCTCAGGGCTCAGAGGTCCCACTCATTAATTAATTACTCGCATCACCACTGACAGCCGGCTGCCACAAACCGAGCAACTTATAGTTAGCATTACAGAGTAGATTGGGGTATTTCCAAATCTACTCTGTAATGTTAATAAAATGTGCGAAACTGTCCTATAAGCAAGTTAAAGTGTGAGACTTAGGTAATAATATTTACTTCGTGTTATATGCTAGTTGTCTATAGTGTTTTAGTATGAAAGTAAGTTACTGTAGTAAGAGTAAGCTAGCTTTAAAGAAAGGTTATGACCAAGCAATACCTAATGTATTGTAACTTGAAAAATGACGCTTATGTGCACTTTTGTTTGAACTCCTTATAAAACACGCCATTAATTTTGCATTAGCCATGTTTGTATGTCTACAATGAAGACAACCGTCTTACTGTACTTTACATTACTTTACTGTAAAGTAAATATATTGCCATATTTTGTAATACTATGACGCCTTTCTCTACGAAATAACTCGAGTATAACACATAGCGAAGCTGTAAAGCCTTAAAATTACTACATGCTTTATAAAAGGTGTTTTTACTGCCCAGTAACTTTAAAATTTTGAAGTTATTTTGTATATTTTACAGAATAAGATGTAAAAGTTCAGTTTAATAAAAAATGTCGACGATAAAAAAGACTAGACACTCATGTAAAAGAAAAGACTACTTCATGTTGAAAAAAATATTGTCTTAAAAGTTTTTACTTTACATTACTGCGCAGTAAGCGCTAATAACGTCAGTAAAACGATAAGAAGACTGTTTCAAAATGATTTTTCAAGTCAATTACTATCACCATAATAATAAAAAATAATTTTTTAATTTAAAAAGACAAATTTTAATTACAAAAGCAAGTAATAACCCTGTTTTGCCACTGGCAACATACCACAATATTACCTAAAATCGGAAAAACAAAAAGAACGAAAACATACGATCACAACACAATTACAATGTATTCGAGCTGTGTAGAGTAAAATATGAATGTATATATGTATTCTTAAACAGCATTAAAGAAATCGATGTTTGTGACGGAATGTCACTATCGATTGGCTTTTTTATTTCTTTTTTCTCGCGCAGTAATTACACAGTAAAATGGGACAGTAAAAGTGGATTTACAATGTTTTGCAATACTTTAGGTAACAAATAAAAAATATTTTGAAGAAAGTTGAAAAAAGAAGGACAAAACATCGAAACTTACGGTTAAAACAATATTATAACAAGAAGTGGAACAAGTCAAAATTAAGATAATACCATGTAATGCGTCTTAAGCGATACAGTTTACATCTCAGTTTGTAAAGTCAAAAGCCGTTGGCATGGCAACGCCTCAGGGCCCAAGTTTTGGGTTCAAGTGAAGCGCCGCCTATTACTGTTACCACGGAGTTATTATAATTGTAAGTTTGTGGTGTCGTATCACTCTCTCGAATTGTAGTGTCGTGTAACAAGTTGTAATAACTTTGTTAAGCTGTATTATAACGAGTTTATTGGTATTATATTGTGGTTGTGTTTGAAAGTCGATAATTTTTGAAATGGACGAAAAAAGTAAAGAAGAAGAAGAAGTTACAGAGGAACCGTAAGTTGAAACTCATGGAAATTGCGGTAGATTGACACAAAAAGATGTTAAAAACACCCAGACACAGGGCAGTATTGCTGTATTGTAGTAAAGACTAACATACATGTGTTATAACATAAAATAACCTCTCATAAAACAATATTAGGTTGTTCAAATAATTCTGTGCCCTATTTCAAGGCAAATTTTCGTGATTACTCAGAATTATTTGAACAACCTAATTAATAATATAAAATAGAAGTGTTTCACTAAAGCTTAGGTAAAACGTTTGTAAATACAGTCTACAACAATGTCCATATATCGCATGGACCTTGTAGGAGATTATCACATAACTAAACAACCTTGTTTAACAATTGTAAAAGATATACCCTTGTTTTACAGTCCAATGGAAGTTAATGTCAGAATGGACAGTGGTGACATAATCCGAGAAGTAATGTGGCCTCAGAATGGATTTCTATTCAAGGAAATGGAGCTGAGCCCAGTCCTTTGTAAGCCTAAACTGATCCCACTCAAAAGTGTCACACTAGAGAAGTTGGAGAAGATGCAAGAACAGGCCATGGAGAAGCTGAAGGAGATGACACTACCACAGGAACAACCTGATGTAAGTCAGGGTTTAGCGTTTAGATTCCTCGTCTTCCTTGACTATATAAGGTTAAAAACGGCATTTCGATTCATTTTTAAGCACGGTAAAAGATAAAGCATTTTTGAACAATATAATCACCTTTCATATTCCAATAATGCTGATCAATAAGGCTAACATATATATTAAAGTTTTAAAGATAACATGAACATTACAGGAGCCAAACCAAACACCATCCACAAGGTCCGCTAGTCCAAATGATACCGAGCCAAGGAATACGACTGACATATGGCAAGCTGACTAATATCTCAATATGTCGTCAGAAACATTACAATACTTAATGCAAATAACAGTTTAAGATCAGCTCCTGTATGCAACGACCATTTAAATAAATATTTATAATCTTAACTATAATAAACGCTATTACTACGGTAAAAACTAAAATAGCATTATTATTGCCCAGTTAGTAGTAAATAAACACGTCTTCTACTTCATTTTACCTATTCTATACCACAAAGTTGTCAAAACACCGCCATAGTAACGGAAATGTACAATATTCGACTACAAGTAGTTGTTTGTCTGACTCGTGATTACACGTAACACATAGCATAAAGTAAAAACAATAATAGCCACAGTAACCTTAAAAGTTTTATAGCTAAAGGTGACAGTATAAATGTGCAGTCTTAACTAAAGTAAGATGTCATACTATCCTTATATATTAATAAAAACGTCAAAAATAAAATTTTCAAAATTTTTATTTAAAAATCTAGAATTTGTTACCTAAATAATTAAAATATCTTCATATCACTACGTCTACACCGACATTCATATTCCTATGCAAGCCTACATCAATATACATACTACAAGTCCTCCTTGAACTGCTCGGGAAGTCTCTGATTGTTGTCCACAAACTGGTTCAGCTTGAACTCGCAACTCTCCTCTTCATCTTGAGAATCAGAAGGATCACAACAACAAATCGACGTGTACTTTGTGTATACATTGGTGATCTCGGGCACGTAGAAGCAACGTTCCATTTGGTTCCGTATGATTGATCTGCATAGACGCTTTAGAAAGTCATACTCAGTCGAACAGCCAAACATCCACTGAACTGGCAAGAGTATTTAGAGGTTTTGATTTAAAATTAGGTAATATTATCAATTTAAGGCCCAAAATTCTGGGTAAATTCTAACCAGAGCTAAACATAACTTTCAAATAAACTTTTAGAGATAAAAAATCAAATTCAAGTCAAATTACATTTAAAACAAGCGTTGAATTTATAAAGTTTCGACCTTACGTTATCATGCTCAGTCTCGTGCAGTGCGTAACAAGATTCCATACATTTGGTCCATTTGTTATCTTCAGTAACTCTAAATTAAACAAACTGTAAGAACCTACTATAACATATAGTAATAGAAAACTGTGAGAACCTTTATAAAACAAAACAGTCAACCTTCTTCTTCAATTATAAATTTAAAAAAGTAGTCAACGTAGATCAGTCAAAAAATGTTGAATCTGTTCGGCAAAATAGCTAGAAAAACCTTGCCATTTATAAACTTTACATACTACATGTAATGACTACTCTTCTCATATTGCGCAAGACGAACTATCATTCGACTTCTAATATAAAGGCACGCAAAAGTATAAAGCCTTACGTATCAGGTATGATCTCCACTTCTCCGACCGTAGGATCGTTGGAAATACAGTACTTCGGTCGTGCCCTTCTGACTACATCATCACGAGTGTCATGTGTACAATTATCTGTAAAATTATCAAAATTCTCTATCAAAGTTACCCAAAATTCTCTGTAAAATTACCCAAAACAAATGATTTATGTTAGTCCAAACAATAAACTTACAAAAGTAAGTCAATATTTTATGTTGTTTATATTACAAACGACCATTCATTGTAGTAAAAAAGCTAAAAAACTATAAACATACTTCTCACAATCAGCTCAAAATGCTTTACTCAGTAACATACCTGCCTTGAGATAAGAATTCTCCGCCAATGAAGTTGCTATTAGAAAAGAGAAGATGGTCCACAGTTTCCTCGACATTTTACAAGAATTGAAATAGAAAAATATAACATTTTGAAAATTAAAAAATAAAATTCTACGTGTTTATTCACATCAAATAATTTTTGAATAAAAATTGCGAGAAATAATTTTTATTTATCAAATAAAATAATCAATATAAAGTTTGTGGCACTTCGCCAAAACAATCTCCACAAAATTAGCTTTTTTCGTAAACTTTTTTGAAAATGTAAGTGTTTTGTTTATCTGATTATCAGAGATTTTTATGTAGTTTTACTCTGGTCTTCAATTTTTTCATATTTCTTAATTTTTGACAAATGAAACTTTAGAATTCGGTGAAAAAGTTCGTAGAACTATCTTCAAGAAGTTAATCGTCGACGACGTGCTCGTCCCTGATCATCCTTTACTTTTTGTCTCATTATCTTTCTTTTTTTTTCTAACAAAATTAATGGCATAGATTTTCAGTCCACAATGTAGTTTTTATTAACAACACCTACTACAACATCGATACTAAAAGGGCAAGAACTTTAATTCCAGACGGAATGTGAATATAATTAGCTGACCTTCTTCTCCACCGGTGTCTCGGACTTGATCGTGTAGGCCTTGTAGATGAGCGCGATGGTTACCACACCGATCATGGCAGCGATACAGACGATGGAGAGGGTGTGGTTGTCATCCTTAATAACAAGTTTATCTTGAGTTAAGCTTAAGGTTTTTTAAAAAGTCTTGTTGTATGTAGATGATATACTAACGTTTTTCTGTAATTTGGTCAGGCAAAACACAAAGTTTATAAACAAAGACATCAAAACCTACTACAATATCGACCACTTTCTCCTTGACGTGCTCGTAGAAGTTCTCCAGAGCCGTCGGAGGCTCGGGAACTCGATGTCCTCGGCTGTCCTTGAACTTTTGAAGCGCGAAGTTGGTCAGTCCACGTACATCTTTGGCTGGGTCAGTGTATCGGTACATCTTGCCACGGTGGAACAACAAGAACACTGGACATTGGTTGTCGTCGATTCTGAAGCGCTCGGCTACATCGTCGCTCACAGAAACGTCAACTTTGCCGACGTTAACTAGGCCACGGAGTTTGTGTGCTACGGTTTCCCAGACTGGAATGAAGGCGTTGCAGTCCAGCTCTTCGGAGTCGTAGCTGCAAGGGTGGGGGATGTACAATAATATAATATAAGAAAGGTAAGTAAAATATGTGAATACTACAGTAAAATAGACTTACAACAAGACAAACCAGTCCAAAGATCCCTCGTCCGGTGAGAAACTGTCAGTTTTTTGTTCAAAGTTGAAGTCAGTCAAGTCCCACGTGGCAATCTCATCGTGAGCTCGGATCCAGCGCCACACAACTTCGGAATCCTTAAAGTCACCTAAAGTATGTTATAGTACATATAGTTCTTCAATAATTGTACAATTTAAAGCCAGTTTTATGTAAATTTCACTTTAAAGCCGTTTTAGGTAACATAAGTATGATTTAACAGCACTATAATATTAATATGAACTGTAATTCGAGGTATTACAATATATTATACTAGACAGTAAGACCTCAAATAGACTTACCATCATACAAGATAGGGTTTTTTCGTCTAAAGTAGACCAAAGCTGGGAATGTTGTGACTCCAACTTCGCGTGCTACACGTCTATCGTCAGTCTTGACAACCTCGATATAGCCAGTAGCTTCGATGTCATCGTCGATCTCTTCCACTTCGCTTAGCGCATCTCCACAGCCAGGACATTTGACTCTGCCGTCATCTAAAGTAAAGGTACTATTTTGTATTGGATACTATTTTCTATTGCTGGGACTTAATATACGTCAGAAAGTTACTGCTGTAATCTACTGTTAAAAATGTAATGATAGATACGATTTAGGTCCAGTTTTATATATATTACTTGTAGAAAATATTATATATACTACTTACAAAAAAACACGACCAAGTTCTTGGTGGCATCCTTCAGAATCTCGTCGATCTTGTCTTCGTCGACGTCTTCAATCGAGAACTCAGTGTCTACATGGGACTTGGTGACAACCGGCTCTGGAGCTGGTTTTGACTGAAACTTCATTATTAGTACTAAATAGTTTAAAATGATACTTATCTTAACATTTTTATACTGATTTGAAGCGTATCACTTTCTATGTTCGTTAACTTAATTTTGATGTCTTTTCATTTAGAGAACAATAAAACCAAAAAAGCTAAAGTAATATAAACTAAGAAAACATTGACATCTGGTTTAAAACAAAGTCTATCCGTCAAGTTCCAGACCAAACCTTTACCTTTTTCTTGCTAGCGGCTGGCTTGGTTGGTTCTGGAGCTGGCGGCAAGTCTTCGGCCGCCGTTGTCTTGTAGTGGGACTTCTTCCTGCCTTCCACCTGCACATCGGCCACCAACAACAGTAGACATACGACGACGGATATGAACTTAATATCCGACATTTCTAAGTGAGAGGGCAAAGAGTCGAGATCAAGGCCTCCCGGATCTTAAGGCCGAGGTGGGGGAGAAGAAGGGCCGCCGCAACCCCCTTTTTGTTTAGTGTGATTCTCGCCGCAGGAAACGACAGACAGGTGGTGTTGCATGCACGGGGAACGAGTTATCAACTTCATTAATTAGCCGTGTTCATGGTTGTTGTGGGGAGAGTACGAGGTCGGGTAAACAATGTTGTCATCTTGTACTTTCTGATTTGGCGTTATCATGTAGTTTCGGATTTTTTTTGAAAAAAAAAAACTAAAAAAAGTTGGTTTCTTTAACAAATTACTGACATTCCTAGCAAGTCTTTTGCATTTCTTCTTTAAAAAACAAAGGAAAATGCAAATTAATCATTATATTATACTAAGTAAAGCTACAGTGATGCTCTAAGCTATAATATAAAACACTATTTTTATCACCTACATATGATCATTACTCCATATTACTATCTACCTCAGCACGATATAAGTTTATACATGTGAAAGACAGTAAAGACGATTGAAAGTTCTACACGTTATGTTATCTATGCCAACGAGAAGCCACTGTTGTGTTCTAATGCCATCAGAATGCGCTCCTTCATGACTTTCTTGTCCGTTACTTTCGGGAGATCGAGGAGATTGAAACAGGTATGAGCTACAGGAATCAGATGCTCGGGTTCTGGTTGTATGGCCATGACGACTTCTTTCATACCTCTTAAGGGTATACGGTCGGTGCCCATCAGGAAGAGGAGGAACTTCTTCTTTTCTTCTGGAGTCAGCTCGTAGAAGACTTCCCAGAAGCATTGGATCACCGGGTGCTTGTCGTAGTACTCTTCTTTGTACTTGGTGTTCTGTAAATTGAAAAACTAATATTGAATCAACAGCTACTATAATATAAAGGTTCAAATAACAAAAGCAAGCAAATATAACGACAAAAATGTAGATATTGTTAAAATGAAGCTCAAAGACAAAGTAACTCACCTTTCTCAACACATCCCAGTCGTAATTCTCGTTTCCCGTGACCAACTCCATGAGCTCGCGAGGTTGAAACAGTCCCAACACATCACTGTGAAGGACATTGACAAATCCCCTGATGAAACTCTCTAGCTGAACCTTTAATACGTCATCTCTACCCTTTTGCATCTTCATTTTAATATACTCTTCGACGAATTCGTGTTTGTTCTCTTGAGTTACGGGTATCTTCGCTCCTTCTGGCTTCAAAGCGACTTCCTCGCGATGTCCAAATACATCGAGAGAAATGACAAAGTTCTGACAGAAAATGTCTTCAAAGTCGTCTCCTTCGTACTCCAGCATCTTCTCCAACGAGTTACCTGCAATTAGATTATTCAAAATAAGCACATTTGAATCAATAAGTAGGTAGTGCAACAAATAGCACTGAATATTCCTAGATTCTTCAAATTCAGCTGAATTTAAAACATTTAGGTATAGGTACAACAATAAACTTTTAAAAACATCGTCTTAGACTGGCAGACTATATTTTCCTACCTACCCTCAGTCGGATGAAGTTCCTTGAAGTCCTCCAAGCTAATACTCTGTCCTAATATTTTCTTGTACAATGCCAAAGGGAATGGCAGATTGATCAATGTAAAGTTGTAAATTGCCAAAGCACATAATCGGCCGATGACTTCGTATGAAATCGGATCTCCATCAACTCCAGAAAACCAGGCCAAATGAGAATCTTGGTCCTCAACGAACATTCCATACCTAAAAGAGGACTAACCTTATGTTGTATTCAAAAAAATTATAAGTAAAAGTAAAAATATATCTAAAGTAAGATACAATTCAAGCAAAACTAGTCCAAGTGCAGCATAATCATTTTTAAAAGTTTTTTAATATTGTATATTACATAACATTATAGTACCACTATAATACAGATACTATTATAACACAATACCACCACCTAAACATTCTCAAACTCACGTTGGCTGTAAAAGTTCTTGGAACAACAACATGAAAAACTCTTTTCTGACTCCGCCACGATCTTCTGCTTCTTCGCCAATGAAATTCACTCTCAAAGGCTTGGCCATCTCGTAGGGCTGAATACCCATTACTTGTTCGTAGGTGTCCTCTACGATGTGATCTCTACGTACATGAAAATGTAGAAAAGCTTGTTCTTCTGATATAAGTTGCAAAATTGGAGCTACACTTGCTACAGACAACTAAAAAAATAAAATTTTCATATTAATATAGCCTAAATAATATAAACTATAGTAGTATAGACTAACACCATGCGCAACACTGACAGTACTACAAAATACTTACGTGCATCTTGAGGGTAGAATCAGCTTCCAGAATAGCTGATTTGGCTTCAGCATTCATCAGAAACGGGTACTGGGACCAGTAAAACAAATTTGATCTGCTCTGAAACAAATGATAAGATAATTTACTTGATTAATATAGTTGTACTTTCAGTGAGATACTATAATGTGTTGTAATATATCACTTTTTTTATTTATTAAAATAGGTTAAAAAAGTAGTAACTACGAATTTAAAAACCCACCTGACTAGGAAACCGTTGAGGGTGCTTTCTGACATAATAATCAACGTAATCTTGATGAATATTGATCTTCTCCATGAGCTCGTTCAAATAGAACTTCTCATACGGCACTCGATTACAGATTTTGTTGACTTGACACAGCTGATCAAGTACATTTAAAGCTGGCAGGTAAACGGAACTTGGGGTTGGGTTCTTTTTATATAGAAATTTAACGTAATTTATAAGACAATTGACAGTTCTGTTGAAGTGACGGGTTTCTAATGTTAACCACCAAGTTCCTGTAAAGCACATTTAGTATAAATAGGTAATATCTTAATGTAAGTATATATTATATTAAGAAAGTATATTATTTAACCCATTTTTGAGTACAATATACACAAATCAAACTTTTGAAAAGTTACAGTAATTTACAGAATAAAAGTAAGTTACAGTACCGAACAACAACAAAAAACTTACTAAACACTTGTCCATATACTTTAACAACACGTTCAAACAGCTCCACAAATGGTACCAAGACGTCCCTCATAGTATCGATTGAAGGATTGACCATTGAATGAAACCATGGTAATATTAGAAAAATCCTCAATACTTCGAAAGTCATTTCACCGGACGGAATTTTGAGTAAATTTTCGTAGATTTGTTTGAAGTTGATATTATTTAAAGCTGATATGATCTGAAACGCATAAAAATGCCAATATTTATATAAAAATAGTGAAAAAATATAAAAAATATTCCCTAATATAAAGCAAAATATCAATATTAAGCCTATAAAAACAGAATAATCAAACAAAAATATATCTAAAACAAGCTTACACATTCAGAATACTCTCTGGCGTGTGGAGATTCGTCGATGAGGTTAAAGGTTTTCATGATATCATCCATGTTCAAGCCATGGTGAGTAAAATCACAGGGATAGGCATTGTTCTTGGTTAAGAACGACCCGTTTATACATCCGAGGGAGTTGAAGACAAACTCCAATCGTGATATGATATCTATTTTGTCACTGTCTTCGAATAAAGTCTCTATTTCTGAATAGGACAACACTTTTGGCAATTTACGTTTTTGCACCCGCGCCTAAAACAATATTTTTATTTGAAGAGTACTTTATTACCTATATTACTCTACTTTCTCTATAACACTTCTTTTATTACCTAATTACCCTACATTAGTTAAAAATAATTTCTTAAATTTCAATAATCCGCTTAAAACCATATTTTGTTACCTAAAATGCCTTATTTCTTCAAAAAATCAAAAATAACCATAATTTCTGCTAACTGTCCTCAAACTTATATACCAACCTTCACCACATACCTGTTCCCCGCATAAAATGATCGTCTGATCCCATCCAGCAAACATTGCCACCGGGTTCTTGACATCGACTGACACTGGTGACAGAGCAGTGTTGTCTCTTTCACCTGTCCCCAATTGGCCATAATCATTATATCCAAATGAAAAGAGACCTTTCGATGTTAGTGCCATCGTATGTGACGATCCACAAGCAATTGACTTTACTTTAGTACCAAACAAGTCTAGTACAGGGCTGGGGCCAGTCAAAGAGCGACACTTTCTGGCCACACCCAATTGGCCAAAGGTATTGGCACCAAAAGTGAAGACACGACCCTCGATTGTCAGAATAGAAGTGTGACGACCTCCACATGCTACCTGAACGTCATAAAAAACTATTTTTTCAATTAAAATTCAGAAATAACATAATAAGGTAACATTTGACATTATAATGATAACAATACCTTCAAAAAAACCATTACCTGCACCACCTTCATGTTCCGAATAGCTCCGCCAACCAAAGTGGGCTCTCTGACTTCTGCCACGTCGTGTACCGATGTTTGGCCATAGTCATTTGTCCCCCAACATAACACGTTGCCAGAAGACGTTAACACAGAAAAATGGTCGCCGCCTGCGGCAACCTGTCGGATCGGAATATGATTTAATAATGAAATTTCAGTCGGCCCCATGGTTTGTCCGATGACCCAGCCAAACACGTAAACTTTGTTACCTAAAAGCATATAAAAATTTTTTAAAAACGTGAAAGACAAAAATTGTTACCTAAATTAACAAAAAAAAATTTTTTAAAACCTTAAAAAATTTAAAAAATCATTTAAAACCTACAATCCAGTAGTACTATTGATGACATTGCTCCACATGCCACTTGGCATACACCACTGAGACTTGTCACTCTTGTAGGTACAAATATATTTCCTTGTTCTTTGATACCACATTGTAAATTGTCATTTAAACCCCAAGCAAACAACCGACCATCATCGGTTACCGCCAAATTGTGACTTTGCCCTGTGGCGATTTGAATGATTTTTAAACCAGATCGAAATTGACATTGGCCAATCAAGTCCAAGACTAAAACCAAAAAATGCAGTATGTTATGGAATTAGAAAAATGTTCATTCATGTACAACTTAACATAAGACAGAGTTTGAAAATAAATTCTTAATCCATATATTATAATAAAGCATACCTTACATATTATAAACGCCTATTACAATACGAAGAAACCTTACAATTCCTCCCCAACTGTCCATTTTCATTTGACCCACAACTATAAACATGTCCTTTGTGTGTTAAAGCCAGCGAGTGCTTCTCACCCAGACAAAACTGTACAATACGATCGTTGATGCCATGGTTAAGATCAATCCGCCATGAAGTCGGGATAACTGTACATTCTTTATCTACACGGCCAAATTGACCATCAGCGCTATGGCCCATGACCAAAATCTTCTGATCATCAACTTCATCCATCCTTAAAAGATTAGGTAAGATTTGTTCTGTAGAATATGGTAACATCAACAAAAACAAGAGTAATTTACTTAAAATAACATAAGAAAGTTCTGGAAACAAGACATTTACAACAAAAACAGCCTTTGCATACCTAAAACAAGATGTTTTCAACTTTTCCTACAAACTAAAACATTGCTTCTCCTTTTTGAAGTTGATAACTAAAACAACATACTATAATATACCATTACCAATGGAAACAGTCACAAACCAACTAAAACACCACTCCTCACACCTAAACTCACTTATAGTTTCTGTAAGAGCGGTACACGCTGCGATACATTGTAAAAACAGAATGTAACGTTTCAAAACACAAAAACTAACATCTGTCTTCACTGAATCAACCTTAATTCTGCCGTTCTTTTCGCAAAATCGAGAATTAAAGTAGATCTTTCACAAAAAACCCTTAATCTACATTAGAAGAGTAAAAGCCCTCCTTAAACTCACATTCCATAAAGAGAGTTGGCGTGAAAAGGACAAAAGGATCTACATCAATATAAATAACTTCTCAAAAACAATATAAACACGCCAACTAACGCCATAACATAATTTAAAATTTAGATATAAACCATATAAAGCGTTTTCAATATGTCACATTCTTTAAATCCCGGAACAGTTATTGTAAAAGAACATTCTCGTATCGTTCCAGATTTTGTCAGAATTTTAGTTTTATTTTTTAACGCAGCCTGCAAGAGTCTAGGCCGCAGCTTGTCGCACAAAAATTATATTTTTTACGAAATTTGCGAAATTCTTGCGACATCAGGTTTGGGACATCGGATGCGCCACGAGAATGTCGTTGAGAGATGAAGCCATCGGGCTTTGTATTCGCTTATCGGCAGCAGCTGTTATTACCTATTTCTCCGTCAAATACATGGTCAGGCTTCTGGATCCGAATCACGATGTGAAGAAGGAGGCCCAAAAGAAGGTAATTTGATTAGTTTAACATTATTGATTCATTTAGGAGTGATAAAAGGTGTGTTAAATTGGTTATTATTTGTTTTTGTAATGAATATTATGAGTTTTGCCGTTCTTTTTGCAAATCAAGTTATATTAACCTTTTTTAGGTACAAGAGCTTCTAGAACGTCTCAACATTGACTTTCCTGTAGAATTAAATGAATATGAGTTGAGAATTGCTACACAACTAGTGACTCCAGATGAAGGAGCCTCATGGATGGAGATTGGAGGTCACGAAGAGATTATCAGAGAAATCAGAAAGCGAGTGATCACTCCATTAAAGGCTAAAGCCAGTGGGAGGTTACCTAATTCCACCTTGTTCAACCCTGCCAAAGGCATCTTGTTGTATGGACCTCCAGGCTGTGGAAAGACATTAATAGCCAAGGCCGTGGCTAGCGATGTCGAGGCCAGATTCTTGCATCTAGATCTCTCTGGTCTGACTGACAAGTGGTACGGAGAGTCTCAGAAGTTGGCGGCAGCCGTCTTTTCCTTGGCCAAAAAGCTTCAGCCATGCATTATATTTATCGACGAAATTGGTAAGGCTTTTTTGAAAATTTAACTCAAAACAAGTGCTATTTGAAATAATATTGACCTTATTCGATCTTTATGTTAACACTTTTACAGATTCATTCCTACGTAGCCGTCAAATGTCAGACAACGAAGCCACAGCAATGATGAAGGCTCAGTTCATGAGTTTGTGGGATGGTTTCTCGTCTGGCGATGACATTGTTATAGTTATGGGCGCTACAAATCGACCGTTTGACTTGGATGATGCCATTCTCAGACGAATGCCCACACGATTCCCCGTGGCACTGCCTGTAGGTTCATCTTTATAAATGAATTAAACGAGCTATATATTTAATAATACATTATAACACCTAAATTAAAATGTTTAGTCAGAAAAGGCACGAGCAGCGATTCTAAGGGCGATTTTGAGGAACGAAGTGACAGCCGGTGACATAAAATACGAGGAAATTGCTAAATATACCCCAAAATTGTCAGGAGCCGAGTTAAAAGAAGTTTGTCGATTGGCAGCGTTGTCCAGGCTAAATAAGAGTGGAGGAAGGTAAGAATATATTTTTTACATTTGTTCTGCTTTTAGGTATGACTATTTTGTTACCTAAACTTTAAAGAAAACAAAATTTTAGGTATTCTGTTACCTAAAATTTAAAAAACTAACATTTTAGGTTTCAACTGTAAACAAATATCGTTTTAGGTATGACGAAGACCTTTCGTTAACCCACGAGGACATGATGGAGTCCGTGGCCAAGTTCTGTAGCACGTCCACGAAAGATTGGGGCTCTTCTTCGCTTCGTGCTGACGACTTCTACACAGAAGAAGTGGAATAACTCAATCTCAGGTACCTTGTTTACTTATCCCGGTTATGAAAATATAAACTAGATCAAATGATATGTTTAAATAGTACAATAAGTGCCTTAGCATCGGCGTATAAATTATTAAAATAAATTTGGTATGACAATATAGTATGTTGACATAGTAATACTGGGGAAACTAACTGGACCTGGCCATTGAATTGAGAAGGTCGATGTGTTTTCGACGAAGGTTTTCCTTTCGTTCTGTTGATATCTTGTCGAAATGAGCCAGTAGTTCTTTGAAATTGAGACTAGATGGTGGTTTGGCAGCTTTAGAGGTTCTAAAAGTAGTTTAGGTATAAGTCATGCCACCATAATTAAATTTTAGTGTAGATAATAGCACCTAAAATTTGAATAGATTAATTAAGAGACTTACTCGATAAGGTGTAAATGTGGTATCGCTTGGAGTCGCTTGTGTAACGTGTTAAAAGCTTCAGTTTGAGGTAACAACATCAACAACGCCGATAGTACGGAAGCTAACGGTCGTTGGTGTTCTGATGAAAGTAAATCCATACGGACATCTGGAAAATATAACGTATTACTAATTCATTTGAAGTTTAAACTTGTCATTTTATGCATAAAGTGTTACCTAAAAATAATTTTGAAATTTGACTTACATGCCAAAATTGGTGACTCGATTAACTGTACAAGCCTGTCCAATTCTGTTAGAATGTCTACTGTAAGATCGAGCTCAGATAGCCGAGCGGCAAGGTTGACGGCATGTTGATAGTTCTGAGATAATAGACAAAGAGATAACAAACAAATTGGTTGATAGCACCAACATCTATACAGGCATTCAAACAAGTTCACTACGTCCTGAAAAGAATGCAAATATATTACCTAAATTTGATGTGGGCCTAAATAGTATACCGACAAAATAATTCGAGTTAACATTTATGTTGTCTTAAACGTTTTAAATTAATATGTGAACATAAACAATATGTTTAAACTATATATGCTAAAATCCTTACATTCTCCTGAGGACTTTTTAGGTATACCCGAAGCTTGAACAGCTCGTTTGCCGTGAGTAATATCCTGTTCATGAGTGCTACGAGCCGAGACAAGAACTCTACGTCGTTCTCTTTGTGAATCAGAAGTAGTGCCATTGATTTGAAGACATCAGCGGGTTCTAACAACAAACACAATTGCCTAAAAATATATTTAGTCAATAGGCATTACTTGATACTGATACCACATGAATAACATCTTTCCTCACATCCTTGCCTACCTAATAATCTGAATTCCTCGTTCATCCATCAACTTATTGTCAGCCTTGAACAACTCCAGCAAACTCAAACAGAACTTGACCAGGTACGGTGAGATGTTGCCGAACTGAACGATCACTTCATCCGACAGGTCGAAACTCTTCAGATCAACTTCATTTTGATTGTGGGCCGAACAAAAGTCGGTGATCAGCATGATGTCCAACATGAGGACATCGTCCGCGGAATCCATTAGAAGGTCCAAAAGAACCGGGAAGAGTCTGTTCATGTAGGCAAACATGGCTTTGGGGTAGGTGGAGTGTAGCAGACGGATCCAGTTCAACGAAGCTATTCTGGTCTGGGTTTCTTCGTGACGGAGATGGTCTGACAGCACGTCGACTACAGAATCCAGGTGGATATCTGTAGTTGGATCCACCAACTCGGAGAGACGCTTGTTCAGTTCACTGGCCTTCAGCTTCTCATTGTGTAGCCATCCAAGGCACGCTGACAACATGGCCGACAGGTTGTTGAGGATGGACTTGTTGTAAAATACGCAAAACTGGTTTAACCATATTAGAGCGATTTCGCGTGCTGGTGGAGATGTGTTTGTGTGGGCTACGAGGATATTGATCATGGGGGTGGGGGCTTCCTGTAAGGAAAAAATTTTAAAAAATAACAACATCAAGCAATATTGATATAGGTTTTGTTTTTACGATTAAAAACAGAACTATTAAACAAAAAACTAAATTATTTATGAAAAGATATTAACACTGACCTGATCTCCGCTTTGTTGAGGATCCATAGCGTGTAGCAGTTCGGACAGCACGGTAACAGCTGTATCATGAACAGCCGGTGATGGATCGTCCAGGACTTTGAATAAACCATCCACAACTTCTGGCACAAAATGAGTTACTTTGAAGTTGGGCATCTTCAGTACAGTATGGAGCTAAAAGCAGACTATATAACGTACTATTTACTGACTTACCCAACCAATGATAAAGCGACGGTTGGAAGAGTTGTTACAATAGATCCGTTCCCTGATGAGTAACATCAACTCATTCACGTCAAAGTCTTGGGAACTACGAACGATCTCCTAAAACATGTTTTTACAATGATTTATGGTGCTTTTGTGTGCAATTACAATTATTATTTAAAACTATGAAAGTTATTTTTTCTCACAAAGTTAATTTTATAGCCTTGCTTGAACTGAATTTGACTTGATTTTTACCATTTTCTAAATTTCAAACAACAAATAAGTAAATAACAAACCTTAATGAGCCGATCCAACAACTCGGCCCCGCTCCTGACTGTTTGCTCGGAGTCGGAGGAGAGTTTCCATAAAACATCAAACAACTTGTCGAACTGATTCAACGCAGAGCCTCTACATATTTTCACAACATTGTAGAGGGATTCGCATGCAAAATAGCGGACCCTTGAGTCGGCGTCCGTGAAACACGTCAGGGCCGAAGTGAGCAATTTATCAGAAAACTCATTGTAGTTCTAAAAGGGTCAGTATATTAAATATAGTCAATAATAATATGAATATTACGTTGAAAATCAAAGTATTAATAAGAACAGGGTCAATATAGTCTCGTTAACATTGTTGTCTTTAAAACAAGCATCAAAACCAACAAAAACCTTTTAATAACTTTAAAAAACATGGAATACTATCTAAAAATGGTCTTATTAATCTGGTATTACCTAAATGTGTACAATAAATTAAATTGCATACCTTTCCTAGTCCAATTGCAACGGCAGCCAATCCAATCAACCCTCCTTTGCGACAGTTTCCATTGGGAGTGGCCGTGAGCTCCTCGATTACCTCAATCAACTTCTCCAGGTCTTTGATTCGATTCTGTTTTATCAGTTCTTTCACCAATCTACATTATGAAACATTATAATAAACACACACTTACTTTTCTATCTCCAAAGCAGCAGCTTTCCTCTTCTCGTATAACTTATCAGTCAAAGCTCGGACCAGTGCTGGTGTTAACGGGTAATATTTGTTACCCGGATCAGCCATCTTTCAATATCACAGAAATAATATTGTACTACTCTAGATAATTATGTTCTTATTTCAACTATTAGCTTCTTTCGTACCTTTTTTGAGTAAAAAAATCTAAAAAATCTCTATAAAAAAAGAATTAATTTGCAGAAGGCCAAAAGCGCAAAAGCCCGCGAATTTCAAACAAGGAAACGTTGCAAAAATATTTTTTCTGTTTTCTTTCTCGTTTAACAGGCCTACTCGTAGCCGCAGGTGGTTTTGTACTGTAAAAACATTAACAATTAAATGCTTAGGCTATATTGTACTCGTCTTAAACTCAATGTCTTGCCTTTTCGGACGTCGTTCTCAATTTTTGGTATAGATTTTTATTTTTTCTTATGTTGTTTGCTTGTTTAGGATGAAGCGGAAGCATTTTGTGTGGAAATTGGAGGAATTCGAGGGATTTCAGCGCCCGAAACCCGAGCTGGAGCAATATGAAACTGACGCTGAGATGGCAGCAGATATCATTGAAGCAATTAAGGAGATAGAAGATGACCTCGAGCTGAAACGGGTTGCCGACTTTGGCTGTGGACCCGGAATCCTAATGGGCGGGCTGGCATTGATGGGAGCCAAGAGCTGTGTTGGGTATGAGATTGATGTTGATGTAGTTGAAGTATGCAAGAAGAATCTGGAGAATATTGCTGAAGATTTGGAGGAGGAACAGCACGTTGAGGTCAGGAATCAAGATGTAAGTAGAATTTTTAGTTTTCGATATAATTATGGTTTTGTAGAGAATTCAAGAAAAATGTGTTTGTAAATCATATAGATTTAGTTTTTTAATAGTATATAATGCTATTTATAGTTAATAAGTTGGTAAACCTCAAAGTTCATGCTTCAGATCTTGTCTGACTCCTTCATAATCGCCGAGAATGATCTGTTTGACATAGTTGTTATGAATCCTCCGTTCGGCACAAAAAACAACGAAGGAATTGACTTGAAGTTCGTAAGGAAGGCGCTGGAAAGTGTGAAAGCTTCTGGAGCCGTTTACTCGCTACACAAGACGTCGACGAGAGAGGGAATTCAACGAAGAGTCGGGGCGTGGGAGGATCTCCACGTCGACGTTCAGGCTGTAGCTGAACTTTGTTGGAATTTGCCTAAGACATACAAGTTTCACAAGAAGGCCGAGAAGGATATTGCAGTAGATCTGTTGAGGTTTACGAAAAACGAGTAATTTGTAGTGATAATGGGGTTTTGATGCTATATTATGGTAGTCTGGGTATTATAATGTTTTTTATTTGTTGTTAGGAGATCTGAGGTTAATGTAAAATACTTATAATGGGATATTTTACATAGAATACTATAAGTTTCTTTAAAGTGCGTTATGTTATTGTTTTTTGTTACTGTAATTTGTTGTTAAGTTTGAAATGTAAAATAAACTTTGTAAATAGAAGTAGAGTATGTTTACACTGGTTTCACAACCAAGATATATTTGAAAGATTCGAAGAATTGTTTTTTGAGGTCATCGAATCAATCGATTCCTTCGATCGCCGTAGCTGAAGGGGCACTTTTTTGTTTTACGGTAATATTATAGGATTACTTGCTTTTATTTTCTTGAATTTCAATTTTTTTATTGTATTTTAAAGTTTTAACAATGTTTTTCCGCGTTTTTGATTTATTATTGCATTTTTCTTTTGTTTTTGATATGTTTGTAACTTATCTCATGCAAAAACTCGCTTTTTATAATGTTAATCATGATCTAAACGTTCACGAACACTTTTTGTACAATTATATATGTGTTTTGTTCTGTTTCGATCATTTTAAGCCGCCGGGCTTTTTGCTATGTTAATGTTATGATCCGTTTGCTGTAAAGTGCTAGTCGCAAAGGTGTTTGTTCCATCAGATTCGAAGAAGACAGTGACATCCAGGTGTGTGTTTTTGAAAAGCGGGGTCATTCTTTCTTGCCAGTTAACGGAACTGGTTTTCTGGCTTCTCGAACCGGAACCAGAAAGAAAAAGAATTGTCCATTTTGGTGTCTATTTTCTGTGATTTCTGCATCTTCTTTCTGATTATCATTATTTTGATCGCGTATCCAGGAATTGCTTTTGTAAATCGAGATGAAACGTTGTTTTTGTGAAAGTTTGATCTGTAACAATAACCTTTTATTACTTTATTTTGTTAATTCTTAAATATGCAAATTAATCGTAAGCCAAATCCATCCAAGGTTCTGGCAACTCTATTTCCTGCGATTTAACACAATTATGGCGATACAATTACCAAAAACAATAACTATCAAAACCACAATATTGAGTTAGACGTAAATAAACGCTGGAATAGCCGGAGGCTTTGAAAAGCTTCGAATTCCTTCCATTCTGACATCATTGGGCTCGTTTTATATTCTGGGTTTGTTTTTGGTTACGTAGCTTAAGTCGTTATCAGTGGTTCTCGATTGTGTTTCCAATTACGAAAAGTTTTTTTTACTACTTTCCCTCGATTAAAGAGTGTCTGGATCGGAATTATGAGTAAAATTGCACTCAATCGAGTCGCAGTAAGTCGGTCATTTGCGCATGTAAATCTCTTTACTGCGCGTTTTTGTTGTAAGAGGTGAGGGAAAGGAAAGGAAGGATAATATATTGTTGTTATCTGATCCTACTAGCTGTATTATGTTGCTCGCTGATGGTTTGCGTATTGTGCGGCAACATAAGGAGCTATTAAGAGTTGTAGGTATAGGGAAAGTTTATCTAATGATATGTGTACATTGAAGTGAGGTTACAGAAGAAAACGAATTTTGGTTTTAAACCTTTGTTTAAGATAGTTGTTGGGTCAAAAAATAAGTAGAAGGGAAAAAATTTTGATGACAAACGGTAGTTAGTCTATTTTTTTGTTTGGCATAGATCATTGGTACTCTTGACATGAATCTAGTACAGCTATTCTTGTTTTGCTGTACTTCTTCCTGCTTTTGTTTAGTTTTGCTTTGAACGCTTTTTGTCAGAACTCATAAAATCATTCAAAACCCTATTGTAAGCCCAGAAATGGCATCAGAAGCTAAAGACCGCGTCTGCACTCTTCTCGTATTGTAGCCAGGAATCAGATTGAATTGGTCCTTGGAACTTTGTCTTACCTGCTGTCTTCGCGTCGCTCGGTCCGAGTTTGGTCAGTCAGTGGCTCTCGGTGCGGGGCGCGGCGATTTTCAGAAGGTCGGGAATGGAAGGAAGGGAAGCCTTTCATTCAAGTCCAATGGAATTAAGAAGTCGCGACAAAATAGTGCACAAAAGCGTTCTCTAGATCTTTTCATCTGAAGGTTGAAAGTGAGATTCGTCAAGGTTTGAAATGGCTTTTGCTTTTCTCATGCCGCCTGGGGCTCTGATTTCGATCGTGATTCTGCGATGAATTTTATTTTCGTTTTTTGTAGTGTTGTGGATGACATTTGGGGGAGTGGAGGCGGATTTGTTTTGTGTTGATGAATATAGGATTGCATTATTGTAAATTGTGGTGATCCAGCTTAAGAATAATTTATTTTTAATTCTCTTAAACATGATTTTTGTGTTACAGTCTTAAAAATTGAGAAAGTTTAGTTGAAAATTTGAAAAAAATTTCCTTTTTTATCACTAAAAATTTTTGATTCATTTTAGGTAACACTTCTAGAAAGATATTGCTCTATATGATGGTATATTAATCTAATTCCCTCGCCGATGTTGCCAAGTTTTGTTTTTGTTGATTCATTTTTCTTGGCACAACGCCCATTTCGCAGTCTCGGCTCTCTTGCTGACCTCACTCTTTGGCAGTCTCGCTAGCCTCTCACCCCGCCCAGTCTTTTTTCCATCGCTCTCGAATAGTTTTTTTTTGGCGTCCTCGCACGGTCCGGCTTCTTCCCTCCCATTTTCCTAATTTCTGTTCGGCCGTTCTTCTTTGACGAACGGTGGATGGCTTCAGGCTTAAATTGTTTTAACTATGCAAATTTGGGTTTTAAATGCATAAGGTTTTTGCAAATTCGTATTGGTTAGGTTTTTATAAATTTGTAGATAATATACGTTATGGCAGGTTACCTTTGACCTAAAATCAAGCGACACACCCTCTTTGATTTACAATTGACATATGCGTATGTTCAATAATATAAGACAATCCTAATGATATAAGGCAATATAACTGTATGCTCGGGTTTGATTCCTTTACTGTGGACGTGATATTATTGACTGAAAGCCAAACCTAGGAGTAATTTAATATGCGGGAGAGAGACATAATTCCGGGAATGTGTCCCGTTTCTATCTTCCACAAGGTTTACAAAAACAGATACTAACAACAAAAGGATTTGTTTGCGTTTTGAATCGAATCTGATCGATTGTCGTAGAAACAGGTCGTATCTGGCTTTGGCTGATGCTGTTTTAGTGGTTTTGGATAATTAAATTGTTTAGTTTTCACTGTTTTTGGCTGTCGAACTATATTTTAACATGATTTGGTCAATAATCTTCTTGAATCATAATGTTTTTAGACTTTTCCTGCAAATTCGATCTGTATTTCAAACTGTTTTTGTTCGGTAAACTTGTTTTTGTGGAATGTGTAGCATAAAAAATGTTTTTGGCGAGTAACTATGTTGTAGTAGTTGTTTTTGATCATTATGTTAACTCTCCACAATGCTAACTTTGCCTTAATTTCAGTGGCTTTGGGCCTAGCTGACCCCAATTACTTTTAATTTTTGGGTCGGAACACTAAACAGGAAATAAGAGTTACTTTCACCACACTACACTACATGATGGACAACATTTTCGACAACGACAGCCAGGTCTTGAACAACGACGTCTCGTTGTTCGACTTCAACGACGACGCCTTCATGAACTTCACTGACGAGATTTCGGAAGAGATCTCGGAAGCCAGCTTGTTCTCCTCGCTCGACAACGCTACAGAAGCCAATGTGGCCGAAGACCACTGCTACGGTGCCTACGAGGTGGGGGCTTCACCGATAAGCTCGGAAGGTTCGTCTCCATCCTCATCCAGCTCCATGGGCGTCTCGAATGTGGATTCTGACTACTGTTCTCCAGGGGGATCGTTCCCCAACGAGAGTCCCGTATACGAAGATGTAAAGACAATCAAATACGAACATGACTACGGCTATGTGGAGCCACAACAAGTCACCAAGATCGTGAGAGTTCAGAATAAGCGACAGATTCCGAAGGTTACAAATGCTACTCAACGGGGACGGCTCAGTTTCAGTAAGTTTGTTTAAAATTTTGATAAAAATGTTTTTAAAGTTTTAAAATTTAAAAACAACTTTGTATGAGTGTTTCGAATCTAGTTTAAAATATTTTTTGCTAAAAAAGTTGATTTTCAAAATGTAGCAGTGAGTTTTAAACATTTGTTACCCAAACCATCGATAACGGTTATGGTTTGCACGGATCGGTTTTTGATCTAAAAGGACATCTTCCTTTAAGTGCCATGTCTTGCTTGTCACAAAATCAACTGACTTAAAGGATTTTTTCCCTTTTTACACCGCTCAAAATACTTTCGAAGGCCGTTGCGCAATCTTCACAGCCCTTTTGTAGGTCAATGTCAGCGATTGTTTTTGGGTAAACTTGTCTAATTTACTCCAAAATTGTTTAAATTTGTCGCATTTTTGAAAAAGCAATTTGAATTTTTAAAAATTTTGGCGATTGAACAATTTTTGGTATATTAACTAACTACCTTTTTTTAAAAATTTTTAAGGATTTTTTGAGATTTTAAAGTTAAAAATATGTTTTTAAGAAGTAATGCACATTTCGAACTCATTTTATATAAAAAAATTAAATTTGAGGCTGTTAAGTTTTTAAAAAATCAAAAACTTTTATTTTTATTACCTAAAATACGAAAAAACCGCAAAAGACGTCGGAATGCAAATTGGCCTAATCCACAAACAAGCTGACACATTTCGGCCATGTTTACAATGGGTTTAAGATACGTCGGGGTCAGAGTTTAACCAGACAAAGAGTGCAAAATCCTTTATTTACGTCGGTTGCGCAACGCTTTTGTAGCCGGCGGTGCGAACTTGTACCGGCTGGCTGACCGTCCGATTTCTCGTTTTAAAGGATCCGCGCGCTCTCAAAAAAGAAAATTATTAAGTGTAAGATTACTCAAAATGACACAGTTAACCTATCCTTGAAATCAACACTAACACAAGGTAATATTTATGTTGGGAATACATGATATTGATGACCTTACCTTTTTTTAATAAAAAATAATGTTTTTGATCCGAAAGTGGATTTTTATTGTTTTTTGTAAAAGCATCAAAGTTCTAGGTCAAAGATAGAAGATATATAACTAGAAAATTAAAATTCAATGTCAATTTTATGTTTGATATAGTTTACACTAAAAACTTTGTAAATCAATCAGATATCCGTTGAGTGAAGCAGAAGATATTGTTTATAAGACTCAAACATCCGCTGCACGTCTGTCTGAAATGGGAAATGACCAATAGTGGCTTTTCGTTCGTTGCGAATTGTTTTTAAATTTTATTTTAATTTTTGCGTTGAAATGTAACGAAAAGCCAGAAAATTCCATTTCCAATTTTTGTTTTATTTCAGACAGACGTGCGCTGGGATTAAAAGTGCCACAACTTTTGTTTATTCAGGTTTGGGATTGTTTGTTTAGGCCAATTCGGTGGTCGAGATCCATAAAGAGGAGGATTGACAGCTCCCTTTATCGCCACTTAAAGTTTGGGAAGAGACGGGCTATAATTAGTTTGATTAACAATCATAAAAGACACACTAACGATTTGAAACATTCTGAACAGAAAAACTTGAAGTTAACATTAAAAACTGAAAAAATGTATTCAAATATTAAAAAGTCACAGTAAATTTATATTAACATAGATGACAGAATAAATAACTTTAATCGGAGCTCTAACAACCCCATTTCAGCACCACAAACGTTCCAGTACACGGACAGCGGCGAAGGCTATAAACCAGTCCAACGCACTCAAACCCAGTCCAACAGCAACTTGGATTCAGTCCAGTTCAGTCGAGTGCCTCCTAATGTGAATCCGGCCGAAAGACAGCGAAAGTATCCGCCTCTGATTCTGTCGGAGGAGGAGAAGCGACTGTGCAAGAAGGAGGGCATCACTTTGCCCGACTGTTACCCATTGACCAAGATCGAGGAGAGGGAGCTGAAGAGAATCAGAAGAAAGATCAGGAACAAGAAGAGCGCTCAGACTAGCCGCAAGCGAAAACAGGCATGTTTTAATACACAGACTGTCTAAAATAAGGTTTTCGCAAAGAGAATGGCTTCAAAAACATTTATAATAAGGTAGACCTTTATACACTAATTCGTTCTTTCACTAATAAAATATTTTTTTCAGGACTACATTGACGCCCTAGAGCATCGTGTTGAGAGTTGCACCGACGAGAACAGAGAATTGAAGCGTCAGATCGACCTCCTGACCAAAGACAACCAGAACATAACGGCCCAATTGAGGAAGCTACAAGCCACCCTGACCGGATCCTCCAAAAGAACCGCCCAAGCCAGCACTTGTCTAGCCGTCCTCCTTCTGTCAGCATGCCTTCTGGTGATGCCGAACATGAACGGAGTCGGGAAACAGAAGATGCTCGAAGCTACACTGGCCGAGATCGAAGGTCCTCAGCTTGAAGAGACCGAGTCCAGAGGCCGCGGCACCATCTCCGGCTCCAATCAGTCGCTGACGTTGACCTGCGACAACGCCGTCAACGTCAACAACGCTTCTGGCTTCGGAAAATCAAGAACTTTGGACGTCGCGATTCCTGAAGAGCTTGGGAATCTGGAGACACCGATGATAACAGAGAACTTCCTCGACTCCAGCCAGCTGGAGGAGATCACTATAGAAGATTCTGACTTTGTGGACGATGTGCCAGAAGTCAAAGAGACTCAACTTCATCATCATGTTGCCACAAAGGAGTTCAGGGATCAACACAGAGGATATCTGGCTCCACAACAAACTGTAAGTTTTTGTTTTACTTTGATAGAATTCAGGGTATAGGCTTGTATAAAATTGGAAATTGTTCTAACTGTTTAAAGGTCTAATATAAAGTAATGTGGGATCAAGTGTTTTTAAATAATGTTGTTTCAGGTCCGTCGTGTCGTGTTGTCCAACAACCGCGTGGTCAGAAAGCCAGAGGAACGCCAATCGTACATTCAACGTAACATCCAACACGTCGCCTATGACAAGATGTCCATGCCTCAGGTCGTGTACATCTCGAACGGTGCTGACTCGCTAAAGAGGGCGGCCGATCAACGTTACCAACGTATCGTGTCCAAGAACCACGGCACGGTACGACTGGTGCCGGCCGCGCGTATGAACAACACCATGGTATCCTATGGTGAATCAGACCCAAAGCGCGTCCGATACTATCAATGAATCATTTCCTAACTTTATTTAACAAACTGTGATTAACTCTAACTTATAGATATACATTAACATTTCCAGTTCACTCGGTAATATATCTTCTATCTTTGGTCATAATTATATCATAGATGTTCTAGTTGGTTTATCTGGTCTTTAACTAGTGTCTTATTAGTAGCATTGGTCGGCTTTCTGTGATGGTCGTATCATCTGGTGTGTACTTCCCTGTACTGATCATGTACAACATTATGGGTATGGTATGTTAGGTCAGTTAAGGGGTTAATGTAACCTTCGCTAACCCTATGTTAAGGTTATTTCATTGCCTGTGCTAAGATTATTATATTTTGTATCAACTTTTATGGTTCTTTAGTATTTCTAATGTATTTTGAGTATATCTAGAGTATGCTTGAGCTTTTTATATTGTTGTAGCGACTATTTGTCTCTAATGTACCTTTAGCCCCACAATGACCTACATTAACATGGCCCATCCGATTGTTTTTCGTTGATTTTCTGTTGATTTAAATTATGCAAATCCTTTGGCTAGTCTCAACGTTTATTTGGGCGGGGTAAACGTCATCCTCTATCCCCGAGATTTAATAACTTATTCCTCTGCACCCTCTCAATTCCCTGTTCACTCTCTTATTTTGCTGATTGGTTATTGTTTTGTTGATGAAAGTTTAAAACAAATTTGGTTTTTTATTTGAATTTAAAAAATTTAAACAAATTTTGAATTTTTAAAATAAAAATTTAAAATTTTAGATAATTTAGGTAACATTTGACTTTTAAAAGAGAGAGTATAGGAAATTTCATAAAACCTCAAAATTCAAAGTTTCGACACTCAACCCCGTTCGTGACGTTCCGAATCCAGCTACAGAAGAGGGTCGTTTTCAATATGACTGTTGGATTGAGAAGTCCGTTGTCGAGATGATCTCCGTTCAGTTGTTGTTGTCCTATCACTAGACCTATCTGAACTGGGTTTTGGGTTTCCAACAGAATAACTGGAGCTCCACTGTCACCCTACAGCAGTAATAGTAGAAGATGATAGTAATTTGTCAGAAATCAGGTAGAAGCCTGGTTATGCTGCTATCTCATATCAGTGTGAAGTTCTACATGAGATCTATCAAAATTGTGCTTACATTTCGAGTAGCTATTGCTTTTTCGCCAGCGCAATAGTAAAGTGGAGTGTAGATACCGTAACTAAAATACAGATTCATGTACTTATTTATGTGTAGAGGTGAGAAACGGACTGGACCTGACACACTTTTAAAGCCCAGGCCCGAGCCCGAAGTTTAGACTGGAGGGTCCGCTTCTCACCACTGTTATGTGATTCTTACTTTGCACACTCTTCAGGATGTTTCAGTCGCATTCTCAAGATATGCATATAGGTATCGGTGTTGTAATAGCTTGGAATAGCTATACGAGCCATCAATTCGTCGAAGAATTTAGCTAGTATTACTGGTTTTACTGTGGTTATTGGGCTTTTTAACTAAAAAATAGCAGTCTAATATTAGTACAGACGTTTCAAAAGTTACTTTACGTCAATTTAGTTAGTTTAGAACTATAAAATTAAGTATAACATAATCAGAACATAGAAAGTATTAATTTACGATAGTAAAGTAAGTTACATTATGTATTATAGTATCTTCAACAGTATAGACTACCTACTTTGACAATAGCAATATCTTTCTTCTGCGGATCGTTACTTTTTACATCTTGGTATCTGACCACCTTCTCAATGTCTACAGTAATATTCAGAAACTGTACAAAGCCATTTCTAAACCATTTAATATATATTTTTAACATTATTTATTTTTAAACATACGTTCCACCATTTCCGCAGTGTGCAGCTGATAACACATAGTCTGGTGATATTAGAGATCCCACGCAATTGCCTACTGTAATACACAACATATTATATATAGTAAGTCGATATTTATATATGTGATATTACCAATACCATTACATCAAAGTAATAACGATGATAACATAACATACCTAATCCACTTGGCGTCAAAATATGTATTCTGACAGTAAACTCATACTCTTCATCGGGTAATGGCTTACTGTAGCATAAACAAGGTACGACAATCAGGCAAATGAATTTAAACATAACAGTACCCCATAATATAACAAACAATGACAATCTATTTAAATCAAAAGCAACCTTTCGTACTCACGTTACCTATATGACTCATGGTATCTTTGCCGCAGTAACCTTATCTTACTCCGTAACCAAACATGTTTTCAGTAAAATATCATAGTAGTATAATACTAGTGTGCAAAACTACAATCAAGCCAAACAACATGGATATATTATTTATTCCTGCTGTAATATCTTTGAGTATGTCCCTTCAACAACATGTTACCATGTCATTATATAACACATGACGTTATACAGTGTCCTCAAGAGTGTAGAGCCTTAAACAACTTGAAGTCGACGTTCGGGTCCTTAGGGCTCAGCTGCTTCACATACAGTATATAGGGGCCATCGTAACTGGCTTCTGAATACGCCATCAGATTCTTAGAGACAAAGAAGTCTAGGCGGTTGTCTTGACTGGCCTGGTTTCGTATCTGGCGTACAAATTTCACTGTAACATGGGTATGTAAGCATTATATATACACATATCACAGTAAAACTAATATGTGTCTTAAACCTCGTATATAACTATGTATCTCACCATAGACTTCGTATACATAGCATCGTATATTCTACAAGCTATATGCATACCCTGTTATTTTTCCTAAACCAAATGAAAGATACCAAAGTTTAATTAATATCTTTTCCATGCCTTATACACAACTAATCATATACTTTAACCTACCTTTAAAAGCCTTCCACAGATTCACAGATATTGGGTCCTTACTCACCACCAAGTCGTCCATCACTGTCGTACACCAATCTACACGTTGCTGATGATGACATTCGTTCTTGGGGCTAAACTGTCCTCTCTGTTTGTTCAGATGCCATACCTAAACATACAGTAATATTAAAACGTAAATTAATATACAAGAGTGTTTAACAATAATCACTTATCATTTGTGGCTCTCACCACGAAAACTTTTGCGCCGAAGCCAATTTCAAAACATGTTCCAAAAATCGAGTTAAAGCTTCAAAATTTAATTTTAAAATTTAAAAAAGTTTTATATTTCAAAGTTACAAAGTCTTACCGTTAAACATGTTACAGTAACCTACCCGAATCCCACCATTGAAAGATACGGCGCTGACCATGGTATGTTTCTCCACAATCTCCAACGGCGAACAGAATCCTCGCATCGGTAGTACTCGAACCACACCCATGGTATGACAGTCGAGGAGGTATATGCTGGAGGAGTACAATTGAGTACGTACTGCTACCAAGTTGTGGTCCGGAATCAGCTTCAAAGTAATAGTTAAGGACCAAAACAAGATAAATTTCGAAAAATTTTAAAGTTCTACAGACCTTTTGGCCGAAAATATTGTTCTACCATAGCTATAAAATATTACAGTAACCATTTTTTATATTACAGTAATTCACATAAAACTGGCTACTATAATATCGTTACTTTGAGTCAAAGAGTATATGGTAAAAGTACGACATGTCAGGCAAAAACATACCTTAATGAACTCAGTAGTACCATTCAGTGTGATCGAGTTCCTCATGTGTCCTGTCTTGAGGTCGAGTGCCACTATCCTCGACCCCACTATACCTACATACAGTGTGTCATCGGAGAGTTCGGCACAAAAGACGGCCGGGAACACTCGATTCCATAACGTGCACGGTGTCTCCGCCTTCTCAAAGTTCAGTACTTTGATCGTTCCTTGAGAGAATACTCGTACTACTCTGTAAAGTAACATATCACATCTACTCACCTATGTTAATAATATTTTGTTTAAGTAAAAAATAAACTCAATTAACTTAGTAATCTCAAAACCTATAAGCCTTTACTTTTTATTTTACTTTATGAATCTAAAATAATATACCACTTACATATTGCTTTTACAGAGTGCATTTACTGGGAATAGAGTGGAGTCAATCTGAGTCTCTTGCCATAAGATTTCGCCGGTTTTTAGACAGAACAGCACGGCACGGTAACACAAAAACACCAGAATTCTCTCCGGATTCTGAAAAATAAACTTCTTGTGCCATCCTTTGGCGACAGGTGGGATCCTCCAGGTGTCTTGGTACTGCCAAAGTACCTGAAATTGTAAATTCATATTAGTTGACCTACCTAATGCCGTAACTATGTATGATAATATCTAAAGCTAAAATTACATCTTATACTTAAAAATTATAAAAAAGCTTTCACACAGGTCAAAAAGTGAATAGAAGATCCAACAAAAACAATATATAACAAAGTAACATACCTTGTTTTGATTCGAACAGAAAGCAATGATACGACGATCCATGTAGATGACGACCAGTGTGTCATGGAAGAAGACTTCGTTTAGTTCTCTAAAGATTAACTTGTCATTAAGTAACATATAACAAGAGCAAACCAGTCATTCTATAACCTATAAGTGGCTATGTATAAACATAGTCAAATTACAAAAACACGTTCACCATATCTTATGACGGTATATAATAAATTTGGCTTGTAAAAATGTAAAAATAGACTTACTCTGTCCCCACTATGAACATACGATTCAAAGTGAAGAAGAACTCGCGAGTATAAGTTCCGTTGATCCAATTTCGTTTAATTCTTCGACTACTGTAATTTAAAACTAACTATATTACCACGCGTTACGTACAAATGCATCTACTATACTACATACGCCTTCTAAATTACAGTATAGACCTACACTGTAATTAAAATTTTGTAAAAACCTACAAAATCTTCAAATTCAAAACAATTGTCATCAAAACCTATATTATAGTAGATAACGTCCACTAAAAACACTTTTAGAAACGTAATTCAATACAAACTTACTGAAAATAATTGTACTTCCAAAACAAGTAATGTGAGGTGTCTTTGATGTCTTCTACTGCTTCGATCTCCGCCTTCTGACACGCCAACGACCAGATTCTGTTCCCAGAAGTCATCCGCCGCCAATTCCTGTTCACTTGCCCCATACTGCGAAGATCGTGCACGTCCAGATAGACCGTGATCATCTCGACTATCTGAAAACGCAAGGCTTAGTTTAGATATCATACCTGGGTGAAAAGTTAAAGTAAAAGTTGTAAAATATCTAAAAACTAATATCAAAAATGTGGTCCTCGTTCCCCGTTATATTTAAACCACAGAAAATGCCAAAACTTTCTTTACAATTCAATAATATTCAATACTTTACCGTATTACATGACAAATGTTACAGTACCACTGTAGGAAAGCCTTGAGGGGCTTATAACTAAACTTTATACAAGGTAACAAACGTTTTAACTTCAAGATAGGATATAGTTCATCAAAAAACAAATTTTCATCGAAAAAGGAATATAACCCTTCAGCTACATCTACATAAGTTCAATATTGACCGCATTCATCACAGCCGTAAGGTAAAAAAAACTTACTTCCAGTGGCAGATTCCCAAAAACATCAAATCTCTTTTTTCCCTGGCCATTTACAATACCTAAAAATACAAAATTGAAAAAACTGGTCATAAATTACATAGAAACTCTAAATAATAATCAAAGATTTGCCCTAAAATGCGATCCCAAAGACTTTTTGACCTTATAATCACTATTCAAATATTTTTAAGAAAAAAAAACTAAATTTTCATAAAAACTGACCAAAAAACTTCCAAATCAAAGAAAACTTAAAACTCACTTCTTAAGGAGCGCATCCGTGCTCGTGGCCAGACTTCTCTTGCGTAGCCTCTCTTTCCATTGGAGTTCGGGTACCACCTCCACCATCTCCAGCGACCGCAATTGACACAACATTCAAAGCCATAATGAGAAACGTGTTTATGCAAATTTCAATTGAAAGCAAGCAACTTGTTGATGGAAGAATTTGAATATTCTAAACTGCATTTAAAACTTGCAAAAAATCTTAAAAACGGTCATCTTCTCTATTTCCACTCCCACCGGTCGGTCGATAAATTACCCTCCGTTATGTCGAAGAAACCGCCGTCTCGAACTAAAACTAATTCGAATACAAATGCTAAAGGAACAGAACTGCCTCAAGTTCAGAAGAAAGCACCATTATCGTAAGTTTTTGTTATTCTTAACAAACGTTGTGAAAACTTTGAACTAGCAAAAAAAGATTTTAAATTTCAGGTTTTCGATTGTGCGGCCTGCGAATGTCAATGCGCAGGTTGCGGCCACCAATTACATTTTTTTTTGTTTTTGAGCTTTGAATTGAATCGAAAAGATGTATGCTAAAATTTCTTTTACACAAGGAAAGTTAATTTATAAACTTTTTCAGTCGTCGCAGAACCGGAGATCCCATATCTCTGCCCGATGGTTTAGCTCCAGGATTAGCTGAAAAAGCGGCCAAGCACCCGGAATTGGCGGCTAAGTTGATCGCGATGAGTGGATTCGCTAAAACATTGATGAAAAAGAATATTGACGGATTGAAATTAGAGTTTCTTAATTTACGGAACACAAAAATCGCGTCCACTCAAAGCGCGTTTATGGCTAACCAAGGAAAATGTCCCTACAAAGGTAAAGTTGTCAAAAGTATTTTATACGTTATTATAGTAGGGTAAAAAGGTGGTTGGTTATATTAATATACGTTATCATTTTATAGTTTTTTGACTTGTTGCAAAAGTATGTTAAATATAAGTATTGTAAGTATAGATTGAGATGAATAAAGGATATTGTTGTTCAGGTTATTGTAAGAAATTGATTACGCTTTGCTAATTAAAATGTCATTTCAGACGTGGGTTGTGCTGACAAAACAAGAGTAGTGCTAAAAAACACAAAATGTGACTTTATTCATGCAAACTACATTAAAAACGACGTAATGGTGAACACTTTTATTGCTTGTCAAGTAAGTTACTAATATTTTCTTTTATAACTTGCAAGTTCTAATATTACACTTGAGACTTATGAATGGTAGGGAAGGGAAAATAGGGTAAGGTAGGGCTAAACTGGGCATGGAGAAGCTAGGATAAATAAAATTAGGCAGGAGCAGAGTTTTGCTTTAGAAAAAGTTTCAGACCGATCCGACCGGTAGAAAAAAAGCGCGGGAAAACAAAATTCAAATTCCGGACTTCCGAATTGCGTCCGGTCTGGGAGGAACTCTGGCCAGGGGTATGCTGAGATAGGGTAATGTGGGTTTATTTTGTAATTTTGTTAAGTGTAACCTCTTCAGTAGGATAACCTTTTTTATTGGTGTCTTATACCATAAGGGTGGTCAATTTTTTGGGATGACTTAATCCGACAGTTGACCTATTCACCCTCAATAACATTGTTATCTTTTTTATTTTTGCAGGGGCCCTTAAAAGTTACTGTAATAGACTTTTGGACCATGGCATGGCAGGAAAATTGTTATCACATTTTTATGTTGTGTAAGTTTGTGGAGATCAAAAAGCAGAAATGTTATCCGTATTACCCTGTCAAAGTCAATCAAACCCTCGTAGCCGGCCCATTCAGCATTAAAAGCGTGGAAGCTTCGTCGGACTCCAATCTCAACTATACGAAATTTGTTGTCACTCGTGGAGACGAACAACGGACTTTTGAGCATCGTCAATGGGCTTCATGGCCGGACAGATTTATCCCACAGACTGTAGAGCCGGCGTTTAAATTGTTGGAGCTGGCCAGAAGTCATCCCAAAACTCCAACAATCGTGCATTGTTCGGCGGGAATAGGCAGAACTGGTACATTGGTACTCTTGGAGTGTTTGTACAAAAGTTTGGAGTTAGGAATCGAACCAATTGTGTCAAATGTCTTTTTGAACATTAGGCATCAACGACTTCAAGCAGTCCAAACAGAAGATCAGTTCATCTACGTTCACTACGCGATTCTGCAGAAAATTGTAAATTCTGGAGTGATGACGCACGAAGCTTCAAGACGTAAGGTTTTTTTAAAGTCAAGTTAAAAACAACATTCCTGACATGAGATTTTTTAAAAATTTTTTTATAAACGTAAAGATGATTTATCCTTTGTAGAATGTAACTATTTTTTACTTGACATGTCTTTTTAACATTAATATTTAAAATTTCAGCGTTCATGGCAAGCTACGATCGTTACATGTCAAAGATTGGAGCGCCGGTACCTGCGTTGTTACCGGAATATAACGACACAGCTACCTTCACGGATCGTCTTACTACAAAGAAACGGGGTTCTATTGTGCAGAAAGAGAAGAAAGAGGACAGAAGACAAGAAGAAGCTAAGCCTATATTCAAAGGAAGCAAAGAACACAGTCAAGGCGCAGATGCTGACAGAAGAGGTGCAGAACACAAAGATCGTACAGAAAAATTTGTTGTACCAGACCGGATCGTGGAGAAAAGCATGGTTACGAATCGTGCGGTCCTAGTTGAAGCTCAACCTCGTGAGGTTGAAGAATACACGACTACTGACCGACCTAGCCCTCCTGATAATGCACCTACTCGTGTTTTGGAAACAGATGGAAATATCCACAAGCCTGGAATCTATTTTAAAACATCTACAGACGTTTCGGATGACAATCACCAAGGAAAAGAGGAAGCTAATTTGTCAAAGGAGCATGTTACATCGAGCACTGGCGTCGAGAAGAATGCGTCATCAAGTAGCATCAGAGAAAGTCACGAAGCTAAAATAAGGAACTTACTTGAGAAAAAGCCACCAACGCTGCTATTGAGTAGGTTTATGCTGCACACTTAACAAATAATAGGTTTTTAGTACAATATACAAATCGTTTAACTTTTAAAATGAATAATTTCTTTAATTTTGATAGTTTTAAATACATGTTGTTAATTAAAAGTTTTAGGTCCGAAAAACAGATCTAGTCGTTCTACCTCTGACTCGGCCGAAGATGCTGGTTCAGTTTACTTGACCACCGAAATGAACAGAAACTCAATGAAGTACATGAAAAGTTCAAAACATCAGAAACCGAATGGTCGGAGATAAAGCGGTCTTGTGCCAATAAATATTTTTGTGTTTCATTTTAATGTTTATAAACGTTTTGTCATTTTATTTGAAGAAATATCTTAAAGTTCATTAGGGGTATAGTAATCAATTAGTACTTATTTGTTTATACTTACTTAAATCACGTTGAGAGTCACTTCTTATGACCAAGTTCGTTAGTTCCCAAAATAACAAATAAATTATAATATCTATTAAAAAGTAAAAAAAAATTAAAAATGTTGGATTATTATATTGTAGTAGACAACATCAACTTCGAAACAAATCTGAAACAAGTATAATATAAAGAAATACATTTCATTCAAAAACACCATTCAAATGTCAGTAAAATTTAATGTTAAAAATCCTGTACATCAACATAAATATATACAACTAGTAGAAATATTGTCCATGACATTACAGTAGCCGGCTACATTACTGGAGGCTGAAGCAATGCCTCCATGTAGTGAACAGCCTTGACGGCCTCCTTCTTTTTCTGCGTATCTTGTACCTTCTCCAACGAGCCCTCCTCCTTTTTTTTCTTCTTTGACCTCTCTGATTGGGTTACTGTGTTCTGAGTGTCATCTAACTCAAGACAACTCGGTGATTTCGTATCTTGTGACACACAACTAGGTGAAACCCCGGTAGATGTAGCCGCAGGAGATGACATAGCTGACGATGATATGTGTGAAGAATGACAGAATTGTACATCTAACTACAAATTTGATTTTAAATATATTATAGTAGGGTTCGGTGATATACGATAATAAACCAAACAGGAATCATATAGGTAAGACCATATATTTAACAAAAAACAATCGTACATCTTCGTCTTCTTCCACTTTCTTCTTCTCCTTTTCGTCCTTTTTCTTCTTCTTTTTCCTTATGCTCTCCGACTCGGTATGTTGTTCATTAACTACAATAACAGGTGCGTGTTTAGCTTTGAGAAGGTTTGGCCATGGTCTTTCTGGCAAGAATCTCACAGGTTCTTCCTCAATTACTTGTTGTTCAGCTCGTCGAATCTTGTCAATAACGAATCCAACCACAAATATAAGGGCAGCCAATGAGATCTCCAAATATAATCTGAAACAAGGATAACATAATATAATTGAAACAAGCATGGATAACATTAAAAGTTCAAGAAAATAAGCTGTATTATATTATTAAACCATATATTTAAAAAATGTGAATAAAAATGAGTAAAACCGACATAATTGCATTAGTATCCATGCCAAAACTTTCAAACTACACCAATCGCAAGCATTTATAACAAGAAAAGTGTGAATTTTCATGTCAAAGGTCAAACTTTCATTACTTTCACATAATTTCGGGTAATTTATAACTGTCATTTACATTAGTCCACATATAATTACATAAGTATGTATGTATGTAAACCTAATGTAACGCGAAACAGTGTAAAAGCATGCGCAGCCTGCGAAGACAAGTTATACGCAGAATGAAGAGAAACGCGCGGAAATAGCGCTTTAAATCAACGAAAAGAAAAAAGCTTTTACTGTTCGACGAAATATTTTACTTCTATATTAACTTCGGACTGAAAGCACTATGGATTCTAAAAAAAGACGAATTTCGGTATGTGATTTACATTATTATAAGTAATCAATATTATTTATAAAATAAAATTTAATGAAAAGGTAACACATTGACTTTTCAATAAATTCTTTAGATATTGAAGCCAACCTTCGACAGTCCAGATGAAACAGCTAACTTGTTAACTGATATTCCGGCTGCCAAGCGTCGAGTCTCCTTCAGTTCAACGAAGATTGTCCAGTAAGTCAAGGTGTATATATTTGATTTGTGTTTAGACAGTTTCATAAGGAGAATCTGCAGTTTATTCATGATCCCACAAATGAGTACCTTTATTTATCAACTTCCACTGAGATGTCAGAAGAACGGGCACGAATGTAAGGTTTTTGGACTTGATTTTACATTGTTTTAGGTATCTATTACTCAAAAAGGCATACTTTTGATAAAACGATTGTTGTTTTCGGTCGATTTAAAAGAAAAAATTTAAAATTATGAAAAATTTTTAGTTTTGACAATTATTTGATCGCTGAAAGACACGTACCTAATTGTTATTTTCTTAATCATAATGTTTTAGGTCGTTCAGTAACAAAGAGAACACACGAGACTATTCCGAAGCCGAATTGAATGCTTCTCAAGGTTTGTCGATGTTGAGAATGGGGAACGAGCTCAATGGGTCTAAATTGAATGCTGATGACACTGCTGGAGTCTTTAATCAAATTTCAGGAGGTATATTTGACTAACAGCTTATGTTTTTAGCTTTTATATGTTAATGTAGCTTTTTTAAAGATAATATAGCATCAATCTCCTATATTTAAAAAAATATTATTATTTAGCATTTTATAAAACATGTTGAGTTTTAAAACGATAATATATTATCATGGAGTAATATCAAACTACCCATAACAATATTATTACTTATAGATCGTCCGTTATCAACAAATGTCACAGCGAACGATGCGTCGTCTGAGAATACGGAATGTTTGTTTCCGAATATGCAAAAGACAAAAGATTACACAGTAAATTCGATTCAAGAGACTATGATGTTGTTCAACAAAGATAACAAACCAAGACAACCTCAAGAACTTACTTTGTATGGCTCAGGTGATCAGGTAAGTTATTCTTATGTTAAGTATGATATTATATTATAAAAATTAAATTGTAAATGTACATCAATGTCTCTAAAACGTTGTTTTATAGTACAATATATGGAATGTTGCAACATGTTGTACTATTTTCATTTTTTGAAAAGTTTTTTTTTATTTTTTTATACTACGATGCAAAGAACGGTGGGTAAAATTAGATATTTTGGTATTTATGAATATTTTGAATAACAAATTTGTATTTTCAGTCTGACGAGATCACAAGCACGCTTCAGTTGTTTCAGCACGATTCGGACCAGAAATTGGTAGGTTTTCATGTTGAGCTTAATCTTTTCTATTATTCATACCTAAATTGTCTATCCTTCATACCCAAACTTGGTTTTTTGTGGTATTACCTGCTTTATTATTCTTATATAAATTAACTTATTTATAGCCTTATCGTTTGAATTCTTGTAAGCTTATTAATATAATTACAGGCTAATATCTCCATTCCGAACCCAACAAACGAACTGACGGTGGACGAAGAAGCAGAAGTCGCTCGAAGACGGACGATGGATCTTTTCAGCATTCAAAAGGATAAGACGCTCGAACGGACCCACGATGTCAGTGTAAGATCTTCAAGTACTTGGAATGTAGGCAACGAAAGCACGCTACACTTCTCCTTTCACGATGCTGATGTTGTGTTTGACGATATTACTAACGGCGAGACTTCTGCTGTTGTACAGCAACAGGAAAAAGCAGAGGCTACGGATGAGGCGGTAAGTATTGTACTTATAATTATTCAATCTAAGTTTTTTTTATCTCATGATTATTCTTGTTTTATCGTTTATAACATTTGAAATAGTATATTTATGTACATTGTTATAATTTGATTCTTATAAATTTATTAAAACTGTCATATGTTGAAGTTTACAAGCTTACATACATTATTATAGCCTAACTCCTCCATTCCAACCCCGACTCCAGAATCCCCGATGGAACAAGAAGCCGAAGTTGACAGAACACGAACGGTGGAGAATATTGAAAAAGATGAGACTCTCGAACGGACTTATGTTGTTAATGTACGATTCCCAAACACTCAGATCGCAGTCGACGAGAGCACGGTCAACTTCTCCTTTCACGATGCTGATGTTCTCCTTGAAGGTGCTACTAACAAAGAGGCTTCTGCTGTTATCGAACAACAGAAACAGCCAGAGGCTACAAATGAGGTGGTAAGTCTTTTACCTATAGTTATATTTGAAGTTTGATCCTAATAGATGTATGGGAAGAGTTAATGGTTTTGTTCACGTATCTTATGTGGATTTATATATTTATTTAGATTTCTGTTCAGATTCCACAGCCTCCGATGGCGACGCAAACGTTCATACCAGCAAGTAAAGCGCCATTGTGTATGCCAAGCCCTTTTGTCCCCACGACTACGATGCCTACAGCTACATTGCCTACGACTACAATACCTACGATCACGATGCCGACCAGCAAACTGAAGGAAGCCATCATCAACCATCCAGGTCGTGCTCACATCAACTTTGCTGAACTTGAAGCCTTGACAGACATGTCTCCGATGGTGAACATTGAGGAATTTGGAGAACCGTGCTGTTCACTCTCTGTAGAGCCGGCTTTCGTTGAGGGAGAAGATTCTCTAAAGCGAAAAGCTAGTAAGTTGGTTTCGAATTTTTTTTGTATAAAATTGATCTACTGGTGATTAGTAATGTTTGTTTTGTTACCTAAATTAGCTATTTTTGCCTATAATTAATAATATGTTATCCAAATTATGCTTTTTATTTAAAATTATTACCTAAATTAACTATTTTCAGCTTAAGTAGGCTTCTTTGTTACCTAAAATAAATAGAATTGAAATTTAGCGATATTTAGATTGATCTTTTTAATTTTTTCAGTGGAGATTACTGCTCGAGTACTGTCAGCTTACGGAGGTAACGAACATGAAGCCAGAAATCATATCAAACGAGAATATCAGGCCAAGTTAGATGCCATGAAGCCAGAAGTGGAGAAGCTGGAGGTTTTGACTGCCAAGTTGAAAGCCGTGACTGACAAAGAAACCCGACTTCGAGGAGTCTACAACAACCTGGTCGATAAATGTGTCCAAAGAGAGAAGATACTCGACCAAGAATTGACCACTCACAGAGCTCGTGGTGAACAACATAGACAACGGCTGATAGAACTGATCGGACAATTCGAATCGTACAGTGATTGAAGTATCTTATATGTCATACTGATTACAATAAATAATTTGTAACGCTGGTCAACTGAATGATATACCTTTGGTTTATCGAATAACTTGTTGTAACCCAGCTTATGTTGAATATATTTTGTTAATATTAAATGCTTTTCATCTATTAAAATTGAGAAAATTAAATTTGAACTTTCTATTGGGTCTAAATCAAAGTTCTAAGCATTACTTGTTGATTTAGATGTAGAAATTAGTCAATGAAGTTTCATGAAGGTTAAGAAGACATGTATACAAAAGAAGCGAGTTGCGCCCTCGTTTTAAAAATTAAAAATTGGAAAATAAAATAAAAACCAAAAATGTGAGAAGAAATGTTTGTTTACTCAAAAAATGTTGCAAACTTTTATACATTTAACTGCTTTTTATAATAAAAATAATATTATAATTGAAATAATATTGATGTAAAGTGTTAAAGTCGCTTTATTTATAGTTTTTTATGAAAGATTACCCAAAATTCTCAACATTACCTTTTGTTTCTAGAAGAAAATGCCGTCCAACGTGTCCCAACCTTCATCCTCTGCTAGTTCTTTACGAGATGGACAATCTAACGGGTTCTCGGAAGCTTCAGGCCGAAGAGAATCGATCTGTTCTGTCCTGAACAAGGAATGGTCCGACTTTTCGGTGGTTTTGGAGATGAAGATGGGGGAGATGGCGGTGGTAACCATCAGCTGCCCGATGGGGGAGTTTGATAACGACAGTGGGGACAATGGTGTGATCAAGTTTGGAGATAAATCTATCGAATTCATAAGGGAAGAGAAGCAATCTGGTATGTTTTGGCTTTGCTTTTTTGTGTTTTAGGTATCTAAATTGAGAAGATCATGTTTTACGACGTGATATTGGATGTAAGATTATGCTATCTAATGTATTGCTGGTCAATCCATATTGAATTTGTTTTAGACGGCAGTGTTGTGAGTAAAAAACGACTGGTCAACTTCACCAACATACGATTTGAGCCGAACACTGTGAAATGTGGTGTTTGGTCTGATCAAAATGGGTTGTTTTGTTGTAAAGTGGAGCTGGGATATAGAGATTATTTAGGTGGTAAGTTTTTAACTTAGTTTACTTGTATATAGATCGAATATTTATTTTGAAATGTCATAAAGTTACCATAATATCATAGTTAATGTTTTTGGGGGTTTAAAATGAAGCTTAAAAGTATATTATTATAGGTATTCGCCGTTTCTCTGATCTTCAGTCTTTTATGGCTAACAAAGTACCTCTAAAAGACTTTGCCCATCGTCTGACACACAATGGCATGAAGATCTTTTGTGCTGAATGTAGAGCTTCTATATTGGAAGTGGACGGTGATAAGAAGATGGATATCCAAGCTTCTGAAGAGCTAGATCTACTGGAAGGTGGAGTGGATCTGTCTGAATATGCATATCACAGTTGTTCTCACGAGCACGGTGCTCGTAATGTTGAGGATGACGGTAAAAAGGAGGAATGTAACGGGTTAACACCGTCAAACAAGAAGCCCATTCTGACAGAGACACAGTTTTGGATGCGCTACAACAACAGCTACGAGAAGCAGCTGCTCTTGGACAAAAGCAGTTTTATCGTGTCTTGCAAAGGATGTGTGAATGAGATTGGCAGGATGTGTAAAGGTACGACGCTTCAGCTTTTGCGTTGTTTTAGCTGACTTATAGGCAACTGCTTATATTTTTTCTTTCTATATGATATGTTGTTATATGTGGTTAAAGGCTAAATTATGTATGGCCACTTTTAGACAACGAAAACGTGGTCAAGTTGGACATGTCGGCTGTGATAATCGAGGACCCTTTATCTCCCAAGTGCATAATAGAAGAACGATTTCACTCGATGGAACGTTACTTCGCCTACCTTCTACTACGGTACTCAGCTTTTGACAATTGTCTCAAACTGATGGTAAGGACCTTGGAGAAGGTACCGTACGTGATGGTGTGGCTGGTAGAGCCCATCTTCTTGTTCGCTGATGGCAAGATGAAGGAAGAGACGGAATGTTCGAAGAATGTTAAGGCTAAACCTTGTAAACTGAAGAAGAAGGCATTGACTGACTCTTCTCTCATCCATGCCTACACCTCCCTCAAGGTCTTGTACAATGTCTTTGATGCGGAATCGGCTAAGACGTAAGAGTTATAATGCTATTGAAAGTTAATATAGAATTTTTAATATAAAGTATAACGTGATTTGTCATACCAAGCCATCGTTAAGCTTATTGTTTAGAAGCCCAGCTGCCCAAGATCGCTCCGTTACCTACATTGATCTACCTCAAACCACGTGTATGCGTTTCGAAGAGGTTCTGCTACGGAACTCGGCCAGACTACCGGCTCAAAATAGGTTTTTAGGCAATTTCATGGTAAGTTTTTACTGCGCTTTAACTATTAAACAGATTAACAGCTTGAACTATATTACCCATGCTACATTTTTAAAACTATTTTTCAAAATGATTACTCAATTTCAGATATCATTCTTGACTGTCGACGACGAGTAGGTTGATAGCTATACTGTGATAGCAATGTAAAATAAGGTTGTATATTGTTATAGTTGTTGAAGTAAATGTATATTTATAGACTTTTTTACTGACTTAATAGTATGGAACTACGTTACTACAGTAATACACTAACTGTAGAGTACAAAACATTCTTCTACCATTTTTTAAACTTTATAAACGACCAGAATACTAAATTATAGGTTAATCCTCAGTAGTATGATACTATAAAGTTGAAGGTACTAGGCTGACAAGAAGAATAATTTAAGTTTATGCACATATTTGTTATAACAGGGTTACTGTAACAAGCTGGTTACTTCTGTTTGATCTCTTTCACACTTCGTACACTGAATATGACCTTGTATCGGATATCAAAGAAGGCACAGCAGTGATAAGCAATACTCAAGAACACGTCCACGTACTCGGTGATGGCGAAGATGTCGTACACTGTAACAATATTGTTTAAAATTTTTTGATTTCTTGGAGTACTAGTATATGTTGGTATATTATTGTATTATAATAGTAATTTACTAGTACCTTAGGTTGCAACTTATGGGTCATATCTAGTATAAGCTCCCTTTATAGTTAATGTGGGGTATAACTTACTGAAGGTAATGCACTTTTTCCAATACAGTAAGAATGCTCCGAGAAGAATGGGTACGGAGATGATGTACGTTATCAAGATGACCACCTTAACATAGTATGAAAACCTTCCCTGTAAAGTTGTTTTTAGTATGACGTTTACTGTAACAGTAATATTAGGCTGACAATCACAGTAATACTAAGCCCACAGTTACAATAATATTATACTAAGCATTACGTTATCAACAACTCTGTTACGGTAGAATAAAATCAAGTTATATCAATAACAATATAAATCAAACCCACGTAAGGATTGAGGTAGTACAACGAACTCCTGTGGCATATCACGTTGGCCAAGAAGAAGCCAATGGCCGAGAAGCCAAAGGCGTAGAAGAAGATGACGTGGAATCCTGTAAAATCACGATAAATACCATAGTAGTGCTGAGTCTAACGAAACACTATAGTAAAATGCGAAGTAAATCACTTTATACTGTAGAACTAGTTTCAACATACTATCGTATCACAGAAAAAATATTATAACTTACCAATGTACTCTCTCTCCCCGACTACTGACAATGCAACCATGAAGATCAGCTCCAGAATCCCCACGAGCAGATACATGTAGCGAGAGAAGGTGTAGAAGCGAGGGTACGAACAATCGACCGACCGGAGACGACCGTAACGGAAAACTACAATATTTACAGTTCAGTGTATAGTTACTGTAAAGTCAGCTTTCTTTAAAAGATACTATAGTATGTTATATAACGCTTATGTTGTAAACAACGTGTGTTAGTTGTTCTATATTGTAATATCTGATTATTAAAACTCACATCCGACCCCAAGTTCGATGAGACGTAAGGGAACGTGGAAGAGGAAGGTAAACTGCCAGAAGATACGTTCCATAGGCAGGTTGATGATACGAGACAGTGATGGTAGTCTGGCACGCTAAAGGTTCAAGTGTAAACGAGGCTACTACAATATATCGTGTTTTTTAATATATTATTTATCATTAATATAATATGATCAACGTATATCACTACAAATCTATGCCTTCTGTAACCTTTTGTCCACTGTAAACTTATGCTTACTATAAACTTATATCTACTGTAAACTTGTCCCTACTGTACACATATGCTTACTGTAAACTTATGACTACTGGAAGCTTATGACTACTCTAGATCTATGCCTACTGTAACCTTTTACCCACTGTAAAATTACGCCTACTGTTACGTTTTGACTACTGTAAACGTATATCTACTGCAAACATACCCCGCACTGCCAGTTGTAGTTGCTGATTTCGTCGTTGTGAAAGATAAGAGCGATGATGATGCTGAGGACGGCGCCGAGGGTCGGCGGGATGAAGCCGACGAAGAAGAGTTGGGAGGGGTTGGGCCGCATCAACTCCTTCACCCTCAGGCCATTCACTCCATCGATACGACGTGGATGCACCGACGGAGTGCGCTTCATGGACGGCACGGTGTCCGTCTCCATCATCTCCCACGATGGATGATACGATTCTGGGGCTTGGTAGGTGGGCGCCACCGGAATGGTATGCATCTGAAGATGGGTGGTTTGTAAAGAATGGTACAGTTTGTGAATTATGGTACTATTGATGGTAAATAATATTGTTTGTATAATAAAGTATGGTACTTTTTCTATATAATGCCACTATTCGTACACAAAACTAGCGCCAAACAATACTAGTAGTACTACTTTGTAGGTATGATACTGTGTATTATTTACTTGAAGAGCAATTCATAAAACTGACACAAATCCACAAAAAAATAGGAAAAATGAGCAAAAATTAATTATTTTAGATACAGTGGAACTCCCGTATCACAAACAACTTTTGAATCCCCGTCTACCCCTACACAGTGCATTTAAAACTCCTGTATAACCAAACTCGTTTATAACGAACAAATTTCAAGCCCCCGAGCGATTTGTTATACAGAAGTTCCATTGTATATCAAATAAAGAATAGTAAGAAATATAGTCATAAAAGGCATTCTAAAAACTTTTTGACCAAGAATTATTGTAACTTATCAGACAACTATACAAAAGAACTAGGCAAGTCTAAAAAATAAGTTTGAATTTGGAGATGCTTTTTCTAGTCTCAAGTTATGTCCGTATCTACAATCTTAATGGTTAAAAAACTACAATCATAAAACACAGTTCTCAAAATTTTTTGACCAAAAATAATCAGAAAAATGCATACAAGTGCTAGACAAGTTTGAAAAACAAATTTGAATTTGAAAATTGTTATTTTATCCTCGTTATGCCAAACAATTTAAAATTTTTAATTCGCGGGTAATTTGCATTCTGTAACAAAACTTTTTTAGTCTAATAAAAGTGAAAAAAATCTTCAGTAACTCTTACAAATGCATGTTTTTATAGAAAATTAAGAAAATTTTTTAAAAATTTTGATTGAATAAAGAATATCCACAAATTTCAAAAATTTAAAATCATTTTTAAACCATGATGAGCTTAATGCTAAGTACAGTGTTTTAAAAAAGTTAACTTAAACGCAACTTTTAAAGAAACGTTAATATTAATATTAAAAAGATACCTTTTGCAAATAAAAAAATATTTTGAAAATACAATAACAAGCGTCGGATTGTAAAATACGACGGCGAAACGTTTGAAACGGCTTAAGAAAGGCATCTGGAGAGCGATGTGGTTTGGAAGCGGCACTCTCATAAACAGCTTAACAAACCGGTATATCTGGTATGTCTTCCTGCTTTCACTTACATTACTGTGTGGAACTGGCTGTATGATGACGTCTTATCAATAAATAGTTAGACTTAACAGAAGCTTCTTTAAAACATTGTCAAAACAATTGAAAAATGTATCGAGAGATTACTGTAACTTACTGCAACATCAAAGACCATAAAATTAAAAAAAATAATTAAAATGTTACCTAAATGACATTTTATACAAAACAAGCTTATTTTAATAAGAAATGGCACAGTTCAGAAAAACGCTGAATGACATTTAAAAAGAAAACAAAATTATATTAAGGATGGGGTAATCGGGGGGATGCCGAAAGGGAAAACGGCTTCAAACCGGAACGAGAGATCGCGACGCTTCGAACGGATTCGAAGACTTGTTTTCAGCTATTCAAATTCATTACTTTCGTTTGATTCTTCTTTGTTTAATTAAACTTTCCAATTTGCATAACACCTTATGGTCGGTGGGGTAGTTTTTGAATTTGAGGTGGGGTAGGGTGTGAGTTTATTTAAAGAAAGGGTAGATATTGAACTATATGACATTCTTTTTCATTTACTACCTTCTAAAGCACTCTTCAAAACATTTTTGAAGTCGACATGACCGATCATGTCAAAAAGTTAGGGTTAAACTATGAAACCTCCACATATCACCACCCCACACCCCTACCTTAAATCAAAACTTAAAAAAAGTTGAAAAAGCAAAGTTTATTGAAATTTCCATTCAGTGTAGAGACCGAGGAGCACGAATCCGAGTATGACCAGCACCGTCACGACCAGAAACTCGGCAGTCAGTAAGATGAAGTAGAGGCGGTAGTTGAAGTCATATTCTCTAATCTCGTTCAGCAGCCTCTCCGACGACAGTAGGGCCGCTTCTCTTTTCTTCTGCAATCACTGACATTAATTATGTTTTGTAAAACTATTAACAATATTATATCAAAAATATGATTTAAGCAATCTACTATAATATACGGTTATACTGTTCATAAATGTAGTATAATCAATTTACAAAAATAAAATATGACACAAATAACATTGCCAAACCTGTCACAATACCATCACACCAAGGTAAAATAAGATCACATTAAGAAAGTTACCAGAACGTGATCACATTGCCTAATAAAACAGCTGGACTTACATCAGGAGTCTTCTGATGGTCTACTTCCTTGTTAGTCGTCTGATCCTGTTCGGGCGGAAGCGAGGCTGGTCCAACTTCATTCCCCTGCTTTTTGGCTAGCGATTCAATTGTGATATCGTGCATTTCTCACGCGACAACCGGCTGACAAAAGTGTTTATTTAAAAATGACATTAATTTTTTGGAAATTTTCCATTTTTCGTTGCAAAAAAGTTTAAAATCAGTCTGAAAATGGCGCTTTACAAAAAAAATTTAAAATTCAAATCGTTTAAAAGTATAAAAGTAACCTAAAATATTAAAGTTACCTGTAAAAAGGAAAAAACTTTAGGTAAGCCATGAACTCTCCCAAAGAACCGACCAAACGTTTTTATCAACGCAGTGACAGTTTTTACACGCTGTTCCGACGGCGGGGCATGATCCAGTCCGAGTTGCCCCAGCCTGTGAACTCTTTACCGCTTCACCATGCGGGAACACCTCTTTGTTCCTTTATTTTCTGTTTTCTATCTTTCTTAGCGAATTGGCGCCATTCTCTTCCGTTCACTTTTCGAAATTTTGAATTTTTTAAAAATATTTTAGATTTAACTCAAGATGAATATACAGGTTATAATAATATTTTGGGTTTGAGCATTTAAAATTACTCTGTAAAGCGTTTGATTTTAGTTTTTTAAATTAAAATAGGTGTCAATAATTATATATTTTCATTTTTTTATAAAGTTTTTAATCGAGTTAGTTAACTTTTAGTTATTTTAGGTAACAAAAATCCATATTTTTTGGTTTTATTGAATTATAAAGCGATTTAAACCTAGTTTTCGAATTTCAAACTAAAAAATATTTAAAATCTTTAAAATATTACCTAGTTGAATATGTTTAAAGCTAATACCTTCAAGATTCTGGAATCTAAATGTTTAAAATGCATTTATTATTAGTTATTTACATTAGGCGAAGAGATGTGGCGCCCTGTATACGATGAGGGCGGTACAGAGAAACAAGAATCCTGAAAATGTGATGAAGCAGATCCGATCCACCACCATCGCCGCGAACATCCAGTCCTCGTGGATCTCGTTTAGGTATTCCTGAAGACAGGTGAGTTCATTCACTGTGGTAACTTTTGTGTTGTTATTAAAATATTGCTAATTGTCTTAAAATGGGCGTGAAAAGAGTTTTACAGCGAATTATTATCTAAAAAATCGGAAAAAATATGTTTTTTCAGCCAAATGTCACTTACAATTTGGTTTTTTCCGCCAAATTTTACCTAAAAGCTGCTGTTTAGCCAATTATTATCTAAAAATTGGTGTTTTCATCCAAATGTTACCTAAAATCCAGAGAATTTAAGTAATACCTACCTCTTTTTGCACTTTCCCTGATATTACTTTAAGATGCATCATCAGAGCCTCAAACTGAGTGTTACTCAAACAGCTATGTATTGGTTCGGGTTTATGTTGTACATGATTGCTGGTGTGATCTACTCCAATCTGAATGTGTTTTAGACATTATTGTCATCAAAAGGAAATCTTTCTATGCCTCCTAGCGAAACTTTTTTAAATTTCAAGATTTATAAAATACGAGGATTCTGAAGCTAAGAGATTCTAGTGACCGCACGGTGCGACGGGTTGAGAACCTGCACTGTGCAATTTTTAAAATTTAAAAAATTGGAAATTTTATTCAATTTCTGAGTAGATATTGATTTATTGTGTGTTTAACTTACTGGAGTAGATAATAATTTAGTCCTGGCTTCATCTGGGGCTCGGAACTGCATAAAACGGCCTTCAATGCTTTCGGCTAGCCTTTTATGCCGCGCCAGTTGTTTGTCTGCGCCTAAAATTATAAATATTTTAAAAATATACCTTTACGAGCATCTAGAGTAGATAAGCTGGCAAGTTTTCTGATGTACTAATGTCTATAAGGTGTAGTATATTAACTTGATGATATTGTTATATATTATCCTTGTAATATGTATGATATGACTCACTCTTTTTCTTATGACATTTCCCAATGTGGTAGTCGGTGCCATTAGACGACACCTTATATTCTCCATGGCCGTATCCATTCTGAATACTACTGTAGACTTGAGGGTGGACTAAAAGCTTTGAATCCACCTCTACGGTCGGTACGATGACATGAGAGTTGTTGAGTCCAGATTCAGTGCCTTGTAGATAAGTTAAGAAGGTCTTCTTGGGCTGATCTTCTTCATTGTTATCTCCGACGCGAACTCTGCTCGGTCTGCTCATTCTTAATATCCAGGCGAACCAGTCCAGGAGGACTATTCTCAGCTGGAAAGAGGTTTACTTTGTTTAAACAATAGATGATGCATTGATTAGTGATGGGCATTTATTAGTACTATAATACAAGTACTATAAAGAATAATATACTATACGATGTTACTCCTATACTACTAATGTAAACTCAAAGTCATGAACAACATACCAGCCTGGGCATGGGGAAGTAGGCTTCAGCATTGCGATGATGGAAGTTGAGCACGATCACCGTGCATATTACACTCGCCCCCACTTCGAACATGACACACGTGAAGTAAACCTCGATCAGCGGTAATGTATCCGACGTCTGAGGCATGGTCTCAGCCACCATCAGCATGAACACACAGAGTGACATGAAGATGGTGACGCAAAGATTCAGCTTCTCTCCTGAATCTGGAGGCAAAGCGAAGCCGAGGAGGGCTAGCGACGAGATCAAGATGGATGGGATCACCAAGTTGATACCGTAGTAGAGGGTGCGACGTCGGACCGAGATCTTGAAGGTGACGTCGTTGTAGGGCTCGGGACAACACTCGTAGAAGATGCGGTTACGATGGGAGGTGGCACCTGAAATTAAGTTTTATAAGGCCTTCTTGGGCTGTTGGAGGCTATGGGTTAGGCTTTACAATTATTTTGTTGTTCTGAATTTGAATTGCCTTACTTATTTGTAAAACATGTTACAGTAGGTTCAAGAGCACAGCTATAATAGACTCGTAAAAAGGCTAAAAATGGGTCCAGACATGGCTATGGGCAAAACATCCCCCTTATAAACAAAATCTATAGGAAGTGCCCATTAGTACTCAATTGTCTACAATACCACTTTTAGAAACAGTACCCTTTGACCTACATTAACATAATATAATGTTAGTTGAAAGATACAACACTTACTCAAGAGATGCCATTCTCCATTGGGAGTGTATGGATCCAACGATACTGTAGAGTTATATAGGTCTGTAAAGAATCCAGAATACGTCCACGATCCGAACTTCATGGAGCAAGTTTGATCATCAAAGGGAAATGAGGTTACCTACAACAATATGCTTCATTAAAGCTGGACCAAAATTCCTTTAGTATTATACTTCGAAGTACATGCAGAAATACACGTTATAGAAAGTAAATGAAGTTACCTACAACAATATAACCTAAGAGCTGCAATTACATTGCAAAGATAGTCTATATGTTCTTTAGCATCTTCACTATCTTCTCTGTAATTTTAAAGTATGTAAAGCCCTCGAGGATACCTACATCAATACGACACGTTGACTTGACTATGGCTGGCGGAATCCACGTTACATTACCCGTATATGTTACTATTGCATTCACTGGCCACATGGCATCGAAGCGTTGGTCTACAGAATTGTAGAGGAGCACGTCCGGCTTCCAGATGTTGTTTATAGGCAGCCGGACTTCCTTGATGTTCCCATACTCGGAGGGGTCCCACGTTAGGTAAACATCGTGCCACTTCTGAAACATTACCAACTTGTCAACGATCTTTGTACTATTCAAAAATAGTTCCTAGGATCTTAGTACAGTAGGCTAAGTTGCTACAGTACGGAAAATCAAGCCAACTTACGTTACAATAGTAAAGCATGTTACAGTAACTTAATTTGCTACTTAAATTCATGTTATTGTAGCCTAATATTACATCGAAATAGCCTATCTTACTATAGTAAAGCCATCTTACAGTAACATAACCTACCACCTAAGGTCATGTTACAGTAGCCTAACTTACAATATTGAGCCAAACATTGGTAGTGATGGTCTGAGCCTTCTCGTCCACATCCAGAATCTGTTGTAGATCCATACCAAGATGCACGACAACGGCTTCGGATTCGTTTTTGACCGGCCGTGCCAGAACGTTGTAGCCATGCTGAAGCCGATCATACAGTAAGCGCTCGTGATCGCCTGCCCAAACAGCTGAAATCGGGTTCAGAATTCATGGGTAACAGGTTGAGAATATGAGAAGCACACACACATCGTATCACACAACAATCGTATGTGGATGTAACACATAACATGTACGATCGTAGATCGTATAACACAACATACACATCACACACTCACTATCTTCTCATATAACACACAATCACCGTTCTACTGGCACAACATTTACTATGACAACCGATCTTATCTGAACATAACCATACCCCGCGATCGTTCCATGTTGGTACGCTCTTTGTGCCGTACCGTATCGTGCTGATACGGCTGCTCGAACCGATCCCAATCGGACGAACTCGAACTCTGGTGTCGGCTGCGGTGCTTCTCGGGCAGGATGGGGGTCTGGGCGTGCCGTGCCAAGCCCACAAAGTTCTGATAGGAAGAAAGCGCCTTACTCGGACCGACAGCAAACAACACCAGCAACAGCAACAAGCCTGAACACAAGAAACAGTGCAAACAGACAGATAAGTACAGTCTAGCATAGGGGTGGCTACTTTAAAGTTTTGACTAGTTTAGTATAGGGCTTAGACTGAAGGCTATTTTTTGGTTTTAGGCCGCAGTCTAGTCTAATCTTAAGTATCGCAAAAGTTTTTGGTTGGTTATTGAGGGTAAATCACCTTTTTTGTGCCATTTTTAATCGATATCTTTCAAAAAAAAATAAAATATAGCCTAAAAAATACCATAAAATAAAGCTTTTAGCCTTAAAGTACTGTAAAATGGACTGATCATACTGTAACTTCAAAGACAAGTCTTTAAACACGCGGGACAAGAAACAGCAGTCGCAAACCAACCTCGGTGCATTTCCAGTGTGAATACCATATTACTGAACAACGACATGATCAGTTGGCCCACCGTCAGCTCTCGCATGGCAAAGGCCAGAGGCCTGCAGCTGAAAAGTGGATTTTATATTATTGTATCTGTGGAAAGTAAATTTCTTCATTAAAATAACAAGAAAGCTCATAAATGCTATGTGGTTACTATCAGGTTGAATATGAATGAGCCATTCAAAACGCCCAACTTTAAAAACTTTGGCTCATTCATATTCGGACAACCTGATATTACAAGACACTAAGGTAAGGTAGGGGCTATCTTTAAATTCTAAAGAGTTAATTTTAAAGAAACTCCGAAACTACAGTAAAACCAAGATATTACCGTAACAATCCTTTTCCAAAACAAAATTTTATGCTAATTCAGTTTAATTCAAGAGTACAAACACAGAATAGCCAAAAGCATACAATAAGGAGTACAATTAGCTCAACAAGAGGTAGGGTATTATACATTCCGGACTCCAGAAATCATATGCCCTGGGGTCAAAGAAAGAGCGCGGGAAAATGGATAAGTCATCCGTGGAACAAGTTGAAACTGAATCCCGTCGGCACGAAATGAAGCCGGCACGCTTTTAGCACACCTGCATAGTATTGCAAATTAGGAAACATATTTTGGGCGTGGAGTGATGCGAGGATACGTTTAGTTTGGCATAGCGCTTGTTATGGTCTAGTATGATATTTTGGGATCTTTACGTTAAAATAGTTAAGATGGAGGGGGGCGGGGGTAAGAAAGAGCTTAGAAAAGCTCAAAAGTATTGGTCGAGTTAGAAATTTAGGTAACAATATATGAAGAAGAGTTCCAAACTTAAAGTTTTTATAAATTACAGTAGCCGCCAAGCAGCAAAAATGACAGTTGAACTTTTTTAAACCAAACGGCGCCTAAAAGCCTTTTTCTATGAACTTTTGGACCGATTAAACGACTACACTCAACTTTGGACCTATCCCTACAATAATCTAAAATCTCCCCTACCGTAACCTTCAACAACCCTATTAAAACCCAAAAAACCCGCTACCGTACCCACCTCTGACCGATCTCTCCCCCACAAACATAACAACATTACAAACATGTATTTACAATGTCAGCCCACACATATTACAAATTATAATGGTAACGGCTAGCGGCTGTGACACGAGATGTCAGTCTCGTCTCTCTCGTGCTACAACTTAAAACAATTACTCGTTAAGCCCGTCAGTTTCAGACCCTTGAGAAAAGGATCCCCTCGAGAGCGTTTTCGTGCACAAAAAGCCCTCCAGCGATCATTCAAATATATTTAAATTTTTCCAAAATATTGCCAAAACGGTAAACTGTCATTTACAACTTGGTGCATGCACTTTGCTGGGGATGAAAGGGCTTGGTCATAGCGAGACGGATGCTTTTTCATGATAATATAGCTTCATATCTATGAATTTTGGGTTAGAATGGCAATTTTTACAGTATTTTCTAGTGTTTTCACACCTAAATTTTTAAAAACTTATTTAAAAATGAAGTTTTAAGTGGCCTACAATCTATAAAAACATAATATTAGTCTGATCTTCAAACTAAGACAACATAAAACGAAATTAAAAAGACCGAAAAGTCTTGGCGCCAATTTGCACAGAAAATAAAGGTAAAAAGCGCCAAGAATTTACTTCTACCTTATAATTTAAAAAAATGACAATGATCCGTGCCATTTTAGACAATATAATTCTCATGTTCAATATAATTATCATGATTAATATAAACGAACTTAACACACCAAAGTACAAACAATGTCCACAGTAATATTGAAATCTTACCTCATGGTTGTTGTCGGCCACCTTGCACTCGCTTTATTTCCAAAACTACCACTTTTTGACCTCCGGGAGTTTTGAATTTCCGCTTTTTAAATTATGCAAAAAGGTTTTTGGGAAAAGTTCAGATCGAGAAGGGTACTTCCTCCAACATTGCTGTCTTCATCGTAGAGTAGGGTTACTTGAGGTTGCAAGAAGTATTATCATCTACATCTGAAAAGTTTTGTTAATTTTGCCTTGTATAAGATAAATCTGTGTCTAAAATAAGTTTTTGCAAAACGAAGATAATGTTAAAGAAAAAATGTTAAGGAATTTAAACAAAAACCAATTTTTTAAGTTGAAAATCCACAAAATTAAGGTTTAATGGTTGATTTTAATGAATAAAGTAAAGTAAACTTTAAAATAAACCATGTTTTACCAAATGCATTTTCCAAAAAATAAATTTGAAATAAATTATGTTTTATTATAAATAAATAATCACATTTTGATTCAGGTGAGCAGCAGAGATATCTGCTCGGCATTCGGCACCGAGGCGACTTGTTTTTGTTCTTGGCTGAATTTGGAATTGGCAAACTCTCGGATCTTGTTGAAGGACTCTTGGACTCCCTTTCTCACCGGCTCCAGAAGAATCTCTTCCGTTTCCCTGCCTCCAATGTACAATTTGTATGCTGCTTGTACCTAAAACAATCTTTTCGTAATATTCAAAAAGATAACTCGCTCGATTTTCTATGTTTTTATGTGTTAAAAATTAGAAGTCTCTTATTCAACAATAAGCCTGAAAAGTTAATTTAACTGCAAAATTATTAAAAAAAGTCAAAGCTTACATCAGTCCAGTTTTGTTTTAAGGTTTTGAAGGCTTCTCCAACACTTTCTCCAACTTCTTTGTGATTCGGCTTCTGAACATCTTCTCCTTCTGCCTGAAGCATTCAATAATAACAGTACTACACAGAACAACGTCTTACATATCATATTTAAAAGGTAAAATCAAAACCTACCATTATCCTCTCAATAACACTTTTCATTGATCTTGTCAAGAAATCAATGACAAACTTGATCAGTTCGTGACAATGTTTCTTCAAATGCTGCTCCAGAATTCTTCTACTGTCCAATTGGACTTCGCTAATGTGTACTGGAGGCTAAAACCAATTCCATAAGCTTTAATATTCAATTATCAAGTTGTTCAAATAATTATGTGTTCCTAAACCCAAAAATACGCTTTGAGAAGAGGCACAGGATTATTTGAAAAACCCAACACAAAAACGTTGAAATTTTGACTTCAAAAACAAAAATAAATGTAAACAAATAATTTTCAAGAACATACCGCAATCAAAAATGACAAGACAGCATTGTTTGAGCTGAATTCGAAGAGTTTCGACCGGTCGTTGAACAACTCCCCTACAGTATCCCTGTACTTGCTCAAGTCGAGACTGTAATTGAACTGTGACAAAATACTAGAATCTGGAGATTCAGGGCCATTAGTACCAGTTATTGGTACTGGTGCCACTTTGAATGGTGCACTTTGTTCTCTCAGGATGAGAAGATGTTTGACCAAGAACAACTGAGCATCTAACAACCTCCCTTTCCCCTTTAATGTTGCTTTAACATTGTCAATTGGAGTTTCTCTGATCTTCTGAGCAGCTGTCTCTAACGACTGACAACAAGCGTCCAGGATCTCACGAGATACATGAGCGTACACTGATGGCTATAAAAATACTAATAAGACCTTATAAAAAGAATTAATGCCAACGACAATTTAAAAACTTTAAAGTAAACCCAATAAATACAAGTTATCCCGGTATATCGATAATGTAAGTTACACTCACTTCCAGACACCTGTACAATTTACCCAAACAAAGTACAGTACGTCGAACTGTAGGGTACCATAAACAATGTCGATCTACGGCGTTTCTCTGTTCTTGTGAAGCATCTTGCTCTTCTTTTACCGCCTTTTGTTTCTGTTCAATGTCCTTCATCATAAGCAAGATCTCTGGATACTGTAGATCACCAATGGCAGCGTTGTAGAAGACCAAGTCGTTGCGACAGAAAATCGAAGCTCTAAACATTAACAACATTATAATGAACAATATACATTCTATCTAACACTACAACGCACAAAAAACCATGATATTACAGTACCTGTAGACAATTCTCTCCACAATATCTCCCACCAGCTCCTTCATAACAGCCGTGAACCCGCTACGTGGATTCACCACAGCTTCAAAGTTGTCAGAAGGTTGTGTAGCTTCACATCGCTCTTCGATCATCTCCACTCGGACTAACGAGCACAGCTGAGCTAGAGTCTCCAAATGTTGATTGTGAATGACCAGAGGCCTTAAAGAGTCGTAGAACAGTCTACAGATACCTTCAATGAAGCGATTGAACAGCGACGATACATTTGACCAGAATTCGTTTACCGTCGGCGATACTCGACTGACTGAACTGAAGCGACGAAGGCTGGATCGGCTAAAATATTATATTACACATGACATTAGCTTGATCAAGGTAAAATCACCTACTATGTACAACAAAAATGAAAATAAAAACATCGTCACCTCAATTAGCTAGTTAACTATCTATTTACCTACTTACTACATACTAAAACAAACCTACCTAGGCGCAGCAGTCTCCAACACAGAATCAGGTTCAGCCACCATGAAGAACTGCTTGTATAATCTGAATTCATCATCACACAACTTCAGCAAGAACAGACATCCATCTCTGGTCAACGAACAAGACGAATCCTTGTGCCTGGCCATCAAGTTGTTCAATGTAGCATGAAACACAGGTTGTAGCATCCGGTCACGGATCTCAAAGTATTCTACTTCACAGTCAATGAACATAGACTGGTACTCTTGGTACTCGGAGAAGAATTGGTGTGCCAAAGAGATGTGAGTTCTGAATTGAAACGTTTTAACGTCAAAGTTTATAAACAACCTTAATAACAACACAGTTTTAGTTATATCTCGCTTTTTTAGGTACCAAAAACTTGTAAAATAAAAGATAACAAGTAAAGCTGACCAACTTACTTAACAGAGTTAGCTTTCAATCCAAAAACACCATAAAGCAGAGTAAAAGTATCTTCCTCATAGCTTCCGCTTCTCATTTGTCGTTCCAAAACATCTTGTCGACATTGATCTAACAACGAGAAGACACTCTCCTTAATGGCTGTCAAAGCTTTACTAATACATTGTTCATAACGAGCCAAGTATGTGGCAGCTTCTCTGTGTTCAGGATTGTTCTTTATAAACGTCACACACTCGTAGATCGAAGATAATATCTGAGTAAAGGTTGTTCCAGTCAACGACAACTTTGTGGCTTGGAGTTTCTAAAAAATCAGTAAGTCTTGAAGTAAAACAACATAATATCTCAATCTTTGTTTAAAAAATGTAAGATTTTCCTATTTGTCAAAGTGTGATATTAGATACCTTCATAATCCAGTCATATTGTTGATAGTAAAACAAATTAGTCTTGATCTGTTCACAGCCGGCTGCCAATTGCGTTTGCTCCGACATCATTCTGTCACAAGCATTGTGCAGTTGAGAAGTCTTCTCCGTGACCGCATTGTACTTGTTCTTCAGCTCCTCCAAATTCTAAACCAAAAACAATATAAAACATAAACCAACTTACCTTATAAACCTCATCTCGATGTTTTTCCAAAGCGGATATCTTCAAAACACATTGTTTTAGCTGATGAACATTCGAAGAATCTTCTTCTTCAAAGTTTTGCTCATTATCATACAACAAATTCAATGTTTCGATCGAGGACGAAGCTAAAAACCCTGGATTCGAATATTTTTCTGAAGATGAAGAAGAATTTCCTTCAATACACAAAAAGCCATGATTTTCCGCAGCCTTATGAAGTGCCTGAACAGTAGATTGTTGGCTAGCAAACACCATTTATACCAAAAATCTGCTGTTCATTGTCTCAAAAAAAAAGATTTTTTATTTTTGCAACGTCAAAATCGGAGGTCTCGGAAAGAAAAGATTCTTGCGTATAAAGTGGCTAACGCAGGCTGCAGGGTAAAAACACCTTTTTTGACAAAATTCTGTCCGTTTGTAAGTTACGAGCTTCAAAATATGTAGATCATGGTTTTGATTGAAAAACCTACAAATTGTGTATTCCTTTGTGATTCTTTTAAAAATATTTTAAATAACGTTTTCATGCAACACAAAATCAACCATTACAATGATCTTTCGAATTTATTTTACAATAGTACTGCATACAACAACTGAAACATAAAAAACATAAAAGTTTACATCAATGCGAACTGACCAAATCTAGAATACAGCATTATAAAAGATCACCATCACAATAACTTATAAGTAAACAATGGAAAGATATTCAAGTAGTATAACATCGAAGGGATTTTACTGCCACAACTCCTCCAATCGGCCGAATTTGTAGACCAAGGAAGCGCAGAAGATGAGGAAGTTGTTCAAGAAGAGGGCGATTCCCGGCCAGTTGGTGTGATCGCCGGTCTGGAGAACATAATCAGAGAACATCAACCACAAGCCGGCTACCAGAGAGGCGAAGGAGAGGACAAATGCGATCATCAGCCAGAGACGAGCTCCTAAAACATTTTGTTAATGAACATGTTAACACAAACGCCTCATCTTCTCAATTTTTTGATAATCAGGTTAGCTATGATAAATTTCTTATTATAATGAAGCTATTTGAAACTTATAAAACGGGAACGTTATATTATACTATATTTAAAACCAACCTCGAGTTCCCAGGATTCCCTCGTCGTAGCTAATTCCTTGCACGGTGCGATTCGAGACAGCATTGACCATGAACATACCCAAGGCACTAGCTATGGTTACCATAATGTAAGCATTGTTCCAGTCCTTCTTGTCGTATACGACGGCAGTGTCAATGTAGATCCAGATTCCAAGGAAGAACTGTAAATTTACATTGATTAAACAATGAGAATCACTACTAATCACATTCCATTTACAGCCTTTTCAACACTAAATTAACATAACAAAAAGTATAATAATAACATACTAAGAAGCCCGAGGCTACAGAAGCAATGTGATTCCGCTTTGTTTCCCAGTCGATTTCGTGAAGAGAATCCAAATTCAGGTTGAAACAGGCAGCCATTTTTGACTAAAACTCAGTAAATCATATCAAGAAACATCACCTACTTCGCACCCACCTTCACATACAGTAACTATTATAATACTACTGTAACATGTATATCATCGTTAAAACGACATCTCACCCAAATCCGATATGAGGTTTTACTTTTATTACAACAATGCCATAACAAATAGAAATATATGTATATATTTATTCCTAGTCCAGAGAGGGAGGAGAGAGAGACGTCCATGTCCATCTAATGATGATCGTGGTCTATAATAAGCGATAACAATTTGAAACATACAAGTATTAACAACATATGTAAAGTGCAAAAAACCGGTACAACCAATCAGTCAAGGCAATAAAATGACAGTTAAAAGAATCACCGCAATACAAAAAATAATACAGTAGGACTGGGGTACTGTGCGACAATGTAATCAACGCGTCAGAGGCGTTTGACAGTATGAAACAAAATTCTGTACCAAAAGGTACCATAAGAACAAGTGTCAGTACCAAAACTCAGTTCAAAAACGTTCTACTGTAGAACAATGTCATACAGTACCACCCCGACTGCACCAATGGCACTATAAACTCAGAGAGTTAGACAGAAAAAGGAGTGTCAGTGAGTGTTAAGGGACGCTCGACTGACAGTCGGCAGTATTAGTCTAACGATTGCAATTACTTTGTCCACAACACTTGTCCATCTCCAGCTGATTCAGAAAGTCGGACTCTTCGGCACGTTGCTGTGCCATCTTCCTCATCCTCTCAGCTTCCCATCCAAAGCGGTGTTGACTTCTCCACAGTTCCGAGTACTTTCCATTTGGCTGAGACAACAGGTCCGAGTGTGATCCACATTCCTTCACCATTCCGTTCTCCAAGACATAGATAATATCAGCGTCGACGATGGTGGCCAATCTGTGTGCGATATATAGAGAGGTCTTGCCATGAACTGCCTTCTTCAACGAGTTCATGATATGTTCTTCGGTGAGGGCATCCAGGGCAGAAGTGGCTTCATCGTATATGATAATGTTGGCATCCTTGAGGATAGCACGAGCAATAGCGACACGTTGTTTCTCGCCTCCAGAAATCTTCAGACCTCGTTCGCCTACCATCGTGTCGTAGCCGTGAGGCATCTTCAGAATGGCATCGTGGAGGTCTGCCATTTTGGCTACGTCGTACACCTAAACCATGGTCATTTGTTAATTTGTGCTCTGATGGTTTAGATTTAACCTAACCTAATGTGAAATAACAAAGTGCTAAACCAATTTAAAATAAAATATATTGCAGCACAAGTTATCACTAATTTTCCCTACCTGCTCCTTCGTAGCCGCCGTGTTACCGTACAACAAATTGTAGTATAAGGTGTCATGAAACAGTACGGCATCTTGAGGTACCACAGAGATAGACTTCCTCAAACTGTCCAAAGTAAAGTCTCGTATGTCTTCATCGTTTATCTTGATCTTTCCTTCTTCTGTGTCATACAATCGGTACAGTAACCTCACTACAGTACTCTTTCCCGAACCCGATCCTCCAACAATAGCTGCTTTCTTACCGGTCGGAATTTCAAAATTCAGCCCGTTTAGAATTGGCGCGTTTGGCAGGTACCTACAATAATATAACTTAATTTATATTAACAAGGAAAGGTCCCCACCGCGCATTGGACTGGTGAAAAACTGGTACATACAAGTTGTAGAGCATGGTCAAATTAGTCAAAAACCGATAAAAAATTTACCCCTTGTGAGGGTTTTTTAAAAAATTTCATTACGTCGAAGTTTAAAAACCTTAATTGCGCTCGCGTTAGACTCGGAAAAGAAGAGGAAAGAGTTCCGTGATGCAATAGCGCAGTGGTTGCGCTCTCGACTAACGCTCAAAGCCTGTTGGTTCGGGTCGCGTCGGGGGCACACTCTTTTGTGCTTGGATTAAAATTTTTAAAATAAAAAAATTATTTTTTGGTCTAATTTTGTTTTTTTTACAATTTGTTCGTTCTATTATTCTTTAAATAGTACTTTTATTTTATTTTTGTTTGTAATAATGGAGAAGTTCTGTTCTGAGGTGATCTCAACGTGCCTTACGAGCTGGTGGATAAGTATGTGGTTTTAGGAATTGAATAATGGCCGGAAGAAAACGTATAAACAGATGGAAACGAAATTCGAACGACGAATCGATTGTTAAAGGAACATCCGGTCTATTGTATCGTTATGTTGAACTGCGAAATCAAGAGAATCTGGAGACTTATAAGAGTTTACTTGCTGATAAAATGACCTTTGAGAAGTTCAGAGCTATTTGATTGTGCTTTTAGGTAATTATGCTAAATAAATAGAATTGTAAGTATAATAATATAATTTAAATTATATTAAAAATAAGCTTAATAAATAGAGAAATTGATTCTTTGACGTAAACAAAACAAAATTTGACCAAAAAATAATTTTTTTATTTTTAAAAATTTTAATCCAGGCACAAAAGGGTGTGCCCTCGGCGCGACCCGAACCGACGTGCTTTGAGCGTTAGCCGAGAGCGCAACCACTGCGCTATGGCAGCACGGCACACTCCTCTTCTTTTCCAAGTCTAGCGCGAACGGAATTAATATTTTAAACTTCGACGTAATGAAATTTTTTAAAAAACCCCCACAAGGGGTAAATTTTTTTTCGGTTTTTGACTAATTTGACCATGCTCTACAACTTGTATGTACCAGTTTTTCACCAGTCCAATGCGCGGTGGGGACCTTTCCTTGTAAATAAAATTGTAAAATAATCATTCAAATTACTGTAACAAACCGCTTTAACAAAATTAAAAATTGTCTGATAATTGACCTACCCAAACACAACATCCTCAAACTTGACTGTAGCATTTCCTGGAGCTGTGATCAACTGTTCGGCATCTGGCTTCTCGATAATCTTACTCTTCAACTCCAGCAAGGAGAACATGGTCTGCATATCCTGAAGACCTTGACGTACTTCTCGATACACAGAACCCAAGAAGTTCAATGGCATAGACAACTGCATGAGTAATGTGTTCACCATAACTATGTCACCGACTGTCATTGACCCATTGGCCACATTTCGAGCGGCCAATGCCATAACGGCAATCATACCGGTCGAAAAGATGGCATTTTGAACAAAATTGAGTAATGCCAAACTTGAAGATGTCTTCAGCGATGCTGCTTCATACTTGCGGAGGTAATGATCGTACCTGGCTACTTCAAAATTTTCGTTTGTGAAATACTGAAAAATATTGTCATATTATTATTTATATATTAAATAACGTAATAAAACAATAGTATTTTTCAAAATAGTGTGAAATATAGACATACTAAGGCTAAAAAACGTATACTGTACTTTTAACTATGAACTAACACCCTAAGATAACCTACTGTAACATCAAAAGCTTTACGTATATTATAGGATGAATAAAACCAAAATGACTTACCTTAACAGTCTCATAATTAATAAGTGAATCTACTGCGCGACTCGACGCATCATTATCAGCTTGATTCATCCTATGCCTGAACTTGGTCCTCCATAACGTCACACCTATCGTAGCAGCGGCGTATGTGGCTACTGTAGCTGCAGTTACCATTGTAAAGTCCGTACCACATTTTATGTACTGAAAATGTAAAACTTCAAGTATGAAATATCAAGTTTAAGATTTAGATAACAAAGAACAATAATTGAAGATATGTATATAGTATTGAGTAGTACAGTATATTTATGTGCTAACTCAAAATTTAAGTATCAAAACGCCTTTAAAACCGTCACTCATAAGCTTATAAATCTAACAATCAACAACTTAAAGTATAGTTAGAAAACTTACAAAGATTCCAGATACCAAAGACACTTCGAATATCGTAGGTACAATATTGAAAACCAAAGCACTCATAACAAAACTCATTCCTCTCGTTCCTCTATCAATGGCTTTACTTAGAGCACCAGTTTGACGTCCTAGATGAAAAGACAAGTCTAACCCATGAAGATGAGTGAATATCTGCTTTGCAATGTTCCTCACTGAATGTTGAGCTACTTTGGCAAAGACAGCATTTCGAAGTTCGTTGAATAATGAACTCCCTGCTCGTGCTACTCCATCTAAAATTAAATATTTTAGAGATGACAAGGTAAACAACGATAGCTTTTTCTATTTTATCAAAAATAAAGCTAATATAACTTCTTTAAGAACCAATATTACCTAAACTACCTTATCAACTCTAACTTACAAGCTATGATTAACGCTACTCCGGTTGTGATTATCGTCTGAGCACCGGTGTCTAAATTCAGCTTCAGTAGTTCGGGCGCTTTATCGTTATAATAGTTAACAACATCTCTCAACAGAAACGGCACAAACGCATTAAAAGTTTTGGCAGTAATCAGAAATGCCATTGCAATGACAACTCTCCGCCTTATTGACCAATTATTCTTTGGCCAGACAAAAGCCAACAATCTTTTAGTAATTTCTCTTCCTGTCGGAGCACGTGCTTCTACTCCCTAAACAATAAATGTCATATCATTAGTGTTTTACCATCAATATCTTACACCGAAAAAAATCATTAATTAAACGTTTACATAATCAGCTGCATTTCACGTATCTAAAAGCAAAAGACTATTAAGAAAATTACTTACAGTTATCGGAACTCCTGGAGCTGGACCAGAATGCATAAATCTGTAGATTTGGCCATTTGTTGGTAGCTAAACTTTATTTTCAATAAAAATAATTTAATTTATATTAAAAAGCCACTAATGATAAAAATAAAGCTAAAAATCTTATTATACTTTGATAGGAAACTGAATAAAAAGATGTTCAATTGTTATCGACGAAAAAGAAGCAAACTTTACCTTAGACCTGGCCATTTGAGCCGCCTGTAGAAACCCTTTACATCTAACCGCCATTCTCAACGTACTCAAGACCATTTTGAATGTTCTGGTTTATAAATAAATCAACTTAAGATCTGGAACTCACATATACCGACCGCTTTATGAAGAAATCGACGAAAATCTTTAATAAAAATTAATAAAAAATAAAGTTGTGGGCGCAGACTGCCGTTTACAAGGGTAAATAGTAAATATCTTTTGAATACTATAGAAGATTACAGTGGATAAGCATATGCACCTCTATATTTTTTTTGTAAAATACGTGGTAAATTTTTCCAAAAATAAGTTTTTGAAGTTTTTTTATACTTACTGTGTAAAACAATGTCGCATTGATGAATTACAACTTGTCACCGAACGGTCGTCTCTGACAATAAAATGTCGGACATTGATCCCAAAATTAGGTAATTTAAAATTTCGTTATTTAATTGGTCGAAAAGTACGTAGAGTGTTTTTTTTTAATTGCCATTTTAAATGTGACCTTGTTTTAGTCATTTGAAAATACCTGCAAGTGCTTTTAAAGAACTTCAAGCACTGGTCGATAAGCCTGTAGCCGAGAAGAATAAGAATCTTCCATCACTTGGCCCTCGCAACAGATATAATGCCACAATCCTGTCACTGTTTACACTCGGATACCTCAAGTAGGTTAATTTAACCTTTTGCAAGTTTTTTCGGTCAATTTTTAAGTCATTAGTGTAACCATTTACATTTGATCAAAAATTACAATTATAGCTGCATAATGAATGAAATGTACCTAGCCGGTTCTTCTTTAGCTAGTCTGGTTTCCTTTCTGATTGGTCTAACAACCTTGGAGTGGTTCAATTTGTACGGTAATGGGTTATCACGGCAGAGGAAGGCGTTCCTGAACGTGAAGAACGTGCTGGAGACATACAAAGTTCACAATCGGACACACGGCCATCTGTTCCAACCCGAGCCCGACACTCCGAAGCCAGATGCATGCTGTGGACCACCTCCACCACCTGGAGAGAGCCCCATGAACATAGTAGGCCAGCAAATAATCAAAGAAACCGCCAACATTGGTACTTCTCAAGACGCTGCTTTTGATAAGGTGGGTTAATATCTTACTGTAATGCTTGGTTTACAAGTAATTGCTATATCATTATCAACTTGTTTTTTTCATATACCATAATACTATATTTTGTATCATACTAAATTATATATGCCTTAATATGAACGCTCTAGTCAGTCCAAGACCATTATGGAGGAATGTACGATCAAATCAAGCGAATGAATGCAGAACTTAACACTTTGAAGACCAATAATGAAGCTCTGAGTGCTGGAACTCTTGACAGTAAGTTTTTTTTCTCATTCAGTTTACTAATTTATAGCTTTTTGTTTAAAGCTTACTTCCCAGATGTCACTATGTGATTTACTTTCAGGTGGAACCAGCCAGAAGCTAGTCCCAGTCGACCTTCCCTTACCTGGCCAAGAGAGGAAGAATAAGTCCGAGAAGAAAGATAAATAAACTTCTGCAAAGTTTTTGATCAATTTAATATGTATAGGATAACAATTCACAACACTTGTGATAACAAAAGATTCTATACCAACTATGCTAATGTTCTACATCTGGTTCAAAGTCCGTTTCAACGTCCAACTCTTCCGGATAATCGAAGCCATCACCCAACTGCCCACCTGTCACTTCTTCGTAGTAGTAGTTATCTTCATATTGAGGGTCGTCTTCGTAAATGACATTGCCATGTTCGTCTTCCTTCCACTCCTCTATGATGTACTCGGTCTGATTGTCCGTGTTATCTTCCACTTGCACGATTCCTGGGTCGTCTTCAGAATACTGTTGTTGATCTTGAATCAACGAGTTTTGGTCGTAATTTAGAGTTTCATCCTGGTCGATAGTGTGATGTTCTTCCATCACTCGTTGTACCATTTCGCAGTCTTCCAGTTCATGTTTGGATCTGGCTGAATTGCTCCTGAATACCTTCCCACAACCATTAAGGCAACAGAATCTTCGTTTGTGTTGGTGAGTCTCCTTCACATGAAGATTCAGCAGGGCGCCGTTGATAAAGTTGGCGCCACAATTCTCCATAGGACATACGAACAGCCGGGTATCCATGTGACGTCTCAGATGCATCCGAAGGGTTGTTTGTTGAGCAAATCCAGTTTGGCAAATCGGGCAAATGAAAGGTTTTTCTTTTGTATGAGTTCGCATGTGCTCCTGGGATAGTCAATTGTTAAACTTTTAAATGATAAAGAATACATATATAATATCAATTCTAAAACTAATCCTACAAATGACAACATACGATTATCCGAGAAGGGTACTTCAACTTCTTTCCGCAATATTCACATTCTTTGACTGTGGCTGGTCGTTTTGCTCGACTAAACACGTTCTGAGGATCAACTCCTTTGGCCACAGCATTAACTATCATATCGATAGTCTGATCTCTTACACCTTCAGCAAGTTGTCGTTTTGGTCGTATTGGTGTCGTTGGTTTTCGAACATTCTTTATTCTTGGAGCTGCCATATCGTAAATTCTACTGTCAACCACCACTTGCTGCAAAAATATGAAAAGGTTAACCGATAGTGAAGAGAAGATACCAAAGAAAATAACTTTAAGAATTGGAATATACGAAGATTAACATCAAGTTAAGTTTTTACCTTATATTCATCAGCCCTTCGCCTTCTTCCTATAGCTGGTGGTAACTCATTAGCAAACACAACTTCTTGATATTCATCTACAGCATTCAAATTCCCTTCCATTGTCCTGACACGCATTTTGATGCCATCCCCATCTTCTGGTAACTGTCTTGAACACCCAGGTTCATCTGCTTTATCAGAAATCACATTTATTTCTTCGTACTCTTCGCCACCGTCGCTTTGTTGAGGTGATAAAACAGGTGGAGTATCATAAACCCCGTTTTCGCCAGCAGACGTAAACAAGTCATAATGAACCGACTTTTCGTGACGAGTACGATGCGAAGATGTGTCAAACTTTGAAGTACAAAACCTACATGAATAAGGTCGGCTATTCGTGTGTGTTCGAAGATGCGTCTAAAAATACAATAAATAGAGATTGCTGGTCCTTTATAATAGAAGTTCTTTAGGCTCAAAGATAAAAAAATAAATGGAAAAATATGAAAATAACAAAATAACCGTAAAATGATGTACAACATACCGTTAAAGCATTCTTCTGCGCATAAGAACTGTCACAGAAATCGCATTTGAAAGGTCTCTCTCCAGAATGAGTTCGATAGTGTTCCTTCAGCTTGGATGGATGCAGAAACTCTCTTCCACATGCTTTACACATGTAGTTTGTCACACATTTTCCCGACGAAGTAAACTAAACACATAAGAAATAAGAATTTACAACTTACAATGTTTTTGGGAACGCAAATGTCGTCCAAATATTGTTTGTTGGTATCGTTCGGTCGATGTTTCACATGATCATGGAAAGAATAATCGCCTGAGACTTTAGTGACACTTGTACCTGACGTTCCTGGACCAACAGGTATCAGAGGCATTTTGACATGTATTATACTATTATACAAAAAGATAACAATACCCGTATAACCTAGAAAATATTCGTTTTTCAGTAAAAATTTCTATTTTTTCTAAAAATTTAGTTTTTGTAATTTCGATCCCACCACGAAAACGTTTCACGCAATAAGAAGGCATTTACTAATTTGTGAAGAAATCCGGCTTCATCTGGTGAGTACGAGGTGCACAAACATGCAAGTCGAACAACTTTCTGATGCCGAATTGAACCAGGCTTTGAAAGAACGGGGCCAAGGCCCTTTCCCTATCACTCCGAACTCACGGAAGGTTGTGGAACGGAAACTGTTGAAACTTATCGAAACAGAAGGGTCGAAGGAGAATGGTCTGACTGGTATTGAAACTGTAAGTTATTTTAGCTTTTTGTATAGTTTTTAGGTTTTTTAAAAACAAAAACGGAAGTTTAATCTGTATTAAGACTTTTAGCTCAAAATTTTATATAATATAACTGTTACCTATTTTTTAGAATGGTACAAAGGCTGTCAATGGTACTTTAAATGGCATCGAGAAAATACACGAATCCAGTCCGATCTTGGAAGTCATTAGACAAGCAAGTCTTCAACGAGAATCACCAGAGCGTCAGAAAAGTCCACCTAGACATGAAGAATTACCTGAAGCTGAACAAGAAGAAGAGGAGGAAGACTACGAAGGTGAGACATCAGCCAGATACTTCTCCGAAGAAGAAAAAGCTGCTTTCCGAGCTGGACAACATGTCGTGCCTAAGAGTCGTTTTTATGGCTCTGGACTGACCATTTTAGCCATATTGTTCTTGTTAGGGTTTATGTTCAAAATAGTCAATGATAATGTCAACAAAGTCTACAAGAATGAGCTTTAAGTATAGGAGTTGAGTATTCGTTGTATATTGTGTTGGGTCAGTCTCCATCCTTAAATCTATATTATTATGTTATCTCACCTTATCATAATTGTCACAGCATTCATTACCCGTCACTTTCTTTGTTGATGTCTAATATGAGTTATACTTGAATAAAACTGGTTTATTTTAGCTAACATGCGAGTGCATCTTCGTACAAGTTGTAGTGTTTTATATGGGTTGTGTTTGACCAGTAAATTATCATACTTCTATTGTCAATTGATAACGACGATTAAAGTTTTCAGTTTATTTAAAAAAGGGAAGAGAGCGTTTCATTCAAAACAAAAAGAAGCCGATTCCATCAAAATAATTATATGGATTAAGGTGGCAAGTATCTCGTCTTGGAAATTGTCAATTACACCTAAAACAAAGTCTGCCGAAGGAAGGAAGATAGTGTGTGGAAAAGGGAGGGGGAAGAGATAGGGGGATAACGGAACCGGCACAATAATAATATATATTACATACGCTTAAACTTATATATGATGCTATGTGGGAACGGCGAATGAAACGCAAAAAATCGACCGGATCCGCTACGAAATGGCAGTGCCAAAGGCCAGGAACAACCAGAACACGAAATTTACATGGCCATGGATTCTGAAGGAGTGGAGCGGCAGCTAGGACAGACAGGGGATAGTGAGAGAAGGGTGGAGAGACGGCAGAGCAAAAACTGTCCCAACAGACAGATCAACAAAGGACTGGTCGTGCTTCGAGTCTAGGCCTGGGCTAGGCTTAGGGCGGGGGCGTGGCTGAACTACGGTCTAGAAGCGGTTACTATTCCTCAAGCAACACTTAGTCCATCCTAGCAGGAAACAGGCAGCCGGAAAGGAGGCTTAAGAAGCGAACCGGACTAAAAAACTCAATCATGGACTAGAGAGACGTTATACGGAGGTTCGAGAAGGGGGGAGAGAGAAGAACAAAGCAACAATAATATAATTGGAATAAATAATCAACTATCAAAGCGACTTAAATAACATTAATTATTCCGTTCTGGTCCCGGTTCGAGATCCAGAAGTCTGCCGTCGTGACGTTTTCCTGTGACTCACACCAAGTTGTACTCCTTGAGATTATGTTGCAATATCGTATCTTTGACTGCCGCAAACACGAATCGAATGTTTTCAGTATCTGAAAGGGAATGTTATAGTAGAGTATAAGCGGTTGTAAAACTTTTTATAAGTTGACGTTAGTTTTAAGACTTTTTGAAGTTTTAAGTTTGAGGTACCAGTGGTTTTTTTGGAGCTTTAAAGCTTTTCTAATTAAGCCTATGCTCTATTAAGACATGTGGTAGTAGGGGGTCAATATATTGTAATAGGTATAGGTCTTACCTGTTGCACACGTAAAATGCGAGTAAATAATCTTCTCGGCATCTGGATTTAAATCAACGAACATTTTGAGTATAAATTCTCTAGCTGCAATGTCATCTCTTGGAGGTCCTGAAAGTAAGTCATCATGAGTAACTTTTGTCATTAATCAAAGTTGTATACATTTGTATGTTATGTAGGTAACTTAACCGTAAAGTGTAATAGTTTTGAATGACTAAAACACTAACTTTGCGGGTATTTTACTACCGAAAAAGTTCGAAAATATACAGTATTTTCTACGGTTATGTTTAGTGTGTTTTTGTGGACAATATACGTTATTCTTACCGTCGTATTCGGGGAAATAGTCGGCCAAATGGGAGTATAGTATCTTCTCGGCCAACAGATCTTTCTTGTTGAGGAACAGAATCACAGATGACTGTTGAAACCATGGATATGTAATTATCGTTCGGAACAGCGCTTTCGACTCTTCCATTCGATTCTGTAACATAAGGTTATGTAACTTACAATTGACTTCGAAATTCGAACTACTTTTACAAATTTTGGATATCAAATTTTATATTGATGTAAGTATCTATTGATAGATTCAAAAACCAAAAGCTTTTTTAGTTTTACTTTTTGGGAGCTATTACTCTGTCGATACTGTGTCATTTTACAGTCTATAGTTGTATACTTACCTCGTTGTCACATTCGACAAGAACTTGATCATACTCTGACAACGCGACCAGGAACATGATGGAGGTTACATTTTCAAAGCAATGAATCCATTTTCTTCGTTCTGACCTCTGTCCTCCGACGTCTACCATTCTGTAATGGGTTGTAGGTTAATGTATTCAAGCCAAAACTTGTCATAAGTATAAACACTTTTTACTTTTATGTGTTTCTAACTAGTCAAATACATATAGTTTTCAATGAAGATTCAACTGTCAGTTATTACTGTAAAATATTAGCTAAGCTAAACAGTTGTTAATCTTCTTGTGTTAAAGTAATGATTCTTAGAGACCTAAAGTCAGCTTTTAGGCCAAAAGGTTATAGTATTGTGTGCCTTTAGTAGTTGTAGTTTAACATACCTAAATACAATTTGCTCTAGGTCGAATGGGTACTCGATGATACCAGTGGTGGGTACACGAACTCTGAGGATGTCCTGTTCTGTGGGTAGGTAATCGGGAACGGCTAATCGCCTGACATCGTTCAAGTAACTGAAAATGTAATGTTATGTACTTAGTAGGCTTGTAATGGTCCGTGTATAAGGTTGTGTAGGTAAAGAAATGATGTTTCATAAGGGTCAGTGTAATAAAAGTTCTTTAATTTTTGAAATGTTTTTAAAATTAAAGTGTTTTTAAATGTCAATACTAATGTTTCAATACTATCTTTTCAGAACTTGTGTTATCATTAACAATTAAATCTATTTTCTAAACTTCTATCTACTTTTTGACTACACTCTTCCCACTAACTAAACGCAGATTAGTAATCGTAAAGCTTACTATTTGGCAGAATCAGTTAGTTGATATTCGCGTCGGCGATCGTACGCCTCCTGGATGCCAGGATCTTCCCATAGGTCGGCGATGTAGGACACGTAGGGCTCTTCAAATGAGGTCACATTCTCGTAGTCGATCGCTCGCACCACATTCGCTTTGTCCTGAAGCTTTTTTTGTTATAAGAGTTGCGAACGTTCAGGTTTGTGGTTCACATATAAGTTTATACGGTATGACATTGTCATTGGCATTCTGATTTTAGGGGGAGGTTAATTCAATTGAATCCTTAAAGGAGGTGTGGAAAAAGTTGTAAATTTTATCATTTTTTTAGCAAAAAAGAGTTAAAATTTCAAAATTTACAAAAATATAAAATCCAAATTTTTAAAAATTAAAAATTTTGTTTGTGGCCCCCAAAATCAGAATTCCGTATAAACACGAGTAGCATAATAATGTACGCAGTTCAGAATCTTTACCTCTGAGGATGCGTTCCCGTACTTGATTTCCAGTGTGTCCATGGCCCGGATCATGGCCTGCATGGCCATGAACACGTTTTGGTAGACTAGACGAATATGCTGGCGCTTATCCTCTTCGGAGTACCCATTTCCGTGAATGATTCGCATTTGTTTAATAAATGTTGATTTACCTGATTCACCCGTTCCTGAAATGAGGTCGTGGTTAGGTTGGTTTGGGTATTTGTTTTGGTTTTGGAGGGTATTGAGTTATCGTGTCAACTACTGTTTGATCCTGTACTATATTTCATAATTTTTCTGGTTTCTCCAAAAAGTTTAGGCTTGCTGTGCAATCGTTTAAACGCCTCAAAACATGTTGCACAACAGGAACTATCATCCCACCACCTCAACCCACGTCGTACTAGCCCTAAGCGCTTCAATCAAGGCCAAACACTCACCCAGTAACAGAAGTTTGAGTTCGCGACGCGCATTTCGTTTATCCCGTTGCAGTTGCTTTTCAATCTCCTGGTTGATGCGCTTTTGTTCCCTCGCTTCTTCACTGAGGCAACAGGCCATTTAGAAGCGGGGAGGGGTGCCGCGATGTCGTGGCGTCGCCGTGAATCGCGACGACGTCCACACAGCCGCTGGCAAACGTGAGAAAGGGGGCAACCGACTGGAACGGTGGTGGTTGTGGAGAATTTGCCTGTAGGGGTGGTTGGTCTCCCTCCGAACTGATCTGCAATTTCATGATAAGTATTGAACTAGTAGGTATAGGAATTGAGTACATAGGTACAGGACTTTGATAAACAGATACAAAGCTTGATAAGTTGGTTTTAAGTATTGATAACCAGGAAATGATAAGCACAAGGCTTTGATAACAATTCATGACAACATTGATTAAGTTGACAAAGGCAGTGATAGTTATCGACAAATGACAACAAACTTTTCGAAATCGACCTCCAAAACCGCGATCTTAAATTTGGCTTGCAATCAACCCTAAAGTACGATGTTAAGCCATCTACCCTCCCAAACACGACTGATAAGTCGGTCCGAATTACGACCAACCATCAGACCGTCCTAAAATACGCGGGCCAAGCTAATCGACTGAAACCCCGGGGTTTGTTTTCGTCAACACTCTCGAAACGGGGGAAACCGGGAGAGGGGGCGATGTTGTTGTTATATCGCTGAAGAGATCCGTTGGCGGTAATAACGTGCTGGAGTTAAAGAAGGCGCAGGGGGGACTGGGTGCGGTTACTTTTTTGTATGCGCGAAAAGAAAAACACGGGGGAAAACCTAGAGAAAGAGAGACGAATGGAGCTTCTCTGACCGCTTCGTCTACGCCCCGAGGGCCCCAGCGCACCGGCGGAGGCCCGAGGCACGCAGAGGGTCGGCCGAGACACGTGGTCGCGGGCCGAGACCGCAGACGGCCGAACGCTGCGATGAGAGTGTGTGTGCCGGCCGGCCCGGGGCCAAGCAATAACAGGGCATCCCATCGAGGGCTTAAACAGCGTTCTTTCGTCTCTTCCCTCAACAGCTGTTGTTGAAGGCGGATGTTGTTCTCTTTCGCGGCGCTTCGGCCGTCTCGCCGCCCTCCGCCCCGCGCGTGCTCTCTCGGCCGGGGCGAAGGGAAAAAGCGGCGCTGCAATCTTGATGTCGACAACGATGCATAAGAGGAAAGAACCCGGCTCTCTGCCCGCTCTCCCAGCTCCTCGTGCTCTTTCGCGTTCCTCCTTAGCACTTGGAGGATGGCCGGCTCTTGCTTGGGCAAAAGAAAAGGCCTGCGGGCACTACAACGGGAGGAGGAAGGTCGCAAAAAAGACGATGAAGAAACCCGCAGAGAATGGAAAGGAGGGCTAGTACTAGTTGCAATAAAATAAACTGTTAAATAATCGTGATTTGATAAGGCGCAGAAAACAGGTTATGATCAATGACAGACCACCGTGTGAAGGTGAAGATGTGAATAGAAGGATCGTAGGATTCTGATGACTCCGCCAAGACGTCTCCAAGACCAGACTCACCTTTTTTGGCAGTGACAAGTTCAATCCGCAAGCTGCAGGCAGTTGGAGACGGAACGCTTATGGCACAACCGTGACCTCGGGTTTATGGCTGAATGTGCTCAAGAGGTCGAGTTTGGCTGAACTCTGTTATTTGTGTTGGCTGATGTTGTTGTTATTGTTGTTTGTTTGGTGAGTGTGTTCTGGATCGGTTGCGTTAATTTGGGCTAAGCGCATCGACCAAACAAGAAAGAGTAATGGGGAACGGCTAGCCAGACGCAGACCGTGGGGGGCTGAATCCACCTGAACCGTGAGCTGACTGGACCGAATCCGCCTAGACCGTGGCCTGAAGGTTGAGCTGAAGATGGTAAGCCTCCGGGAAGGTTTCCGGTTGTAGAGGAAACGGGGTCGCTTTTTCGCTTTGGGCAATGATCGCCTCCTCGTGTAACCACCGCATTCACACCTGCGGCTTCGTGAGGCGCCTTAGGGTTTTGAGATTCGACTTGAGGTGGCACGTCAGAACCTTAAGCGAACTCCCTACAAATCACAATCAGGATCAAAACTCGCAATATTCAACACAATGTCACAACGTTCAGTGTAATATCAGCGAAACCGCGGATCAAACTCGCATAATCACGGCACGATTCCGAAGGCACGGTGGAGAAAAATCGGGAATAAAAGATGAACCATTAACCTGAGTGTAATGCGGGAGACAAGAGTGGCGGATTGCCAGCGTAAATTGCATTCGACAGCAATGGAAAGGCCGGGCTCGAAACAAATGAAGGTCGGCCCAAACAAGAATCATGGCGGCCCGTCTGCCCACCCAAATTAGTGATGGAAATCAGAATATGCGCAATAATGAAAGTTGCGTCGTCGGAGCGGACGCGGCGTTTCTACAAGAAGGGCTCTAAAACCATCAGCACCGGCTTCTTTTTCCTTCTTCGCTGGCCACTGCACTCTGCTCCCAGTTCCTAAGCCTTCCAGTCGTCCGTACACCCCTTGTCCCTCTTCTGCACCCTCTCACGTTTCCTCCTCTCCCTTCCCATCTTTTGCCCCACCAGAGACTATAAAGCGCCCCAGTCGAAAAGAGAGACTAGTAGCCCTTAAATTGTCACGGTCTTCATAAGAAGACGGCAGCCGCCGTATGCCCTCAAGCCAATCCTCACTCACTCCGTTTTCCTCCTCAAGTAGAAGAGGTCGCGGCACTTTGGCCGGCAAGACAAGCAAGGAACAAGGACTTGCCAGTACGCACAGGCCCACAGTAGAAACAAGTCATCACGTCCCTACTAACAACATGACTTGCGTAAACCGAAGTGCGTCCCTGCGAAACGGGTGGCCATAAGCGCCAAACGGCCGACAGGATCATACTGAGAGCAGCTCATTCCCTTTACATTCGATGGCTAAACGAAAAAAGAAAGAGGGAAAGAACTACATAGCTGGCAGAGAAGACGAAATACTCAGCGGTCAGTGGCCCAATCCCAACGACGACAGCGGGCAGAGGAACATACGCCGCTTTTTACTCGGGATTTGGGCGGTTAGCCGGAAAAAGGCAGCAACCACTAAGCCTTGAGGCCTGGGTTTATTCGGAGCGGAGCATCTGCTCGGTTTTCTTGGCCATCCACGGCATTTTTACTCAGTATCAATTGCTAACTCTAAACCTAATCAGGAAAAAGGTCGCACAACTAATTCCTTTGTGCATATTAAACAGTTCCTCCCCTTACCTTCCAGAATACATCAACTACCTCACAATGAAGCAGAACCAACCACCAACCCAATTCCGATTGTATATATAACAAAGATTTAATAACAAAACAAAATCAATGAACTCAATTTAGAAACGAAGTTTGGTGAAGAGCCATTTGTTCTTTCCTGTCTTGTAACGGGATTCAAGTTCTTTCTTGGTCGACGCAACAGCTTGTCTCTTCTTGGTGGGGTTCTTCAAAGTCTCCTTGTTAACCAAATCCTTGTTCAATTCGACATCGACTGTCAATCTGGAAGCAATTCGTTAAAAAAATTAAACCAAGTCTTGTAACCCCACAAACTATAGAAAACATGCTCCATTAATTATCAAACAGCCATTGACCAAACAAAATATTTTAAACTTACCGAGTTGGGAGAAGGTGAGAGAAACTCTGTACTTTGACGAATGGTCGGAGAGTGCTTCTCTTGGCGATCTTCTTCTTTCCCATGGTCTTGGTAACCTTTCTTGGGTACTTGTCAATACCAGCAACCAAAGCGTGGCCATATGGTCTGTCGTTGCTGCCGTCATCGTAGGACTTGACGACGATAGCTTTGCGTCCGGCGAAACGTCCACCGAGCAAGATGACAACACGTCCTGGCTTCAAGATACGGCCCATATTCACTAAAACAATACGATTACAAAAAATAACAAATACAAACGAAAATTAATAAAAAGTAAAAATGAAAAGATATCAAATGGTACAAAACCATGCTCAAGTCCCAAGTAGACTAATAAAAATAACAAGAAATATTTATTACAACAAATAACAATAATAAAATTCTTAAGCATCAAGATCAGCATGTACTCGTCGAAGTTTGTCCTTCTTTCCTTTAAAGTGTTTCTTGCCTTGACCATCATTGCCAGCCTTTGCTGACCTTACATGGAACCCAGATGACTCTTTGTTGAAAAACCGGTCGTCAACAGCATTACCCAAAACGTCATCAGTCACCAAGTAGTTCCTTTTCCTGAGCTACAAAACCATAATATGTTACGCTTACAAATTTTAAAAACTAAGTAGTACTAAAATGTCACATGTGCCTAAACAACCTACCTGATTCAATAAAAATTCACCACTTTGTCCTATATCAACTGGTTTAATGTCTCTGTATGTAAATCTGTCAAATTCCTGTTGATCAACTCCAGGCGGTGCCGCGGTCCACTTGATCTTGCCATTAAACACGTCTTTGACAACTATCCTTGCAACCCTTGATCCATCCGGTACTCCAGCTTCTGTCATAAATCCCTTCATAAACGCCAACGTCGTTTGAAACTCGTGAGCAGTTGGTGGTCGATTAGAATCTTCAAAGTCCGCAGGTTTAGGTAACAATATTGAATATAAGCTTTCCAAAGCAGCCTTAGGAACACGATTGCATAGAAGTTGAATAGGAGGAACACTATCGCGCATCTGATCAACAGGAAGAATACCTAAATATTCAAACATAATTTTTGCTATAAAAATAAATTTAAAAAAACTAGAAGCAGCTACTTACCATTCAAAAGCATTTCAGCTGGAGAAAATCCTAAAGAAGGCATAACAAGACCAGGACAATCACATAACGTCAATTCTTCGTCAACAATAAGTGTTTGAAAGTGTTTCGTCTTTCCTGGCGTCGCTGATACAGAAGTCTTCTTTGCTCCAATAATCTTGTTAATGGTCGAGCTTTTGCCAACGTTAGGATAGCCGATCATACCAACTGTAACCGTCGTTTTTCCAGGATTTGAACTGAACGCAAAGTCCTTCAGTGTGCTGATTAGATCCTAAATAACCTCATAAGTAAAAAAATAAGAAAAAACGAGATAAAAGCCCTTACAGTTGTGTTGCTAACAATATGTTCATTAGAAGAGCCTGCTTTTTTTTCTTCTGTCGTATCATCTGCATTTGTAGCCGACCAAAACACTGATTGAATATTTACACTTCTGAAGTAATCTTTCCACATGGCAATCTGCTCATTCGTCAAAAGATCTGCTTTGTTCACCAACAACAAGCACTTCTTTGGCGGAGAAAACTCTCCCATGTAAGCTTCCAAATCTTTGTTTCTAAACAACAATGGGTTTCTGGCATCCACAATTTGTACAACAACATCACTTCGTTCGACTACACGCCAAAGTTGTCTCCAGAGTTCAAGATTCCTCTCAAACGGCGTTAAAACAACACCATCACCCTAAAACCGTATAAGATAAGGAAAAACTAATATAAAAAATAAAACAGACTAACGAAAAACACAAAGATAGACTAACCTCCGCAAGTTGAGCCAAGGATGTTCTCCATTCCAGGAAGTTTCGCATTTCTTGAGCTTCCAATCCTTCTGGCGTTGAATAACTGTTTGGATCTGGCCTTCTTGGTACCTTCAACAGATGCCCAAACTTCTTTGTCAAGTCTTCAAATGTTTTGTCTTGTAAACTTTGTACATTGACGACGGACGTTCCACTAAACCAAAAATAATCATTTTCTAATTAACTTACGTTTGTAAAAGCTGAAAATCCCATCTGGTAGCACCAAAATCTTTGCCTGCCAATTCAGCGTTGTTGAAGAACTCTTCGTACGCATTTTCGTGAGTTACAGATGCCAAAACTTTCGTAGGTTTATTCTGAAAAATTCACTTTAAATCGTAAAATTTAAATAATAAAAAATTGAACTTACCTCATTTACAGCTGGTCCAGAGCTGGAGCTTGCCGTGAAACGATTCTCTGCACGATTCTGTAGCGCATTACCCAAGGATTTGTTAAAACCAGTTGGTTTTGCATTTTTCGTTCGTCTTTTGGTCATTTTCAGACGTAGGAGTGGAAAAATACCGTACTTGAAACGAAACGCCACGAAAATAGTAAAATTTTTCGCGGCGGGACTAAAATAAAAAGGGAAGATGATTAGGAGTGAGAAAAGTAGGGGTCAGAAGCGGGCCGGGCCCAAAGGTTCTCTAGGGGTGATTAAAGGGCCGGGCCCACATTTTAGGCCCGGCCCAGGCCCGGGGCCCAACGTTTAGACCCGGCCCGTTTTCAATTTTCTCTCAGGCCGGCCCGGTCAGAAAATTTCTAGGCCCGGCCCAAGATAAAAATTTTAAAAAATTTTTAAATTTTTAAAACTTAAAAAATAAACGGAAATTTGGTTTTGCATTGTTCTTTTAGATCATTATGTATCATGGTACCCAATAAAATCAAAAACATCAACGGGGATTAAAATAAAAAATTTTTAAAAATTTAAAATTTTTTTTTCGGGCCCGGGCCTAATTTTCAAGCCCGATCGTAGGGCCGGGCCGGACCTAGACGGCCCGTTTGTCACCCTTAAAGATGATCGACGATCGAAAGAAAACTTGGTAAAAATGTTGACGTAGGTTTTAAAATATCGGAAAATATGTTTCAACTTGGTTTATTATATTTTATTGTTAATTTTGGTAAATCAATTTTTATTTTTCGTATTTTAAACGACACTAGCAATGAAAATATACGTATCAATTTCAAAATACACAACATTTGTATAAAATAACCTCAATTTTATATGAAACTTTATTATGAACAAACGTCAAACATGTACATAAGTGAGCATTAGTATGATAATATAAAATTGTTAAACTATTTAAGTTGGAAACCTCTAAACAGGCTAGACAAGTCGACTTTGGATGCTTTGTTCTGTCGCCAGCGATCGTCGACTATCTCCAACAACTGGCCGTAGAATTGTTTTACTGATTTGTAGTTTGGGTCATCTTCCAAACGTTTCTTCAAGTTGGTTTTGGCCTGTTTTGTAAAGGTTTCGATGTCAAACAAATTGTGATAGGATCGTTGTTGCTCGCTCAGTTGGATCAGGTCGAACTAAAACAACGTCAGTCACTTATTTTGTGACTATGAATTTTAAAGTCAGTCATACTAACTTGTTTATACTATGAATTATTTAAATTCTTATACAACAATAATTAAAATAATACTACACCAAGAAACTTACTTCTTTGGCAAGGGTACCATCACATTTTGAGCACTTGGGGACGTATTTATTGCTGGTCCAGTTTAATTTGCAAACATCTGTTTCTTCGTGTCCGCAACCTGAATCTGTGCACACATACGGTGCTTTGTTGAAGCGAGAGATATGTTCGTGAAGAATCTCGTGAAGGCGAGTTAGTAGGTATGGACGGTCCGGCGTTAAGTCATGATTACATTCTAAACAATTCTTCATCGTGTACACTATGTGTCCGTCCTGAAATGCAAATTAATTAACCTTTAAACTTACATATACGAATCAACAATAAATTAAATGAACATGATAACCATGACATTAACAATGACATAAATATACATAATTAACACTTTTTAAATGAATTATATTACCTTAATCTCGATTGGAGACCTCACGATGACGACTTTCTGACATCCAGGGCATTCGAAACTAAATCCTTCGTACTCCTCACTCTGATAACACACATCGAAGGCTGAGTAATTTGTGGTTTGGCCTCGTCGCTTTATCTTTGAAGCATCCATTCCCAAAGCCGTGACAATCCTTTCTTGATCTAGCCATTCAATCACATCACAAATACCATTGACAAAAGTGAAGGTCTTGTCAACGTAGTACATGTAATCTGAAATTAACGACATTTCCAAACGTAAATAACATATACATCTTATAATTAATATTTAAAGCACGATTTCTTTATAGATCTTAATGCCATACCTATTTTAAGGTTAGGTTCTGATGGTTTCACGTTCTCCTTATCATCAGTATCTGCCTTTTCTGGAACCTTCTTCAATGCGGCCTCAACTTCATCAGTATGATAGGCTCGTTTCGAGTCGCTGTAAGTACTGCCATCCTAGAATCAATTATCATCGTGAATTAGAATCAATTGCCATTATGAAAATAACCAAGATAGGACAGTATCTATCCAAGATAACATTCCACATCAAACTTCTACCTACCTCACAGATGATATACCGTATCATGTCATTCTTTTTCAAATTGTACTTGCCACTTTGATTTAACCTCTTGGCCAGGTTGACCAACAACCCATTGTCATTGTACTCACTGACATCCTTGTTCAACTGTTGGTAGATCTCAAAGTCCGAGAGTTCGAACTCTCCAGCAAACAGCCTCCGTCTCCATTCTGACAAAACATTTATGACCTCCGTTACCTTGGTATCAACCTCAGCTGACCCCATGATTATGCCCAGGACTCGGCGACAGATCTTCTTCACCAATTCACTGCAGTCTCTCTTCACCAGCTGTGACCCCTTGATCTCCATCTTGACGGTGTTGGGGTCGTTCATGTTAACCATGGTCAACGCCATGTACGCCTTCTTCTTGAGCAACAACAACTTCTTGAACATGCCATCTACCCCCATTTCCACGTATTTAAAAGGTCCGTTCAAGTCCTTGGCTATCCTGTAGGCCAACTCCTTGGCTTCGGAATGTTTGTCCAATTGGGAGTTGATCATGATGGAGTCGGTATCTCCATAAAGCACCGGGTAGCCCATCTTGTTCACCATCTCGGCATTTCTGTCGAGAAGAGCTCTGCCTTTTACCGTGATCATTAAAGCCATGCTCTTGGCGTAGAATCTGGAACCTTTGAATCCCAAACATCCGTACATACTGTTAGCGGTCAGTTTGAGACCAAGTTGCTCTACGTCCAACTAAAATAATCAGTAATGTACTGAACACTGTTAAGTAGTAGAATTACCATTATCGGTTACTTATAAAAGCCATATATAATTATGTAGCAATTTTAGTGGAACTCCTGTATAAAGTGTTTTTCAAAGATTCCTAAATTGCTCGTTATACAGGAGTTTTACTGTATATATTTGTTAAAGTTACCTGAAGATACTTGTCAGGATCTGTAGTTGTCTTCATCTCACTCTTAACGACTCTTCTTCTTCTCACTAATTCTCCAATCTCTTTTGGCAATATACCTTGCTCAATGTCCTTGGCAGGTATTGAATCAAGAACATTCTCTGGTGTCTAAAACACAATAAAAATAAATAAAATGTAATAAGACTAATAAAATAATACTAAAAACATAAAACAAAGCCATTTGTAAACAACATATCTATTAAAAAACTTACCCGATCCAGATAACACTTGTCGATGGTGGTAAAACAGATGTTGTACTCCTGAATAATACTCGGATACAGCGAGTTGAAGTCCAGTAGAAGCACAAAGTTCTCGCACAACCCTTTAACAGGTTCCAGCACTTTACCACCAAGATACACAGACTTATCGTCATCTTTGCCTCCAGACTTCTTCTTGTCCCACGGAACATAACCACGATCGTGAAAGGCGTGCAGCAACAAGAATTCGTTACGATCAGCTCTTCCTCTAGTTAGTGTTCTCGACTGAAAAGTTGTATTTCACAAAAATACCGGTGTGTTTTTCTGTCTTATATGCAACATAAATCGTAAAAAAACTTTATATACACCAAGACCTACCATAATACCACCAACAATCTTTGTGATTCTGACAAATAAAGGCAAAGCATTCAATTGTAAAATAACACGAAGAGAAAGGTAGGCTTCGTACCAGCAGAACTTCAACAGCTTGAAGAAGGCCGGTAATCCTTTGGCGGAGAAGAATGGCTCCAGAAGCTCTTCTGGACTTAACGGCCTTCGACTGATCTTGGCATCATTGGGTAATAGAAGTGACAAAACCAAGTCGTCCATGTCTTGACTTTTACATTTGTTATCCAATTCACGGGCGGCTGTCCTAAAAAATGTTTTAAGTTATTGTATTATATTATTGTATGTATTATAACCAACATTACATAACGTTACAACACTTGTTATTCACAAAATTGAAGTTAAAATTTAAGATACTTACCAAAAACAAATGCGTATTAATAACGTCTAACCCCTTTTAAATTAAATAAAAAAACTTACTTTGAACAAAGAATCAATCGACCAGCTGTGAGAACGTTCATGTTGTACTTCTTGATCTTGTCGATAGGCAGAAGGCGCTTCATCTTACTCAAAAAGTTGTACGTTGATATCTTGTGTTTCGTCAGTTTGTTCTTCAAAAACTCCAGATGTTCTTCAGCATCGTGCATCTATAACATATCATTAATTTATTACACTCGTTTCTACCGTAATAATTCCTACTGTAACTTAAAAATAAAAAAAAGTAATTTTTAAAAATGTTAATTTCGACTTACAACAACAAGATCAGGATCCATTTCCTTGAACTTGACCAAAAAAGCAGCCAACAGAGCTCGTTCGTTCTGCTGGATAAACACCTTATCAGTCATGTTCTTCTGCTTGAGAACGTCGTTCAAGGCTATTGGAAGGGTACCTTTGGTGGGTTTAGCAATAACTAAAATACAATATTAGATTTAGTCAATCTATAACATATTTCATCAAAAATAGCGTTACAAAATAATAAAAACAAAATTTATATTAGGTTAATGATAACATTATATTATAGTAACTCCTTTAAGACTTGCAATTTAAGATTTCGTAGCCTCCGGGACTCTTTTCGTTTGGCTTTTCAATGAATGCGTTCTTCTTGTACAAGGCAGATAAAGCCACGATCTAAACACCAGAATCAACTACAACAAAATTACACTCACCTCTTTTTGTCCTGATGGTACCAAAGCAGTAACAGCATAAAGCACCAACATCCGAATCCTCGGTGGAGCTTTTGTAGACGATGACATCGTAACGTTCTTCAGGTTCTTGTTGTTCACCGTATACTCAACTTCACAATTCGACTTCTTGTTTTCCACAATTTCTGTAAATTTAGGTGACATTAGCTTGATAAGATATTTGTAAGACTATATAAATAAAAGTATATTACTGTCATCATAGATAACGACTACCATATTCTTTACAGTAAACTTACCAGAATTGGCGATATTTAGGTAACAAGGTGTTTTGAGTTTGGCTTCCATTAAAAGTCGTTCCAGAGGTGATGAAGATGTGTTTAAGACTCGTTTAAAGTAATTTCCAGTTAAGTCAATGTCCAAAGCTGGCAAAGAACCCTGAACAATGATTGTTATTCCACTTAATCAAGTTAAAAGTTTAATCTCTATATTTTTGAGCTTTCAGTTACACGTTTTGCTACTAAAGCAATATAAACATACATCATAAGCAACCATGAAGACCTTCATCTCTTTATCAATGTCGTCTCCATCTGGTACATACTTAATCACCGTTTCTTTGCTTCTGAATTGACTTATGCCACTCTTTCTCAACACTTCTGTCACTTCTCGCTTCAGGTCGTCAAGTTCTTCCTAAAAAATGTAAAGCAATATTAAATTAAGACAATATTAAATTAAAACCACTCCTTTCAGTATTATACCTAAACTTTGAACAATAACAGCAATTGCTCACCTGAATAGGCACAAAGTAGACAATCCTCTCGATCCCCTTGACCTCAACACAACAAGATTGAGTCCCCATCTTCCCGAACATAAACACCGATCCCTTGTTCTCGTAGAAATCTAAACAGTAGAAGTTCAAGTTGGCTCCATTGTCTGAAGAAAATTGTTCTTCCTCTTCTTCCAAAACATCTTCTACTACAGTTGTGTGATCAAACATATCTTCCTCCATCGCTACATCTTGACTTATGCTAATATCATTATCATCATTAATTCCGTTATCATAGCTATCTTCTACATCATCAAAAGCTGGTTTAGAAACGTTATTCAAAGTTTCTTTAATTTTAACATCTTTTAAAGTGTTCTTGGTGTCAGAAACTAAAGTTTTGTCGTGAGTTGAAGCAGTAAAAGTCGATTCATTTTGCCTTGCAGTCTTCAATGTTGTCTTTTCATCTATCTTCGCTACTTTGGCAGTAAAATCGTCATCTGACATTCGTCGAACCCTTTTAATTGTAGCTCTAAACGCAAAAGTAAAAGAAATATAGATCCTCTATATCAAGAATAAAATCTTTTGAATTAATTCACTTTTCTATAAATTATTATATTTCATATTTTGAAAACTTACGGTTTAAAGACTTCGGGAACGTTTGTAACAGTATCTTCTTCATCGTTCCACTCCGTTACGGGTTCTGGAGCTGAAACGGCTTCTTCAGTGAAAAAATCCAAGACCTGAGTACCATCGTCAACCGTTTCTTCAAGCTGAGCCAACGCTTCAGCCAAAGCTGTATCGTCATCAACTTGAGAAGTTGTAGGTGCTCTCTAAAAATTAAAAAGTAACGCTTTGCTGATATTGGGATATGAAAATACCTAAATATAAATCAAATAAGTTAAGAACATACCTCAACAAGTTTAGCATCAGGCCTTAAAAATCGAGTAATATCCCCAGCCTTCTTGTCCTTCTTCTGCTCCTTCTTGGCCGCCTTCTTCTTCTCCTTTGATGAAGTTGCCACTTCTTCCTCGTCACTATCAGCGTAACCGGCTCCATCATCGTCGTCTACAAAGTCTGAAGCCCTATACATTCTGTTGTATTCATCTTCGTCCACATCCACCAAGACATCTTGTACAATGTCGTCTACCTATAACCATAAAATTTACATAAACTACAACACTATTTTTGAAAAAATTAAATTATGAAACTTGGAATATTGTCAAAATTCTTGTTTAAGGCATAAAATGAATTAAGATTGCTGTTTATTAGACCTTACCCGTTCGCGATAAGCTCTTCCGCTTCTCCTGGCCTCCTTCAGCCTCTCCAAGGCACTAGTTTTGGCATCCTTAACCTTATTGACAGGCCTTCTGGAAGATCTTCGTTGACAAGATTCGTCGTCCGACATTAGTTAGGTTAGTAAAATATTATTTATAACTTTATAAAAATATTTTATAAATTTATTTTTTTAATTCTAAAACCTTATTTGCGCGCGTTAAATGTTTTCGTTGTTGGGCGCAGCTTTTATGTTATTTTTACGTTACAATACCGCAAAAGTTTAAATAGTTGTTATGTATGATATAAATTTGATGATTTACTATTAAACTTTTGTACTGTTAAAAAAGTCGTCTTGAATTACATTTCATTACTTGTTTTTTTGTATAAATTTTAGTTAGTCTATTATACCTGCAGTCTGCAAAGTTTAGGGCGCAGCTGCCATATTATTTATTTTATTTTTCCAAAATTTTGTTAATGGTTTTATATGATAACAGATTATTCATGAACATAAACATCCGTTTGCTAACACCTATTGTTGCATTAAAAATTGAAATCAAGTTGTTTATCTTATTTTAGTTCGTTTCATTTTGCTGATCATGAACAATATACCAGGCGTTACGTTGTTGTTCAATGTCCTCATAGAAAAAATAAATTGAGAGAGAGAGTCGCGTATAAACATAAACGGGACAGCGCACTATCCCGTTTTTATTTAAACTAATTTCAGTTAATGTTCTTCAACATAACATAACATAATATAGATCGATGCCTCAGCTCCGAATCCGATCGCCTTCAGGATGGGGAAATCTGATGGCATTTTGGTAAGTTATAAATCTAAATTTACACAATTCTGTCTAAATTGTGGGTAAACTTTTATAACTGAGAAAGATTATATTTTTCAGGATATTGGGCTTGTGCAACAACTTTGCTTATGTGATAATGTTATCATCGGCCAAAGACATACTGGATATGGATAACAAAGTGAATAGTACAGATCCAGACCGATGTATCGTAAGTATTTCTTGTGGTTGTTTAGTATTTTTAGCCGGATATGTCCAAGTTCCAATGCAATAAGATATCTACTGGAGCTGTGTTACTGGCTGATATCATACCATCGCTTATCATCAAGTTCATGGCGCCTGTATTACTGTACATGCTAGCATACAAGTAAGTTTAAGCTTATTTTGATGAGAAGTTCATCTCTTTATTTATATGCTTGGTTTAAGATTGAATTAATTTTTAGGTAACAAATTGACTTATCTACTGTTGTTTTACAGGAGTTTTAGGAAGTATCGGAATGTTTATATGTTGAATAGGAATAAAGTAACGCTTTTAGTGTAAGGATAGTGTTCACGGTGTTTCTGATGGTCTCCAGCTTTGTTGTTGTTGCAATATCTACAAATGTCGCTTTAGCTTTGTTTGGTGTAACACTAGCTAGCTTTGGTGCTGGTCTTGGAGAAGTTACATTTTTGGCTTTGTCTTCTAATTTCAACAAGTAAGTATTAAATTATTTGAATTTCTGTGGGTTAAAATTGTAATTAAACGTTTTAACTTTAAAGTTCAAACCTATGTTTTACTAGTTCTTTTGTATTGGCATTATTGTTTTTATTCCCTTTGTCCTGACGGTAAATCATATTTACAGTGACGTAATATCATCCTGGTCTTCGGGCACAGGAGGTGCAGGAGTGTTTGGTGCTCTAACTTACGCGATGTTAACTGAGCGAACATTACTGAACCTCTCGCCAAAGACATCCTTAATAATAATGTTGGTAGTGCCAGCCATCTTCTTTCTCACCTACTGGAAGATGTTGATATCGCCTTCAATTGTTCACAAAGCTGTTTTTTGGAAGCCTCAGTCTTATGTGGTACCTGCTACAGTAAGGTCACGAAGTTCTTCTGGTGAACATGAAGAGGACAGGCTAATCGAGCATTCAGATGAGGAGGAAGATGAAGCACTGCCTTTGGTTAATGAAGATGAAAATTTGACATTATTGGGTAAAGTAAGGCCTCTTTTAAAGTTTATGGTACCGTTGGCTACAGTTTACCTTGGAGAATATTTCATCAACCAGGGATTGGTAGGTTAACTTAGTATTGATAGTATTTTTGATGATATAATTATCAATTTATATTTTAGTATTGTTTCAAAGACACATATAGTTAAGTTTTATAATTTCAGTTAGAACTTCTGGTGTTTGACTGTAGCCACGGCTTCTCGATGTCCGTATCTTCACAGTACAGATGGTATCAAGTACTATATCAAATCGGCGTGTTCGTATCACGCTCTTCTTCCAACTTCGTACTTCTGAATCGACGATTCTTGGGCTTTGTAGCAATCTTACAACTTTTTAACGCTACCGGGATTCTTGTTCAGACGACACAACGGTTCATACCTCATATTATCATAGTATTTGGATGGATCGTGTTCGAAGGACTTCTAGGAGGCGCTGCTTACGTGAACACCTTCCGAATCGTTCACAAAGAAGTCCCAGTAGCGAAACGTGAATTCGCCATGAGTTTTGTGTCTACTTCTGATTCTTTTGGGATTCTGTTGGCTGGGTTTGCTGCCATTCCCGTTCACAACATCATCTGTTCAGCCTACTATCAGTTCTTTTAATTTATTATTTTGCACCGGTTATTTTGCCAGGTATTGTCATATTTTTACATTTTTTTACCTTTTTATTGTCGTCATATTTTGAAAGTATTCTCATATCATGTCAAGAACACTGTCAGGTATTGTTATCTATGTTAATATAAACTTTACAAAGAAAGCTTCAGGTTCCAAGTCATTTTTGTACATATCCTTATTTATATTGTTATACCTTACTTCTATTGTGCGAATAAATGGAAACACCACGTGAGGGGTCTTTTAAGAGGCATCCAACCGGTTGTCACTAGCGCGAGCGATGGAAGGAGAGAGAAGTCGTCGCTCAAGGTTACAAACGACAGCAGCTTGAGTGAATGCCGGCTTGACATGAGTCGACCTCAACTTCTGAGTCCGGCCGAGACCTTCGAGAAGTACGAACGACGTTCTCCAGCGTTCCACTCCCCGATCCCGGCTACATCAACACCAAACGAAAGTGTCATCTTTGTGGGCGATGTGGATGCGTTGAGGCCAAGAGAAAGTAAGATAATTGACTATTTTATGGAATTTTATATTGTTTATGCTTGAATACATCAGTTTTTCAAGCATTTTAGGTAAAGTTATTACCTATTTTTACCTTTAATAGCCTAAAACAATACAAATCCTGTCTAAAACAATATAAATCCTTTTAACTATTTTTTAAAAACCGCTAAAAATAAACTTACATAAACCAATTTAACATCACTTCAGTCCCTTATGGATGGATCATCTGTATCGCCTGTTGTGTACCTATCTTCATCATCTTCGTGTTGGCTATGGCAGTTTGGCTACAGGAATTGGGGTGGATATGAGTTTTAACTACAATATTTGCAACTTCTAACATTATTTTACACTACAAAGATGTCTTTGAATACATTTACTACGCAAAACAACAAAAACTGTTCATCTGTTGGCTAATAAATATTTTCATAATAGTATTTACCTTGATTTTACTTTTTTTGTTTTTTTAAACTCTATTTTTTCAAATAACTTTTGTAAAACACAAAAAAAAGGTATTTGTAATTAGACTTCATGTTTCATAACTACTTTTTACAATTTACAGTGTTATTTTTAATGTATGTTTCACCCGCAGCCTGCAGAATCTTCCTTTCAAGCTGCGCCCTTCCTTTACACCTCGAAAATAAAAAAAAAGTTTTCGGCCAAAACTAGACCAAACCAAAGACCAATTGTACCACCAAAGCGACCACCAATCCGAGCTGTAAGTTAAAACAATTTACTTTACAACCGGGGTAACGTTCCATTTTGTAATTGAGTAAAATACCACAATATTCCACGAAATACGAAGTAGAGAAACAAGGTAAGCGTCGTCGTAATAAATATAGATATATAGTAAGAGTGCGGTGGCAAACGTGTGGAATGTTTTCCCATTTCAACAATAATATAACAATCGTTCGGAATGTGGGGATGTAAATGACAGTGTGTATATCAAGTAAAACTGGGAAAGGCACTTCGGGGGGAGGGGAGGGCGGGGTAAAGTGCCGCTGAAAGACGGGCGACCACGGGATGGAGCTGGCCGGTCGATGTTGACATCAAGAGTGCGATTGTAACAAAGTGTATCAATATATGTTATCATAAAGATACGACAATGTCAATATACGATGTCGTATCTTTATATCAAGATACGTTGCCATTTCAAGACACAATATAACCCTTGATGTATATACTTTTCATTCGTAGTTCAGACGAAAACCTTGAATTTTTGTCCACGAAAAATCTCTCATAATTTTGCGCGTTCTCTAGTTTTTCTCTAATGCCGACGACAATCAGACAAAAAGAGGGAACATACAAAATTATGAGAGCTTTTTCGTGGACAAAAATTCAAGGTTTTCGTCTGAACTACGAATGAAAAGTATATACATCAAGGGTTATATCAAGATATATTACAATCATGTTAGAGAACAATCGAATAGATGACAAAGGTCTCGTATTAGTTTTATATGACGCCAATTCAAGTCCAATAGTTAACATTGCACAACATACTACGGTGCACTGCCATGTTAATATAGTATAACATCATTGTTGATATGATAGCAAGGTCCTGTTAACAGTAAGCCTTTGTTAGTACAAGAGTTAGTTACAAGTTTAGAGTAAGCACCAAATTACTACAGTAATATCGGTTACTTTTGGTTAGAAAAAGTAAAAAAAGATAAGAAAAGAATGATAATGTTAACATCTACATCGATTACTTGATACTGTAACACAAAAGAATTTTAAGATAAAGTCAATAATGGGAAAATGTTACGTATACTGTCAGCAATCGTTGTAAACTTACCTCAAAGTGTCTTTAAAACAATATAAACCGTGGCAAGGGTATCTAGAACATATCAGTCAAGACCTTATAACAACATAAAGTGCGACCTTACAACAACATTAATTGAAGCCAAGACTCTATGATAAAAGGATGTAGTTAAGATCCCCACAACAATATAAGGTGATGATAAAGACCCTACAACAATGATGATCCTTACATTATTGTACGGTTGTAAGCCTACAACAACATCAAGACCTCAAACTGCGCAGATTCTTGTTCTGATTAGGTTCCCATGAATCAGATTGTTGTTTCCACCTCTCGTAGTTACTCTCGAGGTGGATCAGCAGGATTGGCAGATCAGCGAACTCGGACCATATTGTGAATGTTTCTCGAGCAAACAGGTCCACGAAGGTGCACTGAGTCATGGGAATGTTGCAGGATTCTCGGTCAAAGCCCTTCATCGTGACTGGAAGACCTTTCTCCACCTCTTCGCTGGTCTGAAAGTTCGTAGAATGGTTATATTGTTCGATATTCACTTAGACATTAGTTATGTTGGCTGTTATTGATATATTGGCTATGTTTATTGTCATTTATAGACACTGTTGATGTGAAAAAAAGGTACAATAGAGGCAGATAGCCACCTTGATATTATCTTATAGGAAAGGTTTTCGTGTTTGCATTCTTGATTTTAATGCTATAGGTATAGCCTTACCTGCTCGAAGTATTCCTCGACGATCCTCATCGCCCATTCATGGCAAAGCTTCCATTCCCTAGCTGGATTACCAATGTCGGCACATTTGATCAGCATACGACATACGGTAAGTGAATTGGGCTCTCGTTCTTCTTCGTCGTCCTAAAGATTCACATATTATTCATGGTTAATATATACAGAAGTTTAGGCCCATTGAGTGGGCGCTATTATGACTGCCAGACAAATACTATTTAAATAATGAAAAATAATTCTAAATCTACTACAATATAACGTACCGATGGATTGAGAAGCATTTGCTGGAACTTGGTCAGATACTCAAAGTGCTTGGTCATGTCTGTTGCCAGCACCATCTCGATGATGGCTTGTCGCAGCGACGTGAACTCACAGCGACTCATTCTGGCGAAGATGTTGGCTCCAGACTGTGACAGTGTCAGGTGGAACGCCAACGCCACATGGTGATTCTCGAGAACGGAGTGGTCGTTGTAGAGTAGTGCCAGTCTTTGTCGTGTATTCATGAGGAAGGCGTTGCCTCGGCCTGGATGATCTAGGTCGTGAACTGTGGCCGCAATCAGGGCGGCGATGGCATGGTTGTCTTGTACATGTTGGCCCACGTTCTCGGAGTTCAAGAAGTACGATGTGGCTTGTAGCACATCGGCAGCGTGCGTAGCGTTGTGGTAGTGGTTGACACTCTGGTAGTTGGCTTCTATCAGCGTCAGCCATCGCTGGATCGTGTCTGGATTACAGCGGAGTGTTTCGGCCACATTCCATCGGTCGAATATCTGCAAAGGTGTAGTATTAATGGCTGTAAAGGGATGACAATATATTAATATCAATGACAATATCAATGTCTTTACTTTTTCAAAAAGTAATTATTGTTACGTACATAGTATTAGACAACGTATGACTGTACAAAAACAAAAGCACTATTTTTAAAAGGAGAAGCTATAGTTTTGAGGTCAAAAACATCTCAGGCCAATATTGTAGTAGATGAGCTTACCTTCATCCCGAGATGTGAGAGTGGATGGTGATCGGTGACCCTTTCCAACTCGATCACATCGAATTGCCATACATTTTCGGCTTCCAATGCATTTACAACATCTGAAGATATCCGTCGCCTCGTCTCACTGCCAGAAACCCGTCTCTGATTTTCCCTGAAGGCATCCACAACCGACCGTTTCCGTTGTCGTGCTGGATGATGTAACTGAAACAGAATGGATAGGTATTATGGCATTGATGACTATTATATAGATATTGATTTGCGTCAAAATCCATTGTAATATTTCAAATTTAATGAGGGTACAGACAGGTTTCATCGTATAACTTGACCGCCGCGGCCTGCATTTCAAAAAACTCAAGATTTAACACAATTTAAAACATATTATCGTCCATATCAATATTACTCACCCGAATTAACCCATCGTAATACCCGGATGCGAATCTGTCGTTGTTGGTGAACCTGGTCATGTTGGGTGCGTACAACTCCTGCACCGACAACATCTTGATGGCTTCCTTCAGATGCGACTGCGTATCTTCGTCGCACTTCGGGAGCACGGTGGAGAGCACATTGAGTGCTTCCGTGATCGGAGCGTCGATCATGGCACTGTTTGACCGTAGACTCTTGAGCGACAGGTCGCGACAAATGGCGTCAGCACTGCCACGCTTCACGTACACGTACTGATTGCCTTGCGAACTGGTCGGCACGGTGATGCAGTGCCATTCGCTGGAACGGCGGCGAGTGTTGAGCTGAGTGTGCACACATGGTTGTGGTGCATTTGGAGCTCCCACACTGCCGAAGCTTCCTGTAGATGGTACCAGATTCTCGTTCTCTGGCACGGTCTGCGTCTGGCCTGGAGTTGTAGCCGTGGAGCCAGAAGTTGGCGGAGCTGGTGGTGGTAGAGACGATGAGTCCGGCGGTGCGCCGTTTATCGTTTTGAGACGCATTTCCGTAGCGTCCGTGCCAAGAACATCGTTCCGACTTTGGCCACTGATCAGTTCGTAGGCACGGTTCACGTACTGTACCAGGTTCTGATCGTCACAGATTTTAATTGGTTGTTCGGCTTCTTCGACTACAGCAAACAAGGCTGGGATGGCACGGAAGCGAGAGGAGAAACGGCCGAACAATTCACATAGTCGTATGTCGGGTGATGATGTGAGGAAAAACTAAAATTTTGATGGTTAAAATAAGAAAATGAGCTATGATTGCCTTTATATTGTAGTAGAAGGGTCTCTATTACCTAAATATTAAAGTTAAAGGGTCTCCGTTATTTAAATATTGTAATTTAAATCACTTTTTATATTATAGTATGTTTGTATATTATAGTAAAGCCTTGTTTTAGTTTTTTTTGCTGTAAAGTCTTCGTTTTGTCTTTTTTAAAACTTTTAAAAGCGAATTCCAAGTTTGAACATGTAGACTTAAACGTATCATTTACTCACCTGTGACAGCTCCGTCTTGGCCAAGCTTTTTAGTCGTTTCTCCGAAGGCAGCCTGTCAGTTAAGATGGCATAGAGAAGGTCTTCTCCTTCCGGCGATGTTCGTAGCGTCCTGAAGTTAGGTTAGCCATTAGAGAGGTTTCAGAAGTCTCAAAAGTACTTTTAAAAGTTTGAAATTCAAAAAAAAATTAAAATTAAAAAAAAAAATTAATTTAAATTTCAAAAAATTTTTAAATTCTTTAAAATCTTCAAAATTTCAAAAAAAAACGTGAAAAAACGTACGCGTGCACTTCGAGCACGTCATGCAGCTTGTGATCGAATAGCACCACCGACGGTTTGTGTTTCCTGAGATCGGCGAGCGCCGTCTGCGAGCCGGTTGTCACGATTTGCCAGCCGCTGTGGCGGAGTTTCTGCACGAAACAGCAGTCCAGTAGGTTGTTGTGTTGTCCATTGTTGACATAAAACGCCTGTAAAACGGATACGTTTGTTTGAGAGAAGCGTGACACAGCCGCCATCTTATAAGTGCCCCTTTGAAATGTGGCAATTAATTCCTCAGGTTACGATCCGCTACAGTAAACCGCAAACATTGTTTGATTTGGGGGCAAATTCAATGAAGGGTTGTGTAAACAGTTACATTTGTAAGTTCCTCAGGGTCAGATTGAAACTTTTCTTTACTTTTTGGGTTATTAGGTGTTACTAAAGTCTTTCGTCGATTTATAACGTGTTGCAAGTTAAAAAGCGACAAGACTTTTGTTTCGATGCCTAAGTCTACACGATTAAGCCTAATATTAACTGTTCTATCAAGTTTTAAAAGCATTTCCCTACAAAATCGATCGCCAACCCTTATAGCGCCACTCCCTATATAAGTCAAGCGATAAGCATCAGTAGATAAACAAAAATTACCAGTTTGTGAATGTGTAACAGCATGGGGCCGAACCGGTCGAACTGTGCGACGCCAGTGTTCTTGTGGTTGGGCGAGAGGAGTGGACCGGTCACGTTGGCATCCTCGTCCTCCAGCACGTCGCCACTCTCGGGCCGTCGACTGGCCGCATGGACCCGATTCCGGGCCTCGAGTTGTCGCGTTGACTGCGGCGACACGGTGGTGCTGCCCATGTCGCGGACCAGGCTTTGTTGTTGTAGGTGGGCGGAGGTGGAGGCGGATGAAGCGGCAGCGTTGTTACCTCCGCCACCACAACACCATCTCATCCTCGCCCGCGGGAGAGGGGTCGGCGACGAAGGGGGTGGTGGAGCCGCTGATGCCGGCTTTAATGTTGCTGATAGCCTGAGGGCTTCTGGATCGTCCAACGTCTGGCGGCGTCGTGGGAACGGCAGAAGACGGCGCACGATCCGGTAGACAGAGTTGTGGCACCTCGATCCGGCGGGCTTGGGGCCGGGCGAGAGGAGGTGGGCGGTGTCCAGCGCCCCGCGGCCCGGCGGCACAGGAGAACAGCCCTCGGGCAACTTCTCGACGGTCGCGATCTTAGGTCGGGTGTCGGGCTAGCTGATGTAGCTGGACTGGGATTGAATAAGGTGGCTAGAGTACAATGACGAACAGATTCTGGGCCAGGGTTACGAATTTTAAAGGGTTTGTGTATCTTTGGGTATAGCCGTTGTGTAGCGAGTCGTTCCCAACGATGGTGAAGGTATTGGGAAGAGGACAGAGTCCCACTACGATAGTATGGTTAAAAATGGTACAGGCAGCGCGCGATGATAGTTCAGTATTAGTAAATATCACAGCGATGTATTATACCGGTCAAAAAGTAAATAGATAATGTAAAGTGAGCCCAAAAATTAAAAAAAATGGTTAATATTAACTTAAGCTAACTTTTTACAGTAAAAATACAAATCTAGACCTCGTAAACCCTTCTTCTAGCCAGCAAAGTAAGCCATGCACATATTACTAACCATTACCAAGCAAGAGTAACATCAGAAAAATAATTAAAAGCGAGTGAAACAGATTACTGATGAAACTCTCATTACCCCACTTATTGAATATTCGAGTAGCCGGTGGAGCGGGCCCAGAAGTGTACTAAATGTCACAAAATGTGAACCAGAAGTTGAAACGAGAGGAAGGCCGGCCAGGGGGGGGGGGGGCGGGCAAAATGATCCGCGGAAAACTGGAGCCACTTTATGGCCTGAGGGAAGAGCACAAATTGGGTCCAGCAGTTAATAAAGTATTGCAATTTGTGAAATTATTCCGCCACAAAAGTCGCCCCAAACATTAATATAAAGTCGGGTTAATGGGTCGTGGCGACAGCCCAGGAAGTGCAACATTCAGCTGTTGTTATAGGCTGGGTTTTGGGTCTGGAAGGGGCTTAAAATGGCATTTTTGACTGAATAACGATGCAAATGTGTACAATATTCAGTAGTAGAAAGGCTAAACTTACTATATGTGATCTTAGGATGCGGAAAAAGGTTCAAAGTAAGACAAAATAAGTGTGTATCATAAAGAAAAAACAGAATTTTTAACAATAACTCTAAACTTATGACCTCAGTAAACTAGATTCCACTCCTACTCCACCCCCACTCAAGTTCTAAATTCACTTTCTACCCCCGGAACAGCCTGTGCACAAAGGTCTACTACAATATGCTAGTCCACCTTTGCTCTTGAAATACCAAAAGCTTCACATAACAAACATATAACTCCAAAATACCTAAATCTTACTACAATATACAACTACAGCTTTAAAGATCCAAGTAATATAACCCCAAAACCTTACTACAATAAGCAGGTATAAGATCATAGTACCCGAGACCTACTACAATATAAAGATTTACCTCAGAAAATCCAAGCAATGTAACCAAAACATCCTATTACAATATTAAGATATAAATCTAAAAATCCAAGTAACCTAACCACAAAACCCTGCTTCAACATCCAGACCGATGCCTCCGAACCCCATGTAGTTGACATGACAGAGCAAAGTGTGGTTAACACAAGGTTCCGGGCCCCACGAACTGACCCACGGTTCGATACAAATCCAATTGGGATCGACGGAGTATAAACATTGGGGTGATAAGCAAATGGAATAAATAAACAAAAGTAGTTGATGAAGTGACGTTACACGTAGATTTTCTTTTCAATTTCATACCCGCAGGACTTGTTCCTTACTCTCGGAAAAAAGAGCATGGCATGTCGACTAATTTGGGGGGCGCAGAGCGAAGAGGAACAAAGCCTTTTGGACATCTTGTACATGACCGCATGCCTGATTGTTCAACATAGTGTTAACGCAGTTAAACACGAGGAAATGAAGCTTCAGAATCAGCGAACTCGGCCTTTACAGCAGCTTTACAATGCGCGGACGATGACAATTGACAAATCAAAAGTTGGAGACGTCTAACTGAAGTAAACTCAAGATTATGAAGGATTCTTGGCTACATACGTTAACAAGTTCATATCATAGACAAGATGTTAAAGTCAATAACGAAAAAGCCCATAATTTTATATATTATAGTAGGTATTGACAACGTAAAACTAAAGTACGAAAACTATGACATTTTTAAATCCAAAAGAAGACAAAACCTAAGCATCAAGACCTCTAACGTCCAAACTATAAATTTAATAACCACACCTACAAACTGACTAGAACGTCACCAGAAGACAGACGATTCAGCTGGCCTAGGGCATCGTTAACAAGCGAAAGTTGTTACTCACGATGGCTGTAATTCAATTAAATCCAGCTCTAATTAAGGCTGAATCACAATATAGACTTGATTCACAAGTCTCGGAACAAAACAATCGTACGAGGCATGTCTTCATCTTCCAACCACAACATATTCTCTCCATATATACGGCCTTAAATATACTATCTTAATGAACTACCTTCATATACCTTCATATCACAGCAAGAACAGTATCACCCTCCAAAGAGTTCAAGAACTGACAATACCCAACATTCCTCCAGCTACCGTGAAGTGAAAAGACGAATTTTAGGCAATGAGAACGATAGGAACGGGCACTAATCGGAGTTAATAATTCATGTCGCCAACTCGTCGTATGTTATCTATTACGGACGTACAGCAACATCCCACCCCACATCCATCAAGCCCAAAACAAAGGCCTGATCCGTCGACAGGCCGGGCGGGTTCTGCGGTCAGCCAACGACATGGGCATGTTCGAAGACCTCGGCCTCCGCCTCACCCCCCCCCTTCCTCCCCTCAGGGCCAGAGAGAAGAAGAGGAAGGCCAGATGCAAAAGGCGCGAATGGGAAACGAGTCAGCGAACCGCCTAATGAAAGTCGGTCCCTGTGGCCATAAAAGCCTTTGGCCGAACAAATCTGGCCAACAACGAATGAATATATACGGATAGAACATGTATTCGCCGAATTCTATAAAACAAGTTAACATTGTCCATCTTACCCACTCCGTCGTCCCCAAAGTTTGTCATGGTTTGGGTGGCGTTAGGGTTATTTATATTGTCATAGCTTGTTGGCTACTTACAAAAACAGCTTGTTCAGTGGATCAAAGTGTTAAAATTTAGTAGAAATATTCAAAAATGACGTCATGACAACAATGAAGAAAAGTATTGTTCTACCTATTTTTAATAAAACGTAAAGTTTTTCAACAATTCCAGGCCTTCCTCTGTCCTAAAACAATAAAAACTACCTAAAACCTTATAAAAACGTAAAAACTTAATATCAAAGTCCATTTTCCCCAAAAAATCCAAAAATCCGAGGACTTTTGACACCGATAGTGCACTTTGAAGCAACATTTGCCACAAAACCCCCCCTCCTGTAAGACGAAGAGCGACAAATTGAGTTGGGAGAGAAATTATCAGGGATAAGATTGATAACTACACAGGACCTCCGCTTCTAATCAGCCCCTTGAAAAACGACCTCCACTCAGCAATTGGAGACAATCAAAAGTCAACCAAAACATGGCCATAAACGAACCGGGCCCGTGGCCCAGTTTGCGGAGTAAACACACTAACGAACTGATGAAAATGATTTGCTTAAAACTGTATCTGTCCTCGATTCGGTACGGTAGCCGGAGGGGGAATATTAAGCACAAGTGGGGGGAGAACAAGACAATTGGTGTTTGAGATAGAAAGTGGTAGAAATCTGGCAAAAAACTGATAAAAGGGATAAAAATGTCATATTATCATCAAAAAATGTAAAATTATTCTCAAAATATGATTTTTCAAGCCTTTTTTAACTACCCCCCCCTCTTAATGAGCACTTTTCTCAACACCACCCACATTTTGAAAAGGAACTGTTTCACAAAACTTCCAGGAAAACACTTTTTGCCATTCCATTTGATACCCAATTCCTACAATTCGTACTCAAAATCTGGTGACTCCATACATCATTTCATATTCTACGTCATTACTTAAACTCTCCAAGTGCAATTCGTATTACAACTTACTTATTACACTCGTCACTCTTTCGCAACACTTTCGTACAACAGTACTCGTACTATACTAATGGTGAACAGAATAAAAATTGTTTCTATCAGGGAAATTATTATTCTATCAATGATAATATTAAGGTTCAAACTCAAAACATCGTCTTCAATATAACACATTAAAACGATCAAATTAAGGATATAGCCAAAATACTTAAAATCAGGCTTAAATCCAATATATCATCTTCAATATCTACTTCAAATCTTTAAATATTGTTCCCAATATCATATAACTTCAAGTATAATACCCCATGCTTATCGTAACACTCAAAAACTAGCTTAACACGCAAGGTTATCATTCTTTATATCGAATTCAAACTTAAAAACTTCAAGATTATCATCCTCAATATCCAACTCAAACCTAAAAACACGATCCTCAACATCACACCTCTCAGCACCCGCGCCCTCCCGACCCACAACAAGCTAAAACAAAAGAACAAGTGCAGACGATCAATCAATGACACCTTGCTCGATTATTATGGCCCAACAGATGACGCAGACCGTCCTTCTCCAAGCCGGATTTCCGCATTGTTCGAATTAACAACGGTTTTCCTCGGGATTCGTAAAGTTATCGGCGGATTATCCGCTTTTAAAACACTGTTGCTGGAGGCAAAGGACGAAACACTTTGAGGAAAACGCTGATTACCCACTAATACAATCAGATTAGGGGCGGATAAGAGACAGCCTGTTAATAACCATTTACGTTCGGTTTGAGAGGGCTTAAGTCATTAAGAAACGGGCTCCAACTGTAGTCTAAATGGCTTAAAACAATGTGGATTGGAGTAAACATGGACCTTAGAGTACAGCATAGACTTATCTCAATTAGAGTACAACATACTGATGATAAAAGTAAAGGTGAGAGCAGTCAGATCAGTTATTATAGCTAAAAGTTTGAGCCTTTACATGCTGTTGAAACAGGAAAAATAATGTATTTTTACCTAATTTTACCGAAAAAAAGATATATTTTTAGATAATTTAGGTAAATTTACTTCAAAGTAACATCCAGAAAATGCAAAAAGAATTAAGAAACCAGGTAAACATTACTCATAAAGACCTAAAATCTTGAGTCAAACCCTTTGAAACGTCCAAAACCACAATGAAATTCACAAAACTCCTTACAAAACCTACTACAACATCTACGTAACCCCTCAAAATCACACGTCAACTTCTTAAAATCCGTAAACAGTCCATTAAAATCCTTAAAGGACCCATTAAAATCCTCAAAAGCCCCAACACCCTCAGGCAACCCAGCTCAACCCTTGCGTAACGCGTTACGAACCAAGCGGGCGCATGAATCTGATATGAATATGGAAACTTGTGTCAACTGGTCAGCGACGAGCCGGCGGTCAAGTCAAGAGTGCGAGAAATGGAGCCGGCGGCGGTGGGGGGTTTTTTGTGTGGCCCGAACACGGGCTTAAAGGCAAAGCAATGCACTGTTTTGTCCTCTCTCTCTCGCTTTCTCCCCTCAGGGCGGACGGACACAAAATAAGGGAAATGCGGACAAGAAAGAGCACCGCTTGGAGAAGCCAAACCAACTCGTTTCCCCCCGCTCGGCCCCATCCCCCCACCCCTGCTACGACGTTGCCTTATTCGAGTCAATTTCATGTTCATCATCTTGAGTAAATTGGGCCAGCAGCTTTTGTTCTCGGCCTTGTAAAGTGTAAAATGGGGCGGGTAAGTGGACGTAGGACGAGGCGAAAGATGGCCTACTTTTACATGACGCTTTGGAGGTGTTTTTCGCTGTAGTTTTTGGAAAATAAGGTTAAAAATGTCATATAAGTTAGGATAGATAAAGGCAAACGCTCTTTGAACAGATTAAACATAAATTAATATTCGATATTATCCTAGAACCACATGTGTTTTAACACATCTCAGTTCGTTTTTAAACTCTGTTGCAACTCTCTATACTGCCCTACCTCAATATGACATTACATTCATATCTAAACCTGTAGTCTTTACTGTTGACTTTGGCATAGCTTCATATACTACAATATTTTTCCTTCAAACCGTTAAAAAGTCACCTACGAGGTTTCGGCAGCTCCTTACCACACTACCTCAAACCGAATTTACCCCACCCTAAAACACCAAATGAAAAATTTGCCCCCCCTATAACCCCAAACCAAAATTTACCCCGCCCTAAAACCCTTCATGGCGGCGGTGTCATAACATCAAAAACGGGACTTACAACTTTGGTACAGTCCAAAAACAGCTGTCTTGTTCCGTGTTCGATAGAATCCATGTCGACATTACGAACGGTCATTTATATTGTCATCACGTCACGCACTGAAAATAAATTGCTTTAGAATTCATTCGAAATGCCAATTTCTTATTAGTTCCTATATTGGGATGTCACAGTAACGTTTAAATAATAAATACATAAACATGTATTATATTATTTTGTTATAGATAAACATATTTTTGACATAGTTAGTAGCAGAAAGTTACAGTAACAATACTATGCCTAATATAGAAGTTACTGTAAGCAAGCTACAGTAAAATATACGGTAATATAGGTAATACAATGCGTAGGCTTTAAGCAACTTTATTTTACATGTTACAGTAAAAAAGCGTGTGTATTGTTACAGTAACAAAAGCCAGCTTTACAAAGACGAAATATGAAGAATTCGATAAGAAACATTTGGAAATATTGTTGTTACAAGAAGCACGTAATCGCGAGAGGATAGTAACCTAATAAACAACAATCACATCCTACTTGACGTTCTCTTCAACAAAGTATGCCTCTATTAACTTAACCTACTACAAAGTAGCTTAGAGAGAGAAGTGCCAAAATTATTTCAAACCCAAATATTCAAACTTAAAAACCACACTCCAATCCTTAAAAATAAAATTTTAAAAAACAAAAACACCTCTCGAACCACTGAAAATGGCACAAACAAAGGGCCCACGGTTACAGGACCAAGTTTTAAACGGCAAAAATTCGACAGCCGGCTGGCAGGAATAAAAATTGAAAGTTTGTCATCCATAATTCAGAAGAACGGGAAAGCCCCATTTACACATGTAACGACAATAAAGAAAGGGAGTTAAAGGCATGGGAACGTGGTCAAGTAAGAGGATATAATGCTGCACAAACGAGAAGTATTAAAACCGTTTTACTGATAAGTCCACAATCAGTTGGCGTTCGATTTATTTGTTTCTTCACATGTATTTATAATTGATATTAGGGTATGCGACGGTAAATAAGTTAGGTTCAATACAGTAAAAATGACAATACAAATATATATATTTAAATGAAACAATACTACATCAATATGTCGAAGAGACAGCCACATATACTGATAAAGTATTACATTCAAGAGACAATAATTCATTCAAAATGACATATCTAAGCATTCATCAGACGGTTAAACTCTTTCAAAGAATCAAACAGTTCTGGCACTTCGTACTCCACGTACTCTTCGATCACGGCTTGTAACTTTTCAGTCACATCCTTCCAGTTGACATCGTCGTTTGAATTCAAAAGCGATGCGAACAGATTTCTCCACAAGACACCATCAGTCCACGTTCTGTAACAAACATACTCAAAAATTTCAATGATTTATATCTTATTCATTGTAAAACACTAAATTGTCAACTTTAAGTACCATTAAATTAATTAAAACCGCCTTTTATTAAAAGTTTTTACCTATTTTTACATTTTTTAAGTCATGATACTAACAATAACTTCAAAAATCTGCATAACAATTAAAAAACGTACGAGCTGACAATAGTACCGTCCAAAAAGAAAGCGTTCATCTTCTTAACCTTCATTGGTTTTCCAAACATCAGATGATGGATAACTGACAAGAACCCGTAAGCTGTATCGCGTTCTTCTGAGCATGGTATTCCCTCGTAAACAGTAATGAATCTGAGTTTTAATAACTCTCCGAAAGTAGCGTCTGCATTGATTCTGAAAAATAAAATTTGACTCAAACATCTAACACAATATCAGCAATATCTTTGGAAAAAATAATATTATGATAACATATTCTTATACATTAAAAATGGCATGGATTATAACATATCTATTTAGTGGCTCTATTAATTCGGTATAAGTCTAATTTCGTAAAAATTCCGTTAAAAATCTACCACTAATATGGTAAACTGTAGTCAAATTACATTATAGCCAATAACTTTCTGAACAAGCCGTCTTAATATAAACAACTTACTTTTCTGTGAAGAAAACTCTGTCTGGATGTAAAATCCCCTTCAACTTCCCAGTAGAAATCAGTTTGGCCAAGTGATAACCGACCAGAGAAAAGAAGCCTTGCAAAGGCTCATGTTCCTTAGACAGTAACTTCTGAAAAGTTCAAATAAAGCTCAAATGAAAATAACCTATTCACCAATAATTTTAAAACCCATGATTCTAATCTCATTCACTTAAATATCAAAGTATAATGATTATAGTGACACTAACCACCATCGGAGTTCCTTTGAATTTCGAAGCCGACTTCTTGGCCACAACTGGCGTACGACTGACGAATGAACCACACTGATCCGGTTTGTCATCAAAGATACTAAAGTCTTTCGTATCGCACTTCTCATCAAACAACAGTATTGACTCCTCAACATTCTCTTTGTTAGTAACATTATTTTGAAACAACATCATCGTCGCTTCGTCAGGCGCTACTCCTGCCTTCACTTGAAGGTAAGAGCTAAATGTTAAATAAGTAAGAGTTCAAACAATAACACTAAGCACACATTCCAAAAAGTACTTACTGACGCCTAAAACTTCAACAATATATAAAAAACAACTCACGGAAGCTTTTGGTACAACTGCTCCCTAGTAATGTCACATTTCTTTAGACATTCTTCAAAAACTCCCTTCAGTTCGTCTTCTTTACCCATCTCTAACAAAACTTCAGCGTAGACAACATAAAATTGCCAATATTGACCATAATCAGGTCGCAGCTTCTGCATGAAATCAATTTGAGTCATCGACGTGCTCAATTTAGACTAAAAATAAAATTAAAACAATAAAGATACAACATACCATCATTTTATAACACCGTAGCAACGCATCCAACTCTTTTTCGTTCTCAAACTGAGGTTTACTCAAAGCATTCAGCAATAGTTTCTTCAGAGTATTAGCCTTATGTGCTGGCAAACAAAACTCATTCACCACCTCTGCATACCTAAATCATATATAAACATTATTCTTCTTGAAACTTACCTCAACAGCGCCTCATACCGACGATCGGGAATAAAACTCTTCTTCAACACCCTAAAAAAGTAAAAGACATATACAACATAATAGAAACAAGAAAAAGATATGTAGAACATAATACTTACGAAGAAAACGAAGAGTTAAACTTCTGGAACAACTTATCGTCATCCATTGCGATCAATTAGAAGTTTACAATAAAATTTTCGATAAAAGTAATTTCGAAAAATAAATTTTTGATTTATTTTTTAAACGTTTTTTCGCCGCCGAACTATTTCAGTCTCACAACGAAAACATTTATAAAAAGACAACTTACTGCACATAAGCTTTATCGGTCAAAAAGTAAAGAGAAAATTAAAGTGAAAGAAATATTCACTCTATTCTTTATTTCATACCCACGATGTGATCAAACTGGATCATATTATTATAAACTTCTTGAAATTTAAAAATCAAATTTTTTTGAAGTTTCCTATGCAAACTATATTTTAATATCTTTACGTATTTTAATACTCAAAACTATACTAACAATATATTTTTTCGTTTATCCAGGAAACCTATATTAACCATGAAATAAACAATTTATGAAACCAAAACAAACAACGGGAGATTGTAGATCTTTGTTCAACTCGTGCCACTTTCGTATCACATAGTCAACTCCATAATGGCATTCACCAGGTCGTTATCCGAGTTCTTCAGGGCTTTGATGGCTCGGTTTCGATTGACACCCGCTTGAGACATGACTAACTCAATGTCCTTTTCTTCCAGACCCGTAGCATCCACTTCTTCCGTGTCACTTTCCTCAGCTTGTGGAGCCAATCGGTTCACGTTTTGAGCAGTATTGGCAGTTGGAGGCTTGAAGTTCTCGACATCGTTGAGCTGAGAGTGCTGGCTCAGGTCCTCAATCTTGGCTTCTCCGAAGATAATGTAGGTGTCAGATCCAGGGCTCTTGTAGACGTCAGGCTTGTTGATGACGAACAAGATGGACTTGGACTTTCTGATGGCAACACGAGAAACGCCATGGACCAGCTTCAAACCAAGCTTGGCGAACAACTTGCGAGCCTTCTTCTCGGAACGAGATTGCTTCGAGCCCTTTTCTGATACCTAAAATTCAAAGATCAATATAAAATAAACCTTACATTTTAAAACCATTGCATTAAGTTTCAAAAACATTGCACGAGTTTAAATATTTAAGGGCGTAGAACTTACTTGTTCAGAAAGACCAGCAGCGGCAGCAAACTTGGCTTGCTCTTCGGTGATTTGTTGGCCTTCCTCTACCTCCTCATCGGAAGATTCGTCACCAGAAGTGTGCTTTTCGGGTTGGTCCTTAGTCTGAGGCATTTTGTTCACAACTTAAATTTCAATTTTAAATTATTTAAATAACACGATTTTAAACACAGATAAGAAAAACCCGACAAAAATAAAATTTTTAAAATATAAAACAAAAAAAATAATCCAAATATTCATGTAACAACATAATTGGAGTAAAACACAAATTCTTCAAGAAGTATAAAACAAATTAAAACAAAAAGTGCTCAATCGACAATAATAAGAAACAGACTTATAAAACTGACAAATTTAGTCAGTATTCAAAATACATATTGTAAATGACACCTTATTTTCACAATATCGACCTCACTATCACTCGAAAATAACTTTATTTTTCCAAAAAATAAAATTTAGTCCCACCGTATTCTGGAAGGCACTAATAGTGTCCGTGCGTCTCGAGTGGACTTTTGGCATTGCGTTTAAAGATTGAAAAATAATTTTGGAAAAAATCTGTTTTAAAAATTTGATAAAGCGCGCTGAAAAAGTAGTGGTAGTTTTTTAGAAGAAAGTAGAAAAAATTGTATTGTAGTGATTCTAGATGGCTGAAGAGAACAAGAGTATTAATGAAGTCTTGGCACCGGTCGAAAAGATAGTTGAGGCTTTAAAGGAACTTCAAAATGACATCGACTTTCTTCCTCCGTACCGTGAAGAAGTAGTGAAAGGTTGTGCTGAAGAGATCAGGAGGTTGTATGCTTTGAATGATGAGGCAATGTAAGTTATATTAAGTTATTTTTATTGAATTTTAGAAAAAATGCGAGTGACACAAACTCTCCAGAGTTTCAAATAATTCGAGTACGACAGACGATGATGGATCGTCTCAAAAGATGTTGTTTGGCGTATCTGAATGAGAGGATACGGCGAATTAAAGAGTTTAAATGGACACATGCTGGAGCATTATCAACAGTTTTACAGGTTTGTTTATTACTTTAGGTATAAATGGACTTTACTTTCTATTTTTTATATTGGATTTGATTTGTACATGTTTTTAATACATTTAAGGGAAGTTTTTAAAACTAATCTTTTGTTTTAGGCGAATATGTCAGACAAAGAAAGGGTTTGGCTTAAAGAATACACAGGAAGTTTGTTTTCGTATCAACAAAACATTGGAAGGACTGAAGATGACGATACAGATGGCGTGAACTTGACCGAGGCTGTAAATCCTCCTCGTAGCAATCTGGTTCCTGTTTGTGTGCTTAAAGATTATGGCGATATCGAGACAATCGATGGGGCTATAGTCATAATGAAGGAAAAAACTGTTGTAAGTTTAATCTTAAACTTGGATATCTTTATTTATATTATTATTAAATACCATTTATTATTATTTGAATTTATAAAATTATCATAGCTGGCAGTAGCAGTTATACTGTAAGTTTCGAAAATTTTAGCATTGCATACCTCGAATCGACATAGAGCCGTTGATCCGAAAAGACATAATCAAACTCGTCTGACTAACTGTGATATGACTTTATTCATCTTTATACATTCGATTGATTAACTTATTTAGATTAGTTATTACTAGTACAATAAATGAAGGGAGAGGCAGAGGAAAGACTTATCACAGTGATAAACGCCTCCGAATCAAGGAGAATATAAGTGATTTGAGTGGGAACTAACGAAGACCCGGTAGATCTATAAATAACAGACTTCACAGAATACTACAACAACATATCTTTTTCTCGGAACGGCCATAAATACCCGGTTTTCCATTGAGAGCGGTGGTTGAGGTGGGGGAAGGGGAACTCATTTCCATTTCTGAAAAGGCAACAAGTTAGAGGTGACGTTTCACGTACTCCAAGTTAAGGTTTTTAATACACGATTCTTTCTTATTATATGATAGTTGGCCTTTAGCCACCATACTGATTTATACGAAGGTTTAAGCAGCTTTTTAAACAGATTTGCATAGTTAATTACTTTTACCTTGTCGTTCCTTCTTCTTTTTCCGCACGGTCGATCCTCTCGAATGGGTGCTTTTGAAGCCGGTTTCTTCATCGTCGTCGTTTCTGTCGGCTTCCAACTTCTTCGTCCACTCATTGCCACCACCATATGTTTTACCTGTCTTGTTCGACTTGGATAATATCCTTTTGTTGGGGGAATCTCGTCGTGTGTCAGAGAGGGATTGAGTTCGTTGTGGAGCGTTCGCTGGGTCTTCCTATAAAGTTTATGGCTGACAATATGAAATAGTTTGTATTAAGCTTATTTTAATTTGAAAATAGTGAGGATTGATGTTTTGCTGCATTTTCTTTAAACGAACGGTGATGTACTAATTGTTGTTATAAGGCCTTATTTGTATGAAGCTTGCTTTTATTGCCTTCTATTGATTCCACCTACCGCGTTAGAGACGTCTTCTTTGCTCCACGACTTCATGAGGTTAGTGTGTTCCTTCTGAGCTTCTAGTCTAGCCAACGTGACGCCCGACCGGTCTCGGAGAGACTGTCTTCTGATGGCACCTCGAGCACTGAATGGATTGTCCACCTGACCGGTCGGTGATGGAGGTTGTTGAGGAGATTCGAACTTGTTTCTTCTAAAGAGATACATCAATATAATGAGGGGAAACGTTACCTTCTGGACTGCCTTCGACTGTCACGGACTCCAAATGCCATCCGTTTCTTGCGGGCTTCATGTTGTAGTAGCTGCTGTATCACTTGTTTCGTCTGTTCGTCGGTAGCCAGATCTGAAATTGAATTGTGAAAGGTTAGATGCTAATTATTAAAACTTTGCATTCTGTTGGAATTATTGAGTAATTTTAACTTTATTGTACTTACCTAGAGGTGCTTCGTCGTTACCAGTCTTGGCCTTAATGTCGGCCCCGTAATCGACCAGCATTTCGATGATTTCCGGCTGATTCCAATTAGCGGCCGCATGAATTGGCATCCAACAATCATTGTCACGATCGAATGGACTCACGCCACATCGAAGCAGGAAGGCGGCTACAGTCGTGTAGCCATGAGCTGCAGCGATGTGAAGATAGGTCGAACCATCTGGGTATCGAACATTGATGGGCAGTTGTCGACCGTGCAGGTCTCTCAGGTCGTTCAACATCTTGGTCTCGGGCTGTGACCGTCGTTCGTTGATGTACTCCTGAGTGATGCCATTGTTGGCCATCTCGGTCTCGATCAGGTCCAAGGTCTCTTCCTCGTCACAAATGTCATATGGCATGTTGCCTTCGGCGTTTACTGCCAGTAGATCAGCACCACTGAAATAGTCATATTAAAATTGTTGTTGTTCAGTCAGGACTAGTACACTAGTACTAATTGGTCAAAAAAAGCATAAAGATCAATGTTTATTATAGCTTGAACCTTTTACTTTTGACAGGTTAATATACGATCACTACAGAAGAGTAATTAAAAGTTCTTACTGATGTATCAGAATGGCTACTATGTCACTGTAACCGCAACACGCTGCAGCATGTAACGGTGTCCATAGCTCGGTATCTGTGGCATTTACGTCTGCTCTATATTGCAGTAGAAGCTCAACGATTCTGGGGTTTCTGTCGATTGCACACTGGAAATGAAAGGTGACTATACTGTATGTTAACCACAGTGACATAATAAGCTTAAAAGGTCAAACTTCTCTCAAAATAACTTGACCATACTGTTTTGAGTGTAAAAGAAGTAAAAAGATCTTACTTTGAGCCGTGAAGCCAAACTTACTTGATGTAGTGGAGTAAGCCCGTCTTCGTTGTGAGAGTTGGGGTCGGCCCCGTTAGCCAGGAGCTCCTGGACTTCGTTAAAGGCGCCGCGACTGGTCGCTTCGAGTAGCGCGACGTGAGGACTGAACCGAAGTCGTGGGTTGCGCGGCCGTGGTGGTGGAAGCTGCTTCTCGCGACGATCGGCCGCCTGCTTCTGAATCCGCCGCAGTCGTTGGGCCAGCTGAAGCCGCTCGCTGATCTCGAGCCTCTCGATCCGAGGCATCTCGTTGATGAGCTGGGCATGGTCGGGAGGTTCGTTCATGTTGCCGAGAAATGCGCCGATAGCGCCACTCATCTTGTCTCCGTCCTGGACTTCTATTCGCACATAACGGCACCTAATTTGGCTAATTAATTCCAACTTTCGCACGCTTTGTTTACAATATTCATGAGTAACACAGTTCACGACAATCTATATTAAAATAACACGGAAGCGAAGGATAGAATTGGAAAAGGTGGGAATGTCACAAAGTCAAATGTACTATAACATTGACATAACTTTACAAAGAACATATAGTATTTTGATATCATAAAAAGGACAATAGCATAAGAATATACACTTTATATGATATGACATAATTGTGACAATTGTACAGATAAACAGTAAAAAATACTTTGTGAATAAAATTGTAATAAAAGTAATGTAATATACCGAATGCAATTTGCAGCACTTTCACCATAAACTCGCCTTCATTAAAAGGAATTCGAAATTGTTTTAAAGCCCTGAGGGGATTAACGGAATCCAGAGAATGCTATATGATATGACATTGAGGGATTCTATGTGATATAACACAGTTATAGGAAGGTGAATAGATTCTGTTTGATCTTGTACTAGGTATCATATTACAATATCAAAAAAATTTAAAGATCTTTAACAAGATCATACCACCTCAATGAATATCACATAACCTGAATGTAACTTATCTATCCTGAATGTTACCTATCTCTCCTGAAAGTAGCCATTATATAAAACATGTAACAGGTCGCATAACAACAAAAGAGAAACGTGAAAGGAGAATACTTTCTTTCCGGTTAAGAGAGAAGAAAGGGTCCTGAAAGGAATTATTAAACGCGGCGAAATGTGATAAGCGCTGATAAATGACCGCCAGAACCGAGGTCTAATCCCGCCGACGGCTTCGGAATCGGTGGTGTCCGGAGTAATAAAAGAGACGCCTGACAGGCCGTCCAGCCCGATTGCCATTCATTTCGTGGCACTCATCTCCTTAAGAAGCGTGGTCGCAGTAGTGTAAGTAGTTAGGCCCTATTTCTGGGACCAGCGACACTTCTTTTAGGGGGAGGGAGTGCGCCTTCCCCTTCGTCTTTCTTCGTGTTCTGTCGTCCGAAAACAAAATCCCAAATATGGAAGAGATGAGGACGGGAAGTACACTACAATTTAACGGTGCACTCTAATCACAACAATTGTTGTTGTCGTCTGATACGCTAATCAACTTGACAGATGATCTGTGGCTTTCATAACAACAAGGCCTCTCGGATCATAAATAACAATAGTTATGAGGCCAGGGTTGTTAAACGTTAGGTCCATTTATAAATGAACTTAATCTAAAGTTTTGGGCAAAAAAAAGCTTTAGAGTATCTTATACTAAGTGTACATTAAACATACTAAGACTACATTAAGCATACTAATTCTATATTAAGCAAAACTTCATAATTTTGTTTTTTTATAAAAATAAGCATTTGCTACCTATTGATTGCCTAAAATTCTTTAATTCCTAACAACCTACACCCATTTTCTTAACATCTACCCCCTATTACCCCTGCTTTCCCAAAACTTTTAAAAAATAATGGAAACTTTGACCCGAAAACCCTAAAACAACATCGCCAGGTTGTCATATCTCGTTCGCGAAGGGAAAAACAAAACATCTGATAAGTCGTCCCCAACTCCTAATAAAGGCTCACCAATTTGTGGCCGTCGGATTTGTTTATGGCGACCATTAGATTAATCAAAGGCTTAAATCCCCCGAATGTGCCGTTAATGAAAGTTTCAGAAGAGTGACAAACAAATCGGATTATTCCTTCTCAATGACGAGAGATTAACGCAGAAGGGAGTCACAACACGGCGTTGCTTAAAACGGTCGAAACAGTAGCAAAACGTAGCTGTTGGAAGCAAAAAATTCTGGTTTTCGGTCAAAATATACATAGAAAAGTCGTAAAATGAAAGATCTTAACACATAGTTAAAGTATAGTAACTTTCGACTAAAAAACATAAAAACGGAAAAGTCGTCGGTGTTATACCGACTGAATATTGGTGACCAAATAAGGAAAGATGCGCGAGAATAAAACGAAAGGAAGCAGAGATGAAGAATCGGTGTTTTGGTGCATCTCGGATGGGAATTAGAATCAAGAAGGGGCATCGGGAAGAGCGAATGTCTTGAGGGGGGTTTGCTGCGCGGAACAGTAACGGATCAAGCGAGACGAGAGTGAGGGCAGAGAGTTCTAGAGCCGTCCTTTCGCCAGCTGATTTGGCCCCCTGACACAGGAAAGGTGCGGCCAGAGGCTCGGGTCGATTTGCAGCCCAAGAAAACACAAGCCAACTGGACGGTGGGTGAGTCGCTATAGCGAGCACCTAAAAATGGCGAAGCTTTCCGATTCACGCGGACTGACCCACAGCAGAGATCAAGACACGGCGCGGTGAACGCGACGAAACGCGCGACGCGTAGAGAAACATGAAAGAGCAGGGGTACCCACGGTGCGATATTACGAGCGAGGTCAGTCGAGCTGCCCCACCATCCCCTGACCTCCATTCGAACACACCTTGCCCCCCCCAACCAAACCCTTCTGTATGCATAATTAAACGTCTTTTTGTTTAAGAGTATCCTTTTTCCCTTGAATCTTTACGTTTCCACATGATACGTCATAGTAAAAGAAAGGTTCAGCAAAAGTTTTAAATTTTAATTAAAAAAGATTAAATTTCTACCCTGATTTTAAAGATTGTAAGACAAAATAATTCCCAAAAACAGCAAATTAAGCGAACTCTGGAAAAGACGACCCACCAGAAGCCAGAATGATGTGCAGTCGAAAACAAATAATGGCATAACTTTTAACATGCAAGTATATATGATGTTTCCTCTGGTTACTGGCAGTAGCCGAAGGACCGGCGGGCGGGGCACAGCCCGGCAAATACCATAAATCCTAAACAAAACAAAAACTTGTAAAGCTATTCATAAGGAAATTAGAAACAACCTCCTTCATCCATCATCGACAGGCTTCCAGATTAATAGGTAAACAGACAATTAATCTCTAAAAACGAATGTTATGAATGAACAAACTAGATACTTGTATGCATAATACTAAGGTTGAACCAAAAATGTGGATAAAAAGCACCGTACTCCCCGTTCCCGTTATGTTATGGGAATTGGCCCGTACAAAAATGGCCGGAAATTTAAGAAACACATGCATGTAAACATTGAGTTCTGTTACATCACGGTTGAATAGTCATAAATTAATCCTAGCTTACTTTAAGCGTCGTTATTTTGCACGCAGTGACTCATTTTCTCAATTCTTATTATTGGTCAAATGGTTCCCGACACGAAAACATTTTGTGGCATTCCGAACCAAAGAGAGAATTTGGAGAAAATAATTTTGGAAAAAGGTTGCTTTCACAAAATGTATTGTCTACAGTTTTTGTTACCTGTTTTGCTAATACCGAAGCCCATAATTCACCCCACCTTTCTCATAGATCATGCTTTGTTCTTATGGTTCTACATCATCGGCTTCATCATAAGCAAAAGGTAAGTGTTATCTTAATTTGGTTGAGTTTTTAGACCGTGCCACGTTTGTTTACTCCTCTTCTTCGTCGCTGCCTTCTTCTTGTGTTATAGTGACATGGATAACTGTAGTTTATGGCCGTTGTGTTCAGCTAGAGCAGAATATTGAGGTACAGTTCGTGTTCATCAACAAGTGCGGGTTATACATACGATGTACAGCAGGTATTAAACAGTTTTCAGTTTGCTAATTGTATTTCACATAATTTTTTAACTTAAATACAGTAAAATCTATTTGATGAATGGTTAAAATTGTTTTTATGCTTTTGAATTACCTGCCATTGATCTTATTATAGGTCTAGTAGCCGTTTATGTGTTATGTTATAAGTGCAAAGTTAATTGATTTGGTAGTGTTTTTGCTTTCTTTAAAATCATAAGATGTTTTTTAAAATTGAATCGGAATCAATCATCATTACTTTATATTCAAATAACATTATGAAAGCTCCATGATATCTTTTATACATACAAATACAATGTTATATCTTGTGTTTAGACCCAGTATTGGTTTTCGTTCAACATAGCTGCTGATGTTTTCTTTAGTCGTGAGTTGTCTTCCCCAGCTTTGGCTATGGCAGATAACGCTGTTGATTTGTAAGCTGGTCCAAAAGGAGGTTTTTTGGGTGGGGATTCTTCTTCAAATGTGGTTAGTTTTCTAGTCGGAGTGTCATCTCGGGTGGTATATTTGGGTGGAGTTGTTTTTCGTTGATCTACATAAACTGTTTGGCCAAGAAGGTCGTTTCCAGGCCTTGCAGGACCAGGTTTTAAGATTTCTGATCCTTTTTTGAGTTTGGGATTGTCCTCGTCAATCTCTGGAAGTTCTCTGATGCCAATGTTAGGGATGGCATCTCCACTGATTATACTCTTTCTCTTTTGGGCTTCTGGTTCTCCTCCTTTTCGACAGAGTAAAAAGCCAACTACTCCAATTACTATAGCCAGTAATATTATGACAGGGAAACGGTAGTTCAGGTCCACTTGTGATGTTGTGTTAGGTTTGTCGACTTTCGGAGTTTTGACGAGGATTTTGCCGCCAGGGGAGTTTGACGACTGGTCGAATTGGCCGATAAAGTCGGTGATTTTCACCGACCAATTGAATCTGGCTGGTTGGACGTCATCTGACCGTAACTCTAGCAGTATGACGTCTTCCAGTGGTCCATCAATCTCATCTGTACGGTAGAAGAGTCTGCCTTCATTAATATTACTTTGAGTGAAGAATGTTATCGTATGATTGGTCCTCGGATACAAAAAGAAGTTCCCGTACCTTGGTGGCTCAACCACAATATATCTGGGCGACTTTCCTTTTAACGTTGATGCATTCAAGTTAATGTCAGCTACTTGGTTGACACTCATTGGAGTCACTTGAAGTTCCTGAACGTTTAGGTCGGGTTTTACAACGATTCTACAAACTTTTGTCATTAACTCGACTTCATCGTTGCTCAACGTGAATCTGAATGAGTCTCCAAAGGCATTCATGTTTAGTTGGGCATACAGAATGTCACCGTCATCAATATTCTTCTGTGTGAAGACTGTAGCAGCAGTTTCTCCGGCTACCCAGTAAACGGATCCATTCTTTGGAGCTTCTGTTATATTGTAGATGATTCTGGAGCTTGGGACGTTGGAGACTGCTCCGAGATGTTTGCTAAAAAGGGTTAATAACAAAATTTAATTGGAGTTGAATTTTGGTGGTCTTTGTATACTTACTACATATTAAAGTTGCATACAAAGCTGGATACTTACTTGTTTAATACCACATAAGTCTTTCCCTGAACATACGATACTTCAGTATGGTTAAACAACTCTAGTGCCAGTGGTTCTATCTCGATCACGATGACTTTAGTAAAAGTGCCAATCTGTAACATCATGACATCAAACTTGTCATCGGCCGAAAGTGGCGAATGCTCTAGACTGACTGATCCACTATTGATCTGTTCCTGACTAAACGTATCTGATTGTTTCGAACCGTTGATCTTGAGTTTTACTCCATTGGAAGGCTGTTGGATTACTGTATATTGTGGGTCATTTTGAGGAGTAATAACATCGTGAGCTGAATAAGCTTCTTCTTTTAACCTTGCTGATCCTCCAGACAATATTGTGATACGGGATTCAAAGTGCTTCAGCTGAAGTTGAAACGGTTATTGTAATATTGATGTATGTGATTCATTTTACAATATAATATCTTAACGTATTTTGTGAAAAAAATCTTATTTTACATTATTTTTGAAGATACTTACTTGAACCACGTACTCCATCCTCTTCTCCACCCTCACATCCAACTTGATCTTCAATTTGTCCATCTTTTTATACCGTTCTCTCTGTCCGTACACGCTGAGTACGATCTCGTCTGCTCCGATCTTCGAATTGTGTTTGTACATGACATATCTACCGGTATGTAGTTGATGTGCTGTAAACTCTCCTTCCGTTTCGGCTTCTTCATCTTGTTCATGGTGTGGATTCTTGAGTATCTCCAACGTTCCTAACAGCGGAGAACGTTCCACTTCTATCAAAAGAACGTCGTTACAGTAGCTTTCCAGCTTCTCCAGATTCAGATGCCGTTTACTGAGCATCATTTCGCTTTCCTGAGTGATGTTAACATAGTCCTTCTCTAAAAATAAGTCCAGTTCTGGTTCTTGTAGGTATGAGTACGATACGAGTATCTTGAATCTGAATTCATTTGCTCGTGGGATTCCGGCAGATTCTGTAAGGTTCCCTTTTGGATACACAACGAAGCTGAAGTAGTCACGGTTGGCCCACAGACCTAGTTCGGCCGAATGGGACTGATAGTACAGGCGGTCTTCATCAACATCGGCTTGAGTGAAGTACTCGACCGGTCGATTCAGGTCTTTTATCATTAGCCGACCAAGGGATGGGATTCTGGTGATATGATACATCACTTTCTCTGATGGGACCTGCAATATTTAGTTTTAGATATTCTAGTTATTAGATTTTGGGATTTGATAAGGATATCTATGTTAATATCAGAACTGAATTTCTTGCTTAGTATTAAGAGATAGTTTGTAAAGATATAAGTAACTTACATTAAGAATCCTAGCCTTCAGTACTTCTGGCCCGATGAGAACTTTCTGTCCCGGTGCCACGTTTAGTCTAGCGTTGTTCTCCAGATGCACTTCTGACCGTGTATTCCGACTCACGGTAAACCACTCTGGCTTACTCTGATGTAGACCGTCAGTCAGAAGAAATGCGAATCCGTTCTTGTCTTGCTCGTGCTCACTCACCACGAACACCACCTCCTTGTTGTTGACCTGTTCCTGAGTGAAGGACGATAAGGATTCATTCCGACTTCTGACTGAAGCTACGATCCCTCCAGTCGGCTGCCAGATCAGGTACTTGAGTTGGTCTGGCTGAGTGTCAGAGTCTGCTGCATGGAGATGTCTGGATGTGATCACGGCTTCGGAATCCGTGGTTTGCAGTGGTTCGTTGCGTAGCAGGTCCGGTTTCTGTATGTTGTCGGCCTCGATGTTGATGTAGATGGTGGCTGGACTGCTACAGCTGGCTTTGCAGGCGGTCAAGGTGATGGAGGTTTGGGTGGGGTAGGTCTTGGAGTTGGTCGCAGTACCCGTACTGGCCGTGAACACCACTCTGCCTGACCGTAGCTGATTCTGAGTGAACGATGGGTTGAGAACGTTGAGGTCACGGCTCTCGACTAACAATCGACCGACTTTCGAAGTTTGAACCACTTCATACCGTATGTTCTCGTCGTTCTCGTAGGCAGAGTTGGGGATTAAGGCTCGGATGTGGCTGTTGTTGATAGTCACACTCTCTCCCCACGGCAGTGAAACGTTCTTTAGGACTATTAGGGCTGGCTAAAATGACATAGTTTATTATAACAGACGTCAAAGGCATATTTAGGTAATGATTGAAAGCTTATACGGTAGTTAACTTACTGAAAAATAATTTAAATTGTTTATATATTCACTGTATTAGTTATTTGGAAACCCACCCTAGAGCTATCGACGATACTAAACTCCACTCCAAACGGTCCTACAGTAAGCGTGTTGTCTACTGTAATATTGAAAGACACGGAGTCGGTCTCGGCCCTGTTCAAGACGCCATTGTTGACATAGTTTATGAGTTCGTTCTGTAGGCCTTTCCTGTAGAAGTGGTCGATATCTACAGAAATGGTCTCAGCCTTGTCAGCCGACTGAATCTTGGACACTAATCGACCAGAAGCCGGACTTCTGTCTGCCACGATGAACGACTTCAGTCCAGCTGGCTCAAAGTCAAGTATGTTGGTATCTAGAGCGAACACAGCGCCTAAGGGTAATGTAATCTTATCCATCAGGTGGACCTGGAACGGTCGTTGACCTGAGGTCGGTTCGACGATCAAACTGAAGTCAAGAGACAGAGGACCTCCTTCCACCTTCATCTTCACTATACCAGGCTCCAAGCGTGGCACGAAGAAGATACGATTCTCCCACACATCGTGCTGTGAGAATTGGAACGTTGTACTCAACGTGCCGTCTTTCAGAATCTTAAATGGATTCTGCCCTTGGTCTACGTAGAGATACTGTAGTGATAACGGGTCAATGTTGAGGTTAGAATCGGTCCATAAGTTCGTAGTACTTAATAGTATCACCGACCTCTGACTTATTGGAGGTACGGTAGGCACTTTCGCGTACAGTATCCTCAAGAATGGCTTCTTCTCAGCCACAAATCTTACTTTACTCTCGACTTCGAACTTGTCATCGGCCACGATGTAGTCTGGTTGAGTCTCCAACTTGAGAGAGACGTGACGCAGAATCAGTGACTGTGTAGCCAGCTCATGATTCGTGAAGTTTCTGACCGGAATCTCGGGGAAATTCCGTTTCGAAATTGTGAATTCTCTGAATAGACTCGGAAAGAAGAAGTGTAGCGTCGTTCTGGAGGAATCTGGATCCACCCACGGTAGCAAGGCCGGATACAGAATCCTCTCTCCACCTTCGAGTACATGGATCGTGAGGGTGTTGTTACTGTAGGGACCGTTCAGTCGAGGCTTCTGACTGTTTAGAGGTATTATTCTGATACTCAGCCAAAACGAGAATCTGGTACTCGGCGTCTGAAGGCTTTCGGCTTGGATGAAGACTCGATCTGTCAGGGATTTGAAGCCAGAGTGTTCGTAGCTTAACCTGAAGTCATTTTCTTAACTTTATCAGTTTTTTTCTAATTTTTGAAGCATGCTATGACTATTTTGTTATAGTAAAACTGTAAAATAATCTACTGTAGGATGTAGTCCAAGTGCTAAAAGGTAAAACAATAAAAAAATTAGCCTTACTTCTTATTGATTATATCTAGGGAAGTAAAGGCATCATTTCTGTCCAGAATCTCGCGAATCCCAAACCGATTAAGTACTACAAGATTTCCGTGGAACGGTACGATGGTTACGGTAAACTTAAAGTTCTTTTCGTCTGGAGTCTCTAGCCATAAAGTGCCATTTGTGATCTGAAAGTAAAACCATTACAAGGATAATATTGTCGGTGGACTACCTTACAAATGATTGTTAACTTCGTTAAACCTCATTAAAATGACGTTTTTGCTTGTAGATTAGTTAAAAGAGAATGGTGTATTTTTCCTCCCCACCCACCCCCTTAACACCTGCCCTGACCCATCATTACCTTCTGTTTCCTGCCCTCATTAACCACCAAAGTCCTGTTAATCAATGTCAACGAGTTCTCTCCAGGCAGGAAAGTAATGTCACATCGTAGTAACTCTGTAGTCGTCGTGGGCGTCAGAATGCGGAACATGAAGAAGTCGTTGAGGATGTTGTACTGGACGTAGTTCAACTTGTAGGTGATGGTCTGTTGGTCCAGATGGTACTGTGTAAAGTTGGAAGCAAGCCCGATTCGTCGCATCTTCATACTGGCAACTTGTCGCGACAACATACCGTACTTGGGGGGCTCTACGATATGATACACAAAGGCATCTGGCTGGATTAGCTCGGGGAAGGAGACGGCCATTAAGTTGCTACGGGACAAGACCACCTCTTCCGTGTTGTTTAGGACTATTGGCTCTTGGTAGTACACTTTGACACTGATCGGGAACATGTCAATAGCGAACTCGTACAGCTCGCTTTGTTGGTTACCGTAGGACACCTGGAATATTGTAACTTTAAAAACATTTATATATTATCAAGGAAATATTTAAAATTACTTTAGGCTTAAATAGGCTTCAAGCAAAGTATAACTTATCAAAACATATATCAAGGTACTTACCCTAAAGGCAAAGCTGTCTCGAGCCGGTCGATTGTCGGAAGAATGTCTGAACCTGACCTTCATCTTGTCGATGTCATTTTGAGTGAACTGTGAACACAACTGAAACTCTTCCAACCCTCCAGTAGGCAGCGGCTTCAGACATTCTACTACTCCAAACTCAGGGTTGTCGACTACAGTATACCCGACGACGACAGGGAAATTGGCTTCGGCAGTCAGATTCTCAGATGATATTAGTCTAGCCGAACGGAACGATAAACGCAGACCAGTGTTAGTAGTTAGCCGAAATTGTAAAACAGAAGATCGTGTCTTTAGGACAACGGTTTTGGCAACAGGATCACGTGTAGCCAGCTTCAGAAGGCCTCGCTCGTCTTCGGCGTTTATGTAAACCTAAAGTAGATGGGCAATTAAAAGGCTACAATATGGTTTAAGAAAAGACAACACCTAAAACACCTAAAATCAAGCAAAAAACCGGAATCTTACCGATCCACGTAGAAACTCGGCCAATGTGAACTGTTTGATGGAGTTGCCATCGTTGTCACTCAAATGGGCATTCCTTTCCTCAACCACATCAATCCACACCTTGTCCGTGGCTGAATCCAGATCCCAGATCTTGAGATACTTCTCGGTGAGCACGGTCTTCGAAGATGGCGTCACGATGATGTTGTCGGCTTCTTTTGTGACTTCTATTTCCGTAGGATCGTCGTCTGGGATTATATTGACAACCACAGCCAATACTTTCTTTTCTGAACTCGCCTCCGCCGTCTGAACCCAGACATTGACTTCGAACGAGTCATCTGTGTTCTCTGAGCCATCGTTCACGTACTTCAGGGTCTGGTTGATAATGTCTTCGTAGGTAAAGTTGCCTACAGATACGTTTCCCATCTTCAAATCACCAAAGGCCGGTTTGTGTAGCACTTCGAAGACAATTTCAGAGTACTTCAAGTCGAAACGTCGATGGTCTGGGAAGATGTAGATGTTCTTCCACAGTATCTTAGCTTCAGATCCTTCCAGGCATCTCACTGGTTCACCAATATAAGCTGGTTGAATGTTATTCGAAAACGGTTTTACTTTGCCAACATTCGTTTTGTCATCCTTTTTCGCATTTTTTAACCTGTCAAGTAAGGTATTGTAATTTGGGTAGTTTTACATCTTGTTCTGATTGATCTCATATTACAGTATATATTATTAAATGCATAAGATTCATGGTCATTACAAAATTGTCAACGCCTACCTACACCACTTGTCCAGAACTTTGTTCGGACCCAGTGTGATGTTGTGAATACAGCCATAAAAAAGTTCGTCACTCCGGTCATCTGGTCCAATTAAGATCTCTGAGAAACGCTAGGTTAATAAAACAGCCCATTGGTCAATTTATATTCCCCATGTGTGGCCCAATTAGCTACTTATCGTGTGAAAACTCACTGTTTAGGCCATGATTCGTACAAAACGAAGGTGAAGCTAGTATTCGTTCAGCATCATCAATACTCAATTTAAAACTAAAGCCATGCTGACAATTGGCAGACAACACGAACCCGCCCTTCACCGTCCACAAACCTGTTGAACCGGTAAAGGGGAGATTATCGACCACCATGGCATTGCCTCGCAAACTAATGGATATGTTTCGATTGGGCGATACCAGGATAAAGGGAGTCTGTACATCTTCTTCGACCAACGATGATGGGTCTTCAGGCTCGACGTGAACCCGCAACGTGGAGATGAGGAAGGAGCTCGTTAAGTGTAACAATAAAGGCGATTGAAGCAACATTTTGAATAGATTAAGCTCATTAAGAAGTTAGTAAAAGATGAAAAACGATCTTATGAATGAAACCAAAAGACAAATGGCCGACTTTGACCGATCGGAAGGCGGCCTTTCAATCTCTAAATGAGCCAAAACGACCATTCGCTCCCGAACCTGATAATCTCCGCGAATTCACTCCGAAGAAATGTGACAAGGAATGTCCGATAGATGTCAATGTTTACAAACCAAAAATGCCTAGTAAACACTTGCTCGAATAAAAAGCGGCCGAAACGTAAATATTTCAACTTTATAAAAAACCGCAAATCAACAATACATGAACAACAAAAATTAAACTCGGCGGTTGGACTGCTTGACTTCAACGTTGGCGATGGCCAAGTTCTGAAAGTAAATCAAATAAGTATCGATCAACAAAACGAGTTGTACTTTAACTACGTTACAATTGAATAAGAAGTAAATTTTAAAGTAATAAAAGATAAGATACAAAATTTTTATTCTACATTACTAAAAAAACTAAGGATATAAATATTTAGAGGTTCTAACCCTTATTACAGGTATTTTTCTTGGCCTTCGAAAAAACGTGTAGATAAATAAAAATTTTAGAAATAAGCCTTACAAACTACATAAAAAATAAGACAAGTTTTATAAACTAAATCATTTTAAAAGTTTAAATAAGAGAAAATACAAGAAAAGACATTTACCGTGAAACTCCTGTATAAAGGAAAATTTAAAAAACCCAATGCAGTACTTTATACAGGAGTTCCCCTGTAGTTCCTAATTCTGATAATCCGACAAATCTTAAATAACTAAACAAGCAAAAAACATACCAAACGATCCAACATGTTCTTGGTGTCTTGGTCAATGTAAAGAGTTCCAACGCTCTCTGGGTCGACAGCAGATACCTCTGGCATGTAGTTGTCACGACGTTCACGCTCTTCCTCTTGCAACTTGATGGAGATTCCTCTGACTGGACCCTTCTCAATACGCTTCATCAAATGGGTAACAAAACTAAAATCAAAAATTGTTATAAAAACAGTATGAGCAACATAAAATTCAGCATATACAGTTGAATAACCCAACACTATAAACTGCTCCAATAAGAAAACAAATGTGTCTAAAACAACAACAATATAAAAGAATCCTTACCCAGCAATTTGGTTGCGCATTCTCTTTGATGGAATAACGGCAACTTCTTCACAGAGACGCTTGTTTGTGTGGAAGTCATGAGTAAGGTACGTGTAGTACTTCTCGATGATCACTCTTGAAGCCTTCTTGACAGTTTTGGTACGAACACCTCCCATGTTTTAGTCCGTGTAACCTGAAGAAAAACAAGAAATTATAAATGGATATAAAACAACTAAAACATAGACGATACAAAATTAAAACGGGAATAAAATAACCTATAAATAAAACGGCAATATTAACCATAAAACTTGTGTTAAAACATTTTACGCAAAACAACAAAAAGTATTTTATAAAATCAGAATTCTCTCATTTTTGCGGACGAATCACCGTATTCTCTGTCTTTTCTCTTCTAAAAATCCTAACACGAAGCCTATCCAGGGACTTCGTGGTGAGACGCAGTTACCTCACAGATGTTACTAAAAATTAATTTAAAAAATAATTTTTTTCGTAATTAATTGTAAGCGTAAATTTGAAAAAAATTAAAAACATAATTTATTTATTTATCTACATAAAAAATTAACAAAACACAAAATTTTAAAATTTCATGGATTTCAAAAATTTATTATATTCGGTTTAACAAGTTTTTATTACAAAACTTGGAGGAATAATTGAAAACTAAATATTGTAGAATGTCATTGTTGTTTGTGTAAAGAAGAGATTCCACAAATTTTTGTTTTTAAGAATGATTTAGTGTGGATTGTACCGTATTTCAATGTTAAGGACTCGTATTATCTACACCTAAAGCAATAGACTTGAGATATCACTGTATCTTTTTTTCAACTTTCAAAACATCACATTTTAAAGTTTCAAAAAGAAACAAATTTGTACAAAACGTGACAAGATTAGTAGAACAGTACATTTCTGACGGAAAGGTCGAATAAAGCACGGAGTAAAGAGATCAGTAATTGTACTAACTGATGTTTATTCACTGGTCATGGGCATGAATAACAACACTATTCTTATCCGTCTCCCAGAGTTCCACTTTTGAGAGGAGTTGAGCACAGCTCATTACCTTCTGTAAACTTGTCATAATGTAGTAGGCCAGGTTCTCACTAGTCGAAACACGGGTTCTGAAAGAAAGTTTAATATAATTTGTGATTTAAAGAATTTTTTAAGTATTTATTGTAAAACATATTATACTCCATTAGTAAAACTTCTGTTTAATACATATGTAGAAGCATTTAAAAAGAATTTCACAAGTAATACTGTAAAGATAAACACGAAAAACATAAAAACTTACTTGAAAAAAGGCACATCTTGGTCGATATTCTTATGATCCAAAGTGTCGATCACCAACTTCATCTCCTCCTTCAAGTCTTTCATGTTATAGACCATCCCAGTGTGGTTGTTAATAGGACCTTTGAGGTATACCTTTACTCTGTAATTGTGACCATGTCCATTTTTACCATTACATTTATCAAAAATCTGGACATTTTGTTTGGCACTCATATACGGGTTGTGCAGTCGATGGCTCGCACTGAATGATTCTTCACGGACTAGTTCACAAATGATCGGCTTTAGTCTGTCTTCAGGCAAGATAAGTGGTAGTACTCTGGGACGCCCTTTCGGCTCGGTATTCAGATCACGTTGATCGTGAACCAACGCAGAATCCTCGATCTGAAAGTCCAAAGCGACCGCACGTTCTCTCAGGGGACTGTTGATGGTGATACTGGTCCGAGGAGTTTGTGGTGTGGTAACTTTGGCTCTCTTGGCATCACCATCCTTAACCTTTGACGGGGCTTCTCTCTTCTGGCCTACTCCTATGGACACTTTCTTCTGTGAGTTTCCTGCACTTTCCTTCTTGTTGGCTACATTTATGTCCTTCTTCTGTGTTATACTGTCTGATTTCTTCTTGGCTACATTGTTTTTATTCTTTTGTGCCATATTTGATTCCCTTTTCTTTAATTCTGGTTTTTCCTTAGTTTCCACAGCGGTGGACAGAGTTGATTTTGCAGATTCAGGGGTGGCAGGCGTCTTGCTTGACCGAGAAGACGCTGGGGAAAAGTAACTAACCCGCTGCCTTACCCGAAGAAACATTCCACTGGAGCCACTCGAGTTGCCAGAATCCTCACTGGTCATGGAGGGAGTGGGGGTGCTCTTGTCTACGTTATCTGAAGAATATAGTCAAATTGAATATGCCCTTACTGTTGTTGACCCACATAATGTCAGTGGTGTTCTGCCTGATTACGGTGTCCTTCCAGATCTTTTTGTCAACTACGGACCTACTACTCATCTACCGCCTTATACTGAAGTTGGAGCACCTGAAATTGCTATGCTTTTAGTGAATAGTACTGTATCATGTCACAATTCTGTAGATTATCAAAGAAGCATATTATAATTAGGCACTTTCACGACCCTCACACATTATATTTACATTCACATAGCGGTGCGCAACATTGTAATTAACTCGAGCGGAATAAAGGCGTTTAAGTAGGCCCAATAGACTAATCGGAGGGGATTGCGCAACAAACGACTCCAGAATGATTTGTAATTAAAACAACAACAATGTGACATATGGGCAAGACTATAAAAGCCCGATCGGAGACTATAAAAGGCATATCCTCCTAGGCAAACCACTAACACATTAACCATGTCATACTCACAGGTGGATCCTCAAGAGTTCCAGATCTACGGTCTGTTGCACGAAGAGTACGGTAACATCAACAATATCCAGCCTACGTTCTGTCCCGCCAATTATCGACTGAAAGAAGACCGAAAGTAAGTTAGTTATACATATTGAATGAAGCTCATCTTTTATTTTTTTCTTCTAAAATTGACTTTAGAAACACATCTGCATATGCACTGTTCTTCAAAGAGAACCAAGGCCGAGTAAGGATGCTCTACCCGGAGGCATCGTTCGGAGAAATCTCTAAAATCGTCGCTTTTCAATGGGAATCTATGGGGAGTTACCACAAAAAGGTAGGTATATTCTAGTCAGTATTACAATAGTACTAAAGTAGTATACAACTTAGCAATCCACAGAAACTTTTTTTATGTCAATCACCCCCTTCCTATACTAAACTTACCCGCCCTGTCGTATCACAGCACCTATAGCTATTGATCTTCTGTGGATTTTTGAAACATATAGTAAAAAGTTGTACTCTTGCAAAAACAATCTATTCTTACTCTAGATAACTATCTGAGTATTTGTAATTTAGATGTACAGAGACCGAGTTAAAGACGAAAGGAAACAAAAACTTCTGGCAAAAGCGATGGAGAAGGCCATGAAGTTGTGCCAGAAGTAATGTACGATAGAACTACACAATATAACAGTCAAATTATATGCAGAAATAAACATACTAGCTGCCAATAAACTTATAAGATTTATACATTAAGAGAGGCGGATAAAAATAAAGCGTTGAACGTTATGCAAATGAGCGCGAATTTGAAAATTCGAAACTTCTAAAGCAAATTAAGTGAAAATTTACGATTTCTTAGACGTGAAAAAATTGAAATTAGAAGTTATGTTAAAAATCATTACAACTGTGACATATCACACACGTCGTTGCTTCTTATCCTTATCAAATATGTTGAATTAACCTTAAAAAATGAAACTCACAAGATTTTAAAACAAACAACAAAAACCTATCAAAATCTGAACACCTTGCTCTAGAAAGACAATAAACATCCATTTTTACCATAGATATTTCAATTGCGCGTTAAAGAATGTAAAAAAAGACGGCGTTCCCGGATAAACTCTGAAAAATACCAATACCTCCAAAAGTCAATGAAATGTATGTAAAACCTCAAAAGAATAGAAAAGAAACAAAAATAAGAATATTAAATGACAGTGTAACAAAAAAACAATATGAAAAGTACTTGAAAACGCTCTGTTTGATCTTTTGTTAGGTTTTCTTCCACTCGGTCCAGACGAAAAAAACTTGACACGTTTTCTGGATGTGTTAACTCTCTCTCAAATATTGCTCATGCTTTTTTAGAAAACGTAGTTTTGACAATTCTTAGCAAAAATAACACGGTAAATTACTGAATTTTTTTAAATTTTGTCTTGAAGCTTTACGGTTGGATTAAGTTTATTGTTTTATAGTTTTTTTTTGTTAAATTAACAATAATTTTGTCAAAAAATCAAGGTAATTAAACGATTTTTGTTAAAAGCGCTGATTTTGCTAATAAATTGATGTCACACGTTTTTGACTTCATTAAACCTTTTTTATGTTTCAGTACGAATGGCCAATCTTCAAGAAGTAAGGCTGTATGAGAATCACACGGAACGAGAAAATGTAGATAACATGAGCGAGTTGTATGCCGTCTTGAATGCTTTGGAGTGTCTGGAGAAGGTCTTCAGTCGAGATTACATTTTGCCAAATGAGTACACTGCCGAATGTTCAAAGTTGTTAACCCAATATAAAGTAAGTTCATGTTCTGAGTTTTTGGAGTTTTAGGTACAGTTGAGTGTGCACGACTGATTAATCGTTTTGCTGATTGATTAACGTGTCATTTACTTTTAACTATATTGTATTTGATAATTTGATGTTTTTTATTAATTTTCTTTTATGTTAAATTTACAAAATTTTTATATTTTGTGACATTTAGGTAACAATCAGACTTCTCCACGGAATGAGTGTTGAGGATTTTGTGAGAAAGTACAGAATAAACTGCCCGGCTGCTTTAGAGAGGATCAAAGAGGACCGGCCGATCACGGTGAAGGACGATCGAGGAAATGTGTTGAAGAATATCGCTGGAATCGTCGAGGTATTCATCACCTTGATGGATCAGTTGAAACTAAACATTCGGAGTGTGGATGAACTGTTCCCCAATTTGGCCGAATTATACAACGCTCTGAACACGATGAGTTCCCTTCCTGATAACATCGGTATAAAACAGAAGATCAAAAGCTGGTGAGTTTAAGTTTTAATGGTTAAAGTACGGTAGTAGTCAAAGTTTATTTATTAACTTTTGTTTGTCAGGTTTTAAGAAAACTTACTCATTGTTAGAATAATTAATGTTTGAAGTTGCTTTTGTAAAATCGGTTATAATATTTATTGGTATTTAAAATCTGACGTATTAGGCATGATAAGTTGTCGTCGATGACTGCCAGCGACGAGATCTCGGAGGAGGAAGCCCGTCAGATGGTGTTCGAGGTGGAATCCGCTTACAACGACTTCAACCGCCATTTGCGCAATACTTAAGTGCCGAACAGATGTGTATTACTTTATGTTGTATTTATACTATTAGTCATTCCTGTTTATAGCTCATAAATTGAATGTAAATAAGGGAACAGTCGTAAAGTATGTTACAGATAGAGAGATGGCAGTTATGTGAGTATTCCCTATGAAACAAAGCGAACATTCTGTGGAATTAATGCTTACAGAGAAGGACGTGGAGAAGAGATCGTGGAGAAAGAGAGAGGAACAGTTTCCTAGATGAGATCCTTGAATATTATTACCTAGCTGAAGATGATCTCGTACCGGCACGGTGTGTCCGACACGTACAAACGCTGGTAGTTGATGCCCCAGCCCACGCCAATGCTGATGGTGAGGAAGGACACGCCTTGGGCAGGGGAATCTGCCGTTAGCAACGTGCTTTCATCATCCTGGGCTTCTGTGTTCTTACGGTGCACCCGGATACAGTAGCCCGGCGACAGGCGCCGGATCGTGTCCGACGACGATTTCATGCTGTGCAGGGACTGTGATACGCACATGAAGATGGGTCGTTCACCGCTGAAATCATTTTTAGTTGAGATTAATCACAGTAGAGATTAGTTTGGGTACAAGTTTATCAATTTTTACTACAAGTCATTCCTTGATGCCAACTTTAAGACCTATGTAGCAGTTGAAGATGTTACCTGTTGTATAGCCATATGTCTTCAAAGTTTTCGACCTCGGACTGCTTTAGTAAGGCGAACGACGCGTGATTATCTACATCCCAGTTGCATTTGACATCTTGTCCGTCGAATACGGTACCAGCCAATTTACCTACAGCCACGAAATCTCCCACCAATGGTATCATATCACCCACGCGTTCTTTCCGTTCCCACCGCGCCATCCGTCCCCATGCTGAAAAGTAAGGGTAATTTAGTTTATAATACCATATAGTATGTTATATAGTACCATATAAGCCTTGTCTGACGTTGTAACGTTATATAAGCGTATATACATGTGGGTATACTCACCTACGGCCTGAGAATGTATGCTAGTCAAGTGATTGAGTAATGTGGGGGAGTCGGGGAGGTTGTTGTTGCCTGTACTGTCAGGACTGCCGGGCGGTAAGGGAGGGGGGCGGGAGAGGGGGGATCGAGTCGGTATCACTTTTGACTTGGAAGTCGGCCCTAACGTGTCCTATCGACCGAGCCGCCTTCGCCGTCATCTCTTCGCCGAATCCTGTGTCTGATGCTAAAATACGATGGTTAAGATAAAAATAAGATAGTCTACAGTAGAATATAATGTAAAAGACCATGATTTTATTTTTTTATAGAGTAAAATAAAAGTATATAAATGTTTGTTTTATTCATTTTATGCCTAAATTTATAATAGTGGTATAAAGGACTTACCTGTCATTTCAGCTAGTCGACCACCGCCATTGGCTACGATACCCGAAATGTTTTTATCCTCAGACGTTGTAGACGAAAATTCAGCTAAAATTACACCATAATTTGAACAGAAATGAGTTATTTTTAGCAGTAAAACAAGATTTAGGTAACAAGTTTAGTAAAAGTCAAAATAAATGTTAAAAAGTAACTACTATAACATAGCGATTACTTTTAACATTTCCCTGTACGATAGTTTCTTTGTTTGTTACCTAAAATATTCTAATACCCTTTCAAAAAACTTACGTCTTATCCAGAGCCCGTAATGGAAGGGGTTGCAGCAAGATACGGTGGCGTTGTTGATGGTAACCCTGCCGAACCGACACCAGGGTAGGGGGTCGAGTCGGTGTAGCGCCGCATCCACCTGAAGGTCCTTCCATCGCCACATCTTGCAACAGAGGTAAGGCATGGACATGGGGCGGTCGATCTGAGGGATCAGCCCGCGTTCTTGGAATTCACCCGTGTTACCGATTAAGTTCATGTTGTTGATGTCCATCGAAGGGCCGGTGCGGGTCGGGCGCGACGATTGGGGCGGCGGTGGGGGAGGGGGAAGCGCCGGCTCCAACGCCGAATTCTGATTGAAGTCCTCACGTCGGCGTCTGAAAATATGAGATTTGGAATAATTTTTCAAGAATTTGCATGTTGTTTATCATGAACTTAAGGCCTATGCATCATATTTTTTAAAACTTTTAAATGTGCCATTTCTTATCGTACCCGGAACGCGACGAACGATGTGAGTTGATCTGAGAGCCTTGCCGATGCGGCGACAGATGGTTGGGCTGATGATGGCGGTGGGTGGTGGGGATACGAGCTATATGATTGCTGCCCACCGGCACCACCGTCGTGACCATGGTCGTGCCGCCGAGATGGTCCATACGCACAGTGGAGTAGCGTCGCAACCGTGAACTCACGACCGACGCCCGCCGTGCCGTGGAGGGTGGAAGCGGAGCCGGCTCCTCGTCCGAATCCGAGTCCTCCACAATGTCCATCGGGGGACCGGGAGCGCATTGTTTTATGTCCAGACCTCGGGTCTCGATGGCCTGCAAAGTAGCGTGAGTTATGGCGGAGGCAAAAGTGGAAATGGCGTCAAAATTCGAAAGTAAAAATGGCGTAAAATATGGGTAATATTGGGAATATTAACAGTGTTAGTTGTCTATCATTATATATACAAAAGGAACAAGTTAACAAAAAAATGAAAAAAGTAGATCTCTATAACAATATATCTAAGCAATCATAGTATAGTTACCTTTTTGAGCACGTCCAAATCCTCGGTGTCGAAGCCCCGCATCAGGTTCATGAAGCGGCGTTTGGCCTTGCGTTCGTCGGCGGTGACCAGAAGCCGGTGCCGCCAGAGGATCTCGATGTAGCGTCGGCGATCAGTGAGCAGACATAACAGACCGCAGTCAAAGGGCATGGCCAGCCGGCGGGGCGGTGTTGGTGGGGGGTTGGGCGGGGTAAGCACTCCGCCACGCCGCCATTCACCTCCGCGCCCGCAGACGGGGTCCGCCGCGCCTTAGCGCAGCCGCCGTCGAGTGTCTCCGATCGGCGGCCGAAGCGGTCGATGAGGTCCAAAACCCAACAACCGACCGCGAGGGAACGTCGAGAGCCGTGCAGCAGGTCACCAGCCGCAGGCACATGCCATCAGGAACGGTAATATGATTTTTCTTCTCTTTCAGTCCAGGCCCAGACCCTCCAGCCAATTGTCGCGGTCTCAGCGTCTCCACCCTGGGCCGTTTATCTACAACAACATGGGTTTGAAAGGAGTGAAGGTGGGGATATGTTTAAGTTTTAATGGCGCGGCAAAGATATTATCCTGGCTAGAATATCAACAAGAAAAACCGAAATTTAACATTATAAAACGATAAAGTAGATATTTAACTATAAAAACATAATATTACTATGGCAATATAATATTATCAATATATAGCAAAACCTCAACATTACGAAAATTCAAAACTATGATGAACATAAGAGGAGTAGACTTGTCAACTTAATACTGGCATGTTTAAACAGAACAAGGCAGTCGCCGAGTATAAACAAACACAAATGCTGCCAAAGGTCAAATCGTACTGGAAATACGTAGTACCAACGTGGCATTTAAACAATATTTTTTGAATTTCAAAACATTTAAAAAGCTATCAAAAAGAGGACGAAAAGTTATAAAATCGGTCAAAAAGTCCATAGAATTAAAATTTTCCATAATTCAAAAGGAAAAAATTAATTTAAAAATTAAAACTTAAAATAAGCCTAAAGAATAAAAAATAGGCTTAAAATAGAATTACAAAACAAACATTATTAAACACTCATTATGACAGTCTCATTATGACAACATCAAATTGCGCGAAAAGCGACGGATTTGAGGCAAATTAAAGCAAGACATCTTCTCCTTTATTCTTATGCCTGAGGGGTTCAAGAGTTAATTGGAGCGGAAAGAGGAGCAGTCAGTCAGGGAAGGAATGCAGGGAGGGGGTAAGGGGGGGGGGAGGCACGTCCAGAAGGTGTCACTAATTAAATGGTGAACGGGCCAGAGATCGCGCGACGGCTAATTGGTTTGCATACGGCGTCGCGGAGACGGCGTCATAACCAAATTAACCGTTTGTGTAGCCACCGTGCGGTCACGGGAAGGGGGGGGGGTTGAACTGCAAACCTTTTTCAGTTAATTTGCATCAGAAGCTTGAGGGTTTAAGGCGGTTTATGGGGTGGATAAGATGAAGAAAGGGTTTTATATTGTCTGTGAGTTATTATACTAGTTTTGAAGGTCTAAAGAGTAAAAAGGTGTTAAGAAAGGCTCTATTAACACTCAAAGTCTGAAAAGTAAGAGGAAAAGTTCAAAAAGCCATTGTTTTTATGCCCTAACCTTTTCGTACGTACTAACACATTGTAAAATATGACTTTTTTAACGCACTTTGTCACACCATTTATACCTAAAGTAATACTTTCTAACACCATTTATACCTAAAACAAGGTTAAACCTCTCCGAACCCTTTTTGGCCGCTCTCCAAAAAAACCCCTGCCCAATAACCTAAAACAATATTATGCAAATTGGGGCCGCTAATTGGCTCTTCCGCTGTTTAACTAGCCATTAAACGGACCGCCAGCGGCATTCCTCGTCTTAAGTTCTTCGAAGCCCTAACACCACCCCCGAAACGCCCTTAGGGACACAAAGAAACGAAAAGAAGCCGGCTTCGGATCCAGAAGACAAATCAGGGATTCTGGCCGTGTTTTGGTGGTCACTCGGGGATGTAGTTACCAGCTATTCACACTTGGCCTAATTGTCACAAAGTCAACAAACAGAGATGACATTTTGTTGGAATAGGGTCATGATGACGATATTTTAGGTGACAAGAGGCATAACTCGATTACTAGGCCATACACGTGGTCAATGTGATAAGAATAAGTTTGTCAAATGTTATTAGCGAGCCGAAAAAAGTCTTGTCGTTTTTAAAAGGAGAAAGCTAGGGAAATTGACGACAAGACTTTTATAATAAAACTTTTAGGCCTATTGCCATTTTAAAGTGTCATAACAATATTGTAAGGTTATATTTAGAAAAAAATAAAATTTTAGGTTTTTTTCCAAAAAATTTTTGTTTTATAAACTTGTTTTAAATGTTTACACAAAAAATTAAAAGTTTAAATTTTTTTAAATTTCGTTTTTTGTCTTTCGTTTCCAAATATTTTATCAAAAATGTCTCTAAAATCCCATGATAATCATGCTAACTCAAAAATGTTACCTAAATCTACCAAAATCTAACATAACCTCACCCACCCTCCCATCATTACCCCGCCCGAACTGACCATTATTTTTTGAGGGGAAAAATGCGGCAAAACGGCCATTTTTGTTGATTTTAACACAAAACCCGTCGGCATGATGAATGGCGCATTGAGTTGTCTCAGCCAGTCCAGGGTCTATCCTACCTTGTCTTTCTTGTTCGGGTGACTGACAGAGAGGCCGGAGAGGGGGGAGAGACCCGGCTCTAATGGCATTCGAAGGGATCTGCTCCCAAAAATCAGGACAAACAAGCCTCATGAAATCCGAAACGAGAAAATAAAGCAATCAAACCGAGACCATCGTCCACGGCACAAACAATAAAAAAATAGAATTAAAATAACGGATAAACACTACTGTAGCCATAAAGAGCATGCTAATCTGGTGGGGCTGATCATCGTTCGCTGCAAATGGCCTTTTTTGTTCATTTTCAGATCAAAATGGCCTTTGTTTACGGGATTTTCTGCCATTTTCTAATAAATACTCTACTGGAATTTGAAAAAAATGAAGAAGGAATGCCAAGCATGTTATACATTCTTCTTTTCAGGCTAGTACAAAATTGATTTTATCAGTCAAACTTGTTTTACAGACTGTTTTTGTCTCAAGCAGCCAAACTTGCCTATAACAATATTTGCTGATCCTTTTTTAAACAAAACTAGCTTTCTCTCAGACCTTGAGACCAATTTCATACCCAAAAGAATCAAAAACACTTGATAGCAACGAAAGCACGATAGTTATGTAGCCAGAAGCAACAGATTACACGACAAGAGTTGGCGTCAAAAAAGAAAAAGTTAGAGAGAAGCGGAGCAGTCGAAGTGCTTGTAAAATTGTTTGGATACTGATAAGAGACACCTTTTGCCAAAATTGGATTCTCTCTTATCACGGCGACTTCGTGGCGCTAAAATATGCTCACTACGGTCGGCTACGGTCTCAGCGACCACACTTTGCGTTAGGCTGGAATCGACTGGTAGGGAAGATGGTAATGGTTAGTAAACCTATGTCACTGGCAAAAATAATCAAGTTATTAAGAAATATTTGCTAAGGAATGGGGAAAAACTGATATTTTGTTATGTCGGCTATATTGTAGTAGGCTTTTTTAGATAAATTACTAGTATTTACCCTAAAATAAAAAAAAAAGACATTTTCTATAATATTAGGTAACAGGTTGATTAAAAAATAAAAAAAGAGTATTTAAAAAATCATTTCTAAAGACTTATTGACCACTAAACCTCACTAAAACAATATCTATTCCAAAAAATAGATCAAACCCATCAAAGTTTGATTAAATTAACTAAAATACCACTGATAATCTCGGAAATAACCTCAGATTGTAATCAAGTCCATCCCAACCCTCTGATCCCCCTTTTTGAGCCAGACTGATACCGCAGCTCAGAATCTGTGAGCCGTGTTCGGAAGTCGGGGGGAAGTGTCAGAAAAAGGTCAAAAAAGGTCAGACAAGGTGGACAGCCATAAAATAGAAAAGCGCCACAGGCATTCATAAATTTAACAGCTTTCGGACCGAAACATTCCGCCCTTCCTCTTCACCCCTGAGGGCAAATGTATAAACCTCGAGGCCGGAGAAAGGTAAATTAATCGCGGCTAATTTTAGATTTGACGTCAGTGTTTGCTTGTCTGGTCAGGTTGAAATCAGATAAGTTCGAAACGTCTGGATAATATTGTAGTAGATGTTTTTGAACTTTGAAGAATGCTCAAATTGACATTATGATAGTGTAAACTGAGATTATGATAGGTTTATAAATAGTATAATTTTAGGTAACAATATGTAACAAATGAAAAAAAATAATCTGACATTTCAGAAAAAGACGTCATAACCTATATTATACATGATAACATATCAATTTACACTATAATAGCCATCTAAAACAATATATTACCCATCAGTGTCTATAAAAAGCCACTCAGACAATAACACAGCCAAAGATGGTGTCAAAACTACTCTGTAACCCCAAATCAACTATACTAACAGCGTCGTATTAGACCCGTAATCCCAAGCAGAAGATGTCAACACCGAACACTGTAATCGTATCATCCTCCCCCGAAGACCAGAAGTCGTGTCAAGTTCCGACTTGAAGCCAAACAAGGCCAGAATCAAAACCGGATTCAGGAAAAAGGACCCCACAACATAAGCCCATGTACATACGACCATGTACATACCAAGATTCGGGGATTTGTGGAGTCGCGTGCGTGAAACTCCCAGCGGGCCATCGGGCCACCAGTCGGAAATCGTGGCGTCTGAAGCCCGCGGATCCTCGGCTGGAATGGCGACGGGTTTAGGACTCTAACCAATATGACCCCCCAGGGCTTGTTCCAATCAATACGTTTTAAGCGCCTATCTGCTTCTCAAATTAATAACTTGTTAACCTTTCGAACTGTTTTACTGCGAGGTTACTGTAAATTACACCTTTAAAATTTATCAAAAAATTAAATTTTGCTATTAAAAAATGTTAATTTCCTATCAAAAACGTCCCATATTTTGTAAATTATGTTCAAAACCATAGTTAAACCCATTAAAAAATAGCCAACATCGTTCTCAATATAAATATCAAAATAAAATACAAAAAACATCATAACCACTATAAATAACGACGTAACCGCTACAAATGACATCGATAATAACACGATAAACCCAATTGATCTCGGCCGAATCCGAAAGAGAATGCCAATCTCGATCCGATCGGCCCTAAGGGCAAACCCAACTCTCCGAGACTGAAGGGGGAGTCCAGAGTTTCTAAATCTTTTTCTCTGTTCGATCGGAGACATTGGACATAAATATCGCCTGAGGAATTACTTGACATGACCGCCATAGGGATTCATCATTAACCAAGGTCGGTTATTCTTTGTGTTGAGTCGGGTTGTTAAAGGTCTATGTCAACATCTACATAAATATATCAATAAAAAAATACACAATAGATACTTATGAATGTATGATATGTTGGCATGATTCTACTTAAAATAGTTATGCGTTGTAGTACTCATACTATGAAAGACAACATTATTAGTAACCTTCATAACACAAAATTAGAAGTGAAGTTTATTTGTGTATATAATACAGTTATGAAGTAGAAACCAGTATAAGTGATACAACCATCAATCTTAGTCCAAAAGTTCATAGAAAAAGCAAAAAATGGCACATAAATACATTCTACGTACTTTTCGACCCTAACCCTTCAAAATAATAATCTACAATAATATTTTAAATTAACCAAACACAGGAGCTTTCCATCCCCCGAATCCTTCCTCCAGATCTTGTGCTACAGCAATCAACAGCGCTTCTGAATCCTCTCCACCAACGATCTGAACTCCGACCGGTAATCCATTCGAGTTTAATCCCATAGGGCATGTTACTACCGGTAGACCTACAGCATTCCACAGAGCTGTATACTGGTAGTCAAACGGAGTAAAGACAGATTCATTGTGGAAGTAGGCTGGGCGAGGAAAGCCGGGGAAGATCAGGATTCCATCTTGACCTAACAAGTTCACGACCTCTCTTCTCAACTGATCCCTTTTACTGTGTACCTGTAGGTTCAAAATTCAGTCAAAAATATTATAAATATTATAAATAATAATATTAGCTACAACAATCTTCAGTCTAATTTAAAAAAGGTTGGCTATGGACCAAAAAACATAGTAAAAATATGAGTCGATGCCAACATTATGTTTGTCATTAGTCATCCAAATTAATGAACTTACAAAGTCCCGATCCCGTTTCACATTAGTCAAATGATCGTCCAGAAACGCCGTCAATAATGACATGAACATGTGTTTGGAGTTGCCCATAAAGTAGTACAACATCTGCAGCAGTGGATTGAATCCAGAATTCTCCTAAAAATACACTTTTTAGTACCAAAAGAGATATAACTAGAGTAGATTACACGTATTTGCGCCATTTATATAATAATAAAATCTTATATTAACTTTCCACACCTTTGATACAACCTCAACTTAAACGTACCTTGTAGCCAGCCAAAACATCAGCAAATCGTTGTTTAGTACTGTGCATTGATGTGAGCCAGATGTCGAGAGCATGATGAGTTATAGGGAAGTTGACATTGTAAGCGTGGATATCGTACTTCTTCTCGAAGTACTTGACAGCCTTCTTCAAAGCTCTAGAACAATCAGAATGTACTGGCGATGCAATCAACGTGTTCAGGCCATTCATGAAGAACACTCGAGTACGTTGAAGCTTGATTTGGCGGTTCAGCTGAAGACGTTCTGTTGCGTCAGGCCCTACCATTACCTAAAAACATTGAAAGCACCTTATATTGTCATCAAAGGTCATTTTGGACTTCAAAACTATACAAACGACATAAATACTACAATTGACATTAAAAATTGATTTATCCCTACCCAATCTTCTTGAAATGCTTACCTTTAACATAAGTGACAAATCCCTGGCATATCTGCAAATGGGTCCAATAGAGAACATCTCCTCTTGATACCCATAAAAGTGATCTGGAATGTGACCTTTGGTAGGAATGAGTCCTGGCGTCGGCTTCAATCCAAAAACTCCATTGAAAAAGGCTGGGATCCGGACAGATCCGCCAATATCTGACCCAACTCCAACCACAGATCCAGCAGCTGATATTAAACATCCTTCGCCTCCTGAGCTGCCTCCCACACCTCTTCTCGAATCGTACGGACTGTTGGTTTGACCGTAGACTCCATTACACGACTGCCACCACAAACATGCCTCAGGGACATTGGTTACAGCCAAAGGAATCGCTCCAGATGCCTTTAAGAGAGTGACCACAGCAGCATCTTCTGGATTCGGATCAGCCTCTGACAGTGCTGGAATACCGGCTGTGCTGACATGACCTTTTATTCGGATGCTGTCCTTTACTGTAAATGGGACACCCAATAGAGGTTTCGTATCTGCGAGCGACTAAAAATGATATTATTCTACATACTCTTTTACTATATAACCAAAAACATTTAAAACCTGTAACTGTTGCCAAAAATTCATAACTAGTTAAAGAATTTAAAAAGTAAAAGTTTAAAGTTTACCTTATACTCTTCAGACTCTACATCAACGTTAATAAGCCAGTCATCGATCTTCTTGGCTTCGTCTAAAGCTTCTTCGAAGTTCTGTTGTACTACAGCATTGAGATACGGATTCACCAACTCAATTCTTCGAATATAAACATCGATTAACTGTACTGCTGAGATCTGAAAAATTATTTTTAATAACAATAAATAATAAGTAGCAGCTATCACAAAATTAATTTATAAATTATCTTAATAATTTGTGTCCTTACTTCAGCATCATCACAGTAAAAATAGAAAGTGAATAAACTATCTTTCTCTTTCGAATAAGTATATTACCTCTCGTTTTCGTATCATTTCGGCCGCCTGAGCTGCTGATATTAACAATAGTTGATCTACATCGTCTGGAGCTGGTCTTGGTACTGCTAATCGCGCTTTGAACAAGTAATTATATAACCAGAATACGAAATGTACAAATTGAAAGTAACAATAAGTGATCGGTGCCAGAAACGGCGCCACAACTCGTAACATCTAAAACTTCTCTATGAAACAGTTTTAAAGCAAAATAGCATCAAAAATATTAAAGTTCGCCGCGAGTAATAAATTAAGAACAAATTTTTAAAAAGCAAATGAATTATCAGCAAAACAACAAGTTATGCGTTCAAAAACTAACACCATACGTGAGTCTAAAACAATATAAGCGAGTTATCAGAAGGAAAGGTCGGCAAAACACAAATATTACGACAAAACTCATAAATTAAACGCAAGTAAACCAAGGTAAACAAGTATTATGATGTGCAAAACCAGTGCAACTTCTGTCCCACTTAGCAATAATTATTTATTTCACAAGAGTTTAACTGTTTTCTCAAACAACGCGGCCTTGGTCTTATCACTCAGAGAGCGGTACTCTTCGGACTTCTTCAAAGTCTTGATCTGATCCGTCGATTTGATCTCGACTATGCAGTGGTGCTGAAACAAAATATTATTGTAGACAAGAACTTACTTAAAAATAAGGTTTAGAACAAAGTTTACGCATTTTAAGTTTCAAAATGCCCTTTTTATCAAATTTTAGGTAATAATTTAGACATTTTACTGCCCTAAGCCAAAACAACGTGTGATAAAAATGTTTTAGATAACGAAACATTGAAATATAAGTTTAATTAGTCAAACATGACATACCTGAAGCGAAGGAAAGTTGTACCGATCAGCGTACACCAACTTGAGTTCGTTCGAAAACTCGTCGGTTTTTATCAAAAACTTTTCGCATTTCCGAATCACGTAATCAATTTGAAATCTGTCGGCCAGAACCAAAACAAAGTCAACGTTATCACTGTTCAGTTTGGCGTGTGCTGGGTACAAAACTTGAAGTAGTTCCTTGAATTCGTTGTACTTCAGGTCGTGAAGTTCAATCCTTTCCTGAGATCGTTCCGCAAAGTTGTGGTTGAATAAGGAGTCGAACACAGGCGAATATAGTGACAAATACTGAAAAATAAAGTTCAAAACACAAAACTCAAACAATTAATCACCAAGTTGTATTTTGATCGCACAAAATGCAACATCGACGCCCTTTTAGATAGTGATCTAGACGATAAACACCAAACAAATTACATCTAGATAAACAAAAATGCTTTAATGACTTCAATCTACCAAGCAAACAATGTATAATAAACATTTTTCACTAGTGAAATTACAAAAACGTCTAATATAATTCTGACAAAACTGACATAAATAACCTACGTCTCTATTGACGTGCAGCTCTTGACCTTCAACAACAAGTATCGTATTGGACAAATTATTCGCAGAGGTAAAGTCAACATGAACACGTTGCTTTACCCCAGAAGAACCCTTGATTTCAATAAGAGCTTCCAACTCAATCATCCCATCAGAAATAAATCCATTTTTTGGATCTTTCACTGTGTCCCATTCAAGAAAGGCCGGAAACCCCCAATTGTTCGAATTCAACGCAAACTTGTTTGTGAACTAAAAATCACACAATTATATACAGAAGTAATAATATAATAAACCCATAAAGTACATTTTTAATCTTCAAAAACTAGCAAAATACCTAAAATCGTTGTTTAAACCAGCAATTTACCCTTTTAGTGTAATTAGCCGTTCCAAGGCTTTTCGAAATCAGCCGAACTTCAACGACAGCATCACAAGACCACAAGGTCGACTGACTTTCAGGATTACAGTCCACATACACACTGAAATGCTCAATATGGCTCGTCCTTTCTGAACACTCTGTTTTCGCTGATAATCGCCTAAATTATTTAAATTTTAAAATCGAAATTTAACTTTTATATAAAATAAATTACTTTACCATAATAAAAAGTATATAACCAACAAATTTATATTATAATCAAAACTAACCATGGAAAGCCGCCGAAGCAAAAGAACGGAGAGCTGGCCTTCTGTCTAGAACATCCGTTCTCAGGAATACTCAAAACAAGTCTGCCAAGTTTGGATTCATCTAAACACCAATATCATAATCACAAAAAAAAACATACCACAAATGGTCGAATTGACACTTTCATTAATTGAGCCCATCAGACAGTTGTTATCATTCGCAGATCTCGAAGAACAAGGTTCTAAATGCAAACTTTGTATTTTCAAATAAGAAACACATTAATGACAAAAACACTTTTAAATAGTATTTTTAAAATTTACATAAACAAAAACTTACCAGCTTTCATTTTTCACAAACTACTTTATGTTTTGTCGCTTTACAATATTTACAGATGAGTTACGAAAAACCACATAGTAGAGAATTAAAACATTTAATATAGATATCACAATTAATTATTTTGACTAGAACAATACGTGATTTTAATAATACTGTTGTTAAGAAAATAAAGCTATAAATAAGAGAAGTACTCGAAATCTCCAAGACACAAAAAATAAAAAAATAAAAATAAGAGAAAAAGTTGACGCTTATAAACAACGTGTCAACTGTTTGTCTCAAACATATGATTTGTTTTGCAAAGTTCAATTTGACAAAACTGATAGTAAAAACAATAAAGTCTGGTGTAAATAACTTTTTTTAAACTATTTTTTACAATTTGTTTAACATTTTAAAAATTTTAGTAACAATTGTATTATAAAGCCTAATATTGTTATTTTTTAAATGATTATTACATTTTTATGTAAAATAGCGATAAATTACAATAAAAATCTAAAACATTTATTTACACTATACATCATTGACGATGTTATATGTTGCCAGACTCCGCCGACGCTTTGTTGGCGGAGCTACGAAGATGGAATCACAACATTGAAGAATCAGAAGGAAGTTGAAGGAGACCACGATGAACAATATGTCCATGATCAAAGCAAAGGACACCCAGTCAATCAACGTTTGCCATTTCATTTCCTTGACCAATATAAATAGTGTCACCGAGAATACCGTCAGAGTTACTCTGTAAAACGAATTACTACAGTCTAATGTTAACCTTGAGTTATAATGGACAATATTCTTAAATATTTAAGTGGAAATATGTTAGTTAGCTTACCCATAAATAAAGCTGACAACCAGAAACAGCATTTTGAGCACGAGAAACGGTGTTAACATGTAAATGAGATTCATCCAGATACCCACGAGCATCAGGCTAGTAGATACGACTTGTAACAACGACCAAAAGTCTAGTAGAGTTCTGCCAAAACAAATCATATGCTGAGAGAAGTACTGTAACTCTAACATTAAGGCTTGGTCTTGAGTTGGGATGACTTCAGAAGTTTGGTTTATCTAAAATTTGCGATGTTATTGTAGAGATGACATTGTTAGGTTTAATACTAAAGAATTGTTATATTGCATATACTAGATAATAAAACTTGTGATAGTCTGTTGTATATTGAAGGTAAGAAGGTTTGAATACTCAAAAACTTCTTACATTGCAATCAGCACAACCAATGACATCCATATCGATTGTTGTTGGGTATGTTGTGGTCGTATCTTCAGTCACAGTAAACTCCAACTCTTTTGAGTCAATGTTGGAAAGTGATACAGTATAAATTATAGGAGACGTTGTTGTAGACGGAATAGCTTTGCTGTTTGGCTTCTTTTTCCGTCGTTTCCTCAGCCCAAGATAAGATTTATTTCTGGTAGTTTTGGTTCGGATACCATTCACATTGTCGATGCTCAGTAAAGTCTCCATCTGAACGTCTGTCTCTGTTTGGGAAAAAGCGAAGACATCTCGGCTTTTCCTTAACCTAAAGTGGATAATATTTATGTTACAATACTAATTTTATTTGTATACTCGCACTTTCTGGGTTAATTGCTATAACGTACTGTTACAAGACTACTATTATATTATATTTATATATATAATATAATAAGTGTTGTTTTTGTAATAGTCATACTGTAAAAATCATTGCATAATACTAAACTACTTACCTGGCTGCATCTTCTGGTAGTAGATCACTGTCCACATCTTTATATTGTAATTGTGAAATGAAACATGTGTAGTCAAACTCGAAATACTCTAAAATTAATTAATTATATATCTCTTAATGTATGTAATACATTACTTTATACAAACGATGTTTTTCTTGTCTTATTACTAATTGTAAGCTATCTCAAATTTTAATTTGCATAAATTAAGATTTTTACTTGTTCAATTAAAAGTTACAGAAATCTTAAAAAAATGTTCGTAAGGGCACATTTACACATGTATATCACATAGTAACAGAAACAATTACCTCGTACCAACCAAGCAGTCAACAACACCGCCTCAACCACCACAACCAGAGTAATAACAAGTTTAGACTTGGCAATGGAACTCATTATCAGTGCCTAAACACATTTCGTATACAGTTAATCTCGAGAACGCTGAGGGCACGTCACACGCTAATCCCCTCAATTTATTTACAATTAACACCACATTTGATATACATGCTGTACGGAATATGCAGACACCAGATAGCCCTTCAACATCTGATACATCAAAAACATGACAGCCATGAATGATTAAACATCTTATTGTTGACACAAACAATACATAATATCCCAGTTTAATCTTCTCCAGCCAAATGGACTGTGAGAACCCCAAGTCTCTGAGAATAATCGACCGAACTTCCTCCATAAAACAAATACGGCCGAGGGTCGGCCAAGAAGCATTTCCGATACAACATGGATAATGTTCCGGCTATTTTTAACTTGCTTTACTTTACAAAATTGGTTCCTAACCTTTCAAACCTATCATCTTAAGTCGAAGCTTATTTTTAGGTATTCCAACCTTAATTATAAATTTATACTACCTACTACAATATCTGAAAACAACTACTATAAAACTAAAAAAGCTTTTAAAACACAAAAAGTTAATCCGTTCCGCAAATTTAATGAAATAAATATGATAATTAAGGCTATTTTAAGATAATAATTAATTAAGTTATTACAGTAATAAACTGGAGCTTCTAGTATAAGTAACCAGGCATCTTGATCTTCATGAACATCCGAGTAACCAAGTATCCAACAGCCACAAGCCCCATTCCAACTCCAATCGTAATGATACGGTTCTTCTTGGCCATGTGGGAACTGTTAGCTTTGTCCAAAACAATAAATCCAATAGCTGAAATTAGATTTTTAAGTATCAGATATTATTTTAGTTTTTTTGTTCCAAATATTACTTTAGGTTTAACCTACAAAACATTTATAGCTTCTCTCATAGTAAAAATAACAAAAAACTACTTAAAAACGTATAAAACATGAGTAATGAATATATAATAGAGCATGAAAGAACTTACAAGTCAGACTGAACATGAAACTGGCCACAAGACCTTCCATAATATATTGTCCATTGATTCTGTACGGCATAATAGCCTGAGGCCTTTGCATTCCTCTTTCATCCACCGTTGTACCTATTTTAACATAATAAAAAAACAATCTCAACTTACCGATACTGGGAGGTTCATTAATAATGTCATATACAATACCAGCAGTTACCAAAAAGTAGATCACAATACTCACAAAGAAGGTTTGATTAGCAGATGGAAGCTAAAATCATAAATTTAGCAATGATATTATACCAAAAAATATAAATTATTGCCTGTAAAACCCCTTTAACAACAAAGATAACCTTACTTTGGCCCATTTTGGAGCAGAAATATTCAATTTAGGTGGATCAATTGCTGCAAAAATTGTAGAAGACAGTAAAGCTTCCATTTTGTAAAACTACTAGCTATAAAATACCAAAATAAACTTTATCTTCCACCTTTTGTTTTGTCCAATCAAATAAAACAGAAAGAAAAGCCTGCAGCCTGCGTCAAGCTAATGCAAGCTGCGGCCAGTCTTTACGTATAACAATTATGACTTGTGAAATATCAATTCATATCAAATCAGTCCGTACGAAGAACTTGTTGATGATAAAATAAAAAAAGACAAAATGGTGTGGTTTTGTAAACGTCTTATGTTTTACGTCCTCACTTCTTTATTATGGTAGTTGTTAATATTCTGCCTTTTTTAATATCAAACTTATAAAATGAACTAAAGAAGTAAGTCTATTTTAGAATTGTAACGCCTTTGTTAATGCATTCAGCACTTTTTAATAAACCTGTAAAATATTTCGTATTTTACCTTTACTACTTTGCCTTACTTTTTTTTGTTCCTGTAAAACAAGGGCGCGGTTCGCAGAAGACAATGCTTGCTGAACATGCCCGTGCTCATTTCCGCCACATATTTTCTTTGTTCGAAATGGTCGGAACTCCACAAATAATATAGTTTCATTCTGCACTGGTTTATCGGAAAAAATATTCATTGAACAAAGTTTTGTCAGATTTTTTAGCATATTTTGTACATATTATACTAGCATAACGGGGTTATCTATATGCAGCAGCTTGATCTAGCAAGGAAAAACGTTAGAATTGGCCGTTATCAACTGGCATTGAATGCGTACAAGTCGTCCTTGATCACTTTTAAAGAGGATCTGAAGAAGGAAGTCGATAGTGCAAAGACAAAACAGCTGATTGAGGTAAGATATTATAGTAGCTTTTTGTTTTACGTTTAGGTGGTGCGATTGGTGGGAAAAGAGCTCGAAAGTCTACAGAGTTTGGTTGCGGAGACCAAGAACATCACCATCTCTCCGTCAACTCCAGAAACTCCTTCAGATCCCATGGTTTGGGCACCTCCAGCAAAGCCAGCTAAAACAATATCCAAGAAGCCTCCAGTGCCTAAAAGGACAACAGGTGGATCAGGTCCTCGAAAAGGGTTTGCTTCGTCTGTGTCTACTCCGAAAACAACTAACACAACTCCGAAGACAACTGTGATAAGAAGGGTAACTTCTCAGCCCAAACTAGACGATGTATCTTATAACAATGTGATGGACAAAGAAGAAGATAACGAGGAGGAGAAGGTGTTTGATTCCACAATGTACGATAGGGAACTGGTGTGGTTGGTGGAGAAGAGTGTGATCCAGAGGAACCCGAGTGTGAAGTGGAATGACATTTCGGGTTTGGAGACTACCAAGAAGACATTAACTGAAGCAGCTCTTCTTCCTCAGCTCTTTCCGACCTACTTCAAGGTAATGATTTGTTTGTGTTTTGGAGTTATGTTTCTTTTTATTTATGTTACCTAAAATATTTTATTTAGGGGATACGTAGACCTTGGAAAGGAGTATGTCTGTTTGGTCCTCCTGGTACAGGAAAGACATTGTTGGCCAAAGCGGTGGCCACAGAATGTAAATCAACCTTCTTTTCTGTATCTGCTTCAACTTTTGCTTCTAAATGGAGAGGAGATGGGGAGAAGCTGGTTCGATTGCTGTTTGAAATGGTAAGGGTTTATGGATACAATATGAATTTTTGATGTTTTTAAGTAGCCTAAAGTAATATAAAGTTAAAACATAAATTAAAATTGTTTTAGGCTCGATTTTATGCTCCATCGACGGTTTTTATTGACGAGTTGGATACATTATGTTCGACAAGAAGCTCTGAAAACGAGCACGAAGCTTCCAAACGTTTAAAAGGAGAACTTCTAGTACAAATTGATGGTAAGTTGTACAACCGTGGTTAGAAATAGGAAATTGTCGATTTATAAATTATTAAATTTTAAAGATAGGTATAAAATAAATATACAAATATAACATTTTAGTAATATTATTTTCAGGTATGAATGACGAAACCGACCGTACCGTCCTTCTATTAGCGGCTACAAACCGACCGTGGGATCTTGACGAAGCCTTCAGAAGGCGACTTGAAAAGCGAATTTACGTGGGACTACCTGACACAGAAACTCGATTGGATCTTTTGAAGAACTGTCTCTCCAGTGTCAAATTGGGTGACGATGTGAATCTGAACGAGTTGGCGGCCAAGACGCAAGGGTATTCTGGAGCCGATGTGACTAACCTTTGTCGTGACGCTGCTCTTCAGCCAATGAGAGACTGTCTGGACAACCTGGAGGACTACAAGACCGCGGCCGAACAGCTCTCGGCCAGTTTTCTCGAGGAGAAACCAATCAAAATGTGTCACTTTAACAGCGCCATGAAACGGGTGAATCCATCTTGTAGCGCGGATACGATCCGGAAGTACAAGGAATGGGAGAAGCAATTCGGTGCCATCTGATCTCACTTCAAACTACTGTAGCTTGTAAAGAATAAACTAAATACGTGTGTGATATTCATGTTGGGATGATTTATACGGTTTCGTACTGTGTTATACTGTGATTTGGTCAAAAGTAGAGGATATAGGTAATAACTGATATAAAGGGTTACTCAGAAACGTCTAACAGAGTAAATATTTATCAGTAATTTTACTATTTATGCCATTTTTAAGCCGATGGAGCCTTCAACTTCATCAGCCAGTGCCCCCAAACACATTCCCAATGTCACTGGTCAAACAGCGTCTAAACTACTCGTAAATAGGAAACAAAACGGTAATCCGGTCTTAAAATACGTCAGAGCTGTATCATACGAATGGTCTAACGAAATTCGACCAGATTACCTGTTTGGACCTTGTGGCATACTTTATTTGACATTGAAATGGCATAAATTACACCCTTCGTACTTGGATACACGGCTCAATGACTTGAATGCCAGTGATATGAAGGTAAGATAGTTCTTAGCTTTAGAGTATTAATTTTTGAGCGTACTGTATACTCATATGTTATATATATACTGAAATCGCTTATATGTATTATATTATATTTAAGATCCTGCTTGTTGTGAACATGGTAGAAGATCCATCGTATTTGTTGAAGGATCTTAACATGTTGTGTTACCGGAATCAGTGGACGTTGATTGTCACTCAGTCGGTCGAAGAAGCAGGAGAATATATTGAAAACTTGAAATTGAGTGAAAGAAGAAACCCAGCTGATGCCATCAGGGCGATTAATGAGTACAGAATGAAGCGACGTAACGATGGGAAGCCTCTAACCATGAAGGAGAAGAACCGACAGGTCGGTAGAATAAAACAAGACTGCTTATATTACTATAAGAGAAGACGTAGTAGGGGAAAAATTATCTTTTTGACGTACACTTACCAAAAGAGATATGTATAATTTCAGAACTACGAAGCAGCAATCAAGTTCTTGAGTTCGGTCAAGACCATCACCATATCTGATGCCAAGCGCCTTCTGGGTTCTTTTGGATCTCTTCAAACCATCTCGCAGTGTTCGATCGATCAGATCAACCTCTGTCCAGGCTTGGGGCCTACCAAATCTCAGCGATTGTACGAATTCTTCAGATTACCTCTGATCAAAATGAAAACTAAATAAATCTTGTGAATTCGACCAGCATTTTATTGATTATGACTGTTTGTAACAGTTTTTATTGGTTTTTTTTGTTATATTTAAGTTTGCCTTATTTATAATCACAATTGGCTCTAGAGATCTGCATATCTTTTTAAGATAACGTAACTAGATATTAACTTCTACTTTCAGATGTCTAACGTACCAGATAATGCAAATGAGAGCTGTCCAGGCACAGAGAGTGAGATGGCTGGCAAAGTGAGCTCTTGTGCTGGATGTCCGAACCAAAAGTTTTGTGCATCTGGAGAGAAGCCAGTCGATCCAGACGTTGAGTTCATCAGACAACGGTTGGCTGAGGTCAAGAACAAGGTAATCTATAAAAAGTGTCTGCTTTATTTGATTTTGCAACTATCTATAGTGAATTATTATTTGAAAGTTCAAAATTTACTATTTAAAAGCTTGGAATTGATATAACATGTTGATTTAGATTCTGATCTTGTCAGGCAAAGGTGGCGTGGGTAAGAGCTCAGTGACCACAAACTTGGCCGTTGCTTTGGCTTCTGACCCCAATGTTCAAGTAGGTGTATTGGATGTGGACATTTGTGGTCCATCTCAAGCTCGTCTCTTCAACGTGGAAGACGAAACCGTGCACGATAGTGCCTCAGGCTGGTCTCCGGTATCAGTCAAAGACAACTTGGTGGTAATGTCGATAGCCTTCCTACTAGAAAGCAGATCCAATGCTGTTGTCTGGAGAGGACCGAGGAAGAATGCCATGATCAAGAAGTTCTTAAAGGACGTGGACTGGGGACAGTTGGACTATCTGCTGATTGACACTCCGCCAGGAACTTCAGATGAACACATTTCTATCGTGCAGCTACTTCTGGAGGCTTCTAATGTGAACGGAGCTTTGGTCGTGACTACGCCACAGGAAATATCACTATTGGATGTGCGGAAGGAGGTGGGTTACTGTAGTTTTTAAGTAGTTTGCTTTGAATCACGCCACTTTTATGTTATGTTAGATTGGATAACTTAAGCTCGATATTCAAATGACCTAACTTTGTACTCATAAAAATTGTAAAATGCTGTTTTTAATGTTGTAACAGTAGTAGTTGGACTAATGTAACATATTTTAGATAAACTTTTGCCAAAAGACCAAGCTGCCAGTGTTGGGAGTGATCGAGAACATGAGTACGTTCGTATGTCCTTGTTGTCAGCACGAGACAGCCCTATTCCCACCGACGAGTGGAGGTGCTAAGCAAATGGCTGACGAACTAGGACTAGAACTCTTGGCTAAACTACCACAAGATCCTAGACTAGCTGCCTCTTTGGACAACGGAGAAGAGTTTCTGGAGAAATACCCGGATTCTGCTGTAGCCAAGGCTTTCGGAGATCTGGCAGAGAAGGTCAAGAAGGCTTGTGCTCAGTAATATACAAAGTGGTGTGATATGAATTGTTATGTTGATATTATACTTGATTGGAATGAGATTGTTAACCTCCCAATTGTTGATTTTTTAAATAAATTTTTATTTTAAAATTGTGGTATTTTGCTGGAAAGTCGTTTTTGACGTATCTTACATAACGTAGGACAAATGATGATTTTTTATTAACGACTTACCAACGATTTAGTTTTTGGTAGTATGTAAATATAAGGTTATGATTTATTTATTTTAATTAACAAGCTATCTTCAAACTCAACTTGTAGGTACTAAAAATGGCTCACCGAGTAGTGATAACTGGTTTGGGCACTGTATCACCCTATGGTGTGGGTGTGAAGCGGTTATGGGACGGTATCAGACAAAACAAATCTGGCCTCAAGTTTGATAAGGCATTGGGCGTGGTTGTTGGGGCTGTCCCTCGAGGCACTGAAGATGGTGCTTTTAATGTAAACGAATTCTCAAACCGAGATCAACGAGAAATGGCTACACCAACATTGCTCACGTTGAAGGCGGTAGAAGAGGCGCTACAGGATTCTAAATTGGCCGACGTCGAAGAAGGATTTCACGATGAAACAGCTGTCAACATTGGTAAGAGCTTCAATGAATTACATTAAATGTTTTATTCAATGTTGTACGAATACATTACTATGAATTCTTACTTCAAAACACTTACAGTATGATTATGCTAGTCAAAATCTTGCTTTAGGTATGGGCATTGCTGACCTAGAAGAGATCCACAAGACCGCTACACTAATCGAAAAGGGCAGACCTCGTCAAGTTGGACCGTTCTTTGTTCCTAAAATACTGACAAACGTGCCCGGAGGCTATGTTGCTCTTAAATATGGTTTAAAGGGAGGCAACAGTTCCTCGACCACAGCTTGTGCTACTGGACTAACCTGTTTGGCTGAAGCCTTTGCTCAAATTCAGTCTGGACGAGTGCGTAGAGCTGTTGCTGGATCAGTCGAAAGCTGTCTGAACTCCGTTTCTGTGGTCGGATTTCAACGAATGAGGGCTCTCGCTTCCAAAACTGATGATTTAGATGATACATTACGTAAGTGACTCGTATATAACGGTAGTACCTATACTGCCGATCCTAGACATCATATATATGTATTTTTGATAACAATCTTTAATGTTGTAACCATAGGGTTATACGATGTACATATAGTAGAAGTCAGGGGTAGCAATTTATTTAACAGAATAATACAAATTATAGAGAATAGAGTAGTGCTGGTACCAGGAGCAGCGGGTCGTATTGCTGACTGAATAGGTGTACAAAGATTGTACTTTTATAGTACTAGAAAATAGGCGGAGTTTGCACGACTATTTCGAAATAGCGTTGACGTGTACTGCGCTCATTGGTTACTTTACGCTTTGTCATGATGACTAACATGTATTTCGAAATCTGGTGATTTTGTAACAAGAATAGTACCGTATTATATCTACGTTCTTTTCGTGGTGTTTTTACGAATATTACATTAAGTAATCAGAATTTGATAACAATTTTATTTTAGCGTCAACATCACGGCCATTTGATGTTCATAGGAACGGTTTCGTGTTGTCAGAAGGAGCTGGGATTCTGATTTTGGAAAGACTTGAAGATGCCAAGGCTCGTGGTGCTACCGTCTACGCAGAAGTTCTGGGATACGGTATGTTTTTGATAATATAGAAAAGAAAAACATAATTTTCAAATATTATCAGTACAACATCTAACACAATATAAATTCAGACCAGCTTTTATAAATCTATAAAGCATATCTTTATGAGTCAATATAACTTATGACATCGACTTTAAATTCAGGTATATCCAACGATGCCTACCACCTAACCTCACCTTCTCCAGATGGAAAAGCTTCTGAACTCAGTATCACGAGATGCCTAAAAGATAGCAAACTTGATGTCAGTGACGTACAGTACGTCAATGCTCACGCTACGTCAACAAAAGTGGGCGACAAAGCTGAAGCCATCTCGATCTCTCGACTGTTCGGCCCAAAAGTGGCATTATCATCACTAAAAGGCCACATTGGACATTGTGTGTCAGCAGCTGGGTCGATTGAATCGATAGGGACCTTGTTGAGTATGACGAATGGGGAAATACCTCCAACACTCAACCTGGCACGGTCTGATGTTGACGTAGATGTGGACTTGGTTCAAGGAGAATGGAGGAGGTGGCCCAAAGGCAAACGAAGAGTTGTCGTCAAGAATTCTTTCGGGTTTGGGGGCGCTTTTGTGTCAGTAGCCTTTGCTCAAGTATAGTTGATAGTTACTGTAAGAATGTTGCTATTTACACATTATTTTTCATAATTATGTAGTATACGATAAATTAATGAATAGACATAATGTTATGTTAAACATGAAAAAATAGTCCAATATATAATAGCATAACCTTTTTTACCGTATTTTACAAAAAAAAAATATAAAGAGAATTATTTTACATTTTAAAAAATTTTTAAGAATATAAACTGGGTCAAGTTTTACTTAACATAGAGGCTTTTAGACAAAGGAACGGGCCGGGCCAGTCCTTACCAGAAAAAATGCCGAGTCTGCCTTGAATTCAGGGCCGGTTCGAAAACATTTAAAGTGCCGTCCGGTCAGTCGGTTTATATGTCTAGAGGCTTTGCGTCAACCCTCTCTCTCAAGAGGGAAAACTTTTCACAAAACTTTGTTTGATTTTGAATTAACATAATATCACATTTTAAGTAATTTTACGTAAAAATACTTTCATTTCTAGACTAAAAATTTTTTATATATGGCAGAAGAATTAATTATAAGTCGTTTTCCTATATGAATTTCACGTCACCATCTAAACCAAGGTCCTTACTCCAAATAGAAAGTGAATCTTTAGCTAGCAAGTAACTTTTCACAAGATTGACTTGTTTTCGCCAGAACAATGAGCCTTTTCCAAGGCCGCCGTGCCTCGAAGACGTCGCAGAAGGGTACCTCGGCCTGACATTCCTTTCCAAAGGATTTCGTCGCGCTAAATCTGAAATATCTAAAACAAACTGGATGAAAGGAATTCGCGACTTCACACTCTCGACGTTCGCTTTCTGACTTTAAACTGTGCTTACTGTTTCCTACTCTTTTGCTCGTTTAAACGGATGTTGAGCTGGGGTTACTCATATTAACATAGATATTGTGGTTACTCAGGCCTTTTGATATGAGAATCTGATCGATGGCTAAGGATAACGTCAACTGCCCTCCAGTTTTTTGACTTATCTGATAAGTTTTATTACTGCGAGGCTCACAACTGGCTTTTCATATTGTTTTAGATGACGATTGAGTGGTCTGGTCGTTTTATGTTGTTATAGAAGGCTTTTTCAGGCGATTTTACTTTTTCATGTTTTATATTGTTGTAGATGCTTTCATGTTAAGTTTTTTTGATGACTTTGTTTTACATTGTCTGATGATGACATATTGAGTTCTTTAATTGAATTTTGAAGATAATTTACCACTTTTTTTAAGTTTAAAAATATTATTTTTATAAGTTTATATTAATTTAGATGACATTTCTATCTAAAACCCCTTTCTGCATGCTTTGATGTTGTGTTAGTTCAAAAATATGACCCACATGTGTTCAGTATGCCTTTCAAAACCCTTTGGAAACGCTTAAAGCCAAGTATAATATCTGAAATGTTTCGAATCTGGTTTCAATTTGATCTCTCTCTTCTCTAAAATGCCACAAAGACCATTAATTTATGACTTAAAAGTGCATCAAAGGCATTAAAATAACTCTGACAACTGACTTTTCGGCTTTTAGCCTCAGGGTTTCAGGAGTTTAGCTGGTTTTCGCTAGCCTTTTTTGTCGAAATTCTTTAAATTAGCCTTTTCAAAGAGGTTTTGATTGATCTTTGAGGGAGATTGGACTGTTATTGAAGCGTTATGTAGTAGTTACTGGCATGAATATTACGATAATTATGTTACTGTAACTGTGATTTTTCTAAAATTTGTCAAAATCTTTAGAATTTGTTTTTCTGCAAGTGTTTTCCTTATTTTTCTATTTTCTCTAAACTTTTTGACCTAGACATGACAATTTTGTTACTTTTTGTGACTCCCATAAGTGTATTCATGAAGATCCCACTAAAACACGATCTCCTCCAGTCGAAAACACTTATCGGACCTTATTTATGCCATCCGTGAAGTCATCAAGTTCTCGCGCCTCAGGCGATTCCAAGGAAGTAAAAGGAATCTATTGAAATTCGAAAACCCATTGTGTAAAATTATATGTTGTTGGGGCTGTAATACGGAAGGCTTTTCTCACATTTACTAGGGGTTAGCATGGCTAGACACAACAGACAGTGTAATATATTGTTCATAACAAACTTTTAGGTAGTAACGACCTTTAGGCAGTGTTTTTGGGGTTTTATTGAAGGTGTTCTTGTGCTTTGTGTTTCTAAATGTTTTGAGCAACATATGACTATGTATTGTTAAAGCAACGTATGTTAATGTAGGTTATATAAGTTTACTTTAAACTCTTCTTCTCTAACCTAATTTCCCACTAAAACCCTACTGCTTAAGCCTGAGATGTCACAGTTTGTTGCAAACCTTTGACCTCGTTCTTGTCGCCGGAAGCGTTGATGAATGATTTGTTTCATCGACCGTGCAAACGCCTTACAATAGTCGGCTTCCGGTGACAGATGGAGCCATCGGTTCTCCCAAACATCCTGACCACTTTACACTGCCTTTTTGTTGGGTGCATTCCCTTTCCTTTATTACGTTCTTTTACTGTTACAATCAAAGACAATAAAGTACTACCGAAGTGGGATAGCTGATTTACACTTTTATTAAGGGTGGGTGGGGTATTTAGTTAATTGGCAGTACAAATTTTAGTAAAGGATAGGGTTTTAAGAGATATAGTAATGGGTTGGGTATAGTTACTGGCTTCTGCAGCATTAACAGTATTTCAAACCACGTTACTTACTACTCACCTGCTTTATATATTAACATAGTGATATTGTGACAAAACTTTTTCTTCTTTATTTCTTAAAATTTTCTAATTTTAACTTGTTTCAAAGTTTAAAAACTCAAATCTGATCCCCTTAACACTGTCGGTTACCATGCCAATTAACAGCGACGTCCCCTAATCCCACTTTACAACGATTATAGCCCTATTAACGTTGGTAGTGGATCTGCCCGACCTTTGATCCGCTTTCCTCTCACTTTATATTATCCATCCTCTTTCGCTTTACTCTCGGCGTTATGTCATATATCTGTTCCCAGTGTTTACAACACTTTACTGCCACTTGTGTTAGGTGTTACTGGGTGCAGGCGGGCTTTGAGGTATTTGCACGGTACTGGGGATGGTATTTTAGGAGCTTGAGTTTGGGTTTTTGGGTAGTTGAAGGTATTGTTTAGGGGTTTTTTGATAAAGATGACATATTAGTTTAGAGTTATTATTGGTTTTTTGTAATTTAAAAAGAATTTTTATACTGTAAAATACTATTGTAGATGTTATAATGAATTTTACATACTTAAAGATGGCCTAGAATTATATGGTATTCTCTATATTGTTTTATTTTATTACTTTTCAATTGAATCAACCTCCAAAACAGCTATTCTTTTACTAAACAAAACTCAATGTAAACACCTCTCGTATCTCAAGAACAACATAGCTTCGTATCTGGAGCATATTATTCCTTTGAATGACTAAAAAACAAAGTGGAGTCAGATTCAGAAGTCGATTATCTCCGTAAAAGTCTCGTTGAGAGATCTTTTTTACGTTTTTCGCCTGAGGAAAGGGAGGAAAGCCAGCCGGCTGGCTAGAATAGTCAAGAGTTTCAATTAAACTTTTAATGTGCATTATGTCACATCTGGTTTCTTGTCGTTGCCTCGCATTAAGCAACATTATTAATCACCATATTCGGGGGTTTCTGGAGATTATGTTGTAGTAGAAGGGGTTAAAGGTTACTTTGGTAGTGGAAAAGTGAAAGTTACTTTTGTTAACATAACAATGTGAAATTATTGCTAATATACGTATAATATACCTAAAGTTTAAAACATTGTCAAAATTTCGTGTAAACTGCCACGTTCAATGCCATGTATAACATAATGTAATGTATAAAATGATTATAGATGCTGAAATTCCAAGTAAAAGCATCTTCTGACCTAAGGACGCGCCATCGTTCGACGGCTTCGCCAAACTCCATCAGAAGCCAATGTCCTCCACCGTTACCTCCGCACAGAACGCTGATTCACGTCAGGAACGGCGAGAGTCCCAGCTGTTCTTCCTCGACCTCTGGCTCCAGCTTAGATCTGTCACCGTCAGGAGGATCCAGCTTCAGAAAATCGACCTCGATGAGTTCGCTGAGCTCAATTGACAGTGCTGACTCGTTAGAGGGGGTAGGTTACTGTAATTTTTTTGACCATTAGTACTGTAGGTTACAATAATTCCTTATCTTTATGCTTAATACCTGATAGTATCATATCAGTCCATATATATGTACTTATATTGTCACCTTTTAGGGCTATGTCAAAGTATTTACCGGCAATATAAAAGCAGATACAGACTACAAGACAATAAAGGCTACCAACAACACCACGGCCAAGATGATCATCAGCATGGTAATGGCCAAGTTCCGTCTAACATACAAAGACAGTAACCTCTTCCGCCTCTGTATGGAGATTCAGACCCCACATCATGGTGAATATATCAAAACGCTGCTTGAGTTGGGTGAGTTTTTCTCTTTAATGCCTACTACAATATAATTTAATGCTATGTTATTCATATATTTAGCGCAATGTTGTTCATGACATGTATAATATATAAATTCGGTATAAAAATGAACCTATAACAACCTTATTTTGCCCTTATTTCACTGGATATTCATGTATAATGTCAATGTTATTGTAGATGAAAGCGCCAGAGTGTTAGACCTCCAGAAGTGTCATCCTCAACATCTGTGCCGTTTCCTTCTGATCATGGTCGACGATGCTGTGCTAACCAGGATCGACGACTCAGCTCTCTGCCCCCAGTCCAACTACAAGTCTCTGCTTCTGGCCAGGAACACGACTGCCAAGGAAGTGGTGGTTCTGCTTCTGAATCTGTGTAGAATGCCAGAAGTCAGGGACTGTCGTCTGTTTCTGAAGCACGGTGACATCGAAGCACCGTTGCCTGACGATGCCCTTGTAGCTGACATATATCTGGATTTGCTCAGTAATCAGAAGTTGCTCATCAAGAGGATCTAAGTTAATATGGGAAAGGATTTCACTGTCCCTATGTTAATATATTGCCTCTATGAGAGAATCTATGTTACAGTAGCCTATTGAAGCTACGGTAGCCTGTTTATAAAAGATTATGGGCTACAGTATCACTACACATTCCCGATTTTTTAAAATTACAGTACATACTTTACTATTAGTCTTAAGGCCTAGTATCAATTTACAGTATATAGTTCCTACCAACCTCTTAAAAGAACATAATGCTATCTATGTTATTTTACTATCTCCTTTGTGCTATGTATGTTATCCTTCTTTCTATTAGGTTGTTCAAATAGTTCTCTAACCCCAAAAATTTGCTTGAGGGGCACATGATTATTTGAACAACTTAATATTATATTATCCATGCTTTACTTCTCGTCCCAAATACTGGATCCACAACCCTCATCTTGCCAATTCTTTAATAATAAACCTACTTGATATCAAACTATTTTCTTAATATTAAGCTGTTATGACAAACAATATATTATAAATCAAGTTGAAAATAAATCTATAACAACAAAATCTGATATTACACTAAACCTAAAACTATTTTTAAAAGCGAGTTCCTTTAAAAATTTCGAAAGAAAAAAGTTCAAAGTAATCGGAAGATTAATCGACAGAAAAAAAGAAATCCAAAAAAACTTTCGCCTAATCCGTCACGATGACGCAGTTTATGATGGATTTTTATCAAGTTGGATTAAAAAACAATTTTTAAAGTGATATTTTTAAAATTAGTAAAAACTATATTTTTTAAAATTAGTGTCAAAAAGCAAGTTATTTATTGAATAAGTAATTGAACTTCAAAAAACACTGGTTTTACTCCTCATAATGACACAATTTATGACGCATTTTCTGGAAGAAGCAAAATACCGGACGAAGTTTTGTCGAAATTAATAAAAAACAAACTTGGGACATAAAATGACATTGCTCGAGCCTTTTGAAGTGATAAGCAAGCCTATTTTGATCAGAAATCTCCTTTTTTGGACTGGTCCAAGTTCAACATTGACCAGCAGATGAAGAACTTCGGAAAAACGATAATTGGAAGCAATATATTGAGGTAGGCCGCTTAAATTTTTTTTATTAAAATAAGGTAGGCCGTTTAACAACAGTTAAAACTTAATTCACAATAGTAAAATGGCTTTAAAGATCCTAAAACCAATACGAACTAGAGTTATAAGTTCAAAAAATTAATGTTCGTGTGAAATAAGTCTACTCAAACGTCTTTAATATGTCAATATAAAGCTTAAACCGAATTGGCTGCCATTAATAATATTCTGAGGCCGCGCGACATTAGTCATAAAGTTTTGACAGGTGAGGATCAGAAGCTTAACAGCTGTCCTCCGGAAGGGGCGGCTTCGGCTTTGTTGTTGTAATTATTTGATGATATGCAAATATTTGGGCCGCTTCTTTTGTTTTGATCTACTTTACTCTACGGTAAACTTGTTTTAATCTTATTCTAGGCTTCAGGGTTGTTTTAACTTTGTTTTTTTTATTTTTTGGTTTAATTATTGTTTTTTTTATGTTGTTCTTGCTTCTTTTTCTTTCTAATATTAACTTTCTTGTGTTACGTTGTTCAAATACTTCTGTGCTCTTAATTCTGATAATTTGCTTTGAGAAGAGACACAGGATCATTTAAACAACCTAATGTTATTTTTGATGGTTTCTCTTATAATTAATAACTTAAAATATTAATAATATTGATATCTAAAACAATTTTAATGTTCAGAAGCCTTTTCCCTTAAATTTCGATTTTTTCAAACATTCAGTGGCAATTTAGATAACAAAACTGGATGTTTGCAAAGCTTTCGACCCAAAAGTGCATTTCGAATTTTAATGGTCGATTATTTAATCATTTATCCCGGAAATTATTGGGCGCGACCCTAATGACAATTTCTGTTTCGGGGACGATTAGAAGCGGCCCAACGGCCGTCTTTGTTGTGTATGGGAATTAAATTTGATGTGTAAGAGAGCGCGGCCCTCCGGCAACATGACAAACATTCTGATTTGGCGAATTTGCATATGAATATTTGCGTATTGTTTGGGCTGAATTTGGAGTTTGGCCTAGGATTGGGTATTGTTTGAGCTGTTTGTCTATGTTAGATGGTTGAAACTTGTAGTTTTTGCTGGGTTCTTAGGTTTTAGGTGAGAATTATATTGTAGTAGGCTTGGAGTAAAGTAATTTAAGGTTTTACATATTTCTTCCAGGTGGTTTGCCCAGGTCTTTGATAAACCTGGCTATAGGAATACTATTCTGTATTACTGTGACATCGTATACTCATTTTTACTCTACTGTAACATTTCATGTCCATCTTATGACCTTTAACATATTATACCCATGTGATGTCTCCATACTGTAACTTATGATACTCATCTTATATTACTCTGCTGTACATCTCATACCCACCCCCAAGAGTCAAAGTCCTTGTGCCATTTCAAAATGGGCCATCCGAAGAGATTGGAACATTAAAAGCCTTAATATAGTAATATGAAGTCGGTTGGGCCGAGCCAATTTGTTTTTATTTCCTTAATGAAAGGGGTGGGGGGAGCCTCAATTACTTGAATTCCGAAGACGGGGGGGGAGGACAGATGGTCCCCAGACATTCGACCCTTTTGATTGAATAATAAGCGCGGCCCTCCGGGATTTGCGAGGACAAACACGGACATTAGGCCATCTTCCTCTCCTTTTGCGGTAATTATGTACACACATCCCTGAGATCGAGATCGAGTTACCGTATCGGGTTGACAGGCATGTTGTAGTAGGTTCTAATCTGTCAGGCTAAGTAATATTTGGTGCTTCATTTAATATTGTCTGGGATAATATTGTCTTAGGGGTAAGATTGGGTAGATTTTTTCGAGGAATGACTTTAATTTAAAGCGTCGAAGTCTTGACTTTGAAATTTTAAAAAATTTTTGAAATTTTAAAAGGGCTTTTGAATGATTTTTTCAATTTTTCCTTCGGGCGCGCTTTAGAATAGTGATGAAACTTACTTTACAATATTGTAGTAGGTTTTCTGTTAAAAAAGTAAATTTTACCCAAAACAATTTCACCCCTCCCTGAAAACCCCCATATTCATAGCTAAAAACTAGCCGAAACGCAGTTGTTTTAGCAGGATGACTGTCCTCATTCGCCACGCTTCGCATGAAATATTATGTTATGTTGTGCGGCACGATATCCATCTATCAGTTATGCGAAAGGAAATTATCTGCTCGGGAACGGCACGTTGGGCCTGATTTGTCCCCAAGCCCCTCGGGGCAGGGCGAGTCCATCTACAGCTGCCTCGAGATTTATGCGGATTCGATGCGCAATAGGCCCATTAGATGTTTGTGGCCATCTTTTTTTGGTTGTTGAATTTGCATACGAATATTAAGGGCGCGGGCGCAGGATTTCCGGTCCGCGGCTTCTTTGATTCCGTCTTCAGAATCCGCGAAATGTTTTCGTTTTATGGACATCAAAGCGGCGGAAGACCTCCAACTTGTTTTAAACAAACTGTTTTCTGTGTTGTAGGGCTTGGGCTACTACAATATGCGAGAGACAAGCTTTAGCGGACTAAAGCTCTTCTTCATACCAACTTTTATATGAAATAACCTTACTTTTTGACCAAAACCTCAAGTTTCTGACCTAAAAGCCCACTCTAACTTACTGTCTCTCTACCTACTAATTCCAAAGCCTCCAATTCGCCGGTTATTACCGTAATCCTTCATAACTCGAGAGGAGTTATGGCCCGAGGCGCTTTTTCGAAAAGGGCGGACAGCCAGCCGGCTGTCTGTTATGATGAGAGGGCCTGAGGGCGCTTTCGCACAACTTTTTATGTTACTTCTCGATTTAAAATACAGATAATTAAAAGTGTAATAAAATTAATTAATTGAGAAGCTGGATGTCGCATTCTGACTGGTACTTTCTGACTCAGCTTGTTTTAGGTAATAAAACGCGGAAAACACGACTTTTCGTATGACTAAAGTCGTTTTAATTTTGAGTAATTACTGGGGTTCAGTTCTTACAAATTTTGCTATAATTTTCATTTTTTAATTTATTTTAAATTTAATTTTTCGAAATTTCGAAATTAATTGAAATTGAAATTTTGAACTTTTTCGAAATTCGAAGCGAACTTTCTGGTAATTCGTGTCAAACCTACTGTAATATGGATTCGCGGCAGGGATTAGAGCCCTTTAAAAGTTCGAATCCGAAAATTATTCCGTTGATTAGGTATAAGTCGGCTGCCGCGATTTAATTGTAATTATTCGCCTTTTTGTTCCACGAATGCCCTCGGGGCAGCCTGTTATCATAAAACGCGATTAATTTATAAGAGAAATAGATATTTATATGATAAACAGTTGTTCGGCCGATTGTGACTTTATGAGTTTCTACGGTAACGGATTTATGATTCGTTACAGCGTGCCGTGCCCCCGTTACAGCGTGCTCCCGTTACAGCGTGCCTCCGAAGTGTAATCGCGGAGTGACAAAACAATTCGCGGGGTTTAAGAATTTTGTTTTAAATTTTGAAAAATGGACATTTGAGTTGAGTTTGAGATATGGGTTGGGTTTGGTTTGTTTCGGGAACAGTTTGGTCATAAGTCTTGGGTAACAATTGTTATAATTATGAGCTAAAGGCTGGGCAAGCGGTAGCTGATTTGGTAACATTTCTTTGCAAGTCATCAGTTTAAATTTGTTCTAACACTCTTTGTTAATTATATATTGTTATACTATATTATTTATATTTTATTATTTTATAAGTGTTATAAGTTTGTTAGGTAAACTAGTTTACACGATTTGTGTTTTGTTATTTTATAATAGGTGGTATGTTAAAAAGTACAGTAGTTGATAACGTATTAGGTTGTCAAAATAGTCTTGTACTTCTTCTAAAAATAAATTTTTAGGTTTGGGGGGCCCAGAATTAATTGAAAATCATAATATGATAAGTGGAATTTTTTATTTTGATCATTTTAGAGGTCTTCTGTCTGTTTTGGTGGTTTATAGTATTGTAGGGTAA